CAGGAGTCGGCTGTCAGGAACTGAGTCGGTCGGCCCTCTTTGCAGCATCGTACTGATCTCTGAACATGTCACATAGTAGGTGAATAGACTAGACTAAGTAGTCAGTTTTCCTTTTTGCACCTGGGTTCTGAGCATTTTATATAATTTGTACCATGAGTACAGTATGGTTGCCCAAGAGTGGTATGGGCTGGGTAATAAGTGAGACCCGACTCAGACCCGACTACCCGACTACCCGACTCAGGCCCGACTCAGAGTCAGGTCCGAGTCAGGTCCGAGTCGGGTCCATCAGGTCCATGGTATCCAAATCCACCCCCAAGCCTTGGGGAATTCAGAGTCGTTGTACTGAGTCGGACTGAGTCGGGAGTCGGGAGTCGGGGATGCGGCGATTTTGTGTAGTCCTAAACTATGTGTTGCTGAGGCGCGCGCATCGCTATCTTAAATGTTTCACCATTGTGCTGTTCCCTGCTGTTCCTCATTGACATGAGTACGGTCAAGAACAGCCCCTCTACCGCGAAGTCGACGCCAGCTCAACAACAGAATAAAGAGCGTGCCTTGGTTGTTTCGCCTCCCTCCGAGTTACTCCTAGTCGTGTTTATCCATGGGTATGGATTCATTTATATCGCTGCAACCCCTGCCGCATCCTGCCCATTTCGTTTCCTCCTAGATTCAAGGGCACGGACTCCACGTTCGGCGTATTCCCCACTAGGCTACAGACTGTCCTTACGGAATCCATCACGAACGTCCGTGTAGAATGCACTGTGTTTCCTGCATACGAGGTATGTCGTAATTTGGCTTGGCCACTTTCACCAAGGTGTTAACCTACGGCTGTAGACCAAGGGTGAACTTGTCAGTGAGAACCAGACCACTCGTTGTCGTTACCACGGCACTTAGGCTTGACAGAATGAGGCCGTCGAGCATTTTGCCGACTGGCTTACCCAGCTGGTGGTTGAGAAGGAGGTGGCCAATGGGTTGGGCGGAGGGGCGGGGAAAGCGAAGATTGTTCTCTGTGGTCACAGGTAGGCCGTAAGTTTGCGAAGCCCGCTATCCTTCACTAAAGCGTAGGATGTTCGCCCAGCATGGGCGGCCTGCTTGCTGCAGACACCTTGATTTCTTTCGCAAAGTCTCGGCCGGATGAAAACGCACCTCTGTGGCCGAGTATTATCGCTTGCATTGCCTATGATACACCGGTATGTATCCTGTCGCCCAACCCTGTGCATTTCTCTGAATTTGTGGCCTTTACTTAGTATTTGGGCATACACCCTTACGTCTTCAAGAATAGTGCTAGCAAAGCGTTCAAATATGCCAATGCTGCGAGTACCATCGCTTCGGATATGTTCTCCATCTTCAAGAAGAAAGACGCTGCACCTGGTAGTACCGCCTCTACAACCGTGCCTCCTCCGTTGCCCATTACCAACGCCGAAGGCATTGAAGGTGCTGAGTGGTCTAGATGGTTACCTGCCGCCTACGCAGTAGGAGGGGCGATTGTAGCTGGTGCGGCGGCCGGTACGGCTTACTACAAACGTCAGGAGCTTGGAAGCGGGTGGAGCTGGGCTACAGACCACATGAAATACATTCGTAATCTTTGGGACGAAAAATCGCTGAAGCCAAGATTGGAGAGGCTGGGCAACATTGAAAAGGAGCTGGCAGTTTCTTTCCGAGTGTAAGTTTCCCTTTGCGTCTTACTTTTCTACCTATTCACGTGTTATCGCAGCCTATACACATACCTACCGTCATCCCCCCCTTCGCAGATCTTTTCGCGGACATTCATAGTACTACCAGATGACACAAACCCTCAAGCGGGGAATTTCAAGCCAGCAAGGAATACCATTGCCTCGGATGAAATCGAGGCCCACACGTCCATGTTCGAAGCAAGGTCAAACGATGGCTACTATGAACTTGGATTGGAGACAATGAAGATTATCCGAGAAGCTATGATGCTCAAACGCGGAATTGTTGAAGACCCAAATGCTTCGGCTGCAGGTGATCGCCTGAAGGCGTCGGCTTTCGTGCCTGATCCGAAGGGAGGTGCAGACCAAGGTCAGGGCTAACCCGATTACTGGTCTGTATACAAGGGCAATGGGGCTGAAAACACATCGACTAGTACAGCGCTCCAGAGATTTTGTTGTATTCTTATAGTGACAATGTACTTTATGAACCCAGTTATGGTCTTATTGGCTCAGTGACAGTTCCATGGCGTACGCATCTTCCCCATCTGCATCTGCAGAGCCATCAGTCAGCCAAAGGAGGATGGTTTCAAGACTCAAGAACATACAATATTTGCTTTCCACTTTTTTCACCGTGAACCCTAGCGTATCTCGGTACAGGCTCAAGGCTGCGCGATTTGATTTGCGAACGTGCAGCGACACAAACTTCGCGCGGTATATGCGCGTCATCGCCTCCTCTGAGAGTCGAATGTTATAAGTCAAACGTGTCGCGCACATAAGTGTGGACTTACGCGACTGAATCATCAACTTCTTGGCTAAACCCAATCGACGGTACGACCTCAAGACTGATATTGAGGTGACATGCCCATGCCGATCTTCTTGTTGTTCTGACTCTTCCTCCCTGCATAAACGGTCAAGATCAGTCGCCGCTAAGTGCACTCAGGGAAGACGTGCATCTTTGCGAGGATATAGCCCACGATTCTTCCCTTGTGATCTTCGGCGACATATGATATTGATGGCCAAGATAGTGAATGATATAGATCTGGTCGCAGCCTTCAGCTTGTTTGACTATAGTCTGATACTTCACGCACAGTATTTCATTGTGTAGTTCTCAGGAAGATTCTGTTGGTTGCACGCCTGCATACCTGGAAGGTCGTCTACCTGACCAGGAGGTTCTGAACGCGTTTCCTGGATCAACAAGTGCAGACACTTACTCTAGCGGGTCGAATGTTCATGGTGACTGTCTGGTTCGTGTCGCCAAATAGATAGATGGTCTAAAAGGTAGCCCGGTTCGATCGCAGTGCCGATGCACTTGCCTAGTTCCCACCGCTATGGAGTCAACCTGCATCAGAGGCGGCGACAGCGATCAACTACATGTAACATTGCGCAGACAATCCAAGTGGTTCTTCTGTATGCTGTGATGAAGGTAACTTGCTTTACACAAGCGACATACATTGACAAGTCGATACAAAGATGAAGGAAGGTCAAATACAGGTGTTGATAATGCGAAATCTGTCCCATGCTAACCGCAGATGCACGACTAATACAGGTGGGCCGACGTAACCCTCTATGCGAGTACAACCTATGAACGAGACGAAGCAGCACTGCTCGTACTAGCCCCATTGATATTATTCAACTCATGCACGCGTCCATTAGGAGCCGATGTGCGTCCAAATAGGAACGATGAAGCGTAATGTTCTGCGGCATTGAAGGTGTTCCGCAAACTCCTCTTTACGCTTCTTCCCCGGCTGTCGACCTCGCGCATGGTGTCTGTCGAACGGTTAGCTACTGTGGTCGAATCTAACTCTTCGTGAGCTGGTGGAGGCGGACTGCTTGCTTCAACGTAGGGCCAACCCACAGAATTTTGAGGTAAGTGATGACTTGATGAGCTACTATCGCGATGGCGGCCCTGCACGTGCGGATTCTGAGAGTCCAACGGATGACTAGCGGAATGCATGACCTGGGTGATCCCTTGCGTCGAACTGCCTGTGCCACCGCTGAAAGAACCGGAGGTTCCATAATGATGCCTGGAATGCCCCGCATGCTGCCCGTTTGCGCCAGAGTTGTGTCCTGCGCCGCGTCCATGTCCAATCTCGGCGAACACATAGTCAGGTGTGAGTGCCCCATTGCTTCTTGCCAACGGCGCAGCATCATGGTAAGTACGGAAAAAACCAGCACCATTGGATTGTGTAGTCCCCGTGCTGCGATTTGAAGCAACGTCGCTGGGTGCTGGCGAGGTGGATGTCTCCATCACAGGAAATCCGCGGTGTCGCCTCTGATTTGAGGAACTGACACCGTTCTGGTGATGATGCCCATGTCCGTTTTGGTGGGAAGACGACGGTATCGCAGTATGGGAGGATGGTGGTACGCGGATAGTCTGATCGCGATCGCGGTGAAGTGCGAGTTCCGGATGACGTGAGATATGAGAAATGATGGGGTCTTGCCGACGAGGAGGTTCAGGCTGAACGACAGCGTCTGAACCGGAGAAGGGTTCATCCATACCAATATCTTCATCAATCTCAGCTTCATTCCCGAGTTCCATGTCCATGTCGGCTGCGTCTTCATTGTACATACCCTCCGTGTCCTCATCATATTCGGTTTCTTCATCTGCGTTCATGTCCTCGGTGATAGTGTTGAAAAGGTCCGTCAGGAATGCTCTCAGCTTTGAGACACCGTTACCCGAATACACACAGAATGCAGTTCGTTGACTCAGGTTGAACTCCTAGTTATGTATAAGGTCCTTATTATCAATGATAGCCTTAGTTATGCGTGTGACATACCTGTGGTGGTGGACGGCAAAACTGTTGTAGCTCAGGCTTCCGGAAAGAGGGTATACCGGTGAGACTAAGATGAGTCAATTTGTGAAGCTTCTGGAGGAGGAAGTGGATAGCCATCACTGAGATCTGATCACAGTACGAGAGATGAATTCGTTCGAGAGTGCTATGGCGCTCAGCTAGCGCATATATGGCCTCGTCAGTTAGATTACTGACACGAACGAGGCCAATTCGACGCAGTTTGGGTAGGCTGGAAAGTTCGAAGACGGACATGTCTGTTAGTAGTACGCAATCTGAAATGAGGCGGTGAGTTAACGTTGAGTTCAGAATACCAAACACTCACTTGCAAAGTCAACATATCTGAGCCGAGTGCAACACCTAGCTAAAGACTTGATTGAACGGTCTGTGATTGCAGCTGCATGGCCTAGATGAAGGTAATGGAGGTGCTTGCCAAGTGAGCAGATGTTGTCGACAGTCCTGTCGGTAAGATTATAGCACTTGGACAAAACCAGATTCCTGATTTTGGGTGCAAGCGAGATGATCCCTTCAATGGCATCATCCGTGATGCGCGAGCAAGCCGTCAGGTCTAGCATTCTCAGGTGTTCCAGACGTCTATTCAGGATGAGAGGCGGAAGAGGTTCATTTACAGCAGCCGAGTGCTGCGAGAATGGGTTATTTGCGCGAAGCTGATTGTCTGCTTTGGGTGATGCAGGAAAGGCTGCATCCGTCAGCTCAGTACATTGAGAAAGCCGCATTTCTCGCATGTGCGTGCAATGAGTCCACAAGTCACGGACAGAGACGTCTGTGATCTGTCTGCAAAGATGAAGGTCGACTTCGAGGAGAAGAGGGCATGCTTTAGCCATTGCAGACACAGGGCCATCGGTAACCTGGTCTAACCCACTGAGCTTGACTCGACGGAGAAGGGGGCAGTGAGTCGCCAAAGCATACAGGCCTACATCTGTCACATCCTTGCATCCGGTGAGGTTGATGCCCTGCAGACGCTTGGCCGCCGAGGCAAGCTCGACGACGACCTTGTCGGAAGTTGCCCAGACACCTGTAAGATCTAGCGCGACTAGGTTTGGCAGCTGGGGGAGGACACGGCCCAATGCTTCGTTGGATATGGCGTGGCAATTGACGAGCGTAAGACGCTCCAAGCGATCGCACAGGGAGAGGCGGGAGAAGAGAACGTCTGAAAGCTCGGCACCGAGAAAGATGAAATTCAAACGGCGGATGAAGCTGGCGTACGTAAACGTCTGATCTTGCCGGCAGATTACGCGCATGACCTTTACGAGTGTGGATAATCGGGAGAAGCTGGGTCTATGCCAAAGCAGCTCGACGGAACATTCGCACCATGAGCGAGAAACGAGGAGGGCGTGATAGATATCCCGGGCTGAGTGGAGGTGTTTGAGGATCTGGATAAGAACTTCGGGAGGTAGATGAGACATGGAGGATGTGGAAGAGGATGAGCTGTTGGGAAGCCGTTGCAGGCGGGATGACCACTGGTGGGCGGGTGAGACTGCAACGGCGTTAGAACCTGGAAAGAAAAGTGACTTGTTGGCGTCGTCATCGTCATTTTCGGAGAGAGAGGTGGTAGACTGGGAGGGAGATTGTGAGGAGTAAATGGGCTTGGACGACCTCAGTGGTGCCATCGTTGCCTGCCGATCGAACGGAGGGAGGGACGGAGGAGTCGAGGATGCTGACAGTTGGGTACGGGACAACGAATTCAAGTCCGTCACACTAAGCGACAGCCTGTGTTGGCACTCGCAGCTGCGAATAAATTCCCTTCTTTGGTCAGGCCGCTTGGAGGCCTCGATGTCACCTGTGGCACATATCACGCACAGATCGCCCTTTTGTGGTCGTGCGCCCCACACTGGCGCCTGCTCCTTCCGCCCAACCCACATCGGTTCATGATATCCTCGAGAGACAAGGCTACCGGCCATACCATCTTCCCCTTCTCTCTATCAGAGCACCAGTCATCTCGTGACTCTTCTCACAGTCTCTTTCGAATCAGACGCAAAGCGATCGGCAAAAGAGCGTCCACTTCCGTGGAAAACACACCACAACATGAGCCCACACCATTGCCAGACCTACCTCCCCCAGGGCCGGAACATTATGCCGCACGACGAGCTCGCTGGCTAACCCCGTCGAAGCAGGCCCGTCGTAATCACTCATCGACATCTTACCAGAAACTCGAGAAACTCCTCGCTCGGCCCGGAGCAGCACAGAGTCCTGAAGTATGGAAAGGCGGAGTGGAGAAGGTCTGGAAGTGCCTAGTAGCAGGAGGACGACTCAAGCGGAGCCTGCCTATGCCACTGGTGGTCAGTCCCTTTCATCCGTGTATCTAGTTGGGCCCGATGAAGCAGCACGCTAGATCAAAATCATCCATGCTGGTTGGCTGCGGGACCCGGAAACTTGGCCGGCAGGTGCTGTCGCACCAGACTCCGACAATGAACAAAATCCAGACACAACCCAGCATAAGTCAGGAGAAACGTCTGCATTATACCCAAACCTGTAATTGTTACCCGTCCGTAAGATACGTGTTCACGTCAAGGCTCCTCAAAGTATGCGTTCATCGCGCGCGTGTCTTCGAGAACGAAGCTTATATCTGATGATCCAATTGTACGATAGCTTTTGTATGTATATGTCATTGACCTACAAGTTAGCAAAGTAAGCAGGTAGCCCCAAACTATGCTGAAGATGCTTCCAACCATCGTCAGGATGATTTTTGTGTTTGCTGTGATCACAAATGCACAAATTCTGTGCCGAAAATCATACAGTAACGGACAGTATGATGCTCTACTCAGGGTAAATCAGGTGCGAGAAGGAGGTGAAACCTGAAAGCGGGTCAAATTGGTGAAGAGCATAGGATGCAGTTTTAATCTACCAGGATGACACCGTCCCCTCGCACAAAGAGCATATTCATTTTTCGCTTGGCCACCTGCGTTCGCTGTGTTAGCAGGAGCGTTTCGGGCCAATAGTCAGAGAAAGTTGACCTTGACTGTGCCTTCGCTATTCGGGGAACCTTCAATCGGGTCAACGATCATGATTGTTTCTTCCACATCGCTCAAAATCAGGTTCATGTGGCCATCGTATGCCTAACATGTCGTATGACTAGGGAAGTACGTTCGGAAACCTGCAACATACGTGTAATATGCCCACAACTTCACGGTCGCCTCTTAATTTGACGAAAACGCGTTCACTGAGGGAGAGGCGGATGAGATCGAAGGGCTCCTGGATCCCTGACGCGTTAGAATCCATGGCGGTGAGGGACAGGGAGAGATTAGGTAAGCAACCTTTCGATCGGGTTGTCTCTACAAGTTTGAACTCAGCGCCTCGCCAGCTTCGTCTGTCCCAACTCATTCGACCATGCCTGTAAGTCCCTTCACCAGCTTATACTACTCAAGCATGCTGATATTGGGAATAGAAACACTACTGTGACTATTGCGATGTCTTTCTGACTCACGACTCTGCCTCTGGTAGGTAGTCAAAGCGCGACTAGCTTTCACATCACTCAGCTCGAATTTCAGTACGCAAGGCACACAACAGTGGACGTAACCACCTTGCTAACGTCCGGGATTACTATGCGTGTGAGTAGCTTATCTTATACCACGATTGCCGACTACTCAACAGATATCCACGCCAGCGCTGGGTCACGATAAGGCTCAAAGCATCATTGACCAAATTACAGCTGCTTACGAAAGTGGAGGTGGCCCCCCTCCTGGAGGCTTTGGCTTCGGTCCTCAGCATCTGGGGCCCGCTATGCCACCGTTTCCTGGTCCTCCGGGTGGATTTAATGGACCACCAGGTGGTTACGGAGGACGTGAGTACATCGTCCAACTTGAATGAGTCTCTTGTGATACTCACTACTTTCAGCTCGGCCGCCTTTCCCTCCAGGCCCGGGAGGTTCCATGCCACCGCCTGGCATGATGCCTTCCGGTGGTGCGCCTCCCTTCCCACCCGGTGGCATGCCTCCTCCGGGGATGGCTCCTCCGGGCGGATTCCCTCCTGGTGGTAGGATCACCTAGTCATATGCTTTGCAGGTTCATGTCGCTCATAGCCACGCAGGCCCCCCTCCCTTTGCTCCCAATGGTCCTTCCGGTGGTCCTCCATTCTCTCCCGCTAACTTTGGTCCTGGTCCCAATGGGCCACCCAACGGGCCCCCCTCTCAAATGCCTCCCCCCCACAATGGACCTGATGGCAACCCAGGCGCCGGGGGCATCCACCCAGATAGGTTGCGCATGATGGGCAGCCGGTAAATTGATGTTTGTCGGCATACACTGACGCTCAATGTAGCCTTAATGTCGGGTATGTTATGCGCGTTGGTACGTATATGCAAGTAAGGTTAATACAGTCTTGTGTTTCATTACCCCCGGTCGTGTAAGACATGCTTTCTGCTAATCAAGATATATGATTGGCTTCTCGGACTATGGTTGGGCAGGTTTACTTTATTGCGGGTTGCTCGAGCTGTATGGCGAGAATTATTATCTCGACACCCCATGCTACACGAGTTGATATCGTGTCCTACGAGTCGAAGCGAAGTGGATCCGCACGGCAGTACAATAAGCTCGAACTGTGAGGACAAGGAGCGGCCAGAAGGTAAAACCGGCATCTATACGTAGATCCGACGCACGTTCCTTAAAGTCCAGTTGACGAAAGGAACTAAGTGTGCATCCCGGCACGAGGGCTCCTATGTTCACTTGACTCCGTCTTATTAAGTCTTATTGTATCCTCCGTCCTCTGCACCTTCAAAGACTGTCTCCACTGTCTTCGATGTCAACTCAGCCCCTCCTCCAGCGCACTGCCTCGAAACGCATCGCGCTTCCCGTACGCGTCGAGCCTAAGGTCTCCTTCGCCAACGAGCGCACATTCCTATCATGGCTCCACTTCACAGTCGTCCTCGGTGGTCTTGCCGTTGGACTGCTTAATTTCGGTGACAAAGTATGAGACAATACACCTTTTCTCCTTTCTAGATAACAACTAAATAATAGCTATGATAGGTTGGCAAGATCAGTGCAGCAATGTTCTCGGTGGTCGGTGAGCACCACGTCTAGGTCGTAGGCACACACATTGGAGCTGACCCGTCTTACAGCGATGTCAATCATGATCTATGCCCTCTATACATATCATTGGCGAGCTGCCTCCATTCGCAAAGGCGGCCGCGGGCCTTATGATGACCGCCTCGGGCCTGTGAGTGTTTATTCCAGGTCTTTCACGCTCCAGCATCTCACGGCCTATATTCAGACACTCCTCTGTGTTGCTCTCCTCAGTATGTCGACCAAATCCCCTAATATCGTGATTCTGAACTCTTCTTTCAGTTGCCATCATTGTCAACTTCATCCTCAGGTTCACAGAGGGCTAGAAAGATACAAATTTCTGGGAACGCTCTGTTTCAACCCTGTCTCTCACCGTGTCTCACTGAGTACTTGCGTCTCCGGTAGTTACATATCGAAGGAGCAATTCAGCCTCGCTTTTGTCGTTTGGTTCCTGCTCTGGTTGACAAGGAGGCGGAGGTGTCGATTGAAGACACTGAGAGCGAGCGACGGTTCTAATGGTGAAAGGTCATTGAATGAACTGGATACACGGCATGTACACCTGCCTTGTTGCGACCTCTGCCACTTTTTGTGCTCACCACGCTCTGAGACCTTCCACCCTCCGCGTCCTCTCCATGGGTGTCATCTACGTCCATAGAAGCCTCGTCAGCCTCGCCGCTCTGGCGAATACCCATTCTCTGCTTAGCCACTTTGATATCTTGGTCGAGTTTATCTACAAGTCGCTTCGTCTCCAGTAACGAGGTAGTTGTTTCGATCAAAGACTCAAGCTGCAAACTGTTTTCGCGTGTTGGCATCACGAGACGGGCGTAGGTGATGTTAAGTTCGATCAAAGTCTGGTTGACCTTGGGCGCTATAGCAGCCTTTGGAGCTGGCAGCTTGTATGAACGTAAATGGGCGGCTGTATGTGATTTGTTCGCGGAGCTGGCTGATAACTCAACCCTGGTGATACAATGCTGGGAGTCTTTAAGAGAGTGAGAGGTAGAAGGGGTATGTCACAATCAAAAACGAACCATGCGCAGCTGACTTGACCGGTTGCGCGCGTTTGGGAATCGGTGGACCCAGTGAGATGACATTTGGTGAAGTCGGCGTTTCAACCTCGGCCAGACCCTTCTTCTTCTTCTTGGTGTCGATTGAGAGACTGCTAAGATTATCTTCGTCAGGGATGACATCCGGTAGGCCTGAGGATATGCCAAGTAAAGTTCTAAGGAGGTCGTCCCTATCCTTCTTGAACCGTCTCTCGTTCTGTTCCAGCCGTTTGAGCTCTATGAATAAAGCTTCTTCCTCTGCAATTTCCTCTTGTGTACGCTCATCAAGGCTTTCGAGGTATTTCTTGCGCATCGTCTCTTTATCTGTGTGAAATAAGTCTGCCAGCCCGTGCGGTAGAGCTTCTTTAGTCAATATGCACTGCACCTTTGTCGAACTCGAAAGTGACCAATAACTGAGACTTGGTAGTCTCATCACCAGACCAAGGCCTTTTGCGCACAAGTTTTCGGCAGATGCTGTAATATCTATCTTTGATGTCCTGAAAAGATGTGACACTGACATGTTCAGCAGTTGCGCAGCGTACGCACCTCCAGGGATCGAGCGGATCCACCAGGATACTCATACCTGTCGTGAACTACATACCACCGGGTTTCGTACTCCTTTACCAGGGCAAACAGATAATCTGTCTCTTCCTTTGTCCAGTTGTCATCTGACGTATGTGTAGTCCCAGCGAATTAGCAAGCAGCAATAAGACTTACCTTGCAATAGCTCTGTGTACTCGTCCAGCGTGTAAGTGTAAATGATCGTGTCAACGTTGTACTTTGCAAAAGAGTAACCTGGACGGGATGAGACTAAATGCGTCGAGCGGGCAGGCATACTGTTACCGTCATCAATATCCGAGCTCTGCTTTACCCAATGGCAAAGTTGTAGAGAGTCACTCCTGGCTTCGTTCTTGAAAGGCCGCCATTCCCTGAGGGAATCGACATTGATTTGATCACAGTACTAAGCTGGCAGCGTACCACTTGGTGTTAGTCGTTGTTCCTAAGTTCGGTTTCTGTTTGAGGCGAGGCTTGGCAAGCTGAGCAGCGAGGGAGGGTGCTGAGGGGCCGATAAGCGCGAAGAGCTCTCTGGAGATGCCCTCGGGCTTCTTGGTGGACGTTCCAGCGGGCTTCTTGACAGGCGGCTGAGATGTCGGCCCGGGATTCGAGGGGCCCGGAAGAGATAAGGCACTGCGAATGTCCGAGGCGGAAACAGCCATGAGCACGTCGATACGAAGTAAGTCAAGTACGAAGCTTAAGAAAGTGCCAGTCCAAGTCGGTCAATAATGTGGTAGTACAGGTCCAAGGTCAGCAATTGCCAATTGCCTAATTGCCGCGGCGCGGCACGTGGCCTATACACGTCTCGGCGTTTTTACTTATGGGGATACGCACGTGAGCACGATCAGCCCCAATTTCATGACGCTGACAAGACGCTGATCGGTTGTATATGCTTTTATGATCAGTGCATATATACTTGATGCATCGTATAGGTAGCCCTAGGTAGCCACAACAACTATGCTTACCTTTCCTCCTATTCCTGGTCGGTTTCCCGTCGGCATCACAACTTTCGCTGCACCGCTAGCCACTGAGGTCTTTGGAAACTCTAAAATCATACTTGAGGGTGAACGCAAACATGCTCTCATTTCCGACGAACTCATCTTCACCGCATATTATCCTACTTCGCCGGACGGCGCACAGAAGAAGGGCTATCACTGGCTGTTAAGGTAAGTAAACTTCACGCATTACTCATGCAGACCTAACTGAGGTGATCAGGCCAGTTGCCGATTCTCTTCGCGGATATGCGCATTTTTCTGGTGTTCCCTCGTGGATGGTCTGGCCGATTCTGAACTTCTATGGTGCCCATATTAAGGTGAGCAGTGGGCAGGCCACAACTCACTTAATGTCTTCTTCCCTCTTGTCAGATTCCAGCATTTAAAAATGCACCGCTTCGAGAACCAGAGACAAACGCCTCTGGGGAGAAGACACCTTGGCCTTTGACCATCTTCTCGCATGGACTAGGAGGTAGCCGTACCGCGTACAGGTAAGCTCATTTGTCTCTACCTATCCGCACTGCACTCAAAATCGAACAGTCAAATATGTTGCAGACTGGCCGCTACGGGCCGCGTGGTGCTAGCCATCGAACATCGAGACGGTTCAGGTCACGTATGCGTGTCCCGTCGATCTCCGCCACTACTATATATCAAGACTTCGCAACTTCTGTGAGACGAATGTTTAAAGCTTCTCAATGTACCAGAACTGTACTGATGTATACCAGCTGGGATGAAGGTGTTGACGAGGACATCTTTTCCTTCCGCAACGACCAGCTGAGGCTTAGAAGGCGAGAAATCTACGCTACCTATGATGCCTTCAGGCACTTGGTTGAGAAAGGACATGATGAATCAGACGATCTTCAAGTCATTGATAGGTCGAGTATTAATTGGAAGAGTTGGTCAGCAACTCCAAACATCATAGCAGTGCAGTGTAACCAAGACGTACTTATGGCAGCCCACTCTTACGGCGGTGCTACGACGGTGTGTCGCTTCCTGAATGCAACACAAATATCTTATTACAATTTCTTCCTTAGTTCACTCTGCTTGCTGACATGGCTTCCTCTCAACCGCGCATCCCAATCACCAGCGCGTTAGTTTTAGACCCATGGGTAGAGCCTTTGGCTAAAGACCTACTGGACATATCTTTTACCATGAATGAGCCACCTCGACTACTAATCGTCAATTCGGAAGCCTTCACTCTCTGGAAAGACAACTTCAGCAAACTCGAATACATGCTTGATAGATGGGCGCCTGAACGAAAGCATCTGCTGACTATTGGTGGGCTTGTCTTTGTTTGCTCTGTTGAGGCATTGTGTGACTGACGTTTCCTAGTACGTGGCGTACATATTTCTTTCTCTGATTTTCCTCTGCTACCTTTCTTTGCGAGGAATAAGGCTCGCCAGTTAATGGACTTAATTTGGACACTTTCGCATTCGTTCATAGACAATAAACTGGAAGGCAAGTTAGAGGAGTTATCGACTCGCGGAATGAAAGTGAAGATCGTAGGCAAGAAGAAGGATGGGAAGCCCAAGAGAGAGCTGATCGGAGGTTTGGGCGATGTCGTCGTACACTGACCCCCCCGAACCTCCTCAGATCTCTCGCATGACTATCTGCGGGGTACATCTAGGTCGATCATCATTTCTGAGACGCGCGCTGCAGAACACACGGAGGGCCACTTACATACCATTCACTTCGCACTACAACTAATGCAGATCATACATGTGTAGGCAGTATCATTATTGCGAACTGTACGTGCACGTTACATGTCCGTATATGAGCGACCAGTACTTCGATCGGAATTCGTTGTGCTAATTGCATACGGTATATATATACTGCTCAAGTTAACTAACCGATTGCGAGCTGAAGACAATTCTGCAGGATGAATATTGCGATCGTTGATGTGAACGTGTAGTTGATTAACAAATGTTGCTTACTCGATGCCCAGCCCAGCTGAATATGTGGCTGGTTTCCTGTGAACCTTTTGAACTCCGGAGCTGTCTCAGAGCTCAACGTTAACATTCAACGAATCCTTCTTGCTTCTTTCCCTGTCACACTGTCCTCCAGTATTGTCACTTGCTCGAAGTCAAGCTATACAGTTCTATGGACAGTCATTTCAACGATGCCGCGGTACTGAAGTACCTAGATCTTCCTGCGGAATACGACCCACAACCAAGCATATTGCCAATAAGCTTTTTGCGTCAACATCTTCCCCAGCTACCCCCACATCTCGCATGTCAGTTTTCTTCTATCACAACACCGAAGCAGCGAACAACAGTGTCTCTGATACGAAATCGACGGTTGAAGTATACCAAAACTGCACCGAACCAGCTAAGTTTCTCCTTTGCCAAACAGAGATGGCCGACCCTATGGCAAGGCGGGGGCCTGATTGGCCGTGAACAAGGCGAAGAAGAGAGAAGGTGGGGGGAAAGCCACTTCATGGAAGGGAGGCAGCAACAGATTCAAAAACTGGGAAACTTGCTAGGAGCCTACGAGGAGGAGCGAGAGGCAGAACGTGTCCGGGTGGCCAGGCGAGCAAAAGCCGAGGAAGAATTCATCCCGGAGGAAGATGAGGATAGTTGCAGTGATCCTGAGCCAGACAACTTGCTTCCTGGTGAAGACGAAACCCCGGATGAGGTTCAGGCCGCGTTTGAGCGGTTGATCAAAGAACGATTCATTTATGGCTTGATAGATGTGAGCACCAATTCTAATATCTGTGGATCATCTCTCCAATTTAGGGATAGGGGGCCAACTATGATATATCAGATTGGAATGAAGAGTTTGACGAGGAAGAAGATCGGGAGGCCGAAGAAAAGTGGTTTGACGAAGAGGATGAATGAAGGTCAGAGCAAGACACAATGGTCCATAGTCTGCATAAACGGAAACTCGTCGGAGCTGTTGGGCGCAGTGTGGACCGGCATGCCGGCCGTAAATTTTCCTCTTTTCAATATGTATCTTGTGTCTGCCCTCATCCATCACGTCGACCCACCCTAAATATCCTGTCCACACCGATGGCCCAGAGCGTCAGTCTCTCATCCGACATTCAACGCGCCTTGCAACAAGCCATTGGTGAGGCCAATAATGCATACTCAGAAACCCATCCCGAGAAAAAGAAGAAGAAGCGACGTCTGTCCAGTGACCCTGAGGCCAATGCGGGAGTAAGGGAGAAGAAACGGAAGGGAAGTGGAGTCACCCAAGAGGATCTTCCTGCTTCATCTACGGAGTCAACACCAGATAACAAGAAGAGCAAGAAAAAGAAGTATGGTGGCAAGGGCAAAGAACGTGCAGCGGACGATGTTGCTCAGGAGTCACAAGCAAGCGAACTGCGCGATGCGTCTGTCAGTGATGGCCACCAAGCATCATCCGCCGCATTCCTCTCAGCTGTGCTTGCAGCAGCCTCTGCCACATCTGACTCTCAAACTGTAGAACACCCATCGTATGATTCAAACATGCAGCCTCAACCTGCGATGCCCGATGCCCAGCAGGTACCACCTTACATGATGTACTCCCAGCTACCATGCCCTTATCCTGATCCAAACGCGTCTTACGCGTCTTCGGCGACTCATCCACAAAACCTCTTTCCTTCACTTGGCCTTCCCATTCCCGACTTTCATATGGCCTCTCACGATGATATCTTACGCGTTTTGCAAGAGGTCGATGTCTCCAAGATCGCCAACGTGTTGAAAACGTTAGGCGATGCTGCTGCAGCTGCGAATATCCCTATGAATGGTGCGCACCCTTACATCGCGCCAGCGAGGCCAGGTTCTTCTCAGATGGGCCCGCCCCCGGGGAATCTGGCAGCAGTCCTCAGCACTGCTGCGGCCAAACCCGCCAAACCCTCTCATAAACGCGTTCTCAACATGAGTTTGCCCGGCCCTGAGCACGCTGCGAACCCTGATCATGCCCATATGCTGGCGAATAAATGGATGAATGCCAGCAAGCTGGCAGAACTCGTCAAAACAGAAGGCAAGTCCCGCTCTCTGTAATCGAGTTGTTGCTCACTTGTTACAGGTCTTGTGTATAAGAAAGGCAAATTCTCGGCGATAGAAGAGCAACAAGTCAAAGCTGCCATTGAGAATTACAGAAACGTGGGGATGGTCTTCTGTCCTATTCACCACGCCTAAATTGTTGCATCTACAGAGTCGCGGAATGAACGATGAGCAGATCTTGGAAATTATTTTTCAGAAAAACGAAAAGATGAAAGACAATGTCTTTTGGTCGGAAATCAGTGAATGATTCTCATTCTTCTTAACCTCTATGTGCTCAAGCTATCAACATAGCATCGTCAGTCCCTCAGCGGCCTATCATAGCTGTTTACCACTACGTGCGAAGAGCGTATCACCCGAAGAAACACCAGGGAAAATGGTCTCCAGAAGAGGATGGTCTCCTGAAACAGTACGTCTTCTAACTGCGTCTATCGAACAAGTTGTACGAACTGGGTTTTAGAGCAGTGACAGACTTAGGGCAACAGTGGGAGAAAGTTGGCGAAGTAGTTGGTCGCATGTCTTCTGACTGTCGCGATCGGTACCGAAACCACATTGCTCATCGAGACATTCGGGTCAGCGGCCCTTGGACCAAGGAGGAAGAAGACGAGCTCACGAAAATTGTCACTGAGATGACGGTGCACCAAGGCAAAGATATTGATAATGACGTTTTTTGGGGCGTTGTCAGTGAAAAAATGGGCAACAAACGAGGCCGCCAACAATGTCGTATCAAATGGTACCCCCCAAAATAACCTACAAACGAGGTTCTATGTCATGACTTGCAATTACAGGACCGATGCGTTGAGCAAGACAGTCAAGAATGAAGGGCAGCGACCTCGATGGAGTCCAAAGGATGCCTATATTCTCGTCCACAAGTGAGTAACAGTGTCAAGTAATTCGTCTGACTAACGCGATGATTCAGAGTTGATTCTCTCAATGTTCGCGACGATACAGAGATAGATTGGAAGACGCTGTCGGATCCAGACTGGAATCTATGGAGCGCACATTCTTTGCAACGACGTTGGCTTACGATGAAGAGAGGGATTAAAGGATTTGAGGACATGACACACCAAGGTGATTTTAGTGTTAAATGATACAAAACGTATCTCACTGGATCTTTTTGACAGAAATCATGGATATTCTCCGAGTTAAGAAGGCTCATCTTCCTCCTTCGTCTGCCTCTTCACGGAAACGCAAGGTCATCAGTGCACCCAACATTGACGATGGAGATACAAACGGTGGTGATCAGACCAGCGTGGCGGGCGGCAGTGAGGCGGGTCCTAGCACATCCCGGAGGGGGACTGGTGGCGACCACGGAGACTCATCGTCAGACTCGGAGTAACAAAAAGTTTTAATAATGTCGGCATATGCTGCATGGATTTCAATACGAGTAACATTTTGCGAATTACATCAGAAGCCTCAAGGTTCCACGTTTACCCTTCCAGAGCCTCGTTTCGTTAAGGTTGTCTTTCTAAGAGTAAACGTCACATACGCAAGTGTGAGGCCAACAACGCTGTGCTATTCCTCAACCCCCGACCTCGAGCAGCAGCGAAACTTATGCACACACAGCTCAGCAGAAAGCCTGCAAACCTATTTCGTTGGGAATCAGCGATGAGCATAAACCACACGAGTGAAACAATACCTGAAGAATGCTATCCTAGAAATCGACCTCTCCTCGTGAGGCGTCCGAGAAGAGGCGAAGATAGAGCGAAGGACTGCAGGCGTTACAGGTATGCGCCTTGTGCTTGATTGGTCTTGTTGACCTCTCTCAACACTGTGCAAATGCGTTCTTGTATTGCTCGGCGTCACTGTTGCTGAGCTTCTAGACGAGATCGAGGTCATAGTTAGAATACAAAGGGCAGTTTGTATTGACACCGGGAGGTACCGCGGGATTCAGCTGTGCCTAGCCATGCATAGGCTTGTCCGCATCTCAACATTTCAATATAATGTTCACCACCTTTCCTCGTCCTAACGTCATTCTCGTTCGACACTACTGTTAGGTACACTCCTGCTCAATCTTCCAGCTGGCCACATGGAGATCATCTTTGAGTCACCCGAGCATAGAAGGCTGGTTGACAGGCTCCCCTTCACCGAAACTGAGCGCCGCCACGTCCGTCACCTGGTCCTCCGCACAAGGAATTCCAAGATAAGAGACGAACAAGTAGCTAATGAAATCCTGTTCTGCCGGTCTCTGGAGTCGGTAGTGTTATCTGGAGTACCGGACACCTCGGATAAAACGGTGACCATGCTCGCGCAGTCGGCCCCAAAACTCAGGGGCTTAAACTTGGCAGGTTGTAGGTTTGTGACAGACATTTCTGTCGCCGAACTTGTCAGCAGAACACCTCCCATTGAATGGCTACACCTTAGCAGAGTGGTCTTAAATGACAGCACTGTGTCGGCTGTTGCAAGGACTTTCTCCCGTCTCGTCGAGCTCGAACTTAACGATAATCCCTTGCTAACGGCAATTTCTGTCCGCGACATCTGGTCATTCTCCAGAAAGCTGCGAACACTGAAGCTGGCACGATGTAACATGCTAACGGATCAGGCTTTTCCTTCACCCTACCACGAGGATTACAAAGGCCCTAGACAAGATGATGAAAAACCACTCCCGCATCGTCCATCCACTTGGCTAGATCAGATGCCTCCTCTCATTCTGAGATACAGTGCCATTGAATTGCGGGTGTTGGACATCAGCTACTGTAGCCAGGTTACCGATGAGGCGGTTGCAGGGATTGTGTTCCATGCACGCCTTCTTCATACCCTCATTCTAGCCGGTTGTTCCAAGCTCACTGACCGAGCTGTGGAAAGCATCTGCATCTTACATACACACCTGGTAGTGCTCGATCTCTCGCACATTCCGAACCTGACGGACTATGCCATCACCAAACTGGTGCGGGCGTGCACCAGCTTGCAGCATGTCGACGTTGCGTGTGAGGAGTTTTGCTTGATGACCACTCCTTTGATGCACTGAATAGTTCCATTTTGCAGTCTGCCGTTATCTCACAGACATGGCTGTTTTCGAGTTAGCTGGCTTGGAGCGACTCCACCGACTAAGCGTTATCCGCGTGCATAAGATTACAGACAATGCCATTTACTTCCTGGCCGATCATGCGAAGTCGCTGCAACGGCTTCATATCTCCTATTGCGACCGAATCTCGCTGAAGTCTCTCCATCACTTGCTTCGGGGCATACCTTGTTTACAGCATCTCACTACCACCGGCGTACCGTCAACTCGGAGAAGGGGCGTCAGTCGATTCTCAGAGGCTCCTTCCGAGGTACGACCCTGCGTAGCCCTGTTTCTTTGGCCTGGCTTATCATTCTTTGTAGGAACTTGAACCAGACCAGCAGGCCGTCTATCGTGTTTTTACAGGAAGCAATATCGGTGCTCTATGCGCCTTCTTGGACAAAGAGACTCAACGCCGACGAGAATCTGAGGCTCGAAACATACCTTTCATGGCTCGATCAGATGACGACATGGGGCTTTACTAGACGTCATCAGATTGAAAGCGCTGTCAATGGCAGCAATAGCTATCAAGTCCTTTGATTGTCATGTGCCGAAATTACGGTTCAGTATTCTGAACGCGGAGTCCTGTTCGCTGGTAGTGGTTGACATGGTGGGGTTGGATGATGCAATGGTCTGAGGATTGGATTCGGATCTATTCGGGTATGTATGATGGGGTATTCCCATTAGGCGTCGACGTGTTGTATTCTAGCATTTTCTTGATAAGAGTTTGTGTGGAGTTTGTTACCTTCATGTCTTCTTACTCACAAAGCGTGGATCCCTAAATTGAACCACTCTCCATCTTGGTACAGGGGCTCTTCGTATAAATTATCTTCAGGAGACGGCAAGATATGCAAGGCTGCAATTTGCACGGCTGGCCTGCTGATCCGGTGAAGAAACTTGAAGTCTGCCGAATGTTATTTACCGGCCAGTATCCTCAGTGAAGGCTCCGGCCCTTGACTTCCAAGTAAACCGACTGCGGGATCGTGGGATGGGTTGATGGGATATGATCCAACACTGACCGCACCGAAGCGGAGTTCATGATTCGACGGGGGCGACTACCCTGATAGTGCTGGCTTGACATTAGAACTTTGCCATGTGCAGCAGCAGCTTTTGTGTCAGGAAGCGGTAGCGCCAGTGGCGAAAACCTGCATCAAGCTTCAAAGATGAGGTTAACACCTGTTAACACCTGTTAACACCTGTGAATGTTAGAAGATAGATGAGGGCTGGAACAAGATCCATGCGCAACAGGACACAGAATGTGAGCTTGCTCATCGGCCGCGTGGATGAACTCTGAGCGCTTGACCGCATGAACAAGGGAAAAAGAGCTGATATTATTAAGACTGAGCGGGATTGTAAAGATATTAATGATGCACCCATTCAATCAGCTGCGTCAACGTTCTGCAGATGCCAGACATGATGAGTGTGTGTGATCACGATGGCAAGTCCTGTATACAGCTGCTCACCGCAAGCTGCTGCCGCGGCGTCAGAAGGAGGCTGGACGAGAGGAACGTTCGTGCTGTTACGGCAGAAGGTTTGCACTGGTGACTGCACTAACCTTACTGAAAGACCGACATTATTGAACGGTGGAACACAGTGACCGAGTGGACGTCCGGACGCGTCTGTGGCGGGAAATGAAGTCATAATTATAGCTGTTCGGCTGAGAAGTTGATTTGATCTCCGACAGATCTTAGGAGAGCATCGGGAGTGCGCGTTGTAAGATAAGGCAAGATTATCTCGTCTCGGACACTGTAAATATTGTGACATTACGCACCAACCCGTTCATTTGGCTCCGAACCATCCACTGGTGGGTTGCATCAACCTCTAGCTGCACTGGTCCGGGAGCATACTCCTTGTCTCGCCTATGCTCCCCGGTGCGGCTTCTCTTCTCGACCTTCTGTCTCATCCCCGCCCTTGAATTCGAACTTGGTCATCGCACGCAGGCCGGGTAACACCGCTACATATTCCACCCCTCTCCCCCCTCTCTGTCCCGACGCACACGTCGGTCCTGTTGCCTCGACCGCAACCTTGGTTTCCAGATTATTTGTGCACACCTGATTCAGCCCAGCTGTACGCATTCTTCGAACACGTCCACGCTACACGCGTTGTATTCGCAGCGACTGCACAGCGCTCAGTATTATTTCGGAATCCTTCTGTGTTTACCTAGCCCGCCATGATGGACATGCATATGGACATGTTGCCTTCCCAGATAGCCCATTCACTATCGCGTTCAGGAAACTCATACGATGACAATCCCTCACCTAGGCCTTTACTGGAACGTCGCTCGCTTCCCCGAGACAACGAACCTCTTACCATTCCGGTCGACAAGGTCCTCGCTCTCACCGACGAGGTTGCACAAACCCTGTCCACCGCTCACCCTCCACCATCTAGCCGGTCACCATTATCTCATCGTCCCTTTGCTCCACTGACGCCCATTCTCGCTTCACCCCTCACAACACCTGCCACGAGCGTTTCCGCCAATGCATCGAGCGCTGGTTCGGAAGTGCCCTCACCAAAGTATGCTGCAGCTGCTTCCGATGCAGACTACCTAAATCCCAGTGGCCGTCCTGATGCAACTTTACCTCGCTCACATAGTAGACCATGGGTGACTCCTACGTGGACGTCAACGCCTCCCACACCACCTCCAAAAGAAAGTGATGAGCCGTCGGACCCTCCGACTCAGCTCCGGCCTTCTATTGTTCCATCCAATTCTCTTCCTGAGACCAAATATCCAGCTGTGTCGAGCTCCAGGATGCACAGGCGCGCGTCCCTACCTCCTATGTCAACACTCAAGCCCCTGCCACCCACACCTCCGGCCCCTTCCTCTACCGGCGTCCAGATGCCTCTTCCCCGCAGGAAACCAACGTTGACTCGCGTTGCGAGCCCTTTGAGATCTGTGTTATCTGGGGAAAGAGCAGAGCCCCTGGATGTGAATGACCTCGTCAAGGATTTGCCTCCCCTTCCTTCCGCACGGACCAAACCCCTGTTTCATTTCTCTCAGGATGAGTTGGACAAGGATGAAGATGAAGATGGAGATGAATCTAACTATGTGACTCCGTTTTCGTCGGATATGGTCATGGTCATGGTCTCAGAACCCGTTTTGTCTGACGCCGTCCCACCATCGTCTTTTACATTCCAGCAAGGGCAACATGGATTGGGAAAAGAGTCTTCAAAGCGCTTTCACAGTTTGGTAGAACTTCTGTCAACCGAAGTAGGATATCTGTTAGACCTGAAGATACTGGTTGTACGTAACCAGCCAATATTTTCGATATGTTTATAACTCTCACCGCTCTTTCAGGGATACCTTCGAGTTTTACCTACGATGGTTGTTCAGAGTGGGGCTTCCCACTCGAACACATCCTCAAGCCACAGTATTGCCCCCTTCTCTCGAACCGGTTCTTCTGCCATTATGATACCATCGACAGCCCCGAGTCGTGCCAACTCCGCTAGCCAACTAGCGACCGACATCATCACACCACATCCAACGATTTCTTTGGCACCTCCTTCCTACGCAAGGCCGCCTCGACATATCTTCTCGGCTTCTGACGTGGATGTGGTGACTAGAAATGCCGAAGACCTTCTGAAGTTTCATGAGCACTTTGTGGGAGAACTGAAGACAGCATTGTCTCCGCTCGGCCTGGGCCACGCTCTGTCAGCCCAGGTGAACGGAGCCACCAATGAGCAGCTATGCTCCGAGATGACCCCAACACCGGAAGAGCTCGACGAAGCCATCCAAGCTGTCTGTCGAAAGTTCATGCAGAAGGTATGTATGTTTATACATCATCAAACTTCTGGCTAAGCACCATCAAAGACAACATCATTCGAACTTTACAGGACGTTCTGCTCGGGGCATTCAACTGCTGCAGATATCGTGCGCAATGCTCGGCAGTCATACCCTGCTGAATGGGAGGGCTTTGAGCAGAAGAGTGCGCTCACAGCAGCAGAACTGCGCATACTCATCTCGGAAAAGCCTGAGGTGGTGCTCAACCCGGATCCACCTGCAGAACCAGGTTTAGGTGGCCCTGGTTTACCCGCACGAACGAAACGCCGTCATTCCATCTCGTGCATTGAATCTCCTACCCAGCAGCGATCTTTGTCAAAGATAAGGTCGAACAGTAACATTCGAAACTTCACAAGCGCGTCTGAGTGTGACCATTCGGCTAAAGACCGTACCGACACACGCCCGCAGCTCAGCTTTCAGGATTATATGATCAAGCCCGTACAGAGACTATGCAAGTATCCGCTTCTGTTGAATCAGCTACAGAAACCTACAGACGGGCTTTTACGCGAGCTCAGCTCGGGTAACACGAATGAGGCCTCGGCTAAATCTGACGTAGACTCAGCCGTGACGGGTGCTTTGCTTGCGATGCGTTCTGTAGCGAGCTCGGTGGATGAAGCGCGTCGTCTCCAGGACCTAGCAACAAGATCCAATGCGGTTGTAACTCGCATACTCTACGGTGCTTCGTGCACGAATGGTTCCAATAATCGTGCTAGAGATATAACCCCCCCATTTCTTACCTCCCTTGGATCATATCATCTCGCGGGCCCGCTAGATGTGGTGCATCACAATCAGCACACAATGACTAGCAATACAATTAGAGCGAAGTACATGGGTGCCTTTCTTTATCGTGGTGGTTACCTCGTTTTGGTCAAGGTTCTTAAACCCAAGGCATACGAACCTCGCCACTGGTTGTCATTGGTGGATTTTGAGATGAGTGACTCTGCGACGGACGAAAGTGAGTTTTCTCCATGTGGCAATTGCATAACCTTTAATAAGCTTGAGCACAGCTATACTGCCTAGCTGGTTTCGCTTGTCGTATCGAGGACATCACTTCGAGTTCGCCGCTTCTTGCCGTCGTGAGAAGGAGATCTGGGTAGATGCAATTAAAGAAGCAGCCTCTGTCCAAGGAAGTTGGGTAGATGAACCTCAATCAAGTTTGCTTCTCAACAGGAAGAATAACCTTGTCACTCTGAGCGACATTGCTCCGGAGGCGATTTCGACTTTTGCAAACGCCAAGCATCCAGAATCCGATAACCCGCAAACCGAAGACAAACCTATGTCCCATATTCAGATACGTCCCAAGGTTTCGCGACAGACCCTCAAATCCGACTCCGTCTCTAAGGACGATCCGTCGGCGGCAAGAGCGCCGAGCCGTCGTTCTTCAACATTATCCACCAAATCATTCTTTAACAGCTCCCCAGATGCAATTGACACCATCCATCTCGTTCGTTCTACAGCATCAGCGCGCGACTACGTGAATCGTTGTTTGTCGGATGTCACCTCCAGCAGCTGCATTAAGGCTCGCCTTCATGCTTATACCCATGAGGAGGAACTCTTCCCAGCACAGCGTATAACGCGTTCGTTCTCAAAGTCGAGCACCGGCCTGGCCATGGCAAATGCCGTTGGTGTTGCGGCAAGGAACAAGTTGACCAAGCGAGAGAGCGTTCTTGTCCCTCGCAGAAGGAGTGTAACAGACCACGGGGTGTATGGAGAGCCCGAGGCACTTTCCAATATCACAAACATCCCTACGATCATCGGTCATCAGAGACGTGGAAATAAGCTAAGAATAGTTTCCATGCCTAGGCATGCGTCGTCTGATGACACAGACGATATTCGGGTGGATGCCTTAGTCGATTCGCCCAAACCGATGTCTCAGTGCTCGTCGTCGATGTCTACGCCAGTGTCTCCACTTTGTAGTCCCGGCATTGGCGCCCCCCTTTCCGCCCCTCCGATGTTTACAGACAAATCTCAGGCGAGCATCAATCAACAGGACAGTGGTGCTCGGACTGAGAGACGTCAATCTGTGATCGACAATTTCCGGAGCTTCTTCCACTCCCGCGATATACCCCAAGTCTCTCATAACGCGTCCAATAACGCACGTCGAGATGGCTCTTCGTCTTCAGGCCTTTTCCGGCTTTGGGCTAGAGAGTCACTACGACGACGAGTGAAAAGCGCACCGGAGCCACCAGCAGATGATTTTCGCTCGCAGTCGGAACTGTCCCTTTCTCCCAGCTCTGGTTCTCGAGCAGACGAGGTCGGCTCTGGAAGTCTTCCACCTCGTTCAGAATCTGTCGCGGCCTTCCTTGAACAGCCTCCAGCAGATTCGTCGCGTCGAAGATTCTCGTTTTCGTCGAGCGCCCGCCGACGTTCTCTGATACCCCCTTTAGCCCTTTCAACACGTAGCCGGCGCGATTCCAGCGTCAGTCCTCAACGGAATTCATTTCTCTCCCGTCTCAACTCGATAACACCGAGCTCCTCACTGGGGTCCGGTTAGCATATTTCGATGCATAAATTGCAATTCACGAATCATGACGACATATGTATGATCGACCCGAGGTTCCTGCCTACCTTTTACTTCAATTTTACTTCGTCCTTTTATTTTTTATCGATATCCACACTTTACGCACCTTGCCATTAGCATATTCTAGGAAGACTAAGCTTGGCCTGTAAGCCGTTACACTTCATATACATCATCTGTCCTACATCACTCCCAAGTTAAGCGAGCGTTGTCGGACGTCATCATGATTCAGGGACATAGCCTCTCGGAAGTAAATTAAGGCCGGGTTCCGGATCGAAGACGTCCCTGAATGGATAATAAACGAGGGTACGCGCCGTCACGTGACCGCGTGTATGGTTGAAACAGCGTGTGGGCGGGCAGGCGCCTGTCAAGGGGTAGTGTAGTCATTGTAAACCTTGAAGCTGCTCGGTCCAGCGGACGGCAGTCCCGGCCCCTCTCCCCCTTAACCTGTACACAAGTTGCATGGCAGCTGTCCATGTCCATGGCACTCAGCAGCTCTCCACGTAAAATCGTCCCGCTTGCAACCGGAGATGAGATTCTCCCTAATAAGCGTACAACCCCGGCTGTCATAAAACGCGTCTTTTACTGTGGAGTCGTCGTAGAGGGCGCCGATAATGGGCGTAGACTTCCAGAAGGTGAGCACTCAGAGCCGACCCTGCTCATTGCTAATCTCTTAGACCTTGATCAGATATCCAAGATCTCGTCCTATCCCTCGGAGAACCCATCGTCGGCAATGCGAACAATGCGATCCTCCAGTCGGACTCGGAGCCGTCGTCCCAGCAATCCCAAGTCAGTCTATTCTCTCCACCACTCCGCCACCCTGCCGACGCCGTTTCCCTGCATCTCGCTTTTGATCCGCTACACCGGGGACTATACTAACCTGGATCTCCCAGGATGGCCCGTACCAACGCAAGAGAACTCTCACAGACACTTCCGCCCTGGCCGACGTCGTCAATGAACTTATCAACACCGAGAGATCCTACGTCAAACGTTTGCGCATCCTGAAGAACGACTATGCAGACCCTCTACGGCAGTTCTCAAGGAACAAGAGTACAGCGATCCTGCCCCCGTACGAAGCAAAGACACTCTTTGGCAATATCGATAGTCTCATGCCTGTTAACGAAGCTTTCCTCGCGGACCTGGAGAAAGCCTATGCTAACTCAGGTCTAAAGAACATTGGCGATGTCGCTCTCCATCACTTCAAAGAACTACGCGGGTTTGAGCATTACAAGCAGTACTATGTCAAGCGGGAAGAGGCGCAGTCAATCTTTGAGCGCGAAGTGATGAAGAAGTCCTCAGGGTTTTCTGCGTTTATTGATGTGAGTGCTCGAATGATATGGGATAGCTGCCCCCGATTTGAACCAAATGCGTAGAGAATCAAATATTCTGCTGCTGACACGCGAAATCGAATTGGACTTCGAGAGTTGCTCATGGACCCAGTTCAACGGATACCACGATACACCCTTCTCTTCCGCACTATGATCAAATACATCGCCCCCGATGACCCTCAGAGGGCAAAGCTAGTCGAGGCAGACGAAATCGCGAGCAAGATCGCGCTCGCGGAGACCGACGAGCAGACCAAGCGTGCCGCGATTATGTACAGTTTAGGCGCTACCGTCGATGATTTCCCTCCCGGCCTCATCTCGAATTCTCGGCGGTTCATCGACTGTATTGATGTGGAGGATGTCCTTGACGTGGGCTCTTCTTCTTCAGCGAGCGCTTCTGGTTCACTCCACTGTACACTGTTTCTCTTCGACGACAAGCTCATGATTGCGAAACGCCCTAGCAATGAGAAGAGCGGTAGGGTGCTGGCTGGACTTAGCGAGGTTGACAAGTTAGCAAAATCTGGTGGAATACCATTGGGTGTCAAGAAGAGTGGACTGAGTTGTAAAGGAGTGATAGATCTAGCAGATTTGACCGTAGCTGACGTAGGGGATGCTGGTGAGGCCTTGCGTCATTCCATACTGACAGAGTGTTGATGCTCGATTCGCCAGACTTTCATATGTATTTGGAAGAGTCACCACAAGACCAAGGAGATCGTTGGTCTGGTCGACCGTTCCGATCTTACTCTGTGGAATTCCCTCCTTCTCCTCCCAACCTCGATCCCGTGCGAACCGCAGTTGAGAAACAACGTTTCCTAGAAAACCTTTGGATTGCTCAAGCCAAATTCAGGACCAGAGCCTCGCAGTCTGTGGTCCTGGCTGCGGATGAGACCGAGGTGGAAAACCGAGGCGGAAAAACGACATACGCGCGAACGTATTTCAATGTTTATCACCGGACAGCTTTTCTTCAGGAACCAAAGAAGGTATATCCATCTATTATCTCGAGTGCGCTCGCTAACGCCAGGAATAGACTAAAATTGTGTTGCACATTGATCACTTAGGAACCGCAGACCCAATACCTTTCGGCATGAGTGGTCCCCCATTCGTAATTGTCCGTGTACATCCAATGGCTGGCGAGATATCTCGATATACGGTAACTTCCAACGACCAAAACGACGAAGGAGAAGAAGACATTGTACAAACAGCCCGAATACCTGGCCGCATTATACAGACGAGTATGTATGCACCAGTTTGATCCTTGATCATGAACTCACTCTCACCTCTCAGTCCACCAGTATGGTTTATTCCGGTTTCGACCTGGAAACAGCTCCGTACCAGGAACACCGACTGCTGCCACTCGGTCCCGGGCGCATATATTCGGTCTAGACGTTATATCTCGCAACTTATTTGGCAGTCGCCCTGGCTCCTCCAAAGGCGACTTTGGGTCTGTAAGTGGCCATCATCGATCAAAGTCGTCGGTCAGCCGATCGTCGACGTACACACAAACCACGACCACGGATGGTAGCATTGCCAAGTTTTCGTCCCGGTCCGGCTCAATAGCTACAGCAGCCACCTCCATGGGTTCCCAGGAGGAAGAGTCTTCTGGCAGCAAATCTCTCCGACGGAAGCTTACCAAGCGTGGAAGGTCCAACTCGGCCACTAGTCCACCAAGGTCAAGAACGCAATCTCTGTCTCGATCTGCGTCCCAAGAGCGTCTACAGCCTCTAAGAAACGAAGATGACGATATTGTACTCCAGTTGGACAAGTCTGATCACGATCTTTCTGTTCGACTTGAACTTGCCAGACAGAACAGTCAGAATCAACACGCAAGGCATGCGACGTCGATGTCTTTCGAAGGGCGTTATGAAGAAACCATATTTGAAGGTGCTGTGAACGCGTAATCCTCCTTACTTTCTACGCACTCATACCTTACAACAGAGGAACCTCCCCCGCCAATACGGCCAACGTCGAGAGCATCCAACATGTCGGAAATGACACGCCACCACTCGCCGACACCCGCCTCATCCAACGTCGACTTACTTCGTAGTACCCAATCTCCAGAACCGCGACGCTTTGGTCCACGTAGTCCATCTCCCCTCCCTTCGCGAAGTCCACGTTCCATTCCCGCATCCCCTGAGGATGTATCAGCGAGCTGGGACGCGCAAGATAACAGCTTCATGTCCAACTCTGATGTCGACACTGAGCCCTTGACGCCTCTTCCTCGAAGCTCGCGTCAGCCGTTTTCTCAAATGACTGCACTCGATGGATCTCAAACCTCCGTTGTCGAGCCTCTATCAATCAAGAAGAAGACTTACATGTCTCTTTCTCGCTCCCCAAAGAAGAACTTTACGCGAACGTCGCCTTCATCCAAAGTCCCATCGCGTGTGGTATCACCTCGGAAGGTCTCTCCTCAAGTTCGACTTACCCGTGCCGCGGCACCCTCTCGCGTAGCGAATCATGAGGGAGCCCAGCGTTTACTTCAGCTGGCCTCCATAACTAGAGAAGATGTAAGCCAAGCCTCTCTGTCTGTTCTAGGAGCTAGAGCTAACGTTCTAAAGATTGAGTCATCTCACCGGGCGATTAAACGCGTTAAGGTGGAGGCTGAAACCCTCAAAATCAGTCCGCTAGAGAGACCGGTTTCGCCGCCTGGCAGAGCTTCACCATTTTTGCAGCGGCCGAAGACACCCAACGCTGCAAGCGCTCCAATAGTAAGTATAAATTCTCAGACACCTATTTTCTCATCATAACCTTGGGATAATCAGACAAGGGAAGCTCAACAACGCCTTGAAGAGATGAGGCAACTCATAGGCAAGCGACAACAAGATGGAACTCCTCGAAATCGACGAAGTATCCTGGATGGGCGTGCCAGCTCGCCTGCATTTGAATCTCCTGGTGGTTCTGACACGTCGCGGATCGATGAGACAATATCAGAAGCTGATAGAGGTCTGGCTGTTGTGATTTCGAATTACGGTGTCTTGCAGTCTAGTATAGACGAAGTCACCGATGAGCTGAAAGAGGTAAACCACCATCTTCGTTGCGGACACGCAGCTGACCCTTGCAATAGAGGCTACAGGAAATGGACAAAATCCGGATGGAGCTTCAGAACACCAAACGACAATGTGAGTTGATGAAAAGCCTGCTTGCCGATGCCACAGCAGAGAAGGAGATCATGTATGAGGTAAGACCGCAATCGTTGGGATTCTCCACGTAAGCTCAAAGTGGGCAGGCTTTCAATGAGGAACTTGACGCTATGTTCACCGACGTCAATCTTCCCCACGAGGAAGCTTGGGAGGCTCTGACTATGGACCTTCGGCGAGCAAAGGAGAGCCGCAATGCGTTGTCGAGGGAAAACTCGTAAGCTTTTTGGTCTTGCCGGTTTCGGAGTGATTTTTAACGAATATCGCAGAGACCTCAAGAGGCGACTAGCGGAAGTTGAGGCAGACAAAGAAGAGTAAGGCTCCTTCTCTATGACGTTTGCGTTTATTCCTTTGACACATCAGCCTCTAGGTGGAGTGCACTGCTTAGGTCACAAGGGATACTTTCTTAACTCTTGAACTTGTTTTCTTACGTCGCATGTCTTATTTGTCTATACGCACATCTCATACACATCTACAGTATACCTGTCACATTTGTACCATACCACATATTTCCAATTCATGTCTTTCGCTTTCGCGCTGCCAAGCCCGCCAGGAGAGCTCTCTTGGTCGGTGTATCCATAGCTTGGTACGAAGTCGAACTATTGTGCTCTTCTGGTTCAGGGGTCTGCTGCTCCAATGGCCGGTCGTCATCTGATATGTCATTATTACTGGAGTTGTGGCTTATAAGAGTTGAGCTGAGAGAGTCAGCCATTCGTCTCGTACATGTGTTTCAAGCACACCTACCGTTCATCAATAGCGCCGTCAGTTCCATCATCAACGAAACCGTCCTCTTCCTCTTCGCTGGTCTCCGTTGCACCGGTGTTGTCAATCCGCGCCCATTCTGCAGCTAGAGCCAGCAGCTGATCCCAATGTTCTTCTGCCTTGTAGATGATAATGTCGCAATCTTCACGAGCACCTTCATGACGGCACTCTGGGCATTTAACGAGCTCGGCGTCGCGATCAGATGGATCTGCCCTCCCTATTTGTCTGAAGCAAACCATGCACACGACATGATTGCAAGGAAGGCTAGAAGGTGGTGAGTGCTCCGTATCCGCCTAACGCTTGGGTGCCCTACCTGTAGCAACGTTTGACCTCTAGCTTCTCAAAACAAACAGGACATGACTCAGCATCGCCGTCCAACACGTTCATTCCCATTAGTTTGCTGAACTTTCTGAGAAGCTATGTGTTGAATTGAGATAACGATCCCTCATAGTTCGTTTCAACAAGGAGACAAACCTTGCGCATGTGGGGCCCTGTGTCCGAGATTGTCTGGTCATCCTCGGCTTCTCGAAGAAGCTCATCCGCGTCAGCTTTAGCTTCCTTTGCCTCAAGCTTGTGTGGTCGCGTCAGGTCAAGTAATCTAGTTGAAGGGAAGCCACCTAACCTTCTGTATCTTGCGTTTGTCTTTCTTGTGAGCCTAGTTCAAATATTCCACACGTTAACATGCACAACTACCAAAGATTTGGAATGTTACAAACCTTTTCCAACTCGTTCACCTGATCCTTGAGCCTTCGAATTTCAGCACTAGAGGCTGTAGACCGGCGACCAGCTTGACCGGTCTCGCCTGCCTCTCGAAGGCGTACAACTTCTTCCTCCAGATCTATGTTCTTCTTGCGCAGGTCACGCAGCGGGTTTAGCAACCTACGAATGCCAGCGCTTGCATTGTCGAGATGACCCTGCAGAGAGTGGTGCCGGCCTATTGCATGCAGGAGTGCTACGTGACTGTAATGTAGGCACGAACCTGGATTTCTCTTGCTGCATCTTTGGAATCGGAGGAATCTGTAGATACATTCCCGTCGCGACTATCTGACAGAATCAATAACCGAGGCTCTCAGTACCTGCAAAACAAGGTCATTCTGACCTCTGGACTGACCTTCAGGGGTATCGGGCCTCCTGCGTTTGCGGGAGCCTTGACTACGTGTGGTAGGCATACAGAAGAAAGCACTTTCAGCAGTCGAAAATCTTACCGTACCTCTGCGTTCAAGTGCCTGTAAGGATGTACCGTGGTCGGGGACTTGGGGATCGACTTCAAACACTACTTGATTAGAGACATGGCTTGCCACATAACCAACATATATAGGGGTCAAGCTTGCGGGATGATATACACTTGTTACGCATGGTTAATATGCGGTCCCTGTCGATTAGTGGTTAAATCGCCACGTTGTGGACAGCACAAAACCGTGGCGCCGCAGGTTCAATTCCTGCCAGGGACATTTTTTCAAGCACAAACAGCATCTTTTACCCTTCGCGTCGCGTCGGTACGGGTTCCGTACGAGGCTCTGTCGGATCCCTCAAATGACGATGACTCGTGTTGAATCAACAGGACTGATAGTTGAAAATCCTACGACTTGTGCGATCCGCATACTTAGTGCAGCGGTACTAAAACGTTAAACAATGACCGCTAGACGTGGACTATCATCTCTCAACGTCACTTTTCTTGGTACTGCATCGGCCCAGCCCTCTTCCACACGAAACCACTCTGCTCTAGCCCTTAGACTCAGTGGCGATGTCTGGCTGTTTGATTGCGGGGAGGCTACTCAACATCAATTGCAGAAGAGTGCCGTCAAGATGGGCAAGATACAAAAAGTCTTCCTCACTCATCTTCATGGTTGGTTTTATCAAATGAATAATCGAGTAACATCTGAAAACATTCACCTTTTAGGTGACCATTGCTTTGGTCTTCTACCTTTGCTTGCAAGTCGCCTGAACGGCGCTGGCGGGATAGTCGACGACGTCGATCCACGGACCCAAGCATCAAAGATAGAAAGTGTAGGGCATTTCGATGCCCCTCCATGGGCTTCGGTATCTGACTCCTCGCTTTTTAGCCCTTGGAGATCTATGGCCCTTTAGGGACGCGAGCATACGTTCGGAATGGCCTGACGTATACGCACACCCTGCTCGGCTCTCCGTACGTTGTACACGAGCTGCGATTGCCTTCCGATCCTCAGGGGGGTGACCACACTACCCTGCCCCTCCACGAGTCCGAGTCACCGCTGGGCCGCAATATCCTGCAAAACGAGGGCGTCTGGGAAAACGTCTTCCGGGACGACGTCGTCTCAGTGTCTGCTGCGCCGATCCTGCACTCCGCCCCATGCGTCGGATACGTCGTCCAGGAGAGCCCGGTTCCCGGCAAGATGGACCCCTCCAGCTACATACCCCATCTAAAGCGAACCAAGACGCCCATGTCGGCCATGAGCCGCCTGCAGCAGGGCGAGGACGTAACGCTCGCCGACGGCACCGTCCTGCAGGCGCCTGCGCGACGCAGCGGCCGCAAGCTCGTCATTCTCGGTGATACGTACGATCCGTCGCCCATAGCGGAGCTCGCAAAATCACCCGACCTGCTCATTCACGAGGCGACGAACGCACATCTTCCTGGGCTAGATGCTAATACCAAGGCAGAAGATACGTTCGAATCCGTCGAAGTGCGGACCAAGTCGCGTGGACATTCGACGCCGCAGATGGCTGGAGCGTTCGCAACGCGCATCGGCGCCAGAAAGCTAGCTCTTAACCACTTTTCGGCGCGATACGCCGGGAACGATGACGCCAATGAGCACTCGAAGGGCATCATGCAGGGTATTGCCAAGTTGGCCGCAAAGGAGTTCCAGGGCGACGTGATTTGTGCAAGGGACTTCATGAGTATAGATGTGGACTTGTCCCCAGACCCTCAGTAATATGGCATAGTATAATATGCAGCTCGTAATATCACTAAGTTATATTATTCGCCTGGGGGATCACTGAGCGAACTATTCGAATCACTGGCCTCGCCCTCCTCGAGTTCCTCATGCCTTTTCTTTTTGCCCTTGGCCGGCACCGAGTCCTCCGCAAGCTCGCCCATCTCTATGTCATCCCCCAGCGCTGACGACGAACCTCGTTGGCTAAGGTTGAACTCTCTCGCGTTGGGATTAAGCCTAGAGAGCGAAGTATCGACGGAGTTGCCGTCCTCCAACTCGCCAGCCTCGATGGAACCGGGGCCCTTGCTCAACCCGTCGTCTGTATCCAGCATGTCCGGCGCTGGTGTCGGGGCAGGAGAGTTGGCCTGCGAGAGCGGAGCGTCCTTGTCTTTGCCCAGGATGCGCAGTGACGTAAGGTCCAACACGACGGTGTCGAGCGCGGCTTTTTGGCTTCGTATTATGCGATCCTGCGTCTCGTGCTCCGCGTGTATTGCTGCCATGTCATTCTCGAGGGCCTGTATCGCACTGTCCATTATAATTAGAAGCCAGCATACAAGGAGAGGAGGGAGCACAGACGACGTACCCTTCGAGTTCGTCCCTGCTCGGCAGCGTATTGACCCTCTCTGCGATCTGGTCGTACTCCACCTTCCGCCGGCGCTCCTGGTGTGCCAGCTCCAGCGCTACTTTGAGCTCTTCAATCTGATTCCGCAGTGCGACCTGCTCCGCCTCTTGAGACGAAAACCGGCCAGCGTCAGCAACCACGTATCTTGTGTCGGGCCAGAACGGCATAACGCAGGGCGCACCTATCCGCTCGCGCTCCTTCTGGTACTCTTCGACCTGCCGCGCCTCCGCCTCGCATACCATGAGACTCTTCTGGAGCGAGAGCTGGAAGGAGCTGAGCTCGAGCAGAAAGGCCTCTCGCGCGCCCTCGACCATGGCATCCGAGTGGTCCGCGCCTGGCAGAGGGGGCTCCGTCGGGTGCGCGCAGGACGAGTACGTGTGGAGTTTCTTGACAATGCGCCGGAGAGGCCGCTCGTCGTTGGTGATTCGGCTGTAAATCATGCTGTCTAGGAATGAGCGTGGTCTTTCGAGTCTGCTTCTAGGAGGTCTGGGAAGGGGCCAAGGAAGACCTACCTTCATCCTCGAGCGTTAAGGATGCCAGCGAAGATATGGGGTGTGCGCCGTCATTGTTTGTGGTCCTGAGGGGTGCGGAAGCCATGGACAATGGCGAGAAACGTGAACGACACGAATTGACAGGTCAAACTAGCGCCGGAGCGCGCCAAAAAGACGCGTTCAGCAGAGCGTGCACAGCCACTGACATAAATACTCATTACAACATGATTATAGGTAAACTTGCAGTGCAATAGCTAGGAAAGTACATGACATGTAGCACCAATAGATATCAGCGCCAGCGGGCCCCATTTCCTTCCGAATATATTTTGAAATAATAGATCGTCGTTATCCTCGCGTTTAGCCCCACTCATCCGGCACGAAAGGTGTCACAAGGTCATAGATCTCATCGTTTCCCCGACTCTTTGGTGCCTTGTTTCGTCCCATGACACGCTTGAATATGCCACCGACGCCACGTCGCACTGTATCCTGTTCGTCCGTGCGGGACGGCTCAGAGTCATTTGGATAGCACGTATCGATGAAATGAGCCAGCCTGCGCATCCCACTCGAGCTGTCATTAGCTGCGTTCCGCGAGTCCTGCACAGCTGATTGGAGGTACATCGCCATATTCGGGAAGTCGATCGGCAGTGTCGGATAAGGTGTCGAGCTTGTCGACGGTATGACATAGTATTTCGCCATTGGTGACTCAGATCCATCGCGGAGGAGTGGGGGTAAGGCCGAAAGCCCATACGAGTACGGCAGAGTCGCGGCGTCTCCATTTGTGTACTTGTGTGAGTTAGATAACGTCGGTGGCACTGGCATGTCCGTAGTCAGGTACAGGACTGTCCGCCACTCGGAAGAGGAGTGATGTATCTGTTGACGGGTGCGTGGTCAGCTGCTCGCACGTGTAGCAACGTTCGTAATCAAATTTACCCTGATAAACTGGATGACCGTTCGCAATTTGAGCTCGTGTTTAGCCACAGTCATAGCTTCTATAGTGGGCTCTACTCTGGTCGAGCTCATTCGGGCCATCAACTTGAGAAGCTGACGCCATGACGGTGCCTGGAAATGGAATAACGGTGCTTTGCCATATGGCAGTGAAATAACGTTCGGAAGCGCACTGTTCATTGGGGACAGGATAGTGTTGATCGCAGGTCGCGAGAAGCCGAGTGCTTGGGTTCACGCAATCAGTGATACACAGCACAGAAACGTTAAAGACAAAACTCACAAACACCCATGAGCAGATCGGGCTCGACATAATGGTTTGCATTTGTGCTGATCCGATCAGAGGACCTACTGCCCTCACCATCTTCACTCAAAGGAGCTAGTAATCCACCAGACGAGCTCGACTGAAGTTGGAGGCTCGAAGTAGAGGCGTGTTTGGGTGATTTGCCGGGGCTGAGCGTACTCGCAGCTCCATCGCTGTCCTGAGATCTGGCCGAAGCCGGTGCACTCTCTACACTACCGTTGCCAGAGTAACTTGTCCACTGAGAGCTTGAAGATGGCACCGCAGATCCAGAAGAGGAGCGAGTGAGGTTCACACCGCTCTCGCTTGATGATACGAAGGTATCTGAGGAGGTGGAAGGGGGAAGCTGCGGTGGCTCAGCAGGATAGCTTGCATAATTAGGCTGCGGTTTTGATGGGACATAGGGCTTTGCTACGACGCCAGAAATAGCCGTGCTGTACAAAGGTGGCATGGACATAGGAGTCTGTGGGTTGGAATGGTTCGAGCCTCCTTCTACCACCGGAGGCGCTGACTCGGTGTTTGATCTCGATGGAGGCTCTGGAACCGATTGCAGTGACGATGTGGGAGTGATGAGGTGAAGCCAGCTCTCGCCTTCTGTGAAACCGGAAAACGAGGCTTTGTTGGTCTCAGGTATGGACAAGGGGGGTGTAAGCGGAACGGACAACCTTGCAGATTCTGCCAATGCCCGCGCAAGCTCTTCCTCCTCCTGGGCATACAGTTGCTCCTCACGCTGGCGTGCTTCTGAGGCAGAGAGGGCCATGGCTAGTGCGATGTCTTTGTCATCGTCATCGTCTTCTTGGGGAGACGAATAACCAGGGCCGCGGTAGGGAGAATTCGGATTCGGAGGATTGGAAGGGGACGGAATTTCTGGGACTGGCATGCTCATGGAAGGAGGGGAGAACTGTGGTGGTGGTGTGGGTAGAGGGGGAGGAGGGCCAGATTGACGTGCCTGTGGTATTGCCTGGGGATATAGCGACAGCCTGTTGGGTAGCGCATTGAATGGCTTTGAAGGTATTGGGGGCGGGGACGACGTGGTGTTATTAGGCTTTTGTGGAATTGGCGGTGGAGGCCCCTGAGAAGAGAAGGGCTGCATGAAGTAGTCGCCGTAATAAGGGACGCGCTCTGGGGACGCGGCATAGGCGGAGTATCTGTTAGCAGCAGGAGTGTTGGGGGACGCGGTGTAGAGGGGCGCGTGGGTAGAGGTTCTGCGGCCAGGGGTGAGTGGGTTTGGGTGGGGTGGAAGACTGGGGGGCTGGCTGGACGGCTGCATGTCTTGGGGGGGAGAAGGAAGAGTGTTGTAACGCGGACGATGAGCCTGTGCTTGTAGTGGTGGGGAGTACTCTTGCGGACTCGCAACGTTGAACGATGTGGAGTGCCGCGGAGGCCAGTGGCCCGACGCTGTGAAACAGACAGATAAGAATGGTGGGCCTCCTCTGGAAAGGTGATGAACTCACCTGATTGACCGTATGGATGCATCTTGTCAGGACCTCCGTGTGTGCTAGGAGTCGCCGGCTGCAATAGAGTGTACACTGCTCTTTGTCTGGGGCAGGACGCGTAGCAACTGAGAGAAGCAGACTCAGACTCGGACTCGGAGCACTGCTGCCAGTGGACGGTAAATGGCGGTGGGTGAGAGAGCTGACCAACGACTGGCCATCCTTGGGGGTGTCATTTCTATCTGGGCGCTTGTTGTTATCCTGCCACTTCCAATGTGCCTCCCTGGGCGCGTCACGGCGCTATTTACCCCCCGCTGATTGGCCCTGAGTACACATCTTCATCACTTTTTCGCTTACAGTGTGCGTTCTCACCGGCACTAAAGCTTACAGCGCTTATTATGCGCACACATCATCAAGCTTGTCGCATGTCGCATACAGTACGGTATTCACTTATTAGTTCACGCGTCTTTCCTTCCAACAATGAGCCGGTGATTGACAAGCAAGGCCGCAGATGTACAAGCCAAACATCGTGCAGAAAGCACATACTCTAGGACGTAACGTACAGTATGCTAGGCGAAAAAAACCGAAATGAATAGCGCAGAAAAATATGCTGATATGAGTGTATTGCAGTGAAAAGTGGCGAACGAGATGTGTGGAAATGGGTGACATGCAGTTGAACAGCGAGGCAATGAGAAGATGATATGCAAAATAGACACGAGACCAGACAAGCAAACGAACATAGAAAGAAGGAAGGAAGAGAAGAGAAAACAAAGACAACCAAACATAAGGCATTAAAGGGTCATTATACACGAACACCAGTGCTAATCTTGGTTGTTAGCGGGACTCCCGAAACAGCAGACGTTTTGAAGCCAAGCTTCCGCATCATAGCAAGCAAATCGGCCCGTTGCAGGGGCTTTGCGAGCGACCCGGCAAAGAGTGTGTCCAGATCGCTCACATCGGAGGCACTGTACGCGCTGACGGCAATGATAGGCGTGTTCGTGTTCTTGCCGTTCGTGTTCTTGATGTACCGTGCCGCACTCTCCCCATCAACTGTAAAATTAGAGACATTCAATGTGCTGCTGAAACTTCATTCAGTGATGCGACTTACGGATTGGCATGTGTAGATCCATCAGAATACAGTCAAATTCTGGATCCAAGTCAGACACGAATGTGCTGGAAACAACGTTGAGCTAACTCACTGATGTCCCCCATGGCCACGCTGATCGCCTCCGAACCATCTTGAACGACTATCACCCTGCACCCAAGACGGATCAACAACGTCTCGATGATCTTTGCTGTGATGGGGTTGTCCTCAGCCAGCAAGCATGTTACCGCTCGGTCACTCGGATCAGGCCCCTTACGGAGATCGATCGAATGAACGGATGACGGAGGGGTGGTGTCAAAGTGAGCTGATCCATGCCCTGCAGAGGACGTCCAATTGTCTGAGCCAGAGCCATCTCCCGCGTCCCCCGTGCTAGATACAGACGAGGTCCGTAGGCGACTTGGCATCGAGTTTCGACGCTCAACGCCCTCCAGCTGATTAAGCTTGAACCTCTCGACTGCTCCAAGCTCGGAGGGCTTACGGGCATGACCGCCAGTAGTACTTCCCGGCGTGGAAGATGGTCCGCTAGCGCGAGACGGTGATGACGCGATGGAAGAAGCCGATGTAGAAGGCGAAGGGGGGTTTGGCGAAGTGGGTTTCTGTTCCACTTGAGTCACAACGCTGGGAGGTTTCTTGTGCCGCTGTGAGAGGCTACGTTTGCGCCCGTGAACCATCGCGGGGTCTGATAAAGTATGGGTGATGGGTACGAGCTGGTCCGTCTTCAATTTGCGAATAACATCGTCGTTAGCCTGCTTCAGGACTGGCAAGTTCTTGAAACTGAAAGAACCGAAGTCATCTCCAGGAGAGTGATTGGCCTCTTTCGGAGTGTACACGGGCATGTTGGACGTGGAGATAAGCGGATTCAATGACGGGCTGTCCAATGGGTTCGAGATGGCTACATCTTCATCGTGGAATAGCTGAGGGATAGCTCCTCGCGGATCAAAGTAATCCGTTGACTCGGGATCTGTGATCTGTGGTATGAACGCAGCTTCAGTCGAGGTCACCTCGTCCCACACGATGTCAGAGAACCAAGGGTGTGCCTTGACCTCTTCGGCGCCGTTACTACCCAGACGCTCGCTTGGGTCAACGTCGATCAAGCGCTTCATGAAGTCATGGGCTTCGTCCGAGAAGTCGACCCAGTCTTCATGCCAATCAACCATGCCAGAAAGGATGTTCTCGAAAACCTTCTCCGGAGTTTCCGCATGGAAAGGAGGGATGCCGTAGAGGAACTCGTACGTGATGACACCAAGGGCCCACTAAGCAGATGAGTCAGTACGCGAATACCATCAACAACACATATCATCACAGACCCAGTCAACAGCAGCATCATCCCCGCGCAGACCAAGAATCGTTTCAGGTGCTAAATAATCAGGAGTGCCCACGAACTTCTGTTCCCCTGGTGGAGTGTTGCCGCCGCCAGAGTAAGAACGAAGGTCGGTGGTCAACTCCGCGGCAAACGACTGAAGAGGGCTCTCGCCGGCGCGGCGAGACAAGTGGTGCACCAGCGTGTCTGATCCGCCGAACTCGCCGACTTCATCTGTGGGGGGCTGATGAGGCGTAGTTCCAAGGCGCGGTACCGACTGTGGTCGCTGGCTAAAATACGAACCTCCGGAGCCTGTCATATCGGTGGGTAGCATTGGGGACGACAAGAAGCCAGAGTCAATAGACGGAGGCCTGGAGCGAGAGTCGTATCTGGTCCGCGTCCGCGTCCCGTGCCCAAGTGGGTTCTCGCGGGTTTGACGACCCAAGAGACCAATCCTACTAAGACCGAAGTCAGTGAGCTTAAGATGCCCATGCTGGTCAATAAGAAGGTTATCGGGCTTGAGATCACTGCCGGAACCGTACTCTGTTAGTGCATATATTCAACGAAAAAAAAATACCATCCTACCGATGTACAATGCCGCGCTCATGAAGATACTCCAAACCAAGAACGACCTCAGCAATGTAGTTCTTTGTCCATTCTTCAGGCAAAGAGCCAAGCGATTTGATGAGGGCCGCGCAGTCTCCTCCGTTCAGATACTCCATTACAAGGTACAGGTTCTCCTTGCTCTGGAACGTGAAGTACAACTTAGCCACGAAGGGCGACTCGGCTTGTCTCATGAGGATCATACGCTCGGCTTTGACGTTGGTAATCTGGTTCTTGGCGATCATGTCTGCTTTCTTGAGGACCTTGATGGCATAGTAATCGCCAGTGACTTTCTTCTTGGCAAGGAAAACAGAACCGAATGCCCCCTTGCTGATCGGCTTGATAATGTCGAAATCCCTTATTGACGTTGGGTTCGTGCGCGAAAGGGGAGCGGCCGAAGGTTGTCGAGGAGAAGTGGGACCGCTACTAGCTGATATAGTAGGGCTCAGGATGGGGTTGATTGTTGAAAGACGGCGATGACTTTTCCTCGACCCTGAGGGAATTTCCTTCGGCGACGACGTCGGCGACTCTGGAACAGCAAGCCTTGGCTCAAGGAGGTTGTTTGTGGACCGGCGTGTACGAATGGTGATGTTCTCGTGCATGGCATCATCGAGATTCATATAAGGTGGCTGGTCTTCAAGAGAAGATGCTGCCGTTATGGGGGCAGCAAGAGCGAGTGGTGACGAAATAGACGAGGGTGTCGACGAACGAGTGGGAAGCTTAGCAACTGCTTGCCACGTCGGCGGGATGAAGGTTGGCGCTGGCATAGAGACAGCGGCTCGACTTTCGGGCGGAGTAGGGATAGGTGCAGGAGAAGAAGCAACAGGGGTGGGCTCTGGACTAGTCTTCTGAGGTGTCTCATCCGACAACGAGAGCGATGACAGATCTGGGAGTCCTCCAAACGTTTGCTGAGGAACTTGCAAGGAAGCCGATGGTGGGCGTTCTCCATGAGCAGCTTCCTGCCTCTGACCTTCTTCCCCTTCTTCTTCACTTTCCTCTTCATCATCGTCCTCCTCAGTCGCATCCAAGAAGTTCTCAACCTTCTCCTGCCATTCCTGCCAGATCTTCTCCGCATAACGGATCGTGTTCTGCATCCGTGCGACGTTGTCTACCTTGGACCGAATGACAAGCTCCACATCTTCTGCGAGTTGCGATAGCGCGGGATCCTCGATCGATGGCTTGCACCACACACGAACTTGTGACATCTTCCGTTCAGAGCTGGGAGAGAGCAAACGCTGACGCTCAATGGGCTCCTTCGCCTCCTCCTCCTTGAGTGATGGCATCTTAACCTCGCAAGCGAGTGCCAAAATGTCGTCCAATGTGTTGAGTATGCGTAGCTGCATCTTCTTGACACCGACCCGTTGCATCTTGCCGCTGCGGAACATTTGCAATGGGCTTGACAGGATTGGTGATGAAGATGGCGTGAAGAGCGTCATGCCACGATACTGTGCAGGCACTCCGGGTGTAGGCGTTTCAATCACAGGAAGCAGATCCCGGATTGTATTGCGTAGCTCGCCGATAGTATCGTTGTGCTCAGCAATTTCAGCCTCCAGCCTGTGAACCTCAGCGCAGGTCTCACTATGCTTCTCGAAGTACCACTGAGGAATTTGACACTCGCAGATGCGGCATAGGATCGGGTCAGTGCAGATAGGTATGGAGAAAGGTAGGGCTGCTTCGACATCTTGAGTTGGTTGTCCCTCAAGGCGCTTCGAGAATTTGGTACTCTCGAGTAGTTCTTCTTCCATTTCTCCACCTTCCACCATTATATACGGCGATGCGTTCTCGTACTTCGGTGGTGCGATGGGCTTCACTACCCACATAGTGTGCGAGGGCTGTCCGTCCTCCCGATCGATCATGAGCATACCCTTGCCTTCCATCATCTGGTACAGGACAGCGTTGGCCGAAGGATCACGATCCTCGGGCTCCACTTGTAGCCTAAACCGGATCTCCAGAGTCTGCGACTCATCCTGCTGTAAACGTTGTGTCGCCTGCTTGAAGACAACCCAGTCTGAAGGAGCAAGAAGACGTGATATCCGAGTCCCAGTGAGCTCGACGGGGTCCGTTCTGAGAAGTATTGGTCAACGGTACAGGATGAAAAGCTGACCGACAGCATCTAACTCACCCGACAACCACGAGCCAAGCGTAGTTGACCCAGATAAAGTGCTCACCATCCAAGCTGATTTCCATGACAATGTTTTGGTTCTGAGCCGTCTCAGCTTGAAGACGAAGACGTTCAGTTGCCAACACACGCGCAGATTCATTATGTTCCAACAGCTTGCTTGGAGGGGTTGGAGGCATTTGCTCTGGGATTTTAGAGGACATCAAGAGGTCTTTTGGCTTGTCATCCCTTGAGCGTCGAGGCTGGCTTGTTGGTCTATGAAGCCGTAATCTATGGTCGTCCTCAGAGGCTCGTCGCATGAAGTTATCATCATGTCTTTGGCGGGATGTTGGTGTTGGGATGGGATGACTTTCCTCAGGAGGTTTCATCACGAACATCAGAGGTTCCTCCTGCTCGTCTCCATCATCGTCAAAGTTCCAGAAACTCTTCTCAGCCTCCCACCACTCCATAACACGACTAAGACTGGCGACCGCCAAAAGCACCTGCACGTACCAGTTGCGACCGTGCCAGTCTGGGTGATCATCCCAAGCCTTGCCAATTGCCTGCACCCGTTGCACAAGCGATTCACAGACTTTTGGCTGGGAAGTCAAGTGTGCTGTAGACATCTCGGTCACGTCAGTTGCAACGCCTATCAGGTCGTACAGTGCTGTCATGATGGGATCGACCGGATCATCCACGAGTATACGCGAGGACCGTCGATTTGACGACGAATTGAATGCACCGCCTGCGTCAGAAAAGCTACTGTGAGAAGTTGTTGGTGGCAATGGAGACCGGGACCGCGAGGTCGAGCGAGAACTCTGGCCCGACGGCACCGGGCGGACGGGAATATGGATTGAGCGGGAGAGCCGGCGTGAGGACATGCTCTGAGAGGGCCATGTCGTGGGAGCAGTATCCCTTACTCCCTTACGGGGACTAGCAACGTCGGACAGACCCGCGGTGGGGATGACTGGACTAGGCACATTGCTACTCGAGGCGGTGGAAGGACCAGGGGCGGGTTTATCCCACGGAAGCGTGTTTTGCCTGCGAAGACCTGGGCTAAACGAAGACGAGGTAGAAGCTGCAAGAAGGCCGGGCGAAGAGAGCCTATGCGTTAGAGAGCGGCGTGAGGAACTCTCGTCGGGATTAGACGCACGTTGTCGACTGTGCTGACTCTCTGGCTCTGGCTCATAACCGCTATCCGAGTAGGTATCCGCCTGAGACTGGGGGCGATGCTCTGCGCTCGAGTTGATGAAGTGTTCTCTAAGGGATTCGTAGTCGCCAACTTGAGATTCACGATCGTGGTCGTCGCGGTCCGACTCGCGTTGGTAGTCACGTTCCAATTCCCTGTCATGCTCCGATTCTCTGAGACGCTCCTCGAAGAAAGTAGTGACGTTGTTTATGACACGACGGAGCTCCTTGTCACAATCTGCCTTTGCTGTCTTGAGCCTGCGTGTGACATGCCTGCGAACGAAGGGCATAGAGACGGTATTTGAGCCTGAGCCATGGCTTGAACTTGGGGCTGTACTGGAGACCACGGAAGGCAGGACGGATTCTGGAGTGAAGACGAGGGGGGAGGGAGGCTGGCGACGATGCTGGGTCGCGGAATCAGACATGGGGAGGGGGGAGTCGGTGGAGAGGGAGGAGAGGGAGGAGGGAGAGAAGAGAAGGGGCGAGTCTGGTGAGGTGATTAGTGACATGCGGGAGGGCTGGCAGAGGGAAGAGGGTGACTGGTGACTGACGGAGGTGGGGCTGTTGAGTTTGCTACCGAGAGAGCATGGGCGGGAGGAGGAAAGGCGAGGGCGAGAGTGGACTGGTGACGGGAGACGGACGACCTCTGCAGGCACTGGCAGGAGGAGACGAAGGTCTAGATGATATCCATCCAAATATTATCCAATATTTCCCAGCACAAAATTACATTTCATCAGCTCCCCTCCGTGTCCCGGCCGACATCACATCTTCCCAATCGCACATCCTCACGCCCAAACCTCCTTACTTCATACGAACCTGCCGCCCATGACTGCATTACCCACGATCCGCACTCATATAAGCTCAATCTATCTCCCCTTTGGCCGCACGCTCCGCCCGAAGACTCTAGAGCCCGTCACCATGACTGTCCGCACTCTGCGCCTCAGCGCACTTCTCCGGGGGTCCGACCCTCTCCCGGACCCAATCTGCTTTTAGGCAATCTCCGTCCCATGAGAATCCGCGTCTGTCCTCCTGCCACCCCGGCTAACGCGACACCTCTTTTCCTTCTCTACTCTTACTATTTCCGTCCTTCGCGCATTCTACCATGCTCGCTCGTCTCCTCGCCAGCACGTCGAGGCAGCTCAGGCAGCAGTCCACCGTCCTCCCCGCTGCCCGCCAGTTCGCGACTTCCGCACCCGCGCGCGACGAGAACCAGGACAAGTCGCTCAGTCAGGTCCTCCAGGACGTCAGCGACGGACTTGAAAGAAACAAGCAAGGTACGTTGGTCAGGTGTCCCAAATTTTGATTCCATTCCTAATTCACACCTTCCCATCAGCCGAAGCACAATGGGCTGCTGAACGTCCGCGGTTCAAATTCCAAGCGAACACCGTAAGAAACGCGTCTCACTTCATTCGAAGCCGCAAGCCTGACATGCATTTGGCAGTTCGTTCGTCCACACTACTTTAGCCGAAAGCACCGTTATGGCTACGGTCTCTGGGCAGCCCCCACGAAGCGCGCACTCGTTGCTCCCGGTGGGCGCGAAGCTGCTCGCCACGACATCCTTCACCAGCTTGAAATCGACCCTCTTCATGAGCATGCCAATGTTCACCTTCTCTCTAAGTATGTCTCCGACATGGGCAAGATCAAGTCACGCATAGACAGCGGTCTGACCACCAAGAACCACCGCCGCCTCTCAAAGGCCATCAAGCGTGCCAAGATGATGGGCCTCATGCCTACACTCAGCAATCCCAAGCTGCATCCCAACTGGTCCTTCCGTAGGTAGCGTTGATATGAGCACAATGCAACTCCGTTCCGGCTAGTCCCCATGACCGATAATTCCTACCACGGCGCTTCGTCCTGCAAGAATCTAATCATCTTTACCAATGCCCATTGTCAGCCCCCGTCATGATGTGGACAAACTCTGCAGAGGTGTATCTGTCAAGTCACTACGGTGGCAAGGGTCTCTGCGCTATGTTATCCCCTGAAATAGCTAAGCCCTTGGCGATGGCGTAGTCGGTCTAAGGTTCCGAGCCTCAATTGATGCTCCCTTATTTACTGCGGAAGCCAGATTGCTTCCATACTGCACCTGATGCATCCTCTCACCAAAGACGCAGGAGTCGTCATACGAAGAACTTCGACCTAATTGTTGACTCGGTCGTGTGATAGGGATCAGCTCATGATGGGTAGGGCAAGTCTGAGGTCATTATGGCATATTTCTATCATAGTGTACAAGAGGTGATCATTAAAGTTCAGCGAGCAGCATTGTGCCTAAATTCTGTACAACCTGGTCCCCAATCGCTTTCTCGACTGCCTCCTCGAGATGCCGCTTTGGATCTTGTTTGCCCACATGCCTCGTCTTCAGCTTTTCGGGGTCCATCGTAGATTCTTCTTGAACAGATTTGTTATACGCCTCAGAAAGCGTAAGCATAGACTATTAGGCACCAGAGCCAGACCAGGGTGGGCAGGGGTTGCGGTCAGAAGACACCAGTGTGTCATTAAACAAAATCACAGACCTTGATTGCCTTCTCATTGCTCTCCTGATGTGTTTTGAAGTTCCGCAGGCGCAATCCTTCCGTCCAGTTCCGCTTGTGCAGATTCATCAGCATGGTCTGTTCCAGATCCGTCTTTCGGTAATTAACAGCAATCGAATAGTAGTGTCGGTTAAGCCCATGGACGAGGGCCTGGATGGAAGGTTTGTTGATATGCCCTATGTTCGACGTCGTCTGCCGGGGCTCACGTCCGGTAATGACGGTCTGCGGCTTGATCAACCGAAACGCATCGATGACGACCTTGCCTTTGACGGATTGTATAGGGTCGATCACCACGGCTACACAGCGATTCTGCATCTGCTCGAAAGACTTCCAAACCGTTTCAGCTACATGTGCCATGTCACAAAAGGCTACGTACTTGTTGCGTGTTAATATCGACGCTTGACAGCCAGCATCCGAAGCCAGGGTGGGAGTGATACCACCCAACAACCATCTCAGGTCTGCAGTTGGCGTGAGTATGTGCGCCATCGACACAAAGTAGGGCAAATACGCACCGTCCAGTTTGCTTCAGCATCTCCACCATGTTGGTTTGAAAGACATGGTCTACCGATTCGACGGTGACGGTTGTGCCAGATTGGGGCATGGCGAAGACATCCACGACTTGGACAGTATATTCGTCCACGAACTCACCAAGCATAAGACCCATAACCTCCATGGGAACACCGGCTCGCCCATGTTTGAGCATCTATGGTCGCGTTGAGTTGGAGATGACAAACAAGGGTTTAGATCGTACTTTGAGCAGGGCTAGTGACGAGATGTGAATGACCTCCCCACTAGATCCTTGTTAATACGAGACGCGTAAGATTGAGAAAAGGGGCCGCTCACTTGTCTGGGACAGACGTATCCTGGCGACCCGCGGCTCCGTGACGCATTTGCGCCTGGGCGAGCATTTGGCCAAAATCAGCGTCCATGACGATAAGATGATAGTGAAGGGAAAGTAAAGGCTATTGGTAGTGTAGACGAGAGAGCACCCGCTGACGCGTACCGACATCCCGCGCTATTTGTCCGTGTATGGCGAGAGCTTTCAATCCTAACAATACCAAATAGGCTGGCATTCATCCCTGGTGCGCCAAACTCAGACAGGGCTAATGAAATCATAAATCCTGCTTAATGGCATAACAATCCTGGAGCTCTTTGAGCCGCATTCGTTATGCCCACCAGCGAGCTTTCTGATGCTCTCAACCCCTACTTTGCCACTTCTAGGAATAGGCCGCCCGCGAATGCCCCTCCTCCGGACGGACAACAATCAGTTGCACCTAATGCAGCGGACTGTGTACCCCAAGGAAGCGGTCTCGAAACCATTGTGACAGAAAGCTCTCAGTCCGCTATATCACAGGTCTCACCCTCGTACGTACGCTTCTTAATTACCCCGTGCTATGCATTCATTGTCAGCAGCAGCGATGCTCTCTCCCCACGCATGCCCTCCGCTGCCTCGCTCACCGCTGTGCAAGAGCTTCTACGCTATGTTGCATCGACGCGTGAGGCGCAGGAAATTGAGCGTAAACGCCGCCTCGCATGGGAGCAAGAACAGGAGGCAAAGTACGCTCTCCGTCAGGCCGAGATGGAGCGGCACATGCTAGAGATGCGCCAGGAAATCACCAAGCTTCGGAGCCGTCTCGGTGCCTCAGGCTCGCCAGCAGCGAGTCCCTCGGTTCAGCCTGTAGCGGGGACGCATACGTCTCAGGTCACTCCACAGCTTCCTACGATGGGGCAGCAGCCTACACCTGACACTTCACCTGCCTTGTCTCACCACTCCACACCATACTTGTCGTCACAGAACATGGGGCGCCTCGAAGCAGGCCCTTCTAATCTTAATGTCATTTATCACCCTACCATGCCTCAGTCGCCTATCCTTACTCAGCCTGCGCGCTTCATCAACATGGGCCCTTCCTCACCACACTCTCAAGGCATTCCAACACAACGCAAGCGGTTAGCCAGTGAGCTCTCTAGCGACGAGGAGAGCAGCACTGATTCCAAGGACGAATCGTATCCGCGCCAACGCAACAAGCGACGTAACCACCACGATACACGATGTCTCACTATTCAGGTAAAGAGGCAGCTCTCTGCTCACCCCAGCAGTAGTCTGAACACCTTATAGCATGCAATGCGATTGCATATGCTGCGCCTCATGCAGCTTGAGAACGACAAAGCGTTGCCAGACAGCCATGTTGAAGGCACCACCTTGGGCCCTGACCAGCCAGTACGATTTGTCTGGGACAAGACCACACGTCAATCCGTGCATAACAATCGAATGAAGACACTCGTTCTGCGAGACCTGAAGGAAAACCGGGACCGGTACAAATACGTTCCCGAAAAGGATTTCAACAAGAAATCCTTGGATACGACCTTTGAGCAAGCTTTCGTGACTTTGAGGCAAAAGTACAAGGCACAGCGGGATGAGTCAGTGGCAAGAACCTACAAGCAACGTGAAGATACGAAGGCTAGAAGTTCTCGGAGAGCAAGTCGAAAGAAGACTGTAGGTGTCCCTGTCATTATCGTGAAAACTGTACCAAGACCTACTTGTATAGAAACTATGCAACCGGTCAGACGCTCGGAACCGACTTGATGCGTTTGAACACATCACCTTTGATGGAGCACTCCAGACGGAGTGCATGTCCTCTGAAGAATCTGAAGTCGAAGAAAGCCCCATGAACTCTCCACGCTCCTTCCTTCGCATCCGTGGATTGCCCTGGCGCAGTACACGACTTAGGCGCTTTTTCAACACCCTAGATGAGAATGATAGAGTTGAGAACGCCAACAAACCTCGACGCGGTGTCGGGCGCAAGGAGCGCTTTCCGGGCCCTCATAAGGATGGTCTCCCGATACCTCCAAAGGGCGTTGCTAGTTGGATGGTCAGCAAGCGGTGGATAAGCCTGATGAGGCAGACTCAGTCGGAGGTTCTGACAATATTGGCGGATTTAATCGAAGATCCACCAGGCTTTGACTGGAGTCATTTTGACGCTCTCGGGCAGGAGAGTGAGGATGAAGATATCGTTGGTATGGGCCAATACGGGGGGATGCAGCTAGCGCTGCAGTACGACGCCCCCTCGTCAGCGGTTTGGACTTTGTAGCACCACCTACGGATGTAGTGTGAAAACAGGTTATTGCGCAGGTGACCACAAACAATTCACTCGGATCGCACTTGCATGTTACTGCTTAACATTAATGACATCCATTGACATGGCCAAGGCACTGAAGGCGGTTTTGATGACGAAGGCGTCAAGGCCGAAGACGACACAGAAACTTTGAGAAGCATGCGTATTTTCTGGGTCGGTGCCTGGGCTAAATGGTTGCATCAGTGGATTAGATCTTTTTTACGACGTGCATGACAGCAACCAAGGCTATTTATATTGACAGGTCCTGACTAACCCCGCGTATGTTGTTGTCGCGTGGGTTGAAATCCAAGACGCGTCAACGCGCGCCAGACTGCAAAACCGGAGCATGTCATAGAAAAACGACCTGGTCTTTGGGTTATTTCGAAACAGGAAGCCTCGCTCAGCGTTCATGGCGATTTACCATCAAATTCGTTCCTTGAAAAGGCACTGGTGAAAAGCTCTAGAGCTAGCGGTCCGAGCTTTCCCCCTGGACGATGACGTGCCGCGTAGGTTGAGCGCGGGGAAGGGCGGGGGATGTTTACTCAATTAGGCGCCGACCCCACATGATCCCGTCCAGTCCATTCTTTCATTCTCGGAGGTTTGCTGTCTTTGACTGAGCCACCCTGATGGACTTGCTTCAATGTTGCGGTCTTCAGACGGATCGCACTCAGCTGATCTTCAGAACCATGTGTCTCACAAGACCGTCGCTGGGGTGCTGGGGGTGGAAGTAGACCACATAAAACCCGGGTGGTAGCCATTAGGCATTCAACGCCCCCCTTCCTTCTTGACCCAGAGTATAGTAAAGATGTTCTTTAAGGCTCTCGTTGCTGCTGCCGTCGTCACTGGCGCGTTCGCTCAAGATCCCTCGCCCCCAGATGTCTGTACATTGCTCACGCTGGCGTACATACTCACGTTCCGTTCTGACTTCTTCCCCATTCTAGGCCTTGGAGGGTCTGACCATCTACGCTCCGGATAACTCGTTCCAGGCCAGTTTCATGCGCCGCGGAGCGACCTTGACTAACTTCTGGGTCCCGGACAAGGTGTGTCGCTCGGAAGTTTCGACTTCAACCAAATATGCTTAAATCGACTACTAGAGCGGTAACTACCGTGATATCATCTTGGGTTTCGACGACCATGTAGGTGGAGTCTCTGATCTCTAGGAGACAGCGTCTCACTTGCTCTTGTAGACACACTACGTGTCCGATGACCTCGGTCACCCGTACTTTGGACCGGTTGTGGGCCGGTGAGTCCGCTTATAACAGCCAGCGTAGATTGTGGGTTCTAACCCGTCTTCTCAGCTATGCCAACCGCATCAGGAACGGCACCTTCACCATCCCCACCTCTAAATGGGCGACTGGTCCTGGGGATGTCTACCATGTTCCTTTGAACGAGAACAACCGTACGTATCTATGTGGTAGTTGACCCATTTCACGTCTGATAGCATTTGTCTAGTAACCGACACTCTTCACGGGGGTTTGACTGGTTACGACCGTCGCAACTGGACTCTCACCGCGGCGACGAACAACTCGCTCACCTTCAACTTGACTGATGTCAGCGGCAATCAGGGTTTCCCCGGAACCGTTAACGCGGGCATTCACTACGAGCTCGCGTCGAACTTGACCTTCAAGATCAACATGTACGCTACATCTGACGAGGACACCCCCATCTTGATGTCGTGCCATCACTACTGGAACTTGGAGGCCTACCAGGAGTCCCAAAACTTGACTGGCCACATGGCCATGATCAAGAGCCCAAAAGTCACTCTCGACAACGGCTATGAGATCCCCATGGGTACTTACATCGACGTGGCGGGAACTCCTTTGGACTTCAACACTGCTAAGTCCATTGGCGAAGCTATCCCCCAGACTGCAGGAAAGGACTACTGTGGTACTAGTACGTGAAACCTCATCTCTCTCTCCGCTCATCCCACTCATCCACGTAATCCCTCAGATTGCACCGGTATTGACAACTGCTTCATCTACGACAAGCCCGCGTCCAACAGCTCGACCTCCTCGAGCGATGACGAATCCTTGTTCTCGATCTGGAGTGTTAACTCTGGAATCAAGATGGACGTCACCACCAACCAAGCTGCCCTTCAGGTTCGCAATACATCCTTTGGTAGTTAAGCTACATTGTTCTAATGCATGCTTTGTTTCAGATGTACACCTGCAACGGCCTCTACAATGCTTCCACCCCTATTCCCAGGAAAGCCTCGCAGGGTGGCCCCAGCGAGCACTACCCTAACTACTCCTGCGTTGTGCTTGAGCAGGAGAACATTATCGATGCTATCAACAACCCCGAGTATGGTGCTGATGAGATCTACGGCCCTGGCCGTGACTACGTCTGGGAGGCTGTCTACAAGTTCTCCGCCTCAGGATAAACGAGCGCTGGATATTGGGATAGTGTTAGGGCGCCTTCCTCTCAAACCTACTTCAAACGGCCATGTCACTGGCAAGTATCACACTCGTTTCAGTATTTATTTATACGACAGTAGTCCGCTCGCTAAATTCTGCTAATACCTACATTTAAAAGACTTTGCTGTGCCCTCGTTGTCGTTTCCATTGAATTGATGATTACTGAGTGGAAGCTAAGGAGAATGTTCAGAATGTGTGGACTCTTGCTTTCTACATAGGCCTCCAGAGTTACTGGGGTTACATAAGCACGCTGTCCAGAGAGTTGCCTATTGCAACCCTGGCGGCGCTCTTAGTCTCCACATTTCGCCTCGGAAGAGCAGCTGCACCGAACTCGCAATGTGTCGCCCGTAGGCCTTACTTCCCTGTCAAATATCTCTCTGCAGACTTATAACAATCTACCGCAAACTCGTCGATCCTTGCCTCTCTTTTCCTCGTTATGCATATCTTCACCCCCAATCACGTGCACCTAATTGCAGCATGTTCTCCACCGTCATCCGCCCTCCTCTCCGCAGGTCCAGAATATCGGCCAAACGCTCAGGAGCTTTCCAAACTCACCTACTACGCCGCGAACCGCCCCGGTAAAATTAATAAACTCGGAAGTGAGCTCGAGAAGCGGATCAAGTCAGACAGTCACAAGGCTCAGGCCGGGAACGCTCGAGCCCGAGCGTGAGTTATCATACGCATGTTGGTGACCTGACAAATATTCAAGCATGTTTGCCATAGTTCTCTCCTGATTAATCTTGCCATTCTAAGAGACTTAGCTGTTGAATGTCGGCGGGAAATATCCCTTCTGTCACCGTCTTTGGTTGCCAGTATCAAGAATGCACTGGATGCGCTCCTCACCGACTTGGAAGTGTCTGCTAGGGCTGCTAGTGTGGTACGTCTGCACTCAACCACGCTCCCTTTCTTTTACTCAGCTAGAAGCTAGTTTACAGCCTGGTGCACCTACACTGATGGCCACGTCATAGGTGCAGATGCTATGCTTAACCAAGACTATCTCTCCATTCTCCACAAGTTTGCAGATCAAAGCGTTGCTGACCGCAAATCTGTTGATGATGAAATGAGAAACAGGTGAGGCAATTTCTCAGCGTTTTGCGACTATGCCAACGATATGTCAGAGCTCGACTTGTCGGCCTTGCCGCTCTTAATGGGGTTGTTACCTCCGATGTGCTTTACAGCTCGTCAACCCACTTCAAAGCACAAGTTTCTGTCATCATACAGCCCATCCTTTATCACATCATCAATACGGATCCGGAAGCACTGGAAGAAAGGTAGGGATACGTCAATCGTGACTCTAGCTACTTACATATGTGCTCGTAGTGCTGTCAAGGTCAAGGGCAAAACCACGACTTCTTACCTCCAGGAATACAGGACAAAGCCTCAGCTGGAGCGACGAGCAGCCTCTATACATGCTCACGTAGATGGTGAAAGTGGCCCTTCAACGTCCGAAGTTGTCGATGCCTCACTGCGTGTGTTGCTCAACCTTATGCAGCACTCTAGCGGCGGTCAAGTTGGAGTCATAACTCAAGCCATTTTTGAGAGTCTTGAGCAGCTACAAGGGTGGGAGAGAAAGTCACAATGCCAGTGGCTTGCACAGAAGATTTGCGAATGGACGCAATATCAATACAGATACGCATTGCCAACTCGTCTTGTGGAGCAACTCCTAGACACACAAGACTCTCCAGAACCCACAAGTCAACAAGTCACCCTTGTCGCGATGGTGACTATGGTCTTTACTTCCTCGATACCCCTCATCAACCTCTCGACGTCTGACATCATCTCCAACTTGATCTCATTGGTTTTGCGGCGTGTGTCTATTCTCCCTGATGACCCACTCTTGCCGGCTCTCGTCGAAGCTATTTCGTCACTCGGTTGTCATATCTATTACTCGGATCAGATTTCTGACCTTGCTGCTGAGCTCATAAGTCGTCTGACCTCTATCGAGAATCAAAGTGTCTTGAGGGCCGAATCAGAGAACGGGGGCAAAGCACGGAGTCAAGCAGTCAGGACTCTGCTATCAGGCTTACTGGGACTCATGAACGCAGCCAACAACCACGCTCAACCCAATGAACTTGAGCGACAAAATAGCATGATCAAAGCACCCTCTGTTTCCCAGAGGAGCGAGGGCGAGACTGTCGCCTCGGATCCACACCCTCGTGTACTACGGAGGACTCGTGTATCTGCAGAAACTTGGCGGGAGACGTTGACCTTCTTGTGTGACGCTGATTTCCCTGTGCGAAGTGACTATGCACAAAGCTTGGTCAACTACATGCGCATTGAGATACCGAAACGCGAAGCCCATATCGCCTCAGATGGTGTCAGAAGACCAGCCCCTCTATCAGAAACCAGTCCCACTGTTCAGGTCAATAGCGTGAACTTGCTGTTGTTTGGAGATTCCACGTCACGTTTCTTGCACGCTGTTCATGCACACGTTTACATTCTGGCGACATCGACGCTCGTGAACGTTTTTAATGTGACGCCATCTCCCGACGGTTCCCGCAGTGCCGACCTTGCTTCTACAGGCGTTGTTTCTGCTATTATGGAGGACGATTCTGGGTCTGTGGGCAACTCTATAGACCCACATACATCGTCCCCACAACGATGTCGCTCGCTGGTTCCTTCTACGCCAACGAAGCGTCAATCGACTTTGCAACGACTAGTCGATCCTTCGACGCGAGTCTCGTCCTCTACAACTGCATCTTTATCCGACTATGCTCACATATTAATGGTCCTCATTGTGATTCATGAAGAGATGCCCATCCGAAGCCTGCTTACAGGTGTCCCGATGCTCTTGGCCTTGGATGACGCCGCTACTTGCGATGCCAACTCCGATGAGCTCACTAAACAGCGAGCTAAGGCGGTATTGACCGTCCTCGCGCAAGTTTGGTTGAAAATGGCCAAGACTTGGAACTGCCCTGAGCTCGCAGCTATTGCCACAGAGGTGCGTACATCTGTTACTTCTGTTTGGTCAGGAACTAAAATTCTCGCAGGCAATGGACTCTCTGGACGGACCACCACACCTGCCATCCCTAGCTGTACAAATGCCAGGGGTCTTGCGCCCCGCAGAACAGCCTGTCCTTTTTGGTGATGAACATGTAACAATTCCTCTTGCGCGTGTGGACACAGCACGAGCCGTGGTGTTTTTATCAGCGTCTCGTTCTGCCCAGGAAGCCACGGGCTTGGATGAGGAAAGTTTACACCGTCGATTGACTACGAAGTGGTCACCAGAGCTGGCACTCAAAGAATGTAAGTTTCAAGCTTCAGTGGGTTCTGTGTCACTAACGTCCGGATCCAAAGCTGTGGAGCGTCCCAGCAGCACGCGTCACGTTACTGACGGAACGTCTCATCTCAAATTATCCCCAGCTCTTATGGCGATAGAGAACATGTCGTTGGCAAGCCTAACGCGGTCTGTCCGCGGTGGTGTAGGTGTCAGTGACCTACGTGAGGCGCTTGAGGGTCGCAACAACGCTTCTAACCCGGCCTTGGCCAAAGCCCCGTCTCTGTCCACTCTGGACCACACCTCTTCATATGATCATAGGCTGGAGTTGACGAAAGTGCGGTCCCGGCCAAAGAAGCGGTCACCTGCTCCTGGGACTGGTAATGTACGGGATGTGCTTGACGGACTAGGTATAGGCAAACAATCCGGGAACAACCTCCTGAAAGCCTCGTTCCCTGCCTTGCAGAAGTCAGCCACTCAGTGAGCTTTACGGTACTCTTCACGCTAACAAATTGTAACATCACTTTGAACAGATCGTCGTCTCTAGCTCCTGATTCATAATGTTCTCTAAGAATCTCTCCCACACTCATTTTTACATAGACTGAACTTGATTGTTACGCCTATTAGTCTAACAGTAGTCTTATTGCACCTATTATCTATTACCTTGCGGGACACTGTTATCGTCTACCGGACCTTTTCCCTTGGTTTACAGATACTATTCTCCTCCGAGCCTCCTCTTCTTTTTCGGCCCAATACGCGCTTTCTTGTTGAGATTTAGGATGCACACTCAACTGAGGATTACGCTATACCCATATAAATTAGGACAGACAAATCACACTGTTTGTGACGAATACGTACCATTAGTGCCTGTAGAAGGACTTCGTACAAGGAAGATTGCTTGGTGGCTTTGGCACCGGGATCACTGATGCTGTCGGTATGCTTAATGATTAGCTTCGTTAACTCCTGCCTAAGGCGGAGTAGACTGCAAATGGTCAGCGCCAGACTTTGATACAATACGGTGGATCGTACTTCGAAAAAGTCATGGTTTCCTCCTCTTGCTCTGTTAAAGTGACAAAGGCAACGAAAATGGCCGCGTATCGTGTACATATCTAACTTGCGGTCAGGAAAAATGCCTAGGATGACAATAACACATACTGCAGAGATAGATTCATCTGTTGTTGTAGCAGCTCGACTGAAGTAGCTTGTGGAAGAACCCTCAGCTAGCTTTCTCAGCGCCTCAACCTGCTCTGACATGACTTTTTGAAAGATAGGCCATATTTGCAAACGGATCGTGAACATGAATGTCTCAAGAGGCGCACAGCCGCGTCTCTGGACTTCGGCAATGATTACCTCACTGAGCCGTGCCATGGTCAAAATGGGTATCAGAGATGGGCTGGGTTCCAGCAATGACGAGATAAAAGTCTATTTGGGACAGACTGTTAGCTAACTCAGTTGACCAATTTGGCTAATGGAAGCAGACCTTCGAGTAGTCTAAAATCGGTTCAACAATTTGTTTCCACAGGGCGTCAAGTGATGCTTGTTCTGTCTTGGACAAAGGTGCCGACTGCGCAGCATCAGATTCACCCCTGGCGTGACTGAACGTTCTAGCAATTGGAGTAGCCAGCTCGGATTCTAGGACCGACTTTCGGTCGTCAGCACCACCTCTGTCAGGTGATAGAAGCATGCTGCTCTCCCCAGGAGAAAAAGCAGTCAGCTTGAGTGTCGGCCTCGCGAATGGCTCCGGCCGGAAAAACTGCATAACAAACGAGTATTCCGCTGTGGCGTTGTCCATCAACACCATCATCAAGGACCTGTATATAGCCTCAGTGGATTCTTTCTGGGAGGTATTCGTCAGAAATTTCAGTCTGGAAAAGCAACATTCGTACGTACATATGACTTGTTGTCTCCCATGAACGCTAGGATCACACCCGGGCCGTCCAATTTTGCATGCATGAGACGACTAGGACCGAAATCCGCATCTCCCTTTTCGCCGCTTGCCGGGATAATAGTTTCCACTGTTTGCGGTGACCTGCTCTGGTGTCGGAGAATGAGATTGAAACTGGCTAGGATGGAAAAAGGTAAACCTTACCTTGATCCATCCAAGACTACGAATGTATCGCCTAAAACCGGTTTCATAGTAAGTGCGCACAGCACCTGCATATGATCTCTGGACTTCTTGTGCAACAGGAGGCGCTTGCCTCTGCAGAAAAGCGAAGAGTGGGCGATATTTCATCAAGACGGACGCTTGCATAACTTGCATGTTCGTAGTCGCACTTTCCCGTATAGGCTGAAATATTGCGAGGAAGAATGCCCTCAGTTTTGTGGCTACCTTTCTCTTAGTAAGCACCCACCACAGATGGGCGAGTTGGTAACACTCACCACGATGCGCAATCCTTCGGCTACATCTGCGAGATCCCGTGCAGCCTTGACACGCGAACGAGCCTTCAAAGACTCTAGTCGCGTCTCAAAGTTCTGGATAGCAGGTATCCAAGGCTCGCCTACATCCGTGCTCAACAATGTATTAGCCAGAGGAGGTGGGATGACAAGCTCGGAGAGTAGTCCGGAGAGTGGTTTCTCGATTTTCTGAGTAGGCAATTAGTGGGTCGGTCATAGAAAAAATGCTGGAGCTAAGACATACGCGCCGGCTCCTCAATCTATTGTCGATATCTTTGCTGCGATCCTGAAGTTCCGAAATTTGTCCTGATACCAAAGACAAGTCCTTCTGGAATGTGGCGAGGAAAGATTCGAGAGAATCAAGAAGACCTGTGCTAGCCTAAAGAATGTTGTTAGCCAGTCAATGCCTTGCAGCTGTAGAGGTTATGGGTTTGAAAGGCACCTTTACTTGGTCGTGTAGCCCGACGAATTCCCTTGCTTTGCCATGATCTAAGTGGAATGGGTAAGGGTTATATGGGCAGTGCGTCGGCCGTTGTCCCAGAGGACTCACAGAAAAACTTGTCGCGATCGCCAGGTTCATTCCGAGTCACGCCCTGTGAAAGTCCTACAGTCAAAGAGTATTTATGAGCGTTGGCTCTAAGAGAGGATTGTGCGCTCGCCTTCGAGAGTGCTGTTACCAGCCATAAGCTACCTCCGTCACGGAACCAATTAATGACTCCCAAGTAGTGAACCAGTTAGTCTTTCCCAATTAGGAATATCTCCTGTTTTGACTCTAAAAACCAACTGGCACCCAACACCACAAGCATTATGGCACAAACTCGCTACAGACTCGTGATTAATCCACACTTTGAGCCCTGTCCTGGACGTATTGCTTATCAACCGAATCTACGGGCTTTTGTTTCTCTCGCGAGTCTCACTACAGCTTGAAGCCTCTGACAGTGCTGCTGCCTCACACTCGGGACTCGAGTCTCAGCCGCAACATGAAGTGCTCAAGCTCAAGGCCCGATCAAAATAAGCTACGTACGCAGCTCAGGCTTCCATACTCTTACCTCAGGCATCCAGCATAATCATTCATGGGCCTCAGCTTTCGTCACATGCGTAAACTCTGGCTCGGTAAGTCTTTCAACCTGTTGGATGTATAGCTTTGTGGCTCAAGATACCTCGCGCTTAGTCCTTATGGCCCTCCTGTCCTTGACCTGTATCATTATCTCCATGATCCTCTGGGAAAAAGGCTATTGCAAGGACAGCTCTCTTGCTCCTCTGCTCGCCATTCCTTTGGGCTCTATAATTGGAGTGCTGTGGTCGTATGTTATTAACATGTTATTATTGATCACAACTGAGGTGTCTCCGCAGAACCACTCGAAAACAATTCAAGCAAAAGCAGATGGTCTGCTTAGAGATTACGTGGATATCCTCTATGGTCCCATTTCAGATCGGTAAATCCTTATCTTTCTGACGATGAACCGTTGACTCTAAATCCTGAGCGATCCTGGACAGTTCTTGGTCTATTTGCGATGGGCCTTGAAGTACCTTCGTCTATCTCCGAACATACGTTGTGTAATGCTCTCATCATCAACGTTTGGTTGAATTGCACCCTCGGTAAGCTGTGACTAACACCTGGGTTAGTGCTTCTTATTCACCACCAATGACAACAGCATTCAGTTACGCTACCTCACTCGTTCTCTTATCTATCTTTACGCATTTGTCTTATGACAAAGATGTCTGGTCTCGCGACCTCGACTCCAGCCCCTCGCCGTTCCCTATGGTCGCCATTCTAGTCTTTGCATTTCCTTGCTTAGCCCCGCCCGAGGATTGCAGAGAACAAGGGCTGCAGTGTCTACCGGGTTGTGCATGCGCAACAAAGCTTTCTCAGTCGTCGTCAATGTACGCCGAGCCATCGATCCAAGATACATCTGAAGATGTACTCAAACCAGAAGGTACTGTAAAGGATTCACAGCTTATACCAGTCCGGGTCCCTACCTCAATGGATAGACGCAATGTGATTGTTGTGGAATTTGGAGCCTAATAGGGCTCTTCTTCAGAAAATTCAAGAACATATATATCAAAGCATGCATGTACCTAGCTGTAGAAGAATAGCTAAGAGACAAGTATCGAATCGAATTTTTAGTCAAAGGATGCGAGCAGATTGAGCATCGTATTATACGAATGAATTAACCAAAAGAAAAGGGTGAACACAATGTCATTTTCCTAACGATTGAGGATCTTGACGATTTTTCTGTTTGGCACCCTAGCTACTTGGATTTTTTCTGCAACTCGTCTTGTATCTGGTTAATGAGCGCCTTTTCCGTCTTATCCAAGTATTGGGCCTTAAAAGCCACCGAGCCGCACACTTGCTCCGCTTGTTGTAACGCTGAGCCAATAATAGTGACGAGCTGCATAGTCTTAACAGGATCACGATTCAGGAGCTAGACAACGTTGTTAGTCGCTAGTTATAACCTAGATTGCGATGACCTACCTCCTGTCGACGGGTGTATTCTAGCGTATTTTCCGAGCCGTTGTAGAAGCTGTGTGGGACTTCATCGAGATCCCAATGTCTAATCAATGGTACGTTCCCGTCGCTGCTTCGGTGTTTAGGGGGCTGAATCAAACTATGATGGCCACGACACACCTCGAATCCTCCGACAAATTCTGCGACTCCTTGATCTCATATAACACGTCCGTCCACATGTTGAAAATCTCGTTTGGCAGACGGTCCAAAACCTCAGGGCGACCCGTTGAAACCAATGAGGCCATTCCAATAGCCACAAGTTTACGGTGTCTAGGTTCTGACATGTGATCAAACTACGGGCGTGTCAGTGTTAAGGGAAAGACCAAGGAATGGAAAATACCTGTCTCCACCACTGGTCTAAGACGATCTCAAAGACAGTAGCTTCCGGGACATTCTTGGACTGAGCTACCGCAGCAACGAGTTGCAGGAGCATTTGGCGATCAGCGAGTGCAATGCGCGCAAGGAGGTACACGCATTCTGTGTAAATCAGTGTGGAACTCTGTAACCACATTAGCAGTTGTCTGGGCCTCTTCGATCGCTTCCGTACCTTTTCATCCTCGAGTATGCGGACGATGTGGGGGAATACGCCGGAGATATGCAGGGCCTCTCCCCACAAAGATGCAGGAGCGCACTGAGCGACAAACTGGAAGACCACCAGGATGTCTCTGATGTTGGCAGATATCGCCTGGCCGGCAAGAGGCGTCAGGGCTGCCTGAAAAAGCTGGACGGCAAAGTTCTTGGTTTAAAACAAGTAAGTCATCCTGTCTCGTTTCTGAGCAAGTCTGCCTACCTGTAAGATGGTTGTCGCGTCCAATATGATGTAAGATTCAATGATAGATGTAATGCTTCCAAGTAAATCAAGATGTTCAGACATGAGCGACAGAGCGAGCGGGAATAATTCCAACAGCGAGGGTTGACCCGGGGCACTAGTCAGCGTTGATGCGTTTCTAATGGTCATCGTCCACAAGTTGAGACCATCTTCGTCAAGATGCACGGCAACCTAAACAAGAATCAATGGGCACATGTTACGATTGAAACCTTGTATGCTAGATTTACCTTCGGAGACAGGCTCTCGCGTATGAGCGGTATAATAAGACCATGGAGGGAGGGTGAATGGTCTTTGGTCGCCTGGAACAAGTCTCATGAGCTGATACATTGACGGAGTCATCAAAACCAACCTCAACCAGACTCGTCACCGTCACCAGCAGCGAAGCTTTCAATAACCACTCCTCGTCCGCGTCAGTCCCTTCCAAGAGGTTTAGTTAATAAGTCATTTAGGAAGTAAAAGGTAAGTGTAGGGCCTCACAAAGGGACGGTATGGCATCCGCTATGAGCTGAGCGTGCGGGTTAATCTAAACGGTGACTTTGAGCTTTGTTCGGACAGACGGGCTGGATAAAGCTTACCCATTGATCACCACGTTGTATTACGACGTTCAGAGTATCAACCAATCGACGTTTACTCTCGATGGCATCCGCTTCGTTGACCAATTTCAACAACTCAGTTGCCGCCGTGGGTAAATATGGAGCAAAGACGCTGATGTCGAATTCCACTGTCTGGAAACTCGAAGATAGGTCAAGGACAACTATGAATTAGAGGAGTAAGTACGTACATCTACGCACTCGCGAAGTGCGTGGGCGGCTGTCAGGCGCACGACGGCGTCCGTCCCTGGCCCACGATCGTGCAAGAGGTGAATAAGAACTTTCCAAATGTTTGGATCGCTCGGAGGAGAGCATGAGTCTCCAATCCATTTTCCTATAAGCCAAGCAATGCGACGTTTGATGATCGGAAAGCTGAGAAGCAGACCATACATGAGTAATTTTGTTAAACAAAAAGGGAAAGCATATAGTACTTGGCGTTCGTGCTTTGAGCTTCAGCGACGAGGTTATGTTTGAGCCACTCTGTGAACGGTATCACGTCTTTTAGACGTGTTGCACATCGACCTATAGCGCAATAGATGGCCTCCTTCTGGACGACGCTTGCAAGGTCTTCAGTGGGCTGACCTACCGTAGGATGAGATCACAAGTAATCCATGGGAATGTTGCGCACTTGCCAACTATCTGCTTGAAGGTCGTTTCAAGTAGTGGTGTGACGTATTGCTTGTATTGAGACGAGAGAGTCACCAGAACTCGTTCACCGCATGGCTAGCAATGCCTGAGATGCGGTTTAGCATATTTGATGAGCTATTAACTTACGCGAAGCTCATATTCCCACTGCTCGTTCTCTCTGTCTTCCATGTTGACCCATTCCTCCGGGTCAGCCATCCAGCCTTCAAGATCAGCTGGGTTCAGAGGCATGAAACGCGTGACAAGTAGACGAACAGCTTCCTCGACGAACTCTTGCGGAAGAGCTACAGGCAGATTAGCGTCTGAGAGTACTCTCAGAAACGGTTCTATAACCACATACTTAATTCGTTGGGTGTGCCGTTTTTGCGAACCGGGGTCCATTGTGCGAGATTATCTTTAAACAACACCATGGCTTGTACCAACAGCCGGACAGGATACACAGCGGTATTAGAGTCTGAAACTGACGTTGAGAGTCGTGCACAGCTTCTATAGTTGATGACAATACCTTCTACGTAATCCGGCGGACTGTTCGTTGCCTGCACGACCTTCTCCCAATAGAAGAGGACTAGTTCACTGCAGCCCGGTAGTAAAACGAAACGTGTCGTGTCGAGCTGCTGCATCCTGCGAAACAGCTTTCCAAATACTCGGACATGTCTAGTGAGCTGGTCTAGGGATTTTGCAACAATTGGCTCCAGTGTAGGCGACCTGACCACGACGACCAGTTGCGTGCGCAGATCAAGCAATGTTTTGGCTTGACTTGACGACGCTTGGAATAGTTGAGCAAGCTGCTAGGGTGAATATACTGAAGGAAAGATGATGAAGCATTGAAACACACCCAGCCTTGCATATCATCAATATTGGCTCTGGCCTTTCCGGTCTTGCCAAACTGCCCATACACCCATACACCCATCTTGACAAGACATTTATAGACTAGATGGGCAATTAGAAGGTTTTGAGGCGTACGCTGTTGACCGAGGTCGTTGGGGGTGAGGGCTGACAGGGATGCTGACAGTTGAGAGTAGTAGAGAAACATGCCGCCATGAAGTTGACCGGTGATCTTCAGGTGCGTCAGGCTAGCGGAACGGGTGGTATTCAGAGTATACTGACCTGGGCCATGGTCTGTATACCTCCTGGCAACTTGATGCTAGCAAACTCTTTGATGATGGAGTTGAGAGCCTTCAAGCTACGACGAAGAACGAGATATGCGGCGGAATCTGGATTGCCTGAAATATGAAGCTGCATATTGGTATTAATGATTTGTGTCAACTCAGTTATGAGATTGGGCCTTTAAGAGTTTTCAGAGAACCCTCAAGATATAATAATGGGCCCATCCGCACCAGGCAGTAGGAAAGTCCTGGCGAGCAAGCCTGGCCATGATAATTTCATTGACCTGAGCGATCTAAGGCTAGTTGAGTCTGAAACCAACTGATACATTACAATACACGTACTGTATCGTCCTCTTCTGAAAGGAAAGCCATGCACCGTGTGCGAACACGCGTCCGGTGTTCATCATTAAGAACTCTGATATCACGTCCACATCGTCACAGTGATGGTTCGGAGGGCGGCAAGCACTTACTTGCGAGATTTCCAATGTGCTAGCGCGGCGTTCTTGAACTGAATGATAGCCTGTTGCCGAATCTGAGGGGCAACAGATTTCTGTGACGCGATTTCATGCAGGCCATCATAGGTCCCAAACATGTCCATCATTTCCTTGAGACGCGTACTTGATGCCTGTACGCGCCAGGGCTCCTGGGAAGTGGCGGCGGAGATGACATTGAAGAGCTCCTCCTGATTCACGTTTTCGACCTGAACGCCGAGCTTTTTAGACTCGTTCATTGTTGCTCAACGAAGATCGATGGACGAGTGAGTGTACGAACTAAGAATCTGGGCGACCGCGGATCGGATTCCGGCGCGAGGGGGAAACCTTGGTCCCAAGTCAATGGGCACCAAACATGCACACATAACGCGTCTTCAATTGGAAGACGCCGGCAAGGACGCCGGCCACCGTGTCAACCGCGTCATTAAGAATGCTCACCAGCGCAGACATTGATTTCCTCTTGTGCGACACCATCGATGTTGTTGAGGACTCCGAGCCAGAGCGGGAAGAGTTACGCAAATGCAAGAAACGCAGACTGGGCAATGATATACATGTTGTACCAACCAGTTTCCGTCAAGCAGGGACTCCGGCAGCGGCGAGTCTGGTAGTGCACGCTGGTTCAACGAGTGCCTCTGGAGAAGCAAGCACAAGTCGCGTTTACGACAAATCACGAAGTACAGCCCACGTATACGACCATCAATGTGTTTTCTCATCCTTGCTCAGCAGATCTTATGCCTTCAACGCGGTTCTTGAGTGCGCACAATGTAGTCACACCCAACAATCTTCCTGGTAATGATGACCTTGCATGTAAGTCTCATAATCCTTTCGAATGGTTACCGATCCCTAAGCCATCCCGAAGCCCACGGCCATTGTGCTACTTACTCTCCAAACCCGGGCGAAAGACTGTGCAGTGACTCCGACTTGCCGCACCCGTATTCCCCTATGGCTGAACCTTCAATGCCACCTTTCTGTCCGACACCCCTCCCGACCATGGCCGTCAATGAGTTAGATGACGACGAATCTTCTGGTCTTCGACTCAGTCAATTTGCATATAAACCTGCAGTCTCGATGAGGCCTTCTATGTCATCGGGCAGCGACAAACCACCACATCTGCCAGATGCCGCCTCACGAAGTGACAAGACAAGACGGACATCTGGTTACCCAGTGACCGACGACTTCACGGAAGAACAACTTATTGCTCTCGTCAAGTGCGTCAGCTGTGATATGCGCTGGACAACGCGAAAAACAGCGAAGCAGAAAGTGATTCATATACAGTTATGCGCAAAAAAGAACCGCTTGACGTATGATACACTGAGAGCCCTTGTCCGCCGAAGCATCGCCCCCGCTGACGGTGCGCGCTCTGGAACAACGACATATCTTGATTGTGTCATTAGCGACACAGCGACACGGAAGGGGAAACGACCGAAGGTCCTGACTACCGTGAAGTCGCTACCGGAGACCCGAAACGAGATTCTGGACCGCGCTCGAGAACTTTTAGTAGGCCGCACCAATAAAGAGCCACCGGAGACGCAAGCCTTCGGAGTTAGTCGATTTGCTTCAGCGTACTCTGAGCAGTCGTCAGACGGCAAGAACAACTCTTTGCCGAACTCTGTGGGTGCAGGGGCGTCTTCCACTTCAAGACATGAGCCACTTGACAGAACAAGTCGTTCGGGCGCTGTGGCACGAAGTGATTGTCCCTCACCTGTCAGCACCAAATCCCGGTATACCGAAGACGAGCTGCCGGCGGCAACGCAACAGTTTGGCGTCTCCAGACTTGCTGTAATGCAGGCTCGGCGTAGGCTAAATTTGGATACTGGGAGTTGAGACAGTACTTGACAAGTGCAGTTCCCATGTTGCGCAGAGTTCATGTGGATGTTCTACATTTTTTCATCTTTGTTACCGATCTTCGGCTTGTCAAGAAATTGTCGTGGAGGATGAAGAGCACCTCGACTCTCTCGACTTGCGTACATACAACGTTGACCCGAGACATTTGAGGCGAAAAAGGTAAACGAGATGGAGCAGTTTGACAAGTGTGAGCTGCGGCTTGGCGGTCCAGATTCTCCCATGGGCCCCACTGATATGTGGAATGGAACGTGCTGGAAACAGGGGAACGATGACAAGGACAGGTTACTGCAAGTACCCATGGAGGCTAATTACTATAGGTACTACATAGTTATCGTTGTTCAAACAGGCCGGTGCGTAAGCAACAACAGTCTTCGTATGTCGAGAGGATTGATGATGGCATCCGGAAGCTGTCCTGCCAAGGGAAAGGGGGGTCTCTTTCGGAGCAGCTGTCGATTCTGATGGCCGTCACGTCAATGCTCCTCCCCTGGCAATATAGGGCAATATGCTGCCCCCAATATCGCTCCTCACCCCGTGATTTTTCTTCCTTGTCCTCCTCGCCATCGCTTGGACCTGGTATCCCTGCTTGCATGCTCTCCCTCTTCCTCCTCTAGATGGCCCCTCAGACAGAGAAAACCACTCCTTCAGATGAAACAGGCTCCTTTAATGGCGTCAAGGAACGCGAATACTCAGAGTCTCCATCATATCCTGAAAAGCCTCACGAAAGTGTAGTCGCTCCCTCTCCCAATAATGATGGCGGAAACGACTCATCCGACACTGAAACTCACTCCGAAGATGAGTTTGACTGGGACGAGGAGGACTCTCTGCATCCAAAAACATCGCACGATCATCACAGAAAGGCGCGTCGCGGCCGCGCCATTTGGCTCGCGTTTATGAAGCTCGCTCGTCCAATCCGTGTCATACTCTTTGGCGTTTTGGGTACCGCCATCCTCATTGCCCCTTTGCTCGTCGTTGAACTTCGCTTCAAGAACGAAGGCAACGTTCAACCCCAGGTCCATGCTTGGTCTCTCTGGCTCTCCATTACTTTCGCTGCTTCTTGTATAACCTATCTTGTTGTCGACGCTATCCCCCGTATCGTAATATTTGTAGTTGTACTCTTTGGAGGGCAAGTGGAGCGCCTCAAGACGCAGTTGGAGGTATGATGACACTTTTTCCTGTCACTCTGTCATCCACTAAATTACGCGCAGCTTACCCTCGCGGTTTCAGGCTGGCTCAAACTGGCTCTGGATATTGCTTGGGCATGGATAGCCCTTTCTGCTATAAGGGCCTTTTATCAGCCTGCGGGTTCATACTGGGTGATCATCAATCGCGTGATGCAGGTATGACGGCCCTCTCTTCTTTCTGCTTCGAGATGGACATGTTCTCAACCTGATATCAAGGCTCTCTTTGCGGCCGGGATCATCTTGTTTGTCGAGAAACTCTTCCTTCGCTTTGTCGCTATCCAATTCCACCAAAAGGCCCTCGCAGATCGACTCGCTGAGAATCGTCTTGGATTAAAAGCCCTTGACCGCCTTTCTAATGCCCAGCCTATGGCTAACAAGCGCAACCCCTACATGAAGAAGGGTCACAAGAGCACTCAGAGCACACATGGCACTTCGCTCAATATCAATGATCTGCAGGCTGTTGCGGCTGGGAACGAGAAAGAGATGTATGCTCCCAAGGCGAAGGACTCTCACGCCGAAAGGAGGCGACAGCGTAAAAAGGCTATGGCTGCCATTATTGTTGATCAAGTTGGCGGTGCCATCGGTCAGGTTGCCCTGAAGAACTCGAGGTTCAACCGGGGAACTGAGCTTGGTAGCTTGAGCTCAGCCCGTAAGCTTGCAAGGAAGCTGTTCAGTGCGCTGAGTGACAGGCAGCACCTCGGAGTAGAGGGTAAGTAAGCATACTTCAAGTGCACTAGCTTGTTCTCAGTTTCTCTCTGAAGATTTTTACCCGTACTTCAAATCAACAAGCGAGGCTGTAAGTTACTGGAGTCAGCGCTTGATTCTCATACTTACATTTCTCCAGCATGCCGCGTTTGCCGTTTTTGATAAAGATGGCAATGGCGATATCTCAAGGAAGGAAATGCGTGAAGCGGTACAGAGAATTTATCGCGAGCGCAAGGCTCTGACTGCGAGCTTGAAGGTAGACTGATCATCATTCTCATAGATGCATGTCTGACAGTTCTGCTTTCTCAAAGGATGTCGGATCAGTCGTTGCGAAGCTTGACGCTGTTTTGGTCGTGCTAGCACTCCTGTTCATCTTGTTTGCTTGTCTTTTGATCTTTAACCGCAGTGACACGATCTCGTCCCTCGTGCCACTTGCAACCCTTATACTCGGGTTTTCGTTCATCTTCGGACATTCCGCTCAGCTGTTGTTCGAATCGGTGAGCATTTTCTTCGTCGCTTTGGCATTAACATTAATATACCCTCTGTAGCTTGTTTTCATCTTCTCCACGCACGTGTTCGATGTTGGTGACTTGGTGCAAATTGATGATCAGGTAGGTTCTAGTGTCAAAACACCACCTTCATTGTTCATTCTGTCTTCAGTTCCTGTACGTCAAGGAATTCGGGCTTTTCTCCACGACGTTTCGAAGGGTTGACGGCCAAGAAATTATTGCTCCAAATGCCCTGTTATCGAGCACTAAGCTTGTTCACAACATGCGTCGCAGCAATTCGATGTACGAGCTGTGCTTCGTGCTTCAAATGATTCTCTAACAGCTCCTACAGGTGGGAGTCCATGACCCTTACAATTTCGTACTCCACTCCGTTGGAAGTCATTGAGCAACTCAAGGTCCGCGTCCAGACGTACATTAACGCGAATGCCCGTGAATGGTCGGGATGTGGTATCATCATAGACAAGATGGAGTTCCAGAATTCGGTCACTGTTAATGTCTGCGTTGAGCGTATGTGTTTGCCTCGTCAGTCTTCCACGCTACTGATCTGAATTGGTGAATAGACCGTTCCCACTGGCAAGATTGGGGTGGACGCTGGGGTCGTCGCACGGAGTTCATGAAGTTCCTCAAGGCTACTTGTGAAGAGCTTGACCTCCAATATACTCTACCCATACAGCCCGTCATTATGTCCAAGCCGCCGCTTGGTCATCGTCAAGGCAGTGCGCCACCCTACCGGACCTAGGATGGAATCTCTGATCTAGGGGAGGTCAGCTCCAACCACTATCATGCCCTTCGTTCAGCACAGCCTCGCTTCAAGTCGTCGAGAATGGTTCCCGATAATGGGAGTGTTCGAAATTGCTGTTACATACCTGGACGCGTTTATAAGTCAGTAATGGTGTACACACTATGTTGGTGATTTCTTGGATGCGCATGATAGACCTGTTGAAGGCGGATAATATAGTAGTAATGCCTTACAGGTATATACCAGTGCTGCTCCATGACACAAAGGGTATCTGGTGCAGGGGAATGCTTCTAAATGTGAATTGTGAGATTATGTGATTCTATAACTCTACCCAGCGTATAGTTGCTGGTGACCTTGTTCAAAGGGCGACTGACGATAGCCCCGCAACCTCAACCATTCCCCCAACGAGGTGTAGGCTACCAGCAACAAGGACATTGACTTCCTGAGAGCCCTTCTCTGACGATATGCCTCGTACAACACGCACAGCATGTTCAATAGAGGGTAGCACATGGACGGATTCTTTGGGGAAGGAAGGGATGAGTGCCATCCATGCATCCGCGAGCTCATGCTGCGTCTTCAGATGCACAAGATCAGAGGTGGGCATGCCAACTGAAGCCAGGTCTAGATAATGAGATGGGAATGAGGATGACGTGTAGGTTTGTTCAGTATATGTAGGTATGTGTAGATACGCACCACCCTTGAACCCGCCATCGGCATACGTGACGTTATTACAGAACACGACCGCGTTGAAGAAAGTATCTGCGGTGGCGTCATATCCGTGGAGCTTGAGCTGTGCGTTGATCTTGGCAAGGACAGTGCCCAGGAAGGCCGGACCAGAGCGACCGTTTGTACAATTAAAGATGAACGCTCTTTTGGGTCGAGAAGAAGGTGGCCTATACAGGATCGTTGAGATCAGGCGATTCAGTCACAGGGTCAGACCAATTCAACGTACATGACAGGCAGGCCAACTCCTGGTTGCACAAACCACTCCATACAGCAGTCCAGGCTTTCAACAGTGTGTGCACCATCGAGGTACCATGTCGTCTTGGAATACTTTGCATTAGGGTCAGCCACTGTCTGACATCGGCCTGGCCACGCGGCAGTCTCCAAACCCTTGACAAACACGTCAGGGATCGTTCCGTCGCTCGAGCTTGATGGAGCGTTCTCCGGACTCTGAGATTCAAGGAATGCATGTGCCATATCCAGAGCAATCGAAGCATTGGAGATTTGATGTTTACCAGCAAGACCTATAATAGAATAGATCATTGATACATGAAGCTTCCCTTAGTCTGATATGTGATTACCTAGTTTTATTGACCGCAAGGCCGATGGTACCTGAGAGACCTGGAATCTCGATGCCTAAGAAGCTGGTTAGCATGGAACGAACCTAGAATAGCACCGTTATTACCTCTAGTTCTTGGGCGCGCTCTTTCAAGACTTTCATCCCCTCCTCTGGCTGCTCAACGCTGAATGCTGGGACGTCGGGCTGACGAGGCTATTAACATTGGATGGAAGATAAGCATTACAGTTAGACGAACCTTGTAAATGCCACCTTTCTGCCATGCTATCTCGCCGATAGTCTTGCCTAGCAGCGATACGTGGTCGAGACCAAGAGCAGTCACCCCAGTCACGACGGGCTTCGGCACAACATTTGTGCTGTCAGATGCTCCTCCAATACCAACTTCTAATATGGTAGCATCGACCTTTAGCGACAGGAACGTATGAAAAGCCATGAGAGTTAGATAGCGGAAGTAATTTGGCATGGGAGGTGTAGCAGAGTTTTCACGCTAGAGAACGGTTCAGCATATCAATCCTACCAGTGTCGGCAAAAAACGCCTACCGCGTCGTTCTCCTTGAGTCTATCCCAGACTTCGAAGAAGAAGGTAGCAAAGTCCTCCTCGGATATTGGCTTCCCATTCACCCGTATGCGCTCCCTAACGGCAACAAGATGGGGAGAAGTGTAGAGACCTGCACATCAATGAAATAAGATGAGGCGTTTCAATCATCACGTTTATCATACCAACTTTCCAGTCAGGGCGTGCACTTCGGAGCAAAGAGTCGGTGAAAGCGCTAGTAGAGCCCTTTCCCTTCGTTCCAGTAATGTGAATGACATTCAGTTTATTGAGATCAGGAGCCTGTACAGGGTTACGATGACATAATAAAGTGTGCTTTAGCGTGTGCTTACAGTGTATCCAATTCGCTTCAGATAGTCGAGCATTTCCGGCATTGCATTTGGGTTAAGCTTTCCTCCTGCCTGCCTAACAGCTTCGAGTGTTGCGGCATTCGTCTGGAGAGAGTTCAGGGCCTCTATAGCATCTGTGTAACTGCGAGAAGTCGACATGCTCCTGCAGTAAATCGTCCAAGAAAACGCTGCGAGACGACAAGAATGATTGGATAATGAACGGGCAAGTGGGAACCGACCGATGAGCATCGCCCTGGCACTCGAGTTTAGCAAAGTCCAAATCCACGATCTTCCTCTTCCGGCAACAGCGGCCGGACATTTCCACGTGACACGCGTGTAAATTACTTTCACGTGACACGCGTCTCGGTTTCACGAGAACAAAGTGGACCTGTTGCAGGTTTGTTGCAGCCGCCCTTTGCATGAGTACACGCAAAATATGGACCGGTACGTAACGGTTGTCAAGTCCTCGACGAAGACGCGTATGGATGATATCAAGGGAGCAAGAGCGGAACACAGATCCCAACCCTATGGACGGCCCAGTGCTGGTAGCAGCACTGGCTCGCGTGTCAGCCTACTGGCCGAAGACAAGGAACGCGTCCGGAGGCAAGTGCAGTACATGCTTGGCCCCAGGCGCAATGTTTGACGCGTTGTCAAAACAGGCTTATGGCCCCGCTGAGGGAAGAAGCCGAAAGAGAGGGGCGCCAGCTATCCGGGCCTACTATTACGAAACATATTCTGAAGACGCTCAAAGACGAATCTAACCCCATTACGCACTCCAACGTCTATCACCGCACGGGTATATTCCCCTTCCCCGGACAATACGTAACTACTAACTTTATTCGTCGACAATCCTAGATCATGTTATATCTTGTACGACCGGTCACCAGCGCGGTGAAGGTCGCGGCGCAGGTGCTCGTCTGTGGACCATCGAGAGATCTCATAAGCTAGCAGAACAGCGTCGTGTTGACACTGAAAACGCAAGAGCTGCTGCGAAAGGCTCGAGTGCTGTGCTGGTTGGCGTTCGAGTGTATGTTGGTGGATATATGCGCAACACCACCGACATTGCCATGAAACGCGCTATCAGCCTCGCTGGAGGCACTATCTTGTAGGATATTCCCTCATCAAGCCTAACATCAAAAGACTGATCAATCTCGTTATTTTGCGAGGTCAACTGCCTCGAGTGCCACCCACATTCTGACTTCGCAGCAACTGAGCGGGTCCAAAACACAGAAGCATCTAACAACGAAGCACAGGAACGGACCAGTTCATGTTGTAAGACCAGAGTGGGTGACCGACAGTATAGAGGCAGGTCACAGGCTACCGGAGGCGCAATATTCTTTCATCAAGCCTGCGGGAGCTCAAGACCTCCGCGAGATGTTCAAGAAATCCAGATCACAGAACCATGCAAATGCCGAAGGATCTAAGTGAGGGGCGATCTAAGTTATAATATTTATACCTATTTTATATCGTGACAAGTCAACACGACCGCGATGATGTGCAGGCAGGCCTACTCATGATCGGACGACCCTGTGTAGCTATAGCTCCCTATACTTCCGTCGTCCATGTCCGTCATATCGCTGAACTCGTAGTCCGAATCAGGGGTAAGCGGTCTGTCGATGCTGACTTCACCTTCAACACGATCTGCGCTACGCACAGGCTCCATGCACCGTAGGCACTCCCAGAATTCATCATCCCCGTCGTCCACGGCTCGCATCATCCGTTCGGCAATACAATGATAACAGTAGGTATGACCGCACGACGTCACATACGGCGTGTAGATCGGGAACTGAGGAGGTGACTCTTCGGCTTCTTCGTCTTCTTCAGTCACCTGCGGTTGTGTTTGGGGAAGATATGCGGTGAGGGCATTGGCAGAATCGGATAGATTGAGGTTGAAGGACGCATTCTCCGCGCATATGGCACACTCTTCCGGCGAGAGCGCATGGAACTTGCCTTTCATAAGGACTTGTCTACCTTGTGATGAGGAAGGCATGATAGATGAAGGCATGAGAGACGAAGCGCCGTTCTTAAGAGTTGACTTTAAGCGGCTCCAGCGCTTCTGTAGTGCTCGGCGGTTGACTAAGGGCAAGAGGAATAAGAGGAATTCCTGGCATCCTTGTCAGTATATTTCCTGAATGAAAATAATGCATATTGACATACAGTGAATGCATGCCACACCATTTGGCGATTCATGAACTCATAGCTGACTTCTCTCCTGGTGAGGCTCTGGGCAGGCTCAAGTGACATATGAAGCAGCCTGTCTGAGAGTGTACGATATCTGGCGGATTTTGACTCTAAGTCGGCCAGATGCATACAGGGGACATAAGCGACGCAAGTACTGACCGACCGTTCCATAGGAAGGCAATGAAGTTTCCTAGACCGAGGAGTGCGTGCGTTGCTTCCAATCGAGTCAAAAAGTCCCAAGCTTTCCGACGTGGATCGGAAGATGGTGTGTCAGGCCATGCATGGGAGAGTGCACGGTCACGTATTCGATTATGGACGTAAGGAATGAGAATCGTTAGCGTGCCGTGAAGTAGCAGCAGTCGACGAGGGAGACGGGATCCTGGGGAGCGGAAGTCATGAACGGATTTAAGGCTAGGTACAAAGAACCTACCTAAAGACGAAGGGTGTGAGCGAGCATGGTGGGGAGCATATTTGAGTCCCTGAAGTTTGGCACCATAACTCGCACCCGTGTCCCACACGGAGAGCTTATAGAGAGTGAGCTGGATTATGAGGCTAAGCTCGGGCTCAAAGCGAGCTTTAAGTGCAGCCTGCAAATAGTCAATAGACTTGTCAAGGTATTCATGAATTATCAAAACACACATTAATCAGTGCGAGTGCTTTATTGAGTGGTTCTTGAAGTAGGTTCACGAGTTCTGCGTCGAGTAACTCCGCATCGAGCTGGCCGACACGGATGATGCGGGGCTCGGGTGAGGGTTCAGAGTGCAGCAAGTCACGTATCGAGTTCAGGCTGGATTGAGCACTGTCCCATGCAGTCTGCCATGTTGAGTTCGTGCTGCTCATCGAAGGGTGCCGATGACTTCTCCTCGAGCCAGGTATGCGCCGGGGAGGCAACCCGTCAGAGTACTTGTTAAAGCCGGGTTTACCGCGCCGATGCTAAATTCCATCACGTGATAACCGAGATTAGACAACGAGGTTTTGACTCGTCTCCGATCATCGACAACACCAGGCCACGGCTCGACACAGACTGTAAAGTCCGCCTCGCTGCGTGTAGCATCAGATCGCGATGGCAGAAGCTATTCAACAGCTTATTCTCGATATTCTTGAAAAACACTCGAGCATCAAAGATACGCGCCAGCTCACTCTTCCCGGTCAGTCAAGTCAAGCCGCGTCCCAAGATGAACAGATAGCTATCCTCGGCGCGCTCAATTCTCTCCTGAGTCGTGAAGCGAGTACCCCTTTAACAGTTACTGGACAAATCGGCTTACATATTACTTCAGATGATCACCTATGAGACTCATGAAACGCTCTCCCATGCTTTGACGGAGGAAGGTGCCCAGCTTTCTCTGACAGGGTCGCACGAAGCACGCGTATGGGCAGCGCTTCCAGAAAGGGGTGCTGGCGAGCCTGTTGCACCTCAACAACTCAAGACTCTCGTGGGCGATGAGACCGCTAAAGTAGGTCAGGGAAGGGCGTTTAAGGCTGGATGGATCGCGAAGGAGGGTGGCGGTCTCGTCAAGGCGGTATGTGGTTACCCCTTTCTCGAGAATCATTTGGTCTTTACGTGTTATACGCTTGTCAGGTGTCTGAAATCAAGGATACCACGCAACTAGAGCTGAGGGATGTTGACTCTACTGGTACACTTGAAGCCGGAGAGAAGTCATTGGCCGATCTCCGGAAACGCAAACTGATCACACAAAGGTCCGTGAACATCTTAACATTCGTGTCTACCAGACCATGGACATGTGTGCAGAAAAGGCCAATGGTTCACCGTCCACAAAGGCCCGGGCTTCAGCACATCTATAGCCAAACCAGAGACAGACCTCACCGTTGAGATGCTTTCATCGTAAGTGCCTAGTTCTCTACTACCTATGCAGAGGAACCCCTGAGATATGCATGCAGAGGTTCATGGAAAACATCTACTTTCAAGAAGTACAACTTCGAAGCTGATGGGATACCCACAAACGGTGGAGCACTGCATCCGCTCCTGAAGGTGCGAGATGAAATTAGGAATATCTTCCTTGAGATGGGGTAGGGTGTGCTTTACTATTGTCAGGATGGTCTAACATTACATCTGTACCAGCTTCGAAGAAATGCCAACTGATACTTTCGTTGAATCTGGGTTCTGGTGTTTCGACGCTCTGTTCGTCCCACAACAACATCCGGCGCGTGAAGTGCAAGATACCTTCTACCTTTCAGGTGCGTCCTCATCTGGCATGGTACCTTGCATATCAACATGACATGTATCTTTAGATCCGACAACCTCTCTTGATCCTCCCAAAGACTACTATGAGCGTGTCTCGGCAGTTCACTCCAAGGGAGGATACGGATCGACGGGCTATCGCGCCCCTTGGTCACACGAAGAGTCACGCAAGCTGCTTCTTCGAACACATACGACCGCATCCAGCGCTTCGATGCTGTACAAGCTCGCCGCTCTCTGCCGTGGCGAGAAGGTCTCTGATGATGTACTGAACTCAGACATTGGTGGACCAGCACCAACCGGCGACGGAAGTGGCGACAAGGGCGATGGCTTCCGACCCGCAAAACTGTTCAGTATCGACCGCGTGTTCAGAAATGAAACACTGGACGCCACACACCTCGCTGAATTTCACCAGGTCGAGGGTGTCGTCGCTGACAGGAACCTGACACTTGCTGATCTGATTGGTGGGTGACCTCAACTGTTCAATAAGATTGACCTTGATGAACAGCGCTTACGCACCTTGTTTAGGGTTCATGCGAGTCTTCTTCAAGAAGATGGGTCTTGAGAATCTTAGGTTCAAACCTGCATACAACCCATATACCGAGGTTTGTGGTTTTTTGCAGCGGCGAAGCTACTCATACTTATCAACGAACGCAGCCTTCACTTGAGATTTTCGCCTTCCACCCTGATTTAAACAAATGGGTTGAAATTGGAAACAGTGGAATGTTTCGCCCTGAGATGCTTGAGCCTATGGGTTTCCCGAAGGATGTTCGTGTGCATGGTTGGGGTATTGGTCTTGAACGGCCTACGATGATTCGGTTCGTGTTTCTTGATTATGGACCCTCCAGAAGACTGAGTATCTCTTATTCTAGGTATGGCATCAACAATATCCGTACATTAGTCGGGCACAAGACGAGCATCGATGAGATTGAGCGCTACCCCGCTGTTAGGTTCTAGGGGCCTTGCGTATGTAGCTGTGCGAGATAGAAGTAGGTTCAATGCGCATGTATTACAATACCTGTATAATTTGTCGAGTCGACCAAAGGCTGGCGCGTTTACGCTTAAACGGCAAAAGACATGTGCTTGGCACCATGGTGCAGTCAGGTAATTTGCGATCCAAGTACAGACACGAGTAGCTGCTCCCCCAAGATCTCATGTACCTCTGATGTCAGATGCAAATCGTCCATCCATATACCACCACATTCGGTCGTCGGCTCGTGGTCACTAAACCCGTACTTCGAAGGAACATCAAGTACTCCAGTTAGAACTTGATGCGACGAAAAAACAAGCACTGTCGCCTCCTTGTACGTGATGCCAAACTGGGTTGCATGTGTCTGGAGCAGGCTGTTCCAGATTTCTACGCAGTTTCTCATATCTTCTACAGAGCTGGTATTGACAGCTGTGGAAGAGAGAACAAAGGTTGGGGATATGAGATTCGTGTGTAACAAATCATACCTTGTGGTGAGCGGTCAATGGGAGGAACGTCAAGGAGGACGAAGTTTCTAGCACCGGCTTTGACATAAAGACTGTGGAGTGCATCAGAAACAGCTTCAACGCTGTCTTCTAGCTCGTCATAGTTTGCGCAGTCATTAATGCCAATGAAGACAACTACTCGCGTGACTTGTCAGGAGAGGCGGAGGTAGGATAAACTGTGTCGCACAATACGTGGTTTTGCTCGGGTCCATCTGGATTTTGTCGACAGCCTTTTCCTTTGAGAGACCCTGGAAGAAACGCGACATCTGAGCCAAAAGGTGATCCGGAGTCCAATCCTCGGGCTTTGCAAAGGCACCGGGCATGGCAAAGTTGTGGATCAACGGGCTGCCCTGGAGATGTACTTTCTGCTGCATATAGTCGACCTAAACCAAAGCCGCCCTCAATGTTGGGTGAAGCTAGATTCATAGGTAGGGGCACAAACCCAGGTGCGGCCTTCGAAGTATTTGCTATAAGAATCACCGCTGATGACCGGTTTAATTGCAATTCTCTTATGCACTGAACGAGTTCGAGAGTTCTCTTACAAGATGACCACATTCTCGAATGATCCATGTGCATGCCAATGAGAACCACCATGGGCTATTGTCAAGAAGCCTGCGTCCGCTGAGTAAGCCAGAGCATCTCAAAGTCATCAGCACCCATACGAACAAGAGACGGGCGGTAGCGATGCAGCCATGTCGCGTTGAATAATGCTCGGATTTGCTTTTAAGTGGTTTACGATTTGTTTTTGCTCGTTACTAGATGCCATGGAGGGACGCGGAGGAGCCTGTCAGACCGATACAATATCAATATTTAGCGCCTTTTCTAAAGTGTGAGCAGAGTCAAGAGCAGAGTTCAAGGCACTTGTCCTGATAGTCGGAGACAAGTGTCAAGAAGGGCTGGGCGCTTAATTAGGCTACCTGTCACATGTCCTGCGCTTTGACGCGTTAAACCAAAGCGCGTAACAAATTGACAGTTTTGCCAGTCCCTTCTTCGGACAATTTTCGGAAAAGTGTTATCGAGTGACCAACATGTCCTGCTGCTCTGCTGCCATTCTCGCAACTATAAAACTTTCATATCCCGCATCATCATTAATCATTCTACACACGCCATGACAATCACCATCCGGCCTGTAACGCCTGCAGATCGCCCACAGCTCAGACACATCTGTCTTCTCACTTGTGACGCAGGGCAATCTGGTGAAGACAAGCATAACTACCCCGATCTGCCCGGGCATATCTACGCCGAGCCGTACGCGACACCGGAATTAGGGCATACTTGGGGCTTTGTCCTCGTTGATGATGAACGCGAAAGCGGCAAGGAGGTTGTAGGTTATGTCATTGGCGCATCGGACACTCGCAAGTGGGAGGCAGACGCTGCCGAAAAGTGGTGGCCCACGCTCCAAGCCTCGGAGACGTACAAGCCCCTTGTCTCCTCGGGTGCAGACTCTGTTGCAGACGGCCCTCTGATACAGCCGACAGAAGATGATCTAAAGTACATCAAGACCCTCAAGGCATTTCCCCCCGCAGACGAAGCCCAGATAAAATACTCCCCTGCTCACATGCATATCGACCTCATACCCGACTATCAATCGCAAGGATACGGACAGGATCTTGTCAACGCCGCGGTCACCCACTTGAAGGATGTGTCCGCGGGCCAGGGAAAGCTCAACAGCGTGTGGCTTGGAATGGACCCGCGAAACACGAAGGCGAGGGGTTTCTATCTGAAGATAGGGTACAAACCTGTTGATCAAGCTGCTGAAACTGTTCTCGGCCTCAACTTCAAGGAGTGGTTTGAGCTGTATGATGCAGGCCGGCAGGCCAAGAAGTATGAAGAAATTAGGAGGGCAGCAGCGGAGCGAAGAAAGGGAGGAACGTAATTGACGTGTGTCCTTTCACTCGCACTCCTTGAGGAGCGATGTACTGAACAACTGTAACAGAAGCAAAGTAAACTTGGGATATATGTTTGTGGGCTGTTCCTCTCACTCGGGTAGACGAATGTGAATGTTATCGGCTCTCACTCTAAACATTGGTAATTTCAAGACAACCGTAACTCAGGCAGAATGCTACAAATCCGACATGGAGCAGCAAGCACTTATCTGTTACAAAGCCATTCTAAGGGTATCATCTCGACGCGGAAATCGCCCCTTAAAATCTACTGTCGTCACGAACCAGGAGTAAAAAATGGTGTAAGTACGAACTCACAGTTCGTGGATGGTGTCATCTACTCGAGGGGTGAGCAAGTAGCCAACAAGTAACTTCTAGCTCCTGTTGGGTGGGTTTGGCGCTTAACGGAACGAAACACTCATGGCGATGATCAACACTCCAGTAATGCATACCACCCTCACCCAGGCAAGACCCCTATGATGCCTCCTCTGGGAACTGTGTTTCAGTACCCCTTCGCCGCGGAAGTAAACTGAGGAGTGCTTCTGAAAGCCTCTGCCAGGTGTGACGACAGTGAAACATCTCCTTAGCTGACCCCCCTTTACTTGAACAATGAGCCCTTACGCTCCTTAGTTGTCTTAAGGAGGCACAATGGGTCTTCGTATAAAAAGAGCCCCCTCCCCCGCCAATTGCCTCACAAATTCTTTTCACCAAGTCCTCTCAAATAACCACCATCAACGACCCAACGTATATCCCCATACCTCAGTCAACGCTGCGCGTTGCCTCAGTAATATTCATCACCAACGTAAGTTATCCTTGTACCTTGATGGTGATATGTCGCTGACCTAGTCATCAAGACCACATTGTTCTAATCCTATACACTTCGAGTCTCCACGGATAAGACTCTCAACCTCAAACAACTCGTACATCATTACAGCACAAGCACGCTATCCACCTCGATGAATCCCTCTCGGTCCCCTCATCAGCAGCAAAACTCGGAAACCCCGCCCCAGCACCATAATTTCTTGACCATGCCGAGCATGGCCCACGCTAGAACCTTCTTTGGATTCCGCTCTTCCGAGCCAGAGTCTCTTCCGACAGCTGCCCTGACGCAGTCCAACACGCGAGCAAACATACGCCGTTCCCCACTCCCAGACTTTCATCCTGGTGCAAACACGGAGATTCACGAAAAGCCAGTTTACCGGGAGCGCAGCCGCTCTGAACACTTCGACGAAGAACGCCGCGGGTCTGGCGGCTCCGACGAGACGCTGAACGAGCCGGGCGAGGAACAGGCCCAATTCGCAGACAAGGGCAAACAGCGCGCCAAAGACGAAGATCTCGAACTTGATGATGACTTCGAGGACCATGTCGACCGCATGCACCACGTCCCGCGCGACGGCAGACGGAACGAAGACGAAGATTTCAGCAGGTACACCTTCTCATCGCACCGGCACCCATTCGACATCCCGCCCCCGCCGCTGGCGTATAACCCCGCGGCACCGCCGCCATACCCACCCGCCATTCATAACCACTATGGAGGCGGCTTCGACCCGGAGTCGCAGGTGCGTCGGGAGCACCCCGACGAAGGGGCGTGGGATGAGGGCGAGGACGTCGTGCCTGACTTCATGGACGGGCCCGCGTTCGACGGCGACGCGGGCGAGGACGAGGACGAGCAAGCTGTCCGCGCGGCGCGACGTGCGAACGCGAAGTACTACCGCGACCTTGCGCGCGAGCACGAGATCCCGGGTGCGAAGGATCGTGCTGCGCGACGGAGGAGTGTGCTGCCGAACCTCGCAGACCTATACGGGCTTAATAGAACCGAAAATCGACGTGAAGGGGGTCCGTCGAACACTCAAACTGCCAGCCGGCCGAAGAATCGGGGACGCGCGATGAGCGGGTTGACGGATAGTAGCGAGATCGTGGATCCTGATGATCCTAGGATCACTGGCGTGAAGAAGGATTGTCTCGACGACTATGAAGATGAGCGTCGAGCGGCCTTGCGCTCTATGGACTACAAGCAACGTAGGAAGGAGCGCCAGAAAGTGCGGATCGAGTTCAATGTGACCTGTAAGTTGGAGTTAGATCTGCATAACCCATGAGCTAATGCTTACATGAATAGCGATCATGAATCGTCATCTTTTCCTGCTCAAACTCGCTCGAGCATTGATGACGTTCGGCGCTCCTTCGCATCGTATCGAGTCCCAGCTCGTCGCGGCAGCCCGCATCCTCGAGGTGGATGCGTCTTTCATCCATCTCCCCTCCGTGATCATCTGTTCCTTCGGTGACAGCGACACATCGACCTCCGAGACGCATTTCATCAAGTGCTCAAGCGGCCTCTCGCTGGGATCCTTGCACAGGGTGCATACCATCTACCGTGCGGTCGTGCACGACGAAATCAGCGCCCGCAAGGGCACAGAGCAACTCGAGTCGCTGCTCGCCGAACGCCCCATATATCCCGTGTGGATGCGTTGTTGCCTGAGTTTCTGGCTCAGTGTCCTCATCTGCCCGCTCGCGTTTGGTGGTAGCTTCGTGGACATGTGGATTTCTGGGATCGGTGCGACTTGTCTCACATTCCTCCAGCTGCGCGTCGCAAGCCGCAGCGCTATGTATGCGAATGTATTCGAGTGAGTTTTTCATTCCATCACCTGCTGTTCAGTTGAAGCTGACAACTACACAGGATCACGGTGGCCATGCTTATGTCGTTCACTGCGCGCGGTCTAAGCAGTATTCGAAGCGATATCTTCTGCTACACCGCCATTTCGTCAGCTGGTATCATCGGTATTCTGCCGGGTTATCTCATCCGTAAGTTACTTTTCAAATAAACATGCCCATCCACTCACATCGCTGCACAGTGAGTTCCTCGCTAGAGTTGGCATCCAAGAACATCATCTGCGGCTCCGTCAAGATGGTGTATGCGCTTATCTACACGCTCTTCCTCGGTTTCGGCCTGCAGATCGGATCGGATCTCTACCTGCTCTTCGACTCAGTAGCCCGCCAGCACCTCGAGGATATGACTCAGGCGCTTAGCACGAGCACTACCCTCGTCGGCACATTCGCGTCGGACAACAGCACGAACGGTTTGCCCAACGTGACCGGCACATTCACCTTCACAAACGCCACCAACGCATTCTCGACCCAGAACGTCATAGACGGTTGTTTCCGCCAGGGCGACTGGCCGTGGTACCTCCGCCCGTTCCCGAGCTGGACAGAGTACATCATCGTGCCCATCTTCTCGATCTTGTCCAGTCTCGCGAATCTGCAGCCGGCCAAGTCGAAGGAGCTCGTCGTGATGGTCGTCATCAGCTGCGCGAGCTACGCCAGCAACAAGGTCGCGAATCACTACATCTTCAACCGCAGCGACATTGTCAGTGCTATCGGAGCATTCACGGTCGGTCTGCTGGGCAATATGTACTCGCGCAAGATGGGTGGTACCGCTTTCACGAGCATGGTCACTGGTGTACTCTTCCTGGTGCCGGTGAGTAATTGGCTCGTCCAGTCCCATTGTGCCCGCTGACATAGATGAACAGAGCGGTCTGTCGCAATCCGGAGGCATCACCGCGCACGGTAGTGGTGTTGACATTGGAGGTGCAATGATATCGGTCACGATCGGTATCACGGTCGGACTGTTCATGAGCCAGGCGCTTGTGTACATGTTCGGTTCCCGCAAGAACGCCGCCGTTTTCTCTTTCTAATGCATTGCTGGTACATTGTTTTTGTTCATTCTTTCGCATCGCTCCCTTTCCCTACTCAAAGAAACATGACGTTATATTTAATTCTCTGCAGTGCTTTGATAGCCTTGCAATGTAACAGACTCAGTTGCTCGCAGTATCTCTTCATTTTGTAATAGGTCACCATGAATAATATCATGACACCCCACAACTGTGTGATTATGTTGTTTTCAAATGTCTCAAAACAACTTGCTTTGATTTAGTTCAATGCTCATAAGCATTAGCGCATACAATTCATAGTGACTACTTGCTCCCAGACGAGGGTTCATCGGCAGGTCCAGTAACAACTGGCAGCGCATGTGAGAACCTAAGATAGACTTTGGTAGAGTAAACTCACGCAGAGCGACTACGGCTACAACGATGTAGAGCCAGTACTTGGAGATGAAAGACTTTTGGGCCGGTGGTTGGACAGGTTCGCCCGCAGGAGTGACTGGCGGTGGCTCGCGCAGAACGGGGCTGTGTGTGAAAACGGCCGTGAGTGGTTTGACCGCAAATAATCGCGAAGCTTCTTACGGTGGTGGCACAGAGGGCGACCGGGCGTGTACTGTGGTATTGAGGGCCACAGGATAGGATGGGTGTGGCTGTTCGAGACACGCGCCGTTGTGAGGAGTGGGTGACACGAAGTAATCGAGTGCGAATGCGGAACCGTCCGTTGTGAGCGCAAGGTGAAGAGCGTCATGTGTCGCACGAGCGAGATGGCACTGGGAGGGTGTGATGTCAGAAATCTGTAGATATGCAAAGAATGAGAGGTCTGCTGACTGCTTTTACAGCCGATATCGCGTAGGGATCGTAGGAATTGTCGAAGGCAAGTGCAACCTGGTAGAGAGTAGCATCGTCCTGGGGCAGGATCGCGTCTTCAAAGTCGAATGGGCCATCCTGGTGATATACGTAGCTTCCTTCTACGAGCTCAAGGGTGCCCCGACGGTCGAATGCGGGTGCAGGGAGGGTCGGGTGTATGATGCGGTGGAGGACGCTGACCTGTGCGGTGTGCGGGTCGTGCAGCTGGGCGACGACGACAGGCACGGCAGCCAGGATGAAGGGAAGAAGGAAGAGCATCGTCATCAGTTACATAAGCGATCTGGACCCGGAAGCGATGGTCGGTTAGCCCGAGTCCAGAGCGCAATCTGGTTGAAGAATCTGAACACTGCATATAATAAGTGAACGCTGCCCAGTCTCTCTTCCCGAGCCCCCGCAATCGCACCACCTCAGCTCCCCGGGTCAAGCAGAACACTTACATACACTACAAATTCCTGCAGCTGGTGCTTGTGTACAACAGCTCCACTTGACTTGTCCCCGCCACGCTCGACTCGGATATATCATGCCCGCCTCCGACACCACGGACTCTCCCTCCCCCGCCCAGGCGGTGGCAAACCCGCAGGAGCTCCGCCTAGCCCAACGCGCCCTCACAAATCTCCTTCCTACCTCCCCGTCCTCCCCAGCCCGGAACGCGTTTGAGCACTCGGACTCGGCAGTAGCTCTTCTCCAGTCCCTTGTAGCATTTTACCATCAGGAACGCATGTGGGTCTACAGAACCCGCGCCCATCTCGAGCTTGCCCTCGATGTCATGCCCTCCCCCTCTGCCCGCCAAAATATCTACTCTCCGTCCTCGGCATCTTCTCCTTCTCAGACTCCCTCTTCAACCACGTCTGCTTCCATCTCTTCCTCTACTATGTCAACTCCTATCAAAGAAGAGCCCACTTCTCCAACTCCCATATCCAAGTGGATGCGTCGCAAGGAGAGTTTCGGCCTCCGCCTCGAGGGCATCCGCCCCGTCATGTCAGGCGGCGTCTCAAAGAAGCGTGCTTCCCGTCCCCGCACTGGCGTGTATCTCCTCGAGCAGTTCGAGTCCATGATGAAGACACGCATGGAGAGCTGCGAGCGCATTTCCAACATGGTCCGCGACGCGAACCATGTCCCCGTCCCCGTGGGCCGGCACGTTCCATGAATCCGCTGCGCCCTTCCTCCAAAATGACATGTGCTCTCACGAAGCTGCCCTATGCAGCGCAGAGGAGAAAAGTCGGACACTCCATTCTAGACTCGCAGCATGTCAGGGAGGCATATACATGCGCGTCCCCGCGACGTCGCAGCATTCGACCATCACTAATTTGTTTCATGCAGCTATTCCTCGGGCTATCGTTTTCCACTTCGCGCCGGTTGCCGCGCGCCCTAGTTCCCTTAGCCTCCGCATTTACGCGTCGCATCGAATCTCTTATCAGTGCTTCATGACATAACTTATCTCTATCCATCATCATGGGCTGGTTGACATTGAAATCGTCATTACATTGCCTGTACTTGCCACAACGCGTACTTCTCCCGTGTATTACTAGAAGTCCTACCTAACGTTTTGCATGCATGTGTACTTTAGTCCCAATGAGCCTGGCAGAATCAGAATAGACCCCATATACATGACCTCGTGTTTTGCTTGCCTGTGGAGTTTCGAGTTGAACTAAAACCTTGGTTCGCCCAGTCGACGGATGAAATGGGGGAACATCTTTGTCCGGAACGGCTTCTTTACCGCGCGAGAACTACCAATAGAAGCGCATATAAAGTTCAAGTGAACAAAGTTCTATTCTTGCCTTATAATCCGAACAATGACCCTAATAACTAACAGACGACGAGTGACGCGCATTTGTACACACACCGTTATTCCCAGTACCTGGATGAGTCCGGTCTGGACTCTGCGCACCTGGGTAAACCCACGGAACCCAGACGTACGGTAGCCATTAAAAAAGGTATAGCACGAACGACGTGATCAACGAGGCTGAAATCCATCATAGAATTCCAAGATTTGCACACGTTCGCTCTACATTCGCCACTGGTGTATGGACGAGGCGATGTCAGGAAGACGGATAGCCCCTGCTGAGTACCTCGCGAAGCTAGCCTTATCTTCGGGCACCCAGAGCGCAGCTGACAGGGCTTTCAATTTAAAAGGAGGTCAATCATATGCATGATGCATGATGGCCTAGCCACATGCGAGAGCTGGATATTGAATCGAGTATAGAGGAACATTCTCGGAAGCTGCGTGAGGCTGTAGCTGCTGGTGCTGCTTCGCGCATCAGAAAACCGACAAACACGAATTCACCATCGAGGCAAACCCCGAATAGCCAGCTTATAGACGATCACCGGGGTTCCCAGGAGTGCGTCGAGCGACACACGCATACAAACTGCTAGAATGAAAATGACGTAGTGGAGCTAGAGTTAGAGTCAAGGTTCAAACGTTCACAGCGGCATCAAGCCAGCAGACGGGTCAGGCCACCGATTGGCGGGCAAAGGACCACATGATCTCGTATGCGGAGGGATGGTTGGGAGAACTCGGAGGTTGCACGGAGAAGCATCGTCAGATGAGAAAGTCGTGGTGAATGGTGTCAGACATCGTGTACGGATGGAGGGTTGGCCCAGGCTCCGTCCAGGCTTCCGGAATGCTCAGTGGGCGAGACTATGTGAGATGACCTCCTTTGTACTTCCCAGTTGGTATGGGACTGATCCATGTGAAGCCATGGAAGAGCAACCACGGACTGCGCATATATTTTCGGCTTTTCCGAGGCCAATGAGAAAGGTTGATAACGCGGTTTTGTTGCCAAAGTTAACGCGCGCTATCTGAACACTATACCAAGGTAGGAAGAGAACGATGAGGTGGACTTCTTAGAAGCCATATTCAGCCACCAATCAGATGATGAGGCTTTCCGAGAAAGAGCAGACGAGCCAATCGCAGGATTGTCCAGTCAGTAGAATACCGCTTGAAGTCACGTTCGCAGACGATCCAAGAGGCTGTAGATCCAAGAGCAAGTGAGCAGGGTCGTCACAACGTTCGGAAGGAAAGAGCTGATCTAATGATTATTATCTGTGACGTTGTTGCCATGTGGGTTATATGCTCGTCATCAAGTAGACTGGCTTGTCCTCAGCTCCGTTCCCATGCCTTGCAGCTAGCAGCGCTTCTCGTCCACATCCTACTAACTTAGCTTTGTGCTAGCCATGCACCTCTCAGCTGCGACCGAACTGCTCGTGGATCTCTGGCTCGCGATCTGCGCCGCGTTCGTGCCTACGCTCCACTTCCTATGGCGCTCGCCCAGGGCACTCCTCGATCCCACCGAGGTCTCGCGCTACTTCATGTCACATGTCTGGGCCGCTGGCTTCGGCAACGGCATCGACCAGAACGCCCGCGAGGAGAAAATTAAGGTCATCACGCCCTACGCGCGCGGCGTCGTGCTTGATCTCGGCGCAGGTCGGTCTTCTGCTTAACAAACGCCTGGCGAACATAGGCCTGTTAAGCGCGACGTTGATGATTGCATTGGTGTGCAGGCCATGGACACACCGTCAACTACTTGGACCACGACAAGGTCACGAAATACGTCGCCCTAGAGCCCAACGTGCACATGCACCAAAAAATCCGCGACATATCCAACGCCGCTGGCTACGACGAGCCCTCGGGCACCCTCCTCATCCTGGCATGCGGCGCAGAGGACATCCACGCGATCACGCGAGCGCTCGGAGGAAGGCACACCGTCGACACCGTCGTCTCCGTCCTCACGCTCTGCTCGATTCCCAAGCCCCAGGCTGCCATCGCGGCGCTCGCGCAGGAGGCTCTAAAGCCCGGCGGTGAATTCGTCTTCTACGAACACGTGCTGAGCCCCAGATCCGATGTTGCGTGGTGGCAGCGCTTCTGGACACCTTTATGGAAGCTTGCGTTCGACGGCTGTCGGTTGGACCGACCGACGTACCTATGGGTTGACGAGGTGGGCGGATGGAGCGACAAGGAGGTTTGGGGCAAGGCCGACGAGCCCGAAGAGCATCTCTTCTGGCATCGCTCGGGCAGATTCGTCAAGACCGCGTGATGCAAGGGTACGCGGTCGCGGTCGTTACTGCTGTACGATACGGCTACAGAATTAATAAAAAGCAGAAACTCGGTACAACATAGCCTGACATGCCATAAATATGGGCTTAAAAACTGGAAGTCCCTATCATGATCCTTACACATCTAAGATCCATCCTTCCTCTGCACCCCAGCTCAACACATGCGCAGCAGTGGAGAAAACTGAACTCGTCTTTGGCGCCTTTGACTTGGCTTTCCTGACGCTATCTACGCTTGCTCTGAGCAGAGCTTCCACTTCTGTCAAGCAGCGGTAACATGACCGCTCGTCCCATATACCAGTGTCGCCCGCATCTGCCTTGCGTGGACCACGGGGCCCCTTCAGATCTTTAGACCGTAGAAGTTTTGTCACCAGGTAGTGTAGCCACTGAAACAAAAAGTGAGCTTGTGGTATGGCTGGAGGAGAGTAAGACTTACCATGACGTTTGTCATAGGGTTGAAGCCGTCCCAGCGCCTCTTGTGCACTCTCTGCATAAGTCGGTACACGTCGTATTGGTAATCACCCTCGCCTTCGAACACCTCGTCCTCTGGCGTCGTGAAATAGATATCGCCTCGACCAGCGTTCACCCGCGAGAGACCGAGGTCAATGAGCGTCACCTGGACGCCGTACATCTCAGAATCCATAGGCGCTCGACCTTCCTCTGGGATCTCGCGAAACACCTGTGAACGAGCAACATCGCGCACAAGGATCTGGCCCCAATGCAAGTCGCGGTGCTGGAGAAAGACTAAGCACTAACGTATATATCCCGGTGAGAGGGCTACACACCTCAAACTCTACGAGCTCCTCCGCCTTTCCGAGCGTGGCTGCAACCTGCCAGAAGACACCACAGGCCTGGTGCCAACCAGTGACACCCATCCCAGGGCCCCTCATTGGTTTGCCTACGCCTCGGAAGGCGAATGCTTCAAGGTCCGGTCCACCATTGGGCAAAACGATGATTGCATAGGTCTGTGAGACGGGGAAAGCATCTTTCAACGAGGCGGTCAGCTCAAGGAAGACTGCGCTTGCGCCAGACAAGCATACCTGGCCTGATGCTTTCTGATCCCTTCCGCTTATCGTACTCGTCCCACAGGCTCAATAGCACAGAGGGATACCGCCCTCTCACAATGTACGTTCTCAGAAGCCTGACGAACCCAGAGCACGCATCGCCCATCATGCGCGTCACAATCATCTCCCTCAGGACGTCTTCCGCGTCCGACGGCGGGGGTAGATCCTCCTCCACGACCCGCACGGGCGGAGATGGAGAGCACAAAGGGATCACCTTCAGCACGACACCCCCGATGCCGAACACCTCCGAGTAGGAAGCCTCGCCGATCTTGCGGAAGCCCTCTCGGGCATCTAGCGGTACGCTGTCGCTGTCATCCGCCGAGGACGCGATAATGGGGTCGAAGGGGAAGGTTTCGACGAATGCCGAGAACTCGTGCGGTGTGGTCTGACCGCATTCGGCGAGTAGCGGGCGGAGGTGTGCGGGCTGGTCCTCGATGGAAGTTTGGTCATCTGCGACCTCGTCCAGCACGAATTTGGCAAGTTCGCTTTCAAGCTCGGAGAGGGAGGGAGAGGACGGCGTCGGCTGGTTAGCTAGTATCGGGAATGCCTGCTTGATTGGCGTAAGCGGGCGTTCTCTTGGAGGAGAGGTAGGGGATCGCGGAACGAAGGTAGTCGTACGGGATATCCTATGTAGTGGTTGGGTCAATGGCTTATGGGGCGTTTCCTGGAGTAGTGGTTGAGGCCGGGTATCACTCTCAACTGAGGCAGTCGATGTCTTCTTGGGTATATGGAAAGATGCCTTGGGTATCAACACCTCGAAAGCAGGCTTCTTGATTCGTGAAGGTGCTCGCTTTGCAAGAGGGGTATCTTCGTAATCCGAGTTCATTTCCTCATCCTCTGAGGGCGATAAAACAACTTTTCTGTGTGGTCTAGGGCGCGTTATCTCGACGCGGGGTTGGGTTTTCTGCCTTCGGATTGCCTCGTCGTCACCATGGTCTTCGACTTCTGACCCGCTTGACAAAACGATAGGCTGAGCTTCCGAACCTGCACGTCGCACTTTCGCCTTGATCACAACCGGACTGAAGTCTAGCTCGGATCCGCTTGATAGGACGATGGGCCGTACTTCAGTACCCGTGGCACGTATCTTTGGTTTAACGGCAAGCTCGGATCCACTGGACAAAACAATCGGCTGTGACTGTGTGCCTGTGCCTCTTACTTTCGGCTTGGGTAGAACCGGGCGCTTCGAGACTTGACCCGACCTCGTCTTCATAGCCATTGTCCGTGTTTTCTTTGGCTGCGGTGAGGGCGCCAGAGTGTTTGCTTGCACATCGGGTTTCGAGATGCGATGCTCCTCGCTTAGGCGCCGGCCACCCGAGTCAAGGACTATAATGTCCACACGGACGGGCGGAGACTTGGGTTTGGGCCGGGTCTTGGCCTTAAGCTTTGGGTTCCTAATGGTTGAAGTGTGGGGGGAGATGATGTTTGACTGTACGGGAGTGAGCGGCGTTCGCTTAGGTGAATGCCCTTTGACCCTTGCAAGATGCTTGTTTTTAGCACTTGGAGGGGAAGAAAGCGGAGAGGTGGGAGAAAGAACTGTCTTCTTCCGTTTATGTGCTGTCTTCCGGGCTGGAGAAGGTGAAAAGGCAAGTGCATTTTCGCGCGCGAACGCGGATTTACGAGTCGATTGGCTCTGGTGACTATCTTGCCTGGAACCACCAAATTCATGATGTCGGGGTAGCGCTTGTTTATCTCCGTCAGTCTTGAGTCTCGTGTCCTCGGAGTCACGTTCTCTGTCTGAAACATTGACGATGCGATGACCCCTCCGGCCATAAGCAAAGACTTGTTTGGTACGTGATCCGAGCATATGAGTGCTGTAAGGACTATAGAACAGACGAGTGGGGCAAGAACAAGGAGGACTGATCGCGAGGAGAGTATCTGGGTGAATAGAATGACGAATGAGTCGATAGCAAGTTACTTGAGATAGGACCAGTAGTGACCTTGTAGGTGATCAAGCTTAGGTTTGAGTGGGTGGTATCAGACGCGTGGCTTGACAACGTTCAACTTCCGGCACGCGTCAGACCACGTGAAGATTTTCTCAGAATATCGTGGGAAGAAAGTGATCTCTTTGTTGACTTGTTCGGATCTAGCTAACGATCATAACACTGGACACCAGCCTCTCAGGCAACAATATTATCTGGCTGCAAGCATCTCTGTTCTCCAGTTGGTTGAGACCAGCGGACTGTGGCCTAACCACCCTAAGATCAAGGGCTTCGTCGATCCAGTACGCGTGACGGGCGCAACATCTCGCGTGCACCCGCCTATCCAGGACTGCGGCGTCCCTTCAGGTCCCCTCAGACGAGCGTGTCGACTACAAGAACGCACGAACTACTTGACGTTCTTTCATAAAGTCATGTCTTTGCCTCAGTCTCTTCGCGTGTCCGTAACACCCCTTGAGCTCGAGCTCATCGCCTGCGAACAGCTTGTAGAGATCGTGCCCTTGATCTCGATGGAGAAGACGGCATTCATATCTGTACGTGTCACCATTGTCGTTGGCTTCCTCTCGACGCTCAACGCGTCCAGGGCGCGTACGGACCTCTAAGACCTCCGTCCAAGTCCAAGGTGCCCCTTTGGATGGCTATCAACCTCAAGCTAAAGAAGAAATGCCACATCGTGCCACCAGAATGGCTCACAGTAGGTCAGTGTGGTTGTTGATCCACCTTTGATGTCCTTGAGCGGATCTCACCCATCATTTGGTTTAGACTTCCTTCAAGAACGCCTTTCCCGAGAAACATCGCAGCCCCAGTTCAGCAAGCTTCCTTTCCGCTTTGCAGAGATTTCCAAGGTCGTACTAGACGTGTACGCAACCTGTTTTCCTCCCCGTAATGCCTGCTCACGTTCAAGAAGCGCATCAGATGATGTACCCAATGCCGACAAAATTCGCTCTCTGCTCAAGGATCTTCGTGAAGCACGTCAGGCAAAAAGCAGAGAAGGTCTTCAGCAGATAGACCACAGTGAACTGAGTGTGAGTGCTTGTTCTTGCACCTTTTGCCTCACTCACACCCGTCAATTCAGCTGCCAAATCTCTGCTCCATGGAGATCAACGAGATTCGACCAGTCTTCGTGCAGTCCATGGGCCTTTTATCACAGCTTGTGAGAGAGCCTGAGAATAGGGCAGGCGATGTCTAGCTGGATGGTGCACCTTACCCCCCAGTTGATACTCTAGTTCGGTCGGAATTGAGGTTTCCAGATCGCTGACAAACGGATATGCACCGTCCTCTTTGGATGAATAACCAAACCCGATAATATCCCAACATATCCCCCGATAAATCCAACCAGAAATGGGTGCTCATCTACGAAGTTTGCATACTATCAATCTTTTGCAACAGCTCTGTCATCCTCTCGTTCAGCGCTCTTATCTCTCTCCTGATCGAGTCCTCGCCGGACTATACAAAATTCATCTGAGAAGGCGGCCTTGGCAACAGATGAGATGGCGTACCTCCTTCGTATTGGGGAACTTCTTCACAAGCTCATCAAACGGTACCTGGGTGATGGTCCGCCCTTCTTCCTGAACCTCGTCCACCTGCGGGTCCTTGGCTTCGTCACTGAGCTGATCCCCATCGTCCGCAACCTCCAACCAGTCTACCATCCAGGACCGGCGCTGCGTCAGGCACTCGTAGAGTGCGATCACAGACAACGGGATGAAGAAGAGAATAGTCATAACGAGGCGGTTGATCTGAAAGCAATCGTCTAGACTCAACATCAGAGTTTGGCCAGCCTTCACGTACCTTGGCGTAGGTTTTCGATGATATAGGTAGCCATCTAATGTCGTCGTAAGCCAGTTGGCTGAAACAGTCACTACTGTGCACGCTTACTCCAGTGGTGCAATGAAGAACATTTCAATAAGGTTGAACGGAGCGGGATAAACAAAAGAGTCTGGTGCTCTGATCATGGCGACTGTCTTGCTGGCGAAGAACGCCAGGTACTCCGCCTCAGCATGATCAACAACCTGCAAAGCATGATGAGTGGCCGGAAATCAGCGGCAGTGTGAAACGACTCACGTCTGAGTACGCCGATGAAAAGAGCGAGATGAGCACATTCAAGAGGATGAGTGCCGTCACGACGTTCCAGCTGAAAGAATGTCTGAGATGGCACCCAAAGCTGCTTTGTTGTCAACAACTCACAAGTAGTACAAAATGAGGCCAGCGATGCTACAGGAGGGTTAGCGGTCTCGCTCGGACAAAAGTAAAAGCAGTACCTTGGTGCGAATTTCTCGTAATTAGGTGATCTAATAAATAAGCATAGGCAGGCACCTCAGCGATGAAATAAGCTTACTGGAGCAGTGCTTGGACCAGAACATGGATGACCTATATCCACCATGAACATGCAAACACTCTTCCTAGCTTATCGACTGACCACAGATGCATCTTCAATTTGTCCATCGGCGGCGTCCAATGCATACAAGCCTTGCAAGAATCCTAAGGCCAAGATAGATAGTAGCTGCGAAGTTATGCATATCAGTACAAATGAGGCAAGATAATAGATATGTCAAATGGCTTACCGCGAAGAAGATGCCCGATTCCTGCAGCATCCGGGCGACGCATATTTGCATTGTCCCAACATATCTGGAGGGTGATGAGTTAAATGTTTGTTTCAATATAATGTTGACTACACACTTGTATCCGTCAAAGACAGTGAGTAGCTCTAAAACTAGTCAGGATGCGTTCGACACAAGCCCAGTGTGCACTCACTCATCCTATGCTAGACTGTCAGTACGATGGACCCAGGAGCGCAGGATTTAGAGACTAACCAAATAAATGGCGCAACGAAACTGAGCACTTGGAAACTCCGCAGGCGGTAGTAATTCGCCGCTTCCCCCTGCTGGTTCAACCCCACCACGCGGAGGATGAATGCAGCAGCAAGCAAGCAGTCGGTGATAAATGCAATGACGTTCCAAAAGCTGAAAGCCCTCCACGTTGCGTATCGGAAGAGTTTGTACCACTAATCAAGGACAAGTAGCTGTGAGCGGGTAGGTGGAAATTTGAGCGCGAGTCATGTTACCCTGGAGATATCTTACTTGACTCAGCGAACAGGCTCGTAAGAATAACCATCTAGCATACCTTCGAACCAAAAGGCCAGAGCCAGGAAGTACAAGATATACTCCCAAAAGTCTCCAGGCATGGGATCAGGGTTAAGTCGTTCGATGGGCTCGCGTACTGGATGTCAATCAACAAACGAGTCGCTGTTATATCAGATGCACTGTACCGGCTTGAGAGTAAACGACTAGGAAGGCTAGCCAGACGATAATCCTGAAAAAGTTCTGATACCTGTGGGCGATAAGTGTGGGGTGCAATCAGATACATGACAAACTGTGCTTGCCGAGGGACAGAAATTCTAGTAGCGTCAAAGTGACTCCAGATATCATCCCCATGTGTTCGATGGTAAGGAACATCTATGGTAAACCATGAGAAGGAGACCACTCGCTCATACGTGGTGCATACATTGAATGTCAGATTTTCCGATATGCTTTTGGACGACTTCACCATTCCAAAGAGAGTTGACAACTGCAAGCGTTGATGAAGGCAATGCTTTGACACAGTCAAGATGGCTTACCGCTCTGTGCCTCGCTGGAGGAGATGAAGATAGTGCTAAAGCAAATACTGTGAGATTCATGTTCATAGGTTGCGGCGCTTTCGACGATCACCTGTGCGAGTCGATGGCAACCTCAAGCGCACTTGAAAGCTCGCTGGCATCTCCGTCCATTTGTATGTGGCTGTACCGAGCGGACATGAGTTCATCAAGCTGGTCCGTAGGGCTCTGGTGTACGATGCGACGTGCAATAACCTCACAAGCAGTAGCTGATTTATGGCGAAGGTCAGGGCATGCCATAATCGTTTACAACGCATACGAACCTCTGCCTAGGTTTTCATCATAATCGGCAGGATTATTATTCGCTTCACTCATAAACCGAGCACGCGCTTGCAAAAGGCAGTAGGGGAGCTATCGACTCAGAATGTTAACAAACGTGAATTTCGAGAGTCCAAAGACGCGCACAGCTGCCTTGAAGTCTCCAGCTGCGTCCAAGTACGCGTTGACAACATTTGGAGTGATCACTTTGCTGACAGGGTTGCTGATACTTTCAACATCAACCTCATGAGGCAGAAGCGTGAACGTGAGCAGCCTCAGACGCTTAATGAGTTCTACCGATATGTTCTTAGAAACATATCTTTAGGATGTCGAGGCAAACTTACTCGTCAATGTATCTGGAGACGGCTTTTTCGCTCTGTTGGAAAGAAGTTGTCCAGTATCCTGGTCTCCGTTCCTGTTCTCATCATCCATGGCCGTGTTTCGAGAGGCTGAGGGGTGAAAGTGTCCAACAAGCTAGCTGTCGCGGTTCTCGGTGACGGCACCGGCAGGGGTAGTTGTTCTCCCAAAGCGGAAGGTGACATCGCCCACAGCGTGCCTTGCGCTCGACTGCGATTCGCGTGGCCACGGTCATCTTATCCACAAACCGCGACGATGCCCGTCAGTGTTACTCAAGTATACACGACTCACTGATGACTCGCTGACGCGTTTATTATCAGGCATATCATTCATCGCTGAACGATTACCCCGACCTCAGGCAGGTCGGTAATGTCGCCGTACTCCCGATCCGCACCAAAGTGCGTGGCCCTGCACCTCTTGGTCAGTCGCGTTCTACCAGCCCCTACGTGCGATAATCGTGAAGACCGTCTGAATGCATGTCCTCTATGCAGCTCCAGCAGAAGAGATGGACATCATCGACGAAACCCTCGATCTCTTCCGTGCCAACTCGCTCTTCCGCAACTTCGAGATCAAGGGCCCCGCCGACCGTCTCCTGATAGTCCTCATCCTCTACGTATCTGACTGCCTTGCCAAGCTCGGCGCTGCACGCACGGTACCTTCTCAGATCGAGGCATCCAAATCTCTAAACACGCTCTCCGTCGACAACTTCCCCATTCCGGGCGACGCCAACTTTGCTCTGAATGCGCATTACTCCCCACCCACGAGTCGCCAGGACGCAGGTAGGTTACCTTCAATGACATGCGAGGTGTGGCGGCTGATGATAATCGTTCAGATTACCTGCGGCAATACCTTACACAGGTGCGACAGGAGTTGTCCGCGCGCCTCGTCGAGAAGCTTTACGCGGATGGGACCGGAAAACCCAGCAAGTGGTGGATGTCCTTCCAGAAGAGACGCTTCATGAACCGTAGCTTGGGCTCATAGATCGCTAAGTCCGACAGCAGTGTAACATACTCTACTCCCTTCAATGCAATCACCATACAACTCTACACCTTTCGTCTGCGTTCGTTGGGATTCTTTCTCCCGAAGCCAATCTTTGGCATGTCCCCGTCCGGTTTAATCGACCGCCCCTTACCTCCTGTACCGACGCTCATAATACCCGGAAGCCAGTCCGGATCCGACCAGCTACCTACATTGACACCACCCTCTCCACCGCTGTTTAGTAGGCCCTTCAGCATTTTATGTTCGTCACGCTCGCGCTTGCCATCGGTACGCTTTTTGGCACGCATATACTCGACTTGATCCTCACGGAGGATTATGCCCTCTCCCGAGCCGGTCTTCGCCGACCCAGGTTTTGGTGCGGGTATTGAGTACTTTGTCCCTCGCATCTTGTACTGGAAATTCCGTTTCAGATGAATTTCCATGATCGGCACATCACCAGATGCGTCGGGAGAAGCCACCGTGACAGATGTTCGCATCAGCGTAGGGTTTCCACATGAGGGGCAGAATTGCTTTGAGTTGTCTTTGCAAATCCTAGGCGGCGATCTGTCAGCATCTGGATGTCGCGATAAAGGTATGGATTCACTTGAAACAAGCATGACAGCGCAAAACCCAGCTCTTGAGCTTTTGTATGCGTTTGCCGTCGGTGTTGACGAGACTCAGACCCATATGAAGGAGAACATTTTGCATGGCGAAATCAGCCGTCATACATCCTGCCAGTACGACTTCATCTTTCGCGGCTTTGCCCTTTTTCTTGGAGTCTACATCGGTGGGCAAGAGGGAGAGCGCCTGCGACTTGTGCAACGCAACATTTCCTGGCGTTATCCACTCGCCTTCGCCGTCATCCTCGTCTGAAGGGTCATCATACACAGGGCCAGTTGCACCTTTCCGTGAGTCTGGGAGCTGTGAGGGTTGAGGCTGAGGATCTGTGCCTTCGCTGGTGGGGGTGAGTTCCACATCTAGTGGTTCTCTCGGTACGTTGTCTTCTTCAGCTTCTTCCCCGTTCACATCGTCATCGATTTCCTCTTCGACAACCTCGGTGCTGCCCTCGAATGATGAGGGCATTGTGGAATCTGGTGCTCCGCTATTTAATTGGCCATCTGTCTGGATAATGGCACCAGATGGCGCGTCTCCTTGTGAAGTTGATGGCTCCGATGCAGTATTATGGGAAGATGGTTGAGAAGCATCGACCGCCAGTTCTACCTACTAACTCAAGTCTAAGCGAGCAGCTCATGACCACCATGAATCAAGCTTGCCTTGGTCTTGGCCTCTTCTAACGCCGCTTTCTCCCTGACGTGGAGCGAATGGGTGAGCGCAAGTACGCATATGTCTGCGTGTGAGAGGACGGAGTAGTCTCCGGTTTTCTTTGCAAACTGGATCACTGGCGGGCCGGGAGGGTTCCCAATGTTTGTCCTGATAGGAAAGAGGTGTGATCACGGGGGGGTACGTACCATGAGCCAAAGAGGCAGCATCGGGGTTGCGCACTTCCACTCGGACGCCGGCGGAGAGCCCCAGTCGCTCAAAATGTTCCCGTGCCCGTTTGTCCTTGAGTTCGTCCAAAACTTGTGGGACGGTCAGATAAGCCTCGGCGAGACCACGCAGGGGCGACAACGAGAGCAGAGGCCCTGAGTCGAGGACGAGATTTTTGCAGCGATGCGAAGACTCTGCCATTGGTGTAAAGCGAAGAGGACAAGAGGGAATGAAGGCTGAATGGAAAGCGCTACAGAGCTTGTGACAGCTTGAACGCGATAATCTTCATAGCCGTGGGAACGATCTACCTTTAGAAGCCATCTGCTCCCCGTCCGAACCTACCACAATCTCTCGGCCGATGTCCGGGCCCTCCAGGGCTTTAAAGGTCTGCACCACTGGAGCAAGAAATACAGTTTGACTCTCTTTCCCTGCCTCTCTACATAAACATGGCCCCGAAATCGTGAGTTTTTTCGTGGGCTCACCGACCGAGAGTGAAATGACCCCTGTCATTCAGTTACCGCATCGTCGTCCTCCCCGGTGATGGTATCGGTAAGTTCCTTTCATTACAGCAGATCCTCTACCAAATCTAATGCAAGCTTTGACCAGGGCCTGACGTCGTTGCACAGGCAACTCGCGTCCTGGAGCTCGTATCGTCCACCTCTTCGACGGTCAAGCTCAACCTCGAGGCCCATGACTTCGGTGGCATTGCTATTGATAACCACGGAGATCCTCTTCCGCCTTCGACGCTCAAGGCTTGCCAGGAGGCTGATGCAATCTTGATGGGTACACCGGTCTCTTACAACCAATCCCAGCGCATCTCTAACAATGTCTTCTGCTAGGCTCTGTCGGCGGACCCAAATGGGGTCCCGAGCTGAAGGTGCGCCCCGAGCAGGGCCTGCTCGGTCTACGCAAGGCCCTCGGCCTGTACGCCAACGTCCGCCCCGCCAACTTTGCCTCCGACTCCCTCCTCAACTACACCCCCCTCCGCCCCGAGATCGCCAAGGGCGTCGACATTATCGTCATCCGCGAGCTCATCGGCGGTCTCTACTTCGGTCCGCGCCAGGAGCAGGGCGACGGTGACAGCGCGTACGACACGATGGTGTACACCGTGCCCGAGGTCCAGCGCATCACCCGCGTCGCCGCCCAGATCGCGTTGTCCGCAAACCCACCCTTGCCCATCCACTCGATCGACAAGGCCAACGTGCTCGCGAGCTCACGCCTCTGGCGCAAGGTCGTCGTCGAGACCCTTGCAAAGGAGTACCCCCAGCTCACCCTCGACCACATGCTCGTCGACTCGGCTGCTATGGTGCTCGTCTCGAATCCCAAGAAGCTGAACGGCGTCGTTCTGACGGAGAACCTGTTCGGTGACATGTAGGCGGATCCCGATCTCGCACTCAGTCCACCTTCTCACACATACTTGCCTTGTCAGCTTGTCGGACGAGACCAGTGTCATTCCCGGGTCGTTGGGTCTTCTGCCTTCAGCTTCGCTCGCTGGTGCCCCCGCCCTGCCATCCGCCGCCAACTTTAAGCCAACTTCGGGCATTTACGAACCGATTCACGGCTCGGCACCGGATATCGCAGGCCTGGGTATCGCCAACCCCATTGGCACGATCCTTAGCGCTGCGATGCTACTGCGATACTCCCTCGGTCTCGAGAAGGAGGCGCAGGCCGTCGAGACCGCCGTACGGAAGGTTCTGGACGACCCAAGTGCCGGAGGGCTCGGTCTCCGCACCGCCGATCTCCGTGGCAAGGCAACAACCGTGGAGCTCGGCGACAAGGTCGTGGAGCTGTTGAAGGCGAGCCTCTAAGTTATCACACAAGAGAGAAGAAACGCACTGTATTTTATACGAGCTTTGCTGTTGGACTACATGTTTGCAAGAGCCATTCCCATATTATCCGGAACAGAGAAACGTCCAGAGTAAAATTCCAGCATGCGATTGCTTGCGCAAAACGAACAACAATCAAGTATATCGTGGTAGGTGATATCTTACACTTGACACAGTGACAGAGTCCCAGGCTTCGATCAGAACATATTTCCCAGTTGCCTCGCAGCAAGCCGGGCATCAAGCCGGGGACGCGAAGGCGTTACGCGCATTGACTGTGTCATGTTGGCAGGTGATAATCCACCAAGGGGGTCGAGTGCAGGCTGTTGGTCGCTTGAGGACAGACCGGATACAGAGTGGGACAAAGGACCACCTCCAGTCAGAGGGTGTGGACCGGCAGAAGGGCCAGGCGAGGTAAGAGGACTAAAAACGTTTGAAGATGAAGATGACTGCACAACTCCACCCAAGGGCCCGACAGCGGGTTGATGGGGTGGCAAAGAGGAGGTTGAAGATGAGGCTGCTGACGTTGCAGCCGCAGGGTGTGAAGGCTGGACAAACATTGACTGCGTTCCGTTCACAAACCTTCCGCCTAGTGGAGGACCACTGGAAGCAAGGGCAGCATTGGGAGCTGGTAGCCCGTTGTTTGAAAGAGCTGCAGGAGCATGGGCTGGCGCTGTGGGAGTGGAAACAGTAGACGTCTGAGGCAAGAACGTCCGAGAAGGGGCAGCAGAAGGGATAGTAGCAATTTGAGGCGAAAACGTTCTTGACGTGCCCGACATGATAGAGGCTGCACCCTGGGGAGCAAAGGGACGAGGCGAGAACGATGGGGCCGATGGACCCGCACCGGGTGACTGAGGTGGAAGTGTGCCGTTCGGGCGAATGTACGTTTGATTCTGATGGAAGGAGGGCGGCTGCTTCGTCGGCGGAGGCGCGGGATGGGGCTTGAAGTCGTCTTCGAGCGGAGGAATATACAATGGCTTTGGCGCTCCATCGATTTTCGGAGGTTCGACCTTCTTATTGGCGTTGTTCACGTCTGTCCGTAATGCTTCAAGCTCACGGAGAAGCTGCCTCTCGTACATGATGGAAGAACGCGCGTGCTCAACCAACGCAGCCGTAACATCGTCCGTGACAGTCTTCTCGTGCCGTTCTAAGGCGCTATGCAAGTTCTGCGACATGCCATCTGCGCGCCTCGCAAGCGTTCGCTCATACCTGTTAGCCTATATTGCATATTGCGTTTGGTAAATCTCACACGCAAAAGGCATCGCTGAGCAAACGCACCTCTTCAAGATCTTCCAACGCCTCGTCAACTCTTTCGGGACGTATTGTCGAGCTGGCTTTCAGACGTTCAATGTTCTTCCGCTTGGATATTGCAGATTTTGCAGCTGCTTGATATTCTTCCAAAACACCATTCCGTTGTTGCAGAGTGTCCTTCGCCGAGCGGGCGTTCATGCCTTGATAACCTAAGGTGTCGCCGATAACCACGCATTCGCTAATAGCTTGGGCTTGGTCGAGATCCGCCAAACTATGCCATGTCCGACCCAACTTGCGGATCGCATTGGCCAATGGTGGGTGCGACTCTGTGGTGGCGACACCGACCAGTTTGTTCCCCATCTCTGCGTGGGCCAAGGCGAGGGCTGCGAATCATTTCAGAGGAGAAGGCATAGAAGCTTGGATGCGCACTTACCTTTGCGTGCATTTGCAAGCTTATCGATGGCCTTGGCCGCGTCAAAAAACTGGCCCTCCAGCTTGGTGAGCTCAAAGCGAGCTCGCTGCAGTGCTTCATCCTCATCCGCCACGCCGCGGCGGATAAGCGTGAAGCCTGAGCCACCCTTGCGCCTGGGACGTGGAGTAGGTTGATAGCCAAAGTCACTTTCGACAAACGAGCGAAGATCCTCGTCATGAATGATGATTGGGTCTTCGCAAATCCGGGTCAGCCAGCGCTGAAGCATGATCTTCACAAGGCGATCATCCTCCTCATCTGTGGGAGCAGAAGTCTGGGCGAGAGGGAGAGCGGGTATGATAGTATGAGGGCAATTGTTGATGAGCGCCTCATAGAACTGCTGGAACTCTAAGTATGTGCGTGATACGTTCCGATACGTCGTTCCAGTGAAGTTGGACAAGTTCGTCTAAGGAAAAGAAAGGACGGTGGTATCAGAAGACACAATGGAACTGATTTCGGAGGCGTCGTTACCTGAGCATCAAATTTGAAGAGAATGTCTCTTCTGTTCCTGTCCAAGCCGGTGATGCGTACACGGAGATAGGGCTCACGCTTCTCGAACTTGGTACCATTAACGCCTACCATTGTCTGGGGAGAGACAAGGCCAGGGTCAGGCTGGCCATATATCCTAGGCTCCCTGCCATAGATGCTGCCGCTGTCTGTTCTCTGGAGGTCGTGGGGAGCGGGGGAAGAAGGGATGGACGAAGTCGCAGATGGAGCGGAGTCGATGTCCGACACAGAAGGGGTGGACTCTGCGGCAGGAGCACTGGGGGTGTCTGCGGCCCATGGCTGGGGGTCGTCGCCCCAGGCGGATGTGCTGAGCGGGTCTTCCATGGCGTTCCACTCCGAGTCGTAGGCCGGCAACAAGCTGGGGCCAGACCAACTTCTGACACCCCTCCAGTTACATAAGCGCAGCACACTCCCCGCGTTTCATGTTCAGCTTTACTTAAATCTCTGCTTGTCTTGATTGTATCAAGCTCGTTGATATCACATTAAATATCGTATAATAATACAGGCCCATGAATCGTCTAAAGAAATCCCACTAGGAATCCGTCAAATAAACGAAATCTATACAAGTCCGTCTTCTACATCCGCCAGGTAAAGAGGGAGCATGTGGCCCATGCGTTCGACTTTGGTGCGAAGGTATTTGTCTAGATCGTCTCCTCTCACCGCCTCTCCTCCAATCATAGTCAGTCCCGCCGCCTTCTCCTTCCCCGCTTCGTTCGGTTTCGAGTGACCGGTCCGACACTTCCAGCTGCGCGGAACCATCGGAACGCGTTCCACCACCTTGACTCCTTCCTTCTCCAATGCCGCCACCTTGTCTGGGTTGTTGGTCAACAAACGGAGCCCCCGATCCTGCTCCGAGCCGACCCTGAGGTCGCGTAGGATAGCACCAGCAATCTCGTAGTTGCGCTCGTCAGCGCCGTACCCGAGCATCAGGTTAGCCGCGACCGTGTCGTGGCCCATGTCCTGGAGGTTGTACGCCCGGATTTTCGACAGGAGACCGATGCCACGCCCTTCTTGGCGAAGATAGACTACGACCCCACGCCCCGGCAGGTCAGGCAGACCAAGTGGAGAGTCCCGTGGGAGACGGGTCGGCTGCGATATGAGGCGGATGGCCTCATCTAGCTGTTCCCCACAATCGCAGCGCATGCTTCCCACTGTCTCCCCAGTAAAGCACTCCGAGTGAATCCGGACGAGTGGTGGTGGGATGGCGTCGCCGCTGATGACAGGCTGGGAGGATGGCAACGAAGGATTTTTCAATGTGGATGACAGCTTGCCAACGTAGGCGCCCCGTACTAAACGGTCCATTTCAGTTTCGTTCTCGCCCCATGTGGCGTCTAGCGTGCGGCTACGGATCGGGGGAACATGCTGCTGGAGGGCGTCATCATACTGTGATGGGTCAACAACAATAGCAAGGTGCTCCTTGCTGTCTCGGTTATTATGGTAGAGGTGGAGGAAAACGGGACCATGAGGAGTTGGTATGCGAGTGCGCGCCATGCACTTGACCTCGACTGGCTGAGGTGGGAGTTTATCTGCTGCAGGTTTTGGTATAATTGCGCGAGTGTGATCGGGAACGGCCAAATGCGTTGGAGGCTTTCGTGAGAGATGTGGATGGGGAATATTGTCAGCAGGTCTCAGGGGCTCGGGGGACTGTGGTGAGTCGTTCTCCTTCTCGAGCTTGCCCTCGGCCTGGAGACGTGCTTTGCGAGGGCCTTGTCGGCTGACATAGGTCAAACGTCTGCGTTCACCTCGGGCGGCTGCATCTTCGCCTGACCACTTCGTCCAGTCGTAAGAGCCTTGTGATTGTGGCATCATGACGCCCGGGAAGAAATCATGAGTATAGTGGTTGCGGGTAACGTTTGGACCCGAAGCGGCAGTAGCAGCGAGAAGCAGCGGATCCATGAAAGAATCCCGCCTTGGCAGTGGCTTCGGAGAGGAAGGAGGTGGACCTGTTAGCAGGTCAAGGACGGCGGCATCGGAGGACGCGCTCGCAATGACAGAAGCAAAGTCTGACGGTTCTGCGACTGACATTATGGACGACCTGAAGTGTTGATAGAGGTGAACGTGGTTGGCGGTGGAATCGAGGGCGAGGGGAACACTAGTGCAGACTGCGGTGGGTGCATCTGATCTAATGGCCTCTGCTTATATTTCCTTGCGGCCGGAAAAAGCATCCCGGGGGAGAAGGAAAAATTGCGTGACGTTACGATCCGTGTTGCCTTTCCGACGCGTCGTCCGCCGTTACTCTTACGAAGACGCTTTGTCACACATCGCCGCTCGTTGCGGCCGACAGTCAGCTCAGGCCCATTGCCACCGGATTGACTTGCGGTTTTCCGCTCTACTTACTCCTTATGTGCTTCACTCGGACATCCGCATCTTTGTCCGCCCTCCGAATTGTCCGAAGACTATGACGCTCAGCAATCAACAGGCTCTACTAGTTGCTTCTCACAACACGCATTTATGACCAAAAGCATTGGCGCCGGTTCTCATACTACAAACTTAGTTACCCTCGTGACTCGCTCAACCCTCCTCGACAACTACAAGCAGCTCTGGGTTTCCCTCAAGCGTACGACACGGCCCCCGCATTTTCGGTTAGATCGCAACGTCTCCGATGGGCTCGAGGGAATGGAGGGGAATGGCCAGACTCTAGAGCGTGTCCAAAGCGTGCCCAGCGCCAAAGACCCCCACCGAGCTCTGCCACATGGATAGATGGCAGTAACGATCGAGACCACCACGTTGTCATGCCGAGGGTCCCGGTCAGGTACAGACAGACGTGACAGCTGTCTACTGGCATGCGGGAGTTAGGGGCCAATTCGCCACCGTGGATGCCGTCTTCTCCCTGGGCCATCGGGGCGGGAGGTGAGCGTGCTTGTTCCTTGCTATTCAATTTCCTTGCTCTTTCCCTTCCCCTCCTTTTGCTCGCCTTACTGTCCCTACTTGCTACACCCTCGCTCTTTACAATCGTGATATGTTGGCTGAACCAGAGTCGAGCAGACGCCCAAAGCACGTCTCCGACGCATCCTCCTTCTACTCGAGCTCCTCCCTCCATCCCAACAATCACTTCAACTCCCCTCCGCCATCGGGCTCGTCCCTCCTCTCCCCAACCGTGGGCAGGATGCCGAGCTTCCATGACCTCGTATGCCTTTCGTGTGCACCAGAGGTAGAGTACGCTGACAAGATCGCTTTCAGAACGACACGCCGTACTCGCACACCAGCCTGTCCAGACAGTCCGTCCAGACTCACTCCGTCTCCGAAAAAGTGCATCCGTCGCCCATGCTCGGTACCTGGACCGTCGCTGACCTCATCTCCTTTCGCAGTTCGCCCTCCCCGCCGACCCGACTGTCTGGGGTTCCGACCTCCTCATGGACCAGCCCGAGGCCGACGACGCGTTGCACAACCCGTCGAACCCCAAATGGGCCGCCAAGACGGACCACAACGTCATGACCCTCCGCGGCGCCACAAATCTTGGCTGCCTCATCGTCCTAGTCGTCGCTTTGCTCGCGCTCTTGTACGTTTCCTCCATCAACGAATCACAGCGGATAACAATATTAACTCCCCACCCGCACAGCCTCGGCTACCCCCTCCAGGCGTTCTTCACGCGCCACATCCAGTCCACCCAGGGCGGCTTCAACGCAGGCGGCATCAACGCCTCGGGCCAGGTCCCGAGCATCCCGAACAACTTTGGCCTCATCGACGTCGATACGCCCTCCTCCGCGCACACCTACACCTCCTTCGCCGACGGCGCCGAGTGGCAGCTCGTGTTCAGCGACGAGTTCGAGACGGCCGGGCGCACGTTCTGGCCGGGCGACGACCCGTATTGGGAGGCCGTCGATTTACATAATTGGCAGACGAATGATCTCGAGTGGTACACGCCCGAGGCGGTCACGACGCGCAATGGGTCACTCGAGATCACGATGAGCGAGAAGGCGAAGAACGGGCTGGATTATATCAGCGCGTCGTTGTCGACGTGGAACAAGTTCTGCTTTACGGGCGGGCTGATTATGGCATCTGTGAGTCTACCCGGCTCGAGCTCGGTTGCAGGCATGTGGCCTGCGATATGGACAATGGGCAACCTCGGTGCGTCCTTTCATCTTTATGCGTCACGATATCTAACCTCGTTTTATTGTAGGCCGCGTCGGGTACGGCGCCACACTCGATGGAATGGTACGCCACCTCCCCTCCCTCCCCTCCCTCCTTCCTGCCCACTAACCCAACCCCACCCAACGCACAGTGGCCATACAACTACGACTCCTGCGACATTGGCACTGCCCCGAACCAAACTCACAACAACGGGCCCCCCTACGCGCTCACACACGGCGACCCGTACAACGACAACAAGCTCTCGTATCTCCCTGGGCAGCGCCTCTCGCGCTGCACGTGCCCCGGCGAGAGCCACCCTGGCCCCGTGCACGCGGAGGACGGGAGCTTTGTGGGCCGGTCGGCGCCGGAGATCGATATTTTTGAGGCGCAGGTGGCGGGTGGGGTGGCTGGGTTGTCGCAGTCTGTGCAGTATGCGGTGCGTTGCGTTTGTTTGTTTGGTGGGGAGGTGGGGAAGTGGGGAAGTGCTGATGTTTTTGTGGGGGCGTTTTTTTGGGTAGCCGATGAACGCAGAGTACAAGTGGAAAAACGTGACGGGGAACTATAAGCTCAACAGCGACCAGGCGCAGCTGAACTCGTACACAGGCGGCGTGTATCAGCAGGCCGTGTCTGGTACTATCCCGACGAGTGCGTCTCGTTTTTGTCGTCTTCATTTCAGGAGGGAAAACGGGCAACTGACGCATCGGATGCGCCCCGCGCAGACCCGGACTGCTTCACGCAGGAGACAGGATGCTTTTCCACACACGGGTTCGAGTATAAGCCCGGGTACGCGAACGATAGTGCTGTAAGTGGTCTTTCGCAACATGTGGTGCTTTAGTGTCAGAGATTGTAAGGCTGACATGGTGCTTTTTTGTTTTGTTTTTTTCGATGGATGCAGTACATCACCTGGATCGCGGACGGCAGTGCCTCGTGGACGCTCGATGCTGCGGGCATGCAGGCGGACCCACTCACGGAGATCAACGACCGGCCGATTCCGCAGGAGCCTATGGTGCGTCCCTGTCTACAGTCCATCACGGGTCGTTGTTTTGACCTTGACCTTTGAACGTGACCGACCGTCTTCGTGCATCCCCCCATCCATTCAACACATACATCTGTTCGCTCGCATTGGACGCGCACACACGGCAGTACATCATCGCAAACCTCGCGATGTCGCAGCAGTTCTCGCCGCCCGACTTTGCGGACCTCGTATTCCCCATGACGATGCGCATCGACTGGATCCGCGTGTACCAGCCCAAGGACGCAATCAACATCGGCTGCGATCCCGCGGACTATCCTACCGCGTCGTATATTGCGCAGTGAGTCTCTCCTCTCTGCCTTTTACTCACGAATCCATGCTACTCTGGAGTCCGCACTCACCGGTACAAAATCTTATTCTAATGTCGAATGTGCACAGGTACCCAGAGGCATACAACAACCCGAACCTAACAACATGGACAGGCCCTGCGTCTGCGGGCGGATATGACCAGACGATGCCGAAGAATTCGTTCCTCGGGCAGTGTTAGTCACTGCCCCCTGGTACCTTCACACTTGCCATTGCTTGGCGTCCAACTTCCTCTTGGTTTCTTGGCTTTGATACACTTCTTGGGCCCGGCCTACGGAATTTGATCTTTGGGGGTGCAGGGCGCCCGACGATGCCTTGAGGGCATTGTGTCCAGTACGAGTATGTAGATAGATTGTTTGCGCATTTTTTACACAGAGGGACTATGTGATAAGATTTATATTGGTATGCGCCTTGGGTCATGACATGCATGACACACCAAACATCACGGTAGATTTGTAGAATTATGCCTCGAGGCGGACCCACAGATCAGCGGAAACACTCCATGCCAATCGTTCAGGTTCTGTACAAGGTCTCGCTGGCCAGGTCACTGGCAGCCTATAGAGACACAATACTGATTGGGACTATGATGTTCGTATTTGAAATGAAACTGAGATATCGATCGATATGACTGCTTTCGAACAAAACCAGTCTGTGATCATTGTGGTTTGGCCTGCACAGTACTCTGAAACCGTGACTCCTTTATTGTTGTTAAAAAATAGGCTAGCATGTGGTGAGTCTCACGGAGATAGCCAGCACTATACTTTGCGGGTTCGGGCCGCAATTACCATTCACGTAGACTTTATCGACATCAAAACCCTGATAAGCAATTGAGTATATAGCTTTCAGCACAAAGCAATATGGTGCAGCGCACGCACCCACGAACACAATCAACACGAGGGATCGCTGCAAGACCCTACAAGGGCACGCGTTGGCCGCATGCGAGATGACAAAAGGCTCGCAGAAGGCCTTTATGAGAGCGAGACAAGATGTTGATTTAGAAAGCCCCTCGCGCTACATAAAGCATCCGCTCTTTGTCCCTTTGTCTCATCCGACGCGCCACCCCCACTCCTCTAATCATCCCCCAAATGGCTGCAGGACATAGCATGGTGTAGGCCTCATATAATCTGTCTCAACGCGTCTTTTTGCTCATAGAGCACCTCTCAGAAACGTAGAGGACCGCCGACGACGCAAGACCATCGAAATCCTCGCCGCCACCGCCAATCGCGCGCTGGCAGAAGTCAGCTACACCCCACAAATGGCGCAGAAGATAACGCAGCTCCAAGAAGAAAACATAAAGCTCTGGCAGGATAACGCTATGTTGACGCAAAAGGCCGCGATATTACAACACCAGAACCAGGCATCTGCGGCATCCCCCTCCCGGGAAGAGGTGCTTCAGCAGCAGGTCGAACAGCTTATGAACAAGCTCAGCACGATGGCCATTGAAAGAGATACGCTGAAGCACACCAGGGATCAGCTACTGGCAGCCCCGACGCCGGATACTAGGTACCAGCATCTCTACATGGAGTATCAGAAACTGGATACAAATTACAAGAAGTTGTTGATGGACTTCAACTCCCTCAAGATGAATATGCGCCAGCCCGCTCCCGGGATGGTTCCGGTCAATCGTGGCATGGTAAACACAGCGCGTATGTGCGGTCGAGCTAGTTCCAGCGATTGAACTAATGGTCGAGCCAGCGACTCAGATACCACAGGGGCGAATGCCACAAGGACAGGGGATGATGATGCAGGTAAAATCCAACTTTTGTGATATTTTCCAGTAGCACAACTGATATAGTGCAGCATTCTCAAAGACACCCTTCCATGAATAACATGGGCGGTATGGTTGACCCTCGACAGCATCCTCCTGGACAGGTTGCAAATTCACACAATATCAATGTGGCTAGGGGAACACCATATGCTATGCCCAATGTGAGAAGATGTTCAGACCCATTTACTGTTTCGCTGACTTGCAGCCTCAGCAGTATCCGCAGGCCCAACATGGTCATATAGTAATACCTCAGGCTGCCCAACAGCAGACACAGGGACACATCATGTTGAATCAAGCCCAGTATCCTATGCCCGCTCGCCAGTCCCCAGTGCAGTCCCCGAGCAGTCACATGCAGCACCATCATAGTGTTCAGAATTCTGCTCAAATTCCAATGCCACACTCTCCGGCACGGGCGACCGGTGCCTCTTACGCTCCTCCCGCCGCCAGCCCTCCTGCCGTTCGAGCTGCTACTGCCGGACCCTCCAACCCGTCTATAATTGACCTAACAGCTGACGAGGATCCATCAAACACAATAGCCCAAAATGCTCTCAAGCGTGCCAGCACAGCTCCCAATGTGGACAGAGAACACAAGAGGTCCCGCAGCGCTGATCAGCACATCGCAAAGAAGTCTGGGGATTTGGGTGTTGTGGCGGAGATGGTGGGACCTATGCAAGAGATGCTTGGTGACGGCAATGCCAACCCTGCGCAGAGTGGGGAAGGGAACAGCGGGCAAATGTCCGTTGACGATCTGTATGGTGACCTCTCCGGCAATGGTGCTGCAGCTTCGGTAGGGCGGGCACGCAGTGCCCTTGACGTTCTCGTAGGTGTTAGTGCCGACAATGAGTGCCGGACAGACGCAGAGTGTGTTGACCTAATGTGGGATGAAGATGGGGAAGTTGCTGGAGGCATGGTTTGCATCGCATGCTAGTAAGTGGAGATTTCGTTTGCTCGGGTGTCTGTCCATGCTCACGAACGAACCATAGTAATCGATATGAGAATGGTCTCCAACCAGAACCCAAGGTTTTCACAGAGTTCACATTTGAAACATTGAGGGCGCACTGCAAGGAAAACCATCCTACTATGTGGGACGACTTGCAATGGAAGCGCGACCTGGGGGCTCCTACCGGCAACTCTACGCCCTAAGGTCTAATAGCAATGAGGTTTCCGTATGTTTAAACATCTAACTTTTACGGATTAAGAAGCACTTAATATTACACGTACCTATCTATGTAGCATAAGCAATTACTACTTTGTCTTGAGTGCTGATCTGGGCGGCCCCATATAATACTGAAGATATTTTTGGGAAGGTTTGATGCTTTCAGAGTCGTAATGTGGGTCCACTTGTGATGCACGCGGTGTGCGGGGAAAGGCGCGTGCACAGGACACAACCCATCAGGTGCGCCGCACAGCGCGACCACGAGGAAACGCAGGACCGACGATAGATAACAAGTTTTTGCCCCGGGCAGTCGTAAAACACGCGCGGCGTCGAGTCTTGAAATTCGTTGGCGTACTTGGCCCATGGTTACCGATGAAGAGCAAATAGTTCTGGGCGTTGTTCAACATGTGAAATTAGGCAGATAACGTATGGATTGATGGCAAAGTAGACAGGGGATGATGGCAGGCAGGTGCCAGCTGCCACCAGCTGCCAGCTGCAGTGGTGGCGGGTAGTCGGGAAAGAGAAAGGGAGAGACAAAGAGCGGGAGCTCGGCTGAGTATTTCGAGGGCTGGGGAGGCGGTGTTGATGAGGGCAAGGAGGACCGGGGCAGACGACGCGGAGTTTTATCTGAGAGGAGATCCACACGTATGATGAATTCGAAAACATCGAATCGGCCGGAATTAATTGTGTTAGCGCCTCGGCGTCTTGATTCTGTCAGTAATTTCGCGTATAAAGGTATGGCACCCGATACTGGAACGTCTCTCCAAGTTTTTTTCCATTATTCTGCCCTGCTTTTACGGCGGCAGACATGCGCTCCTTACTCGTCTCGCTCGTTTCGCTCGCCCTCGCCCTCTCCGTGCTTGCAGAGCCCACGCTCTCTCCATACACGCTACATGAAAAGCGCGACGCCATCCCCGCAGGATGGTCTCGTGATCGTAAATACCACGCGACTGCTTCGGTCCCTCTCCGTTTCGCGCTCGCCCAGAACAACATCGACTCCATCGGAGACCTTCTCCTCGATATTTCTCACCCCGAGTCCGAGAATTATGGAAAGCACTGGACCGCCGCCCAAGTTGCCGCCAAGTTCGCTCCCAGTGCCACCTCCGTTGACGCGGTCCGTACCTGGCTCGAGCAGAGCGGTGTCGAACCTCACCGCATCACCATCACCCCTTCCAAGGGATGGATCGAGGTTTCATCGACCGTAGAGGAGGCAGAGTCACTCCTCCAGACTGACTACCACGTCTATGGCCACGAGAGCGGCGCAGAACAGATCGGTGCGAATCCACCCACATCAATGGGTGATAAGACACACTAATTTCACATCGTTTTCGTGCAGCCTGCGAGGGCTATCACCTCCCGGCTCACGTTGCGCCCCATGTCGACTTTGTCACTCCGACTGTTCACTTTGACGCCAAGATCAAGCGCGTCAAGCGTGATGGTCACCATGCAGCCATCCCCATCGGCCAGCCCGGCTTCGGCGCGGGTCCCAAGACCAGCGGTGTTCTCGACAACATCTTCACTCAACTCGAAGATTGTGACAAGCAGATTACGCCTGCCTGTCTCCGCGCCCTCTATGGCATTGTCTATGATCCCGTCTCGACCAACAACAGCTACGGTATCGTTGAGTATACCCCGCAAGCCTACATTCAGAGCGACCTCGACAGTTTCGCCAAGAACTTCTCTACCGGCCTCGAGGGTGTTTCCCCCAAGCTTGTTTCGATCGACGGTGGTGTCGACCAGACATCTTTGAAGAACTTCAGCTACAATGGCGAATCCAACCTTGATCTCCAATACGGCATGACACTCGTCACTGCCAAGCAGCCAGTCACGCTCTACCAGGTCGGTGATATGAATTTGGGTGAGTGCACATGCATGCTCTACGTGTTTGTGAGTTTGCTAACTTATCTCCATGTCTGTATAGGCGCTTCGTTCAACAACTTCCTGGATGCACTTGACGGCTCGTACTGCGCGTTCGAAGGCGGTGATGACCCCAGTCAGGACGGTATATATCCTGACAACGTGCCAGGCGGCTATGACCGTACGTTCATTTTCAATCCCGTTGAATCTCCGTCTTATAGGCAAACAGATTCTCAGGATTGCGGTACAGTCAAACCTGCCAATGTCATCTCCACCTCGTATGGCTACAATGAGGCTGACCTCACTGCCAAGTATGCACAACGCCAGTGTGCTGAGTATGCCAAGCTTGGTATGATGGGCGTCACTGTTCTGTATTCCTCGGGCGATTACGGTGTAGCGGGTAACGGGGACCTCTGCTTGGACTCAAACGGTTGGTGCAATCGCGTCTCTACGCTTTTCTTTGTGCTCAGTCTTTTGTCTACCAGGCAATCAGACTGCTGATGGCAAGATCTTTAACCCGTCTTTCCCGTCAACTTGCCCCTACGTCACCTCCGTTGGCGCTACACAGGTCTCTCCCGGCCAGACCGTGCTTGACCGCGAGAACGCATGCCAACAGGTCATTTACTCTGGCGGTGGATTCAGCAATTACTTTGCCGTCCCTGATTACCAGAAGGCTGTCGTTGCGGGCTACCTCGAGAACCACCCACCCCCGTACAGCAAGACTACATACAACACTACTGGCACAGTACGCATCCCCCTTTCATAGCATAATCATACAGTCTAAGACGCTCCCCATAACAGTCCCGCGCGTACCCTGACATCTCGGCCAATGGTGCGAACTATGTTGTCGCCATCAACGGCAACTACAGCCTTGTCTACGGTACCTCCGCGTCGTCACCCGTTGTTGGTGCCATCATCACGCTCATCAACGATGCTCGCATTGCCATGGGCAAGAGCCCGGTCGGATTTATCAACCCAACGGTGCGGAGAGTTTCCTCGACGTGGCTAGCTATGTAACTGACTCCGGGCGTCTCGCAGATTTACTCGAGCGAGTTCCAGTACGCTTGGAATGATGTGACGAACGGCACGAACCCCGGCTGCGGCACTGTTGGCTTTAGCTCTGCGCCTGGTTGGGACCCTGTCACTGGCTTGGGGACGCCCAACTTCCCTGCTTTGCTGGCTAAGTGGCTTGATCTGTAATCGCCACTGTTGCCTCACTTTGCGACTACATTATTTTTATTCATGACGGGAGGGATCCAAGAATTCACGGGCCCATGGACTACCCTCCAGTAATACTTTGACTGTTCTCGTTCTCTTTGTTGTCAAATGGTTTGTTGTGGGTACATTGTTAATCATTAAACTGAATTCTCTAGTTAGTTGTGATTTGATGAACCACCGCTGAAGTGCATGAGTCGTCCGTTGTGATTCAGACCGGCCAGGTGAATGCCACGAAGGCAGCATAACTTCCTTTCCTCTCTCTTCATCGTTATCGTCCGCCATGTCATCGTCGGCCACCATCGCTGCGGTCCAAGAACCGCAAGAAGCTGTGCTTGTTGGCGGCTTCTTTCACTGCTTCTACACTGGCATCATCATCGTGCAAGCCTCGCGATACCTTCAAGTATACCCAGAAGACCCAGTGGGCCTTCGAATCTTTATGACGATGCTCGTGTTCTTCACCTTGTATGCGCCACTTCTTTCGAAAGTCTTTGAGGATTCTTAGGTCATTTTAGCATCCAGACCGGCCTAAGCGGTTATATCGTTTGGCAGTCAACGGTTCTTGATTCCTTCTTGGTAAGTGTTTAGCACCCTGCACATGACGTACGCTTGACTGTTCGACGCTACCATTAGGGCGAGTCGCATGTCTGGGGCTTCCACGTCTTCTTCAACGGGTTCTTATGCAGCCTGACGAGGTCGTACCAGGTCTTCCGGTGCTGGCAGGTTAGTTCGGCCTTGCTCCTATTTACTCTCTGGAGGGCGTTCTCACTTCGAGGCCGACGATCCTAACATGCTTATGACATGTATCAGATCATCCGCAAATGGTATTGGATGGTACCCCTGGTCCTTCTTGGCATGGGGTCGTTTGCTGCCAACGTTATATTCGTAAGTGCCGCGACAAGGCAAGGTATAGCTGATTCATGTGGGTCCGATCCATGAAATAGGCCTACTCGGCCATGCAAATATTCGGCCCACATCCAACGTCTCAAGAGGCAAGTATGCTGCTTTACAATGAACCGAGTTGAGCTCGTGCTGAGTTTATTGTAGATCACGGTGAGCATTTCCATGAGCTGGAGTAGGACACTTACCTGAGATGTTTCCTAGATGGGTACCGTTACCTTTAATTATTGGACAATTGCAGGGCTTGGTAAGATTTCCGCCAGTTTTATCCAGATTACGCTGAGAAATATGGCTAGCCGTCGACGTGATGATGTCTGGCACACGCAAGTGCCTTTCTTCCCTTCAATATTGATTGGAAGTACTGACATGAACGCCAGTGGCACGCTTCTGTTGGAAACATAAGACGGGGATCGAGCATATCGACAGCGCCGTGAAGCGCTACTTCATCGTTGCCACCGAGTCATCCCTGTGGCCAGGTCTCTGCTTGCTCATCGCCGTCATACTTTACCACTCGGGCAATGTAGGTCACCCTTCCAGCCGTGCACCTGCCTGATACTGGGCGACCCTTCCTTTACTTTGTTGACTTTTACAAACCTTTAGGTCATGGCTGAACGAGTCGTCTTCATTTTTTTGATGATGACGGGAAAGTTATACGTTATCTCCATACTCAGGATGCTCAACGCACGAGAGCCGTTGCGCGAAAGACTAGGCTCGAAAGAGATGTGTCGTGTATCGATTTCCGGTTGGGCTGGCCAAGGATCGCAAACGCATGGCGAGACCGCCAGTATCAGTAGGTCTGAAGCGATGGTGAGTGACCTTCTGCGGTCATCTGTGAATTCTTTCGTGAAGTAACCGTGAGTTGTTAGCTTTCGACAGTGATAGGCGGGCTGCGTAGCCCGCAGTCAATAACCTCTTCTGATGACGGGTTGGACGCTATTGAGCGCAACGAGATACGGAGTGATACCTCGCCCGAACGAAGGAGAACGACGGGCCTTGGAGCGCAGGAAGCTTCACCATAGAGGATAGATGATATATCGTGAGCATTCGTCAAATCATGTAGAGCATTGGTTATAAATGTACATTTCCTCTGGGTCAATATAACATTAGTTGAGCAAGTTCTGAGCCATCGAGTCGATGAGCGCGATTAGCCTGTCCTCTTCAAGTCGGATCAAGGATGCGTTCCGGTCAAAGATGACTGCTTCAGTCAGAGCGGGCAACGTCGTAGCGCCGTAACCTTGATGCGAAGTCAGCAAGTCAGTACAGGTGCAAGATAAACAAAAAAGATAGCGAACGAACCCAAGTATCTACCCGGTGCGACACCCAGATGCTTGTACCAGTTACGGCTCCTGATCCCATCTTCGGAGATGAACCCCTGTTCAAACTTCGCAAGCTTCGCGTTCACCTTTCGCACGCGCTTCGCAGCCTGGATGAGGTCGTGCAGCGGCCCTTTGCCCCAGCGCTTCTCGAGTCGCTCCACGTCGCCCGCGCGAGCAGAGAGCATCTTGAGCGAGTGGTCGAGCAGGTGGTCGTGCTCATACGGCTCGGCGTCCTTGGGACCAATCGGGTCGACTTCCAGGCCGAGGTGTTTCTTGATCCAGCGGATGACACGCCTGACGAAGCGACGTCTCAAGCGTTTATGGGCGAGCTTCTGCAAAGCCTTGCGAAGGGCCTTTTCTGCGGACGCTTTCTCAGAGTCAAGGGCGGCGCTGGCTTCCTGGAGGCTGACAATAGACCTGCGGAGAGTTGCAAAGCTAAGGTCATGATCGTTTGTCGCTGCAGCTGCCTCAACGCTGTAAATGAGTTTAGCTTGGGGTCTCATATAGGGTGAACATGCACTCACGTATCAACGTAAACCTCGAGCTCGTTTGCATAGTGAGTGGTGTTCAGGGGAAGAATGATCGAGTCTGCTAAGCGCAGGGACAACAAACCCAGATGTTTTGCCACAGCGACCTAAATGAATTCTCGTCAGAGAATAGAGTTGGATATAGAAAGCGCTATACTAACATGACGATGGAAGCCTGGATCAGCGTACGTCCATGTACCCTGGCGATCCCACTACACCTGGTTATCCGGCTTACGAGAACGCGACACGCATCGAGTCAGGAAACGTTCCTCGCATTCCTAGCTTGCCTATCTCTTGGAATAATGCTCAGGTTCTATTCGAAGAGCTCGGCGGCATCGATGAAGGCAGAAAGGTTTCTGGAAAGACTGGGTCCCGCAAGGTCAGGATGGTTAACCAAGGTAAAGTATTTGCATCGGCTAGCGAAAAAGAGGTCTGACGGAGCCATCTGTCAGTCGACACCAAGGTTACTCCGATTTGGAACACTATGGCTGCTATCCCCGGACATGTCAAGGATGAAGTCGTCATTGTTGGCTGTCACCGAGACGGTTGGTTTTTTACCTTTCCGTGTCCGGATTTTATGCTTATGGGTTTCCTTAGCTTGGGTTATGGGAGCTGCCGATCCGACGTCTGGAACTGTCTCTCTGATCGAAGTTGTCAAGGGCCTCGGCGCATTGCTCAAGAAAGGATGGAAGCCTCTACGTACCATCCTGATCGCCAGTTGGGATGCGGAAGAAGTAAGTTAACCATGATGACAAGATTTCACCATCTGACTTGACGCAGTATGGCCTTGTTGGCAGTACCGAGTACGGCGAGGACTTTGCTGAATGGATACAAGAGCACGCCGTAGCCTACATCAACGTTGGTGCGTATCGTCTATGTTTTCACTCGATTGTTATGTTGAGCCATTTTCAGATGTCTCCGTTGCGGGATCTAGATGGACTTCGTCTGCTTCACCTTCATTGGTTGATCTTATTCGCCGGTCAGCAGAGGAGATTCCTCATCCGACCGAAGCTTCGCGCACGCTTTGGGATGCTCAAACCGATATTGGACCGTTTTTGGTCAACCAAGAAGCGAACATCAGCGATGCGACTATACAGGCCAAGCCTAGCGTCGGACCTCTTGGATCAGGAAGCGATTATACTGTCTTCCTCCAGCGACTTGGTGTAAGTGTGACTGAAGCTACTAGGTAGTATGAAACTGAATATATGTGCTCACAAACAGGTTGCCAGCTCAGACGAGGGATTCGGTATGACTGCATCTGACGCAGTGTACCACTACCACTCGATTTACGATTCTCAGTTCTGGCAAGAGACAGGTACATGACGGAACCGCGCTGGATGGCCGTGGGGTTGCGAGCAGGGCCGTCAGGGTACGGCAGGAAGCCATTTTCGACGGTGACGTCGCCATCGTCTCTGGGGTCAGAATAGATGAGCACGCCTGCGGCACCGGAATCCTCCGCAGCTTGGATCTTGAGACCACGGAAGTTAGCGCCGTACCGGGCAAGCACGATCTTGCCGGTAAGGTCAACACCAGATTCGATGAGCTTGTCGTAATCTTCTTTAGTGCCGTAATTTGCATAAACTATATGACCAATCGCCTCTCCGGAAGCACTAAGGCCGTGGAATGGCGCAATAGCGTCTCGGTAGGTGGAAGCTTCCTTGTCAGCCTCGTTCCCATCCTCGATAAGGTCGGCAGTCCAAATTGCACTTGAGTCGTCGTCCAAAAGCTGAAGGGACAGATCCTCCGACTTTGCGGTGTTGAGGACAGGGTAGTACACGTCAATCCAAGCAGAAGGGTGTGTCTGCTTGGACGTGATGTCGAGGGTAGCCTGACGCGACTCTGGAGAGCCTGCAGGGAAGACGGGTTCCTCGTCTAGCTGAGTGATGCCTAGCTCTTCTTGGAATATTTGTAGGATTTGGGACGCGTCATCAAAGTCACTAGCTGCGCCAGCGATGTGAGGATATGTTGCAAAGCGGCGCGAGTTATTCAGTGCGCTCCCAGTGTTAGGAACTTCGCTGCAATCGACACTTTAGTCCACAGTCAAATGGTCAAGAGTGATTCACACGACTTACAGGAATTGGCCCTCAATGCGCCGGACATAGTCATAATAAGAGCGCGACTTGTGGTGGAGCGAGCTGAGGTTTACTGAGCCCGTCCAAAGACCATAGGACAAACCAAGACCGAGAAAGAGGAATAGGTGAAGGAAGACCCTCTTGAATCTCTTGTGAACGCGTCCTGGTGACGCGATGGGCTGGACTGAAGGGTACGGGAGGCCGAGCCTTGCCTTCTCGTCTCCTCTTGGCTTCATGTTCGGAGGTGAGAGAAAGGGAACAAAGTACGAGTGACTAATAAATAAACCCAGTTATCTTTCCCTCCACTCATTGAACCACACGACCGTATGGTCCACCGATCACAGGGGCACGGTCAGTGATCGCGTCATTCCGTGCCATTCCCGGGCCGTCCTTTGTCATCTATTTGGCAGCACCTTTAGAATCAAACAACCGCTTTCAAGTCTTCCTTTCTTGGCCTTGACAGGTTATGGCGGATAACGACTCACCGGCTACCCCCGCACCGGATGCAACACCTCCTGCTCCCCAGCAGCCCACGGAACCTCCGTCAGGACCTGCGCCCACATCATTGGCACTGACTCCGGTGGACCGAGACGACCTCCTCACTCATGCGCGATCCTTCCTCGCTGCCCCGCACATCCGCGCCCAAGATAACTCCGCAAAGCGCGCTTTTCTTGTAGAGAAGGGCCTCACCACTCCTGAGATTGACAGACTCTTGAATGAACTGGTGTGTATACTCCGACCTACAACTTTCGCGAACCTGACGATCCGCCATGTCCGTTCAGCCCCCTGCAATACCACCTCGGACATATCCCCGTCCACCCCCCTCGAATCTTCCCAACCTCCTCATTGGCGTGTCTCGCATCGTGTCATGGTTCTTTGGTACATCAGCAGTTTTGGTCTTTATCTACTATGTACGTGCTACTCCTTTAATCGGTGCACCTTGCTGCGATTTTCTAACACCCATGTGATTACCAGCGCTACATCCTTCCCCGCCTCACTCACTCTTACCAAGCGCGTCACTCCATACAATCTCACCAGACTGATCTCCTCTCCCGCCTCAACTCCTCCCTCGCCGCTTACAAGTCCGTACAGGCCGAGTCATTTGCTGATCTTCCACGCAAACAGCCCGACGCAGAGGAAACAGACTGGGCGACTTGTCAAAACCTCGACGACATCCTCGCAAAGGTAGAATCACGCAAGGAGAAGGAACGCTCCACCGAGGTTCCAGACGTCACCCTGCTGAGATGCGGCCTCGTCGAGCTCGTAGAGAAGGAAGGCGACGGCAAAGTCGACACCGAGCAGCTCTACAGCCACCTCGAGAAGAAGATACCCTGGCTCCAGGGCGCGGAGGGCGCGGAGGCCCAGGCCAAACTCTGGTCAACTCTCACCTCCAGTTCTGTCTTCTCGTCATCTGCGCCGCCTGGTACGGACGACTCAGCGCCGCAAGAACCCACTCCGCCTGCCCGTTTGCTCTGGAAATACAACGCCCCCGCTGCGCCGGCATCCATGCCCATCCTGCAGCCCCTCGAGAAGCTGCGTGATACCCTCCCCAGCGAATCAAAGGCGCTTCCACCCGCAACGGTCGCTCCATTCGCCCCGTCGCCATCTCCTGCCCAGCGCACGCTACAAGTTCTATCGGATTTCACCGGCTACATCACGACGCAGACTTACGCTCTCGGGGTGGCAAGCTTCCGCCCGAATAGCTCGGGCGCCGGTGCCAATCCCGCAAATGCACAAGAAGACGAGCTGCGCCGGGAGATCCGGGTGCTCAAGGGGCTTGTGCTAAATAGGCGTTCGTTCTTGCCTTCCAGACCACCTAGTGTACCAGTAGGCGTTTCCACACCTCCACTGAGCACGTAGATAATATTGACTGGCCCCGATTTCCTCCTGCTCAGGAATGAGCATCATTTGCCTGTAGAGTATGTGTCCAGTCCAAGCAATCATATTATTACACATTATGTACTGCGTCTATTACAAGACGTAGTCTACACAATGAACATCTATATATAGTAGGGATATCGACATGCCTAAAATGATAGCTATGAAAAGAGTAAGCAACATGATAGACATGATTATGCGGTGCGGATGAAGTGCGCAAGCAAACAAGGGTTTGTGGCAGTAGGGGGATGGGGGGAAATGGTCCATGCAAATGCTAGTGCGAAAAAATCCATGGTAGGAAGTGAACGAATGAATGGGGACGGTCGGATGAAAGTATCGAAGCTCAACACTGGTCGATGAGTCTGTTCTTAGGCTGAGCCTGTTTGTAGTCGTCGACCCAGGTGGTCAAGTTGGGGTTATTATATGCCTCGGCATATCTACGGACGCAAAACAAATCAGCAAGCATGCCACAGACAACTTGTAAGATTGACTCTCACGTCTTGATATACTCCGCGGTAGGGAAGTCAGGCGGGTCGCAGCCAATGTTCTTAGCGTTACTTGGTTGGTACACACGGATATAGTCCACACGCATGGTGGTTGGGAATGTCAAGTGGTCGAGGTCCACTACACCAAAGTTCTTGGACATGCCCAAGTTTGCGAGAAGATACTAGTTCCCAACAATGAGGTAGACATCGCAGTAAAGGTATGAGCAACTCACCATAGGTTCCTGGCTGACAGGCCGTGCGCTAATTTGGACTCTCGAGTCGGCTGCAAAGCCCGCAGCTTCGACCGTATAGGCAAGTTGGTTGTTTGCTATCCAAGATATGTACTGCGCATGCATCTGGTAAGAATACGGCCGTTCACAACATGAATGTAACTTACGGCATCATCAAAGCCAGGCTTGTACTCGAATCCGTAAACTGAGAAGCAGCCTGTTTCAAGTTCGTAGCAATCTTGGTCCGTCTGCGTGACAACTGATGCTGCCTGCTGGTATATGCCTCCAGTATAGGTGTTCAGCACCGAGACGCCCTTGTTGGGAATCTTGAGGTTGCTCGAGGTGTTGAACCAATCATATCCTGCATTGAACGGCTGCATTTTCCGTAAGAATGGCGACGAATGCCAAAAAATGACGATGACCTACAGCCCACTGCGAAGACTGGGACACCTGCCCTGAACCTTGCGAGATCTGTGAGTAGCACATTTAGTTCAGATCGAATCCTTCAGCTAGCGCAAACCCTGACCTGAGCCTCGAACATATCAATCTCAGGAGCAGCGCGGCCGACGTAAGAACCGTCGGAATGAACCGGGCCCGGATGAGACTCGCCCTCGCAAGTACACCGAGAAAGCCGCTGACCAGGAAGGAACGAGAGGGCTCCATCGTGCGATTTGTCCCCACCCACAGTTGCAGCCTCGGGTTGGCCGTTCTGCGTTTGATTCTGCAGAGTACCGACATCACAGGCGTCATAGGTGTAAGGCCACTGTTAAAATGTTAACGTGAGATTTTGTGACACATGCAATAGACGCAGCCTTACGAGGCCATCAAGAGAGGCGCCGTAACCCGCACGGCCCAAATTGCCCATTGCCCAAACGGCTGGCCACAAACCTGTGGTTCACGTCATGAGACACTTGAACAAACCATCTAAAGGACTGTGATGCATACCGACAATGTTGTTCGCTCCTGGTAACGAGACGGAAGCCTCCACATACCCTCCAGTGAAACAGAACTTGTTCCTGAAACAACGTCACTCAGAGGTTTTAAATTCATTGTCTACTCGCTCGCTTACCATGTCGATATCATGCCTACACTTTTAATTAGTCAACGCCGCGACATTCGCAGCAGCTACTCACCGCCCTGGTAATCGAGATCATGGGTCTCCTTCTTGGACAATGTGATTTCAAGATACCCATCCTTGGTGCTGACAGCATACGGAGAATACCATTCCAAGTTGTTGGTCGCCTTTTTGCAGCCGTTAAAATGATTAAGAAACATATATTAGGTAGAATTACCCAGTAATGCAGATCAACTGCCTCCCAGTAGGGATCATCGCCAGGCCAGAAGGTGCGTCCAGGAGTGTTGAATTCGTCAGAGAAGACCAGCTCCATGTCGGGTCCACCGTTCCAGGATGATTTCTTGTAAGCATTTTGAGGCGTAGCAGTGTCGATCAGGGCAAAATCATTTGCTAATGACGGTATCTGATAAGACGGCGATTGTGAGTGAACTGAGGTCAATGGCTGCCAGTGAGAGCCACCTGTCCGCTGGCATTGATACCGCCGAGGTTAAATCCACCCTGGTTATCCAGTGCCTTCTGCGTAAAGTAGGTGACCAATGGGTATCCGGCGCTATGGGTAATAGCTCAGAAACCAACGTATTTTTTTTTCGGAGAGCCAAGGCGAGTACACACAAGAGGGTAACCAATCCGACCAAGAGGATGAGGAGACACCCCAAATTCATTATACCACGATCAACGGCGAAGGAACGCTTGGTTTCCTTTGCATTCGGGTCATGAAGCCAGTCGTCGGGCTCGGGAACATTGGCAGCGACGGAAGTCCCCCATCGGTCGGGGTCCGCAGGCAAAGAGAACTGATATGTTCCTTCGTTAGCACTGTGGCGCCGCCTCGACGCGACAGCTGTAAGAATCACCTTTTCTGACAATGAACTCAATCCGAACCCTGAGGCGGTGGCAGCGACAGGATCAGGTATGCTGTGGGCAGACTTTGGAAAGACAGTTCAGGAGCGAAGTATTTATGCCTAAGATTATTTACTTACAGACACACTACCAACGCTTTGATACTTGTCACGCAAGTTAGTGGTTGAGCCATTGTTTGTAGACAACAGGCGCGCGCTGGATTCTTGGTTGTCATAAGATCTGTCCGCACCAAAGGCTGGAGGCATAGTGCGCGAAGGAGAGTGGAGGAGAAAACGTGAAGAGGAGAGTGTGAAAAGAAAAGACTGGATAAATCAACGAGTGGAGCCCCAAAATCGCGAAGGCGCATAAGTAAGGAAGTCGTCGCCACGCAAGACGCGTAACAGCATTGAATATCGGTTCACCCTGCCGGTGGCCTTGCCGTTGTCAGCACCCCACCTTGTGTGGAGCGAAGAAACGATGGCATCTAGAACCTCCAGTTTTGCGACCATGGATCTCTTGGCAGCCTGGGAATAGCTAATGTGAGGATCAGTCTTACAGAAGCCTCGACGAGACATCATGCAGAAGATTTTCGACGTGATCTAATGTGGTATCAGCTTGTGGTACCCGAGGTTCGTCACTAGAATGTCGAAGGTCAATGACGTTGATCCAGAAGGTAAAGGTGCTCGAAGACCCCAAAAGGAAATGCTAGTTCGTTTCAATCTCCGCGACGAGGACAAGAAACCCGCTGCAAATAGAAAGGCTTGGCATCCATGGTGTTGCAGGGCACGCTCCGTCGCTTATGCACGCGAGGCGAACAACTCCGAGATAGCGATTGCCCCTGATTGCCCTTCCGAAATATAGGCGAGGGCCTGATGACGACAGTGCATGATAATCTGGCGGTAGAACTCTTCCTCAGTGTATACGTACAGTGTCGATATAACGGAATCCTTTACAAAGACCAGAACTAAAATCCAGAAACCGAACCACCTTCAATCACTTCCGCTGATGTACCCATTGTGTGCGATCACCCGTGAAACGCCCATTGTTTGTGCCATCTCCTCAGGACACCCTCGGGTTATTCATCGCAGTGACAAGCCCAGAGGCAGCCAAGTAGCAATACTCGTCCGAAGCAGCAGCAGTCAAGTCGCCGCCTTCTGGTGAGAGATTGAGATATCCGCCCGAGACAATCGGAGAGCCGTCCCTGATCCCGCCCCCGCGAGCGTAGTAGCCCGTCGACGGCCAAGTCACTTTCGCCATAGAAGAAAGATCAATAGTAGCACTAGCGTCGTCCATCATAGCCCGCACATTTCGCCTTTGTGCATCCTTCGTCAAAGCCAGTGCAGGGTGTGCTATTTGAATTGGCGAAATCCTATCGAGAAGGCGAGAGCCCGTATTATAAGTCGTCTCATTTGAATATAGAAGCGGTTTAGCGGCCTCGAAGTTGAGGCCCCGTCGAGAAGGTTTGGCAGCATAGCCTCTCCCCTGGTAGGTAGTTGCAGTATTCTGTTGAGGGGGAACAGCAGTCGAATCATCTATGGTATCGCCCGTGTCGTAGCCGTTCCTCTGAGGACGTACGGAGTCGCAGGACTCCGGGGAAGCTATCGTGCTAGTATTCATGACAGAACTTGCCTCATGATTGCTGCCCTTATAGCTCTGCTTTAGTTTTCTTGGTTTCTTCCCACCCCGAGGTCGGCGTCCGCGCCCAGAGTGGTCACGATTTGTCTGCAGGGAAGCACGTCCCGATGTCGGTTCAGGGGGTGCATTCGCCCAGTCAGGAGCTGCCTCAGAGATGCTTTCTGTCAGATCAGACCTGAGAGAAGACTCGACTTCAGCATGCGACGGAGATGTGATTGCGCGAACTGGCGATGTCGCCTCAGTCTCTGCGTTAGGCCGCTGGCGCTGGCGGGATGTTGCTCCAGTTTTCTTACCCCTCCAGTGGCGCCGACGAGGTCTACGAGCTGTGGACTCATTAATGATGACAGGCGCCGATGGCTCAGGAGAGTTGGACACCAAAGGTACGTCTGAATGGAGCAGTCGTACAGCTAATGGTGACTCTAAAATTCTTGACGCTAGGTCAGGAAACCGCCTTGCCAGCTGTGGTCAAATCAATTAGATCGGATGTAGAGCATTGTCCATGACGAATACCCCTTACGTTTGTTGCGTCTGCATACGTGGCTACTCTTGGAACCTGAAGTGGTATTATGGGCGCAGTCAACGCATTCTCAGCGGGGGTCTCTGAAGGTTCTTCATTTCTTTCGTCGGATTCTCTGCGTCCTTGAGAGACATCGAGTCCTAGGTGCTTCGCAGACTCGTTCGAGATTGTGAAGTGTACTGAATCGTCGGATACCTAATGTTTTCGGATGCCGAGCGTATGTTTTATTATGTTTGTGAAAATAGCATTGAACTTACGTCGGTATCTAAAGATACTTCATGCTCGTTATCCGATGGGTATGGTGGCTGTTCAGACAGTATTGTTTCTTCGTTGACGCCAAATGACTCTGGGATGACAAGAGATGAGGCCGAGGAGTCGCGAGGGAGGGACAGCTATGGTCGATTTTCTCAATGCGAAAGCAGACTGGTCAGATGGAGTACATACGTTGGCCTCTTCTATCACATCAGCAGGGACTGAAGCCTAGAAAACAAAGAAGTTTATAACTATTAACCCGTTGAATATTTACCTTCTACGTACCTCTGGGCTGACGCTCGATCCAAGATCTCTGCTTAAGAGGCTGTCTTCTGAGGCTTCTTGCAAATGCTTTTCTCCGGCACTTTGGAGATCACTTTCCGAATGATCATTCTCCAAGGAATCATGCATCTTCTACGCATATATGAGGTATTGAGATGGCCGCTAGCTGGTTTCACGCACCAGCTTTCCTTCCGTCGACGAGAGAGTGTGCTAAATCAAGTAGAATATTTAAATGGTGCATTGTCATCGATCGAGTTTAGCAGCCAACCTGAGAGCTTTCATCTGACTCGTCGCTATCGGTCGACTGCGCAGTTAGGAGAAGAGCTATAGATCCGCTCGATTGCATCGGTACGACATCAACGATTGACGTGTCGGAGTCAGCCTATGAGAAGGACACTGAGCGTGATTTCGTGGAAGAGCATGAAATTGATGTTACTTCGTCCACGTTAGAACTTGCAGTCGAGTAAACCGAGTCTTGCGATGGTGCTTCTGGTAGCTCGGAGAGACAGTCGCTGTCACTCGGTTCGGTGACGACGATTTCTGGAGTTGCCTCGGACCATGGCGTTTGGGGCTTGCTCATGTCGGCCCCCATTATAAAACTCCTTGACTGATGTCTCGGCTGTTTCTGGCAGAAGATAGTTGGGATGAAGAGCTCGCGGTAGAGAGATAAGATTCAGAAGAAAGTTGAACAGAGTGGCGCCGGTGGCGCAATGCCATATAAATATTGTTCAGAAATGTGTAAGAGCATTCCAATGCTATAGATGGCCATTTCCAAGATGTGGAAGCCGAGGATTTGTTGTGTTAAGTTAGATGCTGGAATGCCAGTGACATGACAGATGCCGACAAATTTAAAGTAGTGGTCGGAGTTATAGCCCCTGACGTTGACCTTTGCTGTCAAAATATTGTACATGTCAGTCCCCGCTGTCAAAGCGACGCGTCGCGCTCTGAATCTGGAGATGATCGAATGGCAGGGGATCTATTTTTGGCTTCAGTCATCCTTGTTCTCACTGGTCGTGTCTGGCAATTGGAAGGCGTAGCAGAGCATTCATCAACGCCATCTCTTCATTTTCCCTCATCTGCTAGGCTGTGCCTCGTCTGTGCTTTCGCCCTCTTTAACCTGCTCTCTTTGCCTGGTGCAACAATCAGTCCTTCATTCGTTCCACACCGTCAAGAAATACAACACACTCCAGGATGAGTTCGTACGACCAAGCGCCAGCGGTTGCCGACACCGAAGTCACCAACGTCTTGGACAACGTGGACATTGACATGGTCATGAAGGTCCTCACTCAAACTGCTTTCAGTACGTGACCCTTCCGAGAATTGTGGCTCTGCATGTGTACTGACGAACGACCCCACAAGGTCCTTTCTTCACCTTCTTCGTGCCTATCTTCTACATATTTCAAGGGTACTCCTACAATAGCAATGTCGTTCTCGCACCTACTGCGTACTGTGCTGCTATCTCGGCCTTCTGTACGTCCTATGTGCTTCTGTCTTTGCCTAACACTCATCGTTCCCACTTTAGGGGCTTTGAAATGGCTCTCGAGGTTGTATAGAAACCAAGCAAGCTTATTCTTTGCACCGCCCCGTCTGGACTGGGCGGAGGAGATCGTAGTCATCACTGGAGGTAGGGACGACTTCTTTCTTTTATACAGGGATGCTAAACTCGTTCAGGTTCCTCCGGCATCGGCGAGCTTTTGGCCAACACGCTTGCTGTTCGTAACGTCACCGTCGTCGTACTTGATGTTAAACCCATTGTCACCGAAAACTGTAAATTATATGCTTTTGACTAACTAACACCATACTGATCAACGTGCAGACAACATCGCCTACTACAAGTGCGATGTTTCAAAGTGGGAGGAGGTGGAAGCTGTTTCGAAGCAGATTGTTGAAGAGGTCCGTCGCTTTCCTGCTTTCGCATCTTGCTGGCTTAATCTCTGCAATAGCTTGGTCACCCAACTATGCTCATTAATAATGCCGGCGTCGTTCAAGGGAAATTGCTACTTGACTTGAAACCAGAGGACATCCAGCAGTAAGCACAGAACTTTTGAGCCTTAAAATGACATCTGACGATTCCCATACAAGGACGTTCGGCGTTAATACCATTGCTCAGTACTACACTCTTAAAGCCTTCTTGCCGGACATGATTGAGAACAAAAAAGGGCACATTGTAAGCCAAGTTGGATGATATGCAGGTCCATGATTGACGTCTCCCAGGTCACAATGTCTTCGGTCCTAGGATTGGTCGGCAGCGCTCAAATGAGTGCGTACAATCGTGCCTCTGTCAGTCCGAGTAACTGATCATTCTTCCAGCCGACTATTGTGCGTCGAAGGCGGCCCTCGTCAACTTGCACGAATCTTTGCGTTATGAATTGGATCATAGGTTTGTCCAACAAAATCTCACAAGTACGCTTTTTCTATAACTTTGTAACTGTCAGATACAACGCACCGCAAGTCCGGACCACGCTAGTCCTCCCGGGCCACACTCTCACTCCCTTGTTCTCAACCTCCCGTCTTCCGGAGAACCCGGTCTATAAATTCTTTGTCCCGTCGCTTCCTCCCGTCACTATAGTCAAGGCAATCATCACTGCCCTCGACTCCCAACACTCGCAAATCTTACGCTTGCCGTTCTACGCCAACTTTGCTCCTTATTTGCCTCTGCTGCCAAGCTACCTTCGTGACCTGGGGCAGTGGGTAAGTGAACCGCTTTCTGTGGTGTGATGCTTCAAGCTGACCACGCTGTTATACAGCTTGCTGGCGCTGATTATGCTATGGAGGGCTTCCAGAAGGTAACGGGACGGCGACCTGAAGAAGGGGAGTTAGCCACCAAGAAGCATTGATCATGGGCTCATAAGATTATTGGTCTCGTTGGATGTGCACTCTGCGAGTGCTTGTGTTGTATTGCTTATGGCTGAATGATAGGGCAATTGAAGTAGCTTTACGGCGTCTGCACTTCCGCGGTCTACGGGTTCAAGTTAAAGCAGTGCTACTCCTGTGCTTTCCGAGACGCCACACAACACGAGTGGCGAGTGCAAGAAGCTCAAAGTAGGCAGGTCATACTGTCGCTGGTAACGTGCGTGAGGTGTGTAACAAGGGAGTGTATGCCTACGACAGTCAAGCTTTATACAGCGAGTGGGCTGGCGAAAGAAGGCGATGGTGTGGACAAAAGGCTAAGCTCTTGACTTGAGACCAAGGAAGCTGTGGAGGGGGCTTGGAGGTGGCGGAGTCGCAATCCGTTGACAACACGCTTTTGTCAGTTTGTAGTAGACAAAGGAGGCCCTGTCGGGGAGCCACAGCAACCCTTGCAGCACGGACCCGCACATATAACATGCGGTGGACAACGGTGCGGGCGCCCTCACACTTGATACCCGACACCATCGACGACGAGACCTTCCAACCCATTCCCCATCCACCGGCACCTCAGAGTCGCAGGAGTTGCATTCCTGAATCCGGATAACGTCATACAAAACTGTTGGCGCAGAGTTCACCTTTCAAGAATGTCAATGGCCATTCAAAGGTTTGGAAAGACGATAGCTCTTGCTTCTGCCCTCCTCTGCTGCTACGCGCTGTCGAAAAAGCTGGCCAACGTCCTTGCCGAGTTTGACAGGACAAGAAGACAGGGGCATGCTGAATGCGAATGCGACGCCACGTGGGAAGAACCTCCTCGGTCTCCTTGTCAGCGGCGTCCATTTACAGACGAAAGCTCCTGTCTTTGCGAGCCTGACCAGGACCACCCAAACGCCCCCAGTCCGCGTTTCAACGGAAGCTGCAATTATGACCGCGTTGTCGAGGTGAGCACTTTTTCCCGTAGTCGTTTTCTCCTCCTTTCTTTGGTCTCAGACATGTTCCCGGCTGAAACACACCTCCCCATAGACTACCGACGGCGGCGTGCCCGAAGACGTTTCCTTGCACACTGAAACCCATATCGATACCGCACTCACACCTGCCGTTACCCCATCCCGATTGACCAAAATGTTCTCATCGCAACATGGCACTCAGTGTCTGTCGATCCTGACCGAACTCGAGACCTCATTTTCGATACGCGTAGCCGGCTGTGCCATTGCCCCGCACCCAGAGCATGATCCCCTCCAGGATATCCGGTTTGACCCGTTCGGAGACGAAGCTCGCGTCCTTTTACCTCATGAACAACCCATGGCCGAGTGGGGAGAGGACTGCGACGACATGGTCAGCCCATACAATCGCGAAATCACTACTCACGTCCCTTTGACGCATGTTGCTCAGGATTCTCAGGAGCAGACAAATTTAACATTTTGCGAGAATGCAGAGTTCGGTGTGGTTGAAGACCTTCAGGAAGTTGAAACGACCGGTGAGCCGAGTGCTGGAGAAGGAGCACGGTGGGTGGATGACAGGAATAATGTGCGCTTGCTACTCTTTCCCTCCTAACGAACGTCAGGCTATATTTACCTCCCACTCTAGGAACTCCTCCTTCGGCTTCGGTCAGACCGGCTGAATATCGTGCTCGACTCTATAGCACCCACGCGTTCCCCTCACATTGTCATAACTCCTCCGAGCTACCAGTGGAACGACTACTTTGTTCCGTTTTACAACCGAACCGAACCGCAGTGGCCCGGCTACCTGACTGCCATTCCTCTTCAAAGAATATATGAGCACCACATGCCACCATTGGGCTCACACAGCGACCTTCCGCCCCAGAAACCCACTCCAGTGGGAGCGTCAAAGAACACCAACGAAGCTGAACAACGACGTGGTACTCGCTCCGTGTATAGCCGCTCAAGGCATCTGGAATTCGTACGTTCTTCCGTGCCCCTATGTTTGGGAAACATGTCTCATCTCTTCGGTCAAGGTCGCTGCCTGCTTTGCAGAACGTCTGATATATAAAGACATAGTTGATGCCGTGCTTAGGCACCAGCTCCGAGTGGCTGTAAGTCGAACTTCCTGTCCCGGTTTTCTGGATGCCGCCTGACCAATACTTCAAAATAGGCATGGGAGGCCAGCCAATGCGCCCCTGTTTTCTGTGCGCGGTCTAGTGCCACAATCTCTACTCCCGGGTATGAGAAACTGTACATTTGGTCAGATCCAGCTGAGGTACTTCCCTTCGCTCCGGCTTTCCCATATGTCACCGCTGATCATCATTGCGGGGATTTCTAGCCTGTCTTATTGGGTTTTCGACGATACATAGGAATAACAATCCTGGAGTCGGACACTCCGTTCGCGGCGCCGCACCTTGTGATTACCGAGCCGCCGCCCCAGAATCCCTGGGTGACGTGGGAGAGCACCGTGAACTCCCAGGACGACCACTTCCTTTCCGTGTACGCAACCCCATCGCCTGTCTACGAAGAGGCGGACTCGAGCGCAGCGGATATACTTGTGTCCTCGTCTGCGTCCGTCTCCGACTCCGCCCAAGCTTCTTCCGAGCTGTTGGACTACCCCTCTTCCGAGAGCGGATCGCCGGTATTCTGGGACGCCCAGTCGGACGGGTATGAGACTATCTCCTCCGAGGGCGACGACTCGCAGGACGAGTCCACTCTCGGCACGCCGCCGAGCTGGGGCGCAGGCGCCTCGGCGGGCTGGCTCAAGCCTCTCGACCCGTCTGACGCGGACGCATGGGAGCATCGCGGAGCTGACGGGTGTCCCGCTGACCCGTCGCGTATATGGGATGGCACGGCGGAGTTAGGAACGCCAACTGGCCGGTGCGCAGCGTCTGCAGCTGCAGCTGGGTGCGCACCCACGGATTGTGTCCGGACTTTTGACCTAGAAGACGATGACGAGGAGTTACCGCCATTCGACGATTGGTACCAGACGATCGCGGGACGTTCAAACGTGCTCGCATCATGATCTCATCAGCGGTAGTAGGCATCCTTGCATTATAAGCATTGTCGGACCTTTATGGACCAAGCATAGACTTACGGTACGCACTTGCTTCGACTGTATGTCGATTATTTAGCCTTAAACTTAGCAGTAGTATTACACATAGTGTTTACATTATCTCGAGTAATTCCATACAGCACCCATCATCCGAACAACTGGAGAGCTGTGCTACAAATTGACTAGTATTTGAAGTGCTATACATGAGTAAAGAAATATAAAATAGAGGTTACAATGGCTCGAGCGGTGCGTACGGAAAAAAAATCCCTAAGTTTGGAGGACACCCAGTGCCAGCGGGTTCGAAATTCTCAAAGAGTGTAAAACCTCCAGATAGGTCTGTCATGAGTGCATAAGAAGACCACCAGCCGCAATGGCATAATGTGCGGGGACCATCGTGGCGCCTTCGACTCCCACAGTCATGAAATATAGGGAGAAGGCTTGCAGACCTTATTAATTTTAGATCATTGCAGATAAGCAGCCGGGGCCTGTGACGTCTAGTTTCAACAGGAACGCAGAAGCGCTCTTGCACGATGCGCTTGTGCTTTTGAGACCTGGTGTATCGCTCAATACCGAATCAAAGAAGAGACTCAATGTCGACAACTTACCAGCAAGTTCGCTGTCTTATACGTGGAGCTGTACATGTGGTTGATACCATGCTCTTCGAGCACACGGGAGAAGCGGTTCACCAGGCCATGCTTATCTGCACGGCAAATTTGCGCGGAAATAAGACACCGAGACATCATTACATCGAGATGAACGCAACGCACCAAGCCCGAACCTGCGCAGGTCTATTTGGAGACACTTGAGGGTGCCGCCCTGCGCCAGCAGATCGTCCTCCTCGCTCTCATCAGACTCGAGAAGGGAGTTGCGTGCGTCAAGCGCATCAAGGCCCCCGCTACACGCCACCATATGACGTTCGCTGGGAGGAAACAGCGAAGCGAGTAAGGTCACATCAGTCGTCAGGGAAGTCCCTTCTGATGTACGCGTGAAGCTGAAGAAGGGTACGCCCGCTGAGCTGGAGCCGTCTCTCCCAGCCGGAGCCTTGGGAGTATCGGAGCGAGAATCATCCAGGTGCTCAGATAGAGCCACACCCTCCAACGGGGAAAGTGGGGCAACAGAGGGGACCAAGTGCTTCGTGGCAGTCTTGAGAGAAGCAGACGTTATAGACGCGGATTTTGGTAGATCTGGACAAGACTTGGAGGTCACGGACGAGATGAGGGTTGTAGTTGATAGGTTTCCAGATGGAGAATGTGAGAAGTAGCCTTCCTCGTCGCTTGAAGAGCTGGAGGAGTCAGATGAAGAGTCGCGCCGGTGACAATACTTTAAAGCATCTTTGGCCGTTTTTGCTCCAGGAACAGGGCCAAGAGCAGACTTGGGATAATTAGAGGGAATAAGTTCCGGAAAAGCGACCAGCTTCACTATTTTGAGTCCCCATGTATCCACGTCGTCGTCAGATAACCCAACACAGGTAAGATCAGCGGAGAGGACTGAAACGTCACGAGAACCCGGTGAGAAAGACTTTGAGCGACTGCCAGGTCGCGAGTGCGAGGCTGCGGTCTTTTCAGTATCATCGTCCAGCTTAGTGTACTGCAGCATAGAAGCAACACCGGCCATCGAAATATCGGCGCTACTCCGCGTTCGAGTGAGAACAGCCCCTGACTCAGGATTAAAGTCGAGCGCCAGCTCAACGATAGCCGAGTCATCTGTAGAGATGGGGGAGACGATGGGAGAGACGACTCGTGATGTGAGCAGCTCGGGGTCTTCAGAGTACAAGTCAAAACCTGCCGAGCCTAGCAGACTCATGACCTCCTGAAGCCGAGAACCTTTGACCTGGATCCACAGCCCTTTTCAGCGAGTATTCCGGTGATTGCTCATGTGGCCGTGATGAACGTACAAAGATGTAGTCACTCATATAGGAAGACTGGTAGAGTATAGATATGCCAGCCTCAGCCAAGGGGGCAGACAACTCGTGGACGCGCGCGCCGGAGTTATCTGGGGTCGAAAGGGGGACATGACTCACTCGGCAAGGACGAGAGATACTAACACTTGGGGGAACTCACCTAAGCGATCCGAGTGAGAATCTATCTGAAGAACATTCCAGGTCTCGCAAGAAATCTCGACAGGCTCATCTATGGGCGTGGTGGCCCTTTTTCGGCTCGAACCGGAACCCGAGCGAGAACGCTGCCTCTGGCGATGGTCTCTGCGGGCTATGGCCTCGAAGTCCGCGAGCATATGGTGCTCTGCGAAGAGACTGAGCTCAATCTCGTTGCAGGTGACATTGAGGAACACAGGGTTAGGCTGGAGGATCTGCCTAAGGATAGGATGAGAGAGCTGGGGCAGGCGTGCGCGAGGCACGCGTACGAGGGATAGGGAGACAGGAAGGAGGGAGACGGTGACCTGACAGGAGTTATTGGGGGAGGCAGAGGCCATGTAACGGGGAGAAGTGGAGGGGCGTAGGGTGCATGCGTTGGAAGAAAGGGATGTTATACTTGCACGAGTTTTCCAGCTTCGACCGACAGATTGCCCGTCTCCGTGACTCCGTCTGGATCTGACAGGAGATCTACCCGTAATAATCGAGGGAGCGTTATGACGCTTTACAGTAACGTAATATCATCATAAACGCAAAGATTTCTCCCGCGGACCGATCACATCACCTGAGCCATAGGCCTTTTTCCTCTACCTCCCAACAGATAGGCAATTCTCCTCCCAGCCTTGATCTACATGAACACCGGGAAATTGACCTGCTCTTACTTTATCTTTGGAACTGAATCTTGTCGCACCGCACCGGCCGACCTTTGGAGAGCGCAATCCACTTCCCCGTTCTCCACATATCGCACAATCAGTATTCAGCGGTCAGTTGTGATGTCGAGCTAGCTTTTATGAAATTCCCGTGCGGTACCGTGGCTTTCTGGATGGCCGCTGGCTTGCATGGCATCTGCCGTGATGATTCTCCTCTGCAAAGTTGCATTCATCCTGTAGAACATTGTCACGTTCCTGGGCGGCCCGACAAACGCCAAGATCTAAAATAAGATAAGCTGCTCAGTAAACGTTAACGTTGAATGAATCTCAATCCCTGTGGGCATTCTATGATGCTATGGCGTGTTCACGTCTGCTCCCTTCATGCACATGCCTCGGCCTGGAGCAGTATTGCTCATGTGGTGCGATGTTTCGAAGGCATGGAAACTCGTGTTTTTCAGTTAACGTTTGTCGTTTATAGGACTTGCGTGCTCGAACAAACGTGCGTTTCAGGGGCGTGCACCTCCGACCTTCTTGCCACGACCGTGTACATGATGCCATTCCCCAGACCTCTTGTCTAAAATCTGATGGACCCCGATACTACTCCGCGCCTTTAGCAGAAATCCGATAGAGACTATCTGAGGATGCTGGCGCATCATCCCTGGAGAAATTTTGAACAACGGACCGAAAACGCACTAGCCAGGAGCTTTCGGTCGACTTCAATCTCGATAGCCACCGAATGTACATTGCTCTGGGCGCGTCGGCTAACGTTCGACAGGCACGTCTAGCCAGAAACATCGAAGATCGTCTCTTCCCAATGTGCCTTTTTTATTATGATGGCTTCCGTCGGGATGCGATCTTGCCTTTCCTATGTGGGCCTGCACATTACTGTACATCGGGGGTTCGGCCAGATAGCGGGTCTGACATTTACGTTTGTGTACGCGCATATGATAGGCGTGCCTTGGGTCATATATTCTTGCGTCTTGCTCATGTGGGCGCGTACCGGCACCTTGGTGGCTTTATGGTGTCACGCTTTCACGATAGAACTGGTATGAAGGAAGCTAACCGGAGCGACAAAAAATAGTTCAAGCTGCGTAGTTAAACTTCGCTGCGGACTGTATACTCGTGTACTATCACTTGCTACTGTAAGAGCGTGGCGCAAACAATCGACGCATGCAGGAGAGGCGTGATGTATGCGTGCTAGAGTGTGAATTACTTGCAAAGGCCTATTCGTAGAAGCTTGCGAAGCGTGCTCATCTGACGTGTTTATTACGAGAACTTGCAACTTGCGGCAGGCAAGATTCTGACTCGAGCTCGTCACATTCTACAGATACACGGCGTAGCAATAACATCACGAAAGCGTCCCGGTACAACAGCAAACGTGACTGTTGCAAATAATAAAATGATGGATGTGTAGAATACAACCTGCGTGGTTTGTGCGTGGTACAACGGTATCAAGATTGGGGCACAACGAGAGCAATAATTAACGACAGAGCACAGCTGAGAGAGGAGAAATACAACAGAATGACCAAACACATTTATCACCTAATAATGGAGGCCTTTATGCCTTGAGCCGTAGATCGGCGTATCCGCCGTGACCGGGAAGAAGTGTCGGAAGAAGCGCCTTCCTTAAGAAATGCTGATTTAATAATATGAGGTTGTGGATAGCGTGAACGGGCGATGGGTATCATTGTCGACAGGAGCGACCGACGTCGGAGAATATACGGGGGAGATACAGCATTCGAAGACCTGATGTCTATTGGTGGCCTCTCGGGCAACCGGATGGAAGCCTGGAATGTAGATCTTCGAGACATTGAAAGTGGTGAACTGTTGGGCGTTTCTAGAGACTGTGAAGGCGAGGGTGGTGATGCATTGGAGGGGTGGAAAGGCGATCCTGTGCGCTGCACTGGCGAATCAACAGGCTGTGAAAAACCTGGAGACATCCCAAGTTGGGAGTATGAATAAGCATCCATTATAGGAGCTTGTGACTCCATGTCGAGCTGAGACGCGGGTATGCAGCTAGCATCCTCTACATCAAGTTCCATCGATGCCTCTGGTGTGATGAGAGGTGTGTCCACCCAGTCTGAAGCCTGGGACTGTGGGATGAACGCTGGCATGAGCGGCGTCGTCGGGAAACCAGGAGTCTCTCTTATGAGAGGCTCAGTTGGTTGACGGACGAGATTAAGTCTTCGACCTCGCACGTGCAGTCGACTGGAGTGAGTAGCGTGTAAACTTGGCGATGGATTAGGTGATGAGTCTTCTTCTTCTTCTAAAGGCTCTGTCTTCTTGCGTTCCAATGACGTTGGCTTTTTGACAGATGAAGAAACCTTCGCGTTTGACAACCTTCGACGGCGTGGAGACGAGGCGTGTGCTGAATTCTCGGCTTCAGCATCCTCCTGTGAGCTTCGACGTCGTTTCAGCCCATTGGGCGCTGGTTGTATTTGACGTGGAAGTCGTGGCACAGGGGCAATGGGCGACAGTGGATTCTCATACGCAAAATCGCGTACTTTGACACCTTGCTGGGCTAGCCAGGCAGGGGAAGGCTGATGTGCAGAATTGTTGAATGTATGCGTCTCATGCTGGGAGCAGGCTGTGTCAGCGCTTTCTGGTGGACTCATGCGCTTATTAGACGGCATGACAAGGTTTGCTTGAGGAGGTTGGTTCGAGATCAGACATATGCTTCGACTCACAAGTTCATCTGACTCAATCTCAGTTGTATGCAGCTGATCAATGTCATCGGCACTATTCCTAGGGCGAAGAGGGGCTCTTGAGGCCAAAGAGAGCTCAGAAAGGCTGCGATCTAAGTTGAACGCTGTGCTCGTGACAAGAGGCGCCTGGCGCCCCTGGGCAAATGCCATCTATTGATTGAATGTGAGACGGATAGACGTAGAGTGTATCGACGCAAGCTGCGTCTATTGCTTAGTTGTGGGTGAAAGAAGAGAACAGCTGGAAAAAATATCGGAGAGAGTAGGAAGAGCGTGGACAGCCTGAGAGTGCACGTCGTGGTAGATGAACAAGAAGGTCGTGCCGCCATCTGACCGACGCGGGCCCGTTTTGATCTCCGGTTACCGCAGGTATCACGTGATGTACCATCCTGATTTGGTCCGGACGCGCTTAGACTCGGTACGGGCCGACGCGGGCGGGAGGCGACGTTCGGCACGCTCTCAATTAATTACAAGGTTGGTTTGCGCTACCAAGGACAACCATTGGCAACAGCTCAGTCACCTAGGAAGGCAAAGCTGGCGCGCTACGCAGTGAATGCGTTCTTTTTCAATAAATATTCTTTATTGTAAAACTCACCACGACTGCTATGATGACATGTCACTCGTTCTACGCACAACAGGTGGGTAGTATCCATCCCCGACCCTCCCTCGCTAGATAATGTTGCGCCGCGCCTGGAAGCCAATCGCCACCGCAACATTTCTCATAGGCACCCCAGGATACTTCTACTACGCGAGCAAGCAGTCTACCTTCGACCTCGCCGTGCGTGTGCGCGGGTCAGACGGTAAACCCGCCATGTCTACCCGCACCTTCTCCCTGCTCTCCTCGCGCGCCGTCACCGAGAGATTGACTGAGAAAGCCGTATCCAGTGCCAAAACCCTGGCCGGCGGCATCACATGGAAACACACGACCGCGTCTGTGGCCGCCAACGACCCCATTGAGGATGCATCCTCGGACGCCGTCATAAAGCGCGACCAGTCAGACCCCTCCGCACCGGGAGACTGGCTTTTCTTCACCGTCATGGACGGTCACGGCGGACCGCATACATCTAGACTCCTTTCCAAGACCCTCGTTAATGCCGTCGTCCTGGAGTTATCTGGTCTGATACCGACCGGAAAACCCCAGGACCAGAGCCAGGGACTGCTCGCCTCGATCCGGTCATACTTAGGCCGCTCTCCGGCTCCTGCTGCAAAAGAAACACCAGAGAGCGTGTCCTTGGCCATCCAGAGTGCATTCAGTAAACTCGACTCCGAATTGACAAATGCACCGATAGCTATTCTGGCTGCCCAGCTTCGGCAACAAGGAAAGGACAAAGTCCTGCCCGACCTTAGCCAGCACCCTTTGGGCATGCCCTCCATGCTACCAGCGGTCTCCGGTAAGATTAAAGCATTTTGTTCGAACGTTATCGTGACAAGTCTTCGTCAGGGAGCTGTGCTCTGATGGCTATGTTCGACACGGCGCACAACGACTTGTATGTGGCCTGCTCTGGTGACAGTCGCGCGGTGGCCGGTATATGGGAGGAGGGTGCTAGCGGCAAAGGTTCGTGGCGTGTCGAGGTGCTCACCGAAGACCAGACAGGCCGGAACCCTTCGGAGCTGAAACGGTGAATATATTCGAATGCATGGAGAGTCAACACGTCACTTACCGTATTACCTCAGCATACAATCGGAGCACCCTCCAGACGAGGCCGCAGATGTTATCAGAGCAGGCCGCGTCCTGGGTGGCTTGGAGCCCACGCGTGCATTTGGTGATGCCCGTTACAAGTGGCCCCGGGATGTTCAGGCAGTGTATGTGCCCCACCCTCGTCTCTCCGCGCTATAGCCATATCTTACTTGTGTTCAGGCTGAGTGAAGTTTTCCTTGCTGGCAATGGCCAACCTCTCCGCCCGCCACCTTCCACATTCAAGACCCCGCCATACGTGACTGCCACTCCCGTTGTGACCCACCGCCGAATGTCCTTGGACGCCTCCTCATTACCTTCCGGCCGCGCTGGTCAATTCGTCGTGCTCGCTACAGACGGACTTTGGGACAAGTTAACATCAGAGGAAGTTGTGGCCCTCGTCGGCGGCCACCTTGCAGGGCTAAAGGGCTCTTTCCCGAAGGCTAAATTCGCTGATGTGGTGTCCACGACCACTGGTACTCGCACGGTAGAGGGCAAGGAAAAGGAACGTGGCTCACACCAGGGCTCTTGGGCGTTTGTCGACGAGAACGTCAGCTCGCATCTTGTCCGCAACGCCTTCGGTGGCGGGGACGAACCAAACCTGCGTCGCTTGCTCAGCATCCCCTCGCCGTTTGCCCGGAGCTACCGCGATGACACAACGGTCACCGTTGTCTGGTGGGAAAAGGACGGCCAGCCAAACACGACGACGTTCTCGGCAGATAAATTCAAGTCGAAGCTATGAGATACGGTGGCGGAGCATTGTAATCATCTTGATGTAAATACATGCCTCCTGGGCCTACATACCCCAAATACATACAGCAAGAAGTGGCATGAAATAGACATAAGGTATGTAATATGGAGAACATCTAGATCAACATCTTTGGTCGCTTCCCATAGTGTTGCATCACCTTGGAACCACTGTGTCGTGTGTCTGAACTGTACAGGTTGTTGCTGCCTATAGCTTTGAAAGGGTTAGTGCTGAAGGATTTCCGTTTATGCTTGGAGAAGTGTTTTGGAGACAATGGCTGCCGTGCAAAATGTTTCGCTGGCCTGCGCTCGTTATCACTCGCCGGCGTACTATGTCTAGTATGCAATGATGCCTCTTTTTCGGGAAGTTCGGATGTTGAAGCATAGAAGCTACTTGTGGGTATTGTGCTTGAGGAGGCAGTGTCCGAAGGAGGAGGGGTAGCAGGAGGGGTGCTCCGAGCAGACTGATCCTTACTTGCAGTAAAATATGCATTATCTCTTGTGCCACAATCAGTATCCTGTTCCATGCTTGCACTGGTTGGCGCCTTGATTCCACTACCACCGTTGGCGTCGTCATCTTCATCGTCGTACTGAGAGAGGGCTGACAAGGCGGTGGATGCCTTCGCAGCATCAATTTTCTTTTTGACCGTTGCAGCTTGGAGATCTGGGGGCGATGGCTTGGGCCGTTTGGGCTCGGACCCGGTCAGGACAGGCGAAGGCAGAAGAGGCCCTATGAAGGGTCGCGATGCCTTCGTGCCAACATCTTCATCATCATCCATTGCTTTCCGCTTCTTCATGCCCGCGATCACGTTAATCTTGGCGACTGGCATTGGACGAGTTATAGCGGCTTCGAGCGATTGTCCTTTGTCCCGCATGTAGAATAGGATATATGCGTTCTTTACGCCGACCGCAACTTTTGACGGGGCCACCATGTCATCATTCATCTCATACCACTGGCCATTTGCACTCTTGATGTATGCGTAATAATGACCGGAGTTTGGCCCTCCACCTGCATGGCATATGACACCATAGAGGGTGTACGACGGACCAAATGAGCCTTCGCTCATTGCTGGTTGCAACGCTAGATGTTCGTCATAGTGAATGAAATGTCCTATCTTGCGCCCAAGTGGCGAAAAACGCTTCAAATGAATCGTAAGCACGACGGGCGCTTCGTGGACGTTGAACTTCTTCTCCGCCACGACTGGTTTTTTGCATCTTATAGGAGTTAAGCTAAAGGCAAAGGAGGATATGACTGCTTACTTACTTCTCGCACTTGTATTTGTCCTGGCCTTTGAGGTATTCCACGGTGACAAACTTTCTCAGTGCTTCCCGAAGACTGTTTGAACCATAGATGTCAAGACTCAAATCCAGAATCCTGTCATAAGTGTCGCTATTGTAGCCACAGTCTCGACAGGTTACCCGGGACCGGAGCCGACCTCCAAAGAGTTTATGCACCCATGTTGTTTCGGCGAGCTTGTGGTCCATTTTTCTGATAGAGCACATAAGAGGCTGCATATGCGACTCTGCTGAACGACTCACGGTGGGTATCCCGACAGACAAGACCGTTGGAGAGCGTCAACTGCATACCTTAGGAATTCATGAGCATCTTCCTGCCTTCCTCTCCGCATGCTCTTTGCGATGACTAGAATGCTGTTGAGATGCATGAACAAGATAGGTAGTTGTAGAAGGACATACGCTGTAGTTTCGACGTCACCAAGTAGGGAGTAAACGCATGCCGCTTCGAATGCGACTCTTGCATAACTTGCCGGAGATTACATGTCATACAAAAGCCACTCTTCACCCGACCTATAACGCGGTTAAAGAATATCATAAACGGAGCAAGGGCATACTCACAAGGATCAGCCTTGGAATGTGCGGAGAGGATGCGAAGGAGGGGAGGTGTGTGGAGAAGGCATTGGAGGACGCTGTTCAAAAAGCAGGTGTTGCCGGTGTTGTGGAGACCAGAGCCTACACCATAGCCCTGAGGCCAATTGAGGTCAAGAGCGCCTGAATAAAGAGAGGGCTGCTTTGGATTTTGGGATGAAGATGAAGATGGAAGGGGGGGCTTTGGTGATTTGGACGGCGAGGAAGGACCAGCGTTCTCTGCGGACGTGCGGACTTTGTTCTGAGGTATAGATGAGTGAGAGGACAATGGGGTAGCGGTACGGAGGGCGACTCACGGAAGCCGGGGTAGTTTTGGGTGTGACGTTGATCGGCTGGTACTTGCCCTCAGCAACAGCCATGCTGGTCGACTGAGAGCTCTGCACGAACTCTATCGGCGGTGGGAGGAGACTGTTGAATGCCTCGTTGTCTCGCGCGGGGCGGTACGAGGAATCATCGCCGTTGAGCTGATGCTGAAAAGGGACAGGGAGAAGCGGAGTGGCGAGCATTGAGCGCAGACGCGAGCCGGGGCGCTGGAAAGCCGAGAGCCTACTGCAGCGCTCAAGAGACCGCCGAGAAAACTCGCAAGCGGAAAGGAATCGAGGCAGCGTAGCAAAGAACCGAGGACCAGAAATGCGATAGAGCCCGCGGTCGTCGCGCAAATCAGGCAGGTGCCTCGCTGTGGCGCGCGACGCTGCAGCCCTTTCAAGTTCTTACATTCATGACGCTATACTTTTGCACTCATACTAGGTCCGTTTATATTGGGTATTAAAATGCGTAATGTAGCACTATTTAGCCAGAATTAAAGTGCCTATCGTAAAGTAGCGTAATCATAGTCGTGTATGGCGTCGGCTCGTAGTACTTGACCGGCAAGCCGAGCATTGGTATCATCTACTAGTACGAATCTAAATAACTGTCTGAATTCAAGTAATTCAAGGCTTGCATTCCCCACGCAGTCTGATTGTCAGGGGTATAAACGCCTAAGGGACGCAGCGAAGAATGTGGCAAGGCCTGCGCCTGGCAGGAATATGCTGCGTCGCACGGAAGTGATGCTGGGACCTGGAGTTGCGGCTGCGGCTGCGACTGCGACTGCAAATACAACGCGTTAAGAAACTCTGCACCCATGCAAGCCAGAAAATCTTGCGCAGAGAAGGATTGTTCGTGATTCTCGTTCCACAATTCCTGCGAAGCGTCTAGTGACTGCGACTTCATCTGCAAGTTGGAATAATCGACGTTTTGCTCGCCCATGTAATACATGACATCTTGCGGGTAGAAGTTCCCGTCGCATTGATCCAACATTTTCTGTGGCAAACTTGGTGACGCCGATCGCGAGTCTGACCAGGCTTGCGCTTGACATGAGTCGAAGTCCGCCTGCGAAACCTTGTACTGAACTAAAGGACAGAGTAAGCATCTTTGAAATAGATAAGCGCCCAAGTAGCAACGTACCCGAGGCTGAAGGCTCCGCATCAAAGTTGACAAGGGTACATGCGCTGTCGAACGAGTCTGCAGGAGACGGGCAGCGAGTAGCAGGAGCCGAGTCCCACGCCTGCGAATCGTGCTCGACTGTCTCCACAGAGGTGGCTAGGTTGAAAGCCAGAAGATCATCATCGACCGACATGCGGCGGCGACGTCGTCCCGCGCTTGCTACCACGCTGGGGATTGTGTACGGATCGATGCCATGGCGCTTCACATGGCTTATAAATTCGGTTCGGCGCTTAATACTGAAAGAAAGCATGAAGTAGAGTTCTGGAGGGAGCTTAACGTAGTACGTACGTCTTACTGCATTGCGGCATGGGACAGAGAAGACCTTCAAAGTGAACCTCCCGCTTGTGTCTGGAGAGAGCCGAAGGGTCGCTGAAGGCGGTTCCGCACGGGCATTTATGAGGCTTCACCCCGGCACTGACCAACCACACTCAGAATTTTGACAATCTCAAATTCGAGGGTACGTACTGTGTGTTCTGATGGGCCTTGAGTGCCGATTTCGAGCTAGCGAAGTAACTGCACGCGAGCCATGTACATTGATATGGCCTAAGCAGAGAAATAATCTCTGAGATGTCGCACGAAATCAATACCACAATACACACCTATAACCTTCGTGGACCGTTCTGACATGGCGCCCAAGATCGCTACGCCTTGAGAATACCTTGCCGCATCGAAGACATGAATCTTTGGTTTTAACCGGAGACATAATTCGATAAAAATAAAGAGCGTGAAGTGAAAACGAGTGTGGGGGGACGAAGTCCTGCTACGTCAAAGGATCGAGGCGGCCAGCGGTCTGGGACAGATACAGACCCGTTCCGAGGGCCCTCTCGGTTTTATACCCCTGCCACTTTGAGTGGTACTCGGTAATTCAGCGCCGAAAGAAACCCGAGTCCTGGGCTCTCTTGTCTGAGCGCCAATGAAGAAGCCACGAACTCCGGCTAAAGAAAAGAAGCACAACAAAGCCGGTGACTAGAGAGAGAACGTCATGCATCGAGCCTCTTTGTGGTCGCGTGCCATTCGCCATGTGGTTTTGGCACGAACAAGACCGAGGGTGTCTCACTTCAAAAGCTAAACAAGATCACCGTGGGAAGGCACGAAGCGAAGTCAATCTTGGAGTCAGATTCATTATGCTTGAGACATACAGATGCAACGTCTCTAAACCTGGCGATAGAATAGCCAGACAGAGAAACTGCAGACATGGAGAGAAAGAAAGCTCCGGCGATTAGTTTCCTAGACCCTGCCCTTGAATAAACTTGGTTATCCGGTCCTCCATCCAAGGAGCAATCGCGAGGAAATCCTGAAAGACGAAAGAGGCGAAGCGGTTGTGCCCAGGTCCGATCAGGAGGTCTAGACCTTGTAGAGGTAGATCATTATCAGCCAAATCCTCAATCCCCCCTGTAATTTGCGCGGTCACCCTACGTCGACACGGTGACCGTCAGAGGATGAAGGATAAAGATACAAAGACATACATGAGCGGACCCACCCAATGCATGCCTCCCTCTTCGCCCATACCGTCTCCTAGCCAACGCGTGTCCCTGCCACCAGGCGTGTACAAAGGATACTGACAATGAGGCAGCGACGGAGCTGGGTGTGCTAGTCGGGTGTAGTTACTTCTAGCCCGGTAATCGGCTGTCAAGCAGGTCTTGGTTAAACGCCGTACTGAGGAGCTTTCGGAGGGTGCGCTCACCTAAATTATGATGTCCGTCCGTGCCAACTTCTTCTCCTCTACCGGTACTCGTTTTGTCCTCGGCAAACGAGCGCTCAATGCCAGGAGGATGCAAGAATGACCTTGCGTTATCATTGATCGAATACGTATGGTGAGCTCGTCGGAGAACACCGATAGCTATGATGCGAACATCCGCGAAGCTGACAACTAACTGTGAAGGTAGAATGCATGAGTTAATGGGAATTACAAGGTGGCCTGCCAGTCGTACTCTCGCGCAGGTGTGATATTGGGCAAGGTTTGCCTGAATCCTGAAAGAGGAGCATCAGACTAAGCCTGACTGCCCAGTCGCAGGGCTAGCAAGAAAGGGTTATACTTCAGCTGATCAAACATGGCGAGTGCGTTAAAGCTTCGAGCGGCTGATTCGAGCTCATTAGCGGAGCCATTACGGTTGAGGACGATGTACCTATTCAAGAACAGTAAATCACTCCTGTGAACTTTGCTCAGGCCAGCGTGGATGCGCACTTCGTCCATGATTCCTCTGAAGAGCAAAAAGTCCGAGACCTGTGCCAGACACGGTGAAGTAGCCTACGTGCGTCACGTTCAGTGCTCAGGACTTGGTAGCTGGCTGGCAGAGACCACGTACAGGAAGTACAGTTCTCGCCATGAACCATCCTTCTTCCATTTTACCCAGCTCGGAAGGAACCTCCTGCGAAAGCACTCCTCCCAATGCAACAAGCTCAGGTGAGGAATAGTTGCGCGTAGTAGGATAAAGCTCGGCTCGGCCATAGAGAGGATATCTATCCAGTTCTGGCGTGGCACATACTGCCTGACGCTGAGCGAGACAAGACACCTAGCATCCTTTTCCGTGTTCTCCGAGCTTGGGGCATACAGGAAGCGCGAGATAGGCCGTCGCCAGGGGTTCAGCGCAGGATCCGACGTCACAGACCGCAACCGTGTAGACAGGTTTGACACGATGACAAGCGTTTCGAGGTCAAGTTCACTGAGTATGTCAGATATCAGCTCAACAGGGAGAGATTCGAGTGTAGTCATGGTGAGAAATGTAGTCGAGAATACATTGATGACACCTGCGAATTCTGCTCCTGTGAACTGGTTATTCATGCATCCTGACGTGTGTTGCCCCTGAACAACTCCTACCATCCGAGTCGAGATCAAGGCGCCTTCACAGACAACTGGGGCTTGCCGCTGGGTGCAAGTGACGCAGCACATGCAAAAGGGTTGGAATGCATGTTTTACGCGCAGGCCCGAGCTCAGGACAAGTTCAGAAGCACTGGTGAAGCGCTGACGTTTGGTCATACTATTTTACCTTTTGAGAATCCACGTACACACTGACATCCATTGTCCAAAGCAGGTAAACAAAGGTGTTACACGCATGCATGGAGATTACTACGTAAACCAGAGAAATCCATCGTTGCCAGGTACCGTCTTATCCAGCAAATAAAACTACAAAAACCAGCAGGCCTGCCCGAAAATGACATAGAATAGAGCGATCAACAAAACGTGCTACAGGCCAATGTTGGACCTAGTGGTGGAGATATGAGACATTCTTCACAAGGAGGACGTCACCGAACACTCACAATAGTTCGCCTATGATGTTTCCAGAAGGGTTGTAGAAACAGACGTGCATGATGGCGGTCTCATCGAAGATGCCTTTACAGGACGCGTAACCACATCCGAGCTCGGTTGTCGACTGCCAAACAACTTGAGTGAAATCTGAGTACGAAGGATCATATGGGTCGAAGTCAGCTGAATAATCGTGGGTGTCAGCTTGCCGGTCACTCGGAAACGTAGAAAACCCCGATGCTGACCAACACCTTGCGTGAACATGCCCACAGCGTCTACTATGCTGAACGAGCCGGTGCCAGCAGCAATGTTCTCCCCGTAAGCTCCCATGGATCCCCATGTGTGTTCAAAGTTGCAAGCGCCTGCCCATTGATATGCCAGAAACGACAGTTCATTCGACCATGTCAAGGGCTCAGCGTTGTAGGCTGCTCGCACAGAGTTATGAGCATTCAAGTAAGAAACGGCGTCGCTACTGCCGGCTTCGATGTAGCCTGCAGCTACTGAGACTGCTGAAAGGGCGAGTGCGATGACAGCACTGAGGATGAAGGGTGGAGCCATAGAAGAAAAGGAGCGGTTTTGGCCAAGAAATGAGTGAAGGACGATGTCCTCGAAGCCAGACGGCTTGCCACGGAGTGAGTCTGAGCGAAGGATGTAGTAGGACAGAGACAAACCTCAAAGGTGGGCGCTCATATCCTTGAATGTCATTCGTTGCCTGTATTAGGTCTCGTTTCCTACAAAGATCGGGCAGGCAAACAGTGCCGGTGAAACACGAGCCATGCAGGTCAAGATGCAGGTGTTCCGGTACCTTAGAATCTAGATCAGAGACCAGAATACACCTATGATTGGCTGGAGTGGACTAGGCTTGGATGTTTCGTCTCACGGAACTCCAGAAAATGCGATGCGTCATGCGTTCATCTGTGTGCAAAAAAAGTTGCTGTGTGGCTCGTTCCTGGTCTCTTACCAGGGTGACCATGGTAATCAGGAGGGAAGGTGAGGTCGATACGCCAACATGAGGAGTGCTAAATTGATTCGCGTCAGGCACGTGGCACGTGACTCAAAGTCAAGATATATCTCCAGAAAATCCGTTTTCGATCTTGAATTTCTCGCATCTCCAACAACTGTTTCAAGTATAGCAAGGCGGCAAACAAAGTAAACACGGTTCTAATCTGACCTACAGCTACGACATCGTAGTATTTTTGTTAATCATTATCCAACCCTAGGATCAGTGAGCGAAGAGATAACCATCACGCCTGATACATCCGCCCATGAAGGTGCGCTTCCAAGGCGTGACGCTGATAGGCGAAGTGGAAAGCACGACAGTTGGGGAGCACGATGCTGCAGAGAAGGGAAACCAAAGTAGAGGATTTCTACACGGTCAGATGTGTGCATCAAGCTCGGTCCACAGGGCGTATGTTGTAATCGCGTTTGAAAGCGTCAAATTCCTGCTCCTTCGCCTTGTACTGTTCGGCAAGATTGTCGATAACTTTCTTGATCTGTCAAAGGAGAGGTATAAATTCATGTGTAGAGATGTGGCTTGGGCTTCACTAACCCCCTCTTGATTAGTCTGGAGAGCTGGGACAACGTCCTTGACCGTCCGCTCTACAAGGACACCACCTATTAAGCGGAAACATTTACGATCAGGCTCTTCTTGGAGGGCTTCGTCCAGCGTTGTCAGGACAAGACTTGTGAACATTGAGGAATGAATCCATGCAACAATAAACAAAGGCGCACCTGTGCTCGTCTGCTTCTTGCTCAAGTTCCCCAATTTTGCCAGCCAATGCCTGCATCTCATTTTGAAAGCCGGTGTACCTTTGCTGGATTTCTGTCTAGCCTTCGATGTCACATTGAAAGTATGGGATACGATGTGAGATAGGACAGACCCTGATCCGAAAGCGGCTGGACTTTGGACTTTTGCTTGGGAGGCATGATTGCGACTTGTCAGATACTTGTCGAAAGTAAGTTGTATTATGACGCTGGTGACGCCAAGTGTGACGTTGAGTGTGACGACCCATCACACAAGGTCACGACATTTGTTGTCAGCGTTCACCGCAACTTGCTCGAAAGTAAAGTGTGTCCTCTATGTCTTTTGCTCGTCCTCGCCTGGCCCTTGGCCTGAGCCCCCGGGCCTTCACAGTATCTCCTCATGCCCAGCTAAGGGCTTCCGCTCTTGCGTTTCGCCAACTCAGCACCACCCGACGCGCCTTGGCCGAACCGGTTGAGCAGCGTGGCCGCTTCGAAGGGCCCACTGCTATCAAGTCTCCATCTCTCGGAAGCGGTGGACTGACTGCCGCTGATGAGCCAGGGAAGGATGTGAATCCCTACAAGGACGGACCCAGCGCCATTGACAAGGCCGTCCACATGTTCTTCTTCACCGAGATCCTCCGAGGCAAGATGTTCCGCTCGTGCTTGCGAGGCTTTGTCACTGACCTTTTCCATAGGCATGTGGATCGTCCTGGAGAACTTCTTTAGGGAGCCATACACCATCATGTATCCATATGAGAAGGGACCGCTGTCCCCTCGCTTCCGCGGTGAGCACGCTCTGCGGCGTTATCCTAGTGGAGAGGAACGGTGCATCGGTAAGCATGTTGCATCACCCACGGGATTGTGGACGCCTTGGGCTGATTGGCATGCTAGCTTGCAAGCTGTGCGAAGCCATTTGTCCTGCTCAAGCAATCACCATCGAGAGCGAGGCTCGCCAGGACGGTTCGAGACGGACCACCAAATACGGTTCGTGTATATGACCCCGTTACGCAAAGCTGTTACTCATGAACGCCACAGATATTGACATGACTAAATGCATCTACTGTGGTTTCTGTCAAGAAGCTTGTCCTGTTGACGCAATCGTTGAGAGTAAGCATTGTCTTGTGCTCACTGCTGCCACCATGCTAAGTCGACCTAGCCCAAAATCAGGAATTCTCGACGGAAACTCGCGAGGAGCTGCTGTACAACAAGGAGAAACTTCTGGCAAATGGTGACAGGGCGGAGGCTGAGATAGCCGCGAACTTGCATTGTAAGTCTAGGATCTGTTCTTTTTTTGGAGAAATGGATCTGACATGGGTATCCAATAGCTGACCATGTGTACCGGTGAACAAGTACTATTTGGCAATGACTATAGATTTTGCTTGTCCCAGACCTTCGTCGTGATAAAATTAACAATCCATTTATTAATCTATGTAGCTGGGTAAGGCTTTGCTTTCGGACATGGACGGATATCCCCTGTGTCGTTCTCAGCTCACAGTAATCCTCCCGCTGCTTGGAATGCCGGCATTTTTCCCGGAGCAGGTTGGTCTGACCCATATCACCCCTATGTGTTGCGATTTGTGCAGTCCCCGAACCAAGGTCAGTGGGTGATGCATCTATTGGGTTCCATAGCCAGCGATGGGAGCACAAGCACACGTTAAATGGAAGGCGTTGCCCGACATGTCCTACCGACAATACGGGCCGACGAAAAGAGACTCTCTCTTTGTATACCTTCTCTCGCTAAATGCGTACATTCCCTGATGTCGACGAAACTGAACCTTCAGCGCTTCATCTTGAGCTTACTCGACGAGCTATTCTTGTGCCACGTCTACTGGTGTGGCATGTGCTACCTACCGCTTAGGGGCGGGTTCCAATGCTCCGCATGCGTCTGCCTTGAATTGGACGAACGTCCAAGGATGCCTGCGCCATCTGCAGAGATGACTCAAGGTTCCGTTCGGACCGTTTCTCCCTACACCAGCAGTATTATGTTTTCGAGAGGGGCCGAGGCCGAGCAGGCCCGAGCTCGAGTGCCGACCTCTAAACCATTTTGATGTGAAGATCTCACCTTATTCATCGTTTAGGTGGCGTCCGGAACCCGAGCACAGGCATGAGTGGCAAAAAGGCCTGTCCTAGGGTCAAACGGGATCGAATGGTGGTGTCAGAGTTAACGTTCATGAAAGCGGTGAAATCTCGACGGTGCTAGGACTAGTAGTTATCCAATCACGAATGTCATACGGGGAAAGGCTGGGCGCAAGGAGGCAAAGGTCGGGCATCGCTTTCACGTCAAAGGATATTAATCCAAGATCTACGACAAGTTTTCCAAGCAACAAATGATGATTTATTTAGCGAGAACATGGTCGGCGTAAAAATACATGACAAACACCTAGGCACTGAGGAGATCAGACATACCAAGCTGACGATAACTGCCAGCACTTCACCCGTCAGACATTAAAAAGGTAACCCCGTCCACGACGATACCAACCATCTCAATCCGATCTTTCTGCTTCCGGTGGGACCTCCCGGTCATTGGAGCCCCGAGAAGGCGGCCTTCCGGTAGAGGCATGAAGGGGATGCATCCCCCTATCCTCCGAAGGGTGTCTTCCCGAGTATCTCAATCCGTCCCCACGTCCCCCGGCGCCACTGCCTACGGCAGAAGCATCGGCGACGTCATAATCTTCATCTACTTCCATGTCCGCGCGCGATCGTTTCCGAGAAATGTCTCCGCCAGAGCGGTGCTGCTCTGGAGGTACAAGGTGTCCTCGGTCACGTCCGAACGATCTGCCATCTTCATGGACAAATCCGATCTCCTCCGTCGATGGGGACTGATGGCTGCCAGCGCCTCGGGGTGCGGGGGGTCTTTGCATTTCTCGGTCGTAATATTGGTGATGTTCTGAACGCATATGTTCGGGCGGTCCGCCACCACCACCCGATCCGGGAGAGCCAGAGCGAGATAATCTGCTGTGAACCCCGGGCCCTACGGGTTCTCTATGGTAGGTAGGATCGTCACGAGAACGGTACGAAGGCGGGTGGTCTTGGTAGTCTCCTCTATCGATTGGATGTTGTGCACGATAATCTCTATCGAACTCCTGGTCGTGCTGGCGTGACCATTCGCGCTCCCTATCCAGGTCGCGTTCGCGATCAAGATCTGGATGAGGGAGGTTTGCGCCTGGCCCGACTCGCTGGTGATTGTGAATTCGAGTCGAACTGCGGCCGTGCGTCGGGGATAACACCGGCGTGTGGGAGGAATGCGACTGTAGTTGTGTCTGTCCTCGATTGTGCATATGTGGATCTGCATAGGCACTCCCACGGTCAAGCAGCTCGTGGCGTCTAGTTCGCTCCGGTTCGCGAGGCGGACTATGAAGTGACTGCTGCATTGGAGGCAGCGCATCGGGCGAATAGTGCTGCGCATGCGAATGTCCAGAGTGATAACCTGTGGGTACTTGATTGGGCCGCGATCGAGAAGAAGAGTGAGATCTCGACCGTGAATGAGAATGGGAGCCATTACTGTGGGGATGAAGATGAGGGCTGTGGCCCTGCGAATGACCAAGGCTCCTCGGGTGTTCGTAATGCTGAGCAGGAGTCAGATGCGAGAGGGGAGGTAGTTGTCGCGACGAGTCATGACCACCTGCGCCCGAGCTGTGTCGCGACATCTGTGCTGGAGACAAGTGGGGCGCAGGCACGCCCGGGGCCGCAGAAGTATCCGACGCAGGGTAACCACGGTTATCAGTCCTAGTACGAGAACTGCTATGGGTGTTGGGATATTCGTAGCCGTAGCGCTCGTCGTGCTCCGGTCGCTGTTGTGGGTGAGGTGGGGCTGGGCCACTCGCGGGATGAGCAAAGTGGGCGGGTCCATTGGGGCCCGCGCTGTGTGGAGGGAGGGCGTGGTGTTCGGACGCTTCTGGAGAGGGAGGGACAGCGGAGAGGCGCTCATACAGAATTCTGCAATACAATGTTTTTTAATACGAAGATTCAAAGCGAGAGCATGGCACGTACGCTCGTTCAAGTTTCATTCGCTGAATGGACCTTTTCGCCTGAATTACTTTGTAGTGCAGCTTGTCATTGTCCTACAAGCGTAGAAAAGAGGTAAGCCCCAAATGTTGTTGATAGCGAAGCACCTGGCTCACCAGTTCGATTTCTTTCACTTTTCGCTTGAGTTCCTTATACTTTGCCTGGTACTTCTCATCTTCGACGCCGGCTGAGATACTGGCGGCGTAATTCTTGTTTTTGCCCCTTCCCGAGGATGGCTGCATGTTGTGTTGGTAGGACTGAGGGGGCTGAGCAGAAGGACCTGGAGACTGGCGGTGAGACATGATGGCAGTGCGGCGCGGGAGGGCGTCAAAGAAGGACTCGAGGGTTGGTTGACGTTTTCTATTTATTGCAGCCAAGATCTCGGATGGCGTTGTGTAATGGCGCGGTCATCCAATCAGAACGTGGTCGGCATCACACAACATACAAAAACACTACGCTCGTAAAGGCCTGGCCGTCTGACGTCTAACGCTGACATAGCTATATTGTTCGCTTCTTGCTCGCTTTTCACGTCGTGTACCTCAGCTTCGTCGCGTCAAACTCGTTCGTGAGCACGTTGGTGGCACACGCAAACCAGCTCGAACCTAGTTGTGACACTTGTCGAGAACTTCCTGGCACGGCGGCGTCGATGACCTAGGCACAAACATGACCTAAACTTGGCCTAGTCGTTTATGGCTGTTGCGCCTCATGATTCGGAGTACGCGCCCGCCCGCCATCGCACCCGAGTACCGAGTATAGACCGCGATGTCTCCTCGACCGCACTTGTCGGCACCAAGACACTTGGTCAGCGAAACAAATCTGGTGCTTGGAACGATTGGCCTCAGTCGATATGATGGGATCGGACTGTCGGGAGATCTTTCATGATTGGGATACTTTCTATAGACGAATATGGTAGCTGAGTCGAGTGACAGGGCAGTAGCTGTAGGGCGCCGCGCGCGTTCCGCCGTTCTGCACGCATCCCATATCTTTGGTAATCAAGAGCTTGCGTTGAACATGAGCTCATGCAAAATGCATACTAAATCATCAAGCATGCACATTAATGTTCTAAACTTCTAGCAGCCGAGGTGTTTGCACGTATGGGTCCTGCTGCGAAAAGGCGGCTTGTTTAGGCAGGCGCGCACATTAGGGCAGGTTCACTCGGGCGCTGCAGGCTCTGCAGCGCACGACGTTCCCCGAGACAAACCACTACATACTAGACGCCGTCCACCCCGTTCCACTCCCTCGCATACCAAGAGTAAGTGACCCTGCTTGTTATTTCACGAACAGCTTCTGACAGTCATGGCACCAGTGTCAATCCAGTACCGGCAGTACGTGATACTTTCCATGAGGACCGCAACCCTCTCACTTGTCGGCGTAGAGACATGCCCCCTCCGGGCGGGTTCGAGTCTGTCAAGTACAAGCGCAACCTGCCTTTCCGTGGACCCAGCGGCATTGTCGCTCTGGGGGCTGTCACAGCCGTGTGCGCATACGGGTTTTATCGCGTCGGAAAGGGAAACCTAGAGAAGAGGTACGTGGTCTCTCACCCGACTTCGCGAAAAGAGTCAGCAGGACGCAAAACGTGTCTTCTCATGGTGCGCCCAACGTGAAACGTGTCTCCGCCGAGGATCCGGCCGTACCTCTTATCAGCGACTTGTGCTGCTTTCGGTTCGTTCCAGAAAGAGTTTAGTTGTGCTAATTTGGGCTGTCGTTTTTGTTTCCCCAATCTAGGGAACTGCAAAGAGAGAAAGTTTGGTCCCGCATTCATCTTGTCCCTTTGCTCCTGGCGGAAGGAGATCGGGATGCTTACCGCCGGCAGCAGGCCGCCCTCGCGCGAGAGAAGGAAATTATGAAGGACGTCAAAGGGTGGGAGGTAAGTAATAAAGCCCCTAACTGGCAGAGATTGTGACTGATGGACGGAAATGCGTTCCATTTGCTCCACCATTTCGTGTCTTCTCTTCCTCAGGCTGGAAAGAGCGTGTACAACAACGGGCGGTATCGCTCGGCAGATTCGATTGTCGTTCTATGATTGATAGACGCGCCGACCCCTGTAGTCGTTTACAGAAATCTTTAATTGGTCCGCATGAAGTGAGCAGGAACCTTGCATTAAAACAGGAACCAATCGAAGAGGAAGTAGATTCATTCGCCCCCTGGGGCGCAACAGATGACAGTTAGATTCCGCCGAGAGGCGGCGTGGCATATCCGGCGAGCGGGGTGGCGATGTACAATGAGAACCGCTTCCGCGGGTCCTTTTTGCCTGATGGAAGAGCGCTGGTTTAGGGGCGGCTGCGCGCCTACTATCGGGTGATTGTCTATCACCCGTTTGAGGCGGTACGACCATAAGACTTGCAGACATCTGATCATTGAGCGCTGAGTGCGCTGTGGTAAGCACTGCATTTACAGCACACGCAACTACGCATACGTGTGTCATCGCTGTCCGATCGAGTGTGATTTAAAACCGCTGAGTCGCTATCCCCGTTTTCTCAGGAATTGTTGTAAGCAGTGGATGTCGTTCGTATCTGTGACTCGGTGGGGGAGAGCGTTGGTCATCGCGTAGGGCTATTATTGGTTGTGCCATCGGTACGAGTGCCCGATATAGAGGGATGGGCGATTGCTGGATCAGTTAGTGGTATTGGGTGGAAGCTGATCTCGAAGGAACCGAACCACTGAGAGCAAGCCGAGTCAGAGCTGGGTCAATCTGGTGATCTGTAGATTTGGTAGGGCATATATAAGGTAACCCGAAGATGCGAATTCGAAGGTGCTGAGTATATCTGGATTGCCGAGCCCCTCTTGACCAGGCCCGAGAGCATCGTCCGTACGTTCCCCCTCCCTATCAATCTGTCATCAACCTCCGGCCCCGCGCCCTATTAAAGCGGCTCCATCTGTCCCTTCCCCCGCCCATACCTTATCCCTCCTTTGCAGTTATGTCCTCCTCGAGCTGGTATACCCCCCGCGAGGACGATTTCTCCCAGCAGCCTCTCCCATCTGACATCTCCATGAAGGATGCCACACCACTACTTACCTTTGACGACTCTTTCGACTCGTCAACAGTAGACCCAGATCAGCTCCTCTTCGGCCCACTCGATATGGAGGAGGGCAATTTATTCAGTCACCCTACCTCATCCCAGTGGGATACTTGTGATCTGTCCTACCCCCCCATGTCTCCGCCTACGTTCGCCGGAGACGCGTCATCCAGCATGTACAGCAACTCGTTATCGACCTATTCTCCGCACGGAGTCAGCGACTCTCCTTACTCTGGTTATGACGACTTCAAGGGGCACTCGACGACGTGAACTGTTCCTGTCCTGAGCTCAAGTCCCGCGAAAAAGGGATCGGAGGACGCCGAGCTGTCATAGATGTCTCGGACAGACGCTGCTGACGACTGCGATGCTGTGGACGGACATACTCCGGTTGTTGTTCCGCGGAGTTATCCCAAAGCTGTGTGGCCCATGCAGGTGTGGGGGGCGCTGTGAGCGACGTCTCAGAGGGCGAGATGGAGAGCACGGGCTGAGCGGGAGAGCTGAAATAACCATCTGACTCCGAGGGCGAGAGAGATCGAGGAAGGGGATGGAGAGCAGCAAAAGCAGCAGGAGAAAAGACGTTGCCCGAGAAGGCGTGGTGGCCGTAAGGCACAAAAGCGGGAGGCGTCTGGGGCCCAGATGGCGCTCCACGTATCGGTATGGGGGCCGAGGATGATACTGACGACAAGGGAGAGGGTTCAGCGGCGACTACCTCGGGCTCATTGAGCCAGCGGGACCCACATGCAGATGGGAATAGCTGCTCAGATGCGCAACAACGGTTGGCGTGCCGATTCCGTCAGCTCAAACGAGGACAGGGATGCCACTGTGCGACGCAGGAAGAGGCTGTCACCAGAGGATGCCCTCGTTGCTATTAAGACGGAAGAAATCAGAGAGAAGGACCACGGTACGCAACCACATGATTATAATCGCGTTGTCATCTGACTAACATATATCTACGCTCTAGCTCCCTCAAAGTCTGTCTTGAAACCGCCTAAGCTCGCGCCTTCTGCTTGGCAGTTGTACTTCACAGATTGGATCCAACGTCATCAGCAGACTAGCACGCGGAAGCTGAATGTTGCCCAGGCAGCCAAGGAAGCCGGTCAAGAGTACGCAGAGCTCAGCGCGGCAGAGAAGGAGGTAAGCCCTTCATCGCTACTGACTCTCTATTACATGGCTCATTGTTGATTCCCTGTAGCCTTACAAGCGCAAGTCTGCAGCTCTGAAGCAGGAGCGCGAGCGCCAGAACGCCGAGTATTTGAAGACGCTCACTCCTGACGATATCAAGAAAGAGAACGCCTTCCGTACCGCTCAGCGCAAAGCTGGCAAATCTCGCAGGAGCAATCTCAAGGACCCCAACGCGCCAAAGAAGCCTCTCAGCGCGTACTTCATGTTCCTGCAGCGTATACGCTCGGATCCCGCGCTCGTCCGTGAAGTCTTTGGTGATGAGCAGGAGACGACGAAGCAGAGCGTTCTTGCTGCCGCCAAATGGCGCGACATGTCGGACGATGAGCGGAAGGTGAGGGTTATCGCCTTGTACTTTCTCGAACTTGACCTAATGCCTATTGCGTGCAGCCTTTCTTGGCTCGGGCCGAACAGGAGAAGCTCGAATATGAGGCAGCGCGCAGGCTCTACGAGGAGGGCACTCCTGCCCTTGGCACTAACATCAACTTCAGCATCCTACCTTCTCAGTCGACCAACAGCCCTTTCGCCACGTTACGACCGATCAAGACTGAGTCGTTTGGATCCTTCACCTGAGAATTGAGGTGCATGCAGCCATGAACGCAGTGAGTTCGAGGCATGCTTGTATACCACTCCATACCCTTTCTTTCCGGATTTCGTCGGGTGTATACCTCTTCATATTTTATTCCCCGGGTTCCTCAGTCATTCTATCGTTACGACACCGGACTCACTCATGATTATGACGACACCCCAATTCCTGTATTGATAGTTCTCATCATCCCCTCTCATATGTTTCTGTACATGTGTAAGTTTTCATACCCTGTTATGACCACGTGTGCTGTTAGCACATACGATATGCACCAGACCATGTAGCTACTACCGAGATAGCTGTAGTTGGAACACCATTTTCTGATGAGGGGCACCGTCCTCCTCAAACTCCGGACCCTAACGAGTACATTATTTTGTAAGGCTTAACCGCATTGTACATAGGATTTTTCATACGTACTTCGTTAACGTAGCCATACCTCCAAGGAGGAGTTAATATCAGTATGTTGTATGTGTATTGACCGTATAGTCCTGGGTGACCTACTTTGCGTAAAAGGGCTTGACGGGTATCTGGGAATGGGCTATAATTTGGGCGGATTGGACGCCATCCTGCGATGCGGACTGCTCTACCCAAGCATGCAGAGCATGTACCAAGTCACGGCCAAATCGGTATTGTCGGTACTCCTTCAGGACAGCGAGCCTGCTTAGTTTGTACTTTCCGGGGGCCAGCTTTACGGCACGGATGGTACCGATTGGCGTCATTGAAGGAACGAGACGGAGCAGAATATGGGTTGCTCGGGGATCGGAGTCATACCTGTGTTCCGTGTAGCTGGAGCGAGTTTATTAACGGGACACGGGAATGACGCACTTGTCTACCTCATCGTCTATGGAGAAGCCCTGCTCGTGGATGAAGACGGCGATGCGGACGTCGATGCACTGCTTCTGGATCTCAGACCGCCGAGGATGGCCAGCTGGGGCGACGACAAGCTCGTGTGGCGGGCGATCTGGGACCTTGGACGTCAGACCTGGTTGTGTTCCGCGATCGCCCATGGATCGACTGTGTCAAACGAGTGCGGAAAGGGGGGCTCCCAATATAGAGGGCTCGCTGGGTGATGGTGGGACTGGGAAACGACTGGGAGGGGCGAGAGCAGTCTAACGCTAACCTTGTTTCAGTATCGTGCAGCTTTCCCCGGCTCGGGCCTTTCGGACGCTGGGGCACTGGCGTGTGGGTCGGGTTAGACCTTCGAGTACAGTACAAGCATGCGATCGCGGTTTTCGCGGTATGCGATAGTGAAACATGCTGAGCTAGTTGCATTGGTAGAGAAGAAAGTGTATTTGCTGACATAGCAAATCGGTGAGGCACTTATGCATCCTGGCAAGAGATGCGTCGGAGGAATATGTTCTCTTCGGACCATATGAGCGGAGGTGTCAAGGGTGCCGGGCCGATGCGGGCAGGACGCAAGTTGCCGAATCGGGCGACGGCAAAGAAGACCAAACGAATGACAAGGGACGGCAACATTTTCGCCCAGTCAGTCGGACAGCTTACTGGTGCTCTGGAGAGGTGAGCACCAAAGACACGTCCTCTGCATGGGCTAACAGACAATGCAGGCAGGCATAAGGTCCCATGTCCTCATGATAGAACCTCTGGCCTTTACTATCATAAACTCGACTCTCCGTCGCGCATCTCCATGTTCATCCGCTCTCAACCGTCTCATGGGTCCGCCCCCCCGCAAAGCACTCCCAAACGACTTCTTCATTCCGTGCGCTAGACCTTGGAAAGGAAAGGAGAAGGAGGATGACGCGTCGTCGCTCGATATGTGGCCAAAAGAGGGCGAACTTTCTGGGTCATATCCCACTCAACATCCGACCTGGGGCTGCAGTACGTCTACTTCTTCACGCGGCCATACTCGTTTGAGAAGCTGATGACGATCATGTAGGACGGAGGATGTTTACGATGGGCAAGCCCATACCTCAGCGGTCACGCGTCACCCGACATCACAGCCCTCACCGAATGTCACGTCGAAATATGACTTCGTATTCCTCTTCCGCCACCTCAAGTCAACTCGCTAGCTCATCTTCTACTCCTGAGCTAGCGGATCCCTACTCACGCTTCCAGGAGCTCATCGACTCTCCTGAACTCGACTTTGACTTGGAGGAGGCGTGGCTGGTATATAAGGCCGCAGTTGCGTCAAACTACCCCTCACCCAAGGAACTGCTCTCGTTTGCAGAACGTTACATACAGGCCGCGGAGGCTCAGTATCCGAACATACCTGACCTGGACGTTTTCCGACGTTCGGGCAAGAGGATGGAACAGTTACTTGCTGGCATACAGTCACATATAACTCAGTCATCCTCCATGGAACACTGGTCTTGTCTGATGGCTCAGGCATGCGCCCTTGGCGACAAAATGCATGATGCCGTTTCGCTCATAAATGACCTGAACCAAAACGTTAAACGCTGGGACCTTGCACGAATACGACCAATCATTGATGCCTATCTGTCCGTCCTCCTAGCGACACGACGGTACTATGGCAGCGCAGAGATCTTGGACGTTCTTGCAAACGGATGGCGCTTTCTTGGCTATTATCTCGTTCACACGCGTAACGTCCGTGGCACGCGATTTGACTTCCCAGACTTTCGCCAGAGAGTACTAAGCATACTTGTTGATATTGAAGATCCAGCCGCTGCCCTCCATTCGCGGCGCAATTGGCCCAAGGACATTCAACAAGGCCTAGGGCATGTTTTAACCCTTGCCTATTGCGAAGCGGATCTGGACAACGATGCATTTGCGACGTATGAAGCGCTCCAACGGCAGGATATCTCTCTTACTCTGGAAGCGCAGCTAGACCTTGTCAGGGTCTTTGTCCGGTCCGATTCTTTTGTTCGTGCCAACGCTTTGTACGACTCCATCGACATACCTCCCACCGACTTCTGGTACGACTTCTACTTGTCCACGGGTTTATACCTTTACGCACATCAAGGGAACGTGGAACAAGCAGAGAAAGCCTTTGCTGAACGCCAGCGACCCTCGAGTAGCGACAAGGCCATGCTCATGCAGTCCTATGCCGTCCAGGGTCAGGCCGAAAAAGTTGTTGAGCTTTTCCATCGGCTGTTCCCAGAAGGCACTCCTGCCCATGATGGACCCACTGCTATCCACTACACCATCCTTATGTACGCCCACGTCCAAGCAAGAGATCATGAAGGGTTCAACTACTGGCTGAAAGCGATGACGAGAGCTGGCATTCCCACAGACGATTATGTTTACAGTGTGGTTATCAAGAGTTTTGCACTTCGTGGCGAGGTCGATTCGGTGGCCACAGTGTTAGACCAGATGCGCACTTCTAACGTTCCTCCCAATCCTATGCACTACTCCGTCGCCATTGCCATGCTCGCTCGCCGACGAGACGCCGTGTCTGCTGAGGCTCTGTTCAAACGTGCTCTTCGGGAAGGGGTCGTTCCTGATCGTGTCATGGTTGGCGCGTTGATGAACGCTCATGTCGAGGCGGGTTCCTGGTTAGGTGTCATCCGAGCTTTCGACTACCTGAAATCATCTTCTGGCCCCCAGCTGCGTCTGTCTACCGACATCTACAACACCCTAATGAAGGCTTACGTGATGATCGGCGCGCCATTCAAGATCGTCTCTGAACTATTCCGTAAGCTTGAGCTTATGGGCGTTAGTCTTGATGGCTACAGCTACACCCTTCTCATCGTCTCCGCCTGCGATTCTGGGAAGATGGACATTGCGCTAGGTATTCTCCAGGAAATGGATGAACTCAAGGGCCGGTGGCGTCACAACCGTTACTTGGACGTGCTTGTGCTAAGCATTATCATGGCCGCCTATCTACGCGTCAAAGACCGGACAAGCGCAAAATCCGTGTTTGATCTCATGCAGCAGCGCGGTATTAAACCTCGTTCACAGACATTCTCCCACATCATACGAGCGTACGCCGAGGAGAACACGGAAGAGGGTATGAAGCTCGCAGAGGAATTCATCGGTGACATTCTTTCAGATGACCCAGCTAACAGCACGTGGATACGACCAGGCTCCCACACGGCGGCCTTGGAGCCTATCTTCCGTCCGCTCATGACGGTGTACGCTAAGGAAAGAAGACCAGAGGAAGTCGAGCGTCTGTTTCAGGAGATGCTCAACCAGGGTGGAGAACCTTCTCTGGCCACGCTCACCATCCTCATGGACGCATATCGCCTAGTCGACGATATTGACTCTGTAATTGCTATCTGGCCGCAGATATGGCAGCTTGCCCTCCGCTATTCAAATGTGGAATCGCTGTTTAGGGGCGACGCAACAAATCCCTCGGATCCGGTGAAGCGGCATGCAGACATTCTTTGCATCCCACTGACGATTTACATGGATGCGTTGTCCAAGGCCGGTCAGCACGCCATCGCGGCGGAGGCTTGGCACAAGGCACGCGTCCATGGCTTCGCACTCGACTCGCACAATTGGAACCATCTGGTTGTCGTCCTCATTCGCGCTGGTGAGGTCGAGAGGGCGTTCGAGGTGATCGAACGGGTCGTCATCCCCTACCAGCGCAAGACTCGTGAGGCACCAGACGACCGTGAGACAGAACCCGAGACGCCGCTCATATTCGATGTCAACCCCGTCACCGTTGACTCGCCAGCGTTCGACAACAAGATGCGCTCCACGAAACGCAGGGCTCACCGGGGTGGTTTGCACTCGCGAAAGCTCGCTCGCCACGCGATCGAGTTCGAGAAATCAAACGATTTCGCGCACCCGCTCCACATATTGCAGCATATCTCACCTGGGTGGCATACCTGGCGTCCACATAATGCTATCCTCCAACTGCTGTCCGCGGTCATTAAGCATCTGGAATCGGGGTACACCGTGCAGGCTGTCGAGCCATTCAACGAGCCGTCCACGGCGACCAAGGATGCCACCAAGGATGACCCTTCCGTCCAGGGACTTGCGGCTCAAGCGATGCTGAAGCGCATACACGAACAGTTTCCGGACACCGTGCGCGCCATCCTGGATTTCGAGCGTCGGATATACTACAAAGAGGCGAGCTCAAGGCGATCTTCGAGCTGGATCTAGAGGCATGCAACATGTTGTTGTTGTTATGGATACAGTGGGGCAGATCTCTCCACTCGAAGGATAATACAGCTGTATATCGGTCTACGGATGCAAATGGTGAACTTCCAGAGTCTGGCTCATTGCTCATGGTTCGGAGGATTCTGAAGACTCTTCAGAACCCCCGCGTTTGTCCTTGCGACTCTGCTTGCTTGATCCATGTCGGTTTCGCTGGGTCTCTATGTCAGCCGAGCTGGGTAGGCCGAGGCGCGGTCACGCACCAGTGGGAGCTTCTGCCCCTGGTTGCCGAACGCAATGGAGAGGGGAGTTGTATCTATAGGGTGTTGGGTTCGTTTTTACAGTAGAGCACATAGTTAAGGAAGAATAATACTTACCTGGCACTCCCGGAAATCGCTTCGCTGAATAGACCGTGAAGGTCTCCGTAAATGTTTGTGCAAGGACGGGTGAGACATCGGTGTGCACGCGAAGTGCCCCCGACTCAGGAGCAGGCGACCTGTTCATACTGTGAGCATAATTGCCTGATCTTTTGGAACGTTGTGGGGTGAAACGCATAAACTTACGCGCCGACGTTCATGAGGCGTAGGCGCAGCCGGAAGGTACCTTGATATAAAACAAGGTTCAGACGCGAATAGAATCAAAGGTCACGGTTTCACTCGCCTTCTGTACGGACCGACAGATCCTGGAAGAGAAAGAAAATGCCCGGCTTGTGTTGGTCGTCTACCAAACGACAGGCGTTGGCAGATAGTGGGCCAACGAGGGTGCGCGTATACGTATGCCTGGCTGATGGCGAGATATTAGCAGGAGGCGGCGTGGGGCTTTGAGGTGGATAATTGCCCTGGTAGTATGATGGCTGAGCGTATGCCGACGACGGACCGTACTCAGCCTGGCTTTCGTAGCCCATAGTGGGGGAGGACGCGTATTGATCGGGATACCTGCTCTGTGGGTGCGCTTGCTCTGGTGTGGATTGTTGCTGCGTGTGTGGCCAAGCTCCCGGTGCTGGTTCACGTGCATCGGGCTGTGAGGACGCCGAGCCATGGTGATGTCTTGGGTCTATCTCCGGCCCCCCAAAGGCAGCACCTTCTTGGCCGCCGACTGCACCTTGGTACTGGGACGATGCGCCGGGCCAGGTTCGGTAGGTACTGGCTGGCCCAGCTTGCCAACCTTCTCCCGGAGGTGACCCTGCGGCTGTTGACCGGGACGCACTGAATTATTTCAGACGGTGACGTGATTTCATTTAATGATAGCTAAAATTGCAGACATACCTCCAGCCGGTGGAAGAGTTTACCGGGGCGTTGTACGGTGCGATGGTCATCTGTTCGGGAACCGGTTGTCCTTGCTGAGCATAAGTATAGGTCGGACTGCCATAAGGCGGCTGAGGGTAAGAAGCTGAACGTGTGCTGGTCTGTAACCCATAAAGGTATGCGTTAGTTGGAGATGCGCCACAGGCAACGTGTTGCGAACCTGCTGTTCCACACTGGTCTGTTGATGGGACGAAGCCGATGCTGAGGAAGGGGAAGAAGGACTCGGATGTCCCCGGGAGGTATCGGACGCGTTGCTACTGCGTTTGCGAGGCTTGCCAGCGCTTGCTGGCATGTATCGCTCGTTGGAGGACGACGGGTGAAGGACGAGATTCATTTCTCGCTTACCGTCCGCTGACCAGAGGTCGACGGTCACTAGGAAAAATGAGCAGTCGAGGTCACTGGGTGGGAAATTGAATTCCGGAGTGAGAGGATGGTGTATGTGTAAAGGTCGACCACATACTCGGGTTCAATCAGGGTGTTGTCTTCCCTATGTACAATCATCTTGGCTACCGCGGCAGGCGCGAGAGGCCTGCGGTCCTAAGGAGGAGAGCAAATTCGTCAGGGACAGTAAAATTCACGACAGAAAGGATTTACGTACTTTGTCACCGAATCCGCACATCCGGGCTCGAAGGGGCTGCTGGGCCACAGTCAGCGTGTAGTATCTGTTGACAGGGAGGTCAGGGGGGGCACTAGGGGACGCGTAGAGGAGAATGGGCGGGCTGACTTATGGTTCATCCATGACCCCCAGCGCTGAGTAGGGTCTGCTGAAGGCTGGAAAGGCTGGGAGGTTGACGTGTCCAGGTTGGCGTGTTGTTTTTGAATCATAGGCCGGGTGGGGAGGGGGGAACCGTGACCGGGAGCACTTGAAGTAGTAGCTCGGTTTTGAGGATATAGAGTTGTATTGTATAGTTCGGTGAGTTGGGAATCAGATAAGATAAGTTCTCACGTCGAGAAGCTGGTGGACAAAATGGGGTAGGAGGCGCAGAGATGCTGGAGGACGAAATGGATACCTGCATGAGAAGAAGTCAGACAAAGCGGCCGAGGGCATCCTCCGTACGAGATGCACAAAACTTGCGGATCTCAGCCACCTTGCTCTAATTACACGCACGCGTGGCCTGGACGTATTTCGGTACAACCGTATGCACACAGATTCGAAGATGTCGATGAGCGCTAGAAACAGCTCCGGGTCAGGATGAGAGAAGAGCCTTAACATCTTACGGCATGAGAGGCACAGCAAACGGCTACCCCCCGCCTCGGCGCCGACTGTCCCGCGACCGCGACGAGTTACAGTTGATTAGCGTGATATCATCCACGTCGTCCGTCCCGACACACGCGAGCGTGTACAGTGACGGAGCTCTTTTTTGCAATTTCAGCCCCCGCGCACCCCAGACGTGGGCATATATATGTCCGATCCTGGCACTGGCAACCTCCTCCGATCCCGTGGACAGCTCTTGCATGTTGCATCTCGTTCCGTGCACCGCATAGACGGCTCGCGGCACGCTGCGACGACGCGTCTGAGTGTGACAGAACTCTGTTCCTCTTGACCTTGTAACTCTATTGCCCGATTTCCTCATATCTGATAACCATGGCCCGACATCAGCAGGCATCAGCCTGAGAAACGTTCTCCCTCCATGAGTGATACGATCAGAGCCCCCCTCCACGCGGTCTTCGAAATCGTTGCAGGCTCTCGCGAGGCAATCCCTTCGCTCGGTCGTCGCTTTGACACAACTCACCCGCATCTGCGTCCGGAAATCTCCCGGTTCACGGCTAAAGTAGTAAATTTGGGTAGTCCAATAGCCTCAGTCGATGCTCAATACTCAATATTCAATGCTCCCGGAGACCAACTGAAGACATGAAAGATGCGGCTTATTACTACTGCGCGTTCCTCTCCACCCCAATTTCCAATCCTCGAAGCTCGAAGGATCAATCCACTTTATGCACTGTTCTTGACGCCATGGCATATGAAGGCTTCGCAATATACAACGCCGCATCGCTAGCATTTCTTTGAACCATGATGTATATTGATGACATTAGCAAGGGGTTTGCCCACTCAGATTCACAGCTTTCCCACGACATCCACGCTTGACGCGCTGGCCAGCGCACACAATGTTTATGTTTACAACTTGCTTCTCTTACACCGAGACTACTAGCCCATTACAAGCATGGATCAGGCTGCTGCAAAGAAGACGTTGCAAGAACTAATTAAACGCGATGACCTAGACAACAAGGTCTGTGTGGATTGTGCCAGCCCCAACCCTCAGTGGGCTTCTGGTCTGTGTCGTGTCATTTCCTGGGACACCACGCCCTCACTCTGATCTCTTCTTTAACTAACTTTCCTCCTCAGTCAGCTTCGCAATCCTTCTCTGCTTGCAATGCGCAGGCGTACACAGGGGTTTCGGGGTTCACGTCAGGTGAGCTCTGATATGACTTCTTCCGTAAGGAAGTCTTGACCCAAGTACCGTCCTCCAGCTTTGTGAGATCAGTCTCGATGGACGTTTGGCAGCCAGAACAAATCAAACGCATGCAGGTGCCCCTCATACCTTTCCTAAGTTATTCGCGATCTGAGTTTCATATCCGTGGTCAGCTGGGAGGAAACAAGCCGTTTAAACAATTCATGCAGTCATACACGCCCGCTGACCAGGGAGGGTACAAGGAAGGAATGAGCTCCTCTGATCAATATCACTGCTGGGCCGCCGCGCAGTACCGCCAAAAAGTAATAGTCCCGTCTCTCGGCGAGATCGCAGTACTAACCTTATGCGGTCTCTAGTTGGATGCCATGTTGGCCGATAAGCCGTGGAGTTCGTCGCCCCCTCCGGCAGACTTCTCTCATCCAGGTAGCGGTGCCTCCACTCCTGGGCGGCCTTCCTCTGCTCAGGGGCTCAGAAAGTCTCGTGCCTCAGCACGAAACGCGGCAGGCAGCTCCCTCCGCGAGCAATCCGGGTCCCCAGCCTCTTTTGAAGCGTCCCCCCGCGGAACGCCAGATTTATCCAAGACCGACCAAAAGTCAGCGAACGAAGCTTACTTTGCCAACATGGGGCAGACGAACGCCTCCAGGCCCGTAGATCTTCCGCCATCTCAAGGGGGTCGATACCAAGGTTTCGGTAACAGTCCATCTCCCCCGCCAGCGTCCCAACATCCTTCCTTCGGCCTTTCTTCTATGGCTGCACCAAGCCTGTCGGACTTCCAAGAGGATCCCGCCGCTGCATTGAGCAAAGGATGGTCTTTACTCTCAGCGGCGGTCACAGGTGCCTCTCGCGTGGTTTCCGAAAATGTGCTGCAGCCTGGGATGGAACGTGCCATGGATCCTTCTTTGCACGCGAGCATGCGCGGCTATATCTCCGAGGCTGGACGTTTCGCAAATGGCGCCGGCCGTTTTGCCAACGATTGGTCCAAGAGTCAGTTGGGTGTGGACGTCGCCGACCACGTGGGAGGTGTGATGGGTTCGGTGAGAGATCGTGTGGGAGGGAGTCATCAGGAGGCAGGCTACACCTCGCTGGGCCACGGAGAAAGCCCAGCTACATACCACGACGATACGGATTCGTTCTTTTCGGAGTATACCGATCAGCGTCGTTCCGAGCCTCAGTCAAGCACACCCCAACCCAGCAAAGCACCTGCGCCCAGCACACAGGCTAAGAAGGATGACGGCTGGGATGACTGGGAAGACTTCTAGAGTGTATACCCATGGTTCTGATTTTGCGTGTTGTACACCTTCTGTACAAATGTTGTGTGTAGTGTATGTAGCGGTGAAGTAATTAGCCCCTGACGCGAGTTAGCCGGAACATACTTCGGCTACAGACCCGTACAGAGCTCCGGCCGTGCCCCCCAACTTGTTGAGCTTAGCCAAATCGCAAAGCCGCAACGTCCACCTCACCAACTCTGTCCAGCTCCAATCGTCCAAGTGCTCTGTCGTAAGAAACGCTCGTCACTATGTGGACCGCTTCAAGACATCTTGCACGTCGCAATATGCGTCGCGTACCACGCATACACGCTCAATATCATGCTTCCGTACTTCCTTCCCTAATCTCTACCGCCTCCCCAGAGTTCAAGGCCAAGGCAGAGGCGATGGACAGCCTTGTAGCTGATCTAGAGGCAAAGGCGGCTCAAGCACGTCTTGGGGGAGGCCAGAAGGCTGCAGACCGCATGCGGAGCAAAGGGAAGAAGCTCCCCCGCGAGCGGTAAGGACAGGCGCGTCACTCGGAATGTGGTCACTAACCAGCCGGAAGGTTGTCATTGCTTCTGGACCCGCATACACCCTTCTTGGAGCTGTCTTCTCTGGCTGCACATGAAGTATACGCCGGGGAGACGATTCCAGGAGCTGGCATGATCACGGGTATTGGAAGGATCTCGGGGCGGGAGTGCATGGTCGTCGTGAACGACGCGACTGTTAAGGGAGGCTCTTACTATCCGCTTACTGTATGTTCCGTTGTTGTGTCTTCGAGTGTAATTTCACTCTCTGCGTAGGTGAAGAAGCATCTTCGTGCCCAGGAGATTGCGAGAGAAAACGGATTGCCTTGCGTCTATGTTGGTATGTGAGAGATGCAATGCTCATGGCACTTCACTCAATTCCGTTGCTTTAACGTTCAACAGTTGAGTCTGGTGGCGCCGCTCTGCCTCACCAAGCCAATGTGCGACAATATTTGCCATCTTCTAGTTTTACAATGTGGTAAATGTGTGGACAGGTATTCCCGGACAAGGAGCACTTTGGTCGGATTTTCTACAACATGGTGTGTAGTTCCCTTTATCGTGTAAATGGAAAGGTTTAACGAGTGACTTGGCAGGCCCAAATGTCCGCGCTGGGAATTCCTCAGATAGCCATTGTGCACGGTATCTCAGTGGCTGGTGAGCTCGCTCATGAAAAAGGCAATGGAACGTGTGGTGACTATGATTGCAGGCGGAGCATATGTTCCGGCGATGGCGGATGAGAACATCATTGTCCGTGAGCAAGGACGTATCTTCCTCGCAGGCCCACCACTCGTGAAAGCGGCCACCGGAGAGGAAGTAGATGAAGAGACGTTGGGTGGTGGCCAGATGCACTCTAGCGAGAGCGGTGTAACCGATCACCTAGCTCGAGATGACGAACACGCCATTGCTATTGCCCGGGGAATCGTCGGGGACCTCGGCGCCGCCGGCGCAAAGCCGGGTGTGGTACGCTTGTTCATTTTAAATTATTTCCCCCGCCCAGCGCTAACAAATTGTCCTACTCAGCCCTCGGCGAAGTCAGAGAATCCCTTGTATCCCGCTTCTGAGCTCCACGGAATAGTGGGAACTGACTTGCGCCAAGCATTTGACATGCGTGATGTAATCGCTCGCGTCGTCGACGGGAGTCGGTTCAGGGAATTCAAGAAGGAGTATGGCCCAACCATGGTCACTGTGAGCAACCATATGGCGCTTCGCCATTGGTTCTTTTTTAATCGTACTGTTTCAGGGGTTTGCACATATACATGGGTACCAAGTTGGCATCGTAGCCAATAACGGCATCTTGTTCTCGCCTTCGGCATTGAAGGCCACTCATTTCATTGAACTTTGCTCGCAGCGGCAGATACCGCTTCTTTTCATGGTCAATGTCACGGGTAGGTCATGTCAATTTGGTGGCGCTCTTGCTGGTTCCTTTCATTTAACCATATTTGTAGGCTACATGGTAGGTTCAAAAGCGGAAAAGGGCGGCATTGCGAAAGATGGCGCGAAGATGGTCCGGGCCGTTGCGTGCGCGGATGTTCCCAAGTTGACTGTAATTGTGGGTGGCAGCTTTGGTGCTGGCAATTATGGTAAGCCTTGACTCATCGACGCGGGTTCACTATTTGATGGATTAACGTTTTGCTGCCAGGCATGGCTGGTCGAGCTGTATGTGCAGTTTCGAGTATTTTTATCGCCTTCTCACGAGTTTTCAGTATTCACCGAGGTTCCTTTGGATGTGGCCGGTGAGAACATCCGATCGTCGTATCCTTCGCGGACATAACTTAATATTCTAGAATGCGAAAGTCTCGGTGATGGGGTCTGGACAGCTCTCGCAGGTGATGACCTCAGTGTCCAAGTATGTCTAGATTCCCTCCCAGAAGTCTAGTACTATGGCATTCAACTTCTTACTCAGGGACCCTAAACAACACGCCTCGCTCAAGGATGAAATCGAGGCACAGTCCACGGCGTTGTATTCGACGGCCCGGCTTTGGGATGATGGAATCATTAAACCAACGGATACCCGTGATGTCGTGGGCTTGGGGCTCGCTCTCGCAGCTCGGGAGCGCAACCACCGAGGACGCAACGGTGGCTCGACTACATGGGATGGTGAAGGCCGAGGCTATGGTGTATTTAGGATGTAGACTAGATATGTACGAATGACAATTGACGATCATTGCAAGAGGACGCTACATTTATTGGCCAGTGACGATCCTGCCCCTGTCGGCAATTACATTCCGCACGTGGCGACGCGTGCCAAACCTCCTCGGCCATGCTACTAGTTGACGTAAACAATCAAGGAAACAAATCTAATATTAGCACAGAACGTTGGTCCTTTACACCATCCAGTACGACAACTCGCGCTCAAGCATTCCGTGATACTGGGCTCTCTGAGGCAGGGCAGCGTATTGACATGCTCGAAGACGCTTCCTTTCGTCGACTCTCACTAGAAACGCGTGCAAAGCTTAGGTCAACTCAGATCCTGACATCACTCCCCCAGATTGTTTCCGAGCTTTTGCAGAACTCGCTCGATGCCCAGGCTACTCGCATCGAAATAGGTGTGGATTGCGAGGAATGGGGCTGTTGGGTACGGGATGATGGTTCTGGAATCTCCAAAAATGACCTAGGCAGTCTGGCAAAACCATCCGACGACCAGAGACGTTATGGTTAGTAGCAAACTTTCCTCACCTTTTCGGAGCCCTGAACGGACAAGGAAGGCACTTCAAAGGTTTATGATCCATCTTCCATGGACCACGTCTCGACCTTTGGTTTCCGGGGTGAAGGTAACGCACGCGATCCTACGCCGGGTCCGACCTGCATTAAATCATCATTTAGCGTTATCTTCCGCGGCTGAGCTATGCTGTGTGGAAATAGCCTCGCGGACCGCAAGGTCGCGAGAAAGCCACTCCATTATACTAAAGGTGTGCGGCACATTCCGCTCGTAGCAAATGAATGCCCTTTGTGATCGTAGATTCAAGGGAGGAAAGTCCCTTTATTTTGGTCCGTCCATACGGTGGAAAAGAGAAGGGCATGGCACCGTCGCCTGCATTCGAGACGCTTTCTTTAATGTCCGTACATTCCGCGATGTGGAGGCTTTGCTAAACTTACCATTGCGGCGGCAAAACAGTTGCCTATCCGTCGCATGTCCCATCCCCCATCTCACAAAACGTTGGACCTCATACGGCAAGACATTGAGACATACGCCTTAGTATCTCCAAACGTGTCTTTCTCATTGGAAGATACGAGCAAAACGCGGCAGCCGGGAAGTAGCAAGGGTCACCTGCTCCGTATACCCAAGGTGAGTAAGATCTTGCACCGGCCGGCTGACTGACGGCAACGGGTCCATACGTTAATAAACTCGCCAGACGCAATCGAGTTTGCATGCTTTCCGTCATTTATATGGCCGTGCTCTCACCGAGGTTAGGGCGGTTTCCTTGTTTGCATATCTTGTGCCTATTTAGTCTCAACGCAAGCTTAGCATGCAGAGGTCATCGACACAGAAGCAGGAGGCATGAGAATTGAGGGCTTCATTAGCCTGACTGGTGCTTATTCAAAGGTAAGGGCGTGGGTCCCTCCTGCCCGAAAGTCATCGCTACCATACCGTTGGAACTAGGCGCATCAGTATCTGTGTGAGTGCCCAGTCCCCTGGAGCATTTTCATATGCACATATACGGTCCAGATATCAACAGACACCCGATTGAATTCTGCGACCTTCATCGGACTATTGACCTCGAGTTCTCTACTAGCTCCTTTGCGAAACATGTAAAGTCCATTTGTCACGACTCTGAAGCATTATTTTTACACGCAGGCACGCAGGCATATAGCGAAGAAGGCGAGAGTTCCAGCCGTCCCGGTACGAGGTTGCAGAATTCAGTAAGCGGTACCGAGACTGACTGCTTTTTGTATATGTAAAATTTTAGATACCCGACGCTCTCCACGCAAAGGAGAAAAAAGGCCTGCATACGTTCTGAACTTAATCGTTGACCCTAAGCATATTGATAACTGCCTCGAACCTGCGAAGACTTCAGTTGCCCTTGAGGTGGGCGCAAGCGGTCTAATCAATTATATTTATTAGAGAATCTGACGGCTTTAAACTCAGAACAAGAATCAAGCTTCATCCTTTTTGTCTTCCGCCATCCGCGCGTTCTTGGTTCGGCATGGCTTCTCGAGACGTACCGTCGCTACCGAGGCCGACAGACTAGAAACCCTATCCCCTCGAAAAAGACGAAAATTAGAGCCAGGACCCAGCAGGCAACCCGTTAACCTGGATGAAGACAGCTCACAGGGCAATCCCGGCGAGAAAACCCTGTACATCAGTGGACCTGTTAGTGGGCTCTTCTCGATAATCTCTTTCTCTTGGCTGACCTGATTAAGGGAGGGGGCTACGACCATGACACTCAACACACCACATGGACAGACCCGATAACCCGCGAAGTTTTTGCCGTAGATTGTCGAACGGGAAATTCATACCCCCGAGAGCGAGATATGCGTCCAATGAATTCCAGCATTGATGACCGGCCGATGCTAAACAAACCTCTGCTACCCTCCGAGTCTGAAGGCGGCGCCGACCATGAAAGTTGTAAAGCTATGCCCCAGTGGCTAAAAGATGCTCTTAACGTATGTTATCAATTATTGAAGGCAGCACTTAGACTGAGCTGGATTTAGTTCAACGATACATATGGCATGGGGGAGTCTCATATACCTTCTGCAAAGCCAATTGAGGACCTTTGGTCCAACACCCCTCGCGAACCATCCGGGATGTGGCAGAATCCACGCTCGGCGCGCCGGACACCACCCGGTACCCACACGATTATGACGTTGGGGAGATTCGATAAGAAAGGGATCGCAAATGCAGAAGTCGTCAAGCAAGTTGACCAAAAATTCATTGCATGTCTCATCGACTCCAGTGAGGAATCGCTTCAAAGTCGGTCTCTGGTTCTGCTTGACCAACATGCTGCCGATGAACGGATACGCGTAGAACGTTATCTCAAAGAATTATGCTTAGGATTTCTCAGACGGCCACCCTATGAGCAAGGCGTCGAAACTGAAACGCTGGAGCCGGCAAGACCTGTCCTTCTGACCCTCCAGGAAGCGTCTTGGCTACACGCGAACTCTGGCTTTCGATCAGTTTTTCGTTCATGGGGGTTTGAAGTATTATTATCTGATAAAGATCCTGAGGACGATGAACAGTCTCACGCGGACGCGTATACCCAGGTTCGCATTCGGACTCTCCCTCAGGTGATCAGCGAAAAGGTAGCATTCTTCAAATACGAAAGTGTATTGAAGTTCTAACAGTTGCTATGTTAAAGCTAAAAACTGGGCACGAATTACAAGAATTTGTCAAGGGCTACTTGGCTAAATTGCACAATGAGGAGCTTCATGGGCTGGACTCAATGCCTAGGAAAGAGTCTGGAGAAACGACGGACGACTGGTTGAAGGCGTTACGATGGTGTCCCCGCGAGCTTATCGAGCTCATTAACTCTAAGGCTTGCCGAGGTGCGCTCCTTCTTTCTTTTCCGATTACTTATCTGACAGATATTGCGACTAGGGGCAATCATGTTCAACGACCGGTTGAATCACGAGCAATGTCAGCGGTTGGTCAGACAGCTCGCAGAGACCATCTTCCCGTTTCAATGCGCGCATGGAAGGTATTTGGACCTTTCCGCAGACGTGAATAGGCACGCAATGACTTTATTCAACTTCTAGACCGTCCATTGTGCCTTTGGCCGATTTGAGCTCCGGATGTCCACGGTCTACAGTGCCGCCTGTACCCTGGGAAGAGTTCAACATAGCCTAAGAGCTGGAGAAGATTGCTATCCACTCAACGACTGTTGGCTGACGAACAACTGACGGAAGCCTGGAGCAAGCACAAGCGATGGAGCACTGCTTTATGCGATAGGTATCATTTGACGAGGAGACGGTGTGGTTGCCAACGCCCCTGGAATCTAACATTTTTGCGGTGTGCCAATGTGCTGTTACCGCCCTTTTCATCTGAAAGTGGTGTGTCGCGTGACGTCAATAGGCGGGAAGGACCGAAGGCCTGTTTAGGGGGCGACGTCATCCTAGTGGGGCGATGAGTATATAAGCCCATACCCCGCCAACCTTTGCCTTAAGACACACATCGCGTTATCGCCTGCACCATCTTCGAACAAATCCTTTTACACATAACCAGCAACTCGTTTCATCACAATGGTCAAGGCCCTTACGAAAGTCGTCTACAAGCCCGACACCCAGTCAACCGATGAATTCATCGCCATCGTTAACCCCGCTGAGGTGAGCCGTTCTTGGAAAGCTACTCACCACGATGCTTACGGCGGTGACGATGGCGCTCGTAGTACAAGAAATGGAAAGAAGGTATGTGTTGTCTCATGGCATGTTGTCTCATAGATTGCTGATCAGCTGGTTTAGACAAGTAAAACTTGACCCCGCATTTGTTGCTGAATACCTCTGATCGCTTTTCCTCACCCAGGAGCATCGCTCTCTCTGAAGTCGTAGACTGTGAGTTCCTACACTAATACACTAATGCAATTATGGACATCATCTCATCTTGCCGATTAGCGTTTGACGTCTTCCACTCGAACCAGGGATCGCAAGGTCTCCTCGGTAAACCCTCGAATCAACAACTTGACACTGTCTTTGGCACGCACAAGGACGTTGATGTCATTATGCAAGTGCTTGAGAAGGGCAGGGAGCAAGCAAGCGAGGGCTTTGGCTCAGGCATGTTCAACCCCAACCAGACAAGAGGAAGTGCTGTTGTGGACAGCAGGGGTAGAGGCCTCACTGGCATTTAACGGACTTGTCGATCGGAAGAGAACCGCAGTGTAGTGATAACAATTGTACTTCATACCGCATAATCGCTTTCACGCCTCCGGCGCCTCATGCAAGCAATTTACGGGACCGAGATTTCTAAGAGTTCTGACAAGCCAATATGCCTTGTTTCCTGCGATAAATGTTATATGTAGATGAATCAATGAAGCCTAAACTACGTTAAGAACTTAGGCCACTACTGCTGTCCTGCGCTCTCTGCCCACTCTCGACTGCCCATTTGCACAAGCCGAGAGCATGCCCGTGCGAATGCAAAAACCTCTTCGTCTCCTGTGAACATGGAACTAGCTCCAACTGTGTCGCTCGAGAGTCCCTATGATCGCGTTTAAGAAAGAGTACTCTTTAGCGCCAAACTAAACCTACCAAGTCATCCATTACGCTTCGCATATGATCTGTGACCTGTGACTTATCTTTCGCTTCGTCAGAAAAGACTTGGTATATTGGGACCTCGGATGAAATGAAGAGTTTTGTCTGATGTATGCGTTAGGACTGGCGGGATGGGTTATAGAAGAAAGCTGGCTCACTTTGCTCTCGTAGCAAGCTAATGTAAAACAACACCATGAGCGATGCTATAATATTAATCTAACATGTATATTGAATTGACGCACCGTCTATAAATGTGATAAATCTGCGAGCCATATCCTTGCTACTGAGGTTCATCTTCGGGACGTCGAGCACGAAGACAGTGGGGAACTGCTTCGTGACTTCAAGATAGTCGGCAGCGCTAAGAGGCTTCCCGCAGAGATCCGTGAATGAAAACTTCGCCACTTTACTTGTGCTTTCGGGGACAAGCAGGGTACGTCCCCAGATCGTGAGTTTCCTGTTCGAAATGACGGAATCCGTGTCATCCTCTGAGGTAATCGAAGTGAAAATCTTATTGATTTCAGTACGATTTTCTGGGGTGAGGGGATGGTAATATACGTGCGAAAGTGCACGGGGTATACGTCTATAGTCTTTTCATGCAAGGGAAGGTGAACAAGTGTAGAAGCCTCTTTTGCAAGAGTACATACCAGTTCCTGAATCTAAATCAGTAACCTCGAACCGGGTCTTCAATAATTCTATGGCTGGGACAAATGAGGAACGTTGTATTCCGTTCTTGTAAAGATCGTCAGGATGACGGCTGAAATGGCGTCGTCAAGTTGAGCGAGGAAGTAACGATGCGGGCATGAAACTTACTTAGAGGTTAGGACGCAAACAACGCCATAGCTCATTAGGGACTCAAGTAGACGACGCAAGATCATCGCATCTGCGATGTCAGTCACCTTTGGACGGCATTGAGCAGGAGGAGATGAATTCCTTGGTGTAGCTTACCTGGAACTCGTCAAAGCACAAAATATATGCCTCGTTGGCCAGATCTCTTGCTACGGGTATTATTGGATCGCCGCCCTTGTAGCCCATCGCAGCTTTCGCCGCGTGAAGTCGCTTATGGACGTCAATCATGAATGCATGGAAGTGCACTCTTCGTTTCCGGGTGATAGAGGATGGCAAAGTTTGGTAAAACAAGTCCATGAGCATGGTCTTGCCAGTGCCGACATCGCCATACAGGTAGAGACCCTTGGGTACCTGCCCTAGTGGTAAAGGCTCAGGTTGCGTGCCCCGCGAGAAAAGTTTGGAGAACTAGGAGATACGATCAATTCAAGTCTATAACATGATGTGAGTCGGGTATTACAAGAGAGCCAGAGGCAGCAGGTTCGGGTATTGGTGGTGGTTTATAGGTCATGAGCTGCTCGTGGAAATGCTGTAACTTCCCGATGATGCGGACCTGGTGGTCATCGCCACGAAGGACACCAGATTCTACGAGTTTAGTGTAATGTTGTAACGGCGAGTCCGAGACTATCAGGGGATAGACAATAAGCGTTTCGGTTAGTCAATAAGAAGAGTAGTGTACTTCGATCGGTCGTGGAAACACTACCAGCATGGGAATTCCGGAGTGAAGGTGCTTCTGTAAAGGCGGCGGAGCGCTCCACTGACGCGACCGTAGAGTTGAAGGCTTTGTGCTGTCTGATAGAGGCTGTAGTAGCCTGTGGTGGGTGCACCAAACGCATCCGAGGTCGTGCAGACGATAGGAGTCTCTGACGCTGAGTGAGGAGCCGAGGGTGTATAGATACTGCCCTCATGTCAGATTAGAGAGGATTAGACTTTGTGAGCAGGCTAGAAGGCGAAGATTAATGTCGAACAGAGGTGGATATGGCAGCAGGACGGGAAAGAGTGACCGACGCTGCTGTGTGACGACTCTGTAAGCTCGGGAGGGGGGACGAGACTGAATTGGCCGCCTACCCGCTGTTGGCGTCCACAACCCGGAACTCGGCACGCGTCATTCCGTCCCCGAGCTAAGCGGAACTGGATCACTTGTGATATCGAGTCCGTGCCCTCCGGTTTCCCTTGTGCGATGATGCAAGCGACGATGGGCATTGCGATGGACGTTGAGCTCGAGGCCGACGAGCAGTACATCCTCCTCTTGCTTTCCGATAGCAATCTCCCTACCGGATCATTCGTAGCATCGGCTGGTCTGGAGTCCTATGGGAAACATGGTTTCTTATCCTTGTCCAATTCTGCAGCGGACGGCACAACCACGTTTGTCAGAGAGAGTCTGGCAACATACGCTCGAAGCGCACTTCCATTCGTGTCAGACGCACACAGCATCGTCCAAAGCAGCCCTTTAGCTGAACCCATTGACTTGACTGCAGCGACTCAGAAGTTATCTGCTTTGGACGAGCTTTATGAGACGACAACTCTAAACCATGTCGCTAAACGTGCTTCTGCGGCCCAAGGCGTCGCACTGCTTACCCTCTACTCTAAGGGCTTCTCAAAGACTTCCCCCAGCCGCACCTTTACACGCGCAGACAAACTCAAGTCTCTCATCGACAAGTTCAAGATGATGGTCCGACGGGAAGAAACGCGCGGCCACTTGCCCGTATGTTGGGGTGTCCTGACAGGGGCTCTGGGACTCAGTCTAGGTACTCGCCTTCATCACCGAAAGGCATGATCACGTTTATTTCAATGTATGCTTTTAGAACGCGCCCAATACTTGCATCTGTTCCTACACGCCCGGGGGCTGCTCTCATCGGCAGTCAGGCTTAATACGATGGGCCCATACAGTGCTCAACAGCATATATTACATACCGTGAAACCTTGGATCGAAGAAGAAATAATTAACTGCAGAGATCTTCGCACTGGACTAAGTAACACGGAGGAAGCGGACAGTGTTCAAGAAGGGCCCAACATAGGACCGGCAACGACATGGCCATTGGGAGAGATCTTAGCAGCTCGCCATGATTTGCAACATTCCCGCATATTTAATAGCTGATACACCCTCAAAAGAGTTGATCCCTCTAATATACAGTAGCGTATGCATACATAATTTACTACGGTGCTGTCGTGAGCGCGAGCCGAGAGGAAAGCTCGGCTTGTGAGCGAACAAGATTGGCGAGGTACGAGAGCATGAGCGTATCCTGAATACAATGTACATCAATTAGAGCCTCATGCATGTGCCGTGAAGATGTTTACCTGTAAGCTGGTGTTGAATCCGCCTTTGTCCAAGTCTTCGGTACTGGAGCAAAGTGTATCCATCAAGTACCGACCAATGGCGGGATCGCCCTTGATTTCGCCAGCCAACACCTGCTGAACGTAGGCAAGGACGCGATCCAGCATATCTTGAACGTCGCGCAGCGCCTTTTCCAAGACATCTAGTTCAGATGTACCTTGGAGCGATGCCTGAGAGTTGTTGAGTGTCGCAGTGTTGGCAAGGAAGTCCACTGCGCAAGGTTACTTTAATTATGTAGAAAGATGACAGTCATGGATGCTCACATCCACTGCGCTCCGCCTCATGAAAGCGAAGCTCGCATGGGACAGGCACGAACACACAGTTCTCGGGCTTGGGGAAGATACCCACAGGCGAGCTGCAATTGATGAGCTCTCTCAAGGGCGATGATCACAGTAGGAACACCTACCTAACGTAGGTTTTTACGCCAGCACCTCCTTCGGCTACGTTATCGATTCCTGTTCGAAGGGCAAGGTGTATCGCCTGATGAGGCGTGGTCTCTTGGGAATAGAAATTTTGGATCAAGGCAGAGTAGGTGTTCAAGTTTTCACCAGTTGAGTACCTAGCACCTGGAATGAAGATCGGTAAACGAAAGGAGCCAAAAACACGTACCATCCTACGATAGTCTCCTTAGGATGCACCTTACGGTGCAGGTCATACATCGTCTGATGGTATTCCATATCTACCGCGACCTGTTCCGATGTCTCGCTGTGTAGGACAGCGAATGAGGACCGGACTTCGACCTCATTGTCCGTACGCGTCCCAAGAAGCGTACCGATGACGCGATCTTGCGAGTCCGTTCGCCGAAGGTAGTGGTCAAGTATCGAGAAAAGCGCGGCCGGGTGAACGGTCACCAATGACGGTGTGCGCCTGCGACGTTGTGTGTCAATTCAAAAGAAGTTCTGATATCGGATCGTAAGACTTACCCAGCGGATCCATTGGGTGCTGGGGATGAATTTTGGAGATAAGCTGCAGAAGTGGATGGCCCTACAGGCATTTTTTGGTAGTCGGGTGTGAAGGGTCTGAAAGTTTGTCGGAGGTCGAATTTTGGCCCCTTACGTCCTTTGTCTCCGTACGTCCACTTGACGTCCACATTTGCATTTTGCCAGTCAGTCACCATGCCCTCCGAAGAAACCAAGGTATGCCACAACACACCTCAAACGCGCACCCAACTCACTTGAATTGCTCTATAGGAACGCATCGTCAAGCTGGTGGACATGGGTCGCGTGCGTATTTTCCTTGCTCTGTTGCCCGGCGCATCAGGCGGGAACTGACTTTCGTGTAGACCGTTATGCACTACGGTTGGATCCCTTTCATTATTTACATTGGCTACACCCGCAGCAACCCTCAACCCACACTGATTAAGTGAGTCGCGTATCCGCGAGTATTGGGGTTTTGTTGACCAGTGAAATTTTCACTCAGGATGATTAGCCCACTTGCATGACCTTACATCCCGTACTAGCGCTGTACCATATAATTCACAATAGACCGGTCTCCTATCAGATTTCCCTGGCCCGAGGTACATTGCGTAGACGGTGCGCTATGGAGAGTTGTTCAGTAAGTCACCTTCTAGTACGCCTTGCCGGGATTATACATGTCGTGGTGACACCCATTATGTGGTGTCCTGATCACCCCTCTGCCTGTAACCGCTCTTGCAGGTTTATGGCACCGGTGGCTTGAAGATTCGACAAGGCCAGATCTGAGCTTTGTTTGCCGCCCTTCTCTAAAACCATGATTACTTACGCATTCATTGAACAGTCTCCATGGTCATAGTCACTTGCATTAGCTATTAAATTTACACTACACTGAATATATGCGAATGTAATCCAGAACGTCACAGAAAGACGCGCCTCAAGTCTGAAGCAGCCGTTATGCGTTTGCATATTGGACATAATGCCGTTGACCCCAGGCAACGTAGCCAACAGTGTCGGCAGCATGTGTGCCAGCAGCCAGTAGAGACTGTTGGCTCGGCGTATGGGTCCAAGCATATTCGACAAATCGACGACGTCGACGAAGAAACTCTCATAGATTCCTGAGCACCTCGTTTGAGCAACTGCCTACAGAGCATGGGGAATAGCACATACCAACTGCCTAACTTTGCTCTCTAGGGCTAGAACAAGAGCTTGCATATCTCCTCTTCGGCGTGCATTTGCAACAGCAAGGTCCATCTTCTCTGCGTCCCCCACACCCATGACTTCTTCCATTTCGGCCTTGAGACCTTCCACGAGGTTGGTGGTTCTTCTAACCACCTTCCCTTCGGCAACTAAATCCCTTAACGTGTACCTGTCTCTCGCTTCATCGTCCTCGCCGTCCGCATCTTCCTCTGGCGGTTGCTCGTGTGAGGCCAGAATGTCGCCTTCCGTGAATTGAGCTTCTCCAAAGATGGCGCCGTCATCCCCATCAACGTCGATATCATCCTCTACATCCTGGTTCCGGTCACTCCGCACTTCAAATCCCATGCCTGATAAAGGTGTCAAAGCCACTACAGGTGCGCAAGGATTGTTACTCTTACCTCTGAGATTAGCACCGTCGGTAACACGAAGGACAGTGTCGCCTATGTCAATATCTTCCTCCTCCAATGCTCGTTGCTCCTGCTGCCGCTGAGCCTGGTGTGCGAGGCATGCGTCCACATGCGCTTCTACAACATCCTTGTCACCTCGTACGGACTGTTGGCATACTGGGCAAGTGATGCCTCCGGAACCGTCGTCTAGCATCAGGGTTTCTGCCAAATCTTCTTGTTTGGCCATTTCCTTGAGTTTGAGGTGGCGCTGTTTTCGCCGTCGTGTTACAGTTTGTATTGCCTTAACAGCAGCATCCAGACTATTAGAATCTCCCCGAGGGGTCATGGCACTGAGAGATTTGCGTGCTTTAAGTGCAGAGCGGCGGCTGCGCGAGCTTGGTCTAGGGAAAGGAGCGGTCTTGTTCAGCAGCGTCATGGATTCAATGGCTATGGTCTGCCTACCCTTCCTCCACGTCGTCTGCATCTTCTAGCACTTCAGGGGAGCCGACATTTCGCAAGATGTCTTCGACTCTCTGCGACTCGAGTTCGCTGTGTGCGCTAAGCAAACGGACCGGAATTTGTTCATTGCAAACAGGGCACAATTTCGTTATGGCACGTTTAGCTGATCTGGGGTAAGTACAGAGTGCGGGGCAACCTATCAAGCACGTACGTTTCTTGACGGGTGGAGGAGTCTCAGAAGGCACGGGGGACAATGAAGATGACGACCTGTCTTTCGGACTTTCTTCGAGCGCCCTTTTCTTGCCCCTGGGTAAATCAGGCTTTGTTTCTTCTTGAAGCAAGAGCTGGCTACGCACTTGGATGAGCGTTTTACAGACATATTCGAGTTTCTGACTGCTTCTGAATTTTTGTATGCCCCTCCTGCGACTTCTCTGTCAAAGAGCCAACCCCTGTAGCGATCTCTTGGTTGTCATAGAGGGTGGATTAATTTCTGACCTTTTGGATGAAGTCCGCCTTTCCATCGCGGAAAGACGGGGTCACGTGGAGAGATGTCAACCAGGGTCTTCGAGCCGAGCGGCATGCACCTTGCCAGACCTTGCCTCCGAGTCCCCACAACTCAAGTTGTCGGAACCAATGCAGTCGGCTTCAACACTCACGCAGCCAATCTCCCGCCATGTACAGAATTCCTTGGCTATAGGAAAGGTGACTGCGGAAGATAATCTCGCGGCACGAAGAGCCTTTGCCCTCATTTTTGTGCCTAGATGACTTCCCAGGCAATGCACCTGAGCACAAGCTTTCCTTTCTCTGTTCCCTGATTCGCCGATAATTATCCGTTGCACTCCTGATTACTCCAGTTCTTAAAGTCTGTGGGATCGTGTTCCCCTCCCTTCCCTTCGTGCTTATGTCTGAGTATCCGTCTTACCATGGCTCCTGTACTCAATATCAAAGCGGCATTGTTGCGCATGACACTCAACAGCAAGATTAAGATGCTTGCAGGTGATGTGTGTAATTGCTTGGCCCCTATCATCATCACCTACCTTGATGCTCACTGAGTGCTGAACAAAACTGTAGGGGTGGTGGCACACATTTGGCACTCCTGAAGCTGATGTTCCTCCCATGCGCATGAGCGATAGTACATGGAATGGGCTTACCGTGCTTCTATATCACTGACGTCATTGTACAGGTCCAAACAGTGTTCGCGGTCTCAGGTGTGCATTAGATGTACTGGATTCGGCCAATTGGCCTGTTGCTGATATATCACCTACCTTAGTCTTCAACGGCGTGCCCACGAGCTGCTTTCCAAGCTCCACTGGACTTGGGTCCTCTTTTGATGTTGAACTTGCTCAGGAAGTAGGCAAGGCATTGGGTGATGAATGCAGAGCTCGGAGTTCACCCTCATTTCTGAGTGTATCTTCAGAATTCTAATTCAATTCCTATTAGGCTGTCATATTCTTCTCGCGCCCACAGTAAACACCCAATGCTCTCCGACTGGTGGTCACAGTTCCGAGTCGTTCACCAAGGACCCAGTTCTCAACGGTAACATTGCTGCTGCATACATCAATGGTTTTCAGTCAAAGGGTGTTTCTGCTACCATCAAACACTACGTTGCCAACACCCAAGAGTTTCAGAGGTAAGGCAAATCATTTGTGACAGTGCAAGGGAAGATGATTTACCGTGGAGTTTACCGTATCAGGTTCTTGGTCAGCAGTAAGTCAAAGCCAAAGCTCGATGTTGAGCAAATATGTGGCTTGTGTCATCCTTGATGGATATACGTAGGCAAAGTCAGTGAAAGAGCTCTGCAAGAAATCTACCTCAAGCCCTTCCAAATAGCTATCCATGATTCAAACCCTTGGGCTTTGATGATTGCGTAAGTTCCTTGAATCGACTCAAACAAGCAGAGGTAAACAAGTGCCTCGTAGGTATAACCGGGTGAATGGAGAACATGTTTCTGATAGCAAGAAATTTGTGAATGATATTCTTCGTGAGGTTGGTGTTCGAGCTTTACTACATTTCACTCATTGCTGATGCTCTGCTCGACTAATCTAGGAATGGGGCTTCAAAGGCATGGTTATGAGTGACTGGATCGACGTGTATACCACTTCCGAGAGTATCAAAGCTGGAGTAGAGGTTGAAATGCTATGAGTACTAAAGCCCTGATATCATATTGAACCATCAAAGACACCATATCTACAGAGGACCAACCGTTATGCGTGGCAAAGCAGTTGAGCGTGCACTTGCTGGAGAACAAGTATTTGTTTCGGACATTGATGATAGAGTAAGAAAGGTGAGGATAGTTAATGTATGTCTTGCGATCACGGTTTTGATCTGTCATTACAAATTCTTGGGCTCGTTCAGCGTGCTCAAGCTTCTGGCATCCCTTTCAATGGACCTGAAGAGGGCAGAGATACACCTGAGGTTTGTCAGCTCATGCGCAGAGCTTCTGCGGACACTGTCGTACTCCTCAGGAATGACAAGAAAATTCTTCTGATCACCGGTCAATCAGCTATCAAGAAAATTGCTGTTATCGGACCCAACGCTAAGAACATGTTCTTCTCTGGAGGAGGTTCTGCTTGTCTGAAGCCCACTTACGTGGTCACTCCCCTAGAAGGCATCAAAGAGGCCATGCGCGAATCGGGTATGGAGGTGACATTCAGCATTTGGTTGCAGCTCCCATAGATATTTGCCTCCTGCATCCCCATACCTTCGAGCACCAGGTGGTCAGAAGGGTCCTGGAGCATTTCTTGAGTTCTGGAACGAGCTACCCTCCACCTCGTTCATTGAGATTTCACCCAATTTTAGTGAACAGGTGGCACCCTGTGCATGGGCTACACCAACTGCTGACACCAAATTTTTTATGGCTGATGGTGTGGACTCCTCGAAAGTCAATGAAATATGTTGGATTCGTGTGAGTATCCCAAGTTGCCTTACAAGACCGCGCCCGATACTGAAGCAACACACAGTACTCCACAACTTTTGTTCCAGACAAAGACGGAGACTGGGAACTTGGTCTTAACGTCACTGGGCAGGCCAACCTCTTCCTGGATGGGAAACTTGTGATTGACCTGAGCACAAATCCGGAGAGAGGAGAAAATTTCATGAACGTTGGCACGGTGGATGTCATCCGCTCCGTCAAAGGTCTCAAAGCCGGCCAGGAGTATCATCTCAAGATCAGGCTGTGCAACGAAGAGTATGTGAAGCATGGACCACTTGTGCCTGGTCATGGCGGACTCAGACTTGGGGCATTCTGCACAATTGACCCTGAGGATGCCATCAAGAAGGCAGTCCAAAATCTGAAAGATGCTGATTGTGCGTGCATGTCTTGACCTTAGTAACGCTGAATGTTCATACATAAGATAGTGGCTGTCATCGTTGCTGGCATCAATCATGAGTGAGTGGCTGTGGAATCTACAGCGTTTAGAGCCATATTACTGATGATTTGTAGGTGGGAGAGCAAAGGATTCGACCATCCTGACTTGGAGTACTGTACCTACACGACCGTAGGTTCAATGGATTTTTGCGTGACATGCAACTAGAATAAGTTCCAAAAGAACGGAGGTTCAAGCCTCCGGCGAACGTGTGACATTGAACTAAGATGTTGTATCCTCGTCGGCGTGACACAATACATTCTCCAGGAGATGCTGCCAGGTACACCATTACCATGGCATTGATAAGTCTAATTTAGCCTTCAGGCGTGCTCAACACACTGATCAGCGACAAGTTTTTATCTTTGATTTGTTTCAGATTTCTCAGCGGCAACCTTTGCTTGACCCTATCGATGGCAAGCCAACACTCAGTAAGTTCGCTTTTTCATCGGCTCTTTCTTCGAGACACATTGAATTCGACCTGTCGTGTTTTTCAGAATCAGACCACTTTTATTTTCCCTTCAGCATTCTCGTTGTTGAAATTGAGGAATCAAGACACTTCATGATGGATTAGTGGGCTGGTTTTTTCAAGCCTATTACGATGTCAACAACTCTGAGTTAGTGAGTTAGTGAAATTGGTACGTGTTTTTGCTTTCTATGATTTATCTGCAATTTTCTGATTTGTTCCAAGGCATTTTTGAAATGCGAAAGCCCTGGCAGTTTGATCTCAGTTTCGAAAGCTTCAGAAGCTCTGAAGCACACAGGGCCCTTCATGGACTCAAGCGAATGTATTGAGTGCCTTGAGACTTGGAGAAGATGTCCGGGGATGCTGGTATCGGGGATACCCCAAAAACAACCTGTAAAGCCCCATTACTCGAGGGTAATGAAGGCGAAGAGGGCTCTTCCTTGGAAATGAATGAAGGACATGCGGACACTGCTTTCGAACCATTGAGCTTCTTGCTTGTTGGGCTGATCCCCAGGCGTCTCGAGCTCCTACAACCGGTCTGGCTGATTCTTTGGAGCCTGAGGAGCTCGACATCCCATCTCTGACTGAATACAGTCATGGTAAGCGTCTCAGAGTCTCAAATTTTACGCTACAAGGAGTACAGACAAAACTAGCTATTGTAGATGAATGTCCTACGTCTAAATATCAGCTTAGGTTTTTTCTGTCACACTTTGAGGTTCAAAGTACTGTGTGATAGGTGACGAACTATGTCGTAAGTTCAATTTCCGGGTCAAGCGTGAGGCGTGACGAACCTACGGTCGTGTAGGTACAGTAAAGTCTCTGAATGATTTTATGAACAGTTGAATTAACTAAACCACAAAGGCTGCCCGGACTCATCAATCGTCTCATACCTGATATCATTGCAGCCAATCCAAATACTGTCATCGTCAATCAGTCTGGATCACCAGTCCATATGCCATGGGCTGATCAAGCCCACACATTACTTCAGGTATGAATTTGGCCGACTAACTTAGACTGTACTGAAAAATACATCTAGACATTCTATGGAGGAAACAAGGGAGGTCACGGAATAGCTGACATACTTTTTGGCAAAGTCAACCCTTCTGCAAAGCTTTCTATGACATTCCCATGAGCTCTTATATCCAAGGGATGACCCATATATCATGTTATTGACTGGGCAATAAAGGGCCCACATTGAAGATACCCTGCCTTGTCCCTCCTATGGTCATAATGTCGAAGTTCACGGCAAGGTTGTGTACAATGAAATATGTGACATTTGGTCCTCATCCCCATATCTTCTCAGAGTCTTTTAGGGTGTCTTTGTTGGATATAGAAACTATGAGAAGAGAGGCATTGCTCCACGTTTTCCCTTCGGTTTTGGTCTCTCCTACACTACCTTCGAGTTCAGCAATGCTTCAGTGACGCCCATATCAGAAGACAGCAGATTCAGTGTGTCCTTCACCATCAAAAATACTGGCAAAGATTCGGGACGTGAAGTTGGCCAAGTATACATTGCAGACCCCGATTCTTCGCTCCCTTGCCCTGGAAAGGAACTCAAGGGCTTCACCAAAGTCAATCTAAAGCCAGGAGAAGAAAAGAAAGCGACTGTTGAGCTTACAAGGGATGCTATCAGTTTCTACGATGAGAGGCAAAAAGCATGGGTGGTGGAAGCAGGAACCTTTGAGGTGTATGTCAGTGCTTCGTCTGCAGATATAAAGTTGTCGACCACCACCGAGTTGAAGCAAGGCTTCACTTGGATTGGTCTTTGAGTTTTCACCCGTACGAGGTCAATAAATTGTATATTAGTGTTTTTTTCGACCAAACATTCGTCCTGTGTCCTTGCTGTGTCCCGCTGAACCCAGGCCCGCGAACCAAGCTGTTGATACAGCCCTGGAGCAATTTCAAGTTTGCTTGTTCTTAGTGATGTAGACTCCATCATCCTTTGTGGTGTATATACACTGGTCATTATTGGCATATCAATTAATGGTTAGGGTTTTCTCACTGGTGCAACTGCGCGAAGTTGACCAGCTCCCTAATAAATTAGTATGTGTGTAGGTACCCGGCTTGTGGAAGTGTGGAAGGTGAGATCATGAAATTACGTGATTGACAATGACATACTCCACAGGGAAGGGGACGCGATGAATGCTGTTTAGTTGCCAACACCTTTGAGTTTGTGCCATATCTCTTTGGTGGCGAGGGCCGCGTTCTCCTCTCATTGCACCTACCTTAACACATTGAATCTATAATTGCTATATTTCTCTCGACCAACACTCATCTCGGCACTCAAAGTCCTTAGTTCTGGTTATTCACATGCCCAGCTCGACTCACAGCGGAGGTTCCGAACCACCACCAGCCTACCCTGCAGAGCCTTATGTCGCAAACGGTGTTCAAGGCACGCACTCGCCACAGCTAGGGCCAACTACCCTCGATAATCTATATTACAGCCCAGGCAACTTTGCTCATGCATCATACCCTGAGCCTTTGCCTACCGCACTCCCTGCCTTTGGCCCAACTCCGTTAGCGCAAGCTCACCTCCTTCCTTACTATGATCCACGCTCGCCACACTCCGTTTCAGCGGCAGCGTCGAGGGCAAGATGGAGGTTTCTCGGAGCATTGCTGTGTGCATGGGCCATCATTCTCATCCTAGCATTGGGCGGTGGGATGTGTCAGTGATTCTAGGAAATCTAAGCGTCAGTCAGCTTGGCAGACCTACGTCACGTCAACCTAGGTTAAGAGTATGGGGAACTTCATGACACTCTTAGGGTGTATCAACGTACATTCCTCCTACCACAGCATGTCCCATCCTCCTACCTGTACACTGCCATTATTCTTCTAGGATGCAGTGGCCACAATATGTTGGAAATCGACGCCGACACAGCACCCACTGTAGGCAACAGGGCGCCTGGGCGCCGCTGAGCGCTGACATGTCGGGCAATCAGGCATGGTCGTAGCCGACGTCACAGATCGGTGCCATGTTGGATCAACACCGCGCGTGCCTAATTGTCACGCGCCTGTGGGTGTAGTGGCACTCGTGCAATGGCAGCGGCGTGTTTGCCGCTGCAGATAACTTGTTTAGTATTCTTGCTTTGTTATGTTCCTTCCGAATACCTGATTGCTCGTATATTCATAGTTCTACTTTGTTCTGTGTATCACACGCCTTCAGAAGTTGTTTAGTTGTTATTTAGTTGATGCATTGTGATCTTCTAGGTACTGTCTTTGATGGCGTCCTGTATATACGAGTAGCTAGGCCTTTGGGGGAGCTCAGTCGAACATTACTGAGCACCCCGAAGGTATGTCCTGATACGAATCAAGTCAAACATTACTGAGCGCCCCGAAGTTCTATTTTACTATGATGTACATGCAGTTACAACTTATAATGTACTCATATGCATTATGACACAACTATAGTAGTTCACGTAGAACGGGGAACGATTGATTGTGTACCTCCAGATCCACACTCATATATCCTCCCGTGCATTGCCTTCTGTCAGATTTGACGAGTTCCGAGAAATGTTTATGTAAATCCACTGCAAAGTGCACCTCTTGATTTGAGTACTCCTCACGTTAGCAATGGCTGTCACCACCAGAAGGTGGCAAGACTAATTCACAATAATTTAACAATTTCTATGACTCGTGCAAAAAGCGGGAAACTTGGTTCTGATTATACTTTTGAACAAAAGGTGTGTTGTGCCACCTAGACATGTTGGACTCAGGAAATATTCTGTCACACTCATACGAAAGCCTGTGTGTTCTAGCATAAATATGCTGTAAATAAGATTCGGTTTAAATAATGAGACTGAGGACACAAAGGTGAGGCGTGGCCCTCACCAGTAGCTCCGAACCGGGCCAAGGGCCGTTCTTGCGTGCGTGTAAAGGGAACCAATGGCGACACGCATGACATGAAACATAGCTTTCAGGCAGGTTGACCACGGTTCGAAGTGGACATACGCAAAATGGCCAGGGCCTTGGACCTAGTAGCAGCCTAGTAATCACCAGTCAGGCCTAGTCGGGAATCAATCTTCAATATTCAGCCTATATGCATTATGTCTAGTGGTATGGCCCCTTTAGGCTTACACTGCGGTTCAACCAGAACCTGGTTGAACGCAGCGTTGAAACGTTGAGCCCTGTTGAGCCCCAGGGACAAAGGGAGCATCTTTCAATAGGGGTTATATGCTCATAGTCAATTATCCCTCTAGCGAGAAGAGATAATTTGGTACTTTGATTTGTGGATTCCACTCGGTAACGGCTGGTGGATTGATTTGTGCCTGTCTTCAGATGATAAATGAGCGCTTGTTATGGAGATGAGGAGAAAACCGAGCGACCCGCGTGTTTGCACTCAACCACCATACCCCACGGGGATCTCTTGACTCTTGACTCTATGTCTGCCTGCGCCAGTTATAGGCTATATCTCATCCGTGCGACAAGTAGCGCATACTAAAGCTGGCACCATACTGTACTCGAAGTACGTCCAGTGGCCTCGATGGTGGCGGGGGGCGAACAATGGAAGGCGGGGGGGCGTGGGAGACAAACAACGTCAGGGTCCGTGCGTGAGAAATCTGATACATTTGCGACCCAAATATTGGACGTCGGCGAATTTTTTCGGTTGATTTCTGGATCGGCCCCGCGCGCTTCCTTTTGCTCCTCCACTTGACAACTCAATCGCATCTTCACCGTCGACAGCAACAGCGAGCAAGCCCCCTCCCCGTCGCCCACAGCGATCAGACCACCTTGCTCCTCACACCCTCAGCTGGTCCTCACCATCGCAACCTCGCTGGGCTGCTTGGCGGTATTTGTTCCAAGTGCTTATTTATCCCCATCCCACGCGTCGCGCACGTCGTCCACCCGTTGCCCGCCCATCCTTTCCTTTCCTCAACCTCTTCACTCGCCTATAACTTCCTAGCATCAGCAATCGCACATATCTGCATTTTTGGCAACTGTTTCATTGTATCAATACTGGCAACTGTTCGCACCGCGTCACCTAGTCCTCATCGCTCTCCTCCCCCGTTGATGTCCAATTTCTAGTCTCATCCCATTTCACTACGCTCAACATCGCTTCTCTCCACCTTCTACTTATTCAATCTGGCGTCCCAAACCCTTCCTAATCCTCCCGAAGAAGACCTGATCAATCGGTCCCTACTCGACTCACTTGAAGCTCAAGGCGACTCTGAGCCGTCTCCAAACACATCTGCAGATATTGATTCTTCTCACATGGCTCAGGTGAGCGCACCGCCATCTAACACGGGCTCTGGCATGTCCTCCCCGGAGGCTTTCACCCAACCTTCCACGATGATCCAATCCGACTCCCCCCATACCTCCGACTTCATGAAGCACACCGATGGACTACATCATCCGACTGATTTGAGCAGTCGATTTGCCCCACAATCAAGCGAATTATTTGCACAAGGTCCTGGTCACAGTCTCATTCCCCAATTTCATCCCTTCGCTGACTTGGTTCGCAATGCAGATAACAGCACTTTGTTGTTGAGATCACCTCACCAGGGTGGGCCCGGGTCTGGAGCGCTCAGCCCCCACCAGGCTGCCATGAATGAGTTCGCCTCTGGGCCTTTCAGGTCTTCCTTTAGTGCCTTTAATGGAAGCAACGGCTCGGGTACCGGCACCCCCGGCGCCAATGGTCTCGGAGGCACTCGCATGCGTCAGCAAAGCGTTCCCGCTACTCATCAGTCGTTCTCTAGTTCTGATGCTCACGGACCCCTGGGACTGCAACAGCAATTGTCTCAGCAAGGCATCCCGTCTAATTCGGCACCGTTTGACTCGCGTGCGAACGCATTCGAGCTAGGTAGCCCTACGTCGATCGGAGGTTTGAAAGGCGGTCAGCCTCAGCAGTTTATCACTGCCATGGACGCATTTCACTCCCATCCCATCAAGCCAAGTCCTCAGCAAGTCCATGACACTTATCAACACCTTAACACTCGTTCGGGAACTCAAATGTCATATATGAATGGGGTTCAGCTTCAAAGTCAAACTCCGTATGGTCCACACCTGCAATCCAACGGTTCTTCTGCAGGGCTGAGTGCAAGGGTGCTCGGTAACTCCGCTCAAATCGGTCTCGGCGCTGGCGCTGGCGCAGGCATGACGGCAGAAGGAAGTCCCGCCGGTAACTTACAGCAAGAGGAAATCTCGACGATCTTTGTTGTTGGATTTCCGGAGGACATGCAGGTTTGTGTTCATGCTTATGAGAATGACCAAAAAGTCTGACATATCACAAAGGAGCGAGAATTTCAGAATATGTTCACTTTTTCCGCTGGATTCGAAGCGGCGACATTGAAGATCCCAAACAAAGAGTACACAGCTTACGGCTCCTCCGGCGGTCCTACGGGTGTCACGACACCGTCGGGAATCCCCTTGCGCAGTAGCAATTCGTTCTCTTCTGCTTATCTTGGTGGAGGTTCCAATGATCCCTATAACCTTGTGACTGTGAATCAAGGTGGAGTCGTGGTCGACAATGGCCGAGATGGACCCACTACATCGTGGCCCCCTCTTGCTACCCATCCCCTCGACGATCCAAGTCCTTTCGGTTCTGGTCCTAGTCAACAGGGCCAAGGGGGGCCCGGGAGTCAGCCTCCGAGGAAGCAAATAATAGGTTTCGCCAAGTTTCGCACCAGACAGGAAGCCCTGGAAGCGCGCGATGTTCTTCAGGGGCGTAGGGTGGATATTGAGAAGGGCGCAATCCTGAAGGCCGAGATGGCGAAGAAGAACTTGCACACCAAACGAGGACCTGGCAACGGAGTGAGTACCAGCACTCCAACGACCATGTCTGCTGGGAGCGGTGGCGTTGCTAGTGGAGGCTTGACGGGCGTAAATGTTGCTGGTGGTATGAACCTGGGTAACATGAACGCCGACGCGCTGGCTGGTCTTGCCGCGAATCTTAGCCTCAACCATGCTAGTCTTAACCCATTAGCTGGTTTGAATGGTGACGCATCTTCGATTGCCCGTGGTCGCGACTTCAATTCCGTCGGGTTTAACGAGCGCGGTACCAGTGCGGGTTGGCGCGAGCGTCTTGGTGACAGCAGCGAGGATGAAACTGACGTTAACCTCAATCGCGAACGCAGAAGGGAGGCTCTTAGTGCAATGGGGCTGTCGCTAGGCGTTGGCCTGGGACTACGCGGTGCGCGTGAGCGTGCGCAAGCTGAAGAAGATCAAGAGAGGGATCGTTTCAGAAGGAAGGACTGGGACAAGGCTGACGTCTCTGGTGTAGCCGCACCCAGAAGGTTGCCAGGCCCTTCGGCAGCGTACGAAGCCTTCCACTCTGTCCCCCCCGGACTAGCACGCTACCCCAGTGGTGGGGCGGGTGGTATTCTTGCACAAAGCGCTTCTAGCCCTGGCGAAAGTGGAATGTCCAGCCCACTTCTCGGTCACCGTGATAGTGCTATCGGTCTCTGGGATCCCCCGTCTTTGCGTGACCGCGAAGTTCTCAACTCCTCTCAGCCGCTCTCGTTGTACGCCCGGCGAGGCACGATCGTCGCGCCCTCTTCTCAGGAAGGATCTCCGCCAGGCAACCAGGTCCCATTTTCTCCCCAAGAACTTGAGAGCGTGGATATGTTGCCTCAGCATCGTGCTGCTCCCAACAGAGCGATGAATGCTTTCGCCTCTTCGGAGGATCAACTGCGCCGAGAAGATCATCACATTCCAACATCTTTGCCTCCATCCTCCAGTGCGACATCTACCTCTAGCGTGGGTGGGGACGGCGATAGTGGCGCACCTCTCGCTGTTGCTACAGGCAGTCGTCAAGTTGTAGGGAGTGCTGGCCCTACATCCCCTCAGCTTCATTCCCCTTCCTCAAACACCGGATCAGCAACTTCTGGCGGTGGCCCCTTCGCTGGTTCTTTACCCCCTAGCATGTCCAATTCGAGTATCTTGACTGGTCCTGCTCCAAGAGGGACGGTGGTTGATCAGAACCCTCCAATCAATACGCTATATGTTGGCAACTTGCCCACCGGACCCATGCCAAATGGTTATCCTGCCGGATACTTAGAGGATAGCCTGCGAGAACTGTTTTCGCGCCAGCCGGGATACCGCAAGCTTTGCTTCAGGCAGAAGAGCAACGGTCCGATGTGTTTTGTTGAGGTGAGTTCGGTTTAATTTTGCTCTCCCAAGTTAACGTTAACGCACAATTGATGTCTTCGCAGTTTGAGGATGTGAACTACGCATCCAAAGCCTTGACAACATTGTACGGGCAAACCTTGAATGGTTTAGTCAAGAACGGCGGAATCCGCCTTTCTTACAGCAAGAACCCACTTGGCGTGCGCACGCCTACTAGCGCGGGCAGTGGTCCTTCCCTACAGCAACAACAGTTCCATGCTCAGCAAGGCGTCGTTTCCCCCTTCCCTTCGGAAGCGTTTCAGCCGCGTCATTCTTTTGACGTAGACCCTGGCCCGCGACGCGACAGCACGGTCACTTCACCCGTCCCTTCTGCCTTCAGTTTTTCGCGCTCTCCTCCGCCACCTCGATTTATATCCCCGTCTCCTCCATCTTCGGGATTTGGACTGGTTCCGCGGGGCGCCCATAGCTTCGGGCTGCCTTCGCCTTCCCACAGCGGAGCACCATCAACTTTCTCCCCTTTTGGCCTTCCCTTGTCGCCTCATTCTGCTTTTTCTCACATGCACAACTCGCAATCCACGATACCCGACTCATTGAGCTCTGACATTGCGTCAATGGCTCCTGATCATTCGCAACACATTCCTCACGGTGCGCTGTCGCCTTCTCCAAATGCATTAGAGGCTGCTAGGGCCGCCTAAGGGAGGAACATTTTCCACATTTTTTTCTCGCAATACGCATGCAAGCATCTACAGAGCATTCTGCAAACTATATATTGTGTACCTACCATCGCCATGATCAACACTCAAACAACTCAGATTGCATGACGTTTCTCATCTGTTCGGACATACCTTTTCGTCTGTTACTCATTAATCACTCCAGTTTACCACATTCTGTTCTGTCTGTTTTCGTTCGTGTCTGTTCTCCTTCGCTCCACAGAATCACCTATTCTACCACTGCCATTACCATCGTCTCATCACACTCGGTTCACTGATATCTCTAGTATATTACTTTACCAATTTGTTTGATCCCAGCCACTTCTGCATTTTGTTAGTCACAGGTCTTAACCTCCACCATCGCCCTTCCATGTTCGACTTTGCATACTTATAACGTGAAGTTACACACTTATCATTACTTTCGCTGAATATGCGCTTGCGCAGTATGTATACTACTTTACACGAGTGAATATGATATTGACGGACTTCAATTTGAACTTCATTGCACACTAGACGCGCCAGACTAGCATATACCTGCCTGATTCTAAGCATAAGTCGAGAAACTGTCGTTTACGTTAGCCTGGCGCTCGGCGTCATCGTTCTCTGCAGCTGCGGCGTTGACGTTCATATGAACAGGCATATGCGTATGACGCTTCGTGCAATTAAGTTGTCTGAATCATTCGAGCTCATGCACTCGGCAAATGCCGGAGTAGTTGATAAATGGCATGGTACACTTAGGATAAATGTAGTAAAGCGATTTAAAGTGATTCGAAGGCTTGTCAGGAGTATTGCGCTCCAGTCAAGAATGGACCCAGAATACGCGCCAGTCTTCAACTCTCTTACTGATGGCAATGGAGAACCTACCTCAACGGATCCGATGGATAGCGTGGAAGACATTACGAAACCCATGTCAAAGAAAGCCCAGAAGAAGGCAGCGAAGGCAGCGCGTATGGCTGAGATCAAGGTGGAACGACGGGCTCGGGAAAGGGAGGCAAAGAAACGGAAACGCAAGGAACGTGCAGAGGCTGAGCGGGAAAGAGGAGAGGTTGGCGATGTCGATGAAGAGGGAGACGAGCAGCAGAGGACCAAACGACAGAAGCTTGCCCGATCATCTGCACAGCAGACCACGTTTAATGCTAAAGTCGTCGTGGACCTCGGTTTTGATGACATGATGATCGACAAGGCGCGTCTTAAATGGTTTCTGACTTTCAACATCTATCTGAGCGGTACCCTTCCGTGATTTAGGAAATTGTGTCTTTGACCTCACAGCTCGCTTACACTTATGGTGCCAACCGCCGCGCCTCGCACCCTTTCTCGGGTCTGATATTTACTTCTCTCAATGGACGCACAAAGGCACGGCTAGACAGTATGAACGATTCGTCGTACAAAAGATGGACTAACGCGGAGTGGTGGGAGGAAGGGTACGAACGGCTATGGGCACCCGTTAGCACAGAAGAGCCTCAACAACCACTAGACGACGAGAGCGAGCAGTTGCCTCTGCTATCGAGCTCGCATACTCGTTCGAGGAAAGAGGATGTGGTGTATCTGACGGCGGATACTGATGAAGAGCTCATGGAACTCAAGGAAGGCGAAGTGTACATCATTGGAGGAATTTGCGACCACAATCGGTATAAAGTAGGCATACTCAGCTCTGACTGGACCTGATTTTGAAGAAGTGGGGTGCTGACTGGACGGCTAGAACCTATGCCTGAACAAAGCGAAGGAGGCAGGTATCAGGACAGCCCGGCTTCCGATAGGCAGATACCTTGCCTCGCTAAAGACACGCAAAGTCTTGACGGTGAACCAGGTACGTGGATTGCCGTCTTCGGCCATGCTGTGATGTTTTGGACGTGAAATAGGTGTTCGAGATACTGCTGAGATGGACAGAAACCCAGGACTGGGAGGGCGCGTTCTGGAGTGTGATTCCAAAGCGGAAGTTCATCAGCGGTGAAACCGACAATGTCTCCGCGGGACCTATAAATGAAAAGGAGGAAGAAGTGAACGATCAAGAGCTCGCAGAGCGGGAACCTGATTCGTAAACAGGACGACTGTGACAAATGAGGACCAGCAGATACTGGCCGTTACTTTGGTGTAACTTTAGGCGAATGTATTATGACTCTCCTACAAAACCTCGTTTAAGCTGGTCTCTCCCGTCCCGCGCTCTAACGGCTTCGGTTGATTGGGGGCGGGTTTCCAGCCAATCTAAGGCGAAAGTAAGCATCAGAGCAGACGGGGAAGGCGAGGCAATTACCATGTAAATGACTTGGAAGGTAGCTGGGATATTGCCTTCCTGTGTACCATGCATTTCCTTGTAGATTGCCGACGCAGCTGTCAACGTATCTCGACTAATGATGTGCCTTCTGTAGAGATATTAAATTATCATCTTGAAGGGAATCAACGAGACAGACCGTCCCAGCACGCTATTACTTTCGCCCATGTCGCGGAGGTCATCTAGCAGCTCCCATATACTAGGATATTCTACCTTGACCTCGTCAATGTCAACAGTCAAGAGGGTAAATCCAGCGCGGGAAAGCAGGTTAGACATGTCCTTGGTGTCTAGTCATAAATCAATACGCGGTCTGCGAATTATAGCGTCAACCTACCGGTCATGGGGGAAATATGAGGTGAGATGCCACCTTCCCGCTCAACTTCAGCAAGCTGGAGAGCCGTCCTGTCCATCTGACGTCAGCGAGCGTTGATACATATCCATCCGGGACATTAACCTTAGCTCAAAGAGTGTATCCCCTCCGAACATAGCCGCTAGAAAGAGGCCATCTGGCTTCAGGGATTCTTTCACCTGTACGAGAACACCTACGCAGACGGGATATGTCAAGTTGAGCTCGGGGAGAAGGGGAGGGAACATACCTGGAAGGTCATTGACCCACTGAAGGCTCAAGCAAGACATGACAGCTTCTTGGGAGTTGCGGGGAAGGATATCGAGTAAAGCTTCCTCGTCGGCATTTACTCTCTCGACTTCCACTGTAATATGCGCGCTCTAGCGATGTAAACCGTTGATGTTTAAATGACTTGCCTTCAAATTCCTCGTCAGGGTCACGATTTAGAGTTTGTTCTGGATTATTAAATTGTCAGCACTCGAGTATACCTTTTTCGAAGAGAGACTTACCACTCGAGTCGATCATGATGACCTTGCGCGTCTTCTCAGGATCTAATAATTTGGACATATGCCCCGGCCCAGAACCAAGGTCAACTATAGTATCGAACTTGCGTTTGATATCCTGTAGCACAAGATATATGTTTTGAACAGTGAACAGACAAGTCAGACAAGCTGAGACTTACCATAAGTCGCTCCATGAGCCTCTCTGCTACCTCCTCTCTGACGTAGTCGACTGTCCTGCTTCGAACGCCGGCATCTCGGGAAACGGCACGGTCTTTCTGCATGCGTTTAGCATTTCTGTCAAAGACTTGATAAGGGGCGGCTTTGGGGGCGAAAGAGCTGGGTGACTCCGTCGCAAATGTTCTGAAGGGTTGCGAGCGGAGGAGCAGCCGTGTTCTAGAGGTGAGGCTAATGAACGCCATTGTGGAGGACCAATAGGATGGAAAAGGCAAGAATGTTCTTTGACGCGTTCCCCGGTGTCACGCCAACCCACGCTCCCTCTAGTCGCGTCTCCGAGTCGCCAGTGGCAGTCTCCTGTTTTCTGCTGACTCCATCATTCCCTCTCCTGAGGCGAGGCAATGGAGAACGGCCAACCAAACCATGGCGCGCCGACCAGCAACTCAGCAGTTTCCGTCAACACCAACGTTCCGCCCTTCCTAGACGAGCGCCGCTACAACTACGCCATCGCACACATCCAGCGAGCTCGTCAACAGCTCGACCGGTACGAAAGTACCATCAACAATTCCCATCAACGCTATTTGGAGGAGACCATTGATCAAGGCCGGAGAGCACAGTCAGTCTTAATGGCTATGGCTTTTGCGTAATCCTAACGTATTCTAGGCAAATGCTACAGATCATGTACGCAACTCAAGCTCATGGCCAAGCTCCAGGCCAAGCCCAGGTTCAAGCTCAAATTCAAGCGCAAGCGCAAGCTCAAGTTCGAGCTCAAGCTCAAGCTCAATCTGGGTCAAACGCTCAGTAAGTTATCGAATCACTTTTATTGGAGGTTCATGCTCAACCTAGCATGTTAGATCAATCCAAGCACCTCCGAGAGTGGCTTCAGTGCACCCTGGCTGGTTTCCTCCACCAAACTCAGCGGCTGTTGCTGTTGATCCTCGTGGTAACCAGGTCCCATTGACGGCTCGCTCTGACAGCCCTCGCATGATGAATCCTTTTCATGCGGTATGTTTTCCTCCAATACTCGTATCACGAATCTAATAGTATTGTCGACCTTTGCCGCCATTTCCTAGTCGGCACCTATGCAGGATGGTAGAGCGTTTTCTCAGGTGGGAGCACAGCAGCGAGTGCCGCAGTTTGCACACCATCAGGGACTTACACAACAACATGTAAACCCCACTTCGCATCCCCCTCATCCACCGGGTTTCCCAAATCCGGACCAAATTCCGCAAGGTCACTCCATGGCTCGAATACCTATGAATCAGGCATCGGCCATGGCTAACTATTGGGAGACACTCGGACGAATCACCCAAGCCCAGCAGTCTCAGCAACAACAGAGTGCGTAGAGCTAGCCTGCTTACGTGTAACCCAGAACTCTGATGATTTGTCTTTCCACAGAGCAACAATTTAATCCTCAGGTCCAGCCTCATAATAATCAAACGCCATATCATCTTGCCACCACGACGAGTTTGGACAATGCGTTAGGCAATACATTTGGAGATCGCCCCATTGGAGCGGCACAGGCCAATGGTGCTGCTCCCGCCAACAGATCGTCGTCAACGCATGTTCGCCAGACGAATGATACTGATGGCTCTGGGCAAAATGTACGAATGCAAGAAACTCAGCTCGAGTATTCCAGGAGCGAATCTCGACATGTTCAGTCATCTAGTCCACCTATCGTAAGTTTGCCTACTGCCGAACTGCAAAGGAACACGGCCGGCTTGTCTTCCTCAATTCCTGGCGCGGCCCAAAGCAAAGATGCTCTTCTTCCCAAGCCAAGTGAAAGTTCTTTCGCCATTCCTGTGCAAAAGTCAATCGCCCCTTCAAACGTATCCGGTACTGAATTTCCCCATCGTGAAACTGCCGTTCGTCAAAACCCTGCGCCACTCACCTTACAACCTTCTCAACCCGGTGGGCAGTCACAAGACAACCGTGCCCCGCCAGAGCCTACCACGACGTCTCTGAACACGTTTGCCAACAAACCAGTCCGTTTTGAGGCTCCTTCAGAGTCTCCTATAGCTACGCAAACGGGCCAACACCCAAGGCTACCACACCATGCAATTCGCTCGCACGCACTTAGACCATTATCCGAAATGAACTCAAGTCAGCACACCACTGGCAGCATCCATGTTCCTGGCCCGTCCCAACGCATTCCAAACCTAGCTTTAGTGCACAATCAGTCTCCGATAAATGCTGCCCGTAGTCTAGATCCATCCTTGTATCGTCCCTTTAGCTTCTCTAATCACCCGCTTCCACCGAATGCTGGACCCGCTCCACCCACAGTCGACAGCGAAGCGCCCCGGACCAGTCCTCGGCAGCGCTCGCCAGAGGCAGGGCCCTCATCACCCGCTCCAGTGATAGCTGCTTTATCTCCTCCCGAAACTCCTTTGAAAATCCGCGCCTCCCCAAACCCACGGACACCCTCTCAGGCTGATATGCGGCGGCTCGCGAAGGATATTCAGCGTTCTTTGAGAAGACCAGGTATGCAAGCGCCCGGGCAGAGGCTACCAAGTGTCAATGCCTTAGGGCCCAAGCCCATAATTAAATCATCTCAGCAAAGTCAAGAGCCATTGTTGGATTTCAAGCCTAGGGACGCGTCTTCTGTTGACAGCCAAACTACGGAGGTGGACATGGCAATTCACAATTCCGCACCAGTAGCGTTAATTGCTGCACAGGATGAATCTTTGGGTAAGCAGCACGCTGCTACTGAAAGAACATCTTACTGACTCTCCATGCCATTAGGTGCCAAGGAACTCCAACCACAGCTACATGGGGCCGATGCTGCAGTGGAGACTTCTCGTGGCTTTATGGTTGGCCAGATTAGGAATAGTCTCCCAGACTCGTCGTACGCAATCACGCAACCGACTCCAAACCAAGTCCCTCTTTCACCGGACGGTGGTCAGGCCAAGGGAAACCCCGTGAGTAATGATGATGGCGAGCATGAAACTGCTTTCGTAGGACCTTTACCGCAGCCACCTGAGCAAATTGTCCTCGAGGGTTATCAGGAATATGTCAACCCCTCACACCTACCCTTTCCTGAGCCAGCCCCGTCACAGCCGCCTACGGTACACCCTACTGTCGACGTTGACATTCCATCACAAAGATATGGCCACCTCTTGATCGATGATGATACAATAGCGAACAGCTCCAACTACCCTAGTACACTCATATCCCCTTCGTTCGGCGAGGCGCCGTTCGACATAGCGATGGAGTACACGACCTCTCACAATGATCAAGAATTGGAGTTGGGACCGTCGACACGGATAGAAGAAGTCATCGCTTCGCCTGTACAGTCTACGTCAGGCCGCGTTCATGAAGTTTCAGTCGTCCATGAAGCCATCTCTCCATCACAGTTTGGACCTGGTCATTCAAACCAGAGTCCTGTCCAGGAGCGCGTTCGTCCGCCCATTGCATCATTGGCAGGTCCCTCGCAGGCGACTCACGTTCATGAGGTCAACTCAACAGAACTATTATCGTTTGGTCACACTCAGGAGACTCCCATTCGGGAAAAGAGTGGTACTCAAGCTGCAATCAAGACCCCATTATTCCTGCATTCCCCGACCCCGTCTCCTGAGCCACCATGCTTGCCGGCCGAGTTGACTAGTTCGGCTTTGGATGTGATAGACCTCACAGCTGACTCCCTAGCTGATGGCGACCCAGTTATCCCTTCCCAGGCTGATCCCATTGCAGCAACTGCGACCAAGGAGTACACTGTGATCTCTTCAAAGAGCAGCTCCGCAGCTGCCGAATCCACAGGAGGGCTTGTAAGAACTTCGACCAAGCGTAAGAGAACTAGTGACACGAGAAAATCCTTCTATATCCTCGTGCCTACACCTAATTGGCTCCGCCGAAAGCGACGAAAGGCTGGCGGAGGACGACCGGCCAGGTTGGGTGGTGAACATCAAAAATGTATGTTTTATTCTGAGCCGTCTGACTTTGTTTAACCACGCTGACAGCGCACAACTTTACGCCGGAAGAGCAGCAAATACTCGAGGCCTCAGGACAAATGTTGCGGGAACGTCCATGTTTGTGGAAAGACTGTCAGGCGGTGATGAACTCGGGCGATAACCTGTTCCTTCACATTATCAGGCATCATGTACCCACTGAGGTAAAACAAAATGAAGTTCCAATACATAACAATGTTGAATAAAATTTCTAGGGTGTGGTGCAATGTCGGTGGCAAGACTGTAATCAGGTGCTCGCCTCAACCGGGACCGTAGTGGAACACCATCTGGTCAGCCATGTACTACGTGTTATGCCATGTCCTGACATACGTAAGGAAGAAAATGGATTTTAAGAAGTGTTCATACTCACAGATGACCTCCGTAGATTGTTTTGAGGATTTCAGCGACCCGATTGACCTACTTCAACACAACAAGCGACATCAAAACGATGACCGATACCTCTTCAAAGTTACCAAGCCATATCACCCCATTGTTGCTGCTGAGCCAGAGGGAATTCCTACTATAATGCCTTCTTATCAGAGTGTACCCCGGCGGATCAGCCAGCATCCCATGTCTCGCCAGGATCACGACCGTATTGGACAAATGGTAACCTGTGGGAGCACATTCTGTTCGGCGTCCGGCTCACACTTGTGTCCAGGTACTGAGAAACATATTTGCACCGGTGGGGTTGAAACTGAGGAAGCAGAACGCGCCCATGCGCACCCGCGGATCGCGACTGCTATATGAGCAAGAAGGAAGTTCTCACTCAAGGCCGGACGAATACGACTTCCTTGCTTCGCTCTCTTCCGGGCCAGCCAAGCTAATGCTTGCTGACATAGACAATCATGAGGTAACGAAGATGTGTGAGGCTGACCTTGTACTTTGGAGGGGCGACGACTTGTGCTGGAATGGGCAAGAAGAATTCGGCGTCGCCATGGAGAACGAGGACGGGACTAATTTGGAGGGCCCAGACGGGCTGATCAAAGGAAACACGACCGGGAAGGATGCCGATCCGGATGTTATAGAGGAGGAGCGAGATCAGACGTTTGCACGCAGCCGCGGCAGCGAGATGTCAGACGGGACGGACGGGCGGAACGTAGGCGAGGAGGAAGACGTGGCACTGATGCTAGAGCCATAGAGGTTGGGAAGAAAAGATTGATGAACTTCTCCGGGCGTAGATGGTTGTGGCAGGTTGTGGCTGGTCGTCGCGACGTAAACCTGTTATGCGTTTGTTTTCACATGTGGATATGTTACGATGGGTATTTTGGATGATGGATTCGGGATGAATTAAGCGAGATATTCTTTTGGGCAGCAAAGTGTGGTCAGATGGTACCAAAGAATTGCATATATTATTTGATATTTGAGACTGACAGGGCCGGCAGACAACTCATCATTTGACTTATCTCTACCCTTTGTTTCCCCAACTCCCATCCTCTCCCTCCGCACATGGCAGGGCCTACTCAGGCTCTTGGGGCTGGTAAGTATGGCCTTTTGTACGCGTTTCTACTCCTTCGTGCTCAGCGGTGATCTTTTCCAGCGCCTTCTTACGTTTCTGCACGTTCCGCGGACGTAATTTTGTCCGATATACGCCCCACGAAACTCAGCCCAGAAGCGCTCACTTCCATCAACGTCTTCCTCGATGAGTTTCTCTATGCCATCCTTAGCGCTAGCCAAGCCCTCCATACGGCTAAAATTCGTGGAGGCGTCAACAAGATTCTCCCGACAACGCTCGGCAAGGAGGCTGTCCTGGAGGCGGAAATGGAGTTGAGGGCGTATTGGGAACGTAAGGGCGGGAGCCCCGAGCATGGCCCAGAGGAGGGTGACTGGAGCACCCAATGGATGTTCGAGGTTCGCACAATTTTTGCTGCTGTTCGCTTGCAACTGAATCAGAGGTGCCCCAGCTTCTTCGCCTCAAGTGTGAGGGGTACTCGACTCTAAGTGATACCGACGAGAACCCCGACGCGGAGGCTCGTCTATATGAGCGCATGAAGGCTCAGGGTGTCAAACCTCCTCAGCCGTCCGTGCTCGATCCTGCTGCTCTCTATTTAACGGCCATTGTTGAGTGCGTGATCGATTCTTTCGAGCTAGTACTACCGGTTAATGTTGACACTCGTTGCAGAGCTGTATGCGAGTACGTCTTTCGCACTGATCCACTCTCTCCAATGCTTATGCATTCATAGGCATGTCTTGTCTAACGTGGGACGCGTCGCCGCCAGAGACAGCAGCCGCACCGTGTCTAATGCCCACGATCTGTTCACCGCTTTGTGTGAGGATGCCACTATATATGGCCTGTTCAAGAGTATGAAAGGTGCTGTGTACCAGATAATTACCACGGATGCTTATTCTGACCTCTGTCCCAGTTTACGAGCAGATCGAATCTTTCTCCAAGGTCCCTCCCGCTCGTCGTACCAAATCCTTCTCGAAGGATAGTCCTCGCGCACCACCCGTAAGCTTCCAACATTCGCCAGAGTCTCTTCGCAGGGACTCGTCTCTCAATGGCCGACGGTCACAAACGTCCTCCGACCTTCCAGTCCCGCCAGGCCTCATTAGTTCGCCGTCACCCACGCCCTCGGTAGAGAAGGCAAATGGCCCCCTCAAGGGTAATGGGTCGAGTGGTAGAGCTTCCTTTGATAGGGGCTCTCTTAAGGATTCCCGTAACGGACACCACAAGTCTGAGTCGGCTGTCAGCGTTGGAAGGTCATTGCATGGTGGAGCAGCATCACCGACGTCTTCAACTTTCGATGTGCGTGTAATCTCTTCTTCTTGATTTCGTAGTCTTATGTTCTTGACACACAGGAATTTGATGATATGATGCGCTCTGGCACCACGATGAAAGTTTCGTTGACTCCTGATCGATTGAAGACAATGGAGGTGAGCAATGTCGGTACATTAGTCAATTTATCGAATGTAATATTGGAGCAGTCCTTCAACAAGGAGAAAGAAAAGGCTCGTGCACTGAAGACCAACGGCAGGTCCAACGAAAGGCGTCATCCTGGCGTCCCCCCAGTTCCTTCTTTGCCACCTCAAAACTCTATGCCTCCGCGCCAGCTCCGCCACGTTGATTCCATCATTGAAGATGAAGAGGACCCCTCGAGCGCCCAACGTCCTAGACAGCATAGTGTGACTTCAACACCTCTAGCATCTTCCGCACCTACACGCAAACGTTCTGCTTCCAGTGTTGCTACTCCTAAACATACTTCGAGGACCCCGTCTTTCTCAAGCATTGCACCATTCATGAAGCCTTCTTCCTCGAGTGCCACGGTTCCTACCCAGAAGCAGACTGCAGCTAAGGAGATGGATCCAGAGAACCCCAAAACGCAGCGCAAACGTAAAGTCGTCGGCAATTTAGAGGATATGGATATAGATGATATAATGGGAGGATCTGACAAAGAGGATCTGCCGCCCCCACCGCTATCAGCAGTCTCTAAGGGCGAGAAATCTCGAGGTATATCCTCTAATGCAAGAGATCTCATCGACTTCCTGTCCGAAGGTCCACCGGAACCCCCGCAGCCACCGTTCGGCAACGAGAATTTGGTTTCTTTTGATGCCCCGAAGCGCAGCGGTCGCTTGCAAAGAATGATATCCAAGATCACGCTCTCAAGTGACACCCGTGCTCGCTCGGATTCAGATGGGAGAATCTCGCCTCGCAAGGGTTTCGTCACCCCAGACATGCCCTCTTCCCCTGCTGGTACCACCAGGAGCAACATGATTCTTAGTCCTTTGGCAAACAAACCTGTTCTTCCTCGTTACCCCAGGGCCCCTTCGCCCTCCACCGGTTCACAAAGCTCTGGGGATAAGGACAAGGATAGTACGTCACAGGCCAGTCGTTCACGTGCGGCCTCCATGTCTCGTAAACCTGTGCCTCTGTGGGACGGCAACGAGCCTATGCCTGAGTCTGTTGTGGGGACGAAAGACTCCAGCGTCCCGGATGTGTCGTCAATCACAGATCTTTCATCCAAGCCACCAGCCCCTGCCGGTGCTACCATTGCAATACCTGCCAAGCGTACCGATAGTTTGCAGGCCCCACCATCTCAAACACTTACCATTCCCTCTGGGCCTGTCAACGCACCGCAGCGTACGTCCTCGAAGCGTGCTATGGAAAACGGGTCCAAACGGAATGTCGCTCCCAAGCCCGATCCTCAGCTCATCGCAGTCACCGAACACGCCCGCGATATGCATCGCCTTCTCTCCTCCGCTACGAATGCTGAAGAGTGCCGGCTCATTGTTGATATGTTTATGGCGAAATGCAAGATACCTATCGATCCAGTCGACCCCGACGTAGCAGTGGCGCATTCAGAAGATGCTACCATCAACGCCGAGAATGTAGTCGTTGAAGCGTTTCTCGGAGAAAGCCAGCTTGATAGCCCCAATGCGACACCCCCTCCATTGCCCGGCAGGAATCCTGCGCGGGCGGATACGACCCAACCCATCTGATTGCTTCTCATCTATATTCGGAGATATGTTCTGCTTCTTTGCACATATTTATTTTTTCGTGTACCTTGCTTCGTTCGCTCACCACACATGCTTGTTGAGCAGGCTAGTCCCCACATTCGTTTTGTCTTTGGGCGTCCTTCTATCCTTGATACCATTATTAGCTATGTATTCCCTGTAATGATGTGGTTCCAGTACAGTATGCCGTTCAGCTTTTGACATCTATAACTATGATACTTCCACTGAGACGGCAATGCCCATGGCGGCGAGCTCTGCGCAGAGGTATCTGAAGACATAGGGAACGGCAATGACATCGAGGTCGCCGCCTTTTGAGGTGCTACCAAGAACGTGCGAGGGTGGTATTGCGACTCTGAGATCAGCGTGGTTATGTGCTGGGCGCCCCGACGCCAACGCCTCGCGTGCTCGCTCGTCTTCTTCTTCGGCGGCGGCACGGCAGACTCTGCAATACTCTCCACCCGGCCCTGTCGCGCGGAGCTTGCCCGATGTCGAGGCTTCACCCAGGCTGACATCGTCGTATCCGAGGGAGATCAGGCTACCACACGTCCGACAGACCCAGGCAGTTGAGTAGTCGGAACAGTTCATCAGGCGGTCTTGGAGGAGGAAGGATGTTCCGTGCGCGATCAGGGCGTCACGCTCCATCTCACCGAAACGGATACCACCAGCGCGCTTGCGACCCTGTTACAAATACGTTGATTTTGAAGACATGAATTGCGAGGAGAATAGACAAAGCCAGAACGCACCTTAACGGGTTGACGAGTAACTTGGTCGACTGGACCTGTCGTTCGGACTTGGAACTTGTCGAGCACCATGTGTCGCAGGCGCTGGTAGTATACCACACCGATGTAAATGTCGGCGGCGAATTCCTGGCCAGTGATACCAGAATACATGGGCTCGTTGCCGTAGTAGTTGTACCCTGCGGCAAGCAGCTGGTCACCGAAGTACGAGATGGCAGTGTCCTCTTCAGAAAACCTTAACATTACATGTCAGCGAAAAATGAGGAGGCTGCCTGCAGATGTCAACTCACTGAAAAGGCGTCGCATCCTGAGCGAGGCCATGCATAGCTCCGGCCTTGCCAGCCATACTCTCTACTAACATACCGATAGTCATTCGACTTGGGAACGCATGCGGGTTGATGATGACATCTGGCTGCATGCCGCTCTCGGTGAAGGGCATGTCTACGGCGGGCCACTTTTGTGAGCAGACACCCTTCTGGCCGTGTCGTGACGAGAACTTGTCGCCAATGACAGGAGAACGTGTTATGCGCAAGGTGACTTGGATTTTCTGGAGTTCACTGTCTCCAGCATCTGCGCCTATCATACAATAGCGGCGCGTTAGCACGGATACGACATCCATAACGCTGTGATAGACCCACCTATGACGCGCACCGTGTCGACAATTGCCTGCTCATCGCCCTTGTACTTGACGAACTTTGTCCTCCCGGTATTATCATCGACATACGCAGCAAGCGGATCACCAGCATTGAGCTTGGCCCCAATGATTGGAAGACCATCCTGGTCAACAAAGTTGCAGCAAGCGTGCTGCTTATCTCCCAGTGTAGTGTTGATCTCGTACCCGAGGCCGAAATGAAGAGTAGGCGCCGAGGTAGCCTTGGAGGCACCGCGCATATCCTTCAGGTCGACTATCGAGGATTTGTAGACGGTACCGTATCCGAAACCTCGCTCATGGGCAGACTTGTTCAAAATCATGGCGTCCTCCATATCGTAGCCAGTGTACGAGATGACGGCGACGATGGCGTTCGTGCCGTTGGGGTAGGCATCCATGGCGTAGGTGTTGTGCAACCGTGGTCGCACGATGGGTGTTTGCCCTGTTTGCAAGCGGTAGAGCTTGTTGTCGGTACGGTGCTGCATCACTGTTGATGGAGTGCCCATGGTTTGTTTACCCATCTAGAGAACCCTAAGTGATATGAAACCGTAGAAGTAAGTGTCATTTACCTGGCACTGATAGATATTTCGGGGACTCTGAGAGCGTGTCAGCAGAGCTATTAGCCATAGAAAACCCACGTACTTGGTTGAAATCCGAGAAGGGGGTTAAATTTGCCAAGATCGAAAGGAAATTCGTGGGTGCATGTTCGACATGTGTAGATACATCCGGCTCAATCTCGCTGGGCTGAATAGCAATATCCATGTACACCTGCTCGAACGAACCTATCTGGTCGGCCTTTCCGTTCAGTAAATACTTCACCGGCCGCATCATCCTTGCCCGTGTTGAAAACAGGAATAAACCAGGGTATTGTCCACCCCTCGACTCTGGCACGAAGCCAATCTCAAGGTCCATGGGGACCTGGTGCTGGCCCTCGGTCTTCCAGAACCGCAGGTTGCCCGCGAGTTGACGGGCAACCGATGGCCGAGCCCAACCAATCACCCGGCCGTCAAGCTGTACGCAGAGGTTCTTTCTGCCGTCGATAGACGCAGAAAATGCTTGTGTCATACCATGGGCGACTAGCAGGGCTGGAATGTGTGCGACTGCCAAAGGGGAGGTGACGATGCGACATGTTCGCGAAAGATGATTGAGGAGACCACATGGCGAACCATCGGGAGTGTGGACAGGGCACAGAAAACCCCATGCTTCGGGAAGCAATTTTCTGACGGTTGTCGTTTTGAGTTCAGCAAAGAAGGCACCACGGTGAATGGAACGAAAATGAGAGATGTAACGAAGCCAATTCAGCTTTTCGGCAACGATAGTGAAACCGGATGCTTGCTGCAAGTCAAGTCCCGAGGGAGAGATGAGGTTGCCTGTGGCTAGGAAATTTGCCATCTTGGCACCAATGTCCCAGTTCACTTTATTGATGACCTTCGTTATGTAGCGTTCTGTGAAGATGCTTTAACGGTTATGATCAAGGTTACGCAATAGACTTACTGTCAATAAAATCCACCGGCGGTTCTGATCTTCGGACGTCAATGTTTATTTGATTGCGTACTGCATTTAAGCCCTCTTCCAGTCTTTCTTTGATGATCATGCCATATAGGTATCCTGGAAGGAGCACCTCTTGGTGCTGAGGCGAATCAGGATTATCCCCGCAGCAAGCACCGGAGACCAGAGCATAAAGCTTGCGAAGCATGAAGCTATCACAACTGTGAGCACGGTAACTTCAGGTTCCTCTATGAATTCAACGTACATTAACATACGGAACTTGTCCCTTGCCGAATCTGCGTGGACGAGAACCATCTTCTGAAGCAACCAAACACCGAGTGCCTTGTTAGTCCAGTCTTCTGGCAAACCTAAGACGACGCGGAATTTGTCGCCCAGATATTCAAGACATTGCTCGCCGGTGTACAGGGCGAATCGCTTAAAGCTGCGCAGAAGCAGCTCGACGCGGTCGGACAGAAAAGTGTTATCAAAGTCTTGCATCATGAGATGCTCAAAGATCTCTTTGTCAGAGGCGCCAATGAGAGCCTTGAGGATAAGCATGACTGGAATCACATATTCTTGCTTTCGCCAGCTGAAGCGTAACATTGCGCTCCCGTTGGCAAGGTAGTGGAGCGTATTTGTAGCGCTCGTCTGGTCTGGTCGGACACAGCGGATTTGAACTGCATGCTGAGTATATGATGGCCCTCTGTTCGTGAAAGACGGGCGGATAAGGGAGATGACATGATTTCGTCTTGGGAGGATGAGGTAGCGAATAAGACGTTCGTTGCCGTTGATGATAAAGTAGCCGCCGAATTCTTCGGGCTCTTCGTGTCGGCGGACAAGCTCTGAAGACGGTAATGATCGAAGGTTACACCGCACAGACTGTATTTTGACGTCAACTTGGTGCTTTGGATAAGAAAGTACTTGACACCGACCCGGACCATGATTGGCACTAGACCACAATCTCGCATTATGCTCTGGGTTGGCTCCTCGCCATTTATTCTCCAACAAATTTTGGCTTGCATACGACCTCGATAAGATACTAAGCGTTCACGAGCCTATAAATCTATATATGAGCATTGAAGGGATACTAACAATGAATGACAAGGAGATTCTGTCACTCTCAATCTCAGATGGCATGCTCACCTCTGAGGGATAAACTCGACGTTCAGTGCTCCATGTATCCTTGTCGGTTACACGAGGTGCTGATAATGATACATCCTCAATCCAAACTATCGTGGTTAGAGATTAGCTCACAAGAAACAGGTTATGCGTACAACTTACTGCTCAAGCGGTTTCCCCATCCTGTCTGGCCACTTTCAGTGCCTATCTGACCAGTCCCATCGAAAACAACCCTTTCTCCGATGTCTTTGACGGCGAGAGATAACAGGCCACGTCCGTCCCCGTCGCCCTTTGGGAGGCCTGAGTCGTCGAAGAGGGCATTGAATGATTCGAGAAGCGGAGTGACGAACTCGTTGAGGATTGGGTAGGTAGATGTTTTTTGGTCTGGGTTTCGAAATGCATCTTCGCGCGCTAGGGTATCAAAAGTGGGCTTGCGACTTGGCCCTGCCGATCCGTCTGGCATGTCGACGATTTTATGTTTTTTGGGCGAGTTTCCTCGAGCTTTAAACTGTAGCTCCTGACCAGCTGCTAGATTTTTGGCACAGCCACCACACTATCATCGGTCTCGCGTGGAAAAAATGACCATAAACGCGCTGTCTGAGTTTGTACGGTTTCCAACTCCGCGTCCTACCTCCTTTCTCGCACCGCTGTCGTCCACGACGGCGAGCTCCTCGTCGCTCTCGCCCCTCTCCAGAAAATGTTTGGAAACAACACCGTGCAGTCTACGTGGGGGCAGACGCAGCCGCAACAGAACCAGCAGCAGGGGCCCTCCGCGTTTGGTCAGCCCAGCAACAATGCGTTCGGAGCCGGTGGAGGTAAGTCATCATTCATCTGCCTTGCTGTTGACGATGCGGCACGCGAATCCTAACAAAGCATCATCAACAGCCTTTGGTTCAAGCACACCCTCTACCTTTGGCCAACCACAACAACCACAGCAGCAGGCAAACCCCATGTTTGGTGGTCTAGGAAGCACCCCCGGCAACACGGGCACATCTGGCTTTGGTATGTTTGTTTATTGTCCTCTATTCGTCTCTCCTCATTTCTTGTAGGTACTTTCGGGAACAACAGCGCGAGCACCTCTGCCTTTGGAGCACCCAAACCTACCACTGGCTTTGGCGGTTTTGGGGGCGGAGGTTCGACGTTCGGTTCGGGAACGAATGCGTTTGGGACAAACAACCCGGCTGGGACGTCGGGTTCGAACGTGTTCGGGTCTAACAGTGGCCCTCCAAACGCCTTTGGTGGAGGTGGTGGAATGTTCGGACAGAACAAGCCTACGACGGGTTTTGGTGTTACCACAGGTGAGCGACAAAGTATTCCTTCCATGATCAGCGCTGACATTCATTGCAGCGAATACCTCATCCGGACCGTCCGATAGCGTGCCACCAGTGACGACAGGGTCTTCGAATCCCCCGTTCAACGTGTTCACTGAGAAGGATGGAACCACTTCCACCATGCTGCAGTATCAGGCCATCACGGCCATGCCCGCCTACCGTGGCACATCTTTTGAGGAGATCCGCGTGCAGGATTACCAACAAGGGCGGAAAACCGCGGGAGCGTTTGGACAGTCATCGTTTGGCGCGCCCGCAGCCGGGTCACAGCCCACGGGCGCCTTTGGCCAGCCTGCAACAGGGTCTTCGATCTTCGGCGGCAGCGGCGGCGGCGGCGGAAACGCGTTCGGCAGCACGCCGAATAACCAGCCAGCCACTGGAGCAGGGTTTGGTGGGTTTGGTCAGAACACTGGTTCGACAGGTGGCAGCATGTTTGGTGGCGGTGGCACGTCGACCTTTGGTCAGCCTCAACAACAACAATCATCTGGGTTTGGCGGCTTCGGCCAGAACCAGCAGCAGCAGCAGCCGCAACAACAGCAACAACAACAGCCAGGCGCCGGCACTGGCAGCATCTTTGGTTCGACCACCACCAACCCTGCATTCAGTCAGCCAAACAAACCTACAACTGGCTTTGGCACTTTTGGTGGCGGCGCTGGTGAGTTCTTCGAACTATAAATCTCCATTGTGTTCTAATTATATCTATTAGCTGGCAATACTTTTGGAAACAATCCGTCAACAAACGCTTTTGGTCAACCTGCCAACACCGGTACTACTGGCTCGAGTATATTTGGACAGCCTCAGCAAAATCAAGGCACTAATACCTTTGGTGGCTTTGGCGCGAATAACAATAACGCTGCCAAACCTTCAATCTTTGGCCAGCCAGCCCAAGCAAACACAACTACTACTGGCTTCGGCGGTGGCGGCGGCCTTTTTGGAAACCCTCAACAGAACCAACAGCAAGGGCAGCAACCTGCAACAGGTGGGGGGCTGTTTGGGGGCAACGCTGGTGGTGGTTTATTCGGCCAACAGAACCAACAGAACCAACAGCAACCAAACCAGCAACAGCCGGGTGGTCGTACGTCGTCGTTCATATCTAAACTACATACACTCACAGTTTACCAGTTTTTGGAAACACTCAGACAACTCAGCCTTCCGGTGGCCTGTTTGGCAATACGAGCGGAGGAGGATTGTTTGGTAATAACAACCAGCAAAATCAACAGCCTGCGCAAACAAGCAGTCTATTCGGTCAGAAGCCAGCTGGCGCAGCCGCAGGTGGAGGCCTCTTTGGTGGCTTTGGTGCCAATACAAACAACACCACGCAAGGTACTGGCCAGCAGACCAACCTCTGGGGACAGCCATCGGGACAGGCGACAACGCAGCAGCCTGCATCGACGAATGCGTTTGGCACGTCGCTCTTCGGTAGTAAGCCCCCTGGCGCCCCGAATACCTCAACCTCGAACACTGGCTTTGGCAATTCGCTGTTCGGCGGTGGGCTCGGCCAATCAACCAACCTGAACGCATCCTCTGCCGCTCCAGTTCAGGGCAGTCTCACTGCGTCTATTGCCGAGCCGATCAACAACAGCATGCCCATCTTCTCTCTTCTCCCTCCTGGACCTCGCTCGGTCACTCTCGACCAACAACCCAAAAAGAAGCCGGGCTTCTTTGTCGATGTCCCGACGCGCTCTCCCGTCCCACGCCTCCAGCTAGGTTACGCCCCTGCAAACTCGAAGTTGCGAGGTTTCGGCGCTTCTACCGCAGGAGCCCAAGGCAACAACCAGTTCTCCAGCAGCCTACTGCCAAACGGGAAGTCCAACGCTCTGTCGTTAAGCAAGATTGAAGGCAGAGCATCTCCGGGGCCAGATTCTCTGTTCGGCCGTAGCTCGAGTCCTGCGCTCGGCAGCGGGCCCAGACAGAGCGTAAAGAAACTTGTGCTGGACAAGAAGGTCGAACCATCGGACCTCTTCACCAGGAGTGCATCGCCAGCTGCCCGTTCGAGCCCAGGCAAAGTACTGTTCAACCCCGCCCTCAGCCAGGCCGCCCGGGAGAAGGAGATCGCACGAGAAAAAGACGCGCTCGTGGCTGTTAGCGGACCGCAGAACGACGCAGCACCAACGAAGAAGTCCCTCAACCGGTTCTCTGCTCCCGGTACGAGCAGCGCTGTCAATGAGGACAAGTTAGAACCCGCTAAGCTAAAGCACGGAGACTACTGGGTCAAGCCGGACCTGAAAGACCTTGTGCACGTCGGCTACGAGCAGCTTGTCGCATTCGAGGGGCTCATCGTCGGGCGGATCGGCTACGGCGAGATCCACTTCCTCGAGCCAGTCGATCTGACGAACCTGAGCCGACTGGGCTCGCTGCTGGGCGAGGTCGTGCGGTTCGACGAGAAGGAGTGCAGCGTGTACCCGGACAGCGACGATGTCGACAAGCCCACTCCGGGATCGGGCCTGAACGTGCGTGCGAGGATCATTCTGGAGAACTGCTGGACGGTGGACAAGGCGACGAGAGAGCCGATCAAGGACGAGAAGCACCCTGCCGCGGTGAAGCACCTGAAGCGGCTGAAGGGCATGCGGGACACGCACTTTGAGAGCTTTGATATCAAGAACGGGAGGTGGACGTTTACTGTGGACCACTTCTAAAGCGTACCGTTTTGTTGTGTCCGTCTACCCAGTGGCTTCTCCCTCCCTCCCTCCTTGTATCTCCGTTCGTCTCCTCCATTCCACGCTGTGATTACGCCTATGCCTTTGTGAAGTCGTTTTGTTTTTGCATAATTTCTTTTGTCTTTAGTGAATATATACGTAGCTAGTTGTAAGTAGATATGCCACTGCAACAATTGCGAGGAATGTAATGAAGCTAGCTTTCCCATACTTTGAGATTCCATTTGGGTCCGATAGATGCGAAGCAGGTATGTCGTCACTCTGACACACTCCCCGAGTGGGACCGCAGGATGAGTGCGCAACAATATTTATAGTCCTCCGCCAGACCTTACTTCGCCATAATACACCATGAAGGCAGGGCTGACTCCTCTATTCTACTCATTATCTGACCATATGAATTACGTAGATTGTCTCCGAGTCCGAGCTCAAGGAGCACAACAACGCCACCATAAAAGGCGCCGTCGAGGGTGCAGCGCTAGGCTCTGCCATCGCCCTCCCGTCGTTTTGGTTGCTCAACAAGCGGTGGCCGTACTACCGCCAGCTCCCGCTCCCACTCAAGGCTTTCGGCGCGGTCATCGTCATCGCCCCCCTTATTTCTATTCGCGCGGAGCACGCTGGGCTCGAGTACGAGCGGTCAAAATGGTGAGTATGACCAGCAGTATACTCCTCCGTCGTCCTCACGCATATGGTTGATGTAATATTCAGGACTGGAGTGGGCAAGATGGAGATCGACCGGCAGGCTGAGGAGGAGAACCGGCGCTGGGCATCGCTCGGCATGAAGGACAAGGCCGCGGAGTGGGCTGCGAACCACCAGCTGAGTGTGATCAGCGGCACCTGGGCGCTCTCGGTTGCAGCGATCGGGAGCTACATCATGAAAGACCCGTGAGTGGCTTGACTAGTCTTGATGCAGTTAAGTGCTCGGAATGGATTGATTAATATGAACGTTGCGAAACGAATAGCTTGCAGACGACGCCGCAGAAGGTACGCATACATTGCACTCCTCCTGAGCCATCCACCTCTGCTTTCCGATTTCTGACTGATAGGGGCTCTTATAGGTTGTTCAAGTCCGTGTGTGGGCTCAAGGCATCACCATTGGAGTATTGATTGCCGCCGCCGTGTTCACTCATGCACAGCGGAGGGAAGCGGCTGCCAACAAAACGGTAAGTCTCATCGCATTCATACGCCACATCGTTGTGTTTGTGCTATTCCCGGTTCGAAGCTAACGCCGCCCCATGACGGGGTCATCTGCAGAAGAACAACGACCATACCTGGGCCCATGTGGTAAGTGTCTGAATGGAGTGATGGTTTGAACTATAATGACAGCAGGATTGATCATCCAACTTCGCAGATTGAGGAGCAGCAGCGGGCCAAGGAGAATGCTAAAGCAGAGTAGAATGGGCCACTGATTGGTGTGCACTGAAGACCCAAGTTGTAGGCTACCATGTAATGTTAGATTGTACCTTTGTATTTATAGTTTGCGAACTGATAATTCGATACGGTACCATTGGATCAAAAGTACCGTCCCATTTCATTCTTGTCAGACTGAATGATGCTGGCATGGGTGAGGGCTCAGGCAGAATCTATATCCAATAAGGCTAAGTAAGGAATTAAGACACAACGAAGGTCGGACACCAGGATATGGGATAAGTAAGTGTAAGTGGTATTCGTCACGAGTACGAACTGTGCCTTGATAGATAGATATACGCTTTTAAGCCTGGCCGTAGAAGCGCCACGCGAAGTATGCGCCGAGAAGAGTGAGAGGGACAAAGTACATCAAGCTAGAGGGGCGGTGATTAGCATCTAATCGACCAGGAATGTATGGAGTACGTACTTTGACCCCTGCTCAACGGCATGGGAGGCAGCGTTGTTAGCCTGGCTAGAGCGACCCGTCTTGAACTTGGCAGCCTGAAACAATGTCGAGGACGGAAGGATACGGATAAGGCGGAATGACGTACGTCTTCCTTGCTGAACTCGCCGACGAGCATGGGAGGGAGGAGCTCCCGGGCCTCGTCAGAGTGGCCGACGTCCTCGAATGCCTCGGTGGCATCCTTACCTGTCATCGTTTGGGGGTCAGTCGCGTGTCACGAGGACGAGCAGGGTGTACATACCAGCCTCAGCCAAGATCACCTCGTCGCCTCCAGGGTGCTACACAGTCATAAGGTCAAGCAGTAGGGCGATGTTACGTGTGCTATGTACCTCGTCAAGGAACTTGGAGACGTCGTAGACTGATTGTTCGTTGTCAACAAATGAGGCAATAAATGAGGACCGGGTATCGGGAACGAACCTTTGTCGTGAATGAGGACGTAGAGGTTGTCCTTCTTGGTGTGGGCCTGGAGCTCTTCGTAGGAGACGACCTTGGACATGTTTGGAGGAGGTAGTCGGAAGACGGAGGGAGTCTGGGGAGAGCAAAAGAGAGAGAAATGGGGAGGAGCAAGAAGAGTCTGTGCTTCGCGTCTATCGGACGCTGAGTTGCAACATGGCCATATAAAATGTTTACCGGATTCCCACGCAAACCTTCCACGTAAACCGGGGCTACTGGCAGGTCCATGGATAGCCCGGCATCACGCTCGCTGCCTTGACTAAACGGCCCGTGAAGCTGCAGCAGAGGCTCTTTTAAATACACACATCGGACGACTCGGAATGTTTAACCCCATGACGGTTGCAGTATTATGATATATGAAGCTACAGTGTGAGATAAGACAAAAAAGTCAAAGCAAGGAGGATGTCTGCCAAAGTTTAGTACTCGAATGACCACGGGTACCTCTGCAGAACAGATAGACATTCAAGCGTGGACTAGGTAAAGAGTTCCTCTTCCACTGGCACCAGTAAAGAGACGAAAGCAGAGAAAGCCATGTCTCTAGGCATAGGTGAGTGGGTACGCGAAAATCGCGATCTCCAGACGAGGAGGTTGTCGTTGGCCTCGGGCATCGGTCGGGGTCGTAACTTGCTCGGGAACGGTCGGGCCAATCAGAATTGGGGGATTTGAAACGTCGCCTGCGCTGCGATCAACGCAGACAGCGCGAGGAGACGGACACGATTGGGATCAGGGGGGCGGTATATATATGGGATTAATTTTTTCTAAGCTCCGCTCGAAAATGCGGCAGTAGGAATTGTGGGAGAATCAACGACGCGTGCGCACGCTCTTCTCCTCCAAGCTCCGCGCCTGAGCTTGAATCCCCCCCTCTCCTCGTCATGGCCTACGTCGACGAGCACGCCGACATCCTCGGCGGGCCAATCCTCCAGAATCCCAACACTGGGCTCTGGCTCTACTGGTCTTACATCCCCTTCTGGATTCGCCTCTTTCTCCTCGCCAGCCTAGGATCTCTTGCTGTCTACTGCTACCTTCGCATCCGCGAAACTATCATCAAGTACCAGGAACTTAACTACAGAAAGTACGCTCTCAACCCTTTTGCAGCACATGTCTCCGCATTTCTGACACATTTCTTGCTTACAGGGCTTCAAGACGCAAACACGGAATCTCCGACAATGACCACCGCCCATTCGCTGTCGCCTACCGCGCGGCCATGCGCGCTCGAGCTGAGCGTGAGGCCCAGGAACGGAGGGCATCCATTGGCGTTGAGGCACCTAGTAAACAACAGCAACAACAACAACAACAACAGCCTGTTTCGGGTCCTACTCGGAATGCGATTGGCGATGCACACAGCATTATTAGGCAGAGACTAATGAATCAGGGTGAGCGCTTTCATTTCACTTAATTTGACTTTGGGCCCTTAACCTCGTGCTAGACAAACCTCGTCTTCCTCCCGCACTCCGGTCTTCCATTCCGGTCACCGAACCCCCCAGAAAGCGGCAAGTTTACTTTGCGGACGATACGCCTCCTTCGCGCAGAACTCCCGCCATGCCTGCGGCCTGGACGTCCCCTCAGAAGCAAGGTGGTCGCCACCTGGCAAGGCACAATGCGGCTATGACGAGAGATGGTATCCGGCCCGAAAAACGATCCTGGACAGGTGAAGATGATGTCAATGACGGCGCAAAGAGGTCTCGCGTGGTTAGTCAACCATCCTTTGACGATGATGACTCCCGTGGCTCGTATGAACGGAGCGATGAACAGCTAGCTCGCGGCTCCAAGCGTGGCCTTCACGTCGATGGTGATGACCATGACTACAGCACCCGGGACAAACGCCGTCGCAATGAGTCCGTTGAAGAGATGGACGATGGTGACGAAGTGACGGATATGCCCATGGACGAAGATGAAGCAGACCAGGTATCAGACTTGCGCGCAGTCAGTCGTGGCAGAAAACGTGATCGCGCAGAGGCAGGGTCTACCTTTGGTGGTGACGAAGAAGAGGACGGTCCATACGTCAACGGCAAATCATCTCGTCAGGCGAAGCGTCGTAGTCTCACCCAACGCAAGTTGGAGGCTAGTCAAAGGGGTACGAAGCGTGATCGTAACGGCTGGTCTCCCGAGAGCGAAGACGAGTTCGAAGTTAAGGGCAAAGGAAGAAGTCGTTCGCATAAGAAGAGAGGAAAGCGTGCTCAGTCACCTTCGGAGGAAGTACCGAGTGATGTCTCCATGGATTCACTGGTCTCCACGGATCCGCTATGCAAGGGTCGCAAGGTTGGCGAACAATGGGAATCGAAGGGCGTTCAGTACAAGGTTGCCGACAATGGCCAACGTCTCAGGCTTACGCTGGTTAAAAAGGCACGGAGCAAATACGTTATGGTATGTAAAACGTGGACATTTTAGAGAGTGCTAGCTAACTTGCTTTGCTCAGCCGGAAGACTCTCAGCACCCAGATCGCAACGCTAACATGCATGTCTACGTGGAGACCTGGCTCACAGAGGAACAGTACAAGGATGCCGAAAAACGCCACGATCTTGTATCGCAAGACGCTCCTCAGCCCTCATCGGCGTCCCAAGCCTCCGCAAATGCCTCTGGATCTCCTGCCAAGGTCGGCAAAAGCTTGCTCTGGGACCTGACGAAGGACAGTGCCGTACCAAAGAGGTCCCTCAGGCAGTCGATCGCTTCTGATGTGGGTCTCCGCGCCAATCCGTTCCAGCAATCTCCTGCGGTCGGTGGACGCCGTGTCGGCCTGTCCCATATATTCCCATTGAACGGAGCATTGAACAGCCCCACTCATTTTCGCTCACTTTCGAAGTGGGAAAAGCAAGAAATGGAGGCAGCAGCCATGGCTAGAATACGCGAAAGGATGCGAGATGAGAAGCCCCAGCCTGCTGCACCGCCTGCGCCAGTGCCACCCTCCGCCGCTGCACCGTCTTCGGAGGTGAAACCTGCTCCTCCTGCTATCACCTTCACCGCGCCTACACCGTCTGCATCAATCACCGAGTTTGGAAAACCTGAGAACAGTGTTGAGGCTAAACCAGCAGAGATCAAACCCCCGGCTGGCTTCTCCTTTGGTCAAACCTCTGCTACGGCTCAACCAAAGGCGGAGAACATGCCAGCCATAATGCCTGCTCCACCATCGAATTTTGGTATCCCGGCACCTTCAGCGACTACACCTGCGCCGTCCACGCTCATGTTTGGAGTGCCGCCCGCGAAAGAGCAGAGCGCCCAGCCGTCTCCAGCTCCTCGCTCCGCAGGCCCAGCAGTCACACAACAGACGTCTTTTGCGCCTGCTGCTGCGGCTCCGCCCACGTTCTCATTTGGTCAGCCTAGCAAACCATCGACGCCGGCGGCTTCCAACCCCCCTGCGCTTGGCTTTGGTGCCCCGACCACGGCTACTCCTGCAGTGACTGATTCAAATGCCCCCAAATTCTCCTTTGGGGCTCCCGCCTCCACTCCTGCAAGCATCACTCCAGGTTCAGGCGAACAAAAACAGCTTGATGCAGCTCCAGCGTCCCAGCCTCCTTCAGCTTTCGGTTTCCCTTCCTCTGGTGCTCCTAAGCCAACATTGGGCGGCTTCGGCAAGCCTCCTGCCTCGGGCACTACTTCCGCTCAGGCCGGCAACTCTACTCAGCCGACCTCGATGTTTGGTGCTGCTGCCGTTACTACCCCTGCTGCAGCTGACAATGACAAGATGGATAGTAGTTCTCCACCCAAGTTCAACTTTGGCGCGGTGGCTCCTAAGGCTCCTGCCCCTACTCCCAATGTTGAATCAATGTCGTCGATGATATCCGCGGGTGCTTCTCAGGATGCTGCCAAGCAGACAACGCCTGTATTCTCCTTCAACGGCGCGCCTGCCACTGCTGCGCCCAAGGTCACGTTTGGTCAACAGTCGTCAGCCGATAAGGGAAAGACGGCCATGGCTATTGAAGCGAAACCAGCGGAAGCTGACAAGCCCAAGTTCTCCTTCGGTCAACCAGGAGGCATGGGGACGTCTTCAGCGCCGTCTCCCCTCGGTGCCACTGCCACATCTTCGCAGTCGCAGCCTTCCGGCTTCTCGTTCGGAGGTGGATCAACGACCAACGCGTTTGGCTCGAGTGACAACAAGGCCAAGACTTCGGCACCCGTTTCTATGTTTGGTGCTGCGAGCAATGCGAACAAGCCCGATGGTCAGACCGCTGCTGCCACGAGTGGACCTTCTGCGTTCGGGTTCGGAAGCGGAGCAGCTCCCAGCGCCTTTGGGCAGACTGGCGCTTCCCCCGCGACGACGCCTGCAGCTGCTTTCGGTCAAAATGGTGCTTCCGCCATGACACCTACCACTGCCTTTGGGCAGACTAGTACTTCCGCTGCGACAACGCCGACCAATGCTTTCGGGCAGAATGGTGCTTCCGCCATGACGATGCCTACCACCGCTTTTGGGCAAACTTCCACTCCTGGAGGTACCAATGCCCCTACTCCGGCGACGCAGGCCCAGAACGTTTTTACCTTTGGCGCTCCCAAGGCTAGTCCAAACACCCCGGCTGCAGCTGCGCCTGCTGCTAACGGGTTCACCTTCGGTGCTTCCAAGCCAGCCGCGGATGCTACCAAGCCTTCACCATTCGGCGCTGCCCCTTCTGCGGCAATGTTCACGTTCGGCAAGCAGCCTGAGAGTAACACGTCGACGACGAACGGTAGCGCTGCTCCCACCACTCCATCTTCGGCCACCACGCCCTTCACCTTCGGCAAGCCATCCACCGCCCCCACCACGTTCACATTTGGCGCACCCTCCAATGGCACATCCGGCGGTGGCATGTTCACCTTTGGCCAGCAAAAGTAGATCTCCCACCCTTGGGGCCTCAGATGATATAGGCCTCGCGTAATATAAGCATGACCGATATCGGCATGGACCACCCGCATACTTACCTAGTAATATCTGCACCAACTGTACAGTAGACACGTTTGCCTTTTCTTTTTTTTTTGCGCATGTAGTTGGAGTTTCCTGGCGCCCTTATCTGGTGCCTTCTTGTTCATGTTTTGCTCGTTTTGTCCGCGGTTTTCGATCGAGTCTTGCAATCAATGTACTGGCGCAGTGGATACCCGAGCGCACCCTCCATATTTTTTGGCTCCATGAGTGGCATCACTCCCTCCTGCGTCTGGGTACAAAACAGTGACAAAGGCAAGTCCAGCAGCAAACTATGAGGTCCTCGGTTCTACACATCCTCGCAATGTCAACTCACAGATTGATTCGTTTTGAAACACATGCATGGTGGTAATATATGACGTTACATTTTACAAATCATTTGGCAGTCAGTTATAAGAGACCAACCCTCCGAAGACGAAGATATTCTTCCACGGACGGAATAAAGTAGGGTGGGTAAAAAGTAAAGACAGTAGGTAAATATGTACTAATGAGGGCGCACACTAAATTAGTGAAGGAAGCGTCCACACCGAAGTTTGATGTGACAAAGGACGAGCATAATTGCAAACGTCGTGGAAAACGGCAGACACGGCCAAGGCACGTTGTCGGCCGACAAACATTCCGTGCAAACTGAGTACTGGGGTCGTAACGGCTTTTTTGGGTGATGCTGAAAACGGAAGAGGGATCTGAGTCGTATGGGGCAACGGTAACAGTAGTCGGTCGCAACATGAGATGGATGACAGGATACGAGGCTTGAGAAAAGGATTACAAAGTGACGCGCTCATAGGAGGGATGGAGAGAGGTTAGGACATGGAGGGCGGGAGGAAACATGAGTGTCCTGATATCGACATTTAAGTAGTAAGGGGGGTTACGTCTAGAAGGGTATACCTGGTGCTCAGCACGGGGGTGACTCGGCTGCGGCGAGGGGGAAGGAAACGACAGACCATACAAGATTTCCAACTTGACCGCGCGCGCATTATAATTAGTCGTACACTTTTCCACATGCGAACCCAGCCCGGGTGACACACCACCGGGCCATTCCAGACAAAGGCGAAATCGTCACAGATGGCAACTCATGCCATATCATCGTCGACGCCATTTCTCAGTCGGCCAGCGTAGCGGCCTGCGAAACCTTCCGCGTCTTCAGGGTCAAATTCGTCCACGCCGTCTTCATCGACAACGGCCTCTTCCTCATCCTCATAACCAGAGGATCCGCCGATGACGCCCATAGGTGTGACAACGCTCTCCCCGCCGGAGTATGTGAAGCCACGGAAGTTCTCCTGCACGCTGTTCGTGAGTGGAGAACCGGCCACCTCACGCTTCTTCTTCTTCTTGCCAATCTCAATGCCTTTGCCCGTAGACCCATTGGGGCTCGAGCCTGCACCGACACCTGGTGGAAGCTCCGTTGGGCTGAGGGGAGCTGACCGTTCGCTGCCGAGAGGTCCATTTGGGGTATGTGCGAAGCCTGAACCACCCACGCTTGCGCTCATGGTCCAATTTTCGCTTGGGTCTTCCTCATCGAGGTGGATGTCGAGATCCATGTCGCCAACATCAGCTGTCGTGAACTCGGGGTCAAAGTTTGCCGTACTCTCATCGGATTCAACGACGGGCTTGAACGGTGGGGTAACCTGCTTAAGGAGCAGAGCGCTCCAGTCGATCGCAGCAAAGAAGGGGTGCTCCTTGAGCTCGGCAGCGTCGTTTCGAGCACCAAGACGATGTTTGGGATTCCGGTTGAGAAGCTGTGCAAATGCATATACAGCAGATGAAGTGACGAGGTAAAAGGAGTTAAGATTAGTTTACTCCGGAGCAGTAGACAGGCGGATCACACATACCCCTTTGACGAACATCTTGCCATCCTCGCTGATGACGTTCCTCGGGAAGCGGATTTTACCGAAACAGATGTTCTTGTACATTTGTTGCGTATCTTCCGCGTAGAATGGACTCCAGCCACAGCACATCTCAAACAGAAGCACGCCGAGACTCCAGAAGTCCACGAGCTTGCTGTAACCATGTTCGTCGAGGAGCACCTCGGGCGCGAGGTATTCAGTTGTACCGCAGAATGTCGTCGTCAGTTCATCAGGCTGAAGGCCAGCTTTCGAGAGACCGAAATCGCATAGTGCGACGTGTCCTGTCGCGTCAAGTAAGATGTTCTCAGGTTTCAGGTCACTGTGCATATGATGATTAGGCGAGGATTTCATACGGGTAAAATGAGCTAGTGACCCACCGATAAACGATATTATATTTATGGAGATGTTCGAGAGCGAGCACTAGCTCGGCGATGTAGAATCGGGCACGTTCCTCGCTGAAACGGGTTTCTTTCTGCAAGTGCCAGAAAAGTTCACCGCCAGACTTGAAGTCGGTAACAAGGTAAAGATCGGAATCCGTCTGGAACGAGAACTTGAGGCCAACGAGGAAAGGGCTTTCAAGGGACCGCTGGAGAATATGTCGTTCGCCAATGGTATGTGCGACCTCCTTCTTGGCGACGATCTCCTTCTTCGAGAGCACCTTCATGGCGTATATCCGCTTAGTGTCCCGCTTCCGTACTTGGAACACCTTGCCAAATGTCCCGCGTCCGATGAGCTTCAAGAACTCGAAGTCGCGAGGAGTCAACGTGCGCCTTGTCTGCGAGTAAAAGTAAGTCATAGCCGTTCACATAATCGAGGAAAGAGAAGCAATGGGAACGCAGGGTGCGAGGAGAGAATCATTATTCCATCAGGCCCATATACCTGGGGAAGTCACGTGTGTTCCCCGAGCAAAGTCTGGGGTTTCCGTGTAATGGCACTGTCTCAGAGTAAATGCCTCCGGTCGCCCGCAGCAATTGCTATCCTCGGATTGCCAACTGTGTGTACAGCGGACGCAGGGTCCCCTGGCTGCCCTCCCGTCTCTTGGCGAAGTAGAACGGCTGAAGCCGGAATGGGGAAAACACGGCATGACGGAGAAAAGACCAAAACAGAACTGGGCAAAACGAAGCAAATCGCACCTTGCACTGCTCGAACGTGACCTGGACGCGTATTTCCCCGGTAACATCCTCGCTCTCGAACGGCCGGAGCCTAAGAGGGTGCAAAAAGTGGTCAGCATCCGATATTATCAGTGCCTATCGCGGAGACAGCCGCCCTAGCGGCAACTCCGATTTAAGACGAAAAAGCTCAAAGGGGGGTTTAGGATGCAAAGCAACGTGGAGGACGATGAGAGACGCGGGATAGATTGGGAAGGTGAATTGCCAGAAGTCGGTTTTGGATGAGAAAAGAAGGAGCGAGGATTCCTGAAACCTGGGGAAGAGAACTTACTTGTGCCACTGGTCAACCGTGTGATCGTGTACAAGGACAGGCTTAATCTGCACTGTACCAAGGAAGCCCAATTCCTCGACTGCCCGGTCGTAGATATTGAGATAGATGAGGGATTCCTCGGAGGTAACATCGCTAGAGGTGGATCTATCAGAAACCAACCCTGTCTTTGTAAGCGACAGAGACGAAGGGCTCACAAGGTCACTTCGTGTTTCCAGACGGGGCTGTGGGCCGAAAGACGACCAAATAAACCATTGGCCGCCGATGGTGGGGGCTGTAGCAATGATGTTTGAGTGGGCGAAATCCCCTTTGTAGAGGTGCCTGCGCCGTTGGCAACGTCATTCGCGGTCTTGACGCCTGGGCGAGTGGTGATAGCGCTAAGTGCGCTAAGAGCATTGGAGGAATTCGTTCTTGAGAGGGTGGTGGCCGTGCCCTTGACCTCCTTGTCCATCTCATCGGTGGGATCTCTCGAGACGAACTCGTTCTGTTCGAATTGAACGACAACGTAGGGTCGACTGTTGGAAGACGAGACATTGATTCCACGTCCGTTTATAAGTTTGACATGGATTTGTCCCTTTGAGATGCCTACGGGCTGTGACTGAGAGGAAGCGGACGATGAGCTCGATGAGGGGGATTGACGAGTCGGGGCAGTGGAAGGGGCCGAGAGGTTGCTAGTTGCTGAGGTGCGGGTAGAGGAGGTAGAGGAGGACGAGGGGCTTGTCTTGGTCTGCATCTGGGCCTTGGGGGAGTTGGGAGACGGGTTCGAGGCGTTCTTTTCCTTCTTCTTGAGGGAGAAGTCTGGGGCATGAAGAGAGATCTGCGTGGTTGGAATGCGAGCCGCGAAGGCACCGGTCGGAGGCGTTAAGGGGCCTACTGTCGGCGGGAGATCGGTAGTGGCCGGCGGTTGGCCGGTCTGGAGAAGATGATGCTGGACAAAGGGCGATGGCGAGTGTGCGCTCCCGCTTGGGGATGAAAGGATGGGTGTGAGGAGGGTGGGTGTCTGCATGCCGCTGGCCGAGGTGGACATGCTCCCGCTCCGGTCCGCCGTACTGGAGTTCTGGCCTGGGGGGACATCGAATGGGTTCGGACGCTCGCGGCCATCCGGATTAACGCGGGGGGTCAGCTGATCGGCGATGATGGACGGCCATAGTTTGATCATGGCTTTGGGGATAGCGAATAGGTTGACTGAGGAGGAGCGAGATGAGGAAGTAGATGAAGGGAGAGAGGAAGAGGGTGAGGTCTCTGGGGGGAAAGCGTCGGACGTAGTAGATGCGACGAGTGGAGCGTTATGGCTCATCGTTGGATGAATTGGCAGAATGTGGAGTGTGCCTTATTAGAATGTCTGAACCGATCCACGGGGATGGAAAAGATGGAAATAAAGAGCCGCCCGCGCCCCAACAGTCGACGAGGAGAGAGAACAAGAGAGAGAGAAAGAGAGAGCAAGAACGGATGGCAGCCAGGCTAGTGGGTGTCTCGCCCCTCGACTGTCGGTCTATATTATTTCTCCCAACCCATGTCCATTTGCCGACATGATGCAAGCAATATTATAATATTTGCATCCACCACGCTCTAGATCTGTCATAAGAGCTTGCTCTACCAAGTTTAATCCGCCGATGCGGCATAATCATCCGTATCATCCCTTTCCCTCGTACTCGCCATATGCATCTAACTCGCATCGCTCGACAGCTCACTGACTCGGAGCTCACTGCAGCTGAAGCGCTGAAGTCCTGTGAGTTGGACTATGATCACGATGTCTCCTCCTGATCTCGCTCCCTCTCCGCCCGGTCAGCTGCCTCAGCTAGATATCCTCGCCCCACCCGCAGCAGGTCCATTCCACCTCCAATCATCCCTCCCAACAGCACCGCTCGACTCCCGACCCTCCCCCGTAGTCCATCTAATTTATTCCCGGCACCACACAATAGACCAATTCACGTCCAAATTCCAATACCACCCAGAGGGTACCCCCCCGAAAATAGGACAATTAGCAATTAAATCATGACCCGTCCAGAAAATTTGCACTCACACACCGCCGCAAACACGCCAGCCGTACCGAGACCAGCACCGGACTCGCGCACCTCCTCCCAGGGCTTTCCCAGTCGTTCAATACCGTCCTCGATCACGACCCAGACCAGCCCTATCAGCCCGAGTCGCAGCGCGTCCACCCCTCCGGTCTTGAGTGCCGCCGCCATTCGCCGGTAATTCTTCGTCTTGTTGTACAAATACCATCCTCGAATGGTCGTCGGTGGCCGGTGCGCATTTTCAGCCAGAAAGCGCAACCCAGCGAGCCGCGAGCCCCGTACAGCGCCGATGAGCGAGCCGACGCCCGCCGCTGACATGGGCAGAATAAAGTACCGCGACGCTACATACGGCGTGATGTCGATGGGCTCCGAGCCCGAGTCCTGCAATGAGTCGGCCGCGGTGCTGTCTGAAGAAGACATCACGCGTCTTGAGTTTGTTAGGTGCTGTTTATGGTTAGGAAGAAGGCGCCCATTGGTTGCGCGTGCCACGACGCCGGCGGCGCGCGTCCGCGTGGAATTGGCTTTTGACCAGTCCCGACCGACAGCTTGACTTTGTTGTTCGATGCCTTCGGGCGCGCTCTTTCTTTCAAACGGAATAGAGAATAATGTGACATATAACTCAGAATCATTTCATATCAATATTTTCCGGGATAGGTTTTAAGAGTCCTCATCAATGATTTGTCTTCCGGCACAACACCGGCCAGCACCAGCGCCGAAAAAAATCAAGGTCGATTGAAATGCATCCATCCCGATTCATTAGCCGGCGCAGCACGCCACGCCAAATGCACGCCAATCACTTGAACTATCTTGTCTCCGTGATTTATGCCATCTGTATCATGATCAGGCACCGTTCATGCCGACGCGGCCGAGGAGAAATTCGCTGGGGTGTATTTCCGCGTTGCATTCGTCTTACGTCGTTTTTTGGGGAGGCGGAGGCGGAGGATTGGGCAAAACGGAGAGGCGATGGCGATGTGGTCGCGACAGCGAATCAGCGCCGCAATTCATGCACGGCAGTCTCGAATCTTTAGCCAGAACCCCCAAAAACGTTCCATCAGTGTAGTTTTCAAGACCGAGCGTCAACGGGGAAAAGGAGTGCCCCTTTGTCGTAGGCGTTTTCTGCCACTAATCAAAGCCCGAGGGGTACAAGAGAAAGGCTAGACCATCTGTATGTAGATCATTCAGATTTGTCCAACTTGCGTGACCTTTACGACCAGGTACGGTCACGGTGCTGACTCAAAGGTTCAACGTTCAACGTTCAAGCACAATAGACAACAATAGAGATGGTGTATGATGGACTTCCTAGTCGCCCAGATCAGGTGTTGCAGTACACCTTTCTCCTGGACTTAGTTGAGTAAATTAATAAACTTAGATGGTTATCGCATTTTCAGCCTCGCAAAGGGCGTCAAATGAATGAGGAAGGCTATCAGACCGAGCACATCGGGGTGACGTCCTCGACGTTATATTCGAGGGGGACCCATAAGGAATTGACGAACCTCTAGAGCGAACCTTTACGGCGGTATGACGGCATGCAGCAATAACAGTAGGTCACGAGGACAGAATGAAGGTGAATGATTGTGGCCTTTCCGGACAGAGTCCGCTCGATGCACGTATTACCGCGGGCGAGTTGGGGTGCAAGAACGATAAGGCATGTGGCCAAGGCAGGCCGTCGCATTGTGAGTTCATGTTGCAGATAACGCGCCTGGAGCTCGATGCGAACATTGCAAAGATATGCTTCGAAGAGACAGAAAGCCCAAGGTTGGACTGCACTTGACAAACAGATGTTTGAAACACTCTATAGATTTCATGGGCAGTCAGCAGAAGTGTTATCAATACCAAGCGCATCCTGGATTGTTAGTAAATCGTTGCGGAATGCCTTGAAAAAAATGCGGGCTACAAGGGTCAAACCGGACCAGGACGAAAAACACGTTTCGTCACGACGAGCTCCCGAGCGTCAATCACCGAGATGCTCAAAAGTACACACATCGAGAGTAATGGGACTGGAGTTGCACTAGGGAAGCCTTTGAGCGCGACGACGGCAAGAGTGGACTGCCATTCGATTTGATCGATGCGCTGTTTGTCGTCGACTTTGTTTGTGTATTGGCCAGCGTGGTCGGTTTGGATCTTGTTTTACCGTGTCTTCCACCCTTTGTCCCCCCGTCCCCGCATGCAGGCGGACCAAACAATTCCGTAAATATGCGCACACCCCGCTACGCCCGCCCGCCCGCGCCTCCCGCCTCCCGCCTCCCGCCGCTCTCGACGACATCACGACGAGCAGGCGGTTTTTGCAAGACGCCCTACGTTAGCGCGCGAATGATCAAGGCTGCAGACATGGCCCGTGCGCAACACGTCGTTTGATTCTCACGCCCGCGGCTCAGCCACAGCAGCGCAACCTTGGTTCAACCAACCCTCGTTGAACAGAGCCCCGTCAGCGCCCGCTCTCAGCTACCCACCCCCCTTTCTCTTCCACCTCCTCCTTCGTATTTACGTCACTCGCAATTCCGGGTGCGTTCAGAGACGAAGGCTTGGTTAGAGTGTTTGGTGTTGCAGAATGGCACAGCAGCCCCCGTCGACAGTGATGCCCTCCAACATGATGCCCCCGCCTGAGCAGGCCCAGGGCTCGTACTACCCCGCCGAGCCCGCTGACCTCACGGGCGGTCTGCCCATCAACCTCGACTCGCTCAGGGACGGTCCTCCAGGCAGCAAACCATTCTACCCGTACTCGACGCTCATCAGGTCTGTTGAAGCAACGGCTTTTATTCAATTAGCATCGTGTGATAACATCTGAGGATAGATACGCGATAAAAGGATCGCCAAACCAGAAGCTACTGCTTGAAGATATATATTATGCTATCGAGTCGCGCGTACGTCGAATTTTCCTAACAATCCTTGCTGCGATTAGCGTTTTGGCTGACACGTAAGCCTAGTTTCCCTATTTCCGAACGGCTCCCTCAGGCTGGAAGGTGGGTGATCCCGAATTTCTCTTGATCGCGATGTGAGGGTCATACGCGAGTCGAGGAGACGCGTCGCAGCCTCGACGCGTACCGCGATGTTGATATTTGATTGTGTTCATGTTTGTTTTGCCCTGGGGCAAACACAAAGCTCGATCACTATCCCCGCATGCGGCCGTCGCGCCCTCGCCTCTGGCTCTGCCTTGCCTCCCTATACAATCTTTTCAAAATGCCATGCTAACTAGGCGTCGTTAATGTAGAACTCTGTTCGACACAACCTATCGCTGAACCCGTGCTTCGAGAAGGTGCCCCGCCCACTGACAGATCGTGGGAAGGGCTCCTACTGGACGGTGAACGACAACGTCGACCCGCGTACGGGTGTGCATCGTGTGCGCAAGAAGAAGCCCAAGAGTGGGCGGCGTAAGGGTACATCGGAGGAGCCGCAGGACGTTGACTATCATCCCTCCGAAGGCTTCGCTGGAGACCCTCATGGTCATCCTGGCTTTGTCCCGCCCCCGCCTATGCATCCCGATGAAGCTGGACCAAGCAGACAGCCGCCATATCCTATGTACCCTCCGCCACCGTACGTTACTGGCCAACCAATGCCGTAGATGTTTGCTCACGAAATACCCAACAGAGGCTTTGATCCCCATTTCGCCATGATGCCTCCTCCCGCGGAGGGCATGCCACGGTACCCCCCAGCGATCCCCATTACGCCTGATGGGACGTACGAGGTAGACGAAAACGGGAACATCAACTGGCGGCTCTCATGGCACAAAGAGCTTGGGCACCTGCAGCAAATCACGGCTGAGCAGGAGAAGAACGGCGTCGCTGAGGAATGGTATCAGGCGATGCTCTTCCGGTTGCGGATGAGCCTCTGGGGCCCGCCGCCGCCGCCGCCTCCTGGTCCCGGTGCTCCTGGTTACGCCCAACAGCAGAACATGCATGGTGGCATGCAGCCTCAGTCGGAAGAAGAGCCACAGCAGTGAGGAAAGGGTAGATCAGTTGATGGAGCACTGTACAGCTTGACGATGGGATCGTGGCGCACGGTGTGAGTGAAATAGGGAGATGCTGGTTGGCTGGAGGGACGGAGAGGTTGTACAGGAAGGCAGGACGTGCCGACGTCGATCGCACCACTGCGTTCGAAGCCGAAGAATGGCGCGGACACGGAGATATGATTTCAGATTGGCTTTATCGTACCTTTGGCTGCTTGCATTTCGTTGATTCACTGAGTTATTTTCTTGGTATTGCTAATTCCTGCAGTATGATTGGCTGAGCGTTGCTTCGAAACATAAGGCTGTATACAGGCGATGCGATGGTGTTTCCCAGGTGTTGGCTAAGATGAAGGACTGTCTGTATTTGCTCTGAAGCTAGACTCCTGCGGGCTATGCATTATTCAGAAGGGAGATATTTTGATTGATGTACGTTTAGGTATGGGGAAGTCGTCATTGGCCTGAAGTGATGGCTTTCCTGGGGAAAGCTTCCAAACTCCAGAGGTCTCGTTGGGTTAGTGAAGCAATGGCATGGAGCTTTCGGACAAACAACGCAGACAGCTACGTGCTGTACTTACTCTAAGATTTTTGGGAACCGTATTCTAAGCCGCCAGTGTGCTGTAAGCAGGTGCGTTTGTCAGTCACCGACGCTGATTTGTAAGTCCAAGTAAAGGCCGAGACTTTCGAGCACGGTAATCTCAATTCCAGAAGCCTCAACACTATTATTTTTAGGGATCCCTGTGCTCACGCACACGGGCGCTACCACGCGATGAGCTCGGTACCGCGCAGATTGTCGTGGAGGACCGCGTCGACCGCGCCGTACGGGGTCTGGTGAGATGAGACGGATCAGGCTCACGGGCTCCTTTTGCAATGAAGGGCCATCGATTCGCTCTTTGGCCCGAGGGAACGGAGAAAAGCCGATAGTCCGAGCCCCGATGGGGTGTGTCGGAGTTCGGGTGGGGGAATGAGAATGGGTATGAGTGGGAGGCAGCTGGCTGGGAAGGAAGACGGTGATCAAAGGAAGGCAAACGATGGGGAGATGGGGGTTAGTCAGCGCGGGATACTTAATCAGATAGACACGACCGCCCTGTCCGTTCTCCCCAGCTCACCCCCTTCTGACTCTGCTGCACAGCACAATTTGAATACCACTCCCGCACTTCATTTTCCTTGTCAGTCCGGCAAATAGCCAGCGGAGCACACCATCACCCGTCATCCATTCATCCATCAACAACAATGGCTCCCACCGCTGTTTACTCCAACTCCCCCATCATGGCCCTCGAGAACGAGAAGCTCTCCCTCGACGCCGACTTCCCCGTTCCCAAGCCCACCGGCCCCGTCCTCGCCGTCGGCTCTCTCGCAACCGCCCAGGATGGCCAATACCAGTCCATCGTCACTTCCCTCGACCAAGAGAGCGACAGGTCAGTGGAGAAGCAGATGCTTGACCGCCTCATCGATGGTGGTGTGTACCTTCCTCTACCCCCTTCCTCCGGCACATATCTGATAACCCGCTTCGCTTAGCTACCACACTAGCACCTTCGACATACGCTGCTGTCCACGTCGTCCTTTCTCCCGCCGAGTATGAGAGGCTCATGCCCTCTATTGGATCCGTCCTTACCCAGCTCCTTGCTGGCCTCACGCCACTTGGCACCCTTCACCTCCTCAACCTCACCTCTGGCCTCCTTTCCCTCCCCACCGAGCTTAGCCTCGTCGGCTTCACCATTCTCTCTTCTCTCCCCGAGAGTGGTACCATCATTGCTCAAAAGCCCGCACCAGCTACTTCATCGGCAGCCCTCCCTCTCCGGAAGAAGGCCGACCCCACACGAAAGAGCACGAAGAAGGCCCTTTGGGCACTCAGCGCCCCCGGTACTCCCTCCATCGATGCCGAAGCTCTTCTGACTGCCTCCGACCGCGCCCGCCCCGCTGCATGTGAGCCTGCCACCGCTAGCGGCCCAAGGCGGAAGAAGGCGTGCAAGAACTGCTCGTGCGGCCTCGCCGAGCTCGAAGCGGAGGAGGAAAGGACTGGCAAGGTCGTCCTCCTCGACGGCGAGGGCGCAGTTGAGATTGGCGCCGGTGCCGACGAGCAGGAGCGGTTGCGTGCTGCAGCTGCGGGTGCCCCCAAGGCGACAAGCAGCTGTGGGAACTGCTTCCTCGGCGACGCCTTCCGCTGCGCGAGCTGTCCGTACCTCGGTCTCCCCGCGTTCAAACCCGGTGAGAAGGTCGAGATCAACCTCGGGGACGACGACATCTGAGCGATGACGCCGTTGTTGCTGTTGCGGTAGACGCTGTTAGTGGATGGAGAGTACTCTACATCGACGGGACTAGCGGTCTGGTCTCCCTCTTGACTCCTGGATTGGAATAAAATGTATTTCTTTCTTGTTTTTTGGTATGTAGATACTGTATTCCTTTAATATACTATGTATGCACATAACATCACCTAGGTTCCCAAGTCCAACATCTGAGATTGGCTCGTACGTCACCGTCTGAAAAGGCTAAACTTTGATTTGGTCCCGGGTGGCGCGGACTTGATTAGTGTTGGAACTTCGAAGGGCGAGTGTTGCGCAAGTGTCGCGTGCGCACCGATGCCAGAAACGCCACCATGGTGGTAATAATGGCAGCACACTGAGTGCCTCAGGCTTCTTATTGCTAATATTAGATAAACAAGGCCCTCTGGGCGAGCCTGGATCCAAATCGTGCGTGTCGAGTGTGCCCGTCGTCGCTTTCTCCAACGTGAGAGGAGCGTGCTCGGACCAAGTGCATGGATTGTCAATCATACATTGGCCTACTACAACGACAAGCTAAAGTACGAATTTGCAGATAGATTGGCACGAAGGAAATTAGAGGGTGGAGACGTAGTAGTAACAATGAAAAACAGTCAGCAGGGAAGTATGCATTGAACGTCAAAGATTGATAAACGCGGAAGAGCTAGTAGCGTGAACGGAGCGAGAAGATCTACCTGGAGTAATTCGAACCGAACTTTCGTGCGCAGCTGTCTGTTCTCTGTGACTTCAGATCTACGCAAGCGCGCGTCAACGTGAACGAGGTCCGGAACCTAGAACGCTGTCAGGACGGAAAGAGGTAGCCGATTCCGAACCGTAAACGCTCCCACGAGTCCGAATCGGGGTAAAAAATGGTAAGGCAACTCTTGGGATACACCTGTCTACCTTTGTATCCAGGAATAAAGACACTGTGGAATTGAATTAAGAACGACTTTTTATTATGAGTTTTATACTGTACTAACGGTTAATCAGACCTCCGACTGTTGAAAACCCGGTGCTCTAAAAGCTGTATGTTGGCTGTGTGTTAGATGTCTTATAGGGTTTTTCTAACCCAAGGTAATAACCTAGGTATTGAATATTGATTCGCCACGGACCACCTGTGCGAGTGGCACGATTCAGTGCCTGCGGCACAGCAGTGACAGCCATCCATTTCCAGATACATATAATGTGGGGCATATTATCTGTTCTGTGAGAATCCCCTTTGCTCCGAGTCTAGACAAGGGTGTTTGGAGTGTTGCTCGGCGCCTGGTCTCGGTGAATCTTGCATGTTGACAGCAGCTTGACCAACCGCTTCGCCGTCATTGGCAGAAACTTGACCGATCAGAACGAAGGCGTTATATTGATATGGGGCCTGAACTGGTAGCTTGCCGCTGGTCTGGACGTGTAGCCCTAGCCCAGCCATCCGTATATGTATCACTGTTGTGGTAATAACAGTAAAGAGAGCGACCCTGAACTATCAGTTGACGGTGACCGGCGACCCTCATAATTAACCCTTCAAGCAAAAGAAACAAAACCAGTGTCCATTCTATAGTATGTATAAGTTGGAAGGAACCAGTATTTCGATGGAGAGATCGTTCACTGTGACATCTACATGGAAGATCATATTTCTAGCGTAAGATCACCACTGGTAAATGCTGTTGCAGCCCGGCTTGGCAAGATCCAGGCCACCTCGAAGTAAAGGAGCCAGAATCTGCCCCAAGACAATGGTATTCTGAACGATGGACTCGACGTCGTGGGGTGTCACGCGGCCATACCATACGCTCGCTCCGCGCGGGGTATATATCTAAGTGTAAAGTCAATACGCCAATTGGAGGAAGAGAAACGGAAAGCTGCAGACGTACAATACAATTTCCAGCAAACTTGTGCCCTCCAATGTGAGAGCTCTTGATGATGAGCACCCTGTGCTCGCTCTGGTGTGCCTTGAGTTGCTCCTCGAGCGCGGCTTCGTCGCTATCGGTGTCCTCTATCGAAGGCGTATGCGAGAGGTCTTCGAGCTGGGTATGCGCCTCCCACCCTTCTTTCTCAAGATACTGGACAAATGCTACAAAAAAAGTAAACGTCAGGATTCTTTGCAGGACGAAGCTAGTTGAGATGGTAGCCGTACTCTTTTCTAGAATAGGAGCAGAGATGTGGCACCTCTTGTCACGCCGTTTGTGCGAGCCTATGAGAAAACGGATCTATGTCAGTGGAGCAGATAAATTCTGGTAATCAGTTGACGCACAGAGCAAGATCAGACAAGAATACGGAAGGATCCACGACTTGAGCTCAGAGGCTTCCTGCTTTGAACCTGCGCGCCGACAGTCGGGATCTAGTGCAGTCTTCCAAAGCTGCTCGGCACCGGGGAGCGAGTGCGGGACACCCGCCACAACTTTAAAGTCCGGAAGAACGATGACAGACTCCTGAGTGTGGTCATCGCAGAATGTCTTATGGCTCGCATTAAGAATCGACAGCCGTGTGGCCTCGTCCTGGGCGAAGACACCGGGAATGCCGGAGCCGCCGCCCTTGCGTTTGTGTTTATGCCCTTTGCCAAGCGCACTGTCGGCCTCGGACAAATAGTAGGCGAGAGTGCCATAGGCGCTTGTAACCTCCCTTTCCCAGTCACTTTTCCTGGTCGACACCAGAACCTGAATGCTCGTTTTCAAGTTACACTGGAAGAAAATGTATGACACCCACCTGGCGGCGGTAGGGCTTCACGGAGCCGAGCATGTCGGAATCCATGTTGACGTCGATACGTTTGGAAAAATCGTCATGGTCTATAGCGGTTTAATAAGCTGTACGTTCAGAGCCTACATGCCTTGACCTACCTTCGCAGGGATCGGCACAGTTTCTACAGTCAGCGGAAGTGACAGGGATCGAAGCAGCCTGCAGGTTTTCAAAAACCTGTTGCGCGTCGCCGGGCACACGGCCAGTGACAATGGCTCTCAACTTTCCAAAGGCGCTCATAACGGTGTGTAGGTAAGAGGGGAGGCAGGCAGGCAAGGGAGTGGAACGCGGTGATGCCGTATGAGTCCATATCCTAGCCTTTATCTGATAACTCTCCGTCGTAATCGCGCACGGTGGCTGTTCCTTAGTCAGTCAGCATCCGACGCAGCATCAAAAATGCTGGGAAACTGCTGACATGCTGGGAAGATATTGACCGATGCAAAGTCCGGCAACATGACGCGCAAGTTTCGGCGAGTCAGCAAGATGTGAAAAGCAGACAGAGTGTGCATAAGATATTATTAAAACTGATGCTTGTCTATAGTGAGATCAAAGTTGCCCTGCTGCGAGCATGCGCCGCAGTCATGTTAACATTTGACCAACCAACCATGTCGTCGCGAATCGGCATTTCAACTTCGGCATTGGGTTTGGCACAACGCCATGGTTCACGTTCAGAACGTAAACAGCGGTGTTTGCTGTGGAGTGCTGCGCCTATTGAAGGTAAGTGTCAGTGAACCGAATAGCATGGCATTGCTAGCGTACCTATTGACTAGAGCGAGCGTGCTCCTTCGCGTCTTCGTCTACCTGCCGCCGTACCCGGCCCGCATTCTCCTTCAGCACCTCCCAAGACGGCTGGCCCTTCGCATTCGTGCCCAACAACGCCTCGCGCACACGACGCATTCTCTCTTGCGGGCTCTCCTTCCACGCCGCGCCCATAGCGCTTGCAAAAATCGACGTGTCCTCCCCGAGGTCGGTCCTTTCATCAATGTTCGTTAGGAACTTTGGTGCTTCCTTGCGCTTTTGTATAATGCTGGCGAGGGCATTGTATTCAGCGTCCTTGTTAGTCTGCGATATTTGGCTGCCGAATGCCATGGATTGTTTGGGGGCAAACGTCTCGTCGATGACGTTCTCGAGGTTTTCGGGAGATATGAACCGGTCGCTCTGGTGGTAAATGGAGATGAGAGCGCGCATTTTGGCGTCATGCCGAGCTTTGGCTTTAGAGGAGGCGAGCCTCTTCGCAGTGAGACCAAGCGTTGGCAGTCTCGACGGACCAGCGACCGGTGTGAGCATCGTGCAAGGCGGAACAGGTCTAAGAGCTGCACTCGTCTGCGCTCCGTGTAACGACGCGACGTGAGAAAGAGTGCCGTTTATGTTATAAGCCCCTGATTGAGGCAGGAAGATCCAAGAACCACCCCACATTCTCAGTACACGACGAATATATTTAAACAAAATTATAGCGTGACGAAACATTCTTCATGATTACAGGCGGGCCTTCATCCCGGCCTTCTCCCAAACAGCCTTCTCCTTCTCCTTCAGCTCAGCGGCACGCCTATGAAGCTCGGGGGCACGTTTCAGCTCCCTTTGTCCAATCTGTTGAAGGTGGACCTAAAACCGAAGGTTTAACAACCCGTCCAGTCAGTTAAAATAAAGGATGACTCACAGCGTCGGGTCCCTGGAGATAAAGAGGAAACGAAAACATCAGTAAAGCACCTAAAAACCCTAACGAGCACACAAACATCTGCGAAGCGCAAGGTCCTCAGCTGTGCGTAGGCACTTGCAAGGGGCTGGTCTTGACTGAGACCTTCGGCACCGAAGGCTTGCATGGCGCGGTCGACGACGGTGCAAGCCATAGAAGGAACAACAAACTTTGCGGAATGTGAGCACGGGTCCAGATGGCATGGCATAGCTAATGTACCTTTGCAATGCCAATTTCCTTCAAGGCACCCTTCGCCATGTGCTTGTCAATCTGTCTGCTGTGAGTATGCCATCATAATCTGGAACAAAGATTTCGTACCTGCACAGCAGCGCTCAGGACGAGCAGCCGTGCGGCTTCGATGTCGGCACGGGATTGTGCGATTTCTGAGATGACTGTGCCGTGTTGGTACAAGAATTTACCAAAGGTCTTTCTGTTGGGGTCAGTCACCCGCTGGATCATCAAGTCCAATGCCACGGACGCGCAGCCGATGGACCTCATGCAATGGTGAATACGACCTGGGCTAAGAAGGAGCATTAGTCGATGTCAGGCATTTAAAGAGGCAATACGATTCACCCCAAACGACCTTGAATGATCTGAAAGAGACAAGATGAGACGGGGAAAGTATTGCGAGCCCAGAGAGCATACCTCGAAGCCTCGTCCCCAGCCGAGCACAAGGTTTGACAAGGGCACACGGACGTTATCATAGATAACCTCACAGTGGCCCTCGGGCGCGTCGTCATAGCCGAACACCTCCATGGGGCGGATGACCTTGACCCCAGGTGCGTCAGCAGGGACGATGACGACGCTTTGCTGGCGGTAGCTGTCAGCGTTGTCGGGGTCGCTCTTGCCCATGACGAGATGGAGTTTCGTCCGCGGGTCACCGGCGCCACTGATCCACCTGTATCGCGAGAGTTGAGCGAACGTGGGCGGAGATGAAGGCAGCTAAAACTCACCATTTGTGGCCGTTGATGACAATCTCGTTCCCCTCCCTCCTGATAGAGGTCTTGATGTTCTTGGCGTCAGACGAGGCCACTAGACTAAGATCAGAATAGCGAGGTGCATGCAGGGCTGTATTCACTCACCAAACCTTTCGGTCATGGCGAAGGCAGACCGAATCTTGCCGTCAAGGAGAGGCTCAAGCCATTGTTTCTGCTGCTCTGGAGTACCATATCTAGCAAGCACCTCTGAGGAAACTTCCTTCAACAAAACAATGTGATGTTTAATTATTGTGCGATGCTCACCCATATTTCCAGTGTCAGGGGCTGCACAGTTCAGCGCTTCAGAAGCCATATGTCCACCACGGCCCAAAATCTCGGCCATAACAGCATACTAGTCCCCAAATACGAACTGTCAGAAGAGCTTCACATGGAAATACCCAGTTCTACGAGAGGACACACCTCAAGGTTTGACAAGGGGACACCGTACTTAGGGTAGTGCGCCTTACTGAGGAACAGATTCCAGAGGCCGAGCTTGCGTGCCTTCACTTTCAGCTCCTCGATGACCGGGACCACCGTCTTCCAGCGCAGCTCAAGGTCCTTGGGGATCTGTTCATGAGCCAGCCTTTGGGCAGGCAGAATCTCATCCTATACCAAACCATTCAAGATGCCAATCAACTTGGGCTGGCGAGCGGACTGACCTTGAAGAACTGCACAAGTTTGGCAAGAGTCTCCTTGCCGAACGGGGTGAACTTGTCCTCGATCTTGCTTCCACGCGTCAGGTCTCTGTCAGGTCTAGCATACGTCAACTTACGAGGTCCCAAGAGGATTGAGAGGTAAATTCAACGACTGGATGGGACATGGCGTATAATGCGGGACAAGAATGAGTATTAATTTCTATGTAGTAGATGCGTGACGTTCCTAAGTACTCTAGTCCGGAGCAACAGAGGCTCCGGCACCCGGAAGTCCGGGGTAGCCGTTCCGTATATGGTATACTGTACACTGTCCGTCAAAGGCGCAGATTAAGACCAATGGCAACACGGAAGATGGGGTGCATAGGCAGTAGAGTAGGTAGAGGTAGAGGAAAGGCGAGAAAAATCCAGATACAACAGACGAAAGCGAGTCAAGTATGGATACACTAGATGGTCAGTACAAAATCATGCGCCAAAGCTCATTGGAAAGCCGTCCCATCACTGCTGAGCTTGGTGAGAGGAAGAGGAATGTTGGACGTTGTCATGGCTCTCGGGATGTCCATCGCCGAAGTTGAAGGGCAACTCAGGATCAAATCCAAAATTGACGTTTTCAAGGCCTTGTTGCCAAAGGGAGTCCTGATCGTGAACAGGATATCCGTTTGGGTTGTAATTTCGGATGTAATCCAGTCCGTGGAAGGGCAAACCAGGTGTTGCAAATGATGCTCCTGGAGGCGTCGTAGACAGCGTATATTGCAAATCCGACGATCCGTTGAACCAGGCGTCCATAGTAGTCGGATGGGACTCAAACCCAGTATTGAATGCCGGATTAGTCGGTGAGCTCGGCGAAAACATCTGGGGTTCTGACCCGGTGACGTCCCATGTATGCGAAGAAGAGGCAGCGAGTGGGCTTTGGTGTATCCCATAGTCGTAGTCAAATCGAGGAGATGGAACATGAAGCGGCGAAAGTGATGTGCCACTGAAAGCGTACGGAGACGCATGTGTCATTTGCGGGCTGTCTTCGAGATTGTGAGGACCCTCGACGTTCGACATGGACGGAGACGGAAGATTGCCCGAGGCAGGAGAACCATGTGGACTAGGTTTTTGACCTGTTACGGTGGGGCTACTAAGAACGCTATGGATGGAAGGATGAGGGCTTGGGAGCCCTTCACTTTCATCATGGCCTCGTTTCCGAGATGTAGATCTGTTTCTTTGGGCTAACAAAAGTTATGTCAGTCAAAAGAGGAAGAATGGGGGAAACAAAGAACATACAGTCAGTTCTGTAAGGAGCGCTCACGGGAGCACGCCTCGTTGCGCTAGGATCTCGAGAGCGGCTGATCCGCCTAGGCTTGCTTTTCATCGGCCGACTCGCGCCAGAGAATTGCGAATTTTGAGCCGAGGTTGAAACGGAGTGCCGTCGCTCAAGAAGTGCTGGTGCCACGGGCGGAGGCATTGTCTGCTTCCTCACGGCATCATCCGCCGTGGTAATAAGTTCGTTTAACAACTCCTTGCACTTCCGGGCACCCGGCCAGTGACCCTCCCAAGCCTCCAGCGGTCGCAGGCAAGTCCGAACCTCGTCCATAGCAGCCGGTGCAGCTTTAGGATCACTGTGCATGGCGTAAAGCAGTACGATTACAGCGGAGCTAAAGAGATGTTGGATGAAGAAGGACAAGTGGTGAGATGGGGGTACAACTTGGTTGATCGTTACGGAGAGGCGGATGCAAGCACGAGCTGAGGTCATTGCTTTCGCCGTGGAGGAAAGGGAAGTAAGCTCGTTCCTTTTGACCGGCAAGAAGTTGCGATGCAAAGCCGTGTGCACGGAGTAGTAGTGACTGCAGAGGACGGCGCCCATCGAATATTGCTGCTCATTGGCCGGTGCAGTCTTAAAGGCAGCCGGTAATTCCTCAAACCACTGGGTGAGTTCAGCATCCAGAACATCGACACGGCGTTGAAGATCCGTTTTCTTCTCTGGCTCAAGGACATCCTTGTAGTTGTCGATGGCATAGACTTGCCGAAGGACACGACCGCAAATCTGGTAGAGTCGGATAAGGAACAATGTGCCAGACATAAGGGATGGCTGCTTCTGGTCCACAGGGTTTCCATTGAAATATGCAGGTAATGCTTCGTCGTCCACATCAACTGGAAACTCAGCGTCACAGTCGGAATCCTCAACGCCGAGGGGGCGGCCAAGAGCAAGAGCAAGCATACGGTCCAATGCGTAGACAGACCACCAGACCTTTTTGCGCGTTTCCTTCTCAATTACAGGCGCATTCAATCGCCTAGAAGAACGCTAACAATAAACCCTCAGCAAAGAGTATTGCTGACGTCATGGAGAACGAACGTACATGAAGCCCTAAATCTTGGGCGGAACGCACTGCTTGTCCTACCAACAGCCAGGCCTGCGGCAAGCAATTGACAGAGCAGAGGAATGACGACATAAGAGCGAGACTTTGGACGTGATATAACTGAATGGAAGCATGACTGATATAATGTAGAATGAGAGCTCTGTAGAGTCATGTCAGAGATCTTTCGCTGATCGACGAAAACAACTTACCTTTCGTAGTAAATCATGCCCATACCACCGTCATCCGACGTTTCCCCGTGAAGACGAGGATCGTCAACGAACCTCGCAGCGCAAGCAAAAATTGCGAAGACCACAGATGTGAAAGCTGCCTCAGCTTGGACGTAATTGACATCGCCCTTCCTTCTGTTGTTCATCAGGCTTCTGTACTTCTGCATGAAGGAAGGCTTATCCACGACAGGAAAAAGGAAGTGCAAACGGGAGAAATACGCATCCACCTGCATAAATGTTTGTTACGTGAAAAGACAGGATTCACAGGATTCACCTACCAGTTTCTCGGCCAAATCTTCGTCAGGATACTCGACTTCCTCCGCACCTGGTAAGGCATGGACTTTGCCAAAGAAGACTGAGGCTGGGAAATATAGCTTGTTGGCACTCGGTCCGGGCGCCCGCGGGTCCTCCTCCATGGGTGAGATCCGGTGAAGCGGGGGAGTGGTCATAGACCGAAACGACTGTATGAGGGACATAGTGGAGGAGCCCCCTATCCAGCGCATGTGCCCATGCTCGTCTAGAGCCAGCTGCCCAAGTGCTTCAGAGACCTCGTCCTCCATCTTGACGATCGAAGATTCTGGGGAAGACTGCTCTGCCACCTGGATTTCTGAGGCCACTTTCGAGGAGAGGGCTTGTAGTACTGCAGATGCGGGAGCCAGTCCACCATCACTTGACGTCTCTGGATTGGTGGATGCTCCGGGCACACCGGGGAGATTGAGTGAAGGGCCTAGTTGGTCGAGGACGGGAGTTATCTGAGCAAACACGGACTCCATGTGCAGCAATCTTGCTTCAAGCTCTTGCACATAGCTGTAGAACAGGTGAGGGCAAGTACGTAACCAGGAGGCCCTTAACACGTACTGTCTGCTTAAAGCCGCTCTGTCTTTGGTCTGAAGCCAGGTGCACTGGGATCCAGAGCTCTGACACTGAGAACAAGTAGGCTCGCAGCCGTCGCATTTGATCTTCTTCCGCCTGTGAGGATACGATAAGGAGCTGAGTGAAAAAGGATGATTATTAGGGTGAGACCGCAAACACACCTGCAACTCTCGCATGCTCGCCAGACTCGGCGTCGTTGGAGCTGGATTGGCTTTGTGCCAGAGTCTGTGGGAATGGATTCATCATCAACTCGTTGTTTCTTCTTGGACTGTTGTGTCATGAGAGGGTCGTCGTCTGCAAGGGGGTGTTTAGGAGAGAGCTGAAGCTGATACTGAGATGTAGCGGCCAGGTATCTCCGGTGGGTGGTCGGGTCGGCCCGATACCATGGCTGACTAAGCTTTCGCTCGTTATGGTCTTGTGGCCGGCCCTAAAACGTGTAGAACTTGGTTAGCTTCAGGTACTACTGTTCGTCGATGCACAAAGAAACGCTCACCTCTTGTTTGTGATTGTTTCCTGACATTGAGGATGCCACTGACTAGGAGGGTGGGTGCAGCGCAAGGAATAACTCATAACTTTCCCCCTTGTTTCCCTTTTAAAAGACCTCGTCGGAAATGAACATCGTCGTTCCAGCGCTTACACAGCACTCGTCGGTCAACTAGGTAACATAGCGTCCCGGACACTCTTTACCCGCAATTCTGCGTCCCTCTCGGTGAATCTTGCACCGATCTCCTACTCTACGCTCACCCCACTCTCCGTTGCACATGGGACTATAATAGGCATGTTATCTAGTTGAGGTTTCTCGCTTCTAACCTCATAACTGTAGATCATAGTTCGATTTCTCTCTCCCGATTTCTTCTCGGCGCCACGTCTACCTTTTGTTCTATGATCGGCTAAACTGTTTTTCTGCAATGGAAGTGGAGACGTCGCACAATTCTACGCGATCATTTTCACGGTTGCATGTGCTGCGTTGTACCTTTCTTTGACCGTTTGAGGCACCCGGATAGTCACAACAGGGTATCTGGGGCAACGGCCAAGATCGACGATTTGAAAGGACTCGAGTTCTCGGAAGCCTTTCGACCCCGACCGCAATGACGTTCCGGAATATTCCTGCCAAACGATTACGCTCCAATGTACAGCCCATGCAGTACGCAGCCAGGTAAATGAGGTGTGCTCACCACGTGGTATAGAGTATATTTGCCTCGAGGACTAATCGGTGACCAGTGCACCTGGCTATTCCAGGACCTTCTTGCTTGCAGGAGTCATACCAAACACGCTTTATAAGCACACACGCGATGATCTGTGGCTAATCTTACCCAATATATTCGCGCCGAGTGAACGTGTTGAAGCCGCCGGACTGGAAAATATCAAAGCGCAGAGCCCAAATGCCCGATTATGCAGGCACGGCTGGAGTGCGGTCCTGATTGGTTATGTATGATCTTGGTTTCGATAAGCCAAACTACCATTCTGAGAACTGGGACCGAAGGCATGTCACAGCTTGTGAAACTTTGCAAAGTTGTTGAACCTCCTTCTACAGCGTCTCTTTCTCACAACGCTGCGATCCTGGTCTCTGCCGAAGCTCTTTCCAATGTGCCTTGTATTCAACCATTTCCACACGGGCCGCCGTGAAACGACAGCGGAGATGAATCTTCGCGAAATCGTGACCAGACTTTCATTTTTCATTCATTCCGCAAAGTATCTACTTACTGGGCCTTCATCAAAGGCAATATCCACCTGGACCCATCTCCGGTACTAATAAACAGCGAGTCAGATTTCTTTTTGTTTGACGAAGGAAACAACGTAACATTCAGCGACTGAACAAACGCTTGGGAGTTTCACTCGAGCTACCTGTGACCGTGTCGAGAGTCAACTTCTCCAGCCATTCAACTCAAAAAAGTGGCCCACCCGATAACACGGAAGTCTCCAATGTCTGAATGGCCACGCACGGCCTTCATTTGCCCGTAGTCAATGACTCATAGGACTCGTCATGGGACGGTCACTGGAGTGACCTGTGCTTGTAAATTCTATATTTATTGGATATTCTCGATAGCAGGAATTCAATGTACCTGTCCCTGGACGCTGTACAGAGGACCAATCCCGCATGATAGAACAACGTGTATGTTATTCTTGCAACATGAACGAGAGGCCATACGTTGATATAAAACCATTGTTCGCGGGCCAAATGGCTGGACTATTTTTTATGGCCACGGCTGACAGATATACGACGTCGGGGTTCCAACGTTAGAAGCCCACCGATTCACGGTAATCATCAGCAATGCATTAACTAATTCATTTGAGGTGTTATCCACCACTCACGGTAGCAAGAGAACTACTTATCCGTTTTACGCGGGAGGAACAGTGAGTCCATGAGAGAGAGAAATGGATGACTTAGGATAAATGGAGGTGCACTACGCCATATACCAAGAGTTCGCCGCATGCGCAGCTCTTGAATTATGCTTGGTCATTGCTTAGATGATCGAATATGACCTTGTGGTAGAGCCCAAGGCACTCACCTTCCATACTTTTCGAGTGGATTTTTTAGCGGTGAAAACGTGCCTACGTAAGTACTCAACACGCTGAGGTGTGGTGTTCAAGCCAAGTACCCGTCAAAGTCTTCCGAACAATTCTGACGTCAGCGGCAAGTCGGCCCCTGCCGGCCCCTGAAGGGGAGGACCTGTTTACCCATATTTGCAGCCTGCCCATTTCTGGCGCTGCGTCGGTGGGCGAAGTTTTGCGCGACGTCAATAACCGGCTTGCAGTTAGGCGTTCATCATGGCCGACGTGCAGGAGAACCTACTGCCACCTGCTGACGCAGCTGAGGCTGACCCGGCTATTGACGATGGCGAGGAGGCCGAGTCCAAGGTGTGTAAGGCCATTGCGTCTTCCTGATACCCGTCATTCATGAATGTACCATTGGTCTGCGTCCGCGGTCGCGTATAGGAAATCCAACTGATGAAGCAGCGCGTCGAGGAAATGGAACGGGAAGCGAAGAAGCTTCGGGAGCTTCAAGCAGCCGCTGAGACCGATGACCAGTCAGGCGAAGGGGGCTCCGGTGAAGCAATGGACACGCTTGAGGACAAGCAGGCTGCGGACAGTCGGAGTGTATACGTAGGCAACGTAGGTCCTCTCCGCCGAATACTAACTGTATACCGTTGGAATCAACCTCATTCGATCCCTGTCGGTGCAGGTCGATTATGGCGCTACACCAGAAGAAATACAGGCACACTTCCAGGCTTGTGGAACCATCAACCGTGTCACCATTCTCTGTGATAAATTTACTGGCCATCCCAAAGGGTACGTGTATGCTTATGGGATCTTATTGCATCGAAGGTGCTTATCTTGATGCTTAGTTTTGCATATGTTGAGTTCGCCGAACCTGATTTCATCGACGCAGCACTGGCTATGGACAACTCTTTGTTCCGAGGACGCCTCATTAAGGTGAAGGGATTGTATTGGTTTATATCAGACCTCTCATTGTCATTATATTTTCACACAGGTGACGGCAAAGCGGACCAACATACCAGGGTTCAATCGTGGACGGGGACGGGGGACCTACCGAGGTGGTTACCGAGGGGGATACAGAGGCGGCCAAAGTGGCTATAGTCCGTATCGGGCTCGCGGCAGGTGAGAATGCTGCTCACGTATGAACCAAATGTATCTTATGCCTATCAAAGGGGAAGAGGGCGAGGTTTCTGAACATTTGGGGTTGATCTTGTTGAGTGCTCTCTGCGCTCGTCGGACTGTTGGGGTTGTGAACGGCCTCGTGTTGTGCTCCCATCATAGCGTCACGGCAGACTGCATCTTGCCGTATCAATTGTACAACAAAATTACTAGAATTTCTGTAATTACACACTGTCCGAGGACGTACCACGTCCTAAAACTTGAAGTCTGCCATATCCGCCCATGTTACATCGGAAAAGACCGAGAACACGAGTCGCGTACAGCCACTGCCCTCATACCGCGTCTCGGCTTTTGAGTTGTAGCCTGAGCCTAAGCCCATCCACCAAACTCATGTTCACCGCCGCTCGAGCTATGCTGCCAAAGTCATTGCGGCCTGCCTTCAGGCAGGTGTCCTCGGCATCTGCACCTGCGGAGGTGCAGGTCTCAGGAACCGCCTACCCCTTCTCTCCAGTGGCCAAGGTCCTCGACGTACCGCCTCCGTCAAATTTACATGCCCTTAGGCAGGGCAAAGGCCTCATGGCCCATTTACAGAGGAGCCTCGCTCCTCCATTGAAGCAGAAATGGCTTTCCACGTTCTTCTCCCGTACACACCCCCAACGCCTCCTCCCAGGCTCTGTGCTCCAAGTCCAGCTTGAGCACGCGCCGAACACATTCTCCGGTGTTTTGCTGTCCATCCGGAGAAGAGGGCAGGACACGTCCTTCTTGCTTCGGAATATCGTCCAGCGTACAGGCTTAGAAATGCAGTTCTCTGTGGTGTCGCCTCACCTCAAGGACATCCGGGTTATCCAACGCGCGGACGGAAGCGGGAAGTTTGGTGGGAAGGGAGGGAAGCGGCAGACACGCGCCAAGCTATTCTTCTTGCGCCGTTCGCCAGACAAAATGTCTGCTATATCTGCTGGAGTCAGACGCTGAGAGGTGGGTGATACTAGCTGACTTGTGGTCTTCTGTCCTCTAAGTTAGTCACAGGTTGCTCGGAGTCCTCGGTATCTCCAGGCAAGGTGCATGTCACGCGTAGCCTTTTCATCATATACACGAGCGGATTCCGAGAGTGCGTAGAGAGTGCTTGGTAGTACTTTAGATGTTTGCTCCGATGCTTGATAATAATGACACTATATGTCAAAGTTTACGACATACATAATGGACATCCGAAGTTACTACGAAACTGTTGTGAGCCAAGGAACTTTGTAGTGAAGGTTCGGCTACAGTAACCATAGTGTTGGGCGCTAATCCTGGGTCTAAATGGGAAAGGGGTCCCCTTGGGACTCGGCACACACCTTGGGAGTCGGCCAGGCGCTGCAACGATCGAACACCTCACCTCACCTTTCCAGCATGCCCCGCAAGCCACGTTCGTTACGCAACTTTGCGATATCTCCAAAGCGTCCAACATCTCCAGGGCCCCCTTCTCCAACATTCTCGGACGCAACGCACGCATCTGCCATGAACTTCGGCTCAGGCGGTCCAGAGAAGATCATAACTCGTGCCAACCTCAAATCCAGCATTCAGGCATTTGAAGATGTCAGTTTTGCTGCTCTCACTACCCTAGATTGAAGGCGGATCCAGGGAATGACTCATCACACGTTACAGCTCATGTCCACGAGTGCAGGTTATCGGGCTGCGCTCATACAGCTATCAAATGCTACCGCAGCATTCGCAGACGCCATGCAGAGGTGTTCCGGGTCAGTCATCACGTCCCCAAAGTGTAGGGAATGGAAGATGACAACAGATTCCAAGGCTGAAGGGACCCTCGTACGAGGCAGGAACTCGACTACAAGCAGCATCTGGATTGCACCACCTCATGGGGAACCATTGGCATGTTCTGGTGCGTCCATAGTGAGAGACCGTATACTATTATGTCTCATGCATAATGGATACAATCACAGGCAGAAACGATTGATAAGACGTTTGAGAAACCTCTTGTCCAGCATTTGGAAACCTACCGAAACGCCGTCCACGTATGCACCCCCACCCTTTCACCGAATTACCCCGGCTCTTATCATTCACACCAGGAACGATCGAGTTCTTACGAGAAGGTTTTGAGGGAGAAGAGTGAAGCAATTCGACGCACAGAAATGACCAATCTGAACAAGAAGCAACGAAGTAAGACGCATCTTAACCCTAGCCTATCGCTAGCTAGCTGACCTTCCAGCGCTTAGATCTACAAAGCTTCCGCGAGACTCTTGCCATACTACAACGCCAGGTGGACGACCTCGACCACCTAAAAGCAGCACACTACCAGGATATTCTGGAACACGAGGAGGAAGTATGGGATGCGGTCCAAGGCAAGGTGCGATTGAATAACATGCTTGAGGCGATCTGTGTAGCTGCCATTGCTAACCGTTGCTCCCCCAGACCTGCATAGTTGTGCGGTCTACGATGGAAGTTATTGACAGGGTTTCGGCCAAAGCGTATGTCATCGTTCTAGAACGCGCATCCGAGTCGCCCCCTTAATCCCCCGGCACCATCTCATGAACCTTCTCCCAGATCCGACCCTATCCTCGAGCCCATGTTACAGTCCGTGCCTGACCCGTTCGATTCATACGGCCCGCCACAGGCTGAAGACCAGATATTCACTATCCTACCACCGTTGGCCGTTATTGCCAACACGCCCTCCACCTCGCCATCTCCACACACCGTCACACCACCAGGACCGCGAAGCGTCGACAGTTCGCCCGGTCTCGTGAGTCCACCGTGGGTGCCCAACGGCGGTGGGCTCTTTTCCGAATCCGCTTCGTCCGAGTGGGCCGACGCGTCCTCGCCAACAACAGCTACTCCACCCCGTGCCTCCTCGCCGTCTTCATCTGGGACCGCTCGTGCGAGGCGGCGAACAACACACCCGCCTGTGGGCCACGTATTCCGTAATTCTCAGTCAAAACTTCGGACCGTGTTTGACGCGACTGACATGAATTTGGTTCGATCCGCAGATGACCACACCGCATCCGACGCTGAGAGTGACGTCGACGCCCCACCAAACATGACAGGGATTGGAGTGAACGGAATTTCGTATGAAGCGGATATGAACTGGGCCCGACTCTCCGCCTATGGAGAGTCGCCATATGCGCCGGCAGCCTCGGATAGCACACCCCGCAACTCCAAGCTCATATCACCTTCACCGCCAGATACTAACCCCAAGCGAGAGCTAGCAGCACAGGAGAGTTGAGTGTATATTACTATGGACTAGTAGTGTATATGGACATCTATATTTCCGTGTTATTCCTATTGCTATATCCTCTAAGGACCCTAGGTCCAACTGTACGTACGTCTTCCAGGTCATTACCAGCTTCCATACGCAATCATGAAGGCTTGATACCATATTGGCGCAATATGCTCGGAGTGATTGCCGCTGGACTCTTGAAGAGCAGATCTGTGCCCGCTCCGCTCTTTGGGAACGCGATGACATCTCTGATGGATGGAGTCTTGCAGAGGATTGACATGAGGCGGTCAAAACCTGATATTCGTGAGCGAAGCGAATAACGTGGCGAGCAACAATTTGTGAAAGTGAATGATGACTCACCAATTGCGATACCACCATGCGGAGGTGCGCCGAATCTAAGTGCATCCAAGAGATGACCGAATGTCGCTTTTTCCGATGCGCTAAGCTGTTACGAGGCAGGCTCATCTCAGAGACATCCGTTAGTCCTCGGACGGAGTGGGGCACGTACGCGTAAGATCTCGGAGAAAATGAAGTCCTGCATAGCAGGATCGTGCACTCGTACTGATCCCCCGCCGACCTCCACACCATTCAGGACGAGGTCGTAATGTTGGCCGCGGACCTGCAATGTAACCAACCGAGCGGGTAAGGTGTAATTAATAACGCGGAACGACAGCCTCCAGAAATAAACGCTGCCGCTTCACCTCGTCTACTCTGCCGGCGTACATCTTTTCAATATCTTCCCACATTGGTGCCGTGAACGGATGGTGCGTACTGCTCCAACGCCCTTGCGCGAGGAAGTCCTTGTCCGTATCTGCTTTTGTGAACAGCGGGAACTCTGTCACCCAGAGGAAGTGCGGATTTGCAGGGGGTGTCCAGTCACCTGCCCTAAGTTAGCCTCTGCCGCCCGATCACCCAATCGCTATTGGGCTATATTTCAGCCTTACCTAGCGCTTGCGCCGATTCCGCTATGCGTGTCCTGATCCGACCCAATGGAGTGGATCCGCCCTGCTTCGCATGAGACCTCTGTGATGACAGGTGAATCTGTTTTCCGGATACATAGACGTACCTCGAGGGGCGAGGCTCGCCGGGATAGCCAGATAGTGTCACCGGGGTGTACATTCAGTGCCTTGTTGAGCGCGACGTAATCGTTCTCAGCGAGCGATGGGGCACCTGGCGTCAGACCAGAAGTCGATAACCAATTGTATTGGTTTTCCTTTGTGATTCCAATGCGTTCCTGTAGGCTGTTCTAGCTATTCAGTGTTTCGATGCGCGTGTTTTGGCTACATACCACAGCAGCCTCGTCCCTGTATTGACATGATGCACTCGCTCGAGAGAAGGCTGTGTTGGCGTGGTTGACTGAGAAGACTTCAAGGGTTTCGCCGACGTCCTTCGCAATGGACGCCCGTCGTTCTGGAGAAAGAAGTGCAACGAGATCTACGATCTGTATACAAATCATTCATATCCGCGGGACGATTGACGCAGATAACAAGACACTTACCTCCAGATCAAATCGTGTGTCCGGTTTATCCGAGCCATACTGGGGTGAGAGCTGGTCAGAACTGTCTGCCATCGCAAAGCTAGCTAGCTTACACGTGTCATTGCTTCTTTGTATGTCATGACAGGAAACGCGCAAGGCAGTTCAGTTCCTTCGGCTGTTCCCCAAATCTGTCTCATGATAGATTCAATTACTTCGCGTACTTCGACGCCGCCGATCCTCCAGTTGTCCTTGGGAGTGTCACCCGGTCCCCAAGAGACAAACGCCATTTCGAGATCAACCTGAGTAAACTCTGGCTGTCTGTCTTTGCGCCCATCCTCATCACGGAAGCATTTGGCGATTTGGTAGTACCTATCGATGCCTCCTGAACATATGAGAAGCTGCTTGGGCTGCTGCGGAGATTGTGGCAATGCGTAGAACAGAGGCTCTGCAGGTGTATCACCGGCTGAAGCGGACTGGCCAACACGCGTAGGCACCAGAAACTCGCGTGCCCCTTCAGGCGAAGATTTCAGTAGCATCGGAGTCTCGACTTCGACGAAGCCTACAAGTGTGTCTCTGTGAACGCCGCAAGCATTTTTGATGAGAATTCAAGTCCACGCACCCTGGTCGTGCAGCGCATTGCGTATGAGGTGCGCAACTTGGCCTCTCTTGCGGATGTTGTAGGACAAAGCAGACCTGCGGAGGTCAAGGTATCTGTATCGGGCCCTTAGATCTTCGTTTACCTGTGCAATGTCGTGTCAAGGTTGTATTTGGGATTCGCCACGTTGAGATTCGTACCAGCGTTTGGTTGTCAGAAGGAACAAAAGGTATCTCGCGGTCGGCTGCATTGAGCAATTTGAAACCGTCGACCTGAACCTCGATATCGCCTGTTGATTCCTTGAAAGAGAAGAAAATGTGAGTGGGCTCGTTCAAATGTCCGATCTGGGAAGGAGACTGACGGCGCGCCGTGCGCTGTTGGGGCGGAGGCGCACATGGCCCTGTATGAGTACAGCTGACTCTACTGGGACATCAGAGAGGGCGCGAAGCGGGTCGTCCTCTTGTGGATTCCTTTGGACGACGAGCTGAGTGGTGCCGTACGAGTCCTTAATCGGAAAGAACGAGAGCGTTTTTGAAACTTTGCTTGATTTAGAAGGCGTAAGTCACCCCTTCTGTCCGCGAAGGAACGCGTGCAGAGTAATCACCGTTCAGGGAGGAGCCATCCTGCGAGAACGACGCGACTTCCCGCGTTGACAGAGCTCAGCTGTCCACAATTGTGTGTCCGCCTTGGAAACGGAGCTAAAAAGACGCGAGTACGTGGGTTGGAGCGGGTGATTTGTGAGTAAAGCGAAAAATCACATGGGGCGTGTCAGAGAGTGACCGACCTGAATGTGCAGACGCGTTGGCCGCTGCAGAATGGAGGCTCGAACGAAAGAGACTTTTGTGTGTGGGGCTGGGCCAGGAGAGCGCGGATGCCCTGGCACGACGCCAGCGTAGCAGGTGAGCCACGGGCGAGGAACGCATATGGCGCAGCGGAGACGTGAAATTGAGCTGAATCAAGGGGTTTCCAACTCTCATAAAACGCGCTCTCGAGCGGTGTTACATAAGCTAATCGACCCTGGCTTTGCCCCAGCACGCTGCAGGTTGTCCGACACGATCTCTGATCTGAACTAGTTCTGAACTCAGCGACCGAGCAGGGCTGGGGCACGAGGAGGGGAGAGAAGAGAAAGAATTGACGAAGATCTGATAGCATATATGCGTGGCTGGCAATTCAAGTGCCAGATCGTTGTCAGTCATCGCAAGTCCTCTGTTCGCTTGTGTGCTCGGCTTTCTTTATCCCTTCTCACGTCCCTCACGCGGCGATCACTTTCAAAATATATACCACACGCTGTGTCCTGCTCTAATATAAATCCTACTGACCCCTCCCTTTTTTCCGTCCTCCATCGCCATGTCCCTCTCTAGTCTCCCCGTCGAGCTCATCGACAACGTCGTCCAGGACCTCGACACCGCTTCCCTCGCCGCCACCGCTCAGGCATCCTCTGTCCTTTGCACAGTCGCCCAGCGCGTCCTTTACCGACATCTCTCCGTCTCTCCCTGGCTACATAACCTCGCCGTCGTACATACTCTCGCTTCAAATAAACACATCGCACAATATGTCAGGACCTTCTACATCTCCGTCGATGCCCGCGCACATGTCTCCACCGCTTTCTACCGTCTCCTCTCCAGAGCAATCTCTAATATGTCCGAGTTGACAACACTCAACCTCCTCATCGACTCCAGCCTCAGCTGGGTCCTTCCCTCCTTGACTAATCCGGTATCCTACCCCTCCCTCACCCAATTCACCTGCGCGTTCCCCCTCGACCAGACCGTCACGCGCTTCCTCGAGAAGACGCCATCCCTTCTCGAGCTCGAGATGGAGTCTATTCCTCTGCCACCTAATCACCCATCCCCCGCACTTTCCCTTCCTGCAACGCTCGTTCCTCGTCTAACCCAGTTTGTGGGATCCGTTCGAGCTGCCAAAGCTTTCGTCCCTGGTCGCCCAGTCAAGAGCATACACCTCCACGGCAGTGGCATGACGGAAGCGGACGTTCCCCAACTCGCCCAGTCCAGCGTTTCCGTCGTTGTTCTCGGGACCGTCACAAGCTCATCTCCGGTTCCATTCTTGGAATCGCTTCAAACGCATATGCCGTCCCTCTCGTGTCTCCGTGTAATGTCCACCCAAAATATGTTCCAGGCGCCGACCACCGTGAGTTTCATTACGTTGCTGTGTACACAGTCTGGCGCTCATCCTTATTCTGTATAGGCGTTTTATGAACAGGTTGCAAATGCATTGACTGCATTCTCCGATCTGTCCGCATTCGAACTCTCCGGGATGCACTGGGGCTCCCAACCAAAATCCAAGGATGACTCTAAACGAGTCTGGCAGTCGGCGCCACCCACAAATGCTAATGCTCGCCAAGAAGATCCAGAACCAGAAGCACAGGAAGAAGAAGAGCAGGACCTCTTGTTTGGCACAGATATTTTCTTCGCATACTAATTATATCATAGATGTATTCTCGCTGCTCTCCGACTTTTGTACTTTCCGGGTTTAATCATCGCTATATCTCTAGTCTCATTTTGTTTGTTTTCTTGTCTATATTGCATGTTTCCGGTTACTTCCTAACACCATACTAATCCTACAACACATTTCCTATTACACTCTAATACTCATCGTAAACTTATTCTTATACCAACTCCTCTACAGCACGGTCTACGAACGGTGCGGCGTCGTACACTACTAGGGAACCTTCGTCTATTTCTTCAATAGTAGTAGCTCTACCTCCTATGAATTTGGATGCAACACCAACGTAGGATTCGCCCAGATATTGTGTCTTGAACTTGCGAAACTGCCATCCGTTGGCTGGCTTCCCGTCCACGAGCACTTGTTCCTCGGGCACATTGTATTCTATTCTCTTGATCTCGAATAAACCGATGCCAAGTCCGAGGGATTTCACGTAGGCCTCCTTCAGTGTCCAAATCCAATAGAAACGCGTGAGCCCTTCAGTTTCGGAAATGGAGGGATCAAGTATGATTTCGAGCTCCTTCTTGGTCAACTGAGCGGGAGAGGGTATGTCAGTGATCGGGCCGATGATCCCACAAAGGAAGGGGGTTTACCTGGCTGTCGACCTCGTCAACGAACTCCTTGAGTGTCTTCCTGGCGTCCTTCTTTATGCACATGACATCGACGCCTATAGTGAACGCCGGTGGCTGCAGGTCTCCGGCGCCAAAGGCCATGGCGACGATGCTGGCGTCATGTGTCACGTTGTACGCCAGTGGGGGGTCGATGCCGGGGACAGCCTGGCGAGATAATGAGTTGCAGAGATGGTCATGGGAGCAGAAGACAGAAAGACGAAGCAAGACGCACAACGTATGGTTTATTTGTCTCCGTGACGGAGAAGTGCATGGTGTCCCGCGCTACGCCCCTTCTCTTGAGGAGCATGCGGGGAAGGAGATTGCCGATCAGTGAGCCTTCATTTCGCGTAGATTAGAACAAGGGAACAGGACGCGATGAGAAGATGGAGACTTGGGTGGTACTCACGGACGGCATCCTCGCGGCGGACATACTTCTGGATCTTTGCGCGAACTGGCTCGTCGACGAGAGGAAGGGCGCGCTCGTACAACTAGAGGTGACACAGATGATGACTTTGTATCTGGGCGAGCGAGATGAGAGACGCGGAGACATACGGCATCGGGGAAGTCGGCCCTGTTGTATGTGATGGCCCATACCTGAAGCATCGTGAAATCCAAACAGAAGGGTGTGAGAGACCTGTTTGTGAGTGGGCACAGGTTGCAACGTTATGGGGGCGTGCTGATAGGACGGAAAAGCGAAAGTCTTTGTATATGCCGGCGGCTGTCAAATCCGAGACGGTCTGTTCGCTCGTGATCGGTTGGTTCCGCCTCCCCCAAGTGAACTAGGCCAAGTTTATCACCTGGAATTTGCTTCCGTCTCTTCTCTCTCTCAGTCTACGATGGGACCCCTCTTCGTCACCCTCGGCATGTTCATCATCGACCAGTTCTCCTTCGCTGACGAGGACGGCAAGCCCATTGACAAATCTCTGCCACCCCAGGAATGCCTCCTTCTATCGTCCTATTATCAGATCCCAGCATTGAACTCCTCATTCATCGGCAGATCGGCGGAGGAGGCACCTACGCCAACATCGGCGCTCGCATCTGGTCAGTCGGCAGAGCCACTTCATCAAACCCTCAGACCTTTCGCTTCTGCTCTCTATAATGACCGCGACCACACCCTAAACAACAGGTTGTCGCCAGATCAGTTGGGAATGATCGTCGATAGAGGACACGACTTTCCCGTTCATATCCAACACGAGCTCGAAAGCTACGGTACTGATGCGTGGTATTTTCGGGACGACAAATCTCGCGAAACGACCCGTGCACTCAACTCATACAGGGGCGACACACGAGGGTAGTAGTCGAAGCTAACCTATCCTTCACGCCATACGACTGCTGACCGCGCAATGTTCCATCTCCAGTTTCAACTACCTGACGCCTCGCGTCCGGCTGACACCTCGGGACTTGGCAAACACTCGTCTGGAAAGACCAATGTCTTTGCACTTCATTTGCTCTCCCGCTCGGGCCCTCGGGATCATCTCCGAGATGAGCTCTGTTCCGGACTGGCACCCGATCACGGTATACGAGCCCATACCTGTCAGCACCAGCGCAGATCTACGTCGTCACCTTTGTCTCTGAATCAACAAATATCAAAAGGATAGATGCATACCAGAAGAAATGCCGTCTCTAAAGAAGGCTCTGCCGTTGATTTCCGTCCTCAGGTGCGATGACCAGTGTATTTTCCCCGATGTTATTTATCGACAAATTTCACGTTAGTCCTAATGCAGAGGAAGCACTATCTTTGCTCGGTATGCCACACACAGTCTCGAAGGCAAGCGTCGAAGAAGCTGCGGCAGCCCTACTCGAACTCGGCGTTGGGAAGGGTGGAGAAGGATGCGTGGTTATTCGCAGCGGTGCCTTGGGCGCATACATCTCAACTCGTGCCAAAGGAGGGCGATGGCTTGACGCTTACTGGACGAACAGTGACTTGGACAAGGTGGTCGATGTCACTGGTGGGTGACTTGCTGTTGAAATGTGCCCTTTGTTCACGTTTGATGTCAGGTGCCGGAAATAGTTTTCTTGGTGGGTTTGCCGCTGGCCTTCTGCTCACCAATGATTTATACGAAGGTACGCTCGACGAAACTTAGATGGCCTAGATGTGCATAACATTGGTCTTAGCCATGCTTTACGGGACTGTATCGGCCTCGTTCACCATCGAGCAACTAGGTCTTCCCAAACTTGCTAATGACAATGGGAAAGAGACGTGGAACGGTGATTCGCCCAGTCGTCGCCTTCAAGATATGAAGGATCGTCACGAGTATTCTTAGCAATAAGGATATTAGCTACAAATAATACAATGCATCAGCGGCGGTCATGTACAATAGAGATATGATGAATGCGCAATACGACAAGCTAGCCATCCCACTCACTTCTGCGCGGACTGGCCAAATTTCTGACGACTGAGTTCGAATAGTTCCGCTTGTTTTGCCTCAAGTTCTTCTTGCGTCATACCAGAGTCCTTGATCTTGTCTGCTTTCCGCTCGCGATCCTGGAAAATAGTCAACAAGGTGATTTGAAGCAGAGTTATTCAATGCACCTTTTGCTGCTGTTTGTGGTCTTTAAGGACGTCCTCCACTTCGGCAGTGAATGAATCGAAGCCTAGGCGCTATAGAAAGTCAGTAGCAGCATAACAGGACGCATGCTAGACATGCCTTTAGTGCATTTATGATATGCTCAGGTGCTATCGTCTTCTTCGACTCTTGTTCACATATTTCGTTTGCTTCTGATGAGATCAGGTGGATGAATTCTGCACAGCGCGTTTCAGCATTCTTAGCGGACCGGTTCGCAGCTTGAAACGCGTTCACCTACACAGCATTCGATGACCAGATCACGCGTCTCCTTCGCGCACGTCACCTCCGGCGGTAGCAGTTCTATCCACGAACACGGGGGTGAGTATGAACATGAGCGAGAACGCGGGGCAGCGGCCAAGAACGGCGGAGAGTGGTGCACGTGGGACAAGACATGAGACATACCATTGATCATCTTTGCGACAGTGGCTTTTGGGAGGGAGAGATCCTCGTCCGAGGGGCCTCCCACGTGTCCCTCTCTGTCTGACATGTGTGTTCGCTGGGTCGGCGGAGGGGGAGTAGAGGTGCAGAAACAAAAATAGGGAGGAGGGAGATGCGGTGGGTCCGTCGCAGGGGCCCAAATGCCAGCCGCGGATAATATAGACTGTTCTACGCGCGGTTACCTATTTCGGCCACCTCGCTCTCCCTTTTCGAAGTCCGATTCGCTGACCTCTCTTCCTTACTCGTCCTTGTGAGATGTCGGTGAGTGCACGATACGCGTTGTTCGTACTGGCAAGAGAATGCTGAGATGGGCTATGCAACGTGTTTAGGTCAACCCTGTCAACCCGAAGCCTTTCCTGCAGGACCTCACGGGCAAGCCTGTGTATGTTAGACTGAAGTGGGGACTTGAATACAAGGGTTTCCTCGTCAGTACCGATGGGTATATGAATCTCCAGGTATGTTGGTATCATCTGTGTCGTTCTTCAGGAAGCTCATGAGCGTGTCTTCAGCTTGCGAACACGGAGGAGTTCCAAGATGGAAAATCGAATGGCGCGCTGGGCGAAGTGTTCATCCGGTATGTCTTCGACGCGTCCAAGGTGTACGTGTACTGATCGGTGAGGTATACTATCAGGTGTAACAACGTCCTTTATATTATAAGTCATCTTCTCCCCTCATCGGCCCTATCTGACCTCCTACAGCACAGGGAAGCACCTCCAGAATGATTATGACTCCGAGAATCCAAAACTTGCGCACGCGCCTCTGTTCATTATCGTGGGCCAAAATATGCAATGCTCTCACAAACGGATCGATGGCTTTTACGAATCATTCGCAATGTCAATCTTGTGCTTCCTAATCTATCACCCGATGCAATACCACCATTACTGAGCAAGCACAAGTCTTGAGAAGTGCATCGCACACCATATCTGCCACCCCGCTCGAAGGCTATTTCGGGATTTCACCAAAAGAGCAGCTAGCGCAGGCTTCTTGGGCGTGCTTGTTGGTTACGGACAAGAGAAGGGTCGATACCTTCCATATGAGTTTTTACACTTTCAGTTCATGTTGGTCATACCTTTGTTGCGCGAAACACAAGCAACTTAAGAACTGAATGATATCGAGACGGATGTACCAGACACTCAGACTGCAGATCTTTGTGGATGGATACCCTAAGCGCCGGCCTTCGTGCCATACACGAGGTAAAATACAGCGGCATAATGAAATAGGGGCCATGTCACGTGGTTTTATCAAATTTACCCCGGGCTTACACCGCTTGTCGTCAACCCAGTCAACTCCCCTCCGCTCCCCTCCTCTTCCCTCTCCTACCCACTACTACCACCACCACCAGCATGGCCAAGTCGACTCGCTCCAAAGTTAAACGTTCCTTCCGCGCGAAGAAGCGGGAGGAAGGCGTCTACGCTGCCACGGAGGCAGCTAGACTCAATCGACTCAACGCCAAGCTCACCACTACGATGAAGGCGGATCGGGACGGAGACGTCCCGCTGGAGGGCGATGCCGTAGAGGAGGGCATCCAAGGTTTGTCCTCCTACCCCTACCCCGCTGCCCCACAGGGCTTGTTTGCTGCATTCGGGCTGCTGCCTCCGGAGATCATTACACCTGAGGCCATGCATACCTTTATGGGCTCGATGCACGGGCAACTCGTATCAGGGCAAGCTTAGAAGGCGGAAGGAGCTTGAATGCTGATGATTTCCCAACCATGTCATCAGGAGATGAAGTTCCAATTGTCAAACCAACAGGTTCGTTCTGTGTGACGTTCAATTACATTATCATTTTCTGACCATATGCGCGATTAGAAGGCATGGATGTTGACGGTGGTGCTCAGTCTCAAAAGACTAAGATATCCACACATGGACCACGGAACTCTCGTAACGAAGAATGGAGGATCTCAAAGAACATGGCCCCTAGAGGGAAGTCAAGAGGGATGAACAGACAAGGAAGTGTCGCGGCAAGGCGGAAAGCTGGCAGAGCCTCTCGCCGTCGGTAGCGATCTCTACCACATTTGGTACATTTTACTCTCAAAAGTCATCGTGGCGTTGGGGACATCAAGTACCCTTACTTCTCTCAGGGAGTTTACTCTCTTAACCTGCCATCGACATCGCTGTTGGACTCCCCAACATCAAACCCTAGGTCTATATCACACCTTGCATGTATACCGTTCTGATGCTAGAGCTTTCTTAGTTTATGGACTACGGTTTAAAAAGCTATTTTTGTAATGTCATCGCTTGCTCGAAGGCAAAGTGTGCAATCTCATCGCCCTTGAGCATAAAGCTGTCATCTCCAAATAATTCGAGACGGCGTGTTTAACCTCTTTCTCGACGTGATCGTTTCCCTTGAAGCCTAGGCCTTTTCTAGCCTTTTATCGTTTATATCTCCTTTCTTTCTTTCTTCCTGTGCACACTTTGTGATTTAGTCCAGGAAACTCACTAGGGCGCTGATGCGACAGATACGGGCCCAAGCAGCATTTGTTCTAGTTCCTTGCAGGGATATGACCGCATACCACGGTTGTGCTTCTGGGGTTCTGGTTGTTGAGCCGCCGATGTGGAAGCCGACAACCAACAATTACGCCTCGAGAGGAAGGTGTACTCCGAAAGCTAATGCCATGTGCTGCTCTTGGAGCGAGCGCTCTGACAAAAGCCTTCGGACCGTACTCCGCTAACCTCGCATGGATCGTTTGATCTCGTACCTATCATGACTCGGATGCTCGATCAAGAAGTGCGACTCTCGAGTCACATCGGCCACCTCGGATCGATGGTTCCGAACACGAATGACACTTGGATCCAGCTTCTGGAAGGCAGGGGAGGCGCAAGTACCTCAACCTCGGGATATGCACTGGCCTTGGACTGGAGCACTCCTCATTAACATTGAGTGAGCAAATCGTTCTTTAGCCCCAAGATCTTAGGCGACGTACCACATTGCGCTGTTGAAGAGGCCTAAAGCAGTCGCAAACTTAGGTATAGTTGATGTCGACGGTATTGTAAATATAGTAAATTGACGTTGAGGTATACGAATATATCCAAACGGACGTGTGTACATGGGGGGTCGACTGTCAACATCAAGAAGACCACGTCGAACTTGAGATGAAGAAGATAAAAAAACGAATGCGAATGCGAAGGGCGGCTCTAACTAAAAATGAATGAAGGTGACACCGATACAAGTGTAGATTGGCTAATGTAACAAAATGAACATCCCATACCCTGACTCCCGAATTAAGATCCCCTCTCCCCCCTAATATTGATAAATGTAACATTCGTTCTCTGTGCTATGGTAACTTCCCCTGTGATCTTGAAATGCTACATACGACAATGGTTAAACGAGCCTGAAGTTTGTGTAGTGGATTGGAGGATGCAGGATCTTAAACGACCCGATCGTCCCGAGCGAAGTGGACGGAGCTAGGTGAAGGCAGTTGCTCTCCGAGGATGTCTCTTGGTTTGGCTGAGCTGAGACGCTCAGAGTCACTCGACCGCCCGTCAGAGTCCCACATTGGGGACCGTTTGGATGATGGACTACGTGGCGTAAGTCAGTGTCCCTCCTGATGCTGGGCAATAGAAGCGACATATACTCACGAGGCGAGCTCACCCATTGTGAACGAATCCGTGGTGACATGGATTTCGGGCCGGGTGGGCTTGCGGCTGATAGGCCGGAAGCTCATACGTTTCGAGCCGATCGGGCTCAGGCCCTTGTTGCCGTTACCATTGTTGTTATTGGCATTGTCATGTATCGAAGTGACACCCATCGGCGATACGTAGAACTGGTCCTTGTCCGAGTAGAACTGCTTTAGACGCATGACTGCACGGCACGAGGCAATTGCACTAGAGAGATCGATTTAGTGATGGTCAGGGCTTAGTCGTAGATATACTCACGAGACTGTTGCAGCTGGGATAGTCGCGATACTGTCAAAGTTCGTTCAATCCATAGGCGTTAAATAGTAGGCCGGACAGATGCTTACACATTCATCTCCACTAGAACTGAGTTTCAGTATTGGCAGCATTGAAAAGTGGAACAGAATGCTCACCATTCAGATCCAGCACGTTGAGCACTGCAGGTATCGTGTTACAAGTGGTCGTGACAATGAAGTACACCAAGCCATCCCGGAAGAGCAGGCCAGACAGTCCTGCGTCACTGAAGCGACGGCCAAGAGCTGTCGCCGTGAAGATGAGGATGATACAGTCGAAGCCCATAGCTATTTTCTTTCATCAGTCTACATCACAACCCTGGGTCGAAGCTGCTTACTGTAGAAGTAATTCGCGTTCAGCCACAAGTGGTTGGCGGAGACCACTGTGCATGCGTTGGCCGCATCACTCCATTGAGAATCGACGATCACCATGCCGCGAATCTCGATAGCCCAGTGACCGAGAGCCAGAATGACCATAAGAATGACGACGGGTCGACGGAACTCCCACAATGCCAGTCTGTAATTTCTCTATCAGATCCCAGAAAAAGACGTAGGAGGCTTGACTTACGTTCTGATCATGAGTGAAGTTGATGCACACAGAGCGGTCATGTTCCCTGCAAACTAAAACAACTGTGAGTACACAGGTAAGAATTCTTTGACCAGTAAACGTACGGAAATGAAGGTGTACAGAGCCTACAACAAAAGATGAGTTCTATAAAAGATGAACTAGATGAGAGATAGCATACTCCGCAGTTGATCTGGAATGTATTTCTCAACTACTATTTCCATATTTGAACCAAGTTCAACAACATACCTTGGTCTTGATGGTGAGGGATATTATTAACCCAACGAAGGCCAAGAACATGCAATACCGGCACAGGAAGAAGAAGACTGGAAAATCGCCACGGTCAGATACTGTGTTACGTTACGGTGACATGAGAGACGTACTCTGCATAATCGGTCAGAACAGACGTTGAAACAGCAAAAATGTCGGTCACGTACCAGAGGCCAGGACATCTTGCGCTTCTTGGTAACGAAAGACCACTCAAAGCTGATGGTCATCACCAACTCCCAAACATATAGCCCGAACAAGGCAAAGATGAGGTTGTTGAAGGCGGCTGTACGTCATAGATTTGGGTTAGAATGAACGTCGAGCGACGATCAGGGGTAGTACGTACCGCCCTCGATGGCGAGTTCTTCAGGGGAGTCCCAGCTGACCATCTTCGAAAGAACAAGGGCGTCGGGCGGTTACCAGCTGGCGGTGTTCAGGAAGAACCCAGGATGAGATCGTCGGGGGGTTAAGCTGAGGAATGGCAAAGGATGGGAAGTTGGAAAAAGGTATAAGAAGGGCCAGGAAGTGGAATGCTACTCCGGTGGCGGGGAGATGCTTTGACCGCACTTTCAGGGAAGTGCGCGAGATTCGTGAGGTAGAATGTCAGGATTATATCCTCCTCCGTCCCGGATTGATGGGTTAGAGCTTAGCGTATGATGCGGTGACTCCTACGTATCTGGCCTCATGGTTCCACAGGTCGCCATTCATCACGGCTCCAGTGGAGGAAGAACTCGGCCGCGGAGAATCCCAGCTTTACGATACCCGTTGGTAATGATCCATTCTTTACGGTGTTCCCTTTCATCCCGGTTTGATAAATGAAAATTCCCATGGGCGCAGAGATATCTAGGCGAGAGTCAGTGAGTGAACAAAACATTCTAATTAGTTCAGTCCCTTTGATCTCGTTAAAGTAGCGCCCTCGGTGGTCCCCGCTTCGGGACAGAAAATAAGAAGCACTCGAAGAACGTTACAAAGGCGGAAGCAAACTTTAATTTGAGCGCATCTAGCTCCATGTCATCCGCATTTGGGTATCCATCTTTCTACCTTTGGGATCCGAAGATGCAAAATAAGGAAAGGTGCTTGTTCATCTTCGAAAAGGCAGGTCCGTTGCGCCGACTCATCGGGGCCACGAGATCGCCGAAGCTCGCTCTCGTGGGCGGGCGTCTGCGAGCGTGGGCCAATGTTGCAAGATGTTGCACAGGGGCTCGGATTATCGTTACTCTTATCAGCTTCTCTCTGCGCATCTGGCATTGAGCTCTCGTGGTTTTGATGTTTACCCAGGCATCCGCTGACAACCGAACATGCGCCACTTTGCACTGGCTCCAGTCGTGCTTTTGAAAGGTTCTTGGCCCAACACCCAGGCTGTCAGATATATTTACCTCCAGATCACGTTCTCCTGGGCAGTCGGAGACAACTGCCAGCCAGACGCCGACTTCTCAAAAAACTTTCGTTCTAATCAATCATCGACATCCCTGCGCAATCGTCTTTGTTGAGGCACTTTCCCAGCGCTTGACACCCGACTTCGCCGCCCGGCGGGACCTGCTTTGTAAAGATAGGCCAGATGCAGGCCTAACCGAAATGAATGCAACCCATCAACGTACACGGCTCACGATCAACTACACCAGACCATCGCACTGCCATCCGCGCCAGCGCTGACAAGCCAAGGCTGTCGGGGAACCCACTTTACCTGCAATACGCCTAGTCCATCCTTAACTTCATGTCCCCGCAAGATTTTGAGAGGCACGATCAGCGGGTCCGTCATCAGGTCATTGTAAACCCTGGCATGGAAGATCTGGATAGATCCGTCATCGGACGATGACGCGAACAGTGGATATGTTGGATGGAATTGGAGCGACCGGATTGCCCTTGTGTGATACCTGGGAAAGCGAGCAAAAACGCCGAAATGAGCCTTCCAGGTCATTCTGCATACAGAAAGCCCGTTTGCGCTCACCGTAGAATTTTGTATGGCTTGTCGCTCAGCTCGAGATCGAACCAGCAAAGCTTGCGATCGTAACCTCCAACAATTACATGATCGCCCGAGGGATGCACATCCATTGATGAGATCCATCTTATACCAGGCATTAGGGTCTTGAGGAGCTTCTGCTCTGCTAAATTGTACAGTCGGACATAGCGCTGCGTCTAATGAAATTGTGACATTGAGTTTCATTGTAGTGGCGGCGTATGTCAATCCGAACTTACGGCGACAAAGAAGTGTGGTTTTGAAGGGTGGAATTGAACCAGTTGTACGGTGCCCTTGATTTTCTTGAAAGGCGCTTGCGAATGTCGCCGTGAAAGCTGGTGAACCCATACCCCACCTTGACTTTCATTCGTTGCTAATACCCGATTTAGCATTCCGCTTGTGTCAGAGAAGGAGTTTCCAAAGTAACACTTACACACGGACGCAAGGTAGTCACCTTTGCGGTGCCACGCAAACTGCTTCGGCAGGCCCGAACCAGATGAAAGTTCGATCGTTAGCAATGCTTCATTTTCCCCGGATGAAAATGAAGACGTCCACTTGATCGATGATGGGGTGGGCGGAGGCAGGGTAGCGGGAGCGAGAATAGATTGCGTCAAAGACAGCACAGCTCGTGGAAGGTTTGGTGGCACAAAGAATTGCAGCTTCTCCTCCCTATAGAACAAAATTAGCGAGAGTTAACTTGCTTAGGACAAGCTGGAGACGCACGTTCCGACCACGAAGAAAGCAACGTCCGTTCTGGGACACCATTCCACTGTGCCAATCTTGCCATCAAGCTTCCACCGTTTAACCGCGCGACCGACAATCACCTCCCAAAGGATAAGATTGCCACCTTCATCGCCACTTACGACCCATGACCCGTCGGGACTGACGCTGACGCATCGCGTTCGTCCCTCAGTATGGGCAACCTTGAGCGATTTATAGTTCGGGAAAGGTTTCAGACTACTCGGCGAGGGAAGCTTGGGTATCAAGCTTTCGGGATCAATGTTCAGCTTTTTGCGTTGTATGCGAGGGGCGAGGTAGAGGTCGAGCTGGCGGTTGAAGCGCTCCTTGATAAAGCGGTCGTATGCTGGCACCAGACGCAAAGCAGAATACTTCTGCGGCAGGTAGTCCTGCTCGCGGTCTTCTGGTTCGGCTTCTTGCCATTTTTTTCGCTCTTCCTCTGCAGGAAGGTACTCTGCTGGAGGATTGTAAGATTCGGAGTGGGTAGGAAGGGAGGGTTTAGGTGCGGGGAGAGGAGGGGCATGCTCTGACGGTGCTTCAGTCCATATGTCATAGAAGTGTTTGCCGTCTGTGGCTTTTGGTTTTGAAGGTACGATGCGGCCTAGGCGAATGGCCCGTACAATTTTCATAATCTAGCAGCAACATGAGTACTTGCTTATATGCAGCGGTAACTCGAAACAAAGCAAACCTTTTTCTTCTCCCATTTACTTGCGAGCCACCGTCGTTTGGGTTCAGGTGCAGCGGACAGAGGCATGACTTCCTCCTTGCCCTTGCCCGTAAACCATTCTACAGTTGGTTCATAGGGATTGTAGTCCCCATCTGGGTTTTCTCCTGCCTGAAGTCTCCGAATGAGATCAAGTTCCTCGCCCGTCAGGGGCTTGTCCATTTGAGCATTCTTGTCGAATGCAGATTGCCTGCACTTTTCTTAGGAAAAGTAGGAGCTGAAACATGACAGTGACTACGCACCACGCTTGCGGGTCTTCGACAGTACTCAAGAATTTATCCAATTCGTCACCGAGAGCTGGTCGCAGGACCCGCCTGCCGTTGATATTGTAGCCAATATGTGGCATATCATCGTACCAGTGTAATGGCACATTTCCTATACGATTAGGGTCCTAAAGTTGGAACTTGTCAGCGAGGGATATGCACTGCAGTGAAATGTTGTGGAACACACATCTTCCGTGGACGAGTCGGAGTCGTAGTCAGGCTCAATATCAGGATATACGCGTTTCGGCTGTCCAGTAATGTCGGATACGATGGTCTTGGGTTTTGGGAACACTCCAGCATCTGAAGTGCTGTCCGAGACTGAGTCGTCTTCCTCTTCGTCTTCTTCGTCCTCATCGTCTTCTTCGTCTTCATCTTCCTCTTCATCGTCGCTACCATCTTCAGCATCGTCCTCGCTGTCACTCCTCGCATCTATCTCGGGAAACTCCTCCACCTCTCCATCATCCGACTCGTCCTCGCCTTCCTCCTCATCGCTCGGCAACTCCAGTCCGACCGTTTCCGGGAAAGTACTCTTCACAACTTCTGGCTCGGCGTCAGCTTGCTTTCTCTTCTTCCGCCCATTTGTGACTTCGGATACGGCCATGTCCTCGGGAGATTAGCGTCGAGTAGCACAGACGTTCGTAGCCTTTTGCGCGTTAGGCAAAATGACGGGAAGGGGGCATATTTTTCGAGATAACCACGTGACTCGTGCCAGATCTGATCGGGAAAGGCAACAGCACGCGAGGGGTGCGCGCCTCAAGCTCATACGCCCGAACCGTCAACCATGGTTGCATACGGCGGAGGTACGCCCACTCAAATGTGCAGAAAACAAAACTTGCTCATGAAACGGATGTGTAGATGAGGTGTCAGCACTAGTCCTGGACATTGGCTCGTCCTCCATACGCGCCGGATATGCGGGGGACGACACTCCAAAGGCCATCGTCTCGTCTTACTATGGCTGGAAGCCAGACGCGTCATCTTCTGCCAGCGGCGATGTCCAGATGGATGAAGCGTCGGGGGAGAAGCAGAAGCAGGAGGGCGCCGAGGCGGGGGCGGACCAGTCCACGTCCAAGTCGGCGAGCAGCAATGCTAAGCTCTACCTCGGTCAACACGGGCCTTCGATATGGCGCCATGGCATGGAGGTCGGGAACCCACTCCAGGACGGCCTGAGTGCGTCTTCAATGTCTCTGCGACGACCTTGCGAGCTAACAGTACTTCTGCAGTCACCGACTTCAACGCCGTCCCGGCGCTCATTTCGCATGCCCTGTCAGACGTCATGCGCATCGATCCCACAGAACACCCCGCACTCGTCACCGAGCCTGCCTGGAATACACCAGCTAACCGCGAGCGGATGGCCGAGATAATGTTCGAAGAGTTCCAAGTCCCTGCGTTCTACATCGCCAATACAGGAGTTCTCAATGCGTAAGGGTATTCTATGTAATCCAAAAACCAGCCGTCTCAGACTTCACCATAGGTTTGCGGCAGGCAAAGGCTCCGCGCTCGTTATTGACGTTGGTCACCATATGGCCAGCATTACCCCAGTCGTGGACGGCTTTGTCCTTCGTAAAGGTAGGACCATAGTAACCCATTGCAAAGAATGCACAACTAATGTTCGTTTGTAGGGCTTGTATCGTCTTCCCTCCCAAAATTCGTGCACGCGCGCGCCCATCACGTTCTCACCAACCCAACACAAACCCGCCCCGGTGTCGCACTCTACCCTCATCAACTTATACTAAGCAAACAGGTAAGACGTTTCTGCTTACAACAATGGACCACTAACGCACCTCCCATGAAAGCCGGTCGAGCCATCGGCACCTCCTCAGTTCACCCTCAGAGAAGATCGCGTGGCGGGCACGACGGACACATGGCGGTCCTGGTACGAAAACAAGGAAGTCGACGAGTGGATCCAGACCGTCGCCGGCGTCCTCAACCAAGGCTGGAACGAGCAGTACGTCTCCCCACATTCACCCCACTTATTTTCGGAGCTTTACCGAACCTCCCAATTCTCCCCAAAGGGCCGCCGCCGCCCGCCCACTGCGCCAATACGAGTTCCCGACGGGCTACAACACCTACTTCGGCAGCGAGCGCTTCCAGATCGGCGAGGAGTTCTTCCACACCTCCCCGCAGATGGCCGCGTCGAACCCGAACATGCCCAAGAACATCCCGAACCTCCTGAGCGAGTCGCTCCGCGCGTGCGACCGCGACCTCCGCCAGGTCCTGCTCGGCAACGTCGTCCTCACGGGCGGAGGAAGCCTGTTCGGGGGCTTTGCCGAGCGGCTCGAGGCCGAGCTGTCGAGACAGTTCACCCATGTGCGTTTTGCTATTTTATTTATTATCATTTCATTTCTTCGGTGATATCTGACTGATGCTCGCCGGTCCTTCAACACAGATCAAGATCCACGCGCCCGGAAATCCGATAGAGCGACGGTACGGCGGCTGGCTCGGAGGCAGCATTCTCGCCAGCCTGGGCACGTTCCATCAGCTCTGGATAAGCAAAGAAGAGTGGCAGGTACGTTTTGACTGCTTTCCCTCGCCTCACGTTCTTCTGATTGATCGAATTCACCGCGATGGTTTTTAGGAACACGGCAAGGCCATCGTCGGTCAACGATGTAAATAAACGTATCTCTCGTCTTTTACTATATCAAATTTACACAGCATGCTTGAATCAAACCTCGAAGATGATGCGTGATGAAAGTAACGCTCAGACGTGTTTCCGATGTCTCACTAAACACGCAGCATCTGTTCAGCAGATTTTATGTAAAATAAGCTTGATGCGTGATGAAAGCAACACAAAAGTGCTTCTAGTCTTGCAACGTGCACGCATCAAACAATTCCGTTTTCAAAGCTTCTTTCATTTTTCAGGAGCATAAGAACTTCGATACAGTAGTTACAAGCCAGTGGGACAAGCCCAACCAGAGCAATTAGGAAGCACTGCTTCCTCTCGCTCGCCTGATGTCCGTCTACACTACTACTAACTACGACTGCCGCTGCTACACCATCCGTCCAGCTTCACAGCCCCAAAACACACTAGGCGAAGAAGGAAAAGGGAAAGGTAGCCGTACGTCGCGCAAATGTGTGATGAGGTAAGGGGGGGAAGACGGAGGAGAAAGAGACAAGTTGAGTAGCAGGTAAGGATTTTTACCAAAGCAGGCGAGATATACATATTTATACGTGACGATGGGATGATGTGTTTGTGCTACGTTCCTCAAGCAAAAACGTTCCGACAAAACACGAGCAGCAGATATACGCAGACAAGTCAACACAAGACCAAGAACAGGATGGGACACAAAGGAAGGTGTGTGAAGAGGGCATGCATGGTACGATACGCAGATTCCGACGAAGCAGGTCGAAGAAACTGATGGAAATGCTAGCACTGAGGTGTCCGTTTTCCGACGTTGCGAACGGCCAAGTCAAGACAGACAGAAACAGGGGAAAAGAACAAGAAAGCAAACGCAGGATCATATCTTAACAGACGATTGGGGCGAAGCGGGCGGACGTGCATCTACTGGGCTTCCACCAGGGACCCGCGGCGCTCGCGAGCGCCCATGAGCACGCCCAGACCACCGATCGCCTTCCTGCGAATGCGCGTTGCAAAGTTCTTCGGGCCGAGTTCGTCCGTACCCGAGGGTGGGCCGCGGGGCTGCCTGACGGGCTGGCCGCTCAGCGCCAGCCTCTGGTTAACGGTGGCGCTGACCATCGAAGGCACATTGATGGTGTGCGTCGAAGGCAGACCAGCGCGGCCGAGGCCGAGGCCTTCGTACAGCTTCTTGGACACCTCTTCGCGCGGCGAGAGCGGAGGAGCATCGAGCGACGAGTTCGAGTTGGGAGTAGTCGGGTTCGACTGCGAGCTCGAGGTCGACGACGTCTCCTCGTCCGTATCGATGGTGACAATGACTGGGATGTCCTGGATAGGAGCCGCAGCAGCAAAACTGAGCGGGCGAGGCCGGGTCCTGCCACTCGCACTCGGAAGACCCGGAGGGGAAACAGGGTCGTTGGGAGGGGGTGTGATCCTCAAGCTCGGTGTCCCGTTCATGGACATGGAGCGGCCAGGAGGGGATGGGCCACGACGCCAGGAAGCTGCGGCATCCGACTTGGAAGGCGCAATGCTGTTAGGGTTGCTGTTGCCATTGCCCACGGTGGTGCCACCGCTGAGCGCATTGATCTGCCTCGGAGGAGAGGAGCTCTGAGGGAACGGCTCGAAATCCTCACGAGGAAAATCGAATCCTGCAGAGGATTGGCGGCCACCGAACTTGCCATTGAGAGCAGCAGTCATGGGAACCGGATCCTCATAGACGGGCGGAGGTGGAGAACTGCTAAGGCCAAGTTGGAGCTTCAGCATGTCCGCCTGACTGGCACGGCGCGTTTGAGCATTGTTTGCGATGTTACGGAGGTCAAATGCGGTGTTAAGAGGACCAGCGGTGGCAGGGGGGTTGAAGGAGGCGCTGCTGCGACGGTTTTGGTTGGCCTGGATGTTGTTCATTTCCATGTTCATCTGTTGACGGAGAAGCTGTTCAGCCATCATGGCCGCCTGGTTACGCTGGGCTTCGGCCTGAGCAGACTGTGTTTGGGCATGGTTAATCCAGTGCTGGTGGTCGTGTGAGGACTTGATACTTGCCTGCAACCTCATGATCTCCAACTGCATCTGCTGCATCTGCTGCTGATAGGCTTGGGCCTGAACGTCAGCAGCAGAGGGCCGAGTGTTGCTAGAGAACGAGGGGTTGAACGGGACGCTGTTCGGGTTGAGAGGGCGCTGGCTGCCCTGGTAATGCTGCTGCTGCTGCTGCTGTTGATGCTGTTGCTGAGCGAACCTGTTGTTGGGACCGTCGACGGCGGCAGTCATGGGTCTGGAATTGTACGAGTTGCTGTTGATATACATGTTCTGCATGTTCTGGGAGAGGATATCTCCGACCTGGTCCATCTCCTCTTCCTCCGTGAAGGGGGAGTACTGGTAGTTGGACGAGGAGAAACGAGGCACGTTGAAGGAGCCTGTAACGGAGGCGGTGTGGGGGACATTCATGGAAGTGGAGCGAACACCGCCGGTGCGGAGACCGCTGAGGAGGGAAGCACGAGGGTTGGCGGGAGGAGCGGTGGACATGATTTGAGTTGTCGGGTGCGTGGTAGAGAGCGATGAATGAGGGTCGACTGTAGACCTTCTAGGAGTCGGAATGGAAATATTAAAAGGAGGCAGGTACTAGACAGATAGCAGGAGATGATACAGCTTTGTGAGAGAGGAGGGTCAGAGGTACGATCGAGAGCAAGGGGGATAGTAAAACCAACTTGAAGGTATAAAATGGGTCTCACGGAAAGGTGAAGCGACTTTTCTCTCTCCCTGAGAGCTGGATAGACGTGGACTGCGAGGGATTGAATAAACAGAGAGCCCTGGTAACCAAAAGAAGGAAGTTGAAGTGAAATTTATATGATATTGTTTAGGAGTAGTTTCTGGATTCGTGGAGAAAATGACAAGAGAGTAAGAGAGCAAAGAAACGATGTGCAGTCTGTGGTCGAGGGAGAGAGAGAGAGACCTGGGAGCTACGACTGGTTCCGTGACGCCCTATTGATCTCTCCACCAGTGGCTATCCCCCTGGTCTCAGGACCCCGAGAGGACCCCGGTCTGACTCAACAACGACGACATACATTCCTCCTACATTTCTCCTTCCGTCACCGCACGATCGCTCCCGTCGACGACCGCATATCCATTGCCATCGCCATTCCTTTCCACATCCCCAAATTCACTCTGCCTCTCTCCCTGCCAACCACCCGCGGCTCCGATAACTGTTACCCCAATCCATCCTTAGCGTACACGTGTAAGCCCCTATGGGCGCAGTAGCCCTGCCTCTATTGTTTTTGTTCCCCACCAGTCAAAAAGGAAAATCACCCATCTCCTTCCGTTTTTGTGGTCCCTGCCTGCCTCATCCCCCTCAGTGTTCATAGATGCTTTTTCGCACTCGCCCGTACACGTGTATCGAACACTGGGCTACGAATAGCACTGTGTGCCGTATGAAACGCATTCAACGCCGTCTGAATCGCCGTTGTCAGTCCAACCAGTCTATAATCAGGCTTTTGACTGCCACATGCGCGTCCGATGCAACGGGCTCACCTTGACGTAGAGCTCCCATACGTCATGGAAGAACAGCCGGATCCCCTCGTCGTTTTTGCTCTCGTGCAGCAATATGAACTTCATGTCTGCCATCATCAGTCTTCGATACCTTCCTGAGTTTATCAGTCAAATGGCCGTACTTCCTGGTGTAACAAACGCGGACACCGTCCATTCGTTGAACTTGTCCACAGACTTGAGATACCTAAGCCCAAGGTCCCTTTCATCATGCAAGCACATACGAATGACATGCGTGCTCACATCGCACCGTCCCTGCGCATGACATCTTCGATGGCATCCAGGCTCGCGTTCGCAATCATCTGTATGACGTGCCGGTCCTGTCCACCCCCCATCTTCACGCCGCTCCCTTGGACGTAGTGCGACTGTGTCATGCTCGAGGCCCCCGAGAGTGCTGTGAGCGTCCCTGCGAACGCGGAGGTGGACCATGTGGGCAGATTCGCAGACAAGGGCGACGCCGCCGCAGCTTGGGCCGGCTTCGTTGAGTAGTGCGTCAGGCTGTACAGCGGCGTGTCTGAAGGCGAGAGCAAGAACAGGTGGTGCGACATCGTATTGGAGAAAGACTATAACACGCGTCCAGTCAATGATGATGGTGGAAAGTATAGGGGCAATTGTCAATATATCAATCACACGGCACGCACGACGCGACGCGCGCCAGCCGAGAGCAGCCTGAGTAAGTCCACCAGACTCTACCAACGGCCAGCGTCATGTCCACCACCATCCTCCTCGCTCGTGCTGCTCTTGGTCGCTCTCTGCTTTTCTCGGCACGATGCTCGCAGCCAAGCGGTACTCTTGGGGCTTACTTCACTCGCAATAGCTTTGCCCAAGCGAGACACTTCAGCCTGTCCCATCTCGTATTCTCGACGAGCAAGCTTAGCCTTTCTCGAGGCCTCGTAGCCACACCATCCCACATAATTCTTCGGGAGAAATGGACCTTCTCTGGTCTCGTACAGTTTGCTCGAACAAGGATCCGTGAGGCTACGCACAGAGACTACCGCCGCTACGGCGGGTCCTCTGGCGGCGGTCCGAACGGCCGGCGTACCCTGTTCAACTTGCCCGAGAAGCAGCTCATCATCTACTGCATCATTGGCCTAAACGTCTCTGTATTCATGGCATGGCAGGCGGCATCGACGGCATACGTATGTGACCCCATCTAACCGTCCGGCACGGGCTGTGATAAATCCACTCGCATGCTTACCACGGCCCGTTGTAGCGCGGAGGCGACCCGTCGCTGCTCAAATTCATGTACAAGCACTTCACCGTCAGCTACGAGAACCTGCGCGCTGGCCGGATGTCCGTGTCGTCTCGCTCGCCTCACCGTTGGAGACAACACAGCTGACTTGGCCATTGCCCTTTTCTCGCACTACCAGATGGACAGTGCTCACCGGCGCGTTCTCCCACTCGGACACGAGCCACGCGCTCATGAACGGCCTCTCGCTCTTCTTCATCGCGCCCTCGGTGCTGGCCCTGCTGAGCCCACCGCGCTTCCTGGCGCTGTACATATCAGGTCCGTGCAGAGCCAGCTTTTGACATACCCTTCGTGTCCAAAACTACAATATCTGACACGCATACTTGGTGTACAGGCGCCCTCGGCGCAAGTTTGACCAGCATCCTGTGGAAGCGCTACGCTCAAATCCCAGATTTCCCCTCCCAAGGCGCCAGCGGTACGTCACACCATATCATACTATCGCGTCCGAGCCGACCGCCTCGGTTTCGTCACGTCTCTGACCTTACGTTCTCCGTGGCACTCGCCTCGCGCGTTTCACAGGCGCCATCCTGGCTAGCATTGCCTACCTCGCGTGTGTATCCCCCCGCACCACATTCTACATCTTCTTCATCGTCCCGTGCCCGGCGTGGGCGCTGTTGCCCGGGATGCTCGCGTATGATGGGTACATGGCCTATTCGGACGCTGTGAGTGGATGTTATCCATGCTCTCGCGTCTACTCATAGCTCAATGTTCTCATTTGCATAGCGATCCCGCACGGACGCGGCCGGCCACGTCGGGGGCATGCTCTCGGGAATTGCATACTTTGCATCTCGGATGGGAAGATTCATGATTCGCTAGAGAAGTAATAGATTTTAGGAATCATGTCGTACTGTTGCAATATCCACTGATCTGTAACTACCCTTCGCTCTGATGGTTTATACATCCTTCGTTCCTTAGGCCTTAATTTCTCACCCGAGGCCGAATGCACCTGGACCCGGCGGTAACAATTAAGCGCGCTGATTATTGCATAGTCTTATTGAAAATACAGAACAGACCTTGACAAAGATGCTAGAGTTCGTAAATATGATACAAGAAAGCATGCAAGACGACAAGAGATACCGTAAAAGCAAAAAGCGTGTGCATCCTTTAGCCAAGGACGCCGATTGACCAGAGCTCAGTACTAAGCGCCTCAGAAGTCTGCCTCTCGTCATATTGAGAACGGAACGGACGCGCGGACGAGCCCATGCCACCGCTTGGTCACGGTCGCCCATTCCGGCAAAAACTCGAGCACCTCCTCGAGCGCCGGAATCCGCGCACCGCTATCGCCTCCCCCAACCGTCCCGCTCTCGTATTCATCCCACTGGCACTCTACACGACCCGTCACCTTCTCCGACTCGCCATCTTCGTCCTCGGTGGTGTTCAAGTCCGGTTCAGCCCAACCGACAATGACCTCTGACTCGCCACCAAAGTTACGGTTCCAAACACGGGCCTGTCGAACGCCCTGCTCACGCGTCATCGTCATAGCCTTTTCGCCGTTCACGCTGAGCGAGGTGAGCGTGTGGTTGTCGAAGTAGAGTATGCAGCCACGCGAGTTGCGTCCCTTGATATTGAACCGTGCGCCTGCTTCTACTCCCGAACCAGGCGCTTCGATGCGAGTAGCGGTCCACGAGACCCAGGGCTCATTTTCGCCCTCGTCCGCAGAGGCGGAGGAACCAGGATAGGGAGCGTATCTCCCGCCAGCGTCCACCTCCCATTCACAGACGTCCAGACCAAGCTTGTCGCCCGCCGGCTTACAGCTAACGTTTCTCCCATGTGCAGATGGTAATTCCGGGACAATCTTCTCTGAAAGCCATCCGCTCGGCCCAAGCAATGAGGTAGTGACTATCGCTCCAGAATGCACAATGTCGACGCTCTGCGAAAAGTAGACCTTAAGCGGATCCAGGTAATTGAATGGGAACACAGCCCAGGTATAAGCAGTCGAGGCCACCAAAACGAGGAAAACGAGAACAGTGAGAGATCGGTGGATTGCCATGCTAAAGGGCGCAATCGGGAGGACGATGAAGAGTGCAAAGGTAGCGATTGGGGCGTAAACTGTAATTGTAGAAGTACAGAATTGATTCCATCAGTAAGCATCCCAGACACTAAAGGAACGAACAGGCTCAACGCACCGGTGTAGGGTGGTAGTCCATCTGTAAGAATTTGGTTCATCGAGTACATCAAGATGATCGCAACGTGAACCATTAGAATCACTGGGAGTGGCACCAAGACAAGCATTTGTAAGATCCACCATCCAATCGTGCCCGTGTCGTCTTCGCCGCCAGTCTGTCTTTCACCGGCCCCGGTTTTGATCTGACGCTGCTGAATAAGCGGCGTGATTTCTGTTGGTGCCGTCTCAACGAGCGTGCCCTCGCCAAGCGTGCGCGTGGGGCTTCGTGCACTGCGGTCCGAGCCGCCAGCATCCTCCACGGATGTCGAGACAGCGTCATATCGGACACCTCTCACGTATCTTGTGCCTCCTGCTCCCTCGGCATCTGCGTCCCCGACTTCACCATCCTCTTCGCCGCTTATTCCGGTCGCAGCGCGGCGTTTGGACGATACGAAACGAGTGTACGTCAATGCTTCGGCGACGCCAAGTATGCTCGCAAGGAGAGCAGCTGCGTTCCACGTTGCAAGTAGGTATATGCCCCCGGCGCCGTTTTGGCGGAGACGCACAGTTCCGCCAACGAGGAGAATCCAGCTGAAAACATATGTCTGGAGAAGCATGCTCAACTTCTGCTGCTCAATGGGAAGGGCTTTGGTGAGCGGTGCAGAGATGGTGAGTACTGTGGTAAGGTAAGCAAGGGATAGCATGGAGACAAAAACGAATATCGGATGGGAGTGGACAGCCTGCAAAGGTTCCCGTCAGATTTTGTTCATGCTAGGAAACGTAAAACACACGAATGGGTTTAAAATCACATATCCAACCACCAACAAAACTTGCAATCCTGCGCCAATGACCAGTGCCGCCCAAAACTTGGCCCAGCGCCAGAAACCACGAGCCCATCTCCGTAAAGGAACAACGATCCTCTCCATTATAGGTCTGTCACCTCCAACATCTTCCGAAAGTTGGCGACCGTGGCGGAGGTGCCTTCCCATCTCAACGATGCTTTCCGAGTATACAAGCGCAAGGAGGAAAATAGGGCCTACGACGAGCAACACGACATTGATGGTAAAAAGAGTCTCGTTCCTGAAATTTACGAGAGCTGCGCCGAAGACTGAAGACGTCCTTAGTGCCCAGACAACGGGTCAAAGAAAGACGAGGAGCTCACGTTCAAAATACGTGTGCTTGTCCTGTTGCGTGTGCGCACCGGGACCCACACCTTGACTCATGCCTTCGTCTCCAGTCCCCGCTAGCGTAACACCCGCTCCAAGTGTAGCTTCCATCATGGCCCAAAGCGCACGCCCACCCCCGGCGATGCCGATGATGGAGTCATGTTTGGTGTGGTACCGCGCACGTCCGCGGTAGAACGCAAAGTCGAGGCCTTCCATTGCGTGTTTGTACACGCTGTAATCAGTGTCGGAGCGGATTGAACCGCCATTGAACACATCAGAGGAAACAATGTTTGCGTGAACATGCGTCGTATGGTCGGCAGACCAGACATCCACAGGGGCATTATCTGTGGTGCGGAACAGAAGTGGGCGGCTGGAGTTCGGGAGCTTAGATATTATTCGCAATGGCTGCTGTAAATGACATACCCTCCGGCAGCAGCACCCTCGAGATTGATGAACACGTCGGTCAAGTTGGACCAAGGATGATTCATATAACTAACGACAACCCCAATCAGCACGCCTTCACGTAATAAAACTACAAACTCACGCATATGCGCCATTCAGTCCATCCTCTTCGCCATTGTTGATGTTAAACACAACGGTTCGGCGAGGTCTATTCGCAGCAAAGTACGCGACTAGCTGTAGGAGCGTCGCCACGCCCATGCCATCGTCCGTCGCGCCCGGTGCAGTCGACACGGAGTCGAAATGCGCTGAGAAGAGTACGCCACTTTGATCCGAACCGTCGGACTCGGTACCATCGATTTTGACTAGCACATTCCGACCCTCGTGGTAGACAGCATACGGCTTTGACGAGAAGAGTCCCGATGTCCAGGTGGCAGAGGATGAGAGGTCGTCGATCACGGTAACATGCCTGTGCCCCTTGGCGATGTTACTGACGCGGTCAAGAATGAACGTTCGGACGAGGTCGTTGGCATGCGAGTTGTATGGGTGTGGGCGAGCGGCAATCTAAGAGGGTGGGCAGTCCATATTTTACATTTGGGTTTATATTAGTATTGTGTTGTGGGGAATTGATATGCATGCGTATGCACCTCGTGGAGGTCAGCCCACGCCTGGTCGAAGTTAAGGCCATTCTGGTGCTGAACCGACGGGACGACAGGCAGATCATCTGTCTCAAAGACAGATATGAAGACTGCAAGATAGACAAGGACGAGAAGGACGGTGGTGGGTATCGTCCTGAATGCGAAGACGGCGCGAACGCCGTCCATGACAGTCATTATGAATAGTCAACGAGCTATTCAGCGTCATTGTAAGAACGTTTTTCTGAACGACGGAGGGCAAACCATACCTCGGTACGGTGTCAACGTCGACGTCCAGTGGCCGTACCGTTGCTGGGAGCTGACGGTCGGTGGACAAGTTTAGGCCTCGCCATCTTCGGCTCTTCCGCTCATATGACGGCATCACCGCCACACACTTATGCCTCCTATTCTCGAAGCTACACCGCTTACCATTAGACCTTCTATTAAAGCTTCAACCCTATTCTTGTACATTCGTTGAGCCAGTGCTCCATGATCTTGTCGACGCTTGCAAGTCTCCGGCAGGCGGAACCCAAGCTCAGTTCGAAGTTGTAGTGAAGATGAAAACACAACGATTGGGTATATATAATTGCAAATCTATTAAAACGAATACTATGCCATAAACATATCACCATGGACGCAAACGGAGCAGAAAGCGTGGCCGTTTAAGATGGCAACATGTAGGAAGAAGATGAAGTGAGCAAATCACTCCCAGACCAAGCCTCGAGTTCCAAAATCAAGCCTTCCTACACACTCAGCTGCTAAGCATCCGTCGGCCGCGTCTTGTGAGGCGTATTCATGAGCTTGTCCAGACGACCCATCTGGCCTTCCAGCTTCGTCATGCCTGCAGCGTTCGCGTTCACGTCCACCGCACGTGCACCGTGCTTCTCGAAGTAGTACGTTAGCAGATTCTTCTGATACTCCGACAGCCCGTCAAGGAGAGCAAATAGGTGTGTTTCGTCGCGTAATACCATCTGGGCGGCAATGATGGCCGTTGATGCAGCTTCTCGTACCACCGGGGCGGACTCGTTCAAAGCCTAGAGGAATACCTGGTCAGATCATTTCTCGGCAGGTAAAGATTTAAAAGCTGCTTACAGAAAGGAGAGTCGTTTTCAGACGAGGCAGTTCATCCTCTAGAATCTCAAGCGGGAGGCGCATGATAAACTTCGCCAAGGCGATGAGACCAAACGCATGGGTGGCATCCCTTGAGCTAACATCTGCGGATGGTTCTGCCATGAAAGTACGCAGACTTCCGTGGAGTAGGGTCAACCCATAGACTGGCTCAGCGCGGGCGCAAAGGCCATCACGTATGGTCTTGGTCGCCTCTAGGACCTACAAGGCAGCCAGAGATAAGCGCGAGCCATCATCATGCTAATGCTAGAAGACGCTTACGTTGAGTTGGTTCGAGTATCTAACTTGGAAAATCGCAGTGAACATGTCTGCTTCTTGACCGTCCAGGAACGACCCTTGGTTCGTAAGTATCTCCCATAGGACAATGAGAGCATACTCCAAGGTTTCTGCAGACTGCGAAACTCGTAATCAGCAATGTTTGAAAACTGCAAAGATTATTCTCACTTTAGACGGATCGAGCACCTTCAGCAAAGCACCAAAGAGTCGACCGAACTTCTTATCCTTGGTCCATAAATTCGGAATAATAGGACCAACATCACGCTTCGGAAGTGTAGACAAGAAAGGGGACGTTGTGTTGGGCAAGCCCAGACCAGGACTCAACGGGGATGTTATATCTGGTGACAGAGGATTGTTGCTGCACAACTGAGCCAGTTTCTGCAGCACCCGAACACTATTGTCGCCGTCTTCCAGCAAGGATATATATTCTTCAAGCTCCGCGGCACGGTCTGGAACGTTGACAGCCTTCAACGGTGTTCCGGTATCAATGGCTACATGATCATCGGTAAAGTGAAGCAGTAAGCTTTCGGTAATACCTGTTAGAAAATTCAAATTGTCATACCAGACGTGCGCTTCAGCCACCAACTCGACATGTGTGACTGGTCCTGCAACGGCTTCAACAACGAGTCAGCCCCGTTGTTCGCTGGCGCCGCCGGACTATTCTGGAACGCTGCAGCCTGGCGGAAGATGGATGCATTGCGATTCACAGGCGTCACTGGAGGGGGGCCGAGACTTCGAAACACCGATCCTGCGTTCTTCGCCGCTTTCGGCGTCTGGTGCGTACTTCCAAGGAGTAGTGAGGACGGGATAGTGGGATGATTACCAGAGTCCTTCTCCGGATCGCTCAGCTCCTCGAGAAGACGTTCAGCCGTACTTTCGGCCTGTTCGGCTCGAGCTCGGAGAGCATCTTCAACGGCAATGTCCGACTTCCCTTGGGACCCGTTCGACAAGGCGTTTGACGCCGTTTGTCGGGAATCATCTGAGCGCGGCGAGAATGAGGGACGCTTCGAGCGCGGTTCCGCGTTCTGTTGTTTCGGAGGGTACAACTTGTACGGAGTGGAAAACGACATGAGATTGTGATCATCGGCGTCAGAATCGCTGTCTGGTACTGGTACCGTAGTAGCGAGCAGTAGCTCCTCATCATCATCAAAGTCAGGGAATAGATTCGAAGCGCGAGCGAGCACAGGGACGGCGTTAGACTTGGATGGACGGAATGTATCCATGTTTGCGGATGGTCCACGCTGAGCAGGGGGGCGAGATAGAGGTGAAGATGGTCTGCGTTTGATACCTTGAGGTAAGTCTGATGTTGGCGACTCCGATGGAGACCGAGAGTAAGACGTCGTCACGGCTCCAGTACTCACCGACCGCGGCATTGCACCAGTGGTCATCATTCGAGACCTTGGTGAAATCGGCGGAGAGAGTGAAGGACGTGATGACAAGGTGGGATGTGATGATGCCAGAGCGTTGTGGCCATTGGTCGAACTGGATGGATCGAGAGGGGAACTGACAATGCGTTTAGCAGGTGGAGAAGCCGCCCTTGCAGCAGCGTAAGAAGTAGAGGTAGCTTGATGCCTGAGAGTGGGAGGAGCGTTGGCATTGGCCCTCTGCTTCGCGCGTGTAGCAGCAATGGCTGCGGCCACACTCTTCTTCGCTACCTTAGGCGTTTCAGTTGGAAGGTCTGGTACAGCGCTGGGATCTGGGCATGCTTTCTGCAATTGCTTGCGAGCGGTTGCGTCCAGAGTATCCATGATAATCATGCCTGGCTCACGCCAGACGTTTTCAAAAGACCAAAAGACCACACGTGCAGTCTCCCGTACAGCCGGATTGGGATCGTTAAGTGCTTTCTTGATGGACTTCTCGAGGATCTCAAGGCCACCAGAAGACTCGATATACGCTTTGGCACGGAATCCGTGCGTTTGTATGTAGTCGCTTATATGGGATACCATATAAGCTCGTGTCTGAACTGTCTTTTCTTGGAGGTGGTTCCAGAGTAAAGGGAGAAGCGTTCGTGGCTGAGATGACGTGTTCTTGAGTATAGTGATTACGGTAGCTTGTGACTGTTGAGCAATGATCTTCTTCGTGAAGCCTGCCATTCGCAACAAGTTGCTGTATAACGATTCACAGAAAGGATCTAGAGCAGTCCCAAGAGCTACAGCTAGCTCACTGTAGAGGGAGCAGGTGTTTGCAGCGACAGTGGTACGCAAACTATTCGACTTGAAATAATGATGTTTCATTGGGAACCTTATGCAAAATGATGGATTGACTTACAGTCTTGAACGAGTTCTGTATGAAAGGCTCTCTCAAACATGCAATAAAAATGTCATGATAGCGGTTGTGCAAATCGCCCTTGAGCATCCCTCGAACTCGCATGATTGCACGCTCTCTGGCTGCCCAATTGTGTTCGGTCTCCTTGCCCTAAAAATGAACTTCCTTCAGTAATTTAATCAGAACAAACAAGGCAAAGGCAGACTTCAAATGGTTTGATCATTGACGAAAATTCGTTCTCAAGATCTCGGCTAGATGTTATCTGCATTTATCTGAATGAGAATCGCATATCAATCAACGTGCCAAATTGAATGCTTACATAGACAGGCTCAACTGTGCTTGACCCCTCAGTTGGCGTGCCCACGGGCGGTGGTGGAGGAGATACTACGGCAGCTGCTCGGCTGGGAGGGCGACCGTGGCTGGTCACGCGCGACATGGATGAGGGCGGTTGCGTGGTCGAGGTAGTGGAGCTAGATGTTGGCTTTCGACCTGCCAGCAAGAGGCTCGGTGGAACGTATTCCTTCTTTGCCCCTGCATCGCCACTTTCCGAGCTGTCTGGAGTTCTGGCGCCGTTGCCTCGGCCGCTGACTAGCTTGGAGAGAATGTTATCCATGATGCCTTTTCTGACGTTCTTCTTCGTCATTTCCTTCTTCAAATCTGCCCGTGCAGCATCCGAAACACCGGGCCCTGTGAAGAGTTCGATGACAGAGGGCGAAGCAATAGCACGAACGTTTCCATCAGTATCTTCCAGCATTTCCACCAACATTGTCATGTATGGTTTGAGGGGGAAAAGATGGTGAGACCGGCGAATGTGCACCAAAGTAAGTAGGGACTTGAAGGTAGAATTGAGATGAGTAGCATGGCATGACGCGTAGGACGTACCTGTTCTCGAACTCTCCATACTTTGCTGCCCAACCCACTCTCCCTCATGTAGCGCTCGAAGACTGCCAAGGGGGGTTCTTGACCCCGACTTTGGTTCAACTTTGAGCTTGGTGTCCCAGAACGAAAGGCAAATCCTCCTATCAGGACTAATGCTTCTCGTGCTCTATCTCGTGCTTTTTCGCGATTATCGCCTAGTCGCTCGATAATGCCTGGAGCAGGGAGGAAAGCAGACATGGCGAGCCGGAGGTTGTTGAGATCAATCGATGAATTAGAGCTAGAAGAGGTGGATGTCGACATTGAGGTAGAACGGGCAGGCGCCGATGGGCCATGCCTAGATATGATGAGGGGGAGGAAGGGAGGAAGGGCAGACAATGTCGCAGTCGTCAAGTGCTGGTTTGCAACTCGAAGGCATGACTTGAGTGCTGCAACAAGAGGCTCTGCATCCACAATCTACTACAAATTTCAGCCATGTTTACCATAGCACGCACTTACATACCTCGAGCCCCGTCTCAAACTCTGCCTGCAACTTGTTGACAGCGTCAATCTTGCTATCGACATCTGAGACGCGCTCTCAGCTTTCGGAGCACCTAGATGCGGAACCTGGTGACAGGTACTGACCATTGCTCTTGCATTGGTTCACGAGCTTTTCGAGCCGCTCGGTGCTCATTTCGAGTACGTGTTCGTGAAATGTCGTGAGATGTGGTAGCAAGCAGAAGGGTGAGCAGACCGGCTGAGAAAGTGTCCGGCAGTGACACCGATCACTTTAGCTTGCCACCACATATTACATCATCACTTGGACTTCGAAACTCTGAATTGCAGAATCAACATTGCCACAATCGCAAGATAGCTTCAATATGGAGATGTATGTGAAGACACAGTGCAAGATCATGTCACAAGAACAGGCACAGGTCCAGGCTACATTTTCTCATTCCTTTACAAGCTTATAAGAGCTACAATCAGTGGTGTATTGAATGGCATATGCCCACGCGAGTTCTGTATTCCAGGAAACTTGAGGTAACTTTACGAATCAAGTGAAGCATATTCACACAAAGATCAGCTCATGGTGGGTTTATCAGAATGGCCGAGAGACTTGGTAGGATCAATGTGATCCCTAAGCCTTTGTTTCTGCGCTCTTGCGTCAGGATCCAATCGACTAAACAAGGTACTTTGGACACACCAGAACTTTCAACTCTGGGAAACCACCTTCCGTCTTTCTATCCCAAACCAAAGTTGCCTTCGCTTCGCCAGATGGGTCGGTAGTATGAAGCCACACACGAAAACGTCCTCCGGTATCCTCAGAGTTCAGGGGCAATAGCGACACTCCCTTGATTGCTGGAGGGGGGAAGGTGAGAAGTAGTTCTGTTGACACCCATGTGGCTCGGTGAAGCCTACAAGGGTTTGATTCGATTCATCACCAAGCAGTTACCAGAGGCATCTAATCAGCTCACCATCGGCACTGACAAACCGGTTGGTAGCAATCAAGGTTTAGGCCTCCAGCAACGTACCCGGTCGCAAAATTCGATTGTTACGGTTGGCGTTGGAAGAGGCGCCGGAGGGATGAAGTTCTGAGCTTCAGTAGGAGGAGTTGCGGACTGAGGCAAGTCTACTGGGCAACTAGCCATGATGAGATATCCTTGCACTATTCGGCAGATGTAGAGGGAAGATAATGTGCTTGAAATCTAGTTCTTGACCTTTGGATACCTATGATGAAGGGATGAAGGAGGGAGCTTGACTTGAGTATCGCCCGGAGATCTCGGAGGAATGACTTTATGCCACGTGATAGATATTCCTATTGACGCGTTGTTTACGCGAGGATTATCGCGCGTCTGACTCTCCTACTGACCACCACAATCTCCTCACCCGCTTCATAATTCTTACCATGGATCCTGATCCAGCCAACTCTCAAGAAAGCTCTCATTTGGAAACAATTTGGACTGTGCACGGTCTGTTGCGCTCTCAGAATCATGAGCCATGCTGAGACCGCCTTGCAGTGGAGGTCCGCCTCTCAGCCAAGTCTAAGCGCCGGTTCGACACCATCAAGAGTCAAGTCAAGGGCTGGCTACAGTCACTTGAATGCCTATCTATACCATCAGACCTCCATGGCTGGGAACAAGATCCTAGCCTCGCGTCATGCGTCGAACGCATCGCAGTTGCAGAATCCCCGTGTCCATCGTCAATTCTGCCATTATCCCAGATATCGCTCAACATACACACATATCAGCCAATTGAATCCGACTCCGTCGACGAATACACCAATGGAAACGATAGCGGGGAGGGAGAAGGTGTGCTAGCGGCCAGTGTTTGCGAGCTTCCTTCGACATCATTGGAGGGCCTCTGGGACGGCCTCATCTACTCCGACAACATCAAGCTAAGGCTGCTGGATTACATCCACGCCACTCTGATCCTCAGCGATCTTAACGTCGACTGTAAGTGGCACCTTCATTAGTCCGAAGTTCAACGTTCTGATTTATAGGCTTTTAGCCAACCTCGTTTCATGGAATCGTGTCGTCCTTCTGCATGGGCCCCCAGGAACAGGGAAGACTTCACTATGTCGAGCACTTGCTCAAAAACTCTCCATCAGAATGTCTCACCGGTAAGTGTTTTCAGCAACAGCAGTCAGAGTTCGTTCATAACTGGGGTCTCAGCTATTCGCAATCACGGCTACTAGAAATCAATTCGCACTCCCTGTTTTCTCGATGGTTCTCAGAATCCGGCAAACTTGTCCAGCGACTGTTTAACAATATCAACGAAATGATCGAAGATGAAGACTGTTTTGTCGTTGTCCTCATAGGTGGGCTCACCCGATTTCACCTAGTTTAGCTGCCTCATGAAGATTTAGATGAGGTCGAATCCTTGACTGCTGCAAGAGCAGGGGCAATGGCTGGAACGGAGCCGTCGGACGGCCTGCGTGTAAGAAATCAATTTCTCCCAACACATTTTACTGAAGGACGTCAGGCAGGTCGTCAATGCCCTACTGACGCAGCTAGATAAGCTACGACAGAAGAAAAACGTCTTGGTCATGTCGACGAGTAATTTGGCTAAAGCCATAGGTTCGTTGCCAGTGCTCTGTTCCTTTCAATCCCCTCACACTCATACTTGAACCAGATTCTGCGTTCGTCGATCGAGCAGACATCGTTCAGTATGTCGACTTGCCTCCACGCGAGGCCATATATGAAATCCTCCGGAGCTCGATATGCGAGTTCGTCGACAAAAAGCTCATTCAAGAAGCCGTGGGTGGTTTGCAATAGTTCTGCAACAGTATCGCTGAATTGAACAGGTTGTTCCACCTCTGAACGAGGCTCTATTCTACGAGGACACCGGCAATTACGCGCAACAAAATGACGGATCACCAGTGTCTACAGCGCCTCACACGGAAAGAGTCAAGCTCGGTCGCAGTCTCCTGACCCTCTCCGCACGGTGTAGAGTAAGTCTATTCCGAGTGCATGTTTCACAAATAGCTAATCTCTAAATTTTCCCAGGAATTAGGCCTCTCGGGACGGGCATTGCGTCGTCTGCCTGTCTTGGCTCTGGCAAGATACATAGGTCTAGGGGTGAGCAGCAGAAATGGTATCCTGGACAATGACTCTGGCAACTTCCACACCGACATCTATACATGGCTTGACGCCATGGGGAAGGTTCTTGACGAACGTGCTTCTACGCACGGGCAATTGTTACAATGACACTAGCATTACACCTGTCCCAGCAACTGGTTTCGCATGTTAGGCTAGTCGAACAGCAGATTTCTTGGCAAGTCTTCTGGCAAGGGACCTTACACCATGTTTTTCGGTAGTGAATCCATTAAGATTCCACTAACTACATGTGTGCGTTGCGGTGGAAATGTTACTTGATATATGACAGCGATTAAATGATATAAGTCTAAGCATGCAGCGACAGTGCAGATGACAGATAAACGACGGAGTGTCCAACCTCACGAAAGCTATGCGACGACGTCAGCCTGAGAATGAATCAGCATTGAATATTGAATCTCAACCAGCAACAATATCACATTTCCACATACCCGGGTTGGTGCTATGGTGTATGGGGAGGGGTAGGCGTTCCGTCTCCCAGCCCTCGCATGCCGCCTAACCAGCCGGAGCTCATGCGCGCCTTCGCCTGTGAGATCCGCTGTCTGTCCTTCCACTTGATAGCGACCTTCTCGCGCGTCGCGCGCGCGTCCGGCCGCACCTCGTATGCCTTCCTACGGAAATTGACAATTTGCATCCAGCGTTCGCGCGAGACGCCGACGCGTCGATTCTCGTCAAGTAGGTATACATTCTTGGTTGCCCATACACGCCGTCCGAGCCGCTCCTTGACGCGCTGAGTCGAACGTTCGGTCACGGTCTCAATGACCTCGCGCAACTCGGTGAGCTCGTCGATGTCGCGCCGGAGGAGGCGGATGTGGAGGTCCATGTCGAAGCGTTTAATGTATTCGGTGGGAGTTGAGGACGAGGGGTCATGTGGGAGAGCGTCAAGGTCGACATTTAGTATCGAATCGGTGGTGTTGTCCCATGAACGTGGCGAAGGAGCGTCTGCTTTCGAAGGTGCTGCAGGATAAGAGGGCTCCCCTTCGGCTGGGAGCGAGGGCGCCGAGGACTCTGTATCTGACGTGGAAGGCTCTGCACCAACTTCTGCACGTTTTCGCGACGTTTCCTCCGCAAATGCAGTGTACCAAGCAAGGTCATTCTTCTTTCGCCGCAACGACTGACGCGTGACCCACCCAACCCATCTTAGGAGCTCCATGTTCTTGTCCCGGTTCGCTTCCCCAAACACCGGCAGAATGAGGCGCCTTCTCATCGACAACTGCGGCGCAGGGACTTGAGTTGCTCCCTTAGTAAGTGCACTGCGCAACTTTCTGTCACATTCTCGATCAAGTGTGAATGCCTGGAAGAGGTAATGTCGAGCTAAGGTAGCATGTCCTGATCGTGAGATGTGCTTAAGGAGGAGATGGTAGGTCGTGGTATTAGGGACGGCGGATGGTGCTTCCCAAGGCTTCGTGGAGGCGGGGTTGACGTCGCCAAAGTCGTCTTCTTCTTCATCAAACTCTTGCGAGAAATGCTTACTGGCTTGTGGGGGAAGAGGGTTGGTAAGGACCTCGAACGCTTGCACCAACTTTGATGGATTGTTGAAACGACCAAGGGTGTCAATGGTCGTGTTCAGGGCAGCAGCAGAAAAGGGCTGGGGAGAAGGGGGCTCGATGGCAGACTTTGATGGTTTGAGGGATTCTACTGGTGGTCGGTCGGGGTAGTCCAGATCTATGGCATAACCAAGCTTCATGAGCTGGGTGAAGCCTGCTGGATCCAGAGTCTCCTTGAAGATGCGAACGGCAAGGTCAAGGTTGACAGAGGTGACAGGAAAGTTGTGTGTCGACATGTCCCTCAGTAGCTCCCGACACATTTCCGTGCATTGTGGGATGAGAAGAGTGCATTGGACTTTATTTATAGGTAAAGCTAGACGGTGGGCAATGGCTTGCATGCACAGGCCAAAGGTTTTCGGCAATGGTGTCAACCTGCCGATGCTGATTGCCTCATTATAAACCAGCTTGGCGCCTTGAAAGTGACCGACAGCGGCGAACTGCGCGAGAATGAAGTGGTAGTCACTGAGGGTTGGTGCATAGCCCGCTGCACGAATATTGCGCATCACGGTTTTCAGCCTAGCCTCATACAAGTGAGGTATTCGAGGCATGCGGTCTTCTGCTGCACGCCGCGTCAGGACACTGCGCTGGAGCCATGGCGACGGGACACATTTACGGAGGACAGCCTGGTGTACCTCTAGCGGGAGAGCAGCGCGGTCCACGACTTCTAGGGCTTCAACATAGTTTAGCCAGACTCGCAAGTGACCGGATGAGCGACGCGACAAGGTGTCCTGGAGGGCCGCTAGTTTTTGCTTCCTGATAATCTCTATCGCGTCCACTTCCACCTGAAGGCTGCTTTTCGTCGTAAGCGGGGTATCACGGAGGGTGCCTCCAGCGCCGAACGAATTTAACGAGACAGCGGCGTGCTGGCTGGTGGATGCATGGAAGCGCTGGGCATGATTTGGGGGACGACGAAGAGCGGGGGTGATCTTGAGGGTGGAAAGGGACCTACGCATAATCCTGGGACCATGAACGCGCCCCCGGGGCAGGCGTGCAGCGTGTCGAGAATGTCAAGGCGGACCAGACGCGCTTTAGTCTGCAGACCACTCCGAGCGAGGAGCGGGCATATTCGCACGAATTTTGTTTCCCATGCACAGGAAAGCCCCTGTCGAGCGAATCACTCACTCACCATAGTCCCATAGTCAAACTGAGCTATCCTTATGTGAACGGGATATAATTGTTCGTCTGTAAATATACACTGATACAGCGCTTAAACAGTGACTAGAGTTTCCGCCACACCACCATCCTCTCGCGCCCCAAGCGCCTCGGCGAAGGGTTCTCAGGAATCTTGTCCAGGACTTTCTCCCAACCACTTCCCAGCGGCTCGTAGTAGTCTTCTGGCTTGACAGAGAACGGTGGACCGCCTTCTCTGTAGGAATCAATAGGGAATATGAGCGCGATTAGGTAGCCGCCAGGCTTGACGAGCGTATTCATCTGCCTGCCCCAGTCGTTTCGCATGGCGGGAGGTATGGCGACAAAGAACCTGTCCTAATGTCAGTACCAGTACGCTCCAGGCGATGTCCCCCTACGTATGGTCATAGGCGAGGGCAAACTTTTCGCTTTCGGGAACCGAATAAGTAAAGAAATCTTGAGCGATGAAAGAGAGCTTTCCAGAGTCGATCAGCTCAGGATTGTTCTTATGATGGAAGCTAGACAGCATGTCGTCAGCACTTATGCTCTCAGACGGATAGCAACCTCGCTCACTCTCGCGCAGCTTTGACCGCGAGCGGAGAAATATCTGCCGCAACGGTTCGCAGACCTAGCTCTGTGGATATAAACTGAGCATCATACCCCTAGCGCTCAGATCAGTACAACTAACTCTTATAACTTAACCACGAATACGCACCGTTCCGCACCCTGGGATAAGAGCACGGCCTTCTCTTGGGAACTTGATGCCCTCTGAGAGGATAACATCCTTCAAAGCCTGCTGGACGCCACCGGCATCCCAAGGCGTGATACTCTGTTCCCTGAACAGAGCTATCATCGTCACCGAGTGGAGAGAAGTTTGCTTGAGACCTACCATGCTTTATCCCATCCGCCTTTTGGATCCTCTCGTATGATAGCTTTGAGGTCAGCCATAACAGCTTCTTGCGCCTGCTGTTCAGTCGAATCGGTCATCCTTGATGCGTTCTAGAGAGAGAGGAAGAATAAAAGATGAAATCTGATTTGGATTCTGTAGTCGAGTAGAAGAATCCCATTGTGTTATATACACCGCACTCCGAGTCGGGCATGGAGTGTATCGTGACCTGCATACAGTCCTGACCAAGCTGGTAAGTCAACCATTTCAATTAGGCTTGTTGATCTGCGTGACCGGAACGTAGATGATTGGTAGACTTGGTTCCTTTGCCCGCCCAAAGCCTTGATGCCGGAGAGATAGGTCATCGGCAAGAACATTCACCTCAAGGTCACATGAGACTATGGGCGATCGAAGAGCACAGAGTAAGAGTAATCAGCCTGAACTGGACAGAGTCGTACTAATCAACGGGAAGTCCCTGCATATTGTCATGCGTATTCAGACATTGAGCGTGCAGACAGGGAAAGGATAGAACAGTATAAAGGAGCGCATCTTGTTTCATAAATTTGCAGATATAAGAGTCACAAATCATACAATACACCAAATCCCGGATGAAACAGGAGCGTAGCACTAAATTGAGAGAAAAATCATCAGATGAGCAGAGGAAGATATATCGGGGTATGCTTTGACAGTATGAGACAGATTGAGAAAAACGTCGTCCTAATGGCAACACAAAACGCTGATAAGTTGAGGACGTATTTGGGAGACTGATACAATTAGATGGCATCAAATATATCCAGCACAAAAATGGGAAGAAATGTTCAGGAAGATTTGGGAGGCATTGAGGTATAAGCGGCGGTTGCTTGGTTAGTCGTATTCGTCCGTCGCGATTAGAAGATTAGTCCTTGGCTGATATGGCAGAGCGGGGCGTCCCGCCAATCGTGCGCTTTATTCGAGAAAGGGCATCACCGCTGATGACGGGACGCGTACGATGTCCTGGCCCTGCGGGAGAAGAGTGGGTCCGGGCATGTCCCAGTCCACTCTTTCCAAGAGGTGATGTGGCGCCTGACCGCGTAGAGCGATGATTGCTGAAGGCACCCGGATTGCGGGGTATGTGGCCTTCGGTGGCTGAGTGGCCATGCGGAGGGCTAAATGAGCGTGGACCTGGAGGTGCTGATTGGGGTGACAAAGTTAGGGCAGAGCGTGAGTCCGGAGTGACGTCCTTGGGTGCGTGGATCGACGCTCTGATGCCTTCGTCAGTGTCATACTTCTCATTCTCCGCGGATTTTGCCAGGGGGCTCTTGACAGAAATTTCTGCTGACTTCGGAGCGTGGATCGATTCCGCAAGCCCGCTTTCTGGGCGGGGAGGTAATGGAGATGTAAGTGGTGATGGTACAGAGGCTGGATCCACTTTTGGCTCCAATGCCCCGGGTGAAAGCACCGCGTGAGATGTTGAGGGCGAGCGCTGCGACACCGTACCAGGAGGTTTTGGGGATAGATATGCACGACCGTTCGGCGCAGGGTTCCTCGAGTTCTTCTGGGTTTCTGCAGCTGCAGCTGCAGCAACTGGCTTGGCAGGGAGTGATGGATGAGGTTGCAATGGCCTCGCTCGGATTGTTGGCGCATCAGAAGCGGGTGTCTTGGCTTTGAATGTGAAAGCTGGCTCCCTACGGCCCGGCCTAGCTGTCAAAGGCGATGGCGAAGGAAGACGAGCGGGCTCAGTATCCACATCCGTGGCTTTCTGATTTAAGCCACTAGTTTGCAGCTCTGGAAGCGTCTTCAAGCTGTCCACGAGAATGGGCGATATTTCGTTGATATTCGCGCTCGCCTGCGTAGATTCCGTCTTGACGCCCCAGTCGTCCAGATCAGGCAAACTATCGTCATCGTCGTCTCCTGCCCAGTCTATGTGACTGCCAGGCGTGTGGGGACGGTTCTCCATGGCACGAGCCCGAGTTCCTTCGACCAGTAAGTCAACAGCATGACGTGTGCCATTGTCATGAGCTGGAGCGAGGTGAGGAGGGGCTTCCTTCGATGAGACAGGAACGGCTGGCGTTATTGTTGGTACAGCTAGAGTGGGAGGTCCTGGTAATTTCTGGAGAGGAGTAGGGGTAGGGGCGGCGCCTTTGGCATTTGAAGTGGGCCCTTTCCCAGTGGATGACTGCTGAGACGACCGACGGCGGCGATTATTTGGACGAGACGGTGTCAGTGGTGTAGCTTCTGCCTCATCCGGAGCGACCCCATTGACAACGAGAGAGGGAACAGGGCGAGAACCTCGACGAGAGGGTACCTTCGGCCGCGTCGACTTCTCATTGGAATTACTAGTACCGTGGGGTAGTGCCGCTGATTTCTGCGAAGGCGTCCTTGCCTGCTGGGAACGCGCGGGCGAAGACTCCTTGTTCTTTGACGGAGCCGGTGCGGTTGGGGGTGCAGGCTGAGACTCTCCGTTTCCTGACGGTGCCTTGCTGCCTCTAGATGGCGCTCCTCCACCAGCTAAGCGAGCTCCGCGCCCACCACCTCCTGCACCACCATTACTACGGCCACCTCCTCTTGAACCGTGCGACTTAGGCGTACCACGGAACGCGGACCCTGGCTCAGCAGATCTGAGACCAGCCAGGTCTCTTTGTCTTGGGGGTTTCGCATTGGTAGTGGGAGAGGCCATACACTCGGCGCGTATCGTCGGCGATCGAGTTGAAGATCAGCCAGGCAATCTGTGTGTATATTACTGGGTGAGATTCTGAGGAACAGGCGGTGAACACGTTTATTCCTTGACAGGAACAAACTTGAATAATCCGGTGAACTAAAAATGCGCACCTGTAGGGCTACACAGGAACGCCACAAGGCGATATGTTGCTGAAGGGAGAAGGAGGTTCAATAAGAGCGGGAAGGTGAATACAGTAGTGAGAGCGAGATGTCTGATATTAGTGGTGGAGGTCAAGTGGGTATAAGGAGTTCTAGCACCACGGCTGTCAACCCAAACACGGTAACACAAAACGCGTTCCTCGCTTTGTCCTCGACCACTGCAAACACAGCCAGGAATATCTCTCCATAATGTCGAAAGCATCCCAGCCCGAACTCAAGAAGGTGAGTCACAGCTTACACGAAGCGGCGCATGTCTCAGATGGATCCACATGGCACAGTTCATGGACAAAAAGCTGTTCGTTCATCTACAAGGTGGCCGAAAGGTTAGCGGTATCTTGCGAGGCTATGACCTCTTCCTCAATTTGGTCATCGATGATGCCCTTGAGGAGAGTAGTCCAGCCCAGAAACATCCAATCGGGACGGTGGTACGTTGCTAGTCGAGATGTTGAGCTGATTTCTGACATCCGACCTCGTTTCGTTTCAGGTCATTCGGGGTAACAGCGTAACGTCGATGGAAATTCTGGAATCGACAAGATAGGGCATGTGTCCCGTTCTAAAGCGTATAGGTACAAATTCCATCCTGTCACGATTATGTTGTTGTGCTGAAACAAAGCGGCACTCGTTTAGCCTAGGTTGAACGCGTCTAACGCGTCTAACGCCTGTTGGTGAAAGGTAGCACAGCAAGTAGGGATTACAGCAAGTGGCCCTCAGATCCTTGCATTGAAAAGTGTCTGCTACTCCATTTGAGGCGTTGTAACTCTGTAACCGCAACTACACAATGGCAGCTTAACATTGACGCCTTCGCATGCACATCCGGAACTATGTGCCTCCACAGCTACTTACTTCGCAACATTAGCTGATAAGAGCCTGGCAATGCACATTGCACATGATCCCATAAATCTTGAGTGTAGCTACATACTAGGCGACAAGATCCTTCAGTGTGAATATGTGCAGTCTAGCAGGCTAGTGCATGTGCATGCGTAAGCAGCCCGAGTATGAAGAGATTCAGTGCATTTCCAGGAGGTAGCCACGGCAAGAAAATGGACGAATTCTCATTCGATAATACTAAAAAAAGAGATACATTCCCAAATAGAGTAATGTTGAGGCTGAATACAGCAGTGTATACTATTTATGCAGTGCAGTAGGGTTAGGGTTAGCGCAGTCAAAGATCAAAAAGAGAGGCCTGCCTAGCCAGAGTGGCCGTGGCAGGACAGGAAAATATTGAGACGGTGCATGAGCCGAAGCCCATACAAACTGCAGACACCCTCTGTGTGGACAGGGTCGCCGTGCTATGGAAGGTCCCCACAGCCCACAGACTCAAGTCCGTGAAGGAGCCGGTGCCATCAAGGTAAGTATGAGGAATTCAGCACGTCGACCGAGTGTTTATATACCTTCGCCATCACGCGCACGGACCACCCTATCTGCCAGTGGAAACGAAGGTCAGATCCTGCCACTTTTGGCAACTCACAACACAACTTCTGCTGAGCATCCTTCACAAGTTCGCAATTCTTTGCTGTGGTCCTCAGTCTGTAGCTGTGAATGGCAATTCATGCCATTCTAAAGAGCACTTATGAGATCTTACTGGGACGGCAAACTATAACTCAAGAGACATATATCATATCACTGTAATACGAGTGTTCATTCCGGTAAAATAATTGCTATGCAGCATCGTGCTCGCCTCGTCCGGCAGCAAGCCGGCTTTCCCTCAGACTCTTTGCATTCCTTTCAAGTTGTGCTTGCAACCGCGCCGCCTGCATTATATTCCCTCTCGGTTAGGCGACTACGAACGCATGGATAATGGGGTAAAGCACGCACCGCTGCATCCTCGGGTCTCATTGCGCCTTTGGCCATGTTGTGCTTGCCCGGTTTAAGTCGCTGAGAGCGGGCGCGACGCATTGTTGGTGGACCTGCATCAAGGAGCGCTTCGCATTCTTCATCTGTCGCTATATGCCCATCGAGGAGCGCAAAGAACTTGTGTCGCAACACTATCTTGATGCGCTCAAGTGTCATGGTAGAATACCAGCCATCCCTTTCCTAAATAAAATAAAAAGAGACATGAGACCAGCCAAAGCAATTCTAACAAGGGACGGTGGACCCACATCGCACTCTTCTCGGAGGTCTTCCTCCGATTCTATCATCTCTCTTAGCATGGGGTCGACAATGTCGCACAGCTGAAAGGCAGCCGTCTCTTTGGTAAGAGTCTTCCCGTCAAAGATGTGAGACCGTCTGTGTGAAGGCAGCCGGTCAGCTGTATATCGAGAGGGTGTTGGACAGAACGCGCTGACCGCCGGTCAGTGTCGGAAGCACTGTCGAGATTGCCATTGAACATGACTGAGGCACGGGGCTCTTGACGCCGAGCGTTGACAGAAATTCGCTCCATAGGGTGGTTGGCGTTGCGGAAATACACGCGTTGGTATCTTCCATGGGATGTTATAACCAGCCATCGCGAAACGCACCCCGAAGTGACTCACATGCGAGAGCTTGGTTGTTTTCGGGGGTCATATCCAAAGCGAACAATTGTGTCTCGCCATGGCCCATCCTGAAAGACGTACCCAGCTAGAGGAACAATAGGCTTGGAGCTGGCAGAACCATTGACGTTAGCTCAACCAAGTCAGAAGAGCGAGATGTCACGCGTACTTATGCACCTCCTTCACTTCGGCGGGTGTGAGTTGGTTGTACAATGCAGCGCGCGTCCATATCGGCCGCTCTTCCAACAACTTTGTCGAAAGTAAGTGTGGAGTAAAGCCACAGAAGGGAGTCAAATGGACCTTTTTCATCTTCTCCACGAGTGCCTCGTTAGCTCGTGCTTTGTTTTCAAGAGCAATAGCATGAGGACCTTGAGGGACCTGATGATCATATAAGAAGTGAGAGTGAACAGACTCTCTCTAGAGACTTACATTCGGGTCACTGTATGCAATTGTACTTGGACCGTACCCCTTCCACCGCTGACGGTTGACGAGTCGTGTCCGCTCCTCACCAGTGACTTCGTCTACGACGCTGGTCTTCACCGATGCCGGGTTTGCTTTGAAGCTTCAAAATTCGTGGTTCAGCACCAACGGGCCAGAAAAAGAACTCCGAAACTCACTAGTAATTTTGAGGTAGTCCCTGGCGGGAGAAAATTGGTGGGGGAAAGAGGCGTAGGTTACTTCGTGTCGCGGACGTCGATGATGTTGACGCCTCTGAAGCTGCCTCTGTAGAAGATGACGCGCTCACGATTGAAGGCCCAGCAAGCTGCGGGTCAATTGGAACGGATTTGTCGACTGCATCTCCTGAGATTCTCGAGTAATTTGAGGGAACAATATAATCTTCTTTCTCTTCTGGCATCCTGAACGCGCGAATCGCGTCGACTGTATAGTCAAGGTGAACCTGGATGAGACTGCGGCCAGGATGAGCTCCATTTACCATCCATTTTATCCATAGCAAGGCGAAGCTTGGCCATCGGATCTTCCATGTCCGGCTGAAACTGATAATCTGCCATGTCTAAACGCCACCCAAGCTACGACTCAGCTTGACTGAACAAGACCGGGAGCACGAATGGAAACTTACTGCGAAAACGTGCAGTCTTTGGGGTGATACCTACTACTTCGGCCGTGTAGTCGCCCACTATCCCACTTGCACCCCCTGGAGTGCTATCGACGTCCATGGGTGCCGCCTTTCGTCGCCGCTTGACGACCTTGAGCACGAGGTTAGACGTGCTCACGATCTCCCCAGGGATTGGGTGGGCGAAAGGGTTATCCGGCCTCAGGCGCAACTCGAGTATGGATGCAGCACGGCGCCCTGCGGGCCGTCTGAACGCGGTCTCGAGAGCTGCATTACCGCCAAGGTTGTGGATGGCGGAGGGCTCTGAGCCAGGAGAGACATAACCTGGATATTCAACAGAGTAAAAGTTAGATTTTGGGAGCGGGCACTGTGGTGCAGCTGAAGCAGCTGATGAAGTGCCACTGGGTCCTGCTTCAGGGGAGTCTGTCATGAGAGATAGGAGCAAGGAGATGTCAAGTCGCGCGCGCGACGCGTCGTGCTTCTTCATCAAGCTGTCCCCGGTCCTACTTTTGTCATCTCAATGTCTGCAGAATCCACCGCGCAGGACGCGCCCCAACTGAACTCGGAAAAGCAATTCGACCAAGATGAATCTTTCTTTTCGAACATCCTCGCGCCAGGCTCGTCTCTCCACCCAACATTCCTCGCCATCGTTGACGGTTCCCTTGCCCTTCTTCTCGTTACTTTCATTGCCGCCCTCTACTTCACCAACGGAAGCATACACTTCATAGTTCTCATCGTCATAGAGCTTGCACTCTGGGCAACGATTAAATGGTGAGTCCGGTGATTCTGTCAACTGTCTCAATACTGACAGCTCTTGAAGGTTCGTCAACGAGCTTAAGCAAGTGCAAGAAGTAGACGAAAACTCTCAAGAGAAGAAAGACCAGTAACACCGCCAATGAGGACCAATCGTCTCTACGTATGTACACCATGCTGTCACCAGGCATTTGGGCGAACATGTGAAGAGCATGTGGATCGACGCCGCCCACATGCTTCAAGTTTGCTTCGTGGAGGGTTACGCTCCCAACCCATATACGCCTAGATTCCCGACCAAATAGTGGGTTAAGGAGAGCTGTGTACGTCAGTGAAGGAATGTTTGCAGAATCACTTCTAAGACTTGTATCTGCTACATGTACACCGCGCACCTAGCGTGATGGAGGGCAATAAACGTCTCGAGGCATGGTTAGAAAGCATGCGTGGGTAGTAGTGCACTATGACTATTACATCGCAATTCATAGACCCAAAGGCAAGCTCACGAAGCAGATTGCCTGGCATCCAATATCGCGTGAAGCGAGCTCGAGACGCGTTTGGCGTCCCCCACCACGTGCCAAACATCCTTTCTTTCCATTCCATCCATGACCTTCTAACCCCTGCAGGCCCCTGGCGTCGTTTTTTCCACGAACCTAACACCATAATCATTCCTTGTTTCATTCATATCTGAAGCATCCCGCTCTCAATGTCCGACGAAGAAGACGACTATTTCTCCGACAAGTTCCTCATTCCCGAGGCTCCCGCCTCTAGATCTGCTGGTCCAAAGACCTACAGCCAACGCCGGCGCGATGCGCAACTCAAACAGGCGGAGGCTTCTCGAATCAAGTCGCGACGCGAGCGCGAGGAAGAAGCGCGTCGCATGGGCCTTGAGACGAGTCTTATCGAGCGCGCTATGCAGGGCAAGGCCGGCAAGGATGACAATGGAAGTGGGAACGGGGTGGGAAATGGAAAGAAAGAGGCGGATAATGGCGGAGGGGAAGGAGAAGGAGAGGGCAGCAAGGCGCTGAGCATGATGATGAAAATGGGCTTCAAACCTGGACAGGCTCTCGGTGCTCCAGCAGCAGCCGAGAAGAAAGTTGAAAGCGTTGACGAAGGAGAGGGTGGGGAAAGCAGAGGAAGGAAAGAGAAGGGGCACATAACAGAGCCGCTGCCACTACAAGAATGGATGGGTACGTCTAGCTTCTCTTTAACTCAGCAATTTATATCCATAGGTTCTATCAATGACAATCTCTCGCTAACATGAATATATTCTCCAGGCAGGAAGGGTATTGGCGTGCTCAAACGTCCTCGCGCACTCTCGCCTTCTGAAATCGAACGCCTTGCCAAGGTGGCGCGCACTAAAGAAGACGATACCCGTGCTAACTTTCGCGAACGGTACGAAGACCGTCGCACAGAGGGTCAGCTCGCTTCTGCGAGTCGCACATGTGTAACGCTCGACGAACGCGCCGGAGTTCAGGTGAGTCATGTTGGTGTTCCATCTGCTGGATTTTTGCTGAATTTTATCGCGGTAAAAATCCAGTTCAACGTCCTCACCCTGGACCCCACCGATCCAGAGACCATTCCGAATGCACTCATTGAAGCGCTTGAAGAGTGGTTCCTTACACATACAGTCTCACCGTCGGCGGCTCCTGGACTCGCGGCTGTACCTGACGCCGAAAGGCTCCGCAAGCAGATGGAGGCTGACGCCCTCGCCCCGCTTGATGAGAATCACGGTCTTGACGATGGTCTAGACGCGGAGGATGATGGAGATGATGGCCAGGGCGGCATCGCTGCGCGGGGCGTGCTGAAAGGAGATGCACAAGTCGCACATGAAGAAAAGAAGGAAGCCGAAAAAGAAGCTGGCGAGGTGTTCAGCCAGGAGACTGTCGCACAGGCCGCACATTTTCTAGGATTAGGGGTGAGTGCTGTTCTTCTTGTTTGCTAGCGTTTCCACCCGCTGCCAAGTCCATGTTTCGGGTGTCCCTTCGAACGCCCTCGGAGGTGATGTGGTAGATGAGACTTCTTCCTATTCCAAATTTCCTCTCATATACCTACGAATTGAATGCTGAGACCTTATCGATTGTTACTTGTTGCAGCCACGCGACCGCCTTCGTGAACTGCTCGCTTACCTCCGCGACCGCTACTCGTACTGCCTGTGGTGCGGTACTGAGTACGATGGTTCCGAGGACCTCGCTGCCAACTGCCCCGGGCCGACCGAGGAGGAGCACGACTGAATTCTGGAACTTCACTACGCCGCCGCCACGAAAATTCGGTTGCCCGCACCCCAGCGGCCGTGCACGGAGAGACACAGGGATCTTGTCTGGTGTGCTCGCTCCGGCTGTCACGGAGGGTGGACGGCGCTAGCAACCTGCAACCTAACGCCATTAGCCTCATCGAGGCGACTCCGCTCATTACGGAATGTGCAGAAGGCGTCAACACCACACGGGTGGTACTGTAGCGATGGTGCTACGGTGGCGCTGCCACGGCCAGGAGTCCGGATGAAAAGAAACCCTTTGAGTGATGCGGATCAGATTACGTGCTGACGAGTGGGAAGGGTTGCGGAAGCCCAAGGGTCGAGAGCTACCTAGAGCTACTGTATGTAACCGACCTAGCTTATCATCCTCGAGGGGCAAGCGACTGAGACGCGACGATTCATTTATATGTCATGGAACTTTATTCAGGTGTGACGTCTGTCGGCCTCGAGCTGCAGGGCTGTCTTTCATCTGCCCCTGACCATTGAATCGCTGCGCCTTGTTCTGTCCAATCAATGCCGTTTATCTACGTCCGACTCCATTGGGCGAGCAAGTGAGGCTGGCGGAAGCAAATGTCCGGTCCGGTGTCCGATGCTGGGCCCTTCGATATCATTGGATACATCCTCGACGGTGCCAACCTTTAGATTTATTAATTCAGTTGCATGTATAGGTCCCTCGAGACGCGGGCGTTCGGCGGCAATCTCGTAAAGGACAGCTGACTTCCCGTCGGACGAGCGCAGCGGATACCTCCTAAATCAATTCGTTGGACAAGTGAACAGCGGACATCGTGTTGCTACTCTAGAAATTATCGTTCACTCTTTCATTGCCTTGCTGCAAGAAAAAGGTACACCGAGGGAGCTTAAGGTCGAGCTTCGTCGTGTCGGTCCCATTGATCCACTCCGTCGGCCCGGTAAACTGATGCTCGTTTGTCCTTCCACGTTGCCTCAACCCAAGTGCACGAGGTAAGATCGACTATCACCTCCAATCACCGACTCTCATGCTAATTTTCTCGCTTGCATGCAGCGAATCGCACTTCAACGGGATAAAGGTGGATATTCCAACAGATCAGATTAGTACTCGTATACTATATTTAACATACGTTCCGTACGTATGGTATGCGAGCACGCACAGCGCGTGAGCGTCCAAGGGGTAACAAGTGTACGTATGCTGGCAGCGTCTGTGGGACGACGCAAGGGTATGAGCTACTGTACACATACACGGTCAACAGACGACTTGGTATTCTGTAACAATTAACCAGAACAAACAGAGCAGGCAAGAAGCGGGGGAAAATATGTACAACGGTGCGGGGCTGAACAGTCCAAGACGAACGCGTGAGAGGAGGCGTGTCATGGACTCGCCGACGCATTCATTTTGAAGGAGCACCATGGGTTGTAAGGCGCAGACAGGGAGAGTGAAGGGAGTATGACCCATCGGGGGAAAACGCAACGGGAGGGTAAGAATTGACAGGTGAAGTCAAAATGCGTTTTAGGAGTTGTGTAGATAGAAGAGGTGAGATGAGGTGATGCTGAATGAGCCTGAAGACAATGAGGGACGATGAGGTTGCGTGCTGTTATAAATATTGCGTGCAATATGGGAGATGGGCATGAAAACGAGGCAGAACAAAATATCGGAAAGATAGTAATCAGGTCCGTTTGTCCAAGCAAAAGTTCAGGCGAGAAGCAAGGCCAGGACTACAATCAGATGTAGGCAGCCGGACAACTGGCGGGGAAGCAAGGCTGGCACCTAAGTGAACCATAGCCGGAGATACCCGTTGGTATCATCGATGAGGCGATATGCGCAAAGGGGAGAGATGATGAGCGCTTATACGGGTGGCAACAGAGGAATGAGCGAGGGTGGCATGATAGGCTTGGGCTCTTCGAGGTCATTCCTTGGTTGATGACGATGAGGGAACATGGCAACGGTGGGGGAGTTCTGTGGTGTTTTGCGACGAAGGTAGGTGGAGATCGGCATGCTGACCGGGCGCTCACGCTCACGATCGACGTGCAACGGCGAAGGCCTGCGACGGCGAGGCGGCGAGGGTGAGGAGGACTACAGAAGAATATAGTTAGCAAGATGTCAAGGAGACGGCGGTGTGAAGAGTGAGAGAGGTGGCATGGGAATAGGGGCGACGTGGCAGTATCGGAGGAACGGTCGCTATGCCCAACATAGAGGTTGAGAAAATGGCTCACTCTTTGTGGAGATTGGTCCTGGTCCTGGCTCTCGCGAAGAGAGGTAAGAGAAGATGCTTTACTCAGCCTGCCCGATGACTGGATATAAGAAAGCTATCAGCGCCGGACCCGGCAGGAAACAAGGAATGGAAGCTCACGCTTGCGGAGATGTAGGGCGAATAGCGCACTGTTCTGTGACGCTGGGCGCGACGGAGGTCGTCGTGTTCTCGGCTGCCATCAGTAAGAACTGAGGAGACGGAGGAGGCGGAGCCCGAGCGAGGGCGGCCCTTGTGTGCGGGCGGCGATAGAGAAGAAGGAGACGGAGTTGTTGGGCGGGGCTTGGCGTCATTGTCGAGGCCAAGGGATGCCATAAGCTCGATGAAGGATGGGAGTGCTGGACTCGACATTGCTGTGGCCATATGTGAACTTGGAGGGTGTTGTGGGTGAGGCTGCTTTGTTGGGGGCAAAAGCGGGCTCTGGTGGGACGAGGAGAGGGGTAATATATGTTCTGGAGGCCGTGGATACGATGGACGGTCGTCAGGGTGTGCGGTGTGCTTGTTGCTTGTTTGCGAAAAACTGGAGAAAGCGCCTGTTGGTGCATCGCATTTCTCATCGGTCACTCGGTCCTCGATGTCATGCGAAATGAAAGAGGTCGGCAAGGTGACCCCCACAGGGCCACAGCCTCCGAGCAATCTCCCCTCGGATCCTCGTCCGGTAACGACGTCTAAGATATTCCTTTACCCCCTTGCGACCCTTATTGCTCACTTGTCCACTTCAATCTTCTGCTCGGCTCTCCGCCCCGCACTACCGTACTCTCTTCCCCAGTCCACTTCTCTCTACAACAACGCTCCACCCAATGTCATCTTCTCCTCACTCCAAAAATATTCAGAGACGTCAGCACTGCAGATCATTCCACCAACGTTGCGATGGCTCCGTCCAACCATCATGCATACACGCTCATACCCTGTCGTACCACCTCAACGTTTGCCCGGCAGTCTGTCAACCGCCTGTCATCCTTTTGACTTCCGTCGCAATCGCCTTTTTTTGATCTCCCGCACTCTCAAACACCTTTGAGCCGCCACTGAGCATCCGGTTATTCTCGGCTCCGTTGGCTTGCTGTCTGTCTGTGGCAAGGAACGAAAGATACTACTTATTGGACCCGGACCGATCAAGTCATGATCTGCATAAGTAACCCGGTCATGACGCAGAAGAGCTCATGCAGGGACACATATCATGATCAGCAATAAATGCGCTACTTTTTGCAGCTTTTCAAGCGGCGAAGGCAGCACGATCGGCGCGTGTGGTACTTGCGGATGTTACGTGCAAATGTGCGCAGAATACACCAGACCATGTCTCGCGAATCGGCAAACATTTCGTGTCTGTATCCGAGCGCGTTCGGATAGGTTCGGATTGTTCGGAGTCACTCACATCTGTCACTTCGGCCGTCAACTTCGACTTCGTCCGCCTCTTCCCGCCGGGGTCACCAAATACGAATGCGACGTGGCCCGAGCTTATCCCGAGTCATCTCAGCGGAAGGCACCCAAGGACATACCAAATTCAATTCGCGAGCATTCCTGCATGCGCTCTTCCATAACGACCACCTCGAGGATTGATGCATATTGATGCACGATTAATCCAAGGATGAACGTCGGATATGCTGAGATGGTAACAGGCTCATGTTCTGTTGTGCGACGACGCGTCAGACGCGTGCCTATCGCGTGTTATTCGAAGCTGACGACCAGCCTTGTCGTTCGCAACATGTGTCGCTGTTGCCTTTCTTCTCGCGCGCACGCTGTGGAATAGATGTCGGTTTTCATAATCGAGCCGAGTCCCATCTTTGTAATTCTCGAGAATGATGACATTTTCTTGATGCTGAACTTCGGACGGCCTCGCGGAAACTCGGGATGGACGTGGATTCGGTCCTTGTTCGGGTCAAGAAGTGAGCAACGAGCATGGCAACGCCGGCGCGTGTCGGTGACCGACGTTGTGTTGTGCATGTACTTTGATACTATATAACTAATATAGACTAAGTGAGAACCGCAAGTAATTCAATGTTGTGGTGCTACCAGCAAGACGGCGCCCGTCGTAACGGCGTCGCGCCATGAGATTTATGTGGTACTTTGTTGGAGGCAGTGTCCTGTGATAGGGCGGTTTCTTTGAACAAAGACGGCTGGTCGTCGTGTGATCGAACAACAAGGGATCGCGCTGGCGGGTTGATCTTCAGGGGTGGCAGTTTGTGTCGTACTAGGCCTCCACAAAATAATCAACAACAGCGATTGTGAAAGTCGTCAAGAATACCGTTCTTCTAGAAAAGTTATTAATGCAATATAGAATGTAGCTATCATAGCAGCGGGGCTTCCATTCGCGATCGGTGCATCACGAAGGTGACGAGGCTGCGGGTTGCACTAAATTAGTGGTAGAAACGCGAGCGACGCGGACGACGTGGTAGTGAGGTTTGCTCTGCTGTTCTCCACGTCGCCTAAAAAGCAGGAAAGCGCAACAAACGTTGTCTTACCCGTTGTCTTGACTCAGATGTTTCAAGAAAACCAGGCAACATTCTCAAGTCGAATGTGAACTAGAACAACATCGTCTCTATGATACCGCCTCCTGGTTCTAAATTCTGACAAGAGAGAACTGCGCATTCAGGTCGTGGTCCTGGTTCCTCTGTGCAATTATTATTACTATTCGTGCCTGCCATGCACTCCGAACTGTATCAGTAACAAATTTAAACAACCCTCTTGAGAGAATCCGCTGTAGAAAGAGATTAGGAAATCGGAGGATCGACCGATATCGATTTCTTGGCCTAGACAATTGGAGACGTCCAAAGCGGCACGGCATTGGCTAAGCATGGACGTTCTTCGAACTGTGAATAGAATTTTGGCTCACCGTTGGTACCTCGGCGAGAACTAAGTCACACGCCGGGGCCGTCGTGAAGGGACCGAGAATTTTCAGTGTGGACGAGACCGAGGTAAAGACGTAGTACTACGTGCCAAATAAGCCCCTATAAACTCCCACATGAGAACGTCAGTCGGAAGTGGTCTGCCGTTCAAGGTTTGGATTGACAGCTTGGTCCGTTGCAGCAACGAGTGGGAAGGTCATCGGCCAAGTACTATGCAAGCAACTCGCGTCGAAATTAGCTTTCAGGTCCGTAGTAATGTGGCCCGAAAGTCGGGTTTCAAGGGCTTCACCCAGAAATAATACTTGGATTGAAGGAATGGCAACCATTCCCTGTTCAAATGCTGCGCAGCGCTTTCCTTTGGAATTGTGAATCTGGGTCAATCATATGCAGTGACCTTGGGCCTTGAAGCTTGAAGGAGCCGATATGCTTGCATGGAGTTGTCGAGCCAATCATAACGAACCGCAGGTCCTTGCGGCTCCGATCGTATAAGGCGTTTAGCCAATCAGAAGCGAGCAGGCGTATGCTTACACGTAATCTATCCCAACGTCTGGTGTTCGCCATGAGGGGGTAGCCAAGGCATGCCCTCAAGACCTTCTGTATATGACCAAAAGCAGCCAACTTATACTTCGCCGTCTTGGTACAGTCAACTCCCTCTTAACCCATAGCCCTCCGTGGACACCCACAGGTATGGGTTAGCAGGGAGTATGGGTTTCGAGAATGTCCCAAAAATAGATGCATGAAATTCTAAAAATAAACGCACGAAATACGGGAAACAAGTCTATTTGGAAAAATCGAGAGTAGCCAATTGATCACGTCTAGATGAGCTGGCCTTGCCAGGAGCAACTAAACTAGTAATCTTCGACGATGCCATCCCCTCTGACACCTCTGCCCGAAGCTGACGAGTGAACGATCCCAGGACAACGTCGAGTTTTCGAGCGTTCAGATCATTCATATTGTCGAGACACTGTCCAATCACTGATGTAGCTTCCAGCACCTCTTGCCGCGTTGGGGGGAAGTTGCGCTGGTTCATCATCAATGCATCAACACCAACCTCAGACTCATCTACATCTTTAACCCCCCGCCCTTTCCCTTAGTGACTATTTTCTTGAGCTTTTGAAGGCCTTTCTCGAGGACTTTTAAGTCGATTTCATCCATAAGCACTATGAAAATAAGACGTGTAGTTGATTAAGGACTGGCAGGATGGTACCGTGTCGCTACAGCTTGGAATGTATATCTATTGGGGATAACTATTGCTACTATAAGTTCCGAATGTATGGGTTTTTTCGCCCTCAAGCCCATGGGGTATGTGATATCAGGGAGTTATGGGTTTCGGGACTCATTTGGGTGGGACAAAACACGATGGGTAGCAAAACCCATGGGTTAGCAGGGAGTATGGGATTGGAGGGCTATGGGTTAAGAGGGAGTTGACTGTATCTCTTGCTACGTGTTCTCCAGCGCAACATCGTCCAAGCGCCGTGACGACGAATGATAGAAATACCTCACCAAGTTGCTGGCTTCTGATATTCTATGAGCCCTTTTCGCTCTACCAATGGTTGCCCGCTGATCGCTGCGTCAGCAGGTACCCGGTTTTTCTTCCGAGAACGAGGACGCTGCTCTTAACTCTGTCAGCCATGGTTGTACAAGGCTGCGCCGTGGTGTAAACCTTACTATGCCGTCCTTATGTGGCGGTCTAAGATGGCAGTCGTACAATGTTATCAGAGAACTGGCTAGAGGTTGTTCGCCTACTTGGAGACTGAGAATGTTCACCCCTAACGCGAGTTCTGAAGATTGTAAGCCTGTAAGCTTTTCCTAATGACGTCGCAGCCTCAGTACATGCGTGGCGTCACAGACCGCCACCTGTGAGGGAAGCATACCAATAGAGTATTAAAAACATTGTTCCGTGACAGGCGGGTGCAACAGCAGCCTAGGCTAGCGGCTGCATGAAGGCTCGAAGCTAGGGCATGGATACTCGTCGCGACGACACGGGTACGGCGGCCAAAGATGGTCCAGATCCACATGGACGGCGTTTGCGTTGCAGGGACTAGCGCGAAGAGACTTGGTTTAGTCACCGGCCGCGTCTTTCGCAACGATGGGTATAAGAATGCACAAGATAAGATCGTGGGGGCAACAGTTGCGCCCGGGGAATAGTCAGTCTGACCAAAAAGTGAGCGCGTGGGGCGATCTGCAGACTGCGTACCCTATTCGCATGAACACCAGAGCTCAGCTGCCCACGCCATGAGAAGTCTCCAACCTAAAAAGTAGGAACAGAAATGGAGATCCACACGCTATCCCAGGGACGAACTTGCGGAACAGTGGTCACCAAGCAGCATGTACGTGGGCATGGAGCTGCTACTACGCATAGCACACCGCGTACTGGGGTTGTCGCCAAGTGGCCAGAAATGAGAAGCCATCCCATGAGACACCATGGAAGCGAAATCCGGTCGGTGAGTGTGGCCCGAAATAAGCAGTCGCAAGATCGTAACAACGTTGTTGGTAGCAGATGCAATAAAGGCTGAGTAAAAGCGCGCCTCAAGACAACGGTGACTGCAAAGAACAGGATCGGGCTTCTCGGAACGCGACACAGAGTCACACGGTCACGCGTCACCCATGTGTGAAGCGCCCAACTGTTCTTGTGTTTGGCGCTGACAGCAAGGTCAAGTCACTGTTCGAGGCCATCCATCCATACACCACTTGCGATGAACCAGGGAGGACATCAGGGAGGAGGTGCATTCGGTCAAGCTCCCCGTCAGGAGGCAATGGAATATATCTGCGCTGGTACGCAAACAAAGCTATCCGTCTCATGTGCCGAGGGTATTAACTACGTCTCTGAATCCCTCATGACGTTCGCACTTCTCCTTGGCTTGCCATTTGTTCAACTGCCACGCTCTTATGATGCTTCTGGATGTCCCTTTTACCATGTTGCCTGCTTGGTGTGCTCTCGTGGGACTCTATCCACTCTGGCTTTCCGCCCTACCGTTCGGATTGGTCCCCTTCATGCATCGTCGCCTGCGCAATTTTACTCGCCCTTGCGCTCGCATGGTCACTTCTGAAACTTCGCACCCGTCTCTCACCATCTAGACTGTGGAGCAAAAAACGAAATCAAATCGCGAGAACCGATCCGGTGCCGCGAATGTGGCCACCGTATCATGTACAAAAAGCGCACAACGCGCAGTGCGTGCAACATTCCTTCATTGGCCTCGTGTTGACTCATACGCGCATCCTTGTCCTTTTCTCAGTGGTGCAATTTGAAGCACGATAATCCTCGGCGTTTTCGGACCGCACGCTTTCAAGCACATGTCCCTCATGGAGACACCACCCGGATCTTTAGACTTTAGACATACGTCGCCACCCGTGGCCTGCACAGTCGGCCCGAATGATCTATGACGCTCTTGCTATCACACTCTACCAGATTTGATAGCCCTCAATCACGGGAGTCCAAAAAATGGATTAGATGCGCGTATGTATTATAATGCTGCGTTAAGCTGAAATCCAAAAACACCTTGTAAGGCGAATTAAACGGCGGTATAATATGCTCGGGGGAAAATTAGGTGCGAAATAGGATGATTAAGAAGGTTGGTGTTTTATAGACGATCCTCGATCTTACATCTCCGCGCCATCATCATGATATTACTGCGTTGCCTCAGAACAGGTTCCGGCCGCCTCAAAATTTGTCCAGCTTACGGAACCAAAGGTTTAGCAGGCACGTTACGACCAGTCTGTCGATAAATATCGCGTTGTCAATCGAGGTCGGGACAGAAAGCCGTGTACGCGTGGCGCTCCACGATGCGATGCGCTTCCCCGTTAAATCGACGCACTGTAAGGACAAGGGAAGCCGTAAGTCTCAACTCATTGCAGCTAACGTTCGTTCGATTCGGGGCATAGGTGCCACTGCGATGAGCGAAGCCACGTACAATCATGTCGTTATTGCGCTCCGGCTTCCACTTATACTGCTGTCCGCCGAACGTGAAACGCCTTGATCTGATTAATTCAGCCAAAATATCAAGATCAGTATGCCAAAAAACATCAAGCCGGAACCACGTACTTTGAACTCGACTTGGCTTTCAGGCGCAGGTCAGAGAATGGGATCTTAGAAACAGTTAGTGTTCATTTGAATCATTTTTTGCATTCTCGGAACTAAGTAGCACAATTGCTTGCACAGGAAATTCGCGAAGCACAGAGAAGCGAGGGATTGGTCTTTACTCACTGGACCATCGGTGGCAAAATAGACTCGGCCATCCACATCTGACATCCATTCGATGGTGCCTGAATTCCCAAAATGCTGATTCGTGTCTGCCCGCCTGTGGTAAGAAGTGGTGGCATTTTGGGAGTGGTTGCCCGGATGAAGAAACTGTTGCCAGAATAGCCAGAGGTCGCGGATCGTCAACAAATAAAGTTGAGTGGCAGGCAAGGGTACGCACTCTGTATATCTCCATGCCACATCCTGGTTGCGAGCCCGCTGGCTCCTCGAAGATTCTGAGATTGCGAAAGTCGGCAGGCCCCACCGTAGCTGCCCAATGAAAACTGTACGCGTTCTCAACGCTGATCATGGTGGAGAGGGCAAAGGAAGGATGAATGAGGGGAAAGAGGCGACTTGGAGGCGTTGGTGACCGAGTAGAGACGCGGGTAGTTGACAGGACGACGCTGAGGACCTCACAGAATTTAAGTCGGGACAGAGGGCCGTATTCCGGAAGCAGACGGGTAGATCATCAGCATCTTTGGGCGTGAATTTGACCTTTGAAAGCCACATGTGTGCTGCGTTTGACAGAATGATCACCACATTATTTCGGCCTGCAGTGCGGATCGGAAGCGGAACCATCGATGAGTCTCAGATCCTAACCCGTCATAGACATATATGGGCGCCCAATGTCGTGTTTCAGCACCAGCCGATGCCCTTCCGTCGTTCATCAAACCGAGTGTTTGGCCAGTAAAACATGACTTGGAGCCTTGTGCAGTAAAGGATGTTGCGAGGGCAGCGCTAGGCAGACTGGGCGCCCCGGCACATTGGTGGATTTGCTTTGTTCGCCTGCAAAAAACAGGATGACCCTGGCCAGCTGGTGACTTCATGGCGGCCGCTTAGACAGCTATGACACGACCCTGATAGACTATGAAGCTGTCAAAAACGCTATCGCCACAAATCGCATGGGCTTCTGCAAACGCGGACGCTCTACGCCAAAGTCCCAGATACAGGTTTAAAAAAGGCATAAGTCCCCAGCCACGGATTTTCCGATGACTACGTTGTTACATTTAGATTCAACGGTCGAGGTCTTGTTTAAATGCACTCAGCCCGAGTTCCACGGACAGAAACTCAGGGTAGCGAACCTGAGCAGACCTGAACTCGAGCAATGCTCGTGTGCGCCTTGCCCCTGGCGTAACATAAAAGACACAAGGATTTCAACCCTTGGAAGGAACGGAGACCGATCTGGGTTAATTCGATCGTTGCGTCTCGGAGGGTGCACCGGTGATGGTCAGGTCGACGTTCTTTTGCCGAGTCTTTGATTGTGGTAGAATATTGCGAGGCACCATACGCCATTGTCGACCCGAAATATTGCGGTCTTTTGGCATCGTCCATGGTTTACGCATGCGCTTTTGTCGGCATTTATTTCGTCTTTGTCCCGTTCATTCACTCTTGCAAAATTCCTGGTATGCCAAACATTCTACGCACCGAACGAATCGAAGTACCATACGTAGTACGCAAGGATAGAAAGGCACCGGAACTTAAGTGAGAAGAGGTTGTTTGTGGCATGAAAACGTGGCATAATGTCGGAACGCACCTAGCACACCATGAAAGCCCGACGTCATAGGGCAGCGGATTTCCGAAACGCATTACAATCGGCTTAATCAATCTCGTAAATACACGTGAACGATTTATATCTCCACTTCGAGTGTGGCATGTAAGCACAGGCTGCAGGTGTTTTCTAATGTTCTAACTCGTGAAGAACAATGAGGGCTTGACGGCGACTCCACAACTCGTTTAGGCGACGTGCGGGTGGTAGGTTGATAAGAGAACATGATGGGTACCATTGTCAATTTGGCATTAAGACGACTTGCGTGTGTAGAACCAAATGGGAGATTCCAATGTACATGGTGAACAAACAGGTCGCCACAACTCGTGTTTCAATACCGTCAAGGAAAAATCATGCCTTCGAGCGATGCGAGCGGGTCGCCTCCTCCAGATGTAGGAATGTTCGTGTCAAAGCGCGCGCGTTTGCTCGGCTCGTTACAAGGATGTTATTACAGCTTACTTACTCGCTATGACACAGTCAGCGATGCTAACGGTATATAAAGCTACGCGGATTAGGGCCGTCACCCTTCTTGCCCGTTACCCTCATTGTATCGCTGCGCTTGCAGGTATGGACCTAACGGTTGGCGGAAAAGGGCGATAGATGTTCAAGTGAGTATTCTTTGAGCACGCTTGGTTGCAGTCTGAGTGGTGATACCCGTCGCCATCGGTGCCAGATAGTGGCCGAAAGCTCCTATAGGGCAGCACTCGACCAAATTAGGTTGTTCTCTTCCTTTAGCCCAAGCGTACGACTGTCAGTCATCCTTGGATGTTTTCTGACTGAGCGCAGAGCAGACGAAGAGTAGGGCGAGCTGAATGGAGCTGGAAACATTGCACGCTTGGAGGGCAGGCGAGGGGTCTGGACCGCAGACGAGGGAAATGGGGAGATTGGATCGGATGATGACAGCAGGATATCTTAGTCATACCGGGGCCGAAACCCCTTCTTGCCGACGGATTGCGTCCTTGAGGGGCGATGCCGCTAGCATTCTCTCGCTGGGCGCACCGTTCTTCACATCGTCAAAAACAACTCTCCCCGCCTTTCCCCGCACTTGAAGCCATCCATACACCCTCCATCTGGTCATAAGCAAACAATGTCCGAACGTAAAGAGTCGACGCGCAGTCTCTCAAGAGATATTGAAGTGTGTCTCCTTGCGCTCCACTAGAAATAACAATGGCTCACCCTCCCCTCCCCTTTCCTACTCGCCCCCAATTACAGGACTCTGACCAGGAGGACCACGACGAGGGCAGTCCGTCTCAAGCTCCCGGCAAGCCTGGCAGGAAAAAGAATCCGAAGTTAGTGCAAGCTGTCCGGCCGTGTCATGCAAGTGACTAATAGCCCCTCCATCAGCTCGCAGGCAGCCCGGCGAGACCAGAACAGAATAGCACAACGCGAGTTCCGCCTCAGAAAACAGCAAAGGGTATGCCATTGCCAACACTATGGTTCTTGTTTCAGGTCTCATCGCCACGTTAGATTCGCGACCTTGAAGCTCGTGTGGAGCTCCTCTCAGGTAACCAGGATGAAGCTCTCACAGACCTTCGTGGTATTCTCAAAGGCAAATCGAAATCGTTAATCATTCTTTTGTCTGTATTCTTACCCTATTTCCGTGGACAGATCTTATGACTGAGAACCACACTCTTCGCGGGCTGCTGAAGAGCGTCGCCGGCTTCATTGGAGAAGGAGCAGGCGGGCTGCTACCACGCCTCGGATGGGACATGGCTGATTTCAACGCACTCATCAACAAGACTGAGACTGACACTGCATGGGAGGCATTCCAAACTCGTCGCACTCACTTGAAGAATGGCGCATCTTCGGCCGATTCCCCCGCTAACGGTGCAGGCGTCACGTCCTCAATGGTTGGCCCATCTCCGCCAGCAACAGGCACAGCATCCAGTAATACTGGGTTGAAACGACCAAGTGAGGATGATGTTGCACGACAGTCAAAGAAGAGTCGCAGCATGAGTGACGCCGGAGATGGAGATTATCCTCTCCTAGTCCCACCAATGAGTGCGGCTGGCATGTACCCCCCTCCACCTGGACGCTCGCCCGATAACGGGCTGTTTGGCGACCTGATGCGCAACACTAGCTCGCCTATGTTCATGTCTCAGAATGGTGGCAACGGCGTGGTTAGCCAGTCGAGTCCGGCTGCATCGGGTCAGTATGGGACACCGCCCAATGGTGCAGGTTACTCGGGGTACATGCAACCGACAATGTCTATCTCCGAGAATGGCTTGCCTGCGATGAACAACTACGGGTCAAAGAACAACGGGGTTACCTCTACCTCTCAGCAAGCACCAGCTAGACGAACGTCAAATGAGGAGCCAGATGACAATACAGAAACATTGCACGATCCCAAGAAGGTGGAAGCTTGGAAGCTGATAATGTACGTGCACCTCTATTGCATCATCATATTCTTTTAATAAAAGATGTATGTGAACCAGGTATCACCTTGAGAACTACATGAGAAACAATGCCTATTGCTTACCTTCCTCATTGCGTCCAACACTTGTACAAAGGTATGACTTTTGCCACTTAGATTTATTTCCTATGCTGACCTTGTGGACTACAGAACGATCAACCATGGTCAGCATATACGGGTTGTGTTGTCAGAATTCTCTCTCTGATCGTATCGAACGTTGCAGAAAGCGCCATTGACAAGATATTACATCCTGAACTCCGCGACCGCATCATACTTCTACGAGGTTTGTGACTGACTCGAGCACAATTTTACACTGACTCAAAGGTTCCATAGGGCAGTTTTCGTTACCGGATTGCATGTTTGACTACAAAAAAGCGATCACGGTGCACAGCGACGACGTCCTTGCGCACGCAAACTGGGAAATCGATGAATGGTGGTTACGGAAATATGCGTAAGTTTGCAACACCCGCTTATATCTTATATGTCTGACAGTGATATCACCTATCCAGGTTCCTGGTTGAGAAGAACACGCTTGCTATCTGCAACAGATGGCGTGTGGAGCGTAACGAATCGGAAATCTCCCTCACAGACCTTGGTGCTCAAGAAGGACCATCTTAAGTTTTCTTCACTGCTTATTATGGGGCGCTCAGTAGATGCTAGGCCCAAGCCAGTGCCTCCGCGTAAGCCGTTCGCATGCGCTGATGCTTGGTAGTTGGACCCCGAACGGTGGGCTATTGTTGGTCGATCGTATGGACCTAGGACTTGGTTTGGACCGTAGGTTCATCGAAGGAATTTGAAAAGTTGCTTGATTATAAATGTACATAGCGCGGGGATTGCTGCGGTATAATGCGTGTTTATAGTATACTCTAAGTGTTGTATGTATTTGAAAACACTATTTTACCTGCACGAGCGACAATGATTTGGCGCATGCCCAAGGTGATGGCCTCTCAAACGAAGGTAGAGCTAGCAAGACCCATGCCCGCATTACCACGAAGCCTTCTTCACGCCGGGAAGCTCCCCATCCAAAGCCTTCAGTCTGAATTTGTGCTGAAAAGGACCTCACATCAGCCCAATACTCTCGGCTGACCACAGGTCATAATGTCCCAACTCACCCGGCAGAGCCCAAACTCCGAGATAATACCCCGGCCACGGCCTGAGTCAGTGCACCGGTTCTTGACGGTCGTCGGGCGTGTGTACTTTCCGAACGTGTTCAGCTGCAGCTGGGCAGAGTGGCGGACCTGCGGGGGCAACGCCGCGTTGCGCGCGACGACGAGGTAGGCGCGACGGACGAGCTCGTTGGCGTTCACGAGGTTGCGCGCCTTGATGTCCCGCAAGACGCGTGCGGTAGGCATCTTTGAATGTGATTTTCGATTTATCCCAAGGTGGGGTGTGAGGGTGTGGGTTGTGACGTCCTCCGGTAGCTTGGGGAGGATGAGTGAAGACTTCGATATGTTCTCAAGAAGGCAATAGTTAGAGGCCTTTGGTCAACAAGCGCAAATATCTGTCCCGCGTCACTCCGTTGCGGCGTCTATACAACTTTTCTACCCTTAGTAGAGAAATGTGTGTAGACCTGGTGAGCAGCCTCCAGCTTCAACCTCACGTCACGGAAACACTTGATGTAGTCTGTACAGACATAGAATGATCGGTGCTAGAACTCTTCGATTCAACAACTCCCAGCGACGAAATCTCGTCTCCTCGCTCTTTGTCCTTACATTCTTCGCATCCGTCCTCACGGTCTCTGCGTCGAACGTTCTGCCATGTCCAGTTCGACCGGACAGGAGTAGGTTCACTGAGTCTGATGCGTCACGGCACGCAGTAGGCAACGCACCCGCAGTTGTGGAGAAGAGGCCGAGGCGGTGGATCGAAGAGAAGCCAGTTCGGTGAAGAGAGGATATGCGTTTCCTGACGGACTTTCAGGAGGATACAACGGGACAGATGCGTTCAACGTTCCAAAGGATGAAGGATTTGCTTGAAGAAGAAGAATCTGAGGTTGCACAGACGCAAGCGTGGTTATATGGTCATCTTCCTCGGCGTCGGATAGGCTAGTAAAATCATAGACTCTTCAAAGAGATGACCGCCCTTCCTACTCCTTCACTCTGCTTAAACGGCATTTCGGTGCCAGAACGCAAATAAATTCTTTGTCGATTGATAGAGTCCATGACCGTTGTATACATTGGGAATAGTGAATGTGGTAGATAATGCTTCCACCGCGCTGCCCGGGATGCATGGCCATGGCGAGCAGTGTTGGATATACTACTGTACACTTGCATAAATGTGGGTATAGATGAATGAGGTCGTAACACTCGTCTCCCTACCGGTAAAGAAGGAGAGCCTTAAAGACCATACATAAAATTATTCGATGGGGGGATGCCAAGTCCTCTATGGCTCATCAACGTTTGCCTGATCACCCTCTTGAGCTATCCGTTGGCTGCGGTAGTGTTCCTCTTGTTCTTGATGCGTTCCTCTGATTGCCACGGTGGAAACAGACATTGAGGAAAGAAAATTTCGCGATTTGACTGAGACTTACGGAAGGGGATGCTCCTGGATGGGAAGACAGCAGATGAAGACTAGGATGTTAATTGCAAACTGGCAGATAAAAACAACATGCAGAGCATCTGCATAGGATTCGACTGCAGCTCTTCTCACTGACGGTGCCATGTCAGGTATTGAGCCGATTGAATGCCTGGTAGCGCCATTTCATCAACTTAGTGTTTGTAATATCAGACTGGAGTCAAACTGCGTACCGTATCTCCTCAATGATCTAAAGGCGTTAGGCATTAGCGTAACCTCGCAAGGTGGAAATTAATTGAACTTGCCTGCGCAGAGTTCGGTCCGGTAATGCGTTGTTTCAGTTTACGCAGCAGCACGCTCTGGAGGATCGCCCCGGAAAGGCTGACACCCAGCACTTGCCCAGTAGTCCGGAACAGATACGTGACTGAATACGACACGAAGAAGTAGGAACGAACATCAGCTCCGAAATTCTGTACAGCGGTGGTAGAGACAACGGCTCACTTCCGGTGGCTACGGGCATGTCCTCTTTGTAGACGCCCGCGATCATCGCCTGAGGAAATGGAAATTAGCACTCCATTCTCTGACGCTGTAGATTTAATGTGCCCTTCCGAGGCTGCCGGATGACAAGAGTCGCGCGCGTCGGGTACTTACAATGAGTGTACTCGTAATGAGACTAGCCATACCCAGCCCTTGGGGGACGACGTCAAACCAGAGGTGGAACTGCGAAGTCTTGTCATTCCAGCATGCGACGAGCGCGCTCGCGAGCACGGTCAAAAGCGCCGAGCATAGTGTGAGTGTGTACAGCTTCCCGGTACGCCGCATAAGCCTACAAAGCATACGATCAGGGCGTCAAGATAATCGGCGGATGTTTCACTTCAGCGCGTAGATCACGCACCATCCGGCAAATACACTTCCCGTTGATAACGCAATCTGAGTTGACGGAGTGGATCAGCCTTGAACGCTTTTTGCCGCATGGGCCTTGGGAGGAAACCAACCGAGTGGGGCAACAAGTGTAAACCTGCCAGGAGGGCGTGGTCAGCAGCAGGATCACGGGGATCACGGAGAAGTAGTAGAATAATTATACTCACCGGCATTGGCAGATGAATTCAGCTTGACGGCGGAGAAGTACAGAGGAATATTGTACAGCTACCGTATCGGCGAGTGCGCGGCTGTCATCAGACATTTCGAGCATGAACGCACTTGATCAGAACCCACCATAGAAAACGAGGTGACGGAGCCCAGGAAATTAGCGAGTGACACGGCAAGCGGTGTGCGTCGGGTGATGAGACGCAGAGGCATGACTGGGAACGGTGCAACGCGTGCCTCCACGTATACGAATGCTCCCCAAAACACAACACTTGCAGTGAACAGGCCCCATACGAGAGGATGACTCCATGACAATTCCTCCGTCGTCTTGAGACTAAAGCCAAGCAGAAGAGTTCCAACCGCGAGAACGAGGGTGAATGCGCCCAAACCGTCAATCCGCCGCAGCTTGGTCCACAGCGGCTGGTTCTGGATCTCGTCGGACAGTTTGATGTTTACCTTTAGTGCGACTATTGTGAAAGAGATAAAGAGAAGGGGTATCTGAACTTGCATGATAAGCGCTACGTTGAGAGTAGTCGTTATCAGGCTAATACCTGAAGCAAGAAAGCGGCCCGCCTGCTCAGATATAATGAAATGAGATCCTCAATATCATCCGCGGCGCACGCACGCTCACCATCCCAATGTGTCATTGACCCAACCACCAACAGGGCCTCCAAGACCAGCTCCCAGGCCGAATAAGCTGTCATAGCGATCAGTTCGCATGCCAATTGATGATCTGACACGATGTCACGTACATGTTGGTCATGCCTTGGTATAAACCACGCTGCTTCCTGTAATTCCATTTTTAATGAGTTTTCGACGGGCGTACGGTGCGGAGAGACGGCTTTACAGGGGTATAAGATCTGTAATGGCCACACTGCTGACTGCAGAATAAAGTTGAGTGGGCAATCGCCGGGCAGATGTTCCTAAACTTACCTGTCATGACCCTTGTAACGCCACATGAGCTAACAAACCGACAAAAGCAGTCAATGACAGCACGCACCCACCACCGCCCATACCTGCGATGGCACGGGTCAGGATAAGCATCTCCATGGAAGATGCTAGGCCACATCCGATTGTGCCGGAGCCTTTGATAAAACATTGAAGCTGGTGCCCCTGAGATGACGATGCAGGTCTTACCAAAGAGCGTCAACCCAAGGAGCATTGCACCTTTCCGCCCCAGAATGTCGGCGAGTCTGCCTGAGGTCATTGTAAGAGTGTGTGCCATGTCTCAGGTACTGACTAGGGAGCACGGACCGTAAAGCGGGGTGAAGCAGCATACAGACAGAAGATAGGACGTCCCGAGGTAAGACGCTTGATTAGACTTGTTGAAGTAGCTACCTATCGGCGAGAGTAGTGTCGCTACGATTGTACCTACAGACCGGAGAGAAGTAACGATTTAAATCAGTCACTGTAGTCAAACAAGAGATCGAAGAGGACGAACCATCTAATGCGCCGAGGAAGACTGCACTCCACAAGCCTGTCAGGATCCAGAAGAGATCAGCGCGAGAGGGATCGTTGAGTGGTGTAACCTCTGACGTCTCGGAGTCGGCATCCGAGTTATCTAGGGCAGCCGGGCCCGGACCGGCATCGTTACTGTCTGGTGGAGCGTGGTATGAATGGTCATAGTCAGCCTCTGCCAGGAGGCGACTTGTCTCCTTCGGTGACGTTCTGTGGGTGACGGCCATGGGCGAGGAACTGTGCACTAGTTGCCGAGAGTGTTCCCTGGTCTACACGATAGGAGAGCAGCGTGTCTTGGGCAGCGGAGTCGCGTTATAAAGGGACCCGGGGTGGACAGACGCGCAGGGACGCGGTGAAGGACATCTTTTGCTGCTAGATATACGAGCCGCGAGGTCAAGCGACGTCCACACCACTTTATGATCCACCTTGTCATGCTCCGTTTATGTCGGCGTACGTCGGCCTCCTCCGGTGCCTCTTCCTTCCCAGTCCACCGACGCTCGTCCACAATTCTGTATGCCGAATCCCCTTTCCGTTTAGCCTTCATGTCCAAAACACGCACCGTACGCCTCGAGCTCTCCCTCATGTATTGTATCTGCACAACCGGGATGACCCCCACTGCCCTGGGTAATGCGCTTTGCCTCCCAAGGACATCTACCTCCGACACGATTCCGGTGATCGAGGAACCGCGTCCGGATTTCCCACCAAAGTGAGCAAAAGTCCCTTCTAACGGGCGCGCTAATGTTTTTCTCTCTCTTTCTTTTCGAAACAGCGATCTCGTCGCGTCGTGTCTCGATATTCTATTTGACTTCTCCATTCCACGGCCGGTAGTGCACGTCGGCTAGTCGTGTGGCCTGTCGGACATGCCCTTGGGCCTTGGTACCTGCGCTCTACGCTCCGAGCTTCACGGCGCGCTCAGAGACTTACCTACACCACACGCACCAAAGCATTTTTCAGGCTCGGGAGGTATTCAGAAGTCACGAAGCTCTCACAAAACGAGCGACAAAACGAGCGAGATCAAGCAGATGAGGCGACATCTATACCCGTAAGGGCGGCAAATCTGTCTGAGAATCAGATCGATCGTATACTCATTGACCAACGATATCACCCAACTTTCACACTTCGCCCGGTGCCCTCACGAGGATTCTCTTTGCGAACTCGCGGAGTTGGTTTTGATCAAGGACATCTTTAGACGGGTGGCGGCTCTCCGGGACTTACCCTTTGTCTCCTCTCTTGCGCTCGCATGAAGTCATCGTTCAATTTGGGACAGGCACTAAGCCCTGCGGCTGCGTCTATCAACATGTGCTCACACAATATCTCAGACAATCAGACGCGTCGAGGAGTAATCATTGAAATGAACGTTCCGCTCTCATCATCAACAATGCCAGATTGGCTTTCGGGACCAAGTCCGAGCTTACTGTAAGGCAAGTTCAGGTCCGCGAAAGTATTCTGCTTCCTCGGAGTGCTCTGGATAGAACCACACCAGCAGGAAGAAACCCGTCCCGAGACTGTTCTCATGGGCGCTCGGTAACTTCCTTTCCATCACTTCGTCCTTGGTCGGATAACATGGCTGCGAACGTTCGCACATAACAGTCACATTCAACTTCCCGTCCTCTGCCATTTTTAGAACCCGTACTCTTGGTACTTTGCAGGAAGTTACCGGCCCTGTAGGAAAACACGACCTAGTAACAGCAGCTTTGTGGGCGCTCACTTGCATCAATGGCATGGAATTGTACACTGCGCCCTTTATGTACTTGGTCAACTTGCGATACTCGCGTGGATTAAAGCTCGCGGCGATACTCTACGGATCCGGTGGTTGATTGGGCGGGTGTATCGGATCCACGAGGGGCAATAGCTCTCGCGTGGCATTGAGTTGGTCTTGCGGCTCCAATAGCACGTCGGCGCAGGTCCTTTTGTTTGGTGAATACGCGTTTTGTTTCCTCCACCGTGTTCTCAACTCATTTCTGATGCAGCAAGACAGAACCGCAGTGTATGCCATTTTGATGCCATTTCCCCTGGGGCTAACCGGAGATACGGCGACATTGAGCTGTCATTCTTAGAAGATGCTGTCTGGATCAGAAATGATCACACTGTATGACGTAGGTGGGATGCTACCGTGGGCAGTCTTCAGTCAGTGGAGTCTCGTCTACGTTTGCTAAATGCTCACATTCAGCATTGATCAGTTCTCGACTCGATGCAACAACGGGTCATAGTCATTGACGTTACAATCAGCATGCAAGGTCTAGTTGAAGGACCTACTTTCTGATTGGACTTTCAGAGTTTGACGTTTTCGGCGCATATAGCCACGAAAGATGTACCATTGGCAATGTGGCAAGAGTTGACGTTGCTTGCTCTTTGGTTGGCAGCTACTATACTGCACCTTGGAAACTCCAAGCACTACTGCACACGTGAGCGCCTTTCGAGACGGTGTTAAACCGTTGAGCCCGAGGCCCGGACTCGGGAACCGACGAGGGAATCTGCCAACTGTCAGTCGGAAGCCAGCTACTGGGTTTCAATATCGCAAAATCAACTTTGGGCTCAAGTGTTGCACAGTTAACGACTACCACGCGTCCTGAGGTTTTTTCCAAACACCCAACTGAGGATGCTCGCTCTTCTCTCATCGGAGCCGCCGCGGAAGAACAAGTACATTTGCCCGTGCATGCATGCGATTGGACGCCTTGCGAATCCGCCTGCATATTCACTGCGACAGCCAGCAACAGGGCCGCCATTTTCTGACAAGGTTTGTCAATAGAGGCATAGAGTTCGTAGATACTGTGATTGGTGTTCTTTGGTTACCTTCACATTAATTTGCGAAGGATGGCCGTACACGGCGTACAGCGTCCGACTCAGCTGGGGTTTCCCATCAGTTTACACAAATGAAAGCCGTGCATGTCAACATTTTTACCAAGTCTCCACTTGGCCTACTAACTTGTACGTAAAGCTTAGTCAAATGAACCTCGGCCATGGCTATATATAGATATCGAGCACGACCAGTTGCCGGTTGGTTTGTACTGAGGCTGGCTCGGTGAAGTCTTCGATGGTTCCGTTCAGCGCTTTAGAGAGGTCGTAATGATGCCAGTGGCTGTTGAGGAGGGCAAAGTAGGGCTTGGTGAAGGACAATTAAGCGAATGATCGACCTGGGCCTGGAATGAGGCAAAGACCGAGTTACCTAATTGAGATGCTGTTTGTGCCCCCATCCCTTACGCGCCCAGGGACGGTCAAGCTTATAGTAATCCGCTCAACACCTTTAACGACGCTCCCCGCCACTTTTTTTTTTCTTTTTCCTAACTATAGCCGTCTCCGCACCTGGTCCTCCTGGCTGCTCCCCATCCTCCCCTCTGCGCATAGGTCGTTCGTTGCTAGGATCCAGCCACTCTTCCTCGTGGTTCCAATTTCCTTCTCGACGCATCCGAATCTCCATTCCACAGAATCTCGCCATGCAGAGCCCACCTCCGTCCGCACCTTCGACTCCCAGCTGGAAATCCGTGTTCAAGCGGCAGTCATCCAAGAAACAGCTCAGCGGCATGGGCACACCTCCCATTCCATCTACTGAATTCGGCGCGCGCCACACCTCTTCTCCGGCCCAGACAACCAAGCAATCACCAACAATGTCTCGCATGCCTTCCCTCACCCCCGTCGCAACAACCCCCGTCGCGGAGCAGAGACCCTCGAGAACGTCTTCCAACACTCAGTCCAGCGACTCAAACGTGGGAGACATGACTAAACTTCCAGATCTCGTGCCTGACTTGACCTTCCTCTCTGACCCATATCAGCAGCCAAGTAGCCTCCCCTCATCCACAACTCGTGTCAATGGCCTCGTCACTCCACCTCTTTCACAGCCCCGAGAACGGACCAAGTCGGAGAAACGGGCGATGTTCGGTGCGGCAGCCACGCCGACGCGGATCCATACCGCTGCTGCATCACAGCAGTCTTTCGCGCTTCCAGGAGGAACACCGGCTCCCAAGACAAGCGGTCCGCTTTCGCCCAAAGGAATGGGTGCGTCAGCTACCCGGTTTATACGACGCGTCGCATCGGCACCAAACGCAAAGGCACTCTTCTCGAATGGTTCACGCTCAGCAACGACGAAGAACGGCTATCTGGCACCCGACGAGACCGTTCCCCCGCTACCGCACGTTCCCTCGACCTCGTCGGATCATGGTGACAATTCGCTCGAGACGCTATCGTCGTCAGGCTCTTCACGAGAACGTGGCCGGACCAAGCGCAAGAACAAGTATCCAAACGGCCAGCCGCAAACTAGGATCACTAGTGACTCTGCCGAAGGTCCGGGCAAGGTTGCTTTCCGTCGAACCTATTCAAGCAACTCGATCAAAGTTCGATCGGTGGGTATCATTGGATCTATTCGCGCTGGGTCCAAGTAACGTTGATCTTAATCAGGTAGAAGTTGGTCCTCAAAGCTTCTTGAAGATCAAGATGCTAGGCAAGGGTGATGTCGGTCGTGTCTACCTTGTTCGGGAGAAGAAATCAGACAAGCTTTTTGCTATGAAAGGTATGTTTTGTTTGTGCAGTCGCCTTTACGCAGTTAACAGCGACGTAGTGCTGTCTAAGAAGGAGATGATCGAGCGCAAAAAAATCAAACGCGCCCTTACGGAGCAGGAGATTTTGGCAACCTCAAATCACCCCTTCATAGTGACGCTATATCACTCTTTCCAGTCTGAAGAGTATCTCTACTTCTGCATGGAATACTGCATGGGCGGCGAGTTCTTCCGTGCTTTGCAGACACGACCTGGAAAGTGTCTCCCAGAGGATGGATCGCGGTTTTACGCGGCCGAGGTCGTGGCGGCTTTGGAGTATCTTCATCTAAATGGTTTCATTTACCGCGATCTGAAACCTGAGAGTGAGTCTTCTATATGACATAGATGGTTCCCCACGCGCTAAGTTTGTCCCTCAATCATTATCAGACATCCTTCTGCACCACTCTGGGCATATCATGTTATCGGACTTCGATCTTGCCAAGCAGTCTGGCTACCCAGGCGGGCGTCCCCCGACCATCCATCACTCAGAAACGAATGGGGTAAACCATCACGTGCTCATTGATAGGTTATTGCTTACTAAGCACTCTAGACTCCTATGGTTGACACAATGTCCTGCACGGCTGATTTTCGGACGAACTCGTTCGTTGGTACCGAAGGTAAGATCTCTTTTCCGCCGGCGGACTTGTCCTCATCACAAGTCAACGTCAGAATACATTGCACCTGAGGTGATCGCTGCCCAAGGTCACACTGCCGCGGTTGACTGGTGGACCCTTGGTATCCTGATCTACGAGATGATTGTGAGTGGTTCCATCGAGTTGGTTTCTGCGCATGTGAGATCGAACTAACGAGCGCCGGTGTGTGATTAACTTAGTTCGCCACAACGCCGTTCAAGGGCAAAGAGCGAAACGACACCTTCTCGAATATTCGGTTGTTACCCGTTCACTTTCGGGATACTCCTAAGGTCACAGGGTAAGTCCTTTGCAGGACGGGCGGGAGTATGTATTAACCGCTCGCGTAGCCCATGCAAGGAGGTTGTTGTTCGGCTGCTCGACAAGGACGAACGGACTCGGCTGGGCAGCAAGAGCGGCGCCAGTGAGGTTAAGCAACATAAATGGTTTGCAAAAATCAACTGGGGATTGCTACGGCATGCGCGACCTCCGGTGAGTAGTATCCACATCCTTACGTTGATGGCGTGGGATGCCAGGCCGGCACAGTGTACTGTGGTCGTACGGCTGTTCTGGTATTATTATCTTCTCATGCTACGTCGAGGAGATGTGTGGTTCTCCGCTATGCGATGTTCTGATCCGAGCGCCTGTTCGTTGCTCAACTGACCGCCGCCTCATTGATGTACAGATTATTCCCTCGTCATCAAATGGGCTCGATGCTGTAAATTTCCGACATTTGAAGGAATCAAATTCTCTCCATCTCGAATTGCAGGGCGTGGCTGGCGCTGGCTACAGCGTACCGCCGGGACCTGGCACGCCAGGATATGACGATGGCATGGAAGTGCCGGCGGATGGCGACTTGTTCGGTGCATTCAATAGTGTCACACTTCACTATGATGGTGAAAGCTAGGCACATGCGATGATGTGCACTACGTTCGGTTATCTCCTCTCCAGAATTTCGCAGTTGTCGCTCTTTAAACTTTCACTCGCGCTATCTTACATGCTCTCGTAGACATTCATTTTGGTTTTCCTGGAAAAATTTCCTTCATTTGTATCATTGCCTGTCATCACGTTACAACCTACTGCATACATTCCCTCTTAGTTACTTTGCATATTCTGAATTGCTCACTGTTATCTACATAGTTAACTCGCCGCACGATCATTATCATCTCATGCCTTAGATCCGCTCTTTGATTTGTCTTATCACACATACCCTTACAGTCACCTATTCTAATCGTTGCTGTTGATGCGGAAGGCCGTGTGGGATACGTTAGAGAAAATGCGGAGCAGGACGAATAAAGATAGCCATAAGTTAGGGGGAGGATAGTGCATCAGCATCATCAGCATCAGGCTTGCATCCACGGTACGTAGTGCTGGGATGACGGCGTGATGTTGATTGTGCTGCATATGGACGGGTCGCAAAATGCCGCCCGGTGGTTCTCATATGGTCTGCAATTGAGCATGAAATACTTCCGAGGTGCGGGTACGTATACCAGATGGCACAAAGCTAGGGGTAAGCTCGAGGTAAGCTGCTGGACGCGGGTAGAGACGACGGTCCTGAAATCGACCGAAAGTAGATTCAACAGGTCCAGTGGTGGCGCACTCAACAATACAGGCAATGGAAGGGACCGAAAGGGCGGAGGAAGGCGGGAATGGAGTTCTTTGCGCAGATCATCATCGTCGAGGAGAAGCCGAAGAGGACGAGCGGCAAGTCCATATCAGGAAAGTGAACGTCGAACTGTATTGTTGAAAGGACCCCGAGAACCTTTGATGCAAACCACCGTGATCGAGACGAGCTGAGCCGGCTGTGTGGGAAAACGAGGGTGCGGGGCACGCGAACAAGTCTATCAGACACGGCGGCCGGGGGAGGCGATTAAAAGCGATGAAACCATGCAACGATGCAACAGCCCGCGCAGGAAAGGGGTTAGGTGACGATTATGAGAAAAGACCGAGAGAGGCGAGGTGCTGGCACAGGGCGTGTAGGCGATATTTGTGCGAGAGCACTGTTGTGTCCTGAGCGAGAGCATGAGGCGGGAGAGTCTAGAGGAGTTTGGTGAGTTGTCGACGTCGCCCGTTCGCTGGCTTTGGAGGGGAAATCAGATCTGCATCTGAGCGGCGAATTTGAATTGGGCAGCGGCAACTTTGGCAGTCACATGGAGGTCGGGCGACAGGTGGGCAGGACATGCCATATTGGGACAAGTGTGAGCCGCCTCGGCGCCGAGGGAGTGGCTGACGGGTGATTTGAAGTGTTGAGAGTATTTGCGTGTATTTATGATAATATTTACCGATTGATGAATTCCGATCCCGGCCGCGGCTTGTGAGATGCACCCTGGATTGCGGTCATGCCAAAAGTGGGACACAGCGGCAGCAAAATGCGTCTCGCGGGTTCACGTAACTATTTTCGGTCCAAACGTATTTCTCCACCGCCCACTCTCGTTTATACACTTGCCATAGAAAAATAAAAACGAGTTGTTCGATCGACGGTCTGCTTCTTTCCGTCGCTCGTCTGCTCGTCCTCAAAAAACCGTCCTGTCCCTTTCACTTTCACCGTCAAGTTCTCCACCATCCTCCTTCCACCCCGCATCGCACCTTCCTTCGTCTTCAATATGCAGGATGGGCACCCATACGAGCATACCAGGCAGCCGTCCTGGTCCCGCCATCCCCACCAATCTCCGTACCAGCAGATGACGTCCTCGGGCATTGTCTACGCCCACCAGCCTTCGTCTACCTCCCATTCCTCCTCCGCTGACAGCAGCCCTGTCGACGACATTGGTCTCAAGGTCCATGAGCAGCAGCAGCCCCTGGCTCCCAAGGCGGAAGCCAAGCCCCAGGCGACTTTCCTGACAAAACTCTACGCGTATGTGCTTTCTTCCCCATAGTCCGCCACACGATCGTATCTGACGCGACTCGCAGACTCCTCGAACGCCCCGAGAACCACCACATGATCAGGTGGGATCCCGCCGGCGAGCACATCATCGTCGAGCGGCCAGAGCAGCTCGCGCTTCATGTCCTCCCCACTGTCTACCGCCAGTCGAGATTCGCAAGCTTCTCTCGGCAACTAAACGTACGTCAGCTTCTTTTCCCCTTCGCGCCCCTGGTTCCTACTTACGAGCCTTCCTTCAGATCTACGGTTTCATGCGCAAGGTCAACCTGCGCAATGTCGACCCCGCGATTGACGACCCCGATGCCAGCACCTGGTGTGAGTACCATGTTCATCTTACACCCCTAAACACGTCGCTCACTGCCGCGCCATAGCCCATCCAACCCTCAACAGGAACTCTTCCCCCGACATCGTGGCAAACTTCAAACGTCGTGTCCCTCCCCGCTTGCCCAAGCCCCGCAAGCGCGATACCCAAGAGGCACCAACGATACCCCCTCCCCGCTCTGCTATCGGCATGGGTCCCGTTCCCCTCACCGTCCCCAACACTGTCGGCCACAAGTCCACTCCCTCAATGGGGAGAGCTCGCGGCTTCTCGGCTCCAGGCTCCTTCACTCTCAGCCAGGGAAGTGCTGCCGGCTGGGGATCCTCGTACCCTCGTTCCACTCTGCCCCCCCTCACTGTTCCATCGGACCCACCAGCGTCCCACCACCACGGGATGTACAACCAGAACCACTCCCACAATCTTCACCCTATCTCTCCCGCCGTCGAATCTCCCTCGACCCAGTTCAGCGCGATGGGCCCTGGCAGCGGCTATGGTCACTCTACTCATAGCCACAATGATACCATCGTCCAGTCTTCACAATACCCTTACAACGAGCAGAATTGGTCCTTCCCTCCCAACGGCTCCTCGAGTCATTCTGGCAGCCTGTCATCACTGTTGAATCCTCCGAACTCGTCGGGCTATAGCCGCCCCACCCCCACCATCAATACTTCGTATGCTTCCAACTATTCTGGCATGCCTATCCACAACGACCACTCTCCCCCTTCGTTGTCTCCGGACAGCCGCCCGACAACGGGATATTCGATGTCGTCTGTCTCGTCGCTGCCCTATGAAGAGGCACATCACCATGGGTATCACTCGATGGCCCATGACGACTATTCGCGCCCGGGTTCCAGTCATCATCGCCCTAACTCCCCCGGTCTTTCCCGTCCTCCGTCGTCGTCGAACAAGTATGCCCCGCTCAGCATCCGCCGTCCTCGGCGTCACAGCCAGGCGATGAGTCCCTACCCTTCGCCTTACGATCATTCGGACCGCCCATCGACGTCCCCCCATCCTATCGACGACGGTAGCATGCCTCGCGTTCGTAGCATGATTCAGCTGCCTTCTGCCGACTACAATTTCGGGGGCGGCGTCTCTCAACCAGAGTTCGCGTACTCGGCGGGGGTTGGTAGTGCGGCATCCATTGATTCATTGGATGCACGTGGTGGATGGGGACAGCACCATTCTGTCCGCCCTTCAACAAGTACCTCGTCGATCTCGGCTGCGTCCCATACCTCCTCATCGCAGGCGAACACGCCTCCCCTTGGTGACGGGTATGGCCATGGTGGGACAGGGATCAATAGATGTGAGTGACCTGTTAGTCCTGCAAGTCTTATTGCTTATGTTCATGTCTGAACCCTAGTCTCTCCCGACTTCGGCTTTGTGCCCATGAACGAGCATATGCCTCCCCAGTATACCAAAGCGGCCGGCGGGCTGTAGCCCTGCTCTTCCTTGCATTACATAGAATTCGGCACCTGGCTTCTCATCTCTCGTTTTCCGGTATTTGTTCATTGTCTTTGCTCCCGGACTTGTCCTCGTTCTTTACATTTCTCACTTGTGGTTTGGATCTCGATAACAACAAAAACGACTGCTCACATTGGACTTTGTCTTCGCATCTGATTCCCTCACAAATACCCCTCACCATCGTTCGGTCTTCTGTACATCTACACCTTTGCTGCTCACAATGTACTTTATCGCATTTGCTCGATACGATCACGGTTGCTCCGTGAATGGTTACCCCTTCCTTCGTCGATATACCTTTGCCTCAGTCTGGTTCAGCCAATTAGATTGCCTTTGTCGCTACAGCATTGCAAATACCAAATGGTCTTTCACGCTTTGCACAGAACCTGATGTGATTGGTGCAGTGTAGTACTCAATCGCATGACGACGGTCACAGCACATGATGTGCTCTCGTCTCTTGCATCTGATTTTGCAGGTCCAGTAGACTTGCGCGAGGCTAGTAACCGGGCAGCAACCGGGTGCACATGGGCCCTCTGAGTCAACTCTGATGTGAATCAGGTGGTTGAGTGACTCTTGAGTTGACACGCATGAACCAAGGACACCTGAACAGAAACCTACGTTAGACCAGCATCAGCATCGAATCAGCGACGCTGATGCTCGCCAACAAGCATTACTCCTAACCAAAAATCATTCCAGGGGGCCGGTCACCCGCAACAGCTACCACTGACCGCCGGGGAATCATCACCCGGTCCCTTGTCAACGTCGACGGTTTAACGTTGACACCAAGCTCTGTTACTCACCGTACTGGTCGCAAGCGCGCTTATTCTCTTAAGAGTCTCGCGGTCTGGGAGTCTCACCCTGCGCCCGCTCGTCGGTCGGCTCGCCGCGATCGTTGTTGCTCCGTTTCGCTCGCTGCAAGGCTGTCTCACACTCAACAACACTGAACAAGGAAGCGCATTGGTTGCATCCCCGACCCGATGATCACTCAAGCGCTTCTTGGCGGCCTCCGCCTTGGCGCACCACCTGCCACCCCAGACTCAGACCTCGCGTACATGGACAGCTGGCAGCACTAGTACTCTAACTTATCTCTCGAGTCTCGCATGGTGCCGACGGGAAGAACTCCGACGTTGATGCGCAAAGCTACGATCGGGGGAGCTGATCTCGAGTCGACATTCTCGGCGGCGTTTGACATTTTGGTCGATTGGCGGGAAGCTTCTGAACGCCCCCGACTCCTCGACGTGTTCGCGCGACGCAATAAGCGTTACCTCACAGAACACGCGCGCTAAGTACGCGTTATCGACGTAGGCAGACGCGTGACGAACGCCTCCCAGCACGCCCAAGATCTACCCATGGGTCACCGTCATGGGCTACGCGCTTCAGCTTCAGTGGGGAAGCGATCGTGAATTTTGGGGCACAAACTCACTTCTGGCTTTCAAGTACACGAGTTCAAACCACTGGATAGCCCGCATAAGCCCAGCCCAGCCCAGGTCCGTCCGCGTCAGTCCCTTAGATCTAACTACATACCTTTCATTCCAAAAATCAGTCGGAGTTTCGACTTTCTGTTTGAATGCACCGTTCAACGTTGCTTTGATCGTCGAGACGCACAAAAAGGATAAAGAGGAACTAAAGTACAAGGGAGAAGCCCAAAGTGGCCGCTCTCTGGGACCGAGTGCTTGGAAAGGTGATACAGATGCCGCGAATGTCAGGATGGGTGGCGGATCTCAGCTGGCGGTGAGAACATGCCCATGGACTAGGAGATCGTTGGAGTTTGCAGCTCGTTCGAGGCTATTTTGCACCTGTGCGATGACCGAACGCATTCCTCACGAGACCAACCTCGTTTCTTGATTTCATCATCTCATGTCATACCTTTTCCCCACCTCGGGCGACTCCGCCATGGTGTGATAGAAAACCCGGATACCCACGACGCCGGTGCAAAGCCCGCCCAAGATGAGAGTGATGAGATGTGTTTGTTGCAAGGGCGTAGAAGGTGACGTCACGAGCTTTGTACTTAATTGAGGTTCCCGCGGGATCAGTGTGCGATTATTTGACATTTGAGCAATGCGGTTTACGCTGCACGATCCATTGTGGACTTAACAAGGTGTTTTGACTGACGACGCGAACGTGCATATCAACCAGATATCCAGCTCAGGTCCTTGACGGCATACGAAACCCCGTGGTCAGCGGGTCAAACGGGATTGCAAGAATGTAATTAGTGAGAAGTAAGATTGAATGGTTACTTTGATCCCTTTCTTTGATCTCTCGTAATGCAGAACCAAAGCGGCATTACGGGATGCGGGGTAGAGACGGCCCTGAGCTATCAGACATATTCGAAGATCAACTGCACCAAAATGCCCAACCTCCGCTATAGCAAATCGGAACGAAATAGCAAGGCGGGCGGGCACATGCACATGCACGAGCGGCCCCAAACGGAGAGGTTCGGGCGTACGGGGGCGATACGGCGGATACTCTGATATGGTGGGTGCAATGGGTGGCGTTAGCCTTACAGATATGGCCGCTCAAATTTCTGGGGGACAACTTGTGTTTGCGACATTGAGTTCGTCCGGATGCAGGGCCACACTCTCCGTCTTGAGGCGGGCCACAGTGTGGGGACTTTGCATCAAACCACCGTCAACGCGCGCTCGGGAGGGCGGGTCGAAGTTGCGAAGTTAGGAAGCCACACAGGCAATAACAGGATATGATCGAGAGCTATCTGGCGCTGTTCGAATTCTAGCCCGTGCGCCGTGCCCATGGAACTCGGAGTAGCCACGAACCAAGTGCATCCGCACCAGTCCGCGCCCCGTTGACGTCGCCGATCAATGCAGTGGCGATGAAGAACTTCGAAGTTTGAAAACGGTTCGCTCATTTGAACCGCACGTGGGCTGATCCGGATCACCCCTCCTTGGTGCACCCTTGTGCTGCATAGGGAAGGTGACAAGCAAAAAATAGTGCTTGTGAGACTTGCACAAGTCTTGTAAAGGGTATATGCCTGCCCAAAACATGTCTGACAATTTTTATGCACTGGGAACGCACTAATGGTTGAATCTGGCCATATTCGCCCATAATCAGGAACACAATTAGGCATACGACGCTCCAAGGAACGCAAAGGCAAGACAGAAGAACCAGAAACAAGGCAAAGAAGGTGCATCCCCGTCACGACACGGAACGGAGAGGTCGATCGTACGACTTCTCCGCCGGCGCCGAGCGATGCTTTGGGTTTGCGCCACCATCGGATGCAGATCCACTTGGCCGATCGCGCTCTCTCTGTTATCCTGCGGTTGCGCGGAAGCAAATTTGTGCCATGGCCCTGCGCTCCTGTCTCATCTGCTTGCCGCTTGTGCGCAGCCACCGACGCCGCTTGTCGTTTTACATACAGGTTCATTAGGCAAGGACCCCGGACGCAACCGCCAGAAGCCACGCAGCTGTCAAGAGCTCAACAAGCGCGCCAGTCCAGCTTATGTTGGTTCAGTGCAGATCATATGATAGTAAGTTAGTTCGGCTTCGACCGGGGCGAGCGGTCAAAGATTCAAAGTCAACTCAATGGCAGCGTTAGCTTGGGTCACCTTGTCTCAGATAGATGACTGATATACAGATACGTTGGTCTATGGAAGTGGCGTCGAAGATGGCTGATAAAATGAGTTCACGAACGTGACCGTGCTAGTGTTGCGCCAATGTATCTCTGGTGTTTCCGTGTTCCAGATAACAGATGCTGTCCGATCAAACAAGCCTTGCCTGCTAACGCGAACGGCCAACGACACGAGGAGTACCACGGAGCACGAGGCGCACACCAATCGTGTCATCTGTCTTCTGTAGCAGTGAGTACCTCGCCAGGAGAAATGCTCAATCTAAAAGTCCACAGATAATAAAAACACACATGGATGCAACCAAATAATTCAAGTACAGACCACAAGAAGGCGAATGTGGTTTGGATATTTGGTGAATACACGAAGTACATACATACGATAGTAACGTCCTTTGGAGATCAGGAGTCCACAAATAGGTGCGAAGCAAAGCGAGCATCAAACTTCCAAGTCCATGAAACGCCGAAGGATGTTTTCGAGCTACTAGCATAGTGCGTAGTGCGAGATGGGAACCAACGGACTGGGGTAAGATGATGAATATGAGGGTGTGATCTTGGAAAGATGTTGAGGAACGAAAGAGGAGGATGCAATTAGGTGAAATTAAATGAGTGCGGTGGATGCAAAAGATGGTGGGATGCGCAAGCGCCGAATGATGTACACGTTATACTATGAGTCCAACTGATAATCTTCGAATCCAATCTAAATCCAGAATTTTTGCGATCGGCTGAGATGTTTGCACGTTCCTGCGTGGAATTGTACACCGCAAATGCGGGAGTCCTACAAAGGTAGGAGCTCGGAGTTCTTGTTTTCGTGCTCTACAGGCAAGACAATCCCGCTTGGGAGTAACTGGGCCGACACAAGACCATCCCCAGTCGTAGGCCGTGGAATAGAGAACGAGGGACGTGCACTAGGCGGCGCTGACACGGGTAGACCGGTAGTAGCCTCTTCGTCTTCAGTCATAAGCGCGACGCGTTCTTCATCACGGGCATTGGAACCATCGTCGCAGTCGTCGAGTTCATCATCAACCGCACGACGAGCGACTATGCTGAGGTAGACAAAGAGCGCTATACAGAGAGCAATACCACCAAAAGTCCAGTATTTTCCCCATCCATCGTCCTCGTCAGTTTCGGTATCCTTGGCATGTTCGCTGAACGAGCGGATACCAGCACCGATGTTTGTATGGACGATAACTTTGATCAGGGAGATGGCGGTACACGTGAAATATGTGCGGAATGTGAGTGTCGGTGCGGCAGCCAGAAGCGCGTTGAGGACGTTATAGGGGTAAGGCGCAAGGCGAACGAGGAAGAGCAATGAGGGTCGTTTCTCGACTGCACGGACCGCACGCGCAAGAGGGCGTGTGCAGGTAAGCCAGCGAGCGATTGATTCACGCAGGAATGCGCGAGAGAGACTGAAAACGACGATCGCACCCGTAAGGGCAGCGCAGTAGGAGAGGACGGCGCCAGTCCAGGCCCCGAAGGTGTAACCCGAGAGCGTAATCAGAGTTGAATAGAGCGGGAGTGGGGCTGTGAGATGCGCGACGGTTGGCATCATGCGTCGGCGGGCATAACGGGCGAGAAGCGTGGAATGTGAAACATATGGTTAGCATGGGCGGGGATCAACTAACTTTAGAACGGTGGTACGTACGGAATGTGGTGAGAAAGATAAGACAGAACAGTACGGCATGGCCATAATGTTCGTCCTTGCGCAGCCAATGACTAAGGTGATCAAGGCCTGTGTGTCCGCAGCAGGAAAAGAATGTGTTGAAGGCGGGCGACCGTGGCCGAATAGCAGGGGATTTGCACGTGCGAGGCGCAATTGCACCCACACAAAGATAGATCGAGGAGAGATAGAAGCACCCAGCGGAACATAGCGAAGTGAATGAGCTATCCGCTGTCCAATTAGGTACGACAACGCGACTCACCATCGAAGACCTCCGTTTTCCAGAATGCAATCGCGAGGACAAAGCCTAGCGAGGTGGCACCATAAGCTAAGATTGGACTCCACGTTTTGAGAAGGTTCCATATCCGCAGTCCGCGTGGGCGAACGTATGGCCGCGTTGAAGTAGAGAAGCGACGCGCTGAGGAAGACGATGGCACAGTCGAAAGGGGCGCGAATGCGCAGGGCGCTTGCGGGCGAGCACCAGATGGTAGGGCGAAGGCAGAGGCTGCCTTCTCGCTCATTGGGAGAGTTTGGGGTGTGAATGTGGGCGCCATTGGTATGATAAGATAATGGTAAACCGTCTAGTGAAAGAGGTAGGGGTAGAGGCGAATGGTTGCGAGAGGTGCGAGAGAGAGTGCGGTGGAAACCAGTCCAGGTGCAGGCCGTCTGAGCTGAAATGGCAGAGAGGCGAGAGAGAGAGACGACACGAAGACAGTCTGGCGGTCTGCGCGGGGTCGAAGAGAAAAGAGAAAGCGGTGCGACTAAGGAGAGACTTTAAGTAGATGGGTATGGATTAGGGTGAGCACTGGTGAAGCGGAAATCCTCAGGAGGCAGGGACAGGAAAATCTGTTCCGCTCCTGTATTTGGAGGTATGGTGTCCGGTTTTGGGGGGACGGCTATCTACCCTGCTGCTGCGGAGCAGCCACGTCCCGTCACACGCCACCGTACCGAGACTCCTCCGTCGCAACGGAGACATGGCAAACCAATCTTTTGCACCGCTCACAATGAAACATCCACGAACATGGCCTAGATCATCGCCATGGTAGGACTGGAGTCCCCTAACGATGACTTGAACGGCGCATGGGGAGGGTGAATATTGTCTTGTGCGGTCGCCACGTTGGTAAAGGTTACAGTAGGCACAAGGAACGTGTCCTTGCGGGACGAGGGAGTATGCGCCTGTCTTGGCTAGGGTCGGGTGATCGGGGCGGCTTTTTGACTGTCCAACTGAAAGCATGCGCCTGACCAGCACTTGATTCCGGATGTTCTTGAGCCTGAGTGCAGTATCATGCTGATCGTGCAATGCCAATATTAATCGGCGAACGTGCAGGGTCTATATCCAGTCGAAACAGCGCAGGGAGCCTGAGAGCGTGTGGAGCGGTGGCGGACCTACGTTTCTAGTGGGATAAGAGGCGATGTGGGGGAGCATGCATCATGATCAAGGGACATGTTCGGGCTGTTTATTCGAATGCATTTTGTTGTGGAAAGCAAAGTGCGAGTGGCCTAATCAAAACAAGAGTAGTGAGTTAGCCACCGCAAAGACTGTCATCGGAGGTGCGCGTGTCCACCTGACAAGCTTCTTTCAGTCTTCTGCACATTCTCACAAGCACTCGACAAACGTCACAGTCCTCACCTGTACCTGGACACATACCTTGCCTCGACTGCTCATCATTTCGTCTGGCTGGTTGCGGTCCAAAATCCCACTCATCACAGGAAAGCACACGCCGGGCCACCCCACCAGGCACCTGTTCTTGTGTAGAACAATCATCCAATTCTGAACCCACGACAACCTCGGTCTCTGGATCAAAATTTCTGCCAGTCTTGTTAGAGGCGTCGTCCACCAAAATGTCGAACACTGCACCTATCCGCCTACTCTCGACATCAGCACGCGCCGCACTGCGTGTATCCCGCACGAACGCGGTCTCTCGCATCCAGGCGCGCGCCAATACCACGAACGCGGGTCCTACTGCTCATGGTTCGCCACAGCGGTCAAGACATGGGGACTGGTATGCGGAGATGCTGCCCGGGATGGTTCCTGTAGCGCTGCTGGGATCGGCGGTATACCTCGTGAGTCTTTCGATCCTCCTTTTCCTTCCCGAGTTCTCTATTGTATCTACACCCCCGCTGCTGCGCGATTGCGCAGTTGCCTCCTGTCCGCACTGTTCTGTCCACCTGATGATGTTGACACGATCGTTATGACAATGACAGGGTTTGCATCTGCTTCAGTCAAGTCTTGCTCATGAGAGATACCTTGATGAAGCCAACGCACGTGTACGGGAACTCGAGCAGCAGGTCGATGTGCTTCTGGCTGAGCGTGTTAATGGCCACTCAAGCTCAAACAATACATCAGCGGCCTCTCCTAATAAATCTTCCGGGTCGTGGTGGCCGTTGGGCAAATAGACCGCTACACGATATCTTGGGAGTTGTCCATGGGCGTCAGTCAATTCATCATTCTTTTGTTCTTGCAACACGTTTTGATGAAGGGAAAGCATGCATTTATGATAGAGGATTCTTCTGAGCGCTAAGGAACATAATAAATGAATAGGTATGCTATATGAAAGCGAATGGACAGCAGGTATGAGGAAGTCCAGATGACTAGGCCAATATATGAAGGTACGATACACCACCCCGATCAAAGGAGAATGGAATGGCGAGCACGTCTCATGTCGAACTTTGAGTGTTCTTTACGAGACTCGCACGATGCTTATCGTATACTTTGAGCGAGCTGTAATATCAACCCTTCAGTCGTTTGGAAAAATGCGACAAGCGTGGGTCCTTACCTAAGAATGCCGGCGCTGAGGCCAGTAATCGATTTGACGGTATCTGACCAGCGGCGGATACGAAACAAGTCATAGGCTGCAGCAAAGCATTACGTCAATCCTCGATGCCAATAGTAAAGACCGGCAAAACCCACAAACGAAGATGAGATCCATAATGAGCTTCCACCGCGATACCTCAAGCCAGTAGGTCTTCTTCTGCAGCCTCGCAAGCTCGCGAGAATCGATGCGAGTGTTCCGGGGCTGCGACTTGGCTGTCGCACCCGCAAACGCCTCGTGATATGCCCGGTTCTCGACTTCGCGCTGAAGGCCGCCCACGACGGCGCGTTCCACACCGTTCTCGACGAGTCCGGCAAGCGTGCTAAAGAACCAACACCAGTCCGCTAGGCGCCCCGCGCGCTCGCCAAATCGGGCGCCAAGGAGACCCATACGAGAGAGCGTGTAGAGGTCGTCGGATAGCCCGTTGATAAGTTCGAGCAGGACGGGGGGTGGGGCGGACAGGAGGGCTTGTAGGAAGGGATGGGAGATAATCTGGGTGCCGGTATTCTTGATTGGTGCCGGCAAGGATGCCGCCGAGGGCCCAACGTGTGGTTCTATGGACGATGCGGAGGAGGTGAAAGGGACGGGTTTTTGAGCTGCGAGGACTTGGGAAAGGGGCGACATCCAGTTGAAAAGGATGAGCATTTTCCTGACATTAGAAACGCATTTAACACCAAAAAGAGTTCATGAACCAGCATCATGAGCTCACCGACAGAGAGAGAAATGGTTACGAGCAGTAGTGAGCCTGCGTACGAGCTCTGAGGACCACACGCCCTTGCCAGAACGGAAGAGGAGCTTCGTGTGCAGAAGCAAGTAAACTCGTATTGAGTATTGCATTAATTTCTAATGAAGAGCAACGTTGGCTTCAGTAACAGTTTCTCAATGCTAAAACCACGCGAGATGAGGAACATACGAATGCTTTATCGCGCCCGTTGCTGGTAACGAGCATCTCTCGCCAAACGTCATGGTGCGACACGCGCCGCTCAGCTGCCTTTGCTCGTTCCTGCTCGCTGATCTGTACGTCCTCCTCAGCGTCCACGTCATCCTCGCTCTCCTCTTCTGCCTTCTCCTGGGGCTTCTCGCGCTGGGTCTCATGTTCATGGCTGCGTTCCGCAGAATGTCCGTGATGGTCCTCAAATACGCTAGCGGACATGTCGAGATCGTCGGTGTCAAAGCGCACATGGTGTGTATTTGAAGCGTTGGAGGTACGTGGTGTGCGAGGCGGATGTGCTGAGAGGGGGTTCATCTGGAATCCGGAGGTGTCGAACGGGGGTGGTGCATAGAAGGGGGCGTTCATGGGGTCGTTGAGCGACGACGATGATGGCAACTGGTCATCCGCCTCGTTGTTCGGAAATGAGATAGACGACATTGATTTGAAGCAATTGGCGAAAAGAGAGATGTCAGCGCCGTGGACCGCAGTGGGGGAGGTGTAAGCTGTAGACTGTATGCGCGTGTAATGTAAACTGGCGCGCGTCCGTGTCGAATACGGCCACGCTACCAGTAAACACGCGACAACCCAGTTCCTACTCCGAGTGCTCGTTGCCCCAACCTAATCTTCATCGTCTCGCAAGAGTAAACCTGTTTGCTGAAATCAATTCTTGGTCCATCTCAACTCTTCGACGTCTCGACTTCAACGTTAGCATCAGCCCTGATGGTTTCTCTGGCACCCATTGCCCTTGGCTCCCGTTCACCACCACCTCGATCTGAGGCAGCCTCACCTCATCCACCTCGGCCCACATTCGACAATGAGCTTCTCCGAGCATACATTAAGAAACTCATACAGACAACATTACTGCATGCTTCGTGGACGCCTGAGCGAGATCAGGTCAAAGCATGGATGAAGGAAATAGGCGAGCGCGTGAAGGAACGCATGCTCGAGATACAGCCCAACGGCTTGTAAGTCCAAATCACCCACAACCTCAGCGCCTTGCATATCAACGTACTTACTCGTCAAATAGCAAGTACATGGTGCTGGTGCAAATAAACGAGAACCGAGGACAGGGTGGCCGGTAATTATGGTTGCAGCAACTGTGAATTGCCCTACTGAACTCGATCGATCAGTGCTGACATGGTCTCACACTGGGAGGATGGCGATGTTTGTGTCAACGAGCTATTCTGGAATGTATGTACTCTCGAGGACCTGCGCGGTATTCTAGATGTGTTAATCTTACTTCCAGGAATCTCTGATATGCACCTGCATTGCCCTTGCCATCCGCACGGCATGACTTCATCCTATCTTCATTCCTACCGCAATACGACACACCTTTGATCTCGTTCGCCCCTGCGCGCATATACCCAGGACGCTCACCCATATGCACCCGGAATCACGCATGATTTAATACGCTATTGCAGCATAGTGCTATAAATCTTACTATATTGGATCTTTATCTCACCACGTTCATCTATAGAAGACGGTTCTACCCTTGAACGACCTTTGAAGGTGTTTGGGTTACCCCGGTCTTGGGGCTACCAACGTTTCCGAATGACCCTCAGAACGTGTGGTAAGTGCTGTAGCGATGTTAACCTCAGTGGCATTTTGTTAGGATCAAGGTCTTTGCTATTGCGAGACTGTTCTTGTGGATGAGTCAACACCACGGGGGTGCACTATTTGCTTCTCTTCGTCTCTGCAAAACCTCGGTGTCAACCCTTTCGTTATCGATTGCTTGTTTCATCGCCTACAAAGCTGTTCCACACGCTTCGAAATGCTGATAAAATCTTCCTCGGCGACGTTATTGCTTGCTTACATGTTGTAGCAGGCTATCCTTCCCATGCGTGGTGTTTCATGTTTCAACGCTTTGCCATTGGTGCGGTACCCTCGTCTTTGATGGCTACATTATCAGTTTCTTTTCCAGTTCATGCACCTTTCATCAGGTCTACCACTAAGCCACGAATCCGCGGGGCCTCCACGCTGTCTGCCACGAGCATTGGATGGATCAGGTCGTGCGTTGATCGCTCGCTGCGTACGAACATCCGCGGGCCTTAGTGAAATCTCATTTTTCTTCGGCCCTTTCGGCTGGAACTAGGTGCTCTCAAGGTTAACGATCAATTCACGGGTGTCGTGTCCATTAACTCGCGTTCCTCGGAGTCGTCTTCGTCCCATGGAGCTTGAAGTGGCCCTTTCTCACCCGGCTACTGTACCCTCGTGGGTACTGACGGCCTCTCACGAGAGATTTGGCTTGCCAGTTGTCGCAACTGCGATTGAAAGGTGTTTCATTTCCTGCATCTTGTCTCCTGGATTATGATCTGGACACTGCAAAAATCCCACCATGTGTATACATGAGAGTTTCGGCCAATGAAGTGACTCGAAGTGTTTTGATCCTGACCTCACTCACCCTCGATGCCCCTAATATCTCGGCTTCCCTCCACGGTCTGTATCGCGTACTCCATGCACAACTGCGTCGACTAGGCGGTCTGTGGGTTCGGTTCAGGCATCACCATCTGCTATTGCAACACAGGCATTACGTGGAGCTCTGCGTTACTCCGATTCATCAGGACTTTCGGTCGGGTTATTTACCTGGGGCCGTGTCTTTTACTCCATTGGTCTACTTTTCTACTGTCGACATCTACTGTCGGACGAAGTTGCATATTAGCTTCTGGGCTTGACCGCCGGCGGGCGGCATCATTACTCACATGCTTCTCCTTGCCGCTCGTCGCACGGAACAATCCGCTCGGTCTTAGCGGACGAAGATTGCCAGCACCTCTGGATTACACTCGCCTCAGCGAGCGGTAGCACCATCCTAGGTCCTCTCAATCCGGCCTTTTTGTTGACTGAATGTGGCATTGAAAAAGACTGGCAACGTTCTGAAATGGAGCGCTTCAGCACCGTTCACACCGTGGCGCATTTCAACCCGCCCTCAATTATAACGTTCCACTAACCAACAAGCCTCTAGGCTCACTTAAGGTCAGTGTATCATCCGGTAACAAACTTTATCTTCCAGCCGTTTTCCATGGTCTCCTTTCTTGGTTCGACTGCAGAATTCCACACAACAGTACTAGTCATGATATTCTATTCTCAATGGTTGTGATTTAATGATTATTACCCCCTTACTTCTCACTCATTTGCCCGCTCAGAACTGCCGCCATGCTAGCATGCGCTCGATGTGGACGTTGACTCCTTTTTGTAACCGAACCAACGGCGCTATCCGCAAAGCTAGTGAAAGGATATAGAATAACTCGAGAGGGCTTCTAGGATATTCCGGCGCCGATTCGCGGGCAATGGCTGAAAACGTATGCGGCGGTATTGGGCTGTAGAGACGCTCGCTACTTATCGCGTATGTTGAACGGTAAAAAGATGACCAGCGACGGATTGATCACGCAGGAAAAATCATTCTTTTGTTCATCTGGCCTGAACTCGTTGGCTTCTTTGTTTGGCGCCACCGACGACCAATCAAATTTTCCTCCGTCCGCATGCTTGCCACCCGTTCCGTTGCCCTTCATTAAACAAGAGGCAGCAGGCATAAGCCAGTCTCGCTTATTCGAGGGTTGTGTTCGGGAATGAACACTGGATGCTATCGATGGCCTTGATTTATTCGGTGTCAAGGCAGCTAAGGACCAACATTTTGGGACGCTCAAACTTGCTGTTTACAGGTGTTGTAGGGCACTCTACGATGCTAAGGACAAACGCCGCTGTCAGTCAGCGCGATGAGTGATTGCTTTACGGATGCAGCCTCGCATTGACGGCGGACAAATTTACTTCCGCTTGTTTGTATGGTCCAGCACGCCCTCCGCAACCTAACCTTGTGCCAAAGTCAGTACTCGTTAAGCGAACATGCCACGGCGCGGAGCAAATAGCACGAATGTATCAATACCTATCAGTGGTTCTCTCCCAGCCTCTTTTGCCGTCACAAGTTGTCGTGATGTTGACGAGCCAATGCACCTACAAGAGGAAAACGGAACAATTATAGATCAACATTTGTTATCTCCCGGCAAAGTGCGAGCCGTTGAATTCAGACCACCTTGGACGATCTGGGGCATACTGTATACCGGTGCCAACGCAAGCAGTGGTGATCCATTCATGCTAGAGTGGGTGTTGCGAGCGTTTGCAATGAACAAATTAGACAGGTCAGAGGATCATGTCCGGCAAATCCAAGCTGCGTTCCGCTGATCCTTCCACGAGATAGCTTTCATTGCTCATCTCATTTGGAAGTATCGGTCTAGATGGTAAGAATGAAACCACGTTGAAATCGAAACGACACTTGCGCAAGAAGGAAATAATTGGTCCAGAGCATACCTAATGTAGACACAATGCGACTTCCGGCTGTGAAGTAAGCTACGTAGGCAGGTGAAATGGAAAACACCGTGATGCATGCGGCCCAAAGCACAATGGAGAGGCGAGGAGCCAGTGATAAGGAACATGCTGAGCACAAGAGGGCGCTGTTTCCGCAATGTCAAGCTCCATCACTGAGGTGTACCATAAACTTGATGTTCATCTGTATTGATTCATCCGTCTGGTTCATCTGTCTTGGACTGGAAGAAAACACGACACGGTGGAGGAGAGTATACCGGAGATACCCCATCGCGTTCATCATGCGTCGCAGATCCACTCAGGGGCCTCATGCACGCGTCCGTAGCTCCCCACCTGAAACTCAGCGAATTTGCTTGCGTACAAGATCAGAACACAAACCTTCCTCCAACTCAGATCGCGGTGGGAGTTTCGGGCACACGTTATCGATTGGGCCTGGGTTTCGTGCCACACATGGCATGAACGATCAGCTTCCATGAGTGGGGTGCCATTTCAGGTACTATATGGTTTTCAACAATGCTATATCGTGCACGATCGTGTTCTGGCAAGAGAAGCAGCGGGGTAGCGGGAGCGTGTATGCGTCGGCTTCTTGCGCGTCTCAGTTCCTCAGCACAGAAGCCAGGCCGCGGGAGACTTGCGAAGCAAAACAAGGTTGGATGACGGAGAAGTGCGCCAGTAGACGTATCGTCGGTTCTTCTCGTTCTCGCGAAGATGTGAAGTCCGATCGTTAGACTCGGCTTCTGAGGTACACCATGGGGTTTCTGGAAGCTGAGGGTGGATAGTCGACGTTGATGCATGATGCCAGATCGCAGATGTCATGGTAAGCCCAAAGCAGCGGTGAGCCCTTGTTCGCTAGTGCTAGAGTAATGTTATCCCATGCCAGTCGCTCATGTGCCATCCTATGATGCACCCCGTAATGGTGACAAGATAAGGAATTGTTCGCATCTCCCGTTCTCCATGCCGTGCCGTGCGTCCAAGCTCGCGGGTATAGGGGCTACATGTCCAGTGCTAGAAAGCTAGAAAACGTCACTACTGATACAGTCTACCTGATGGACGAAGCATAGCTAGCTACCACGGCGTCGAATCGTCCATTGAGAACCACAGCAAGGCCCAGAAGTCACAGCAAAGCTTCGCTGGCTTCGCCACCGACTCGTTTTGTTCATCTAGTGTAGATCCAGCAGAAACGGGACCTGGACTGGTGGATAAGCAGTGCGGTATAACTAACCAGCACGTGCGGAAAGCAAAGCAAACTGGTTCATCTACAGAATGAACGGTAGCAGGGGTCCTTCCGAATGCACGCCAGGGCCCGCGCATCAAGAATGACTGTCCGCTGAGGAGACGCTGTGCTATCGGGGATCGGACTTTACCTTTAACAGCCTTATGCTTGCGTTGTAGCATCAAAACTAGGTTTACCCATTGCGCGTAAGAGTCCCCAGAATCGGTCCCGAGGAGTGTACTACGGGCGACGGTGCATTTTCTCTGGCGCGTACGGTGGCCGTCCTCCTAGGGCGACTGAGGCGCGGGCGGCCATGCACCATACTCCGAACGCCAGTATCGATTAGGGCATAGCCAACGCGAATTTAGAGCAGTCCATTCGAACACCGCGAGGCTGGCTCTGATCCTGTGGACGCAAATAGCAGCGGTGAGGGCAGCGTGGGTTCAATCTAGAGAAAATGAGATTGGACGTAATGATGTTCCCATAACCTGAGCGCCAAGCTAGTTTGTTCATGTTGTCCTTGACTGGGAAGGTACCAACCGCCGCTTACGGTAAGCATACAGCTTTCGGAGGCTTCCAGAGCAACATGGACGAATGGAGATCGACTCGTGGCATTGGGCTGGCAGACATGACGTCTGATACGCATAGAGTTCGTAGGCGGCGCGAAAGCAGATAACGCGGCGAGCAGGTAACATTGCATTGAGCATTGCATTGTTTCAACGGAGGAAAAAGAGGGTGGCCGTGTGACGAGCTTTCTGTTCACCCGCGATTTCATTTGCGCAAGAGACAAGGTTTGGACGGGCATGGGGCCATGAAGTTTTATGGTTCTGAGCGCCTAAACCGATTCAGTCTCGCGATTCCGCGCCATACCTACACATCAGCAGAGAGCTTGAGGATCGCCGAGTGAGGTGCTGGGAGTAAGCACTAATGATAGACCAGCGCCACAAAGCTGGCTGGAAGCTGAGAATACTGTCGGGTAAAGCTTCTCATGCTTCTCCGAGGGGCTCCTTCTATAACCTGTTGACCGCACAAACCACGAGTCTGAATCTTGTCCTAATAGCTAACGCACCATATGATATTGACCTATACATGTGCAAGCCAGCGCATCCATCTGGTACACAAGTTGTATGGGGCCATGTGATCACCGCCAATGCGTCATCGAGTCATAGGGCTCAGTACGTTGGACTACGAAAGACTAGGAGGGAGTATATTCAGAGTACTCTGGAAAGTCTCGAAGGGTTCAAGAAGTCAGCGGAGTCTAAACGAGTGTATATTGGGAGAGACAGGGAGAGACACTATGTACGTACTGTATGTAAAACAACCGGAATCTAAGGTTAGGGTTAGCGCAGTCAAAGATCAAAAAGAGAGGCCTGCCTAGCCAGAGTGGCCGTGGCAGGACAGGAAAATATTGAGACGGTGCATGAGCCGAAGCCCATACAAACTGCAGATACCCTCTGTGTGGACAGGGTCGCCGTGCTATGGAAGGTCCCCACAGCCCACAGACTCAAGTCCGTGAAGGAGCCGGTGCCATCAAGGTAAGTATGAGGAATTCAGCACGTCGACCGAGTGCTTATATACCTTCGCCATCACGCGCACGGACCAGGCTGAAGCGAAGTGCTACGCGGATGTCTGACTACATCCATCAGGGGTAATTATAATTGCTCGCACATGCGCTAAGATATCTCACTAGGCATCTCCTTGAGCGTGTTTGCCACCAACATCTACCTATGGTGGCCTGAACTATTATCTGGCATCTGTATAGTTCTTCCACCCTTCCAAGAAGGGACTTATGATCCGGGCATCATGAATCGGTGGTAAGTTTTGAACTCACTAAGTTGTCGGAGTCCCAGACCGTTCTGCCAGCCAGTACTACCGGTTATTTCCATCTGACGTGTTTCAAGGTTATAATAATCTCAAGCTCGGTCGCATGATCATCAGAGGGTTATCATCCTTTTGGACATCATTATCCCTTCTGCTCGGGTCGACCGCGATGACTCCTGGCACGGGCATGTATCAGACGAGCTGTCCTCGTCTCAGTTCGGCGGTTTGGTCCACCCTACCACCTCATCTTTCGATCGCAGGCCCGGTATGGCACTGGGTTGGTCAAGTTGCTGTTTACCTCTCACCAAGTTTTCTCATGCTCGCCCTTGTCCTCCTCAAGCGATTATTGACCGAAGAGGTATCCTTTAAACCAAATTTTATAGCAGCCAAATACTGTAGTTGGCGAGTCAGAACCTTGTTTGCCGTACTAAGAGTTGTTCACGGGTCTTTCTGGACAATACACGGTAAATTTGTACCACGGCAGATATTTGCAGACCTCAGGCGAGGCTTTACCCTCGCCAGCCCTCGCCCTCCCTCTAGCACGTCTATGATGTTCTTTTAGCCTTTAGTTTTATCTTTAGTTCCCCATTTGCAAAGGTCATCATGGGGTACGTTCAGATTGAAACCGTTGATGCGCGCTGAAGTTGCAAGCCTTACCAATGACCTTGGCCTCAATGGTAAACAGTCAAATATTCGTGAAGAACGTCCCTAGGACAATCAGTTTCTTGGCAGCAAATGTCTTCGCAGTGTAATTTCAAGTTGATTTCAAGCCCCTGAGCCGAGACTGATAATAACAACCTTCTTGCCATAAGCAGTAGGAACGCGCTTCACTGCATACTGAGCGCGAGGCACCTGTCTTGTCATCTGCATTCACCTAGGCTAATAAGCAACATGAGCGGTCTCGCTGACGAACTCCTTGCCGACCTTGATGGTCTTTCTGAAGGCGAGAACGAGTACAACGAAGAAGAACCCGCGAACGACTCTCAAGCCTCGACAAGCGCTGTTACGAACGGAACTACAACCGCGCGGAAACGCAAGGCAGAAGGAGATGCAGACATGTCAGACGACGACGAGCAGGCGGAAGAAGAGGCAGAGGCGGCAGAGGAAGGTGCAACTGGAGGACTTGTTCTGGAAGGAGGGACAAAGCCTGCCGAGGAACTGGACGCTGAAGACGTACAGCAAATGGACCTCTTAGCTGTTGAAGATGTGGGGTCAATCGCGAAGCTGGAGGGAAGCAAACGAATGACTGAGATTCTGAAGGTCCGTTTCGTGATATGATTCGCCTCGACTGAACTTTTGACCTAGGACAAATGCTTGTAGGACATCGAGAAGTACCAAGCAAATCCTAGTACTCCAGAAGCGATGTCGCTTCCTGCGCATCTCAACCCCGAATACAACGTGATTGTCCAAGCAAACAACTTATCGGTAGATGTTGACAACGAGATTCTAGTTGTGCACAAGGTCAGGCTTTCGTGTTCTCAGACAGCCAGGGTATTAAGACTCGCTGTAGTTCATTCGTGACCATTACGCACTAAAGTTCCCTGAGCTTGAGCAACTCGTTGCGGACCCCGCAATGTATATCAAAGCCGTTCGCGCCCTTGCCAATAGCGAAGTAAGTTGTTCATCGACTTTGTCCGGTCCTTAAGCTTACACACACACAAAAACACAAAAACTCAAGGACCCAACGAAAGTCGACTTGAGCAATGTACTGCCCGGCGCTGTCGTCATGAGTGTCCTCATTACAGCAACAACGACCGCTGGAAAACCGCTCCCAAACTCGCAATGGCTGGCGGTTGAGCGCGCTTGTAACCTCGCGGATAGATTGGAGGAGGCACGGAAAAAGGTTAGTTAAACATCTTCAATTAGGCTTTACATGCTAATTTATCGACTCGCCTTTTAGATATTCATGTACGTCAGCTCGAGAATGAATGTACTTGCACCCAACCTATCTGCTATCGTTGGTACTACAACAGCCGCCAAACTCCTCGGTGTTGCAGGCGGCCTTGGCTCTCTCGCCAAAATGCCTGCATGTAATGTACATGTAAGTGATCAAACCCCATTTTCGACCTATTCTCGCTCTGTCGCTAACCAGGTGGGTACCAGCTTCTCGGTGCCCAAAGGAAAGTCGCTCTCGGCTTCTCAGTAGCAACGCAAAAGAAACACACGGGCTTCGTGTTCCAGTCCGACCTGATTCAGCAAACCCCATCCGAGTATCAGCTCAAAGTACAACGGACCGTTGGCGCAAAAAGTGTGCTTGCTGCACGCATGGATCTGGAGCGGACACGAAAAGATGGTACCCAATGTTGTCCCTGGTATATGGATTCGCATTAAATGGAGTTCTCACAGGTTCATACGGTGCCGACCTGCGAGAAAAGATCGAGAAGCACATCGACAGACTCGCAGCACCTCCGCCCGCCAAAATTGTCAAACCTCTCCCCGTTCCCAATGATGGACCGAAGAAACGACGCGGTGGTAAACGGTTGGTTTATTTCCCGCCCATAATATACAGTCTTTTTGAGATCTTTGTCTAATAATAGTGCTCGGAAGGCCAAGGAGGCGTATGCTCAGACGGAGCTCCGGAAATTGCAAAATCGGATGGCCTTCGGCGAGGCGGAAGAAGAGGTTGGCGCATTTGACGAGACCAAGGGGCTGGGTATGATTGGTGTGGGCACTGGCAAAGTCCGCGCTGGGATGGGCGACGCAAAGAGCAAAGGTACGCAGAGCCTCTACTCCGGGAGCTAATGCGGATATCTCATTATTTTCTTCAGCCAAACTTTCAAAAGCCAACAAGCTTCGGACGGCGGCGCTCGCCCGTGCGGCTCAGAGCAACGGAGGATCAAGTTCGGGTACCGCAACCTCCCTCACTGTTACCCCCGTTCAAGGTCAGTATAAAATCAATATCAGATGTCTTAGCATTTCTTAATCCCTATCTTGGATCTACAGGCTTTGAGCTCACAAACCGGTCAGCGGCTGCTCAGCGAGTCAAGGAAGCCAATGACCGTTGGTTCGCATCTGGAACCTTTTCGTTTGTGGGACAGAAAGGCGCATAGGACTCGCACATGATGATGTTTAGCAACCATATATTCTAGCTAGTTTTTGGAACGTCTATTGGGTGTCGAAATCGTATATGCATATGCAGTGTATTGTTGCAGCATGGTAATACAAGGGAGGCACGTCGCACTCCCGTAAAAGATGTTTTGAATAATAAGATATGTGGAATGCTAAAAAGGACTAAGAACATGATGCATGATGCAGTGAATGCCACTAGTGAGGTCTATACTGCCGCGAGGGAGAGTGTAGATAGACCACCATTACACGACGTCTATTTATGCCTGCCCTGGGTGAGCAGTGGCGACAGTTTCACCGGTGGCGACACTCTGAGTAACATCGATGAATCCTGCGGCTTTCTTCGGATCTGCCATGGAGTCACGCTTCGACTTGTAATCCCGGATCGCCGATCGAATAGCATCCTCCGCAAGCACTAAACACACGCATTAATCATACTGGCATGCACGAACACAGGAAGGCGGCTTACTGGAGCAGTGGAGCTTGACAGGTGGAAGGCAAAGTTCCTTAGCGATTTCGGTGTTCTTGATTTTGCCTGCCTCATCCAGAGAGAGGCCTTTTACCCGCTCCGTCATGTATGAGCTGGAAGCAATGGCGCTACCACAGCCAAAGGTCTTGAACTTGACGTCGCTGATAATACCCTTCTCGTCCACCCGAATCTGGAGCTTCATAACGTCTCCGCAACTGTACAAATTGAGCAAAATTAGTAAAACGAGAGAAAAGTTGATGACGATGGCAATGGACGTACGCAGGTGCACCGACGAGGCCGGTTCCGACGTCAAAGTCGTCCTTAGGCAGGGAGCCCACCTGCAGGTACATTAGAAGGGTTTTCTGAATGTATTTTGAAAGAAACGCACATTCCGTGGGCTCTCGTAGTGTGAGATAACCTTTTCATGGTACCCCCGCGCAAGTACTGGCCGCAAGCTGATGTTGGCAGCACGGGCAGTAGCAGCAGACTTGAGGACAGAATTTGTGAGTGCTGAACGGAACATGGTGGACGATGTGAGAGAGCAAGGGGTAGCGGGGAGCGTAATTTCGCCTTACGGGCCGTCGGAGTTCTAAAACGTACGTCACACACGCAACTCGCCGGCGCAGGACATCTTATCTGACAAACATGCTGACCAACTCTGACGCATTATCAGATAAAGATGATCCCATTCTGCTGCCGGCCGCCTCGTCTCGGCTTAACCAATCGTGACAGCTGAAACGCTGAAGCTTGAAGCATGAAGCGTTGAAACATGATTGGCAAGATGATTGGAGCTTGCTGATCTGCTATGAGTTTCCGACTAACAGTCATCTTTCCTGGCAACCGACACCCAATGGCGCAAGATGTTCCCGAAAGTTTGAGAGTTACTGTAACATTTCGACCCCGACTCTTCGCGATAGGATGCCCAAATGGTAACGGTCTGCGAGTCTAACACACGTGTTAGAATGTACATTGCAGTTTCTTGTGTTCCCACCAGTTGTCCGCCACTGTAAGCTCAGAGAGGGGTTTCTCGAGGGTAGACACCCGCCTCTGGGGTTCGGTTCGCAGAGATGGGGGATCTAACTTACGGCTGGAATGCTATAGCATGACCCACAATGCAATTGTTCGTTTGCCTGTGATCCTCATACGGAAACACAAGGCTGCCCAAGAAGCACGATGAAGGCCACTGGCCAGTCAGAGTTCGACCCTACGAGTCAGAACCCAGAGTCCTTTTAAGCGATATTGGACCCAAGGAAATGCATGCTGTGCTAGCATGTTGAAACAATATATACCTCGCGACAAGACTGCACTGAACTACCTAAGCGGCAGGCATTCGCAACTGTTCGGGATGCCAGCAATATGGGGAGCGGAATGTACACGCAAGTTGGAGAATTGTCGTCCTTGAATATTAACCGCCACGAGCTGATTTTAGTAAACCCACGAACCATATAGATGGTGGAGCGTCCGATGGTTGCAGATTTGCCCTATCATGAGCTATGGCTCTGACATGTAGGCGGAAGATATGGCAGCCAGCAAGACTTGGTCGGGTTTGTAAGGTGAAATTGCCGCCACAAGCCTCAAGGAGTCACACAAGAGCAAGGTATAGTGTTTTTGCAACCTTTTATTTTGCCTCTGGAGTCATGTGCATACGATGCATAGGTGATGCGTATGAAAGGATAAGTGATACAGGGGCTGCATATATGCGTCGCGCAGAGCTGGCCTTCGTCACTCTATGCGGAAAGAGGGGACGCGCAGGCACCCATAAGGTTGGGCGCTCTCATGATGATGCCTTCTGCTCCTCACGGGCTTTCCTCTGTATAACAAAGTAAGTTTCGGGCTGAAGTTGCAGGGCGTAGCGCACGCACCGAACCAACAAGAGCGTGGAGAGAGTTACGGCGGAACTGTTTCGAAACCAGGGGTTAATTCCTCCCATACACCAGCGGGACATCAGGGCTAACAGACCTTGGGGTCAACCTATGAATTAACGACTCATTGATCAGCTCATGAGAACAGCAATATAAACGAGTTACTCACACCCTTGAGCGAACGCGTCCGGTTGGACTTGGGCTTTTTGATGCCGTTACGGTGGGCCTTACGGTTCTGGTTGTGGTTGGTATGGCTAGCAAAGTCGCCCTCTGTCAATACGCCTTGCTCAGAGCGTGTTCTTCCATAATTACGCACTTCTTTGACTTGGCCATGGCGTCGACGGAGCTTGGTCTTGAGGATGCGGACTGATTGCACAAGCGCGCTCGGGTGCGATGGATGAGTGGACAGATTAGGAAATGTGGCTGAAGAACTGCAAAGTTTGGGGACTCTAATAATCGGAGTTTGCCGAATAGTCCTTCAAGCAATATCCAGTCCTTCGAGCAAAGCATATGTGCATTATTCCAAATGTCTGTGACTCTGAGGGATTGTCCTTTCAGGTGGCCATTGCGATACATCATAACAGCCGAGCATACAACATATTCAAAGGAAACTACGAGGGTGTAATGATCTCGCTCATAAACGTCCTTTCGCCTCAACGCAATGATGAAATCATGATGTGCATCATCTCCTGGCCCTATCGTTTCCTTCGTACCACCTCTTGGTCATTTTAACGCTCTCCTGCGCCAAAGCAAACACTGTACCTCATCGTCAGCACGAGAAAGAACATCCCATGTGACCAGAATGCTGCTTACATTCCCGTTCAGCGCCATCAAGGCCCTCGCGGAACGACAGGGCACTGTCTCCCGATATTGAGGAGCCACCGCCTCCTGAGCCTCCGAGGGCGGCAAAATGTTGAGCTTGGTCTATAACTTCGACTAAGCGCCCTTTAAACGCCTGGTATTCCACTTCATATGAGCCTTGACGCTGTAACGCACGAGTATGCACACCTTGATGAGAAGTTCGGACATCTCATTTGCTTGTTCGTCACTAAGTCTGGAGGCGGACAAGATGAGGCGATTGAAACTTTGGGATGCTACAGGGACGACTTACATGTCCATGATCATCTTTCCGAAGCCATACCAGTGACCGCCTTGGCCCACAAGACCGGACAACTTGACGCTCTTCGGCTCAGCATTAAGGGCGTTGCGCACACGAGCCCCAAAGGGTTGTGGTATACTGAAGTCCGCCCAGTCCCTGTGTTAAATGAAAGGTAGGTGAAGCCTACTCATAGGTCGTCGCAGGAATGCGTACGAGTAGAGCAATATGTAGGCTAGCCAGATAGGGATTGGTGCCTTTGAGAGAGCTTTGATCTCGAAGATACTTCAGTCAGTCTAACGGTGTTGTGAGGGCTCGCTAAGTGCCCATACATCACGCTCATTCCCGCCTCCGAGATGACCCATGTCTGGGATGTCTAGTTTGAACGTGCATTGAATCTTCTGTTGAGGTTGGCACGTCAGAGGAAGGTTCTGTCACATTGTGGGTGGTATTGCCTGGTTTTCAGCAAGGATAGCATCGATGGAGAAGTAGTCGTTGTCCATGAAACTGACGACCAAACACGCGTCGGACGTGTCTCGCGAGCTGCAAATGGATGACCGCTGATTGGGTGGACTTGACCAAACCTTAACCCCACATTGGGGTTGACGATGCTTCTCAACCACACTGCCGAGGCCCCGAAGGCCGAACAACGATTGACGGCCTCGGCCGAACGCACCACCTCTCCGCACCTTTATTAAAGGTTGCATTGCAGTGAGCGCAACATCACCCAGTTCCTCTCAGCTCCCTTTCTCTCTCTCTTCTACCTCAGCACACAGCATGCCTGCTCCTGTTTCTGGCCCACGCACCCTTTACGACAAGATCTGGGACGATCACGTCGTGTAGGTGTATTCCTGGTCGCGATAAGCATGCCTTCTGACTGATGCGGTCCAGCGACGTCAATGACCAAGGATTGACTCTCCTCTACATTGATCGGTGAGCTCGCCTCCCTGATCATGCGAAACTTCGCTAATCACTCCCTCAGTCACCTTGTGCACGAGGTGACGAGCCCTCAGGCCTTCGAAGGACTGTATGTGGATTGTGTTAGTGGTCTTCCGAGGCTTCACGTTGACGTCGTTATACAGGAGGAATGCAGAGCGTGCTGTTCGTCGTCCCGATTGCACCCTCGCCACAGTAGATCATAACGTTCCGTAAGTATAAAACCACCCAGCCTTGTTATCGTTTTCTCAATACGCTGCAGTACCCACTCGCGGAAAAACTTCAAGGCGATTGATAGTTTTGTGGACGAGCCGGATTCTCGAGCACAGTGCATTGCCCTGGAAGATAATGTTAAGGAGTTTGGTTTGACATACTTTGGCTTAACCGACAGGCGGCAGGGTAAGGGCTTATAGTGCTTGATCTAATGGGATGTTTCTAACGATATTCAAGGCATTGTTCACATCATCGGTCCTGAACAAGGATTTACAGTGAGTCCCTAACAAGGCGATCAGTTGGCTATGCAGCGCTAATTATACCTTTTAGCTTCCCGGAACGACCGTGGTTTGCGGTGATTCGCATACCTCAAGTTAGTTTAGCTCCTATATTTGCAGATCAACAACTAACATCATAAACAGCCCACGGTGCTTTTGGCTCTCTTGCCTTCGGTATTGGTACTTCCGAAGTCGAACATGTTCTTGCAACCCAGACGCTTCTGCAGAAGAAGGGCAAGAACATGCGGATCAGCGTTGATGGTCAGTTGGCTGAAGGTGTCACATCCAAGGATGTTATCCTCCATATCATCGGTCTCATTGGCACTGCCGGAGGCACCGGTTGTGTCATCGAGTATGCCGGCTCTGTATTCCGCGGTTTCAGCATGGAGGCACGCATGAGTGTCTGTAACATGAGTATTGAAGCCGGTGCTCGTGCTGGCATGGTCGCTCCCGACGATATCACCTTTGCATACCTCAAGAACCGACCACTTGCCCCGAAGGGCGAGGCTTGGGATCGTGCAGAGGCCTATTGGCGCAGTCTGAAGAGTGACGAGGGAGCTAAATGGGATGCCGAGATTAATATCAAGGCTGAGGACATCCCACCCACCGTCACCTGGGGGACCTCTCCTCAGGATGTCGCCCCCATCACTGGCGTTGTTCCCGATCCTACCATCATCACCGACGCCACCAAGCGCTCGTCTATCGAGCGTGCCCTCTCTTACATGGGTCTCCAGCCTGGCACAAAGATGGAAGACATCTCTCTTGACAAGGTTTTCATTGGATCGTGCACTAACAGTCGCATTGAGGACCTGCGTTCTGCTGTCCGAGTCATCCTTGCTATGGGCCCAGACGCAAAGGTGGTGCCGACTGTCCAGGCTATGGTCGTCCCGGGCTCTGGTCTCATCAAACAGCAGGCCGAGGTCGAAGGTCTAGACGCCGTTTTCAAGCGCGCTGGATTTGACTGGCGCGAGGCTGGCTGTTCCATGTGCCTAGGCATGAACCCTGATCAGCTTTCGCATGGCGAACGGTGCGCAAGTACCAGTAACCGAAACTTTGAGGGTCGTCAAGGTGCAGGTGGACGCACACACCTCGTCAGCCCTGCGATGGCCGCCGCCGCCGCCATGACAGGCAAGCTGACCGACGTCCGAAAGCTTCTGAATGCCGACGCCGACGCCAAGATCGCCGCTGGCCCAAAACTCAAGCTTGCCAGTGCATTTGATTTCCTGACGGACCCCGTTCTTCCTGCCCCCAAGCCCCAGACGCTGTCCCACGCTCAAAACGCGTCCGATTCTGCATCACTGCCTCCTGCTACGGCACCCTCTGCTGTTGCTCCGTTTGTCATTGTGAAGGGCATCGCTGCTCCTCTGCACGTTGAGAACGTCGATACGGACAAGATCATTCCTAAGCAGTTCTTGAAGACCTTGAAGCGGAATGGTCTCGCGGACGCCCTGTTTTATGAGCTTCGTACTGACACGAAAACGGGCAAGAAGACTGACTTCGTACTAAACCGCGAGCCCTACACCCAGGCCAAGATCCTCGTCTGCACGGGGAACAACTTTGGCTGCGGTAGCTCCCGTGAGCATGCTGCCTGGAGTCTGTGAGTTTACGTCTTTATCTTCTGGTGGCGCTACTAAAGTGTGCGCTTATAGTAACGATTTCGGAATCCGCACCGTGATTGCGCCTAGCTTTGGTGAAATATTCCAGAACAACGCCATGCAGAACGGCATGTTACCTGTCCAGGTGCCTGTGGGAGATGCAAAGGACTTGGCTTCAGATGCCGAAGCTGGGCTTGAGCTGGAGGTTGACCTCGAGAAGATGGAAGTCCGCCGCTTGAACGGCAAGCCTCCAGTGCCGTTCATGGTTAACCCCTTCCGCCGGCATTGTTTGCTCAATGGTTTGGATGATATTGCGCTGACTCTGCAGAAAGACGAGTCCATCGTCTCCTTTGAGCAGCGTCGGAGTGGTGCCTGGCCATGGCTGGATGGTCTAGGCTACAAAGGTGGCAAGATACCCGTCGCGCCTGCCAAGGTATCCAAAAAAATGGATTGGTAAAGACGGCGACGCAGCTGTATCATATTGTTGTATTAGTGGTACATGTTTTTTGTATAATAGAACAAGATCCTCTGGAGCTAGGTCAAGTCAATCGCCAATAATGACGTGAAAACAGTATGGGCGTGGAAAGGCGTGCGATCTGGTTCCGCGAGAGAGAAGGTGATTGACATTAGCCGTGGCGTCGGTTGTCATTTCAATTCCATATGAACGGGGCATTGTCTCGTTCGTCTATAACTACCACGTCGCAGTCACTGCTCCTCACCATCATTCCCCATCGTTAACGCTAACGGTGCTAACCCTCACTTCGTCCTCGTCATGCCAGCACCGACCAATCTCACCAAGACAAAGTCTCCCGAAGCCCCCAGTAAACCGAAATCGCCCACTCATGCGCAGTCGCTCAAGCCGGTACCTCCTCCTATCAAAACAAGAAGTTCAAAGGAGAAGGGGAAAGAGGGGAAAGAGCAGCAGGCCCCTAGTCGTCCCTCTCAGCAGCGACAACAGCGACAACAAGAATACCAGTTCCCAAAGCAGGGCCAGACTAGCTCGTCACAGATCTACTCCAAGAAACAGCCCAGTCGCTCAAGCAAGCCCATTATTAATTGGCTGCAACGCAAACTCGCTGGTACCGTCCGCCAACGGCGTATATCAGACGGCTCATCATCTCTGTATGATAGAGGCCGTATGAACGGAGCGGCTTCTACCCCTCGCTCTGGCCGTTCTGGCAGTCGGCCTAGTACGCACTGGGGGACTGTCCCAGGCCCCTCGCGTAACGGAAGCCGAGGGCATAGGGCTAATCCATCGATTCCTCCACGACGGACTATATCGCTCAATGGAGGAGATTTTGATGATGGGCTCATTCATTCTGACGATGAAGACGAAGGATCCATCGCACGCTCTGCATGGTCGCCTGCTACTGGGCGGGAAGCGGACGAAGACGCCTCCCTGAGGCCGCTACCTCCCAGTGCCCCGCCCTCGCCTTCACATTCTCACTCTTCCTCATCGTATCTTTCCAACCCTCACACATTCAGAAGCATGGCAGCGAGTACTAAGCCAACGACAGTTCTCAGCGTTGATCTGGCACCCGCGGGAATAGGCCATATCGCACAGGTGCCTCTGACCCCTGTTTCACAGACGGCACGCTTTGCCCATGGGCGCAATCCATCGACGGGCACCAATGGTGGTCTCCTGAGCAGTGCCGCCTCCATGACGTTTTCGGCGCTTCCGCCGTCTCCTCAGTCGTCGTCCCGCCCCTCGTCAGTGCAGCAAGCGACTGGTGCTACGTCATCAAACATGATGGGCCTACAAGCTCCTCAACACACTTCTCATCATCCGCGGAACAATCCCCGCCCCTCATCACCACCGCTTGACAACGCGTCGATGCTCACTCTGGCTTCCTCAGCGTATGCTATTTCGGGCTCTCGGCCAGCTATGGGATCTGTCGCATCGACATCGCTATTCCCGCATGGTGCCACTGATTCCATTTCGCAGCACGGTGGCGGCAGTTTCACAGGGGATCTCGAAGGGAGATCCAGCCACTTCATGCTCGGCGACGATGATAGGCTGGATGGAGAACGCGATGGCGATGCCAGCATGCGTGCATTGCGCCCTAGGAGCTCGAGGAGGGGCAGCTGGGGCAGCGAAGTCAGTGGATGGAGCGCGAGAGTGTTAATGGGCGTTACGGATGGCAACAAGAGCTTATACACAAGCCACAGCATGAAAACAAGCGAGCCATCCGGGGTCGACGGGGACGACTCGGGATCGGAGTCATCTGAACACGGGACTACCGACGAAACGCAGTCTACCATAGATCGCAGGGATGACGAAGAGCTGCATGCGTTGCCCTACATAGAGCCGAGCACTGCAAAACATGATGACAAGGTTCTTGATACGCCAGTCCAGGACTGTCATGTCAAACTCAAGGACGAGGACCCTACTACGGCGGAGCAATCCTCCGTTTCGATCCATGGACCTCCCACTCCCTCTGTTGCTGAGGGAAAGAACGATGAGTAATATATGCCTCAGCTAATGTTCGTTTTATGATTTCCCCCCTCAATCCTGGAGTTGACTTCGGTCTCATTGTTTTCTTTGGCTGTCAGGCACCACAAACAGCATACACTCAAGACACTCCACATGCGCCCGCCTCTTCGACGTCATAGAGGCAACTTGCGAACGGGAGCTTATTGCAATTCTTGATCTCTTCTGTCTAAGCTTACGCCCTCTTGACTTTTTTCTTCTCGTGTTCTCTCTCATAGTGTTCTGTGCATCCTTGTTCTTCGACCTCTCTTCTCCATCATGTATACAATTGTTTAACACTTAGCATCCAGAATGCATATTCCCAGTCCTCTGCTGTTCATCCACAAGTAATTCTGCTGCATTCGGATACTCATTGCCTGGACATCGAATGGTCTGAGATGCATGTGCATGTGATGATGCATCATCGTTATTTATGGTCAGTGACCCTGCCTGACCACATTGTCCACTTGATGATCTTGTGTGCATTCGTCGGCAAGCGAAGTGAGGTGCCCTGACCATCTCGGGGTGGGATGTATCATGTGCTCGCGCCGTCAGATGCCCCGCGCTGGGGAAGTCGCGTGCCTCAGCTGATGCAGGCTCTCCATACGCTCTTAAATACCGTCTCGCACACAAAAATATGGACGCTGTCGACGTCCTTTCCCCGCCTCGACCTTGCTGTCTGGAACACCCTTAGAATGAAGTTCAGTCTTGGAGGATTCGCCGTCGCTGCGTCTCTTGGCGCTCTCGCTAGTGCTGCAGACTCGTCATGCCCCGATTACACGACCTATTCGCAGGTGAATCACCATTGCATTCGGCACTGAGACTAGCACTAACGCGTTGGCCTTGCCCTTCCAGTCGCCTCAGGGCAATGCGTCCACCGGTTCCCTAGGTCTCCCGTACATGAGACCCGATCCGGCATGTCGTACTTTTAACAGCTCTGTGGTCGAGGTTGGTGTTTTGTATCTCGTGCCGCGATGTGTTTTCAAGATGTTGGCAATCACAGAAAGTCATTTCAGACGTGACTTCGCGTATGAAAGACCCTGATCTCGCTCGCTTGTTTGAGAATACCTTCCCCAACACGCTTGGTATGTATATGCATCTTAATGCATCCAAAGCATGCGACTAAAATGCGCCATAGACACAACAGTGAAGTACTTCAACTCGGTACGTTGCCAGAAAAACTCCTTTTATCGCTGAGCTGACGACGTTGCTAGTCTGAGAATCTGGCCTTCATCATCACTGGAGTGAGTACGCAAAATCAATCCACTACATGATTTACTGACATTTACTTTCAGGACATCAAGTCAGTTTGGTTATGATGACTTTTCGTGTTCTGTAATGAATTACACCGTGACAGTGCTCAATGGCTACGTGATACCGGCAACCAGGTTAGTGACGGCGGATTACTATTAATGCCTTGCTGAACATGGCTTCAGTTTGCACAATATCGCCCTCTTCTTTCTCAAGATAAGGAACTGGCGACGCTCGTCAAGGCAGTCATTAACAACGAGGCTCGGTATGTTAGCGAGTATCCGTACTGCGGTGCCTTCCAGCCTCCCCCCGAAAGCGGATTGCCGCCCACCGTCAATACTTACGCCTTGTTGGTCGACACTGAGCCGTATGAGTGGTTATTTTCATTTTTAAGATAATTACTGAGTCATCTGCAGTCCGGTCAATAACCAGACAGTCTTTGAGTGCAAGTACGAGCTTGACTCTTTGGCTGGGTTTCTCAAGCTTTCTGTCTCTTACTACACCGAGACGAAGGACAAGGGCATGATGACCGACCAATGGCTGAACGCCATCGATCAGATCTTCCAAGTCATCAACAACCAGTCACAGGCATCGTTCGACAGCAACTGGAACTGGTACTCGTCGTACAACTGGACGGGCGAGCCTGGGTCGTATTCTCCTCAGGTTGTCAATGACGGAGCCGGCGAGCCCAGAGGTTACACTGGACTTGTTGGTAGCCACCACAGGCCTTCGGACGATATTTGCATATTCCGTACATCGCTATTTCCTTATTTTCATGCCCTGGGCTGACATGAACATAGCCTTCATCACCTCCGACAACGCTATGATGAGCGTTGAGCTCACGAACTTGGCCAATGTTTTGGATGACGCTCAGATTATGCCGAATATCAGTGCGATGGCGAAGAACTACAGTCAGACTATTCATGATGCCATTTGGAACCATACGGTAAAATTAAGCCGCTCGTATCTTTCTCATTCTTACAAGCCCTTCGACAGGTGGTGGCTGGCGCCTTTGCGTATGAAACAAATGGTAGGGGGGAATATCTTTGAGGCGAATGTGTTTCTGACACGACACAGGCTTAGGATCGACCTACATAATGGACGATGCCAACGTACCGGTATGTAGCGCACCGTGTTGTGATTGTGCTCGTGCTCATTATTATCTCAGTCCCTGCTTTCGCTCCCTTACCTCGGCTTCCTCGGAATGAATGATTCGACATATGTTGCGACTCGCAACCGTGTGCTCTCTCGTGCCAACCCGTATTACGCTCAGGGTATCAACTTCACCGGTATCGGGTACGTAGTAATTCTTATTGAGTGACTGGTGGTATTGATTTGTGAACGCAGTGGCCCCCACGTTGACGCGTGGAACCCGTGGTGAGTACACTGACCATTTACTGCAGAAATGGCAAATTAAGTTATCGATAGGCCCATGTCTCAAATCACAAACATCTTCGGAACTGATAGCGATGATGAAATCATAAAATCGCTTGGCCTGATCGCCAACGTGCGTGATCGTGTCCCCTCGAGGCGGAATGGAAGTCGCTGATGTGTTTCGCTTCTCTAGAATACCTACGGCCTCGGACTTATTCACGAGTCCGTCAACATATACAACGGCTCCGATTACACTCGTCCGTGGTTTGCTTGGGCCAACAGCTACTTCTCCGAGATGATTTTGGACTTGGCTCAGAGGAAGCCGCATCTAATTTTTACGGACAATACGCCCTACATTATTGGGAACTCGACGTCGTCGAACTCTACCTCGTCCTAGATCAATATTGTTAGAGGGGCACTGACCCAATTGGGCCCCTTTACTAGCTCCTATTATTCTCCTGAATATTGGTGTTTTGTGTAGCAATGTAATGAGATCGTCGTGTTACAGTATGACCCCTTGGCGTTGGGACCCTTTTGAGAGTTTGGCGTATATAATGAGGGTGAATGGACACAGCCACCCCAGCGTCCTTGTCCTGAGGAACCCAACTGCGGTTGTACACTTCACTCCAAGACTGCGATCTTTATGCACCTGTTGTGCTCCATCTAACCACATAATAATCCCACCCTTTCCTTCCCTTCAAACTGTACTCAAATGTCCTCGACACCTCGCGAAATAGGCACCCTCATCGTCGTCATTCTCAAAGCGGTATGCATCCCGCCCTCTCATATGTCTCTCCTTCCTCACCCAGCACAGAGAAACTTAGTCAACAAAAGACATTTTGGAAAGCAAGATCCGTATTGTGCTGCCACCCTCAATGGCGACACACGGCGCACCAAAGCAGTAAAGCGCGGTGGCCAACATCCAGAGTGGGACGAGGAGTTCCGCTTCACTATATTCGAAGATGTGGAGGACGAGCTGGCTCGTACTGCACACGGCTCGGATACCCCCCCTCCTCCCCCGCCCAAGAAAGCAAGCAAGAAGAAGATCAAGGGAGGAAAGACGATGAGGTTGTCATGCTACTCGGATGAGCCTCGCGATCCCGAGCTGATTGGGGAGGCCCTGGTGAATTTGACAGAAGTCCTTACTAGGGGGGAGACAGACGGTGCGTACCGACGACTTTGTTCGACGGCGGCGTACTAAATATTTCATTAGAATGGTTCCCTTTGTTGAACAAAGACAAGTATTCGGGAGAAGTCTACCTGGAGCTGACCTTTTGGTCCAATGTATGTTACATGACATCAATTACATCCACTCATTTCTTAACTTTGTACGTTAGGAACCACCGCCTCAGAAGAAGCCAGCAACAAAGACGTCAGTGGCAAACAAGCAGTACGGAGGCCCCGGTTCTTTCGTCCCTGCGGGAGAAAGCAACTCGTCCTTGAATGGATCCGGCGGCAACTCTCGAGTCTCTTTAGTCAATGGCAACGAGGGCAACCCTCTGAACTCGCTTCCGTCGGCCATGCGCTCATCTTCGCAGCTACAGCTGTATGCACCTGCATACGAACAGAAGCGTCGTGTTTCACCTGGCCCGGTGGACCGTCTCACCAACGACTTTGGCGAGCTCGGTGTGGCAGATCACCATAGGAGGGATAGCTTTCCCGTCAGTATAACTCTGTTGCTCTGTGGTACTTTCTCTGACACCCATTTGTGTAGCCCATGCAAACCTTGAAGCCTTCAGCATCCTCAGGTTTCCAATCGCTGCAATCTCATCCTCATCACTATGATCCTCATCAGTCCATCGATGGCTCAGCTTTCCACGAAGGCACTGGATCCCTTGCGGGGCCGCCTTCCCAGTATCGTGTGCCACCTGATTCGTACTACCCTACGTATGACGCTGGTGGGAGCTCTGGCATAGGATACCGTGCTCCCACGCGTCAAGGTCCGAGGTACAGCATGCCTACATCATCGTCTGGATTCGCCCCTATTCCTACACCTGCTCCACCTATGCCTACATCCAGCTTCGGTTCAACACCGCAATACGTGCCCGAGTCATCCGGGTTTGCCCCTGCGCATCCGTCTCATTCCATACATCCGACAACAGTGGCGCCGGCGCCCTACTCACAGAACCCGCCTCCGTCAACACGAAGCCGGCCTCCAAGCCATTCGTTCAGCACGCCTGCGAGTTCTTTTGTGCAAAACCCGCCCCAGCCTGAGCAGCAGTATCCTTCTCAGCATGAAGGGATGTATCCATTCCCAACCGAGTCGCAGCATCCATACTCCCCGCGGTCGGCACCTCCGCCACCTAGCCACCATCTGAACGCGCTTCTCCCTGCAGCTTCGGCGCCTCCTGTCGCTCATAGCGCATCACAACCTCCATTACACAGCTTTGCAGGTCTTACGCATGCCACGCCTTCTCCTTCGCACGATTATGGAGCTTCTGCACCTACACCTGGGCCTCCTTCAATGCTCACGGGAACACCAATTCCTCCTCCCTTACAGACTGTTCCCGGCTCACGGCCGCTTCCTCAACCTCAGACTGCACCTCGTCAGGCTTCTTTGACGCTGCCGCCCACCTCTAGTTATCCCCAACATCCCCCTCGGAGTCCGACTCGTGCATCATCTGTGAACGGGAGCGGTTTTAACGGGCCTGTGTCCTATTCCAACATACCACCGCCCCCCGCGCCTCCTGCCCGGCCTCCCTCGCAGTATGGTGGATCAACACAAGCTTATGGGACGCCACCTAATGAAATGCAAAGTATGCCGGACGCTGCCACTCTCCAACAATCTTACGGACGGCCCTCAGCTAATCCATCGCCTATACGTCCTGCATTGCCGCAACCGCCGATGCAACACCACCAGTCGGCACAGTCAGCTTTGTTCCAGCCCATCCCTCCTCCCCCTCCCCCTCCTGAGTTGCCTAGCCACATGCAGCAACACCCACCTCCATCACGTCAGGCGGTCCCTACTTCTTCGTTTTCCCTAGGACCTCTGCCTCGTCCACCTCAGTACATTGACCATTATCATGGTTATGCGCCGCCGGCTCCGGCGATGTAATTGTCAAGATGTACAATTCACGATCATGAAACGTCACGAAATGTCAAGACACTAACTAATAGAAGATGTCGATATGTTCTCAAAATTTGCTTGCAAAACAACAAATGATCTATAATCATGGTACTAACAGGACAGTTGTATATACCACCTCATCTCGCTGGACGCTTGCAGTAACAATCTAAACATATAGTCACACCTGCTGTATCCATCTCTTGCAATTTGACACTAATAAATTATGAACTATAATAAATTTAAGACGCGAGCGCACTAAAGAAGCTTAAGGGTCTAAGCTGACAGCTAAAGATGAGCGTCATCGTCCTTGTTCAGCCCGCCATCTTGCGATCTCAGTTTCCGTAGGAACAAGGCCTCTCCGCGCGATGTCCATTCGTGCCTCCTTGCGAATAGCATTCTCGGTTCGCCGTCGTTCTGCTTCGTGTGTCAGGAGCGCATTGTCTGCACCTATGACGAGGCCAGCCATAGCCGCTGTTATTTGACATGAGTATGCAAATCCTGTAAGGGGTCCGGCAAGCCTAGGTGTCACTCACAGCCCATAACCAGGAAGGCCTTGAAGGGGAGTGTCTGTCGTCTATAGTGTACAGCAACGTTCGAGGAGGTCCTTAGCCCGCGGCCGCAAGCACGAGCAAGGTAGGAGATTAAGAATCACCTGAAGAATGGCCAGGTGTAATGGGCTATGGTGACTGCTCCGAGGCCTGCTGCACCTATCTGGGCCGCGCCCTATGATCCAGTCCCCCAGAGATTAGAGCACCATGACTGTCACGTAAGAGGATTCAGTCTCTCACCTTCGAGCCTGCTCGGATCTGAAGACCATACGCATGGTCGACGTCTGCCTTGAGTTGTGCACGGGATCGCTCCGACATGGCTGAAGACCGATAGCCAATGCTTACCAAGGCCGAAGTTTTGACGTAGGAGAACGAGGGAAGCGGGACCGGCGACCCGGAGGAATCTCTCGCGTTCGTCCATGCGGAGACAGGGGCTAACATATGTTGCACTCAGAAATGACTCAGGTACTTTCCGCGCCCACCAATTTGGTGCTAGAAAGTGAGCGAAGATCGACGTCATTCATTAACATTTTAACACTAGAGATGCTGATACTGGTGTGCGAGATTGAGTAGATTATCATAATGGTCTTATTTAAATTTAGTTTGGGATACTATAATCTATCGTGCAGAAGTCGCCTTTCTCTGAACATGCTACATAATGCGACTCCTCCGCGATGACCTGAACTACTTTGTCGTTTCCAAAGCAGGAAACCTGGATATATTCCCATGAACGATGCTCATTGGGCTGGAGTGTGGAATGACGTTACCGAAGCAAGGTAAGAATTTGTGTTTCGGAGATCCCATAGTCGCACATCACCTGTCCGGCTGCCTGACGCAAGGAAATGGGAGCGCGTATCTCCTATATTCGCAGCCATGTTGACCCTTGCTGAAAGACAGGAATGCTAAAAACGGCGCGTACCTTTCATAAACCGTCCATGAAACTCAGGAGTATAAACTCCAAACCTCTGTGCAGGGTGTTCAGGGATCATGCGGTGGTCTCGTACCTCGAACTGGAATTCGCGATGTGCGACCTTGCTCTGAATTCAGTGACTTTAGTTATCATCAACATATTTCACACTTACTTCGAGCAGGGTGCAAAACGGGGAGTCCGTTTTATGTGCATGGTAGGGGGTATTTGACGTCTTCAATGAGTGCACCACTCTCTGAGAGGCCAAATCCCAAAGGTGGGTAGAGCAGTCTGCCCCTACGGATACGAGCTTATGACTAGTGTCTCGGATTGACAAAAGTGAGTGTATGACCGAAGTGTGCCTTATGGATAACTGCTCGGCGACTGGAGGGTGACCAGGCTCGTCGTCGAATGACCAGAGATGAACGCGGTGATCATGACCGCCGCTTGCGAACATGCCAGGGTGGAGCATCGTCGTTACTGCACTCGCACCGGCCCTCCTGGACCTGTCCCATGGACGATTTAATGTTCGTGGCTGTCAGGTAACCTAAAATAAGCATAAATTCCAGCAGTCATAAATGAGATAAGGGACCTTCATATCATGAAGTAAGGCCGCGGAAAGTTGCCGATCTTGCGTACCATGTGCTGATATTAGGATGGGACCTGAGCTAGCCTGAACAAGACAACAATCCTCAACCAGGTCGTTTGCTAGCAGGGGATTGCCAGGTTCATACAACGATTTCCGGTAGCTGGAATCAATATAGAGAAGTAAATGAACATTTCTCTCTGAGAAATGAGTAGACTCACGCAAGTGGTGATGAATATACATGGTCAATGAAACCATGGGCAGAAACGACCAGGTGCGTTGGCGTCGTGGGATTTCGCAGAACACGGCGAGGTTTGTCAGAATTCCGGTAACGTATGCGGAGTCTGCTACTATTAGCGACAGCCAGCCTTGCATAGCTCAGTGGCGCAGTAACAGCGCGTTTAGCTTGTTGAGATTGAAACCTCGATGCCTCTTCCTCATGGATACCTGATGTTTGAGACCGCTGATTGGCTTGAGCTTCCGGTACGTCGTCGCTGCTGATGCTCATTGCGTCCGGCGAGGGCCTACGACTCAAAGGAGCCAGTCCCTCGCCAGTCAGAGAAACCGTTGGCGTGGACTTCTGAAGAGGTGCCGGGATGAAGAGAATACCAGACCGGAACGGGTGGGAGGCTGGCAGTGAGGTTATTACTTGCTTTTCTGTTTCTATAATGCGCTCCGCTGGGTCGTCCCCGGTGAGGTCTATGATCTCGTGAGAGCCATCCATCGCAATGAGTGCCGACAAGTCAATTTCAGGAGTCGAGAAGTGAGACTGTGAGGTAGGTCCAATGCGAGGGGATGAAGAAAATCCGAAAGGATGAGGTTCCTGGGCTGCTGACTTTTCAAACTGTCTTAGGCTACCATAGTATTGACGGCCCAAACCAGCGGGCGAATGGCGGGAGATAGACGAATTAGTGGCAGAGAAAGTGGCACTCTGACGGAGTCCTCCTCAGCTAGGTATATGATTGAAGATAGTGTCCTCACAGGCTCCCCCAATGACAAGCTTGGGTGGTGTGCATGACGTGGCCCCGATATGCGAGTTTCGATGGAGTCTTCTACATCCAAGTAGGTGGGCCGTTAAGCATAACTCAGCTAAAGAGCTTAGGCATTGAGCACACCTCACCTACAGGACGAGCTCCAAAAGCGCCATTTACAGGAGTGCTGTCACAGATAAAGCGTACGCGTCCATCAAAAAACTTGTGGTAGAGGACATGATGCCCCTCTCGCAGTAGACGCACGCGTTCCTTTTCCGCCCACGCGATCCGGGCTGCCTGATAATCAGGGTATCCTTCCGAGCACTCTTTGGGAGGCATCAAAGTCAGCTCAACACGATTTTTCGCGAGCCTCCGCTTCTGTGGACTATTCGGATGCTGAGGCGAGCTTTCGCTACGATACGATGGATTCATGGCAGGTTCCTGTCTCAAGGACGGGCCGGTCCGAGGAAGCGGGTTGATATTGCGAGGTTTCCAGTTCGGTGTACTTGTCTGGGAGCTAGATGGATGCCAGCCATTGACAAAATCAGATGCCGGGAAGTTTGGTCGAGAATGTTGGAAGTGCTTGTTTGGAAAGAAGCCTGGTCTTGATCCTCGACCAATACCTCGACCCATAGCCCTGTAGCCGCCACGACCTCGACCACGAAATTCGGAGGTATTCTTGATGAGAGGGACTCGAGTATTTCCCTTGCGAGAGAGACGAACTTCATTGGGCTGAGTGTCCTCCATCCGTGGATGGATTGAGATGATCGACGGGCCGGACGTGCGATGCGTTACGTTTGCTTGTCCTTCTTTGGGCTTGTCTGCGTTTGGTAGCATCTTCGCCTTTCCTGGGAAGGTCCAAGTTCGTTTCATTTCCTCTCGTTGTTACTCGCCCAGTGTTTTCTGGGACACGGTAATTGTACATCTATGGCCAGAAACAGAGACAGTCAAGGACCATTATTCAAGCATCCTCCCTTGCCGCTCAAGAAGCGGCGCCTAGATAGCATCTTAGGTCCAGAATCATTCCAGGCTGCAAGTGGTACCGAAAGTGAATGCGGCATTGAGCGACTTCCTTTGTCTACAAAAACTCTCAAGAACGGAGTCATGGACCAGCTTACGCTGTCTGCCGTGCAGGAATGCCTCATTCGGCTTCAAGCTCAGAACAAGAACATTGTGGGTGATCCCGTCGTATTGTAGGTCCCTGTACGCCTTTCGAAAGTTGCTCAAGTTGTTTTGTTAATTAGTAGTACCGCATAGCGACGACGGTATAACAATACATTGGTAAGTCTGCTATTCTTTCTGTCTGACGGTATCCCATCCCATAATGCTACAGGACCCGGCGACAGCCTTTGGCTACCTCGTCCGGCAAAAACGCTGATATTGTTCAGCGAGACGCGAAGGTAGGTAATAATATACTGAGCAACATACGATTGGCTCAGTTTGGCGACTCAAGGATGCGATACGCCTTCAAGTTGGTAGTACGTCCCAACCCGTCTCTCTCGTAACGGTCAGCTCCGAAACAGCCCCGACCCCTGCCAAACGGGCAAGGAGCGTCCGGGAGCGCTCCCATAATAGCCCAAAATTCCGTTCATTGTCCGGCACGGCTATTGGCAGCTTGAGAACCTCCGGTTATGGGCAATGGGCAGATCAGGCTGAAGTCAACAGTTCGTCAGAAGAGTCGGAGTCTGAGGACAACCAACCCAATATTCCTGGGGCACTGGGCGTGCCGGAAAGGTCTTTTGGCGAGAGTGTGATAGCCCTCGTCAACAGAGACTGGCTCCCGGATCCACCCTCCTTGTTGAAAGAAAGTCCGGTTCCAAGGCGACCTGTTGCGTCACGATCAGCAAGCAATTTCGAGCCCCGTAGGTATGCAAGCATTCGTAGCTCTGGCACTTCCGGTCCATTGTCAACGATCTCGGCCTCCAGCTCTCGATATATTTCAACGTCTCCTCCCGCTGATATATCACCGGGTTCCGTGGAGCGCGGTAGCCATCCCCCCCTCTCCTTTTCAGGCGTGAAGACCCGCATTGCTCTACCCCGCACGCCGCATGCGCGTTCGAGGCGGATTCTGGCACCCAACTCTTCAGATCTTCCTCTCGTGACTGTTACGATGCGCGCCGATATCCAGTTCATTGACCGGAAACATAAGTAAGCTAAGCAGTCATAAGTTGACTTGCTTCAAGCACGACTGATCTATCGAAGGTACCGAATATCTGGGCATTCGCTGCCTAGCCAGTCTGTCGAGTCTAAACGTGTCCAAGACGCATGCATCCTCGGTGACACGGTATTGCTTGGCTACGGTCACGGACCCTGTCAAGTCGGCATCCTAAAAGTGACTGTGAGTTCAATATTAACTCCACCTGACTGAGTTTTGAACGTCTTTTCTAGTCTGATACTCCAAAACTCATTGACATTGATGGGTCATGTCATTCGTCTCCAGAGTCTAGCAAAGGGGCCGGTGTTAGCTGCATCGCTCCACTTTCGAATGGCAGTGATTCACGCCTGAAATTCCTTACAGGTGGATATGATCGTAGTATATACCTATGGTCCTTTAACCATCATGGGGCAACAAGTGGTGCAAAGACTAAAAGGCTTGACGTCTTCCATGAAGCCCCTGTGTCCGCGATGGCATACAAGCAGATATCACAACTCCTCGTGTCTTCTGACTCCCAAAGGCTGTACTTGACGGACCTTGTCAAGGGTCACACCGGCAAGCCAGAGCCTGTATCCAACGCCGTAACACAGATTCATGTCCACCCACAGGATTTAAATATCACCATCCTGGAGGTAAGTCTTCACGGTGTTGGCGCAGTGCTGTCATATTGAGGTTCGGCGGCCGCCACTTTGAAAGGTTAAGCACCTGGATAATCAGATCCTAATGTATGACCACCGTCAGGGAAACTTCGGTAGACCACCTTGCGCGTCCTTTGGTCGTAGGTTGGCAAAATTCGAGCCCAGCCACACCCGTGGTTGCGCCAATTATTCTTTGTTCGCGCGCGGACACAGCGATCGTTCCGTCCTTGTGTGGGATTATCGCAACCCCAAGGTGAGCCAACCATCTTGTTGATTCACATTAATTCCTGAAGCCTACCTTGCAGAAGGTCATAACAAATTGGCAGCATGACCAGGCCGAGTCGGCCGTACACACAATATTTGACGGCTTAAGGGTAGTCACGTTCGGGGGAAACGTCGTGAACATCTATGATTGCCTGCAGGCCTAGTATGTCACTGTATGAATGATTCGGATCTAAGTGTTCTTTACCGGGGGCGAGAGGAGCACCCACATATAGACTCCGTTATTATAGCTCATTTCTATCTAATTTACACGTTGTGATTTACCAAAAATCTAGACCCTAGTTCCTGATAAAGAGACAGCGAGGTATACGGAGTCGTCCACGACTGAAGATACGCCACATCAGAACAGAGCATACCGCGGCTTCTCCCCACGAGCCGGTTTTCCCGAGTCCTCGACATGAGGCGTGTCGACAAGAGCAAGATCAAGATACGAGTGCGGTTAAGAAGCCGCTTCCGCGTCGGCATCTTCTCCGCCCACGGAGGTAGCGCATGGTGTACGTTGGTAGGCTCCATCTGAGCGGGAGATTTGCGCCAGGAAGCGTCTGTGCTGTGCCTGCATAAAGGCAATGACTACTCAATCTTCAGCCGGATTTTCTTGAGAACGTCCTCCCAATTAAGCGATCCGCGCTTACATGCGCACCGTGGATGTCTAGGGAGCCGGCATAGGGTTAATCAGTGATCAGAAGAGCACCCCGCCATGCTTAGAACCGGCTGGTCAATTGGTAAACTGGAGAGTCGGATATGAAATTAACGAGAGCAACGACCAAGCCACGAGTGGAGGGACTTAGTGGCGCGCATACACGAGCGCTTCGAGGGATTAATCAGCCTTCTTTGAAATGGCGACTATCCTCGAGGAAAAGTAGTGATTGTCTCCTTGAGAGGTGAGACGAGAGGCTGTACAAAAAGACATAACACGTCATCAAACCACCAAGAAAATTTGATGGACAATACTGATTCATTAGTTCTCAGAGGCCGGGAAGTAGGGAATTCGAATAGGCTCCTATTAGATGTAACATATGGGGTCGGAGGAGATATGAAAGAAGAACCGTAGAGGCAGTGTAGGTCAGATGTGAGCAAGGTACGGCCGGCATGTGGAGAGGATCGAGGAGATATTATTTGCGTAACGCAGGTTGTGGGTGAATCCCGCACGGGACGTAGGTTTGACGAAACGCTACATGAGGGAGGTTAGACAACCAAAGATGCACCAAAACGAGAGGATGCAAGAATACACGGCGGTGACGTTTATCGGGAGAGATAAGGCCCATTCGGTTGGTTTCCCTGTCGAGTGAACAGGAAACTCAACTTTGACTCCTGATCCCCAAGACCGCGATCTATGCTCAAATTTGGCTCACGATTAGGTGTCATGAAAACATGCAATAAGCTGGGTGTGTCTTGAGCGGCATCGGAGCAATAGCCGTCGTGGCAGGTGAAGTGGTAGGTGAATGAAATCCTCGGCGCCTGGCTGAAATGAACGCAAGACTTGGACTAGTCCAAAACTTGTTTGGGACAAGGTCTTGTTGCAACAAGAAGGAAACGTGACGCTGGCCAATCATAAGCGTCTGCAGACGCGGGCGAGTTGTTTTCCTCTGTTTGCCCACACGCGTCGCCAATTTCCTCAGACTCCTTCCGCGTCCTGCATCCGCGTTTTACCTTCGTGAACATGTCAAAGGCTATCAAGGGTAGGGCTCACCTTGTGGTGCGTAAAACTGTTTGTGCCTTCACAGAAATTGTGCTCATCATACCTAGCGGCTTATAGTACCTGCAGGCAAGGCCACCCCATCACCCCCCGTGGGGCCAGCGCTTGGTGCGCGAGGAATCAAGTCGATGGACTTTTGCAAGGAGTTCAACGCCCGTACGGCCCACATCGAACCAGGTGTACCCGTCCCAGCAAAGATATCCGTGGAGGCCGACCGCACGTTCACCTTCGTCACCAGAACCCCGCCCACCGCGTACTTTCTCAAGAAAACCGCAGGCATAGAGAAAGGGACTGGCCGCGCCGGCCACGAAACGCTTGCGACCATAAGTCTTAAGCACGTATACGAGATAGCGAAAATAAAGGCCACAGATGACCATCTCAAGCATCTCAAGCTCGAGGCTATCGCAAGGACGGTGGTTGGAAGTGCAAGAAGCTTGGGGATTCAAGTTGTGCCGTGACAGGTCATACGTCCTACGAGTAGCCTATGGACAGGTTTTCATTAGAACTGTAGAGGTATGTCGGGTAGCTGATGTGCTATAGTAGTACCCTCATAATAACAATTATTCACTCGGCTTCTTCGCCATTAGCATACGAATATCCGTGTCAAGGGAGACTCTTCAAGGGAACAGCCTGATCGGTGCTTCTCAGTAACACCGTTTACAGAACTTAGTCGGCTCAAAGAACCTTTCTACCTCAAGCTCCATATTGTGCTTCGAATGAATATCAATGTCGGCCATCTTTTGGAGACACCGAGCACGAGGGGGAGGAGGACAAGGTTAGGTTCGTTCATAGCAAATGAACGGTTTGATTTCATCGAAGACGAATGGCGAGTCCGATGCACCGAGATGATCTTCTATAGGCTTGTTTCCGCTATCCAAGACCGCGGTTTCCTATTCAACGTGGGCAGATTTAGGATTTCGTCAGATCAACAACAGCAACTTGCTGATTGAAGCTGAGGATATACACGAAAATTCCTGATTGCCAGCCCCACTGTACAAGTTGGGGTGTCGTTGAACATGCAGCAGACACGCCTTTACCTCTCTTACCGCATCTCTTCCGCTTGCCAGGGGGAACGTCCTCCTTCAGCCGTGTCGCAGATCCATACTTACCATTTTGGTACTACCTCTCGCCGCATGTCCGTAGTCGCAAGATGCAACGTCCTCAGTCTCACTTCTTCTGTCTCCAGCTGATGAGCATGACCCATAATATTCTCGTCCACCCTTCTCATGGCAAAGGCTTGTCTAATTTATCCACCTTCTGTGGGGCATGATCACGCCTCGCTTCAATCTGAGCATGGGGTCCCGTGGCCAACTTGCTTCTTCCCGCTGACAATCTTTACCTGTTGGCTCAGGCATACAGCGACTCTGTTCGCCGGACGCAATGGTTCATTCATGTTGGCCTCGACCGTCAATGCCGCATCGGAGCAATGCTCCACACCAGACGACATGTTAAGCGTTACATCTGGTGTCGGCACGTTTTCTGCCTTCAACGCGTCTTTATCCGTCAAGTACACCACGTTTCCGATCGCGATATTCGTGCATCAATTTGACACCTACGCCGGTTTACTCATGTTATCAAAATCCTCGGTATAAAACATGTCGCTTCCACCCCGTTTCCCCAGACTGCTTGAGATCAGTTCAAATAGGACCCCCTCCCCCACCGAGTCGCCCTACTACTTCCTCCTTCCCCGATTCTTCTCTTCGTCTACACCCCTCCCTAATCTCTATCTTGTGTCATGGCCGACGAAGTTTTGTCTTGGACCAACCAGGATCCTCGTGAAAGCCAGCTCTTCAACTCCTGGGGAGTTCTCTATCGCTTCCAGGTGGGTTCACTACCTGTTCTGCATCCGTTGCACAGCCTAAGCAGAGGGAACAGACTATCGTGGGCCCCAATGGCCAAAGCGTGACGACCCTTTGGAGGACGGTGCGCGCTAACAAAGAGGACCGCGTCGCAAAACTCGAGTGGGCGAATAACGGTGGTCTTGGACGGGCAATAATAGGCAAAGTATGGTTTCCAGCCCTCCAGGACGGTCATAATTCTCATAAGAGTCTCTCAGAACACGGTTCCAATGTCTGACCTTGTCCGCCCTGATGCACGCTACCCGGTAAGCACGCGTCACAGCAACCGCATGGCTGTCGAGATTATCGGGACCTCATCAGTAATTTTTCCTCTCACTCAGGGTTCCCGGATGTTTAACGGACCTGACGGCCTTGTCTACCGATGGAGACCTAGCGGCTCTGGTCCAGACACGCTGGTATGTCTCGGGCCACCTCGTGTTTTGACTCTGCTCCTGGCGGGGTTCCGATCCTTTCCCAGTGTTTCAACTGGCTAACCTTACTGGCGTAATTTCTCTAGCTTGAAGACTCTAATGGCAATGTTGTCGCTTTCTTCCGACCAACGCGGCCAACGCGTTACCAGATCGGTGACGTATACGGCGAGCTTCACTTCGTGCGGAACGCGGGGGCTGCTACTATCGTGCGTGGTTTCGTTCATCCGTATCTTGACGTTGTGTCTCTAATTTACCAAAAACTTCTACGCTCGCCAGATGCATCCCCCGATTATGGACACCGTCACAGTGACGGCCATGCTCTTCCGCTTCTGCGCCGCTTTTGGTCTCTGAGAGATCAAGACAGCTTACTCTTTGTCGCTTTTTATCTGGGCTCGGACGATACATAGCACACGGATACACGCATTGCCATCCAGTAGCCGGACTTATGGCCGGCTGCGCGAGGAGGGTGGCGGTAATCTTGCACCTGTACAAATATTTGACGCACAGCAGCTCGGTTTTCTTCGAGTTCATCTCTGTACATACCAGTTTCTATGCATCATCTTCTTTAATATATCTTATCACTCTTCACATCTCCTCCGTTTGAGGGCGCTTCTGGGCCTGAGGCCTTGATCTGTCTGCGGCAGACAGAACTCTATAATAAACGGATAAACGAGCATATGGCGCACCGAAGGGTGGGGTAACGTAATGGCAAGCGCTGAAAGGGGGAGGTAGACGCACTCACAACTGACTCGGCGATTCAAGAAGTGATCACAGCTATCGCTTAGATTAATGAACGACATCGGTCCCGGCCCGGATCGATAAGCTTGTGTTTGTAGACCTGTCGCAAGTCCTGTCGCCACCTGCAGCCACCCGCCGGCAATTTCCAGAGATTCGGAGAGTAGCAGTAGTGCGATCTCGATTGTAGCTTTCCGAGTGATCACTAGCACTGGCGAAGGTGGAGGTCAACAGCATGGTACCGGCCGCTCGAGTGGACCTTCTGTGGACCACCCTCACGTGTGCCGTGTAAGTTTTGGCATCTGCCTCGAGGCGTCTCGCCCGGTCACGCCGCCAGCTCAACCTGTCTCACCATTGGAAAAAGAGAGAAGGTTTTGCCGACACGGCTGCTCTTGGTTGCCGCACACGTCATGGGGCAGACATACGCGGTTGAAGATGTGCGGTATTTCGGATAGACTCGAGCCTACTCGAGCTATCGTTACGCAAGATCCCGCCACCCGATTCAAGCAAACCCAGGGCCACACGCCCAACTATCCGTACCACCTTGCCCTATTCGTACGAAGATCTGAAATCTGATTCGATCAGGCCTTCATCACACATTCTGTTGGGCAGAAAGATCAGGGCAGGTGAGATGAACAACCAGTTCTACAGTTCTGTCTGCCTCGAGTTACGTACAAACACTTGATCTGCCCCGCCTCATATCGTCCAATAATCCCCTGAGCCCTAGCGAAGCTACATATGCCTACTCGACATGATGGACGGACAGGTGATGTTCATGCAATCTACAATTTTGACTTTTCCTCCTCTACCCCAGCCTGCGTGACCCCATCGACGATCTCGTCGACCGTCCGAATGACCCACTCTGTGCCTTCGTCCGTGGAAAGCCAGGTGTCCTCTTCATTCTTCCCCTCAACATTTCGTGCCTTGAGGAGACCAAACACGTGTGACGTCAACTGCGGTCCAACGCGTCCCTCCGCACGGAGGGTTGCGATCCCCACCACGCTCCCCAGCGCACGAGTAAGGTTCCCCTGTTGCGGTGCGGGTCCTGGGAGGGGCGCAAGGATGGTGCCATAGGCCAGGATGATGAACGCTGTATCGTCCCGCGAAGTCGGGAGCGTGATCGGGAATCAGGGCCGGAGGAGATGCGAGAAGCATGCAGAGAAGGAGGGCAAGAAGGGGCAAGAAGTCAGTGGTTGTTCAGAGAGTCGTTTTCCACATGCGAGCGGACTAAGATCCGGGAGAAAAGAAGGGATTACACCGGCGCGAAAAAAACGAAGAAATGCCAAAACGCCTTAAGGCCTCCAGGCTCAGACCGAGCCTAGCAGCCGGGTGTATTTGGACGGTCAATAGAATTTGGAATTGAGATAAGATGTTGGAGATCGCAAAGATCAAAATGGTCAAACGCAATGATGAAACGGCCCGACAATAAGGTCAAGGACTTTAATCAGGAGCAACGGCCTCAGAAGTTGGAGTCTATATGACAGACGAGGGTGCTCAATCTCTCCAAATCTCCGATCCAGGATTAGGATGGAGAAATAAGGAATTAGAATTTAGGCGCGCCCCGCACTGGAGTCGTGCTCTGCCCCGGGATTCAGTAGACCCTGGACAACCATACCATGGCAGGCCCGGAGCCCTAAGGTAATCCGCAAAGGGCCATATACAATGTACCCATTTGAAATAGGCAACGAAACGTTGACGGGCAGGTTAAAATGTTCATGAGGCCAAGGCCCATGGAATGGAGAAGCAAAGAGACACCGGGACTAAATGTAAGAGAGGGGAAGACTCACTGATGAAATCAGGATGCAGCGCCCCAAGCTTGTTATAAAGCTTCACAGCGTGAGGCTCGTAGATAGAGTTCCAGAGCGCCATTCCACGTTCCTTGGTCGCCTCGACGTTATCGGGCGTTGCAATTCTGGGCAAATCATACGTACATACAGCGAAGTGTGTCCGTTGCTCAAGGAACGTACCGAATGGAATCCTGTCTCAACTCAGAGTAAACTTCTGATTCTAAGGCATCCTTAAGGCCGGTGAGGGAGAGAATAGTCTAAGCGAAGGAGACAACGCCATGCGCATATATGGGTTAATGTTAGTGTTCCATTCTACCATGTGTGAACTAGACATGATGTTACCCTCGGAACGCCGACAAAAATGACGCTCTTGAGGGCCGCCTCGCGCATGAGAGCAGCGAGCCGAATGCGTTCGGCAAGGGAAACGACGTTCCCTGAGTTTCTGTCCCCTTGAGTTTGAGAGCTGGAGTTGGGGAGAGAAGCAAAGCGGTAGAGATGTCCGACGGCCGCCGGGCGGTTGATAGTCATAAGCGCGCAAGTCTGTTCGTGTCCCGTGTCAGCTTGGTGTCAGCCACATAACTACCATATTTCGAAAGAGAAAGGTCGTCGGAAGTAACTCCGATACGAAGTATTATACGCAGCTTTCACGGGATGCTGATCATAGTGCCATTCGGCGCGTAAAGGGGATGGGTGCTCACTGCAAGAACCAGCCAGCCATTGTCTGCACCTCGCTTTTGGGCGTCTGTCCGAGTGCGCTGGAAAACGCGATTGAGGGCCGCCACAGGCGGGCTTGGCCAAGCCTCGGGCGTACGTAGAGTCAGGAGATGCTTGATTGAAGGTGGGAGGTGTGCAACCATAGTAATGACGTCAACAAGCGCTCGTATAAAGCTGTCCTAGCAAACGGAATTGTTCTGGGAATGTTCCAACAGTGAGCGAGCACTGAATGATAACCAACAGGTTGTGAAACGAGCTTACTCGGACGTTCAGCGCTCAACGCTGGATGTGATTGTAGGTGGAAGAGTACCGTGGAATCTAACAGTGACAAAGTCACTGCTGCAGACGGGTAAATGTCGGGCCGCTACTCCGTTCCGCCTGCGCGATTCCGCAAGTCCGTGTCGCGCGTCCCCGTGACCTGTAAATAACAGCCGCGTCCACGACCTGCACGCGTACCATCACAATCGAAAGGTGAGACTCTAAGACAGCCTCGACGCTTATGCGTGTTCTTGAAGGACCGCACTTCTCCAGTGAGTTCAAACTCAAGAAGTCAAATCCGTTGGACCATGCGAACGGTATTAATGAGTTACCTACTAAAAGCGTGATGCGTGCGCGTGGCGTGAACACTGGACTCGTGCCAGTAAGTACTTGTTCGTAAGGTATTATTATCCCACACCCACACCTTTGCAGTAATAATCCGACCCCGGGTGTGGGGGTTGAACTCAATATGCCCCAGCACCCCAAACCCTCTCCGAACACATCGTAACGCGCACGAAGTCGTTCTGATCCGACATGTTTCCTACAGACATCTTATCCTCTTCCAGCACGCCCCTGGGTGGTACATCATGTTTCCGACGACATTCCCACAAACCATTTTACCTCCGGTGGCCCACATCCATGACCATCTATACCGCCGGCCCAAGTCCTCCAGGCTTTCACTATCAGTCGCAAGTAACGCAATAAATTGCAATTCAATTCAAGAGCTCAGCTCCACATCCATCACATGTTTCCGAATACACAAGGCGACGGCAAGCCGTGACCGAGACACCGTTGGTATCATGATCGTGCTCCAAAGAAAGTACCAATGCTAGCAAAAAGGTTGAGTCTAAAAAGTTAGGTCATGATATACTGTCAATACTAGTCCGTATTACCATATACCACTTGTTCCATGAATTAGAAGATGAAAATTGAGGCGAAACTATCACTCCAGTCAATGAAGGGTATAAACGGTTTGTGACTGCATCTGGAGCATATCACACATGGACAGTGCCAAGAGCGCGAGCTCAACCGAAGTAAGAGTAAGCGAGGTCGGTGGGCATGTTGTCAGCCGTGTTGAGGAGAGCGTTCAAGGTGTTGACACCCTGGAGGTCGTTCATGACACCTACACAGAGTTAAATCAGGAAGAGCCGGTGGGATGATAAATCGTAATACTAACCGAAGGGGAAGGCAGCCTCCAGCCAGGGGGTGCCATTGACCCAGTCCTTGAGCTGAGAGGCGAAGCCCCAGATCTCATCCATGGAAGCCTGACCACCGTCGCCGGTGAAGTTCTGATCGGCGAACTCAGTGATCCAGACGGGCTTGCCATAGGTATCGTAGAGCTGCTGAGCGAAATCAATGCAGTTCTGCGCATCGGTGGTGTAGCAGTGGAAGGCAATGGCATGGACGGTGCAGTCGGGGCAGGTCTGGAAGAACTGCTGGTACCAGTCAAGACCAGCCTGGTCGTTGGTGCAAGCAGGGGAGATGAGAGTGTAACCCTGGTTCACGAGAGGCTCGAGGTACTGGCGCCAGAGCTGAGCAGCCGAACCGGGGGACATGTTCGACTGACTAGGTTCATTGGGCCTGAGAAGAATAATATCAGAATTGCATCAATTGAGAAACAAGGCCATGTGCTTACTCGTTGGGACCAAGAGCATACTTGGCGTAACCGGCAACGACGGTCTGCTGGAACTCCGAGACTTGGTTCCAGCCCCAGACCATGGGAATACCCTCAACACCATCGGGGATGTTGGAAGGCAGGGAGGGGGACCAAGTGTAAATACTATATGATGGATGATTAGATTGTTTCCACGTGTGATACTTAGACGGACGTACTATCCAATGTTGCCAAGTTCGGCGAAGTTGTTAAGCCAGCTGGCATCACCGTTGGGCCAACCGAGACCCCACTTCTTGGAGTTGTTGGTAGCAGGGCTCGAAGAAGGGGAGGGCGCAGCAGAGCTGGCTGAGGAAGCAGGGGCCGAGGAGGGAGCAGGGGCCGATGATGTGGGAGCCGGAGCAGACGTAATGGGAGCCGGAGCCGAGGAAGTGGGGGCAGAGCTCAAAGACGAAGAAGGGCGGGGCTTGCAGGAAGAACCGGAAGACTGGCGCTTGCGCTTGGCGACCGCGTCGTGGCCACGAGCATGGTGAGCAGCTGCTGCGTGGCGGGCGACGTGGCCACGGTCGACGGAAGTGGCACCGACAGCCTCGAAGGACGAAAGAGCGAGGACGGCGAGAGAAGTGAGAGAAACGAGGTTAAGGAATTTGGATGCCATTGCGATTTTGCAAAGCAAAGAGCGTGAATTGGAAACGAATGTGTGCTGGAGCGAGACGACCTCTAAGGACAGCAAAGGGCCTGAGCTGGCGTTGTCGAGTGGGAGAAAATAGTGGTGACAACGGTTGACGAGAGACGGTCTTATTTTATTCGGTGGCTTGCTGACTAATCATCGTCGGGCCTTCAAACGCACGGACCACACGACGGGGGCTCGCAACCGCGAATCGCAGTCCAGAATCGGCTGCAGGACAAACTAGAATAGAGTCTGGGCCTGCCATAGCAACCTCTGAATCTCTCCGGCCAGGGCGAGCAGGTGGGCAGGCACAGATAAGCAAGGGTCTTGGCGGGTACTGTTGGCAGGACATTGAGCAGCAGGACAACAAGGCAATGTTTTGAAAAGGAGGCCATCACACACGCACAAGAGCATGCCAATGCCTATAATACGCGTTTGAGAATATCAGAATTATTAGAATTGGAATTCACCTTATGTACTCGTGCCATGAGAAGCGGCCCAATGAGGCAGGACGCTGTGCCAGTATTAGAAGTCGATGTCTGGTCCCGCGTTTTTCCTTTCTTCAACCACCAAGTTCTCTGTTACGAAGACTTTTCTGATCGCAGGTTCATCACACTCCCCCACTCCTCGTTCATCTCTCTCCCCTTTCCTCTACAATGTCTGACGCCCCGGCTCAAGCACCCCAAGACGTGCCCGCCACGGAAAACGCTCCAGCTGCCGTAGTCGAGGACCCCGGCTTCAAGGTACCCACACTCTCCCTTCATTTGATCGCGCTCTGTAGCACCATTGCTCACACGACGACAAGGTCTTTGCAGGCAACCTCGCGTATTCCACCACGGACGATGGGCTCAAGACTTTCTTCGCACCCGTGCAGGACGAGATGTGCGTCAACCCCCGTTACCTCGTCTACACAGCCATAGACTAACCACGCCTCCCGCCCCCCTTGATCACGTAAATGATCGTCACGCACCGATCTCTTCTCTTTACGTCCAAAAAATGCGTCCGAAACGCGTTTCCCCATCAATAGCATCACTGCACAGGTCATCCTCCGCGGCAGACGCTCTGCAGGCTATGGCTTCGTCGCCCTCCGTACTGAGGACGCGGCCAAGAAAGCTGTCGAGCTCCTCGACACTCAGGAGCTCGACGGTCGTAAGGTGATTGTTGAAATCGCCAAGCCTGCCGAACAGAAGGACAAGGAAATGAAGGAGAAAAAAGCCAAGAGGCGCGCGGGTAGGCGTGCCCCTAACAAGGCCGTCCCCGGCGAGGTTACGGACGCTGAGGCCAACGGCGAGGCTAAGGCCGATGGCGTCGCTGATGGTGCTGCCGCTGGTAACGATGCGGACAAGCCCAAGAAGAAGAAGAAGAAGGCCAGCGTAAGCCGACTTGGTCCATATATGCGCATATATCCTAATCATGTTGATAATTATCTAGCGCAAGCCCAAGCGTAAGGCTGCTGAGGGCGCTGAAGGCGAGGCTACCGCTACTGAGGGCGCCACGACCGAGGGCGAGGCTAGGAAGCCTCGTGCTCGTAAGCAGCGCACCCCTCGCACCAAGCGCGAACCTGGCGAAGAGCCTGCCGGCGAACCTTCCAAGACCATGGTTTTCGTCGCCAACCTCGGCTTCAGCATCGAAGACGACGGTCTGTCTGCTCTTTTCACGGAGGCTGGTCTCAATGTTGTGACGGCGCGGATCGTTCGCCGCCGCTGGGGTAAGCCTCGCAAGAGCAAGGGCTACGGCTTTGTCGACGTCGGCTCAGAGGAAGAGCAGCAGAAGGCAATCGAGGTGCTTCAAGGCAAGGAGGTTGGCGGCCGTGCCATCGCCGTCAAGGTTGCTGTGAACACTCCCCAGGAGGAAGAAGAAGAGAGGAATGAAGACGCTGATGTTGATGCTGACGCTGACGCCGATGCTGATGCTGCCGTTGTTGAGGAGAAGCCCGTCGAGGCCGCTCCCGCTACTGCTTAAGCGTTAGAAGACCTTCTTCTTCAACCTCCGCTCGTTTGCTCCTTTCGCTCATTACTATCGCACCTTACGACACGACATGCTCCACCCCACCTCCTTGTGACCCTCGTTCACGCCCTTGTAAACCCGTTCAAGTTCATTCGGACTGTGTTGTGTCACATAGCGACTTTTGTTCATTTTATCGTCAAGCTCTCAAGTTATGCCGTCGCTGTGTCAAGTTTCACGTTCAAGTTCGGCCCCATCTATTCGTCCTCTTCAATTCGATGCTTCAAGAAAACCTTTCCAGCTTCAGCAGTATCCCAACAAACCTCTGTGTATGCTGCTCAGCGGTTGTAGATACCCATGAGCATGCACATTGACGTACTGTTGTCTAGGAAGGATGGGTGGTTCGGTTGCCGTTTAGACTCCATACGTGATTCACGCTGCTCAGAAAAGTTAACGTTACTCTTTTTTTCTACGGTCATATTGCTAGTACTGTGTTCCCTGTAATAGTGATATGACCATTTCATGTTTGTTATGATCCAGGTTTGAAAATTCATTGCACGAACAGATATGGTTACAGTCTCTAGTGTGATACAAGAGTTGCGGGTCCCACAGTCGTGAGACGACTTTTGGATTGTGTGATCGCTCCACAGAGATGTTTTGACGGAGTTGGGCGAGTTGGGCATAAGCTTTGGAATCCAACACGTGCAAATAAAAGCCGGCACGTTCGGCTGTACCAATTCCGTCACCCCCATACGAAGCCCTCCTCCGCTACAAGCAACTTGCAAGTAACATGAACTCGAGCAGACAAATCCTTCGCCTTTCGCGCTGTGCGCCCAAGTCTGGAACCAGTCTCGCACCCGTCTCACAATGCCGCCGTCTCTTTTCGTGGCATGCCTCCCGGTTAGCTGGACACACTCTTGCAGCATCTGTGCCGGCACCAACACGTTCGCGTACTCTTGCCTCCCCGTGGACGAGCTTTTCAGCTCGGGCTGCAACTGTGCTTCCCGACGGAACCCTTCAAGGCTCTCGGGCTTTCAGCTCGTCGCCGGCACGGGGTGCGGAAGAGAGCCCGGATCCGTTCTTCGTTGCGCTTCGGAGGACCAAGCTGCACGACCAGATCGCGAGCAGCCCGGAGGCGATGGCGGCACTCGGCGAGTTCAGGAAGCTGATGCTAGAGAAGGGTGAGCATTCCTTCTGCCCTGGCTCGTCTTCTCTGTTGCTTTGTCTTGGTCGTGATTATATAAGAGAAGTGTGGCTAACTCGGGCGTGTTGTGTAGGCTTTGACGCGACGAAGGGCATGCCTTCGAAGTTCCAGCTATTGCAGCTTGCTGCGAGCGCGGAGTTTAGGACGGCTGCTAAGAAGGTTATGGAAGAACTCAAGAAGGTTGGCATAGACGTCAATTCGCCGGTGCGTTGTCAGGTCCTGCTTGGACGTGTGTTAGCCTCATTGACTAACGCCTTATTAGGAGGCCATGCAGACGTTGTTGCAGGCACAGAATATGGAGCAGGGAGATGGCAGCAAGCCCAAGTAGGGTTATTAATTCCTAGGTAACAGGGCTGAAACCCCATGTAACTGGTCGCCCACTTGAGTTAGAGCTTTCGTCCGGGGATATAGATCCCTTCAGGGCAATGTACACACACTCAGGCTAATTTGAACTTCTCTCAACCACCCGCAGCAAGATCCTGATGAAGCCACAGCTCTGACGCAGCCCGCTACTGACCAATCTCTGGGATCAGACAGGCACGTTCAGTTCCACTCAAGAAGGACCCCATCTTGTGATGTTCTTTCCAGCCATTTCCATGTAAGATCTTCATCAGGAGATACCGCCATTTCGTTGTGTAGCCGCGCTGTTCGCACCACAGCCATCTCCGTGTCGGTGCTCCCTGGGTCAGATTCTGGTTCGAAGGTTACCACCCACTCGAAGTACCGGCGCACGAAGACGAGCACATCCTTGGCTGCGTCGTCTCCCTCGCCTGAGGTGGCAGCTCTCTCAGGTCCGGTGTCCTCGAATGGCCCGGGCGGAGGTACTCGTACGACGGGGAGCTTGAGTGTGTGGAGGCGGGAGTCGAAGAGTGCGAAGCGGATCGGAGGGCAGCTGTCCGGAGGTGCATCATGATGAGGAGGATGAGCACAGCGTGATGCGGGGCGAGATGCTTGCCTTTGTTCTTTGGACGTCAGGAATGCGAGGGTTCCTAGTACGTGGACGACGAGCATCAGGTACGAGGATACGGTCCATCTGATGTACACATGGGCAAGAGGAACGTGTCAGGCTGCTCGCAGAGGCGAGTTTGGGCTGCACGTACTCGCTGTCTCGCCAGCCGTCGAGAAAGTACGAAGAAGGTTCGTGAAGGACGACGAGGGCAGGTGGGCCGGCCAGCGTCATTTTGTTGTCAAGGGCGCCGTGTGCGTCTGTGCGGAGTGACAGAAGGAGCGCGGCAAGCTCGCCTGGTGTTGCAGGGTAGCTGATCGTTTTTCGCCGCGAGGGCAAGTCCAGCAGCGGTGCGAAGCATGGTTGTTTTCAGACGCGTTGATAACCAATTCGTGGTGGGTCACCATGTCGATCCACAAGAATACATGAGAACTGGCCAGCGCAGATGGAGAATTCCGACGCACAAGAGCTGCACGCCACGAGCGAGACCCATGACGCGTCCTGTGCCTGCCTCGTCGCGCACCCATGTCGGAGCGCGCTGGACGTCGCGGAGCCCTGCGAGCAGTTTCGGACGTGAGGGCGAGATGATAAGAGCATGGTGCTGAGCGCTGAGGCTTCTGAGCGACTCTGTGTTCGGGGCGCTAGTACTGGCGAGCTCTGCGAGGACCGAGATACAGAGGTGTATTGGCGAGGCGACAGGATATGAGCCAAGAACAAGGAGTCTCTCAAAAGGAGGTAGACGAGGACTCGATTCTGAGGAAAAGAGACTGGGCATTGCAGATGGTGACTTGTAAAGGGGCTTACACTCTGTTAGGCAGTCAGTTGTTTATTTCTAAAGCTCTTGCCAAACAACCGCTTGCACTTCCCCTCCTGCCCTAGTCTCCTGTTCTCTGCTGCCACCGCGTTCACGCACAGCCCACTACTAGGCACACAGGAGCTCATGTCTCGTGCACAAGGCGGCAACCCGTCCGCGGACTCGCTCCCGCCCTCGGCGCGGGCGATCGCGCTGCTGCTCGCGAGCACGCCGACGGTGCAGGACGCGCAGCCGGGCGTGCTGCACCAGCTGCTCGAGCTCGCGCACCGGTACACGGCGCAGGTGCTCTCGGACGCGCAGGTGTACGCGGAGCACGCGGGGCGCTCGGGCACGGGCCGCGTCGAGATGGACGACGTCGTGCTCGCGATCCAGGCGCGCGTCGGGTGGGAGTTTGGCGGGCGGGTGCCCAAGGAGGTGTGTGTTGCCACCTCTCCGTGCTCGTGTGGTTTTGCTCTGCGTTGTGCGGGCTTTATTTCTGCGCGACTGGGGTGCTTTGAGCACTCTCGTTTGATCATTCTGAATGCTCTTGATTGTACATATGTCACTGACGCCTCCCGTTCGCAGTACATTCTTTCCCTCGCCTCGCAAGTAAACGCCACGCCCCTCCCCGCCGTCCCCGAAATATTCGGCGTGCGCCTCCCGCCCGCCGGCGACACGCTCACGTCCGTCAACTTCGACCTCGTGCCGAACAAGCCCCCGCCCAGCGTACCGCAGTACGACGAAGAGGTCGAAGAGGTCGAGGAGGAGGACGAAGAAGAAGAAGAAGAAGGAGCAGAAGACGGCATACAAGGCGAAGAGGAAGAAGAGGAGGAGGAGGAGGAGGAATACGATCAGAAGCCCATTCCCGCGCCCGGGTTCGGCCCGCCGAGAGCGCAGCAGCGGGAGGAGGAGGAGGAAGAGGAGGACGATGCGGATATGGAGCCGGCGGCGATTCCGATCACGCCATCGGACGTGGAGATGCGCGCGGGGACGGGCACGCCGGGTGTGGGCGCGCCGGTCGTCGCTGGTGGGGACGAGGAGGCGAGCGAGCACGGGGATGGGGACAACGAGGACCTGTTTGGTGAGGAGGACGAGGGTGAGGAAGGGAGCAACGCGGACGAGGCGATGGAGGAGGTGCCGACGCAGGGCAACGGGGTCAAGCGGAAGCTTGTGGAGGACGAGGACTACGACTAGCGCTCCTGCATGATCGTGTGGTTTGCGCTGTTTACTTTCGGATGTTTCAAAATATGTATCATATAGGTCTACGCATAATATACTGACGAGCCGACAAGCCCAAACAAAGGGAGGGTACGCATATAGCATAAATAAGTAAAACCCTAGGTAGGAGGCGAGATTCGAATGTCCTATGGCTTCGCTAGTGCCATAGCGAGTAGTATAATGATGACCGTCAGGATAATGATAATGGTCATTGTCCAGGCTAAGCGGACGTAGGATAAGTCAGCTTCATCAATATAAACACAACTTATTGGCGACGCACTTTGTTGTCCAAGATTCTCAGGTATGCTGATGACGCGCAGGGTGTTGTCTGCACTAGCCGACACAAGGAGCCGCGAAGTTGGGCTAAAGCGTAGAGTTGTGATTGCAAACTCGTGGGCCTTTAGAACAGAGCATAATGGCTGCGAGTAATTGTCCGTCAGTATGACTTGACAACGCTTCAGGCAGATTGAAGACGTACCAGTAAACTCTGCGAGTCGAACACGCCCACCGAATAGTCCTGGAACCCAAGACCAAAGAACTTCCCATCCGCACTAGACGCCCTTAGTCACTATCCTTGAAAGCCATAAACTCTAACATCGCACACTCACCTCACATCAAAACACGTCGCTGCGCCTTCGCCAACCTTTCTGTTCTTCACCATTTCCCAAACCTCCCCGCTATCCTCCTTTTCCCCCTCACCCTTCTTCTTGAGCTTCCACACGCCGACGTACGTCTGCCGCTTCGCGACCTTGGCCCGCGGCGCGCGTGGGAGCGTCACGTTCAGTACAGCGTGCAGCGTGTCTGGGGCGCCGGGACGGAAGCGCGCCGCGCGGAAGATCACGGTGCTGCCCTTGGGCGTCGTGGGCAGGGCGGGGACGCCGAGAGTCTGGAGGAGCTCGAGCTCGGCTGTTGAGGTGCTGCTGGAGGACGAGGCGCCGTTGGGCGAGAGGGAAGAGGAGGAGGATGCGGTAGGCGAGGATTTGTTCTTCTGTTTTCCCTTCTTCTTTGATTTGGAATTGGGGGATGGGGAGGGAGGCGGGGAGGTTGAGGAAACGGGGTCGGGGAGGGCGTAGACGAGGATGTTCTGGGAGGTGACGAGGATGACCTGTGGCAGGAAGGCGAATTAGAAGGAAGGATGAAAGATAGAAAGGATTGGATATACCCTATCATCGGTAAAGGACGAGTCGTAAATTCCGCCGTTGGCGAGGTGGATCGGGCTTGCTACGGGGTTGAGCAAGGGATATGAAAGAAGGGCGAACTAGCAAACAGAAAGTGAGGATGAGGTGGTGGTGAAATTGGAGTCATGTACGCACGTCGCGCTCGCCTGCTACAGCGACGAGAGTTCCATCTGGGGAGAGTACGGCTACTTTCTGCGAGACTTGTTCAGGATTTGCTGGCGCGTGGCTGTGCGCAAGCGCGACATACCTGGTAGTCATCCTCGCTGCTCGAGGTCAGCGTCCCACAAGTCCCTCTCGGCGCTATTCTGCGGGTAATGGCTGAGTATAATGGGTTCTGAGGGTACGTGCCAAGTTGCACGTGAAAAACGGCGAGATAGGACACACGTATGTTCAGCTCCCTCAATGGCAAAGACGCGGCAGTTGTCGTTCTGGCCAGTCGATATCTTCTGTGCAGAGCTGTTGATGCCGCACACGAAGGTCTTGTTCTGAGTTGAATGACGCGTAAAGTTAGTGGAAACAGCCAGACCAGACGTGTTGAGGTGTATATGCGTACCTTCTGAAGTGCAGCCATGCTCATGGGCGCATCCTCATCTTTGTCGAGTTCGCGCTCGCCAAGGAGGTCGAGGTTGCGGTCATCTGAAACGCGGTAGAGTCTCTATACGGGTGGGGGAGATACGTGTTAAGTCGAAAGTTACGACGGAATGTGGATGGAAATGTACGAACGAGTCTGTTCTTGATGCCCGTGCGGGATGCGCCGCCGCCACCGCCGACGACGAGTTCGTTGTCTGCGACGAATGCGGAGGAGAAGACGGGAAAGGCGGGGAAGGAGTGGGAAGTGTGTTGGACGCGCATACGAGTTGCAGTGAGAAATGGGGTGACGGCTATCGAGGTCTGACAAGACAAAATACGGACAACGTGCCTGGCACAGAGCGTGCGGGAATAAATTGCCTGATTAGTCGAGGATGACGCCGTTTATCGAGGACGAGGCGCTGGTGTGTCCTCGGCCCTAACTCGGCCACCCCTCTCCATCGCAGCTCAGCCTGCCTCTGGCCACGAGCAGCTGCACTACCCACTCAGCCCGATACCCACTTGCCATTCCTTGCACGCTCTCTCACACCAACGCTAGCTAGGCCTCCGCAAAATCGCAGTCAAGCTTGCTCTGAAATCCCCGCACATAACCTTTGCTTCCGTTTAATATTCAGAACCCGTCCTCGCATCGCTGTACTCCTCCCTGTGCCTTTTGCTGATCGCAAGCATCGCGGACCTCTGGACAACGTCTCCCTTCGACCAAACGATCAAATCTGCTCACCAAGTAATATATATTATCTATATACTATGGCTCCACCACTTTTCGTGCTCTCCAGCGACCTCCCCAGCCCCCTCGAGGACCCCTCCATCTACCTTCCACACCTCGACATCCGCACCGCAGCCGGCATCACTGTCGCCGTCATCGGAAACATCCTCATCTCCCTCGCCCTCAACCTACAGAAGCTCGCGCACAAGCGCCTCGACCGCAAACGCGCCGCCGCCAATCGACATGCGGCTTCCGCCCTGCAGCGCGCCCGCTCGGGGAGCATCACGCCCACACAAACGCAGCCAGCTGCCAACGGTTGGGCATCGCAGGAAGCCGTTCCCCTCTTGGGCGGCAGCAGTAGAGCGCAACCACAAAGCAGCAGCGAACGATCGCTGCTCTTCTCGAGTTCGGACTCGCATCTTCCTTCCATCACATATGGAAGCGGCGGCGGCATCACGCTTGGGCCCGGGGACGAGCCACGGAGCCGCAAGACAAGCCGCAGCAGCAGCAGCGTGATGGGGCGCGGTCGGCGGCGCTCAGCACTCGCAGCCGCGAAACACGGTCGCAAGACGAGCCTCGCCACGCGTTTTTTGCCCTTCCGTGCCTCGTTTGGCAGCGGCGGCGCAGCGGCGCATGACGGCGAGGAGCCTTGGATCATGCCCGTCGATGTCGTCGAGCGCGGAGAGCGTGGGCCCCTTGTAAGGGAGGGGAACGGCAAAGCTCCCGCATCGATGGAGGACCTCGAGGAGGGTGAGCACGAGTATCTGAAGTCGAAGCTGTGGTGCGTGTTTGAGTTCGCCTGTGTTTCATGTTCATATCGTCCATGTCGTGCTTCATTAATGTGAGCCATGGAATGTGAATGCTGATGTGTATATGAACGGATGTAGGTGGCTAGGGTTTGGGCTGATGAACGTGGGCGAAGCAGGCAACTTCATCTCATATGCATTTGCTCCTGCCTCTCTTGTCGCTCCCCTCGGGACGGTGCGTGGGCGGTGCCTTGAATATGTTTGGAACACCACGTTGACATGAAGTGACTTTGTGATATGCTCTGGCTCCGGATCTATGGTGGCTCCGGACCCACAGTTCGCGTTGATTGCCAACTGCTTCTTTGCTCCACTACTGTTGAGGGAACGCTTCCGCAAGGTACGGTGTGCCGAGACTTCTTACATTCCTTTGACATCTGACCCCTTGATGTTCAGCGCGATCTCTTTGGTATTCTGCTCGCCATCATCGGCGCCGTTACCGTTGTACTTTCATCTCCGTCATCGGATGAGGCACCGGTCCTGACGCCGCCTGCCCTCGTGAAAGCCATATGCGAACGCCGCTTCGTCGTGTTCTCGTTGTGTTACCTGGTGGGGGCCATCGTACTAGGCACACTGAGCCGTGGTATGGCTGGTCGCCGGAATGTGCTAATCGACATCGGCCTCTGTGCTATATTCGGTGAGCCTTTGCGTCATACGTACCTCTGTACCTTGCAAGGAGAACGCGGAGCTGACTGCAATCATTGGGGGGTCGAATGACATCAACTTGCGTACCTGCGTTCCATATTAGGTGGCTTTACGGTCCTGGCAACCAAGGCTATCTCGACGCTGCTGACCAAGGAATGGTTCAACATGTTCAAGGAGTGGATCACCTATCCGCTCTTGCTTGTGAGTATACGTTGTCCATGCGTCTAAACGTGTATGCGCTCGTGCGCCACGCCATTGGTTCGGGTGCAAGGCATGCAATGTATCTGCATCTGTGGTCGAAAACCTATACTTGGATGATGGCATGCTGACACGACCTGACCGGCTTGTTGGTTCTAGGTGCTCGTCGCGACGGGGATATTGCAGATCCGGTATCTCAATCGGGCGCTGCAGCGGTTCGACGCGAAGTTGGTGATCCCGACGCAGTTTGTGCTGTTCACGCTCTCGGCGGTGACGGGCTCCGCGGTGCTGTACGGGGACTTCAACCGGGCGACATTCCACCAGATGGTCACGTTCCTCTACGGGTGCGGGGCGACGTTCGCAGGCGTGTTCGTGATTGCGTGGGCGGCGCCGAACTCAGAGGACGATGAGGACGGGCAGGCTGGTAACGCCTCGGCATTGGCGGACGGTGCTGGGCCTGTCGGGGCGGCGGACATAGGAGCGCTCGGGGGTAGTGCTAGTGCGAGCCGTGTGGGGAGCGTATCGAGAGCGGGAAGCCGGCCGGTGCTGGTGATGCCTCGGGGAGCGCGGGAGACGCCTTTGCTGAGGAACAAGCCGAGCGCGGTGAGCCTGGTCGGGCTGTCGCCGGCGCAGCACCTGCTGCTGGTGCATACGCCACCACGGGATCGGGAGCAGAACTGGGATCAGAGGGAGGATGATCGGGACGGAGAGAGCATCGGGAGCGTGCGGGGAGGGCGGCGGGCATGATGTATGTAGTTGATGGATGACATAGCTAGCTTGTTGTATCCAAGTGGAATACCTTTCATCATAAGGGCCAGGCGTCGGCGAGTGGGCCGAGTGGTAACGCGTTGGGAGTCTGTTTCCTCGGCGCCCTGGAGAGGAGATGGAATGAGCTCAAGCAGGGAGGCATGACGTCAGGAAGCGGAGCTTAGTCAAGACTCATAACCTACATGATAACAAGGTCTTTTCGGACACGGACCCGTTCCTATCTTCCCGTCACGTTCCCTTTCTTCCACTGCAAACCCTCGGATTTCTAAGTCCAACCCTCCAACTAAGACTACTGCCAACATGCCGGCCGTCGTCGACGCATTCAAGAGTGCGTCCCCCCAAAGTTTATCGTCCGCAGCAGCCAGCTCATTTCCTCTCACGGCCTCTTTCCTAGATCTTATCCGCAAACATCAAAACCACAGACAGCCTGACTCCGATCCCCAAGAATACACCCGCTCCAATATCGCTTCTTTGTCTTCTCCTGACCAATCATCGCCACATCAACCCCAGCAACAGCAGCAACAGCAGCAGCCCCCAGCACCTCAGGAGCCCTCGCAAAAGGAGTACCAGATGGCCCCTTCGGAGCATCATCAGCGCGAAAGCACAGACGCCCAGCGGCCCAAGATGCCCACATACAAGGGCCTCGAGAACTTTAAGCTGCTCGAGAAGATGGGAGAGTGAGTCTGCTCGTTGCGTTGTTGCTTATCGCTGGCGCTTGACTCATCGTACTCCACTTTTTTCATCACTCGCACTCAGTGGTGCCTTTTCCAATGTGTACAAGGCAAAGGACCTTACGACTGGCAAGAAAGTCGCAGGTACGTGCTTATGTTGATTCATGCATGGATCATCCATTAATCACAGGATTGCGTCTCGCCTGTGCAGTCAAGGTCGTCCGCAAGTTTGAGCTCAACTCCCAGCAGGTTAGTCATCCTCGTTACTAGGCCATTCTCCACCAGTTCACGTGGCCCTTGAACCCCATTCCTGTTTGTTGTGTTTTCTATGCATATGCTACCCTGTTAGGCCGGCGAGAGACACTTGAATAAAGAGTTCAAGAAGAAGCCGCGCGTAACAGAGGTAAAGCACTTTGCCCGTTTTTTTGTCCCGGTGTTTGGATTTTCGATCTGGTGTCCTGACGCCGTTGTCCATGCCCGCAGCGCGCCAACATCCTCAAAGGTGGGTGATTACTCTTCGCTATCGATGATTCCATATTGACGCCTTATCCTCTTTTCCCTATCAGAGGTCCAGATTATGCGTGGGACGAACCACCCATCCGTCGTCCGCCTGATATCTTTCTCGGAGTCGCCTGAATACTACTTTTTGGTCCTCGAGTGTGAGTACATTTCTACCATTGAGTTAACACCCCCCAGTACGGGCGCTCCACAGGACAACGATGCTTACCATTCGGCCGTTTTAGTGATGGAGGGTGGAGAACTTTTCCACCAGATCGTCAAGTTGACGTACTTTAGTGAGAACCTGTCTCGACACGTCATTCTCCAGGTCGCACAGGGCATCCGGTATTTGCACGAGGAGCGTGGAGTAGTTCACCGGTGCGTGTGCCTGACAGACTCTTCCTGAGACTCGATTTTCTGAGTATTTATTTTCAACTGAAATTTTAGGGATATCAAGCCGGAAAATCTGTTGTTTGAGCGGATACCAATCATTCCGTCTAAGACCCCGGCACAGCGCCCCTATGACGAGGAGAAGGAGGACGAGGGAGAGTTTACGCCTGGCGTTGGCGGAGGAGGCATTGGTCGTGTCAAGATTGCCGATTTTGGTCTGTCGAAAGTTGTCTGGAACGAGGAGACGATGACGCCATGCGGGACAGTCGGATACACCGCCCCCGAGATCGTCAAGGACGAACGCTATTCGAAGAGCGTTGACATGTGGGCCCTCGGCTGCGTCCTCTACACCCTCCTTTGCGGCTTCCCACCGTTCTATGACGAGAGCATCAACGTCCTTACTGAAAAGGTTGCCCGGGGTTACTACACCTTCCTCAGTCCATGGTGGGACGACATCAGCCATTCAGGTGAGGAGCTTCGTTGGTATTGCTGACATCATTGGCGCCTAACGATCAATGTGTCTGTTTCCGCAGCCAAGGACCTGATTCAGCATCTCCTCTGTGTTGATCCTGCCCAGCGCTATACGATTGACGAGTTCCTCGCTCACCCATGGTGTCATGCTGCGCCAGCTCCTCCGCCTCCACCAACACCACTCGCATATAACCGTGCGCCACCCCTCGATTCACCCCTGCTTGCTGCAGCGCGCGGGGGTCTTGTCGAGGGCCGCTCGCCTGGTCTGGCTGTGCTCAAAGAGGCGTTTGACGTCACTTATGCGGTGCACCGCATGGAAGAGGAGGGCGCAAGACGGAGAGCCTACAAGGGCCGAGGAGGTGCCGGCGTTCGCGGGAATCTACAGGGTCTCAATGAGGACGATGAAGACCACGTCGATGATGAAGATGTCATTGAGGATGCCAAGGCACGCCACGGCGAGGTCGACGTCCCACATGCCGCCGGAGCAGGCGCGAAGGCTGTCGCGAAGCGCAATGTTGCGCCCACGAGTCACGTTGAACGGAGTATCTGGGACGGACGCGCAGGCACGCGGGATCGAGGCCGGCGGACGCAGGGCACGAAGGGTTTCGAGCTGGATATCGACAACGCGACGCTGCTTGGTAGGCGGCACAAGCGGGTTGGTGACAGCAACCTCAAGAACTCAAGTCCGCTCGCGCGGAATACGGTCACGCCCTCTCGCCATGAGGACATTCTACCGCCAGGTAGTCCGATGCGTATCGTATGAGCGATCGGTGGTGTCGTGTACGACTGCTGCATCCCTCGACTGTGCCAGTTTTTCGCTGGTGTAGTGTTTACCGGGTCTGTTCGTTGTTTGGGGTCCGGACGGACTATACCCCCTTCTTGTACTATCACTTCTCAACCCTTTCGCCTCCTCGCCTCCCCCTTGTCTGTCGCCAGCTGCGGACATTATCAGCTGTCGCATGACTCTCATATCGCATATATGGCACCCGCACATCGACACTGCTCACATCGCTTCCCGATCTTCTGGCTCATGTTACAGAATGTTACAGAGCACCGCATATAGCCATAACCCACGCATATCGGCGTGATTGAAACGCCTTAAACCATCAACATACGCCCGCCCGCCCGTACGCATGCAGCCCATACGCTCTGTACGCCGCGCGAGATGCAAATGATATACACACTCTGCTCCATATTTGCAGGGAAATAATAGGATAGTAATCGATACACCGACCGATTCGATTCGAGAGCGCGATTCGATCGGCCTCCGCGAGGTTCGTTCGGTGCGCTCTCAAGGCATTGTACATTTTACTTTGTATGATTAATAGCTTGTGTTTTATTTTCTTGCCCGTCTGTTGCAATACATGGTGCTTTCTTGACAACATCATTTCCTATTTTTCTCATGTCTGTTTGAATGCCATTCTACGATCCTGCACGCTTGTCCTGCATTGCTGTAATTATTTGACCGTCTGATTTTAATATTTGGGCTTCTGGTGCCTCTGACTAGCCTAGGGTCGCTAGGATCATCAGTCAACATACAGGATGTTGTACTCTCCTATGCATCTGGTGCTTAGCTATCACAAGCGACTACTTTAAGTCGATACAAGTACTCTTTATTTCATTTCCTCCAGGCAGAGCGCTTCCTCAGAAACACCCGAAAGGTTCAGCACGTACTTTCCGGCGAAAGTCATTAAGTCTTAATATTACTATTGAGAGGTATAATTAGCTGGTACTAAAGTACGACACTTCGAGCCCGATGCCCTTGATGGGCTTAGACCGACTCGAGAGATCTGACACGACACCAAGGCTGACGAGAACCTGTTTCAGGCGGCCCTCCCACATTAACGAGACGTTCTAGATTTAAAAAGAAGAAGAAAATCCATAAGGCGTGAGCTTCTGTGCTGTCGACTGGTTTAGGTAAAGTGATGCAGTGACTCACGTTGCTGGTGGAAATACGGGCCTTGACGACGCCTTGGATGTCGGAATAGGGTTCGTCGGCTTTGACGAGCGGCAGGGGCGGGTGCCCGGCCGCCGGGACGTTCCCGATGAGATTCAGCCTATGTTCGGTGTTCTTGTTATTGTTGCTTTGGATGTCGCCGCCGAGAAGACCTTCGGCTGCTGAATCCCCGCCGTTGCTTTGGCTCTCGCTCTGGCGGGCAGCAGAGGACGAGCGCCGCATCCACCACTCGAGGCCCATCGTCCACTCGCTGTCGTAGCTGTAGACGTTGAAGTCGAAGCGGGAGCAGAGGGCGAGGTCGCGCGATACGCGCGCTGCGTACGCGGCTGAGAGGTGGCCCATCATGGGGTTGAAGAGCGCTGTGATCGTCGTTGGTGGTTGGGCGGGGAATGTGAGTGGGGGTGAGAGCGACTGCGGAGGTGAGGATGAGGAGGGAGATAGTGGTGATGAGCCGGGCGGTGCGAGGGATGAAGAGTCCGTAGATGAAGAGAGTGGAGAGGATGCAGGGGAGGGTAGTTGGAAGGAGGGCGGGGTTGCGTCGGGTAGGGTTGTGAAACGGATGCCGGTGGACACTAGACGTGAATTTTGTTTTAGTAAATAACCTGCGTTTTTCTAAGGGACCAAGGCATACCTCCTGCACTTCGTTCTTTAGCACTGACGTAGAATTCAGCGCCTATGGATACACGGCCTTTCAGCCCGCCTCCCGTTGCATCTTCCTCGTCCACACGTTTCACGCGTGGTTTGGGGCTGGCCGCTGCATCGTCGGTCAGTCCTTCGGCAATTTCGGGCATGACTGCGTGCTCGGTTGCAACATTGCTCGACGGGGAGGACGTTCGTCCAAAGTTGTGCAGGACCCGGGCGCCCCACATACCGTCCTCTGCACTGTACGTCCACTCGGAGCACCACTTGCCGACGTCATGCTGCAGGCTGAACATCAGGTTGCTGCTGCCGCTCTTCTGCGGATTTCGAGGGTCGGATATAGCAGCTATGAGCGCCTGGAGGGTCGGAGTCAGACGAGCAGAGTAAAGGGCATCCAGGCGGCCGGTGGGGAGGTATAATCGTCCATAGAGAAGGTAGTCTAACATATCCTCTTAGTCGATTATAAGGGTCCTTTGTTAATATAATAAACACATACCACGTTTATGTACTTTCTCTCCAGCTTTCCATTCTCCCTCATAGTCGTCTGTTGCTGGTCGTTTCGGTTGATCGTAGACACGAAAACGCTCAATCATGTCCTTGAGGTGGACATCACCCGAGTTCTGGACATTAAGATCGCAGGACGTGAAAACGTAGCCTATCGAGCCATTAAGAGAGGGCATAGCATTCATCGAGTACGATGTGTTGAACAGCGAATTAGGGGACTTGGAGATGGAGAAGTGAAGTCCCCGTGGTATGGTAAAGTCGAGGATGGCTGCAAGGCAACGTGAGTTACAACGAAAGCGTGCTGACCCTCGGGCTACTGACCATTGGACGAGCGGGTAATGTTGGCGTAGAGGTTGTCTTCGTTCCATCCTGTTGCCTTGTAGTAGCACCTAAGGACATAGGACGCGAACGGGTGCATGGCAAGGCTAGGAGCAGCGACGCGCCGTTGCCGAACACACGGCGGACTCGAAATGGAAGGATTGCCATTCCCGGTAAGAAAGAACACAATCTCAGTGTCGCTTCGAACCCCCTCCGTCTTGACCTTTTACGACCAAAGTCTCGTCTTCAGTCCAGACAGTATAAGAAACATAGCCATGATCACACTCTCAACTCAGAAATTTGGTGATCTGCCACCCGTAAGTGTCTTTTCTCGTCTACCTTGTGCACAATTTATTGACAGTGTGTCATAGGAGATCGAGTTTACCTGACGACGAAGTTACGACCCACGACCTCTTACGAATCTCGATGCCTCCTCACATCAAACGGCCTCATAACATCATAGCATTCAGAGTCAAACCTCAGCCTGCTCAGCCGCACCTTCAGCCCCCGATACATCTCACTATCGATTTTACGGGCAAGACGATTGTTGAGTATATCACTGATGTAGTGGGTAGTCTCTCGAAATTCGAAGAATGCTTTGACCTGACAAATCATTTAGTCTCATCTCGAGTGAACTATCCGACCCTCGAGCTACGTATGGAAATCCTCTCGACCGACAAGATCGCACTTCAGGATCTTCTGTGTACATTTGATTCTTTCTCTCTGCTCCTGCGCTGAGGAGCTAAGCAACACGAAATCGCGAAAAATCTTGATCTTGTTTCCTACAAAAGGAACATATACATGAATCTATCTGATTTTACTCGCTGAAGGTCGCTACGTGCCGTGATCTGGCCGTGTCGATCCCTGTCGATCGACCCAGAAGGCGAGCTGCCAGACCCCCTCCTGAGACTACGATCATGCGCTTAGCTGCAATGTTTCATCACATCACGGGAGTGGCTAATTAACGGCACCATGCGGAACTGCTCTATATGCCTGGTTCTAGCCTCCGGTGAACACCGCAGGTTCATGGTCTCCTCGTTCATCCACCGTCGCTTCATTCCGACCGAAAAGCTCTGACGTCTGTGGCTATCCTTGCGAGGGACTGACCGCTCGGGGAGCTTCCAAAGTGAAATAAGGCAAACACAGGGCCGGATCTTCTCCGGTTATCTTCGAGCAGACCCTCTGCTGATGGGCCCTCAGCCTACGTCACTGCCTGTGTGGTCGATTTCTCGAGGTCTCACTTCTTCTGGCTAGAACCTTGACGCTTCGACTAGCGCTTATTCCAGGCTCCTCCGGTCTGCTAATAGCCTTTCGTCATCCTCGAGAAGCTCGAGTTCTTCCTGCTTCCTCGAGGATTCGAAGTTGTTTCACTTTCCGGATCTCTCTATTATTCCATTGTGGACCCCATCGGCGCTTGACATAATAGCATTCTCCAGACTCAAATAGGCGTCCAGCTCGTATCTTTACCCTCCTACTTTGAGCGTTATCTGTGTCACTCACCCACTGTCCATCCTTTCTCCATACCACTCATTTCTGAAAGCGACGTAGACAATGCCCAAAATTGCCTACGATACCGTGCTCTTTCGAGTCAACCCTCAACCTGCTCGCCCGCAGCCTCGCCGTGTTGCACCACGTGCGCCTTCGGTATCCGTTGAATCATTCGCGGAAAAGGTGGATAATGATAGTGTTTATCGCTTGACTTGTACTCACCATAATCCACCCAGGAAACCATACCCGAGCCCGAGCACTTCAACGAGAAGGCTTCGCCCTCAAGCCCTTCGGATCGTCTGCTCGCCGAGACGAAGGAGGCCCTCGAGCTGCGGGAGCTTGAACTTGCAGCCCTCCAACGCAGAGCACTCCAGTTCGAGATGGATGCTGCATTCTACAAACGGGAAGTCCAGAAGGCACGGTTCCACCCGTTCAAGGTCAACATGCAGATGGGCACGCCCGCAGAGGCTATGCTGACGCCCGATGTCGCCATGTCGGTGCACCCCACCAATCTGATATTCCGTCAGCCACAGGCACTAGGCTGGCCGCCGCAGAACTGATCTCCGATGTCGCAGGTTTTCAACACGGACTAGGGACTTTTCGTCGACCGTACATTATTCACTCTCTGTTTTTCTCCTCTTGTTTATTTCACTGGCACAGCTTATTGTTTGACTGGCAGCTCTCAGACCGAACTAGCTTCTCATCGCATCACACAATCATCCATTCCCGATTCCATTCCACTGCTGCTATCTCGTATGATTTTCTTAAATCCCTGCTTTGATCTGCTCTGGCTCTTATTTAGTTACCGAGGAGCTTGACAATTTTTTTCTGGTAGATACTGCGAACCGACATATTCATTCCGTAACTGTATTTTTATACGATGGCCACCTTCGAGCTCTGATGATGATCTATACTCCCCTCGCGCTGCATTATAATATATACACGTTTTCCGATGTCGGGTGTCCGTGTCCATGTACACCACTGCGATGTACTACAACACAGAGCACAAGGAATTGAAACCAGCTAGGGTGTCATAGAAGACATCAAACACGAGATCCCGGCTGGAGGGCACAGAAAAGTCAATCTTGCGCTCCACTTGCACTGCGTGAACTATCGTCGCGTTCTTGGACCATCCATCGAAGAATAGATCGACAAACAAATTGAAATCGTTGATGTTAAGGTGGATATGAACAACAAGGTCATCAAGTATAGCGTAGATTGGGCTCCCTCCCAATGGGCCAATGGGATCGCGAGTCGTTGGACCATATTTGACTACTACTGAAGGGCTAAAGACGGAGAGGGGCCGAAAGTCTACGCATAGTAAGCGGCGTTGAAGCGTTTAGGACTTGGCCAGGACGATTTAGTTTGATTCATCGTTTTAATGTCCAAAAGGGCCAGAGCAGATGGCCAGGACGATGCTCAGGTTGAACCCACAATGGTAGGAAGATTTCAGTCTTTGTTGATCCCCTTCTTGAGGTTATCATGTTAAGCAACGTCATGTAGTATTGAGAAGTGAACGGCAAGTGCAGCACATCCAATACTGGACACAAACTTGACATGTTGAAGACAACAGTTTGTGCTAGTGCTACTAGAGTACTTCGGCTTTTCCACGCGATACAGCAAGTTCTGAGACGCATATGGTTATCGACGCGACCGCGATGCCTTCCTTGTCCTTCCTTGTCAATCCACACACAACACGCGTGCCCTGGGGTAACGGGCATACTTTTACAGCAATACAGCAATGTCCGTTATAGTCGACGATGCTCCATCAGCATGGCACGAGCTTCCAGAAAGCCTCACAGGTTACTTATAAGGCCCTGCCTCGACCTAGTAACAACACAGGACTTGTCCTTTCCTCGTCTGCAGACATCGATTCGGTTCCCTAGTTTTCTGCACACTCCCCACTGCAACCTGTTTCCTTACTTCGTCAGTATTCTGCCGCAATGACACTCACCTCGCTTGGCTTGAGAGCAGTTCGGACGGGGGCCCAAGCCGCCGGTCAATGGGCACCAGTTCCATGGATAGGTCCTGTTGCCGTCTTGTTGGTGACCATTATAGATATCTGTAATCAAGCTGCTTCCAACAAGTAAGCGTCCATTTTCTCCTGTTTCGGTTAAGCTTCGGTCCACTGTTACAATATGGCGTCCGTAGACCCCTTGTGTTGTTTTGTTGGGTCCATTACATGGACTGTTATTGGACACGAGGCGGTTTCTCCTTAGTGCCACAGCATCTGACAGCTTTTTTTGCTCTCCCCAGACATAAACTCGCGCAGCTGCATCTCAGATGCCAGCAACTTGTGATCGTCCTCCACGAGAACGCGGGTGAAGATTCCGAGCAGCGCGACAAGTATATCAGCGAAGTCAAAAGGTATTCAGGGTTTTCGCGAAATGTTGGAGAGAGATCAAGTTAACCTGTTTATAGCACATTAGCAGCAATTAAAGACAAAGTGGAAATGTTTGCATCAAAGTCAAGGGTGTCTGCTATCATAGCCCAAGATGAAATCTCCACTTCGATTCAGGATTGTCATTCAGCGATCACAGATTGTCTCGCTCGTTTTCATGTGAGGCTTAGCCTACCTCTTTCGTTTTCTTCCGTTGCTGATTTACTTTTGAAGCTCGCCGAGGCGATACAGTCATCTCAGTGGAGAGAAGAGTTCGACAAGATGCAGGTGCAAGACCGTGCCGACTTGCACAAATTTCTCTCGAGCTTAGAGAATAGCCAAGAAATTATCCAAGCTACTCAAGGGCAACAGACTGAAATGATACGTGAGATCATGCAAACGATGCAGTCGGTATGTACGTTTCGTCATTTACGCTGATATTATTAGTAATCTCTCTTTTTGACCAGCTCCTTCCTCCTCCTTACAAAGAAGGATCCCATGATCGAATCGAGCGCGAGCCGGCCGACAAGGGTATTGAGCACAATCTGTGGGCACTCCAGAAGTCGAGTGGTCTCCTTCTCGCGAATCCAGAGTTGAGCCATGGCGAGACTCGTCGCACAAGTGACCTCCCAGTTAGCGGCTCCGGGACCATGGACGTTTACGAGGGTCTTTACCTTAACAAAGAGAAAGTCGCCATCAAGGTTTTGCGAGCTCTCCATCGTAGCGAAGACAGCTTACGGGTACGTCCGTCGAATATCAGCTTTAATTGCATCACTCATCCTGTTTCAGCGGCTCAGGCGAGAAGCTGACGTCTGGCGCCAAGTCTGGGAGATAGACCAGGGGAGGCGTATCCTCCCACTCTATGGCTTTGGTCAAAATGAGGGCATCTTCCCCTACTTCGTGAGCCCGTGGCAAGACAACGGTCATATTCAAAGCTTCCTCAAGGCGAATCCTGAGCATGATCATATCAAACTGGTGTGTGCATAAGTTTGATGGCATTCTTTATCTCACCATTAATTATAGGTTCGTCAAGTTTGTGAAGGCATCCGGGTCTTGCATCATATGGATCCCCCGATCGTACATGGCGACCTCAAGGGCAAAAATGTCTTGATAAGCAAAGATACTACACCTTTACTCTCTGACTTTGGTTTTAGCAAGGTATGCTCCATGATTTGATGTGATTGGACTTATAGCTGACCATGTCTAGGTCGTTGAAGACATTAGCGGCGTCATGCTTACCATGTCCACCGGGTATGTATCTACGTATGCGCTTTCATCATGCAAACTCTCATACATGACGTCTTATAGGATATCGAACTCCCACCGCTGGCTAGCTCCCGAGCTGAGCTTCGACAATGGACGGATGACGACTGCTTCAGACATCTATTCACTTGGTATGCTGTTTCTTGAGGTATGTTTTCGGACTTTAAATCAGCCTCAATACAAAACCGACTTTTTATATTAGATCTTGACTCACCACGATCCCTGGATGGAGTACAGGCAGACGACCCATGTCATCGTACAGGTTGCGGACGGAGAAACCCCAGGGCGCCCTCGCGGTCCTGAATATTCGTCGCGAGGCCTCAACAATTATATCTGGAAAATCATGAAACAGTGCTGGAGCCGGGAGATTGTTAAGCGCCCAAGCATTGACCAACTTATTGAACTTCTGAAGGACTGGAAAATTGACGCTGATGAGGATTGATTGCCTGAATCTGAGCAACTTTCTTCAACTCATATCGCTCCTTAAATCTGCACCTTGTTTTCTCATCGTTGATTATGTTACGAGATCTCGCACACATTGTTTAGTATTACCATGATGTAATCGGTCCTAGTTTGAAACCAATATACATTGTATTAGCCTATCAACGAAATGGCAGTTGACTCGACAAGGTCGCGAATCCCCTTTCTTTTGATACAAAACACAAGCATAAATGCAGACAAGCAAAGGTAAAGCAAGAAAGAAATCCAGAATGACAGCAAGGTATGTTTATAACAGGGTATCAAGCAAGGTGAAAACTAGAAAGACATAGAAGGATAAATTCTTGTTTGCAAATATTACTGAAAAAAGTTCGCGGGTAATGTTGATCACGGTCGAAGCAGCTCAACGTTTTTCTGCACTAAAGGCCGTACTGATTCAGTCCGAGGAGTGATTGCGCATTTGAAGGGCGCGGGGTGACTACAAAGCAGAAGAAAACATTTCCGTCACTTAACATTGGAAAGACTAGCTGAATGACAAGACACACGTTATGGACCCACCAACCGTTTCAAACTTAGGTGTGATTTCCAGACCATTCTCGTCAAGGGCTTTGGATATCTTGAGAGCCGCCAGGGAGAGGGCGCATGTAAGCCAGACGGATGCTTCGGCTAGCTGTTGACCAGGACATATTCTGATAGCGAGATAAGTATGACGGACATTAAGACGAAGGCACCAACAAACGTACCTCCTTCCAAAGCCAAAACACGCGTGTCGGGGATCTGTTTCTGGATTAGCGCCAATGAAACGCTCCGGAATGAACTCCATCGGTTTGTGATACACCCGTTCGTCGTGTAGGTAGCTCCTACTCGAGGCTATTAGTGAATGCAAGCAACATCGTGTTTTTCGCAACGTACCAGATATTGAAGATCACATTGGACCCAGCTGGGAAGTGATAGTCGCCGTAGAACTCGTCCTTGTCCACTGTTCGTACAGCTAGTGTATATTAGCTTAAGCATGTTGAGTACCCGTCATAGACATAAGGCGAACGCACTGAGTGGACCGACCACGTTCCATCGGAGCACCTCCGAGACTACTGCCTCGAGATACGGGAGCGAACCCCGATCAGAAAGAGTGGGGAGTCTGTCCGTGCCAACGACTGTATCCAGTTCGGCCTGTGCCTTTTTCTGTACCTCGGGGTAGAGGGTCATGGCAAGGAAGAAGGCATAGTTTGCCGAGACGGTCTGTGTTTGGTCAGGGCGAGCCTAGTGAGTACTAGTGGGGGTGGACACGCACTGTATCAGAGCCACCAAGATAAATTGAGGCCGCTGCCCACTTGACAAGTTCTTCTTCCTCATGCGTCCCGTCGCTGCTCTCGAGTACTCGTTTGGTGAATGACTTTGGAGCACTCTCCGCCGCCTTATCTAGATAAGCACATGCTTTCGGTAGAATATTCCTGGACCACTTCTTACCATCTGCCCCTTGGTAAAATAGTGTGCACGGTCGACGACATTATTAAGAGTCCTGGCGTAAAACTTTGCCGTCTTCTGGAACCCGGCACCGGGAACCCAGGATGGGATGTACCTGACTGTGCCAAAGTGAGCGCAGCTCGGAGCCTGAAGATCATCTCTGGACTGACGGATCGGCATGACGTCAACGAGGTAAGCTCCCGTCGCAGTCGCCTCAGAAAGCTGGCTCAATGCCTTGTCCGCAAGTTCAACGAGTGGGTCGCGTCCTTGCTCTGCGACATCGTATCCATGGGATATACGGAGACTGGTGGCCGCAGCGGCCCTGCAATAACAAGATAAGTATGACATGGTCGCGCACGCGAAGGTCAAGGAGGCAAGGAATCCACTCACCTTCGTACGTGGTACTCTAAATTATCAGGGTTGTCCAAGATGGCATGAACCATTTGCAAGGTCCCGTACGCAACGAAGGGCGTGAACTCGTCAAAGCTCAGTCGAGTGCCTATCTCTTGATGAAAATATTTCCGGTACGTGCGCCAGCGGCCGCCGTAGGGGCTCACGACGAGGGTCTTATCCCATCCACACAGCTCACCGCCCATGATGAAACGCATGCGCGTCGCATATTGGGTGCCGCGCCTCTCGGTGAGATCCTGCGCTACCTCTGCTGAGTTGATGTTGATGAATCGCTGTCCCAGTATTGTAAACGAAGATATGTCGCCTATACTTCCTTGGCGTTGAACAGCTAAACAGTGCGGATAGTACAAGTGGCGACTGACCGTATTTCTTGCCCAAGGCGACGAAGGTGAACCAGACGTTCTTGGATGGTACATCCAGTAAATTGCCAATCAAGGGTAACCCTCTTGGGCCGGGTGGTAGACGGCCACGATTCCGCTTCCTGGTGGCCAATTTGGCGAGGAGGAAGAGGAAAATGGCGCCAAGGGCAGCATCAACTTTTGTGGGGGCAAGCATGGAACATTGACAAGTGATGGGTGTTGCAAACGAGGAAGAAAGTACGCAATAAATGACAGTATGGCACCCCCGTGTTTTTTGTCGGGGTCGATAGTGCTCATGGCAGATAATGGTTATATAATAGGCTGGCTTCGGCTAACCCAAACCACAAGGACCACAAGGAACAGGAACAGGGCCAGCGCCGATCCCACCAAGTTCTATAAATAATTTGTTTCAGGATGCTCATCATTGATCGGCAACTATTTCCTTCGGGCTCACGTTGTCAGAATCTCTGCTAGTTAAAGCCAGCCAGCGCGATAATAGGCACCCATATATTCATCACTGTCTATGGTACAAGTGGTACAAAGATTGTACATCAATAGCCAAGAATATTAGTCACTTACCGATGTTGAAGTCTGAAAATCCGAGCACCGGGGGCGCCCGTAACATGTTCCGACCGGGCAGTGTGGAGCAGTGGACACCATTCGGTAACGCTTGTGTTTCAGAGTCACCCAGAAAAAAAAGCCATGTAGACAGGTTTGACAGCCGAGCCAAAGCTTACTGTGTAGATATGCTTGGGTTCTAGGACTAGGTGAGAAATGAGAGGTAATTGAGATAACCCGGCGAGGCCTCTGGCCAATGGTTTGTTGAACCTACGAATGAGTCCAGCGCTCTTCCACAAGAAAGCAGGGCCCAAGTAGAGACCAAACCGATTGCGGCGTGCGCGCATCTTCGGACACTTGCAACTTGCAACTTGAGACTTGCAGCCCAGGGGGGATACATTATGTCTAGTAGATCGAAACGAAACGACGGCAATGGAACGATTACAAGAAAAGTCGAGAAGAGAAACTTGAAACTTGATTTTTGTGACTATTGGCAACTGAGAACCGAGTGCTTGACTTTCTTCAAAACACCAGCAAGTAACTATTGATAACTTGAGACTTGCGGAAAGGATGACCGCCACATCCACTTCATTCGCATTAAAAATTGATCCTCTTGCCTTCGCCCTTGCCATTGAACTGAACCTTCATTTCGTCGTGCTTGATACATGTAGGCATGGCCAAGACGCCTAGTAGTCACGTCCTGCAGATGGACCATTCGTGGAATCAACCCGCATGGCATCCGGAGCCGAAGGAGCGTTACCGTCATATTCTCTCCGGGGGCTGCTACCCCGTGGAGGGCTGCGTGAGTAGCTCCGACGTCTCCTATAATCAGGTGAGTAGCGTCCGCTCCGAGGCGGAGGGCTGCGACGGTCACGCCAATCACGGCTATCACGACCGTAAGGATCCCTATCTTTGTCACGGTCAGAGCGCCTAAAGTCACGATCACGCTCCCGGTCTCGGTCACGGTGGGAGTCGCGGTCCCGGTACGAGTCCCTGTACGAATCTCTGTGTGAGTCACGGTACGAGTCCCGTCCCTCCCGACCCTCCCGGGCAGGAAAGGTGTCACGGCCTGAGCGACGATGACCCATGTATTCGCCAGGAGTGGGAGCATGAGGCCTATCGGTGACGGAGTAATCAACACGAATGCGACGGCCATTAAGTTCCTACACGACCTTGAGCGCATGCAAATGGCACCATCAGTTGAGTAACTTACCACGCCGTTCAGCTCTTGGATACAGCGAGTAGCCTCCTCGACGGCAGACATCTTGATGAAGCCGAAGCCACGTGACCTGTCAGACTAAGACCGGGTCAATAATTGAAAAAGGGGGATGAGGATGCGAAGACATACACGCTGATCATAGACGATGGTGACCTTCTCAACGCGGCCAAACCGACTAAATTCGTCGTCAAGGTCGCGCTCCTGAGTGCGGATGCTCAAGCCAAAGACACCGAGGACCTGAGTAGGGGTTGGCGCCTATACGTAATGCTGGGTCTCAGTAAAATTTGCACGTTGTGGAAAAGAAACGAACCACAGGAGCATGAGACGGCCGCTTCGGAGGAGGAGACCGACGACGGTACGGGGGAGGGCTCCGGGCAGGGCTCCGGAAACCGTTACTGCGGGCAGGGCTCCGGAAGCCATTGCTACGAGCAGGGGAGCGAGAGCGAGAGCGCCCACGGGGAGCGTCTCTGCCCTCACCGGCTGCGGGAGCAGGGGCATTGTAGGCATCAGAGTAGGGGTCAACGGGGGCTGCACCAGGTTCTCCGTACTGCATGTTAAGAAAATAATTAGCACCGGAAGAGGAAGCAGGGAGGATGGATCGCACCATCGTGGTTGTTGCGGTCTAAGGAACTATTTGCGGTTATTTGCACGCGCCAAATTGAAAGACCGCGGCTTCAAACCTTGTTTGGCCGCGCTGTATAGTTTATACAAGCCTCCGCTGCCGCCTAACAGCGTAGTGCAATAGCAAGTGTCCAGCAAGAACAAGATGGTGAGCTCGACGTCGCTGACGGCCCACAAATTTGCTGACGGTGCTCGGAATGCATAGGGTATCGACATCAAGGATCACCACGTCAAGAAGGCCCAACGCTCGGCTCCCGCTAGTCAGGATCCCTACCTCCTCCTTCTCGTCAAGGCAAGTTCAAGTGATTCCATACCTCGTTATCAGCACCTTGACCTTCCTGCAGCTCTACCGGTTCTTGGCACGTCGTACGGACTCCAAGTTCAACAAGGTTAGAAATCCGGGAATTTGCATCTTATCTCTATTTATTTCGAACGCCAGGCTGTTCTCCACCGTCTTTTCCTTTCAAAAATCAACCGTCCCCCTCTTTCGCTATCAAGAATAGTCAAAGAGACTGCCTCGACCCCTGATCGCGACTCGAAAGTTATCGTCATTATCGGAACTATCACCGATGACGTTCGTCTCGCCACCGTGCCCAAACTCACGATTGCTGCTCTTCGCTTCACCCAGGCCGCCAAGGAGCGCATCCTGAATGCTGGCGGCGAGATCCTGACTCTCGACCAACTTGCCATGCGGGCACCCACCGGCGCCAACACGGTCCTTCTCCGGGGGAAGAGGAACACTCGTGAGGCTGTCAAGCACTTCGGTATGGGCCCTCACAAGCACAAGAAGCCCTTCACCGCCTCCAAGGGCCGCAAAGTGCGTTGCACTTATTCTGTATCTGACATTATGCTAATTCCTTGGGTAGTTCGAGCGTGGTCGTGGTCGCCGAAAGTCTCGTGGCTTCAAGGTCTAAGGGACAGGCCACAAAACGTCGTTACGGCGCATTTGGGAGACATATCGAGAAGACCTTTTGGCTATGCGCATTATGCAATCTGCAATTTCCAATCCTACCACGCTGCTTTAGGGCCTATTGTTATGTATGCCTCCCGCTTATTCATGCCTTCGTGCCTGGGTCTTCGAGCCTTGAGTGTAAAATAGCTGTCGGAGTGAACTTGGGATAGAGGATGACGCTGGCAGTTCATCAATAAGACTGCTATGTCACATTCACTGAGAGTGAGGAATTCAAAGAAGGGAAAGCCAGTAGCCATGGACATCATTCCGTGGCACTGACAACTTGCGAACTTATAGGCCAACACTCCTTGAATTAGCGAAGTTGAGCTCATTCGACGAAACCCTTTGAGAGTCAAACTCAGACATTAAACGTTAAAGACCATCGTTAACTAAGCAACTAAGCATTAAAGTAGTTCTTCGGCTCGTATCGTAAAGAACGACGTAGCAATATATGGAGATCCGTTTATATTGATTCTAGTTTTTTGTAGCTTCTATCTGCTTCTTCATCTCCTCGGCGGCAATCTCTAAAGGAGGCACGACATGAGGACCTGGAGTGCCAGGCATCCCTGGGAGCTTCTCGGGAACAGGAACTTCGGATGGACGCATCGACTTGCACAGCTTCGCGCCTCCTGCATAGAAGAAGACGAGAGTACTGCCAATGATCCAGATACCGTACCATCCAACGCGTGACCACAACTCAAGCGAGTCCTTGACATTCAGGAGCAAGAATGGAGCGGTGATGAAATTAAGGATGATGGCAGTGACAAAGGTCGCGCTGATGTCGTAGATGCGCTTGGTCATTGTCATGGGTGCGCCGGGAGGAGGGAGAACGAGCGGCCGGAAATTGGCACGACACAGACGGGCAGCGGTGGTGACAAAGCCTCCGGAAATGAACGTCATGTAGTAGCCAGCGGCAATGCCATGCTATAAACACCAGTTAGCCAAGGGGAACAAGGTTAGTACTGATGGGATTCCGTACCCAGAAAGCACTCGTGGCGAACGTGAACATGCTGCTTCTGAATCCGGGCTTCTTGCCCTTGGGTGTCACACGCTTGTAGATGCACTCTCTGAGCCAGATGTTGGTATTAGTGTTCCATGAGTCCAAGAGGACCTTGAAGTTGGAAGGGAATTCCACCAGCCAAATGTTGACATTCGATGCGCCTCCCCAGAGTGATTCACCGTTGGGTCCGAAGCCAGTAAAACCGAGACCGGTCAAAATGCTAGCGCCCTGAAGAAATGTAAGTATGCGCCCGCGCAGCCAATAAGCAAGCGATATACCTCGGTCAAAGTCCAAACGGAGTAGTACTTGGTCCTCTCCGAGAAGACACAAAGTTGCCAATACGCAATCCTTTGGAGATCTTAGTTTCTTTCCGAACAACCTGTGAATGGGCTTACCTCCACAGGAGGCTCTTGGAGACAAACCAAGGCTTGAGGGCTTCTGCAGGGTCGAAGTGGCCGCGGAACACGACATATACGGCCAAGAATAACAAACCAACGGCCATCTTGCGGTAAGCAACACGCTTACGACCTTTGGGAATAGCACGTTTCGCGTTTTCAGCCTTCGCTCCAGCAGTTTTATACAGTGTCTCATCGACCAAGGCCATATACGAGGCAAAGTCAAGGTAAGGTCCGACCAGAAGACCGGGGAAATAGAAACTATAGGGACAGATGTATCAGTACTATTGTTAGGGCAGAAATACGGTGGGACGTACACGTATCCCAGGAATTCGAGCAAACTAGGGAACTTTGAAACTCGTTTGGCGAGCTGCCATTTGTCCAAGTCCTGAGTTTGTCAAAAAGTCAGTTTTTTACTCCGTGTGCGTGTATCCATGCACACCTCTGCCGGCCTGCGTCCATCCACAACGTTCCATGCAAATGTTGTGAGCTTCATGGTCAACACCATCTGAGGACCAGTGATGTCCATAGTCTCGTAACCCCAGCTGAAGAAGGACCGAATGACATGACTATAACGCGTGTAAGTAACCATATTCTACAGAGATACTTCGGACAAGTCTTACTTCACAGTGAGATGCCCCATTGCAACACTAAAGGCAACGCAATATGTTAGTGAGCTATGAACACGTAATATATAGCAGTGTTTTACATACGCGAAGACAATCCATGGCATTTTAGCTGACGTGTTGGTCTTCGCAATGAAATATGTCGCGAGGCTGCTCCCGAGCAGCTGCAGGAATCCGCCTGAAAGATTCAGGACTGGAATCAGGAAGAACAGAGCGGCGGAGAGGTTGAAGATATGCTTGAAGCTTGATGATGCGGGTATCCGAATGAAGACGCTGCCCAGAGGGTATGAGACCAGCAAACATGCTATGAGCTGCAAGAGCACAACGTCATAAAAGTGAGCTCGGTCACTTCTCTTTCCATTCTAACGGTGTGTGCACGACGGAATTACCTTGATCTGGTCAACGGATGCGCCGGAAGCGTCGCCGACTGCGTTGAAGAGAGCATCCATCCCTGCTGCTCAGGTGTGCAGACGACTCCTGGAAGAAGAACGAAGGAGAAGAGCGCAAAACCAACGCGAGCGCGGAGGAGCGCGTTTTGAGAAAAACCCCGCCCCAAGGATTCAGGGTATGATTGCCATACCGGGACTACCAGGCTCGGCATGTCAGGGTACATGACAAACGTGCGAACTTTCAAGCACGTTCAGACCGAAATAACGACAAGTTGAGGAGAAATCATAGTGCACACGCAGAAAAGCAAACATGTCCAGCTAAATTCGCATAGTCCAACAACATGCAAAGTGTTCGGAGTAATAGGGAGACCAATCCTCATCATGTACAAACGGTCCTTATTAGTAAGAAACGAACGAATAAACTACAACAACAGTTTCAAACTTTTAGTTCCCCCTGACTTCGTCTAAGAGCCGGCGCAGCCGTGCTTGTGTAACGGGAATGAATGACGATTTCAAGTCTCGCTCTTGGTCAGTCGACGGCTCAGGCCCGCTGCTCGATCGCGGGTTGTACCGTGAGGACATAGTGGACGAACGACTGGCCAACTCAGCAAAGCGGAGGGACTCGCTCACTGAGTCGGTGCTTGTGAAGCCACCGCTACCAGCGGAGTAGGCGCTGTTGCGATTCGAGCCCGCCACGGACTGGGCGGCTTCAGAGCTGAAGTGTATGCGCGTCGAAACGGTGTCGGACGAGTGCTCGCTCGGTGCGCTCGTCTTGGACGATGCGACCGAGTTGGCATCCGAGAATGGGTCGGTCAGCTGCTCGTCGCTGAACTCGGTCGAGTCTGCAAAGGGCGACATCGTTGACGTCGACGCGCGGTAGATGTTGTTCGCCGCAGACGCGTGCGAAGAAACTGGCGGCAGGCTGAAGCGGACGCTCGACCGTCGGACGGAAATCGACCTGGCGGTGGTCGTTTCAGACATTTCGGTTATAGGGCTCAGTGTCGTGTTCCGTCCAGTATGACCATCTTGGTGGTGAGGTTCGTCAGGCGGGAAGCACTCCTCATAGTCTTGAAGCATCTGGCCATAGCGTTGTCGGCGTCGCCGAGCGCGACACCGGAGGATTGCCACTGCGATGACGATCAAAGCAAGTGCACCAAAGGTCGATCCAAGGATAACGCCCAATCGTTTGCTAATAGTCTCTATTAGAATAACCATGGATTGTCGGATGGCAGCAGGACGAACCTCGATGACGACTTGGAATTGTCAGGTTCCCAGCTTCCGGGAATGATGCCCGAAGGTGATATAGTCACAACGGTAGATATCGTCACACTCCCGCTGACCACACCACTGGTGACAACTTCTGGTGTCGGGGAGCCCGTGATGAACTGATGGGGCGTAACCGATCTGGTTGTTGGTAGCGTTGTGCTCGATGCATCTGACAGTGATACATCGGAGCTCGAAGTAGGGTTTGAGAGTGATGCAGATGCAAGGGTATCAGAAGATGATGGGGGACTCAGTGTGCTTGTAGGGGGTAAAGGCGCTTGAGTCAATGGCACCGGTGTAGTGGCTGAGAGAGACGTCGACGCAGGCGGACCTACGACCGGGGAAGAGAGCGTAACCTGGGTGCTGACGCTCGTTGGACCTCCGCCCCCTCCGGCGCTGGAAGTGACGCCATCTTGCGGGCTAGGAATAGATGTTGGTGAAGTCCCTTGGGTTGAAGTGAACGACACAGGCGAGGTAACCCCGACTTCTTCTCCTGTTAGTGATCCCGTTGGCGGGGCGTCCGTCGTCGGCGGGGCGGTAGGACTAGGCGGTTGTGATGTCGGTGGGACACTGGTGGACGCCGGATTACCGGGGGTTGGTCCGACATTGGACTCACTAGGCGGGGCGTTACTCAAGCTACTAGCAGGCGAACTATCTGGGGGCAAAGTGACAGTGGGTGAGCTGGCACTTGTTGAAGAGGTTCCGGTCGGCGAGCTCCCATCGGGCGCGTCACCTGTAGGTGAGCTGATAGGAGGTGTGCTAGCAGATACTGAAGTTTCAGTTGAGCTGATAGTAGCAGTCAAGGAACTGTCGCTCGTTGATGGGCTTCCGGTCGGTGTGCTTCCAATAGGTTCATCCCCTGCAGAGAAGTTAGTAGCCGATGGGCTGGCGGATGCTGAAGCTCCAGTCGAGCTGAAAGCACCAGCCGGGGAACTGCTGCTCGTTGATGGACTTCCAGTCGGCGAGCTTCCATTAGGCGCATCCCCTGTAGGGAAGCTAGCAGCCGATGAGCTGGCGGATGCTGAAGTTTCAGTGGAGCTGACAGTAACGGTCGAAGAACTGTCACTTGTTGAGGTCCCCGCCGAGTAGCTGGTGGATGTCGGCGCCGCCGAGGAGGATGTGAGAGAGCTGCCTACACCCTGATCTAGAGCAGAAGACGGCGTAGGTCCACTCGCGGTCGACGGCGATAAAGAGACCGAAGTAACACCGGTGCCTGAAGGTTGAGAGAGAGTGCTGGTGGCGGAAGGAGCAGCAGTGGTGGAGAGTGGTGTTGCTGAGGGCGATAACGAAAGTGAGGAGGTAGGCCCAGGTGTAGAGGTTGATGGTCCAGGACCTTCGTCAGTTCCTGAAATAGAGGAAGAGAGCGACTGAACTGTTGATGAGGCAGGACTAGATAAGGGTGTCGATAGTGACGAGATACTCGAAGAAGCGCTTGGTGTCGCGCTAGATGTGCTGAGGGACGAAGAGGAATCTACCGACGAAAGCGTGCTCGATTCATAAGTTGTCGAGGTAGAGGGAACCAGGGACGTTGGTGCTGATGTCAAGGTTGGATCTCCAGGAGAACTTGACGATGGCGCAGGAGTGGTCAAAAATGTACTCGTACTACCACTGTTGCCATCGGGCGGAATGGAGGATGATTGGCTTGGTGCAGAGGAACTAGTGGAACTGAATGAAGGAGTTGGAAAAGTGGTTCCTGAGCTGGGTATGAACGTGGATTGCGGTGTTGCGGTCGCCGGGTTTGTTGAATCCATTGCCCTTTGCAAGGCTTGATGAATAGAAACCTATAGACCTGCAACGGCCTCCAGAGGCGCTAAGGCACGTCTGGCCTCTTGAGAGGAAAAAATGGGACTTGCGGCGGAGTTGGACGGCACGCACAGGACGGCGCCGGGGGACTAAAGGAGGGATATAAAGCCTGGGTGGATCGGCAGTTTTCCCGGGGATGATGATGCATGATGCTATAAGGTATCTGTTGTATCGAGGGAACGGCAGATGCGGACCACATGCAACAGCGGGGCGCGTGAAAATCCTTTCGTATTCTCTCAGCCACGATGCAGCCTTACCTACCTCTGCTGACCCACCAAGAATGGCTACTACCTCCCGCAAACGGAGCAAGCATACGCTTTCCGCCATCCTGTTTCCTCGAAGTAAGCACCTCCGTCGGAACCTTGGTCGGAAACTCGAAAAATCACCGCAGTTCTGAGAATCGTAAACTCTGTCCAGCATGACAGACTGCTTCCGTCTGAACAATGTGTCAGTGGCCATGTCAGAGGACCCGCATGAAAAATCTTAATTCAGGCCGGATAATAAGCTGGACTACTGCGATCCGTTGTCACGAGATAGTTGTGATGTCCACTTCGAAACTGTAGGCAGAGGTGATGAGCGTGTTGAAGAAAGCCATTCTCACCCTTCCACTACCCTTCCTAAGGTAGTCAACTTCTTCTTTTCGTCGTATTCGGTGCATCCATCATACCGATGGCGACCACTCCACCTCCTCACCTTCGCATCCTTATCTCTTGCCAACCAGTGGCTTGTTAGCGCCCGGCGATATGTGAAACGAAAATGCTGTGTAATCGGCATCGATAAACCCACAAACGTTCAGCTATAGCTATAAGTTCTATGTTCCCAAAGTAAACAAAGGCAATAAATAGAGTCAACTGTCACCAAGCAGGATTTGCACTGGCCGAGGAGAGAAAAATAAGTACAGGAAGCGGAGCCGAGAGCAAACAAGATTCAGGCATGCATATGCTTTATCGGCTTGGCATGCAACAAAAACTCCAGCGAAGACAAACCTAGGGAACACATCCTACGTTACACTTTCTCCATGCACCGCACCGGAACCGCCAGGTACTTCCCACAGGTTTTTCAAACCCGAAAAATCCCAGACCGGCGCCTGCGAAGCGGCATGGGCACCCTCGATGGTGATCTCCGAGGCGTATAGGTTGAGGTGTGGTCGGTGAACGGCAAGCGCGAGGTGCGAAAGGAAATGGAGAGCAAGAACGAGAAGAACGATGCAGACGAGGAAAGCGATGCGTGCCTTGAACGACAGCTGAGATGGTGAGAGGTATGGAGAGATACGCTCCCGGAACGTAGCTTTCGGCGGCGGACTGAGGAATGCGATGTAGTAATTCGATTCAGCCGATGGCGATGAGGGTGTAACAATGATGGCTGGCAGCGACGACTTTTCCGTAGCCTGCGGAAGTGAGAGGTCTATAGAAAGTTTGGGTTCGGCATTGGTAAGGTTCGAAGGGAAAGCGGTAATCGGAAGTACGGACCCAGAGGGGCTGGGACTAACGTGTAATCGAGTCTTTGAGGCAGACGGTGAAGACGAGGAGCTGGCCGCAGAATTAATGGAATGAGAGACACGAAAGCGGTTGTTCACGTACCACGGCGAGACATGGATGATGAAATGATTGCAATCAAAGCTTAGAAAACAAGACCGAAAGCTTGGGTGTACCAGACGTCGACGGCTGGAGGCAAGGATACGATAGCGAGGTGCTGCAGACAAAAAAGAGCGATATTAAACGAATGTGGGGTTGTTGAAGACAAGGAGCAACGACCGCCGCAGACAGCGAAGTTCGGGCGGGCCTGAGTGGTGGATGAAGGTGAGAGGTGGAAGAGAAAGATGTTGTCCGTAACGACTACACCTGCGTGTGTAATAGCCCCGAGATGGGCGCCTTCTAGGCACACAGACGCGACCGTCCCTGATTGTGCCTCCTCTGACTTTTGACCATCTTCTCAAAATTATCAGAGAATATGTCTTTGACAGAGTCGCCATCATTCAAAACATTCAACAAACCACTCAAGGCCGCTTCGCTTCCCGACGACGAAGCATATGTTCTAGGTCTCACGTCACTCGATAACGTGTATGCTGCGTCGGCGTCATCGCCCTCGAACGAAATCTTTCTCTTCGATAAGTTGTCCCTGCAGACCATTCAAAAGCTCAGGGGACACAACACCGCGACGACCTCGATAAGAACTGTACACGGGCTCGCTGCTGCAGATCGGCAGCTGCTTCTTTCATCCGGGAAGGATGGGTGCGTCAAAGCATGGGATCCACGCTCAAACTCAGTCGCGGTTGACAGTGAGTCTGCTTCGCGGTAATTCATGGCTCTGAGTGACCTTAGTTATTTCAAGTGAGAACATCCGGAGCTCTGCGTCCTCTTCTGTGTTGTGACGCGTCCAGTGACGGATTGACCGTCGCGGCAGGGACCGTTCTCGAGAGGGAAGACGCGCTCATCCTGTACTGGTAAGGGTCACAGCTACTGGGAAAGCAATCATAAGTGCCAACGTTCATAGAAAGGGACCCCCGCTTTCCTGCTGCACCCCTCCGGACCCATGGGTCTACACATTCGGATGATGTCACCGTCGTTTCCTTCCTCAAGCAATCCCAATCCACCCAAAAAATCTTGCTCTCGGCCTCGTCCGACGGCCTGATCAGCACTTCCAACGCCGAGGAGCATGATGAAGACGAAGCAGTGCTGCATGTTGGGAATTGGAGCCGCAGCGTCTCACAAGCAGGATGGATCTGCGGTCCAGCGGGCGCTGACGTCTGGGCTGCAAGTGACATGGAGACCTTCAGTACCTGGTCGAAAGAGGTAAGCACCCATCAGCCAACAGCTTTCATAGCTAACTTTTGCCACGACACAGCTTGATCCTCGCACAGATCTTGACATCCGCAACCCATCGGTCCACACGCAGTCGCGCACATGGGTCACGGACTATCTTATCTCCTGTCAAAACAATACACGATCCTCGGGTGACCTTCGGGTCTTTGTAGGATCAAACGAGTGAGTAGCCTCGCTACTGCGTTACAACCGTTCTCATTGTCGCGCCCACTGTTTTTCAACATCACAGAGGAGACTTCGCTCTGATCTCCAGCAGTGACGTCTATGATGCTAGTGCACCATGGTCCTTGCATCGCGTGTGGTCGGAAGGCCACACTGACATCGTGCGCTCGGTGTTATGGGATGAAGAGGTAAGCCTTCCCTCTCCCTGCGAGAGCGCCCCGGTTGAGTTTAAACGCAAATCTCTTCAAGAATGGTGTGATCCTCTCGGGTGGTGAAGATGGTGGTATCAAGTTATGGAGTGCGCCTCCTCTAGAAGACGCGTACCGGGGGCCGATGGAGGTTGACGATGTTGCCAGTCCTGCACGCAAGAGAGAATGGGATGGTTCTTTGACGTCTGATGCAGATATGGAGGTGGTACGTTATATTAATGTTAAAACGGTCCGGTTGATCTTGATTGCTCTGAAACAGGATACCAAAAGAAAACGAAGGTAAAGGCTCGGTGCATTGGCGGCGAAGTATGCGCTCGCGTTTGCTGTCGTATCTCCATCCCGAGTGAATGCGGCGACCACACGCTCCAGTAATCGTGTGGTATCGTCATTAGTCGCCTTCGGCCAACAACTTGAGCATTCTTAAACTGGAAAACCTGTCAAACTGGTGGCAGATATCCGACATACCGAGTTCATAGCATAAAGGTGCAACACTTTGCCTTAAAGCAGTCACAATGTGCTTATGGAGACCGCCTTCAAGTCTTGAGCGTTTCCATTTTTATTTTCCAATGCAGAAGTCTCGAAACAAGACATCAAGCATGTCCTCTACATCTATGAGCCCAGATACCTTCCCGATAGCGGCCGCAGCATAGCGGAGCTCCTCTGCTGCTATATCGATCTGTTCGATAGCTGTCGTACAAAACATTGAGCTATATTATTCGCAGACAGTACCTCTGGCGTGACTCACGGTACCGTAAGAAATCCTGTAGGTGTTCGACAGCCTTCTCGAGGTGGTGACGGTGACGAGCGTGTGTGATCAGAGGAGCAGAGCTTGTAATCTCGTCTTGACCGACATATCTGATGATAAATCAGTGCGCCGCTCTGAGAACCAACACATACACATACACGTTATGCAAGCTACGTGTAAGCCCGTCTAGAAAGGCTTTCGTCCCCGTGTTGGTCATCAGACTGCACGTCCATGCACGGTCTTGGAAACCAGAGGAAGTCAATGCTTCCTTCACTTGGTTTTGGTCTAGAGGACCAATCAAGTCACTCTTATTCAGTAGGAAGAATGTAGTGGGTGTCACAAGCTGCTGGATATTTGGTGGTATCTTAAGCTCGAGTTTGCCACCTTGACGGACGAGCAAATCCTCAAGGGAAAGTAAGCAGATGGACACATCGGATCCTTTCACGCTAGGAAAAAGTCAGAAAATATTCATCACGTAGGAGCTTCACGAGCTGACAAGTTTTGTGCACGCTCGATGCCAACGCTCTCCACGAGGTCGCTCGTCTTCCGAATGCCGGCCGTGTCAGCAACGATGACAGGCAGCCCGCCGAGGTCAAGCGTGAGCTCTAATACGTCTCGTGTGGTGCCTGGTATAGGCGTCACAATCGCCGCTTCTCGTTGCGCTGATGTTGATCACAAGTTACGTGAGGGCTCGAAAAGTCAAACTAAGTGAAGCGGGAGAAGCACACTCACCGAGAAAGTTGAGAAGGCTGCTCTTCCCAGCGTTTGGCGGTCCGAAGATGGCAAGGCGGATGCCGGAGCGGAGGATCTCGCCACGGCGGTTGTCATTCAAGTGGTTTTGAATCTCGTGACATATGTCTTGGGCGCGCTTCTTGGCTGAACACGCGTTTAGAACGTTAGAGATACCAGGTGGGTGGATGGCAGACCTTCGGATAACATGTGCTCTTGACCAAGCTCGTCGACGTCTTCGCCAAAGTCTATGAAACCCTCGACGAACACTTGGCATTTGATGATTTTGGTTCGTAAACTCTCAAACTGGGATCTGGCTACACCCTATGGTATGAGTTATGAAGTTGTCGGGGTTATCATCGTGCTAGATTTTAACACTCACTCCTGCAGCTTCAAGAGCCATACGCCGTTGGGCCTCTGTTTCGGCATTGATCAAGTCTTTGAGACCTTCCACTTGTGTAAGGTCAAGACGACCACCTTCGAACGCTCGGCGAGTAAATTCGCCGGCTTCAGCAGGACGGCAGCAAGGCAATGCAGATAGAGCATTTAGGACTCCTGAGATGATAGCACGACCAGAGTGAAGATGGAGCTCAAGCACGTCCTCAGTCGTGAACGACTTTGGTCCTATAGATTGGTCAGGACAACGTTGAACTTAGTGACGGGTGAGGGACGTGCCTTTAAAATAGACGGCAAGCCCATCATCGAGCACGCGTCCATCAACTGGATGAACAATCTGACACCGTTCCATGACCCATGGACGCGGTGGTTCGGCACCCTTTGCTTTCTTCACAGGTCTACAGATGGCGCCCCTGACTTTGAGCGCGTCCGGTCCCGAGACGCGAATGACCGCGACGCCCCCCTTGCCGAAAGGCGTGGACAGCGCGTATATTGTCTGCCGCTGTGACTCGGACAGCGGTGGACTCCCTTGTGCGGTGAAGTGAGATAGTACTTGAATATGCTGTGACCTGGCACGCGCATATGAGGCTAGGCACCGCCTCGGCGAGCCTGAACCCAAGAGTAGATCACCGAGAGGAATTCTGCGTAGAACAAGAGGTAGGGCGCGTGGCCGAGCGCCCAGTTTTAGTGCCGGAGTGCGAGCGAGCTGCCGTGCGCATGTCTGCCACATATACCTCCGCACGCTTCGTCGTCGTCGTCGGCAGTGAGCGTTTTGTCGGACCCTTCGGCACTTGTCCGAACGAGGAGACGAAGAGATCAGGCCTCGGGCCGGTGTTCCCACGAGCTGCCGACAGTGTATGGTGATCAGGCGCCGAGGGTTGTTGTCCTGTATCCCTCCTCCACAGCACGCCCAGAGGTTATAAAGTCCCCGCTTGAAACGCGTTCACCACCACCACAAAACCAGAAAGCTACAGTTCAACTTCATAGGAAGAGACATTCACAATGGGTCAAACACGTATGTTCTGCTATTGTCTTTTGAACTCCATCGAAGCAACACGCCGACACTAAGCTATAATCGCACAGCGTCGCAGTTCATGGAAGACATGCAGAAGCGGTCAAACTGTACGCTCAACGTCGCCGCACGAGTGCTTGAAAACCGATTGCTCATTTGTTTGCAGTCACCGCCAGCGAGCTGGAGCGGCTCAAAAAGCGATTCATGAAGTTGGACAGGTGCGAGGCCATCGTAGTACCGCACCGTGACTTTCTAGAACTCACCTCATGCATTTCATCTGGCAGTGATGGATCTGGCTCGATAGATCGCGAAGAGTTCCTTCAGATCCCCCAAATAGCAACGAATCCTCTGGCGTCACGGATGATTGCAATCTTTGACGAAGAGTGCGTGCTATCTGCAGTCGTATTTATCATCCTCCTGACAATTTGATATCCGAAAGTGGTGGAGGAACAGTGGATTTCCAGGAGTTTGTCGGCGGCCTGAGCGCGTTCAGTAGCAGAGGAGGACGGGAAGAAAAGTTGAGGTGTAAGTGGGCTGTCGCCTTTCGTATCCGTCAAGTGCTCATGCCACAGTGGCGGTATAGTTGCATTCAAGGTGTACGACGTTGACCGGGACGGCTATATCTCAAACGGAGAGCTATTCCTCGTGCTCAAGATGATGGTGGGTAGCAATTTGAAGGTGCGTTCTGGAAACCCTTGATTTCCCGAGTGGGGGCTGGTGTTCACGCGACCTGCATGAAAAAGGACCAACAATTGCAGCAGATCGTCGATAAGACAATCATGGAAGGAGACCACGACGGCGATGGCAAACTGAGTTTCGAGGAGTTTGCTCAGATGGTGTCCAACACGGTAAATACTCTTCTCGTTGTCCCTTAATGTTCTTATCCATCCCATCTAATCTCCTTCCAGGATATCGTCAAGCAAATGACGCTCGAGGACTTGTTCTGACAGGACGCGCTCGAGGCAACTCATCTCCTCGGACATGCCCTGGACCAGATATGCCCCCTATATGCTTCTCTATACCCTACCGCACGCTTTTCAGCTCGACATTCACCTGTGTATCATCTCCTTCTCCGGTAAAGAGTTCGCCCAGCCTCTCTGACATTATTTAGATCCGCGTATAATACAACGCATTCACCACGCATCCTTTCAGCGGCCCCATTTCACTTGGTGTCAAGCAGTCGTCAGACTTCTATCAGCTGACATGCTTACCCTTTGACATATCCGTGTTGCAATTAGGACTCCATGATAACGCAATTATTTCGGTGATGGGTGCGCTCATGCAGTTGCAAGATTTGGAAGTCAATACAAAAATACATTGTATCATAGACAACGTACAAGGAGTGAATGCAAAGCGGGAAAGGGTGGTCCATACGGTACATCAGAACTGAGATATCTAAAAGCCACAAATATCTATGTAACAAAGACCGAAGGAAAGAAAATCCCTAGCAGGGATGTCGCTGCTGTTCTGGGTAAGGTAGGACCAGTTGACCGGGTGGAACAAAACCATGCTTGTGATCTGCTAAACCGAGGAAACCTGAGACAGATTACCGGTGGGGAGGCTCCTGATGGGTGTTGCAGATGGGAGGGAAGGCTATATAATGTGTGACCCTGCTTCGAATGCTCGTAGTTCGTGAAGTGGAGCGGGAAGTTGGTTCAGCCAGGCCGTTGTGTTAGGCAAAGACAGGCACATGTGGAGCAAGCAATCAGCGAGGCGAAAAAATAAGCTCTCCGTTGAGCCTGTTAAGGTGGTGGGGAGATGTGACTGGCGGGCGCGGGGAAACATGGTGATACATCGGGCCGGAAACGACGAGCCAAGAATGGGCTCCATCCTGGTCGCATCGTATGAAACGCGGCACAACGCAACGAGACTGGCTGTTTTTCGTAACGCACTACCGGCGTGTGGATCGACTGATCGTACATGGGGGCGAAAAGGGTCACATGGAGGGGGCTGAGCTGGGCTTGAATAAATTAAACACGAGCGTCTGGGCGGATGGGATGCGCCTGCTTCTCTATCGCTGAAATGGGCTTGCATGCATGGGGACGGCATGATGCCCGTTCCCAGCCATGGCGAATGGCGAGTGAGCAGACGGGTAGCCAGTCTGGCCCAAAAAAGATGAAGGAGGTGCCTGTGCAGCCTGAAGCTGTGCAACGTAGAATGGATCTGTCGTCGTAAATAGCGTCTCGGCTTGCGACGGCAGGCTGTATGTGGGTGACGTAGGGGAAGAAACCATGGGCGACTGCGCAGGAGCGAAAGTGCGGTTTGCGAGCACAGGGGACTGGGGCGAAGAAGGCATGAGGATGTCCTCGACCATGTTTTCCTCCTCCATTTCTTCCAGATCGTGCCAGCGCTCGTCATGGTGGACTGAACGAGATCGAGATCTAGCAGAGCTGTCGCTGCGATGGCGGTAGCTATCCGAGTTCTGGAAAGGATTGCTGGACAAGCTTATGCTACCAGAGGGTGTTCGGGTCGTTGGCGTTGTGCAATGCTGAACACCAGTAGGATCTCTCTGCGGCGCAGCAGGGGCCATGTTAATTTGTGGCGAAGTGACTGCCATCGCCTGTGTCTGAACGTGGTTGTGAAAGAAGGCTTGGGTGAGCTGCGCCTGTGTAGACAGGGGAAATAAAGATAAGCAATGCGCGGCTCGATGGAAAAGGTGGTAAGCGTACCTGAAGGGCAGCGAGGTCCATGGCCTCCTGACCAATGTGGTTAGAAGAGAAAGTGGCGATGAGATCGTCGACAGAGAGACTCATGGTGGCAGGGAGTGTGCGAGACAGCAGCAGGCAGGGGATGACAAGAGAGACGCGGGGGGACGGGGAAATGGGATGTGGGGATTATATCCGCGTGAAGAGCACGCCTTCTAAAACCGGCCATCCCCCGGTCCGTTTCGGCAGTCTCCGGTGCCCCGATCACTGAAACGCCCAAAACGCTAATTCGCGACTTGGATAGTCAGTCCCTTCTCCCTTCCAGGCCTCACACGCGTGCTTCTGCTCATTTGCACTATTCTATTGCGAGTTCACTGTCTGATGACTGTTGGGCCCTACAACGACGACAGAACACGTTGCTCGGTCCGCCTCCTCCGCGGTCCTGCACTGGGCCACGCGATTGTGTACGCGATGGCGTGTAACACGCGATGCCGGCGGAATGCGTTTGATGCGGGTCCTGTCAGGTCCTGCTCCTGTGGGCAGGCCCCACTCAGTCACACTCTGTGCGTCCCTTTGAGTTGGCTTGACATCTACATTGTAATAACCCTTCCCATAGCTGCCGCTGCATCATCCCCAAGAGACATTGTCGACGTGTCCAGGACTATCTTGGCTTCCTTTTGCAACTGAGCTGATCTGCAGCGCTGCTCGTGGCGCAGGAAGATCAACGCAAGACAAGAAGGTGCTGTCATTGAGATTATTCTTGTCCTCACGCGAAGATTATTCTCAACGCATTATCTAAAGCACCTCGCTCCTCCCGGGTGCCTACGACGGCCCGCGCTGGCATTGCAATGGCGATCTAGGCCTCTTCAGCACGCGAACCGCCAGACGGCGTAGGGAAATCCATGACGCACTGAGTGCCCCAACGGCCTCGCGGGCCTGCACCTTGGCGACCTCTCGCAACTCTCTCGTCCGGAAATCCTTTGATCATCGCTGCCCCATAAATAACCCAAGATGCTTGATATCAGGGTCCTCAGAAAGCTTGTACGCCGGTCTTGTTCCTGTTCACGAGTATAGATTTGACGATGCAATCTATTCTCAGTAGTATCTCTGCTCTAAAAACATATGTACCCATTCGCGCTCGTAATGAACCCGTCACCGGCCGCTTGCGTGCCGCTGCTCACATCGGACTACCGCGATGATCGCACAGATCCGGGTCATCGCAGTTCGTCTTGCATTAGCCATATATGGCGTCTAAGACGATCTAATTCTTTGCCATTGGACGATCGCCAGGCTCCGCGCTAGCTATTTTCGGCCAGGTCAAGAATACATGACCGTGTTCAACCAGCACCACTCGAGGTGACGCGTTCATGATCGAAAGGCTTGGTGAGTAGCCCCCACGAACTGTCTTTCGCTTCCCGTGTCACGGGAACTGCCCTGGACTCGAGGACTGTTTTTACTCTCATATAGGCACCTTTGGCTGCTGCGCGAAGCTGATGCCGTCATCAGCAAGTCTCAAGCTCAAGGACTCGAGGCTTTGGGACGAAGATATGGCGTCATTCATCACGGCAAAGCAACCTCTCTTGGAGAGGTCTCATCTCACGTTCGACAATATTTATCAGGGGACCTCGCGATGTATTACTATCATCCAGTTCAAACCCCAAGCTCGTTTCAAAGTTGGTAAACCTCGTGGCAACATCGCTTTGTACGGAGACGATAACATGAATGCTAGAAGACCATCACTGAATTTTCCAATTTTCACCATACATCTAAGTCGATATGTTTGCACTATGCGTTGGTATTATGAATTCGTATCGCAATCCTCTATCCAGGCGACTGACTGAAACAAGCCGACATCCACCAGTACTGGTACGACGAGGAGAAGGCAACTGTAACAGCTAACCGTGAGTACTTCATGTTCCAAGTTTCAAATGTTGTTAGTGGAAGAAGCGTTCGCCTCCGAGGCCTCGGCTTGAGTGTCAATCAAGAACGGATGTCCAGCGTCTTCATAGGGCTGGTTTCCATCACGACTGTACTCGACTAACTCGCTTGCGTCGGTTTGGACGCTCGAGCTGCCGGGCTGCAGATCCCCTTGATCGGACTCCGTCATCTGGAGGTGCGTAGTGTCAATCCCTCTATTTCAAGTCCACCCTTCTTACGGTACTAGTACTCACTGCTTCTTCAGACGTTAGCTTACAGCCAAGTGCCTTTATCGCTTTGATGTGCTCGTCGAACAAGCTTTTCCTCGACTGGCTTGTTACGACGCGGGGACGCTCTACGGACTGCGGTTCTTGCCTCTGCAGTGACCGCAAAAATTTAGGCGGAACCCTCAGGCACCACTGCTCGCTTTGCTGTGCGAGCTGCTCGTCTCGCGCCGTAGGCCAAGACGCACTCGAATTCGAGTAAACTTAAGCGTTTCGCGAAGTCAGCTCTGCAAGTCCACTTGAAGGTGTGAAATGGCATACCACTCATCCGGTCGTCCTCGTCATCTCGCCAGTGAGCCGTCCATCGCGGGGGCGGGGGCGGGGGCGGCATATACACGGATCCAACGTTCGTTTCCAACGCTGCATCCACGTACTCCTGCGCAGCATCGTATGAGATTGGCTTCAACGCACGAACAGGACGATGGGCGGGGAGAAGCGGCGGAGAGGGCTCAGCGAATTCCGCTTCGCTTTGCGCTGCACTCGTCGTCTGAGACTGGCGGGATGAACGCGTCGGCGCTGCATAAGACCCTCGCGAGCGTCGTAAAGCAGGTCGCCCAACACGTTTCTTGACCACGGATTTGTACCTCCCGCTGCCGGACTTGTTAGCTACGGATTCCTCGCCTGTGGGAGTTGCCGAAGTTGAAGCATCCACCGCTATCTTCTCGGAATCATTTGCTTGAAGAGTAGATTGAAGCGCGTTGACAATGGAGTCTGCCGAGTTGGTGTCTATTGAGATTGGGGCCTTCTCCTTTGCAGTTGTTTTGGCCTGGCGGCGGTTTGTTTTCCAAGGAGGTAGGGGCACAGCCACACCATCAAAAACAAGTTTTCGACGCTGCTGCTTCTTTGTCTTGCCCGTACCCAATGAATGAACTGGATTCTGTATGACAGGGACTGGAGATGCAGGCTCACTCTCACTGTCCGGGACAACAAGTGTCTCTATCCCGGGCAGTTCAACACCTGGCATTGATGGGCTACTAGTAGGAGCAACTCTCAACATCCTATTAGTTGGCAGCTCATTAGACTCAATAGTTATAGGATATGCAAAAGCTGAAATAGTACTTTACCTTGAAGCTACTTGCAATAGCTCAATCAGGAATGAACAGAGAGTAAATTGAGAGAAGGGGACTAGCAGCAATGTGGAAGTCCAAGACCAACAAGAGCTCTACCCTAGTAGTGCTAGCAAAACATTGAAGGTCAGGGCTGCCAGCTGCTTTATGCACAAACAAAATAACTCACAGAAAACCTGTTTCAAACTAATTGAGTCCTAAGCTGGTTATATGAGAGAATAGCCAGAATGCACACCTTATAGTGCTGCAGTGGGTGTGCTGCCAATTGAAGAAGGGGGGCCTATCCTTTGAGGGGATAGTAGAACAAGTGATTCAAGAGAATGGTTTGGTCCAGGTTTGCTGAGTTTGGGATATATGTGGTAGCTGGATCAATAGCAACAAACAATGAGTTATCAATTTATGCATGCTAAAAATAGAACTTTAAGGGAAGTGTGTACACATAGCTGAGAAACACTGCAGATATAAATGGCTGATAACCATGTATTTCATTAACTGAAAACATATTTCAGACTTTGCTGGCTACTTTCTTGCCACTTTCAACATTGTTCCTTTAAAAACTGTCATCACAGCCTCCATACATAGGATTGTGGGTACACATCTACATCATATCCTTGACCAGTGCCAGCCTTTGAATGTTTATACTTGTGTTTTCTTTTTTCCTGGCCTTCTCCTCCTCTGTTTCATCTCCCTCTTGCAGTCAAACATTGCTGCTAGCACTTCCTGACATTGGTGACATCACAAAAGTGAGTGTATGCACCAGTGTTTGGAGTTTAATGGCAGAATGGCAGTGCTGGCCAGCCATTCCTGGCACACCAGTGGCATGCCATTGACAACTGGCAGTGGTATGACTAACTTTCCTATCATGAAAGTTTATGTGAACCAAAGTCATGTTAGACCCCATGTATCTACTCATATAGTCGTGAGTACAACCATCAATGTAGCTTCATAGCCCAGTGGATTTAGTTGCCATTGATATTATTTTGTTTCTGGCTCGCATGTTTGATCCCCTCACCCACCATTTCCATGTGCCATCATCAAATGGCATGCCACTGACACTCTAAACACTGGTATGTACTGCATTCCCCTGCCCAAGTTGACTGTTGGAATTACACATTCATTTTTGACATACAAGCTTTATTCCATATGATACCTACACTCTCAGTACACTTCAGTGCTTATCTTATTGCTGATTTACCAATGTTGTCTAGGTTCCAATGGCAGCACTCAGCACCATTGTACTGCTGTCACTCACGAGAAGCACAATAGACAACAACAGAAGTGAAGGAGACAGAAAGGAGAGTTGGAGGAGATCAGACAAAGGAGGAGCAGGAGCAGGATATAAAAGATGGTGAGGGGGCTGGTGGCATACAGGTGCATGTATGCATTCCCATTCTGCACTTTCCTCCTGACAAGCTCCTACAGTAAGAAGAGCTCAATGATGGCTCAGAGGCATGGTGAACATCACAGCCTCTATGGAATTGCTGGTGAGCTCATTGCCAGCTTGGGAGCTTGTACCTGATGAGGCCAGCAGGTTGTTTTTGTGCACCTTCTTCTTTCTTTTTGTTTTGTCATTGGTCACATCACTCTCCCATGCCCATATGTTTTTGTTTCTGCCTCCCAGCATTAGGGGCATCACAAAAGTGGGTATATGCAATTTATTCCCTGGTCCCTGCTGACCACCACCACTTTTTTTATCCCACTTTTTTTTTTTTGGTGCCTTTTTTTTTTTTGGTGCCT